CCCCCCCATCTCTCCTCCCCCTCCCTCTCTTTCCCCCCGTGGCTCTGACATCAACCGGTATTTCATTCTCTTCAAGACAAAGCAGAGACAATCAAACCTGGTCAACCAAACGGGACCCGACCCAAACGAGGCCAGAAGGGAGGATCAACCCTCTGGACCTGCGTCCGGGTCAAACTTTGTCTCTCCTGTATGGACACAGCACTTTCTCCGGACGAAGAAACTAACCTACCCTGGCTCCTCTAGCGGAGTTCGCTATGAAGTTGATTAGTTATTTTGCTGGATGGAGGATGATGTCTTGACCTCATCCTTCATTATTAGTTTTCCTTTCTTTTACTTTTTTTTAAATAATTTTCCAATCTATATTTTCTAACCTATTTTCTTTTTATTTTATTTCCCTTTTTTATTATTTTTCTGAATCCATACTGCCTTATCCAATTTATTTCAATCTCCTATATGGTTCACTCCAGTCCATTGGAGGTTTCAACCACTTTTTATAAGATTATCTCCTTTGACTACTCTTTAGTTCTCATATCATTGCCGCGTCTTCAAGTTTCTTGGATATAGTTCGGAATCATAACTGGGTTGTGCTTGCAGGATCTAGGACCTGAACCTTTCCTTCCATATATTTTTCATCACTGCCACTTCTACATTCAATCTATCAAGTTATCGCTACTACTGCCTGGCCATACATACTACTAATATACTATGTGATATTTGTCTATCCTTGATTCTGCTTTCTCAAGATTTCCACCCCCTTCAGTGCCTTCATTCCTTCGCCGCGGGCAACATTCACCGGATCCGCTACTGTTGCTATCCTACCAATTTCCTCCTCCCCGCGCGACTTTTGATATTCGCGGTTCTCGAGCCAACCAAACCTCCGGCGAATTTCCCATTCAACTTGAAGGATACAGATTGATCACCTTGGACGACCGTTGTTGCCAGCCATTGCATACCTTTCGCTTTCTTTTTACGCACCACCGGACTTCGGAAGAGCTGGGTGGATTAAACAACAATCACAGCCTAATTTCGACCTAGTCAAGGACAATCCCAATGAGAGTTCAGTGAGCACAGTGTTTCAGATATCTCGGCGTTCTGGCTCTCTACTCCCCGGCTCTTCTCGCAAGTGTTATTGAACCTCGACTGTCCTGCCATATGTCTCTCCCAGTACTCCCGCCGCAGCCTCATCTCCCCACACTACACCCAGTCACACCCACCATCGCCCACTACTCGCGGACGGACAGTGCAAGAAAGCGATCCTACGAGCCGGTGACACACAATTCGGACCATTGGACTGTTCCCTTCCGGGACGGTCTTCCAACGCCTCCCAGCGATATGAACGGAATTGCTACCTATAACGTCATTCCGTCGTCCGCCTATGGATCGAAGCTAGATGGAGTCACCTTGCCTCCGTACGCCAAAGTCTCCGATTATTCGCGCAGGGACTACGATGGAGCGACTACCATGATCCCTGCATCCAAGCCATACTATCAGCCACCGGCTAAGGAGAATTCGACCCGCGAGCAGGACAGCCAGAAGAAGAGCAGTACCAATTCTGCAGCCTCGTATCTGCAAATCCCATCGACGATCAACAATAGCAAGGGGAGTCTAGCCGAGTTCGCTGCACAGGTGAGTGGTCTCTTTTTCCGGAAAGAGGATCTCTGACTCCTTTCGGCCGGAGATGCTAATGGCGCGAGTAGATGACATGTCTCTTTTGGTTCGAGAGTGCAGCCCAGCTTAAGGCGGTGGAGGACCGTTCGCCCTCGGCCGGTCCTCTTGCCCCTGAGACGATGCCGACGATGGGCTTCCAAAAATGGGTGACTAACATTCTCTCCACGACCCAGGTGAGCCAGAATGTGGTCTTGCTGGCTCTCATGTTCGTTTACCGCCTCAAGAAGTTCAATCCCGGGGTGCGAGGGAAGAAGGGTAGCGAGTACAGGTTGATGACCATTGCACTCATGCTGGGTAACAAATGTAGGTGGTCCGGTCCAGAAATAATCTTGTTGGGTGAAAAATGAGGCTAATATATCCTTTCCAGTTCTCGATGACAACACGTACACCAACAAGACATGGGCTGAGGTCTCGGGTATCACGGTACAAGAAATCCATATCATGGAAGTCGAATTTTTGAGCAACATCCGCTACAATCTGTTCGTGTCAAAAGAGGAATGGGGTGATTGGCATGTCAAACTGGGTCTTTTCGCGGATTACTTCAATAAAGCCCCTCGGGTTGTGGAAAAGAGTGATAGACCGGCTGCTCCTACCGCGCTCCGAGTTTCCCCCAATCTGGGCCCCATTCCCCGCGCAGCGCTGTGCTCGCCTTCAAAGTTGCCATCGCCCCCTGCGACGGATTCTTTGCGCTCCTACATCTGGCCACTGCCATTGAACGCAGTGTCTTATGCCGGGGGAGTGTGCCAGCTACCGCCCAGTGACATGCCACTGGCTAGCAGTCACCAAAACCCGCGCAAACGGAGCCGCGACGAGGCGGTGGAGGAGCTTCCGTCCAAGAGAAATACTGCCGCCATGGTGCCGAATCTGCCATCGTCCTCCGCCCTGACCAACATCCCCGCCTTGCCGCTTGTTATGACATCGACAGCAGCATCAGCATCAACATCGGTGCCTGCCCACATCCCTCCCATGCCCATGCCCGACGCCGTCTCTCGTCTTCCCCGGCCCAACTTCCCTTCTCTCACCATGGCCCCGGCTATGCCTCCTGCCGTCTCTTCAGTGCCTCAATTACCTTCCACCAGCCGTGTGATGCCGCCGGTCTACCCGCCTCCCAATACCTGGATTTCACAGCAGATGCCCACCACCACGACTGTGGCTCCTACCGTTCCTCCTCTAAACAGTGGTCTGTACGCCTCACTCCCCGACCCTAGCAGACACCACAACAGTCCCTTTGCGATTTCATCAGCCACCATCTCCCCCGCCGTGTCCGCCTACTCCGTCACCCCTCAGACACATCTGTCACCATCCTTTTTCCTCGCCAACCGCAATTCACCGTACCGACCCGTTCGCAGTGTCAACACTCTGCTTATTCCACCTCCCTCCACTTCTCTTCAGCAGCAGCGCAGCGTCCCCTTCGATCACATGCACTACCAACCTCTGGGAAAGACAGCTGCGGAACGCAAGACGGGCGTGCTGCCATACCTTCATCACGAAGCCTGGCCTACCGGGCCCATTGCTCAGCCCATGTTCCACACCAGCTTCAACTTTTCATGAATAGACAAAAAGTCTTTTTATCTCTGAACGCCGCTTCACGACTTTGACACTCGACACGATGCATATGAGAAGATCCGACATTCACTTTTTCTTTTACCTTTTTGTGTCGACAACTTCTTCCGTCCCCACTCTTCTCCCCTTCGTATTCTTGTACAGATTTCTTCTCTCTTCTTTTCATCATGACCGGGCATGAAATCGCGGCGTTTGCTTTTTTTCTCCTGTGTGTGTTTACACCACTGATAGAATTCGGGGTTCAGTTCACTTGAAAGACCAATTTTTGCATCTACACTGGACTACAGGAAGGGGAAACTTGGGAGTGGCTTGCTTTTTTTTCACTTTTGCATGGATATGGCGCTGTTTTTTTTTTTTTTTTTTTTTCACGGATATGTATCACATGAGGGACAGCATTAGCATTAGGAGGGCGTTTTCTTGTACGTGGCAGGTAGCTAGCCTCAGAGATGAGGAATTGGGTCAGGTTTTAAGACCCTTCAAATTAAAATTCACATTACATATAGATTTTTTTTGTGCATGAGTAAGCTAGGTGCCGTGTATGTGGTGGTTTGCGTTGATGACTCTGGGTAAGAATTGAGGTAGCAACAGTGAAGTGCAAACTGGCAATAACAATCATCAAATGCCTACCTCCTATAGAAAGCACCCAAGGATGCAAACCAATCATGTCCCACGCAAACAGCCCGCCCGGCCCGACTTCATTCCGAAGCCCGGAGTCACTTACAATCTCCTTGCTGCCTCAGGCCACAACAAAACTCTCCATCCACCGCCAACGGAAAGAAAGATCCTGTCCGGCAGCCGGGACAAACAACCTCATTCTAACCACCGTTCACTTCCATTTATCCTCGACACCAAACCACAACAAGTCCAACTCACTTTGGCCCAAGATGCCTCCCCGGCTCCAGATCCTCCCGCTCCGGACGTTGGCGTCGCTCGCGTCCTCGACAGCCGCTACCGCCAGCAGCACGAGCACTTCCGCTGCGACGCACCCTTTGACATTTCTCCTGGGAGGCGGATTATTCCAACAGTCCCGCAACGCGCACATTCTAGCCTCGTTGTCCGATAACCCGGGGGCCTACCACAAGCGCATCCGGCGCGGTCGCGGTCCGGCCTCGGGCAAGGGTAAGACCTCCGGTCGCGGTCACAAGGGTCAGAAGCAGCATGGCAAGGTCCCCGCGGGGTTCAACGGTGGTCAGACGCCAGAGATTGTCGTGCATGGTGAGAGGGGATTTACCAACATGTATGCTTGCTCTTCCGTTCTGTGCAATGGGAAACAGGGGGGTTGGGATCGGGGTTCTCTGTTTTGTCGGGGTCTCCCAACTGGGATTGGAGGCTTCGTTGCTGGGATTGAAAGTGGACTTGCGATGGAAAGATGAGAGATGGTCTTCGTGGCTGCGATGTGGCATTGCAGTGCAGTGTCGGGAGAACGTCTGTCTTGCCAATTTGGAGTCAAACGCTGCGGGCAGAGGAGTTCCAGCTAGTCCTCCTCCAAACGAGAACCACCGCGCCCCAATCCCCTCAAGTCCCTGAATAACATCCTCCCAGCATCGAACCACTGACTCCTTCAAAAACGCAGCCACTCCATCGACCTAGCCCCCATCAACCTCAATCGCATCCAAGATTGGATCGACCAAGGCCGCATTGACCCTGCCCGCCCCATCACCATCCGCGAGCTGTACGAATCGCGCTGCATCCACCAAACCAAAGAAGGCGTCAAGCTGCTGGGCCGCGGCGTCCCCAAGGATGAGAAGGGGAAGGTCGCCCTTGCCCCGGCCACCTCTACTGAAACCACTACCACCACTACCACCACTACCACCACCACCACCGCCTCCTCCTCCGCCTCCTCCCTTCCCGCAGACCAAACCACCAACACAACAGGCACCAACCCCCTCAAACAACCCATCCACATCGTCGTCTCGCGCGCCTCCGCCTCCGCCATCGCCGCCGTCGAAGCTGCCGGCGGCACCGTGACCACCCGCTACTACACGCGCAGCGCCATCGCCCGCATCCTCAAGCGCCAGATGCACCCCTTCGTGTCGACGGCCTGGACGCAGCGCAACGGACCCGCCGCCCTGCTCGCCGCCGAGAAGGGCGCCGCCGGCGGCGTGGCCTCCGAGGCCGCTGGCGAGCTCATCGAGAGCGAGGTCATGCGTGCCATGGGCTTCACCTACCGGTTACCCGATCCCACCAAGCGTCGCGATATCGAGTACTACCGTGACCCCGCCCACCGCGGGTATCTGAGCCACTTGCTCAAGCCCCTGGAAGGCCCGAGTTTGTTCTTCCGGTCGCCGATGGAGCGGAAGACTGCGGCCGGGCAGACGAAGGAGAAGGTGTTGCCGGAGAATAGGCTCTGGTAAGAAAATGTTGTTGTTGGTGTCTGAATGGTAGGTGGAAGGTGGTTGATGTTTTGATGTCGGTCGACGGGCGTGGCAAGCGGGGTTCTGGGTTGATGCTGAGTTTGTTCATGATGGAGAAAGTGGTCATGGGCCGAGGTCACCAGTGTAGAGTGTTATCTCTTTCTTGTTGAAATGTACTTGTATAAATATGTTATGTTATGGTATCGTGGATATGCATTGTTTCTTTTTTGTTTCACGTACTGGTGATAAGTTATTTTCTGGTGCAGTGTTACTGCCTATTAATCTACAAGTGGTTTTACGGGCATAGTAGTTACCACAAATTGTAGCAAGTTGTGACTACACTGGTTCATCATCACAGGACAGCACTGAGATCATAACAACCTAAAAGGATTCTTCAATCTCGATATCGTGTCTTCAGACTTTCCGTCCATTCTCCCCTCATTAACAAGGTCCCAGTCACAGGTACCACTAGGTCGCGCCATGAAGTGACAAGGAAAGGAATAAACCATCCGGATATCGATACACGCAAAGCAGAACCCAAAAACGCCATGCCATACCCTTGCAAATTGTGTATTTCCCCATAGTAACAAAAAGGTATACCGAAACGCGCTCGAAACAAAATATATCGTAACCCGCTGTGATCATGAAAGAGGGTATCAAGGATGTAGAACTAGCACATATGAAACAAAGCGCTAGTCGTGGTCATCTAACAGTCATAAGTATAACACCCATTATGTTGAACAGGCTTGCTGCGGCCCCGCACTCAGAGTTTCCAGATTGACTCGGTCGGGCTGCCGTCAGCGTTGTGAGAGAACTCCCGCATCCACCGCGAGCAAAGTACATCCCGGATGGTCCACCGTTTGTTGGGGTTCATTTGCAAACATCCGGTGATCACCTCGAGCGCATCCTCCCGCTCCTGCCGAGTCTCAGCATCCATCTCATCGTCGCCCAGGACGGCGTGGTGGTTCCAGTTTCCGTTAAGAATATTGTTCTGGATCCGCGGTGCGAATGGGTCCTGGAACGGGCGGGAGCCAACAATAACAGCGTACACGATGACCCCGAACGCCCACAGATCGACCGAAGGGTGGATGACGCCATTGGTGGAGAGAAGCAGCTCTGGCGAAGCATACTCAAGACTTCCCGCGACGCTGGTGCTGGACCCGGCTGGTCCGATATTCTTTGGAGGTGGACGATCCGCCACATTGTCGTACGGATCAGGAGACGCACCGTCGTTGTCTGTGCTCATCCACTCGGCCATGCCAAAGTCACAGAGAACCAGTGTGGAGATCTCGGTTCCATCAGGAGAGACGGTGGGGTCCAGCAAGCAGTTCTCTAGTTTGATATCCCTATGAACGACCCGAGCGTCTTCGTGCAGATATCGCAGTGCGCAAGCAAGCTGATATGAGTACTTTTTCGCAAGTTTGAGATCCAGTCCGCCTCGATTCTGGCGCACGAGATCAAAAAGAGTACCACCAATCGCGAGCTTGGTAAAACAAAACGTAGCAAAGTCGGTCTCGTACACAGCATCCAAGGTCAAAACGTTGGGGTGGCTGAGGTAGCGCCAGACCCGCACTTCGTGGTCGAACTCTGCTTGCACCTCATCATTTTCCTTTTCACTCTTGCCCGACACCTGTTTTTTGACGATCTTGACAGCAAGATGTTTGGTCTTGCCGTTCTCTTCGACCTTATACGCTTCCTTGACTGTACTGAACCCTCCAAAGCCAATTTGTTTACCAAGGACATAGTCCGTGCCAACCATCTGGCCTTCATCATCAGGTTGCGGTGCGGGCTCCTCACCACCGGCGCTCCACATGGAGAGAAACATGCTGGCAGGAGACTTGCCGCTGGAGGCGGTGGATCTACGCGACCGTTGACGGGTCGAAAGACGGAGCCCTCGCGCCTTGCTTCCAAATGGAGTCACAACACTGCCCGACCATGAGCTGCGATCGTCAAGCGAGGCAAAGGCCTGGACAGGTGATGCCATGCAGATGGGCGAGGAGAGTATCCTCGAACCCTCCGATGGAGTTCGAATCTCTTCCGTCACTGGGGAAGCAGTCGATCTCGATGTGAGAGAGGTTGGATGCTCGATCTCTGAAGCCACGGCGCTTTCCTCTTCTTCCGGAAAGCTACCGCGCGAAGAGCCGGTAGGGATGGGCCGATGGCGCCGCTGCCTTTCAGGACTGAAGCTGAGATCGGACTGACGGTCGTTGTCGTCGGGCCCGTCGTCTTGCCGTAGGGTGTTCCTCAAGCTCGAGCTTCGCGACTGAAACTTCTGAGGCCGGCCGGCCAGAGGCTCTTCGAGTGGCAGGCGTCGACCCGAGTCCAGGGCCACGATGGGGTCAAAGCTGATGGACGGGCGGCGTTCCTGCAAGAAGCTGTCCAGCGGGGAGGCCTGCACGTCCTCTGGTTTGTGAGGATAGCTGACATTTTCATCGTCTTGCTGGTGAAGGTCATGATGGCGCGGAACGGAGATAGGAGGTGTCGCCGAGTGCAAGCCACTCAGAATACTGCTGTCTTGATCAGTACCGCCACGGGGTGGGTGATAATCGTGAAAGATGTTTGTACGATCGCCATCCGTCGCTCCTCCGCCTTCAACCTCACCCCGCCATCGGGGTCGAGGTGGATGTTGAAAAGACGTCTCAAGCTTCAACCCTGCCAGTGTGTTGGGTCTTCCCGTCTGAGCCATGCCCCTTCGCACACGCAAGGAGTGCGGGAAGATTCTATGAAAAGAAGATAAGAATCAAAGGAAGAGGTTGAAGAGAAGAGTTAAGAGGTTGAAGAGAAGAGTTTCTATCTCTAGAAGAGAATGATGTGAAGGAAGTTTGGGAAAGTCGAAGCATGAAAGAGGAGAAAGAAATGAGACGAAGTGGGGAGAGGTGGGATCTTATCGAGCGGTTCGGTGGAGGAGGAGGAGGAGGAGGAGGAGGACAAAAAGAGGAGTAAAGAAGTGGTAAGTTACAGTCAATTAGTTATCGGAGAGTCCCGATCCAATAGGAAGAGTTAACCTCAATGAGAATGAGATTACCTAACTACTCAGAGCAACGACTCTGTGCACTAAGGCGCATCAGCGTCAGTGGGTGAGCTGATCCAGGCCAAAAAAAAAAGTGATCCTTCTGCAGCAGCAGGAGGGAGGCCCATTGACAAACTGAGGATTGACGATGGATGATGAATGGAAAAGAAAGAAAGAAGGGAAGAAGTGGAAGAGATCGGGAGAAGAAGGGATGGAAAGGGAAGTGAGTGGGGGAATCCTCGGGTGATGACGGAGGAGAGGTGGATTGTCTGACAGCCCACTGGTCACTGACTTCTGAAATGACGGAGGGATCGACTGCTTCCACTGGTTCACTGCCATATCACCTGAAGATAGTGGCCCTCACCCTAGGCCCTGAGCCCTGAATTTTGACTGACTAGGCAATCGTCCAGGCACGGGGTCCAGAAATGGCCCAGTGGGTAAGCGCGCGCAAGGGGCGCCTGTTTTGGAGCTGGGCGCTGCAATCCTCCCCTATTCGAGCTTCCTTCAATTCAGTCCGGGGAACCTCCTCGTTCCATGCAGTTGCAGTTGCAGATGCAGTAGTTGGGCCTACACTTGGCTTTCCTCTGCTACCTAATTTCCCTTCTGCTTCTTGTTTCTCCACTCCAACATTGGCGTTCTGGCTAATTGTTGTTTGCCCTTCTTTTCTTAAATTTGTTATTGTTTTGTTTTGTTGTTTGATCTGCTCTGGAAGTCGTTCCCTGATTGTCTCTTGTTTGCCCGACGGACTCCTCTCCCTCCCCTCTCTTACGCCCCCCCTTGGTCGGACTTGAAGTACCCACCCCCGCCGTTCCTCCCTCGTGGCCGTCGACTTCGTTCATTTTTCACTTTTTGCTATCTCAATTCTTTGGGTTTACCAGAAACCACTTTCTTTTCGAGCCGCTCCGGGACGCTGTGCAGTGCCGATATACCTTTACCATCTGGTTTCAATGGTTTTGATATCTAAAGTCCTTCTTTCGCCGCAATACCTCCCAAAAAAGCGATATAACTTCCAGCTCGACCAATAACTTCGCGAACACGAAATATTTTCAAGATGACGAGGCCTCGGATTGTGCGGGCTGGTATGTGCAACTAGAGCCAGTCATGTGGCCATCGCGCTGATCAGCAAATGTATGATGACAGATACCATGGACCTCCAGGGCCAACATGCCCCTTCTGCCAAGGACCATACCAGGCAGCCCGCGAACCCCACGGGCATTGCCCCCCACCAGGAACAAGCGCTTCGCCAGGCCGACCAGGAGACCAAAGCTGAAATCATGCATGGTCCCAGCGCCAACGACGCAAACTCCAGTGACGACCGCGCCGACGGAATCGATATCTACGATGACGATGATGACGACGAGATTGAGGATATAGATCATCACGGAGATCTCACCGGAGAACATGAAGAGGGCGATCTGGCTGATGGAGAAAGCGATGATATGCTAGATGACGACATGATGGACAAGATTTCGAGCTCGCCATCGATTGACGACGGTATGTTTGTTCATGCTGTGATACTGGGTGGCAAACCGCTGCGATGTTACCCAGCATGCGTCTCAGCGATCGGACACGGCGTGTCTTTCCACGTATCACCCACGATGTAAACTAATGGAACCCTAGAGGACATCGACTTTGAATTCGTCTACGCGCTTCACAACTTCTATGCAACCGTGGACGGACAGGCCAACGCCTCCAAGGGCGACACCATGGTGCTGTTGGATGACAGCAACAGCTACTGGTGGCTCGTTCGGATTGTCAAAGATGGCAGTATTGGTAGGTCGTCTGCTGGTTTGTCTAGATTAAAGCTAACAGGAGTAGGGTATCTGCCCGCGGAGCATATTGAAACTCCGACCGAGCGATTGGCTAGATTGAACAAGCACCGGAACGTGGATGTGAGTGGGTCAGTCTTCCGAACTATGGCAAAATACTGATTCATCGCGCGATAGCTCTCTGCAACCATGCTAGGAGACAATTCAGAGAAATCCAAGAACCCGCTGATGAGAGCGGTGCGCCGCCGAACCACCAAGAACGTCCAATTTGCTCCTCCTACGTATATTGAAGCGTCCGACATTGAGTACTCTAGCGACGAAGATCTGGACGACGCGGCGTCTTTCGACGAGGAGGATGGTACGCGCGCGGAGGCGGATGATGCGCACGATGGCCAAAACGATGATATTGTTGTTCAGCCATTGAGGACCAAAGCGCAACGCGAAAAAGGAGGTGAAGAAGTTGGCATTGATGAAACCGAGGAGTCGGCCGGTAGCAGTCCGGTCAAGCAACGTTCTAGCCAGGAGCTATTTGAGCCTGAACGTGAGTTTTCTCCGTCCGAGCCCTGCGACAAGTGCTAACGCGAATCTAGCCGATAACAATGTGAGCCGATCGCGAAACGGCACCGTACGCAACACCGATTCCTTCTTCAGAGACGATACCGTGGAGACTAAAAAGATCTCCCTGACACCCAATCTTCTTCGAGACGAGGTCGGCAGTGGGACGCTCTCCAGCGACGCGAGTGAAGTTAGTAATCTGATTCAATCACAATTAACAGATATTGACCTGCAGCAGAGTCGCGGTAGCATGGAGAACATCGACAAGACACTCAGTGCGATTGACAAAAGCAAGGAGGACAAAAAGCGCAGAGACAAGAAGTCGGGAATGCTCAGTGGTCTTTTCAAAAGGAAAGATAAGAAGACTAAATCCCACGAGGATGATCCAGACGAAGCAGAGAAGAACTCGAATGAGTTCTCCCGGTCTTCACCCCAGCCGAAAACGTCTCTGGAATCGGTGCCCTCTCCTGTTTCACCTGAGGCTCGATCCCCCAAGCAGTTGGTGGGGCAGAGACAGACCACCAAGCTACAGAAACAACCTCCGGTGGCACTCTCTCCGACGAAGCAGGAATTTCCTCGGGAACAGGAGCCTGCTGGTATCGATAGAAGCATCAAGTCCGCGATGAGCAGCAAGACGGACCAGACAATTCGACAGGTCACGTCTGAAGAGGCGGACGATATTCCCTCGTCACCCCCATTGGGACCCTTTGATGATAGCCAGGAGGCCATTGAATCTACAGCTCGTGTACCGAGCCCTGCGAAGAAGATGGCACCTTCTCAACCTGAACCCCAGAATCAAACAACATCACCAGTCGAGTCGCATGGCGACTGGCAAGACGCGTCTGAGGGTGTCTACTATCCGCAGCAGCGTTCAGTGGCATCGCCACCGCAGAGGTTTGAACCTAGACAGCTGGAATATCAAAGCCAGCGATTCGAATCTCCTGGCCGTGAATCGATGGAGGAGCCCCCGGTCTCGCCTCTCGCGCCCGGGTCCGGGACGGATTTCTCCAACCCGGCGCGACACTCCATTGTCTCGGTTTCGCCGCCTATGTCTCCTGTTACGAGCCATCGCGACAGCAGAGGCATTGACGCTCGCTCCTCATTCAGTGTCGCATCTGCGCCTACTCCTACGTGGAGCGATGCGAGCTTGCGGTCCTACCTGGATGACGACAATGACATCCGCGATTTGTTCATCATTGTACACGACAACTCGAACATCCCGCCTGCTGGCCCTGATCACCCGATCACTGGTTGCCTTTTCAAGGAAGAGAGCAAGAGACTGAGAGAGATGAACAGCCAGCTGGATTCCATGCTGGCTGAATGGGTTGGTCGCAGAGTACGGGAGTCGACCAGTAAGTAGAGCCGATACCTGGTTCAGGCTTGATGCCTCGTGAAGAGTGGATGCTTCTTCATCAAGGAACTCAAGTTCGCCTTAGATGGAGTAGATTCACCATGACCCGGAGCCCACTATGTGCTGGACACATGGGATGGCTATAATGGTGGTTAGTTTGCCGCTCCGTGAGTGCACCCTTGTGATTCGGGAGCAGAGCAGTCCGCAGACTACAGGGTCGTATGGTTCTGATTTCCCTTTGTCTTCGCCTTTCCTTTTTTTTTTTTTTTTTCTCTTTTTTGTGACTCAGTCTCGGAGTTGATGACAGATTATTTCTTGTTTTTTCTTCTTTGCAGCCGATTTTCGGCTGCTGGGATACCCCCTCCAGGTGGTGTAGACCATCCTGTGATTTATTCTTGTTTACTTTTATGAAGAGATGTTCACTTGCGTATTGTGTTTGAATGGGATGGTGTATGATATCACGTAGGGTAGTACCCCCTTGAGGCATGATGCGATCATGATATGTGGCCGGAATGATGCTGCAAGGCCGTCTCGTGCGTGCGGCCTTGTCAGCTGGCTCTCTGTCGTGTCATCGCCGACAGATGTAAGCTGATAGTGTAATTCATGTCTACGTCGATAAAACTAGAAAGTCGGCCACTTCACCCTCCTCTCAGATTTCAGAATCTTCTGCCTCTATCCTGCACCATTCGAACCCTCCCTGGTTGATTTCCAACTACAAGATGACCGACCCATACTTCGCTCCGCAGCAGCAGCCGCCGCCCGTATACAATAACTACTACGAGCCAGCTTACGACCAGCAACACCATCCGCCCCTCCCTCCCACGCCCTCGTCCCCGTTCTACCCCAGCTACGTCCACCCCTCGCCATACAACGATGTAAGCCAGATCCCGCGCTCCCATGCGAGAGAGATCTCCCCTATGAATCAAGAGTACTCTCAACCCGTACCTCCGCCTCAAACGGAGAACCACTACGACCCCGACCGTCTCGGCGCGCAATACATTCCTCCTCGCCAGGGAAGTAGCGCGGAGTATTAGTGCGTCTTTTCGCCCCTTGTCTTGCCTCGCGGTGTTGTTCAATTTGCATATCGCTTTTTTCACTGTTAAGAGCTTTGGGTTTTCTTGGGGAAGCTCCGCGACTGACAGAAATTCTGCTACGTGATTTAGCGATCAATCCCGGTCCTTTCCGATGGGGAATGAGGATTCCGTGACTGGACATGATGTTCGAGAGGGCGCATCCTACCCCTCCGCAGAGGCAGAGGCAGACCACGATGCGGCTGCAGGCGCACCCGGCACTGAGCGCGGGCTGGCCGGGGCGCTGCTCGGTGGCACGACGGGGTATTATCTGGGTCATAAGCGGAGTCATGGGTTTCTTGGGGCGGTGGGCGGGGCGTTATTGGGGAGTTTTATGGAAGATCGATTGAAGAAGGACTCTGGTGGTGGTGGTGGTGGTGGGGGCAGTGAGCCTGGTGGGACGGGGGGGAGTAGTGGTTATGGGGGCAGTGCTTATGGGGGCAGTGGGAGTGGAGGTGGATATGGGGGGAGTGGGGATGATGGTTCTCGGGGGAGTAGCCACAGTCATAGCCATAGCCATCATAGTCATGGGCATGGGCATGGACATCATCACCACCACCATCATCATCATCGGCACCATCGGCATAGGCATCATTCAAGTCGGTCGAGGAGGGGGGTTTCTGAGGATGAAGATGATGACTGAAATTATAAGGTGGGGGGTTGGGGGATCTCCCTCGGAAACAATTTCTAGATACTATTTTAGAGAGCGGGTGATTATCGGGTGGAGTGGAGGAGGGAGGTAGCAGTTTAGCGAGTGTTTCTTTGTTGGACGAGGGATTCTCGTGATGGATTGTTTTATGAAGAGATAGTTGACCCAAGGCAGTGAGTCAGCTCTTTGTTTCATCTGGAAATGCAGATAATGCGGTGCTGGGATGTCCTGCGGTGTAAGTGCTACCATCTGGGGCGCCGTACCTGTAACCCAGACTGTGTCAGTGTTAATGCGATAGCATACACTGTATAACTTAGATGGCAGCTTATGAATGACGACAACGGGGCGTGGGATATCATCATGGCTTGCCGGCGGTGCCTTGCAGGTTTTCAGCGCCACTTAGACCCTGGTGCTGCGGTGGCTTAAGATGAGGAGTTCAAGTATTTACAGGATTGACGTCGGTCAACCGGAAGGTTATAACTATGGCAATTAACCTCATCATCGGAGATGAGACCAAACTCAAATAGGGATAATGATCCATGGCATTATAGCATAGGCTGTTATGATCCTCTTTATCTTGGTGGAGCATCCCGCATTACCCATGGAAAATCCCCATGGGCTGATGGCCGTACAACTGGGATAGAGTTGAGCAATTTGAGCATGGATGATCCTTATCTTGGGGGAGATGAGCATCAGAGAGGAAATAGTCAGCTGCATGGATTGAGGACAATGATTTCACATCTCGATAATCGATTAAGTTAACTACAGTAATAATAGGCGTTTAGTCAGTGGATCGCCGGGGCAGACCCGTCAAGACCCAATCAGGACCCGGCGATAGGAATCCCCGGCGGCTCTCGTGACTCTATCTTCAATTCCCGATTCGGACAGTGTGACTCTTCAGCATTCCTCCTCTTGCTCTTCCTCCTCCTCTCACTCTCCCCCCCCCCCCCTCTTCTTCCTCTTCTACTTCCTCAATCCCTTCAATCATCCTCTCTTTCTTTCCCTTTTTCCCTCTTCCTCCTCTCTCTCTGCATTATACCTTAGACAATCCTCTTTGTCACTCCTTTTGTGCTCCACTTTTTGTTCGTTTGCTCCATAGATAGAACGAACTGCTTATCTACACCTCTTATCCTCACTAGTTATCAATCCCTCCTGTGACCACCCTTGAGACCGCTGCCCAACGACTAGCACCTTAGAATAAAGACCATCCTCTCCCCAGTCGATTCACATTAGACAAGACCATACAACCATATCCCCACCATGCCTCCTCCCTTGATACAATACATCCAACCGGCGCTGCCTCAGCACTGCGAACCAACCTCGCCTTTCCTCGCCGCCCTATCTTCCTACCTCCATGTCTGCGTGCCTACACCGTTAGCCCTCATCTCCTCCCTCCTGGGCACCCTCAGCATCATCTCCTGGCTATTCGCCCAGCTCCCGCAGATCTACAAGAACATCCAACTTCAGTCAACATCAGGGCTCTCGCTCTTCTTTCTGGTCGAGTGGTGTTTAGGCGACGCGTGCAATCTTCTGGGCGCCTTGCTCACCCGACAGGCCGGCTGGCAGGTGATCGTGGCCGGCTACTATGTCTTTGTGGATGTCACACTCGTCTTCCAGTACTTCTGGTACACAACCTACCGACAAGGCCAAGCCGGGTATGCTTCTTTCGAACACTCACACTACGATAACGGAACAGGAGGCATACTGGAGGGCGTCCCGTTCTCTGAGGACGACTCGATCTCTCATGCCCCTCGACCTCTCGCAGGGATCCCTGTCTCGGCCCCCAAGGACATGAAGGACCTCAAAGAACCTGCCGTCAGCACTTTCAACGGACAATCACCCTCCTACAGCAACGAGAAGTACAGCACCTCTCGCCGCTCCATCATCCGCACCAGCAGCAGCGGGCCCAGTTTGCCCATCGGCTCACCTCGCACCCTGCTGCTCGCATCCATGCTATGTGCCGTTCTCGCCAATGCTGCCCCCACTGACGCCGAAGCAGCAGCAACTGCAACAACATCCGGCCTCTCCCCTAATACTCTTGAAGTCCTGGGTCGGATCATCTCTTGGATGTCCACGGTTCTCTACCTCGGCTCGCGGCCACCACAACTCTACAAGAACTACTGCCGAAAAAGTACCTCCGGCCTCTCTCCCCTACTCTTCATGGCTGCCTTCTGCGGCAACTTCTTCTACTCCGCCTCCCTGCTCACCAACCCCAACGCCTGGTACGACTTTCCCGCCTACGGCGGCGGTGGCTGGGCGGATGCCGACGGTAACAGCCGCGCCGAATGGGTCAGTCGGGCCATCCCCTTCTTTCTGGGAGCATTCGGCGTCCTCGCCTTTGACGGCACTATGGGCGTGCAGTTCCTGATGTACGGCTCCCGCGACGACGAATCCATCATGGAGGTCGCGGACCCCAAGGACGGCCGCAGCCACTGGACCCGGGTCCGCGGCTGGATGAGGGGCTGGATCCCTTCTGTGTCTTCTACTTCTGCTACTGCCATCATCGCCACAACGCCTCGCCATCCGGAAAATCAGGCTCTCCTTCATCAACAAGACCAGGAGAGATACGGGGCTGTTTGATTCGCTTCTCTGTCTCACGTTACTCAAGCCTCGTATCACATAGGCTTTCCCGGTCGAGCCTTGGTCCCGGGACCTTTTATTCCTGCACATCAGCTGGACATGAACCATCACACGACTTTTATGCCTACCATCATCATCATCATCATCATCCTCCTCCCTCGCACATGTCACATTACACCACATACCCCTGCCATGCAGCTTCTCCTTTTATGGGATATCATGATATCATTTTTCTCGGGGTTTGTTTGTTTTTCCTTTTTCTTTTGGGTCTGGGTTCATCATATTCGAGTCTTGTCAGCATCCAGGCACGATTCTCATCAGCGTACTACATACCAAACCATCATCTCATCCGGCGTTATCTTGGTTTCTTTGTCTCGCGTGGTTTCAGGGAAGGGATCTTACCAACATGAAGGGGGCGCATGGCATCGTTTCTGGGCTGTAAGGGGCTGGGACCCAAAGCCCACTTTTCAAAGAACTTCCCAGTTCTTTTCTGCATAGAGATCTGCGCTCACCCGAGATCTCCGGCTCGTTCTCGTTGTGATTGCTTGGCGAGGTTTCTAGATTCTTTGCTTGCTTGCTCGATATTAGCCGCGTTCTGGCACATCCATTATACATACACTACACGATCAGACAGAAAGGTAAACAGATATTGCACCGGTCATAGATAGAATCTGCCAGTGATACAAGCATACAATCCACAACACTCCCACGCGTAAAGGAGTCAAGAATATACCTAGGCTAGATCTGCTAGAATCAATACCTCCTCATTCGACCTGATAGCAAGAATCGACTAGTCTATATCTCTAAGACTGAGGGAACCGATTATCTCATCCATACAAGAAAACTAATCAATCTTTGCAATTATAAGCTTCATACTATTAAAGTCTGCTTCATCCCCTCCTCTCGGGCATAGAATAAGAAAAGAAAAAAAAGAAAAGAGGAAAGACCTCCAGCGGCATTCCAGGGCACCCCCGGTCTGCACCTCAACCCCACATTCCCTTGGCTCATCTCATCAATGTCATTAGTGTTAGTTTTCAAATCAAAGGTACATTGCAAGGCAATTGCCTCAAAGGTAGCTCCTTCTCCTTGTGCTTTTCGATAGTTTTTGAACAATGCAAGCAGAAGAAAAGAGGAAGAGGACGGAAACGACAAAAGTGTTTGTGCAGAAGAGGCGTCAAAATCATGTACACAGTCGAACGTCTGTGCAGTGAATGGAAGGCGAGCTGAAGAGGAAACAGGTGAAATGAAAAATGACAACGTATAGATGGAGCGAATTCAGGGGCATAGGGTCATCTCACGAGGCCTCTTGTTTTTTTTTTGTTTTGCTGTGCATAAGAAAGGGGCAGATAAAGACACCAAGTGCAATATTCGGGAGGTTAGGTTTGGCTAATGATACACAACTCGTGTTGTAAGTAAGAGACCGCATCACATCGACCAGCGACATGAGGCATTTATCAATCGGCAGCAAGCAATCAGCCGAGTTCGGGGAAGTGTACCTGAAGAATCTGTACCAGTATATGCAACAACGTTCAATTTCACATTGAATGGCAGATTCGGCTTCCAAACAGCTCCGCAAGCCCTAAAATAGACATGACAACGCCCCCCGCACAGGGTAGTGAACGTTTATCTAAAAGAGGGGCGATTTGACATCTTGTACACCCCGTCTGATAACATCCTCAATGGGCCACCTGGGCGGCACAACCTTGGGAGTCCGCTTGCGATGCCAGGCCTTCTCCATCTCCGGAGGGGGTGTCAGTTCCTCATTTGCCGGCAGAGCACCGCCCGCAATGCCCGTGGAGAATTTGAGCTGCAGAACATTGCCAATTTCATCACAGGCGGTCAGGACACGGTCGAGATCTTCCTTGGTGTGGGCGGCCGACACACAGAAACGGGCACGAGACGAGACCAATGGGGTCGCAGGATAACCCACCACAACCACGGAGATCTTTCGCTTCAGCATCTCGTGAGAGAACGCGGGCATCTTGGCAGGATTGAAGAGGAGAACAGGGATAATCGGCGAGTCGTCGTGACCATACACTATAAAGCCAAGACGCTTCAAGCCCAGGCGCAGATACCGGGAGTTGAAGGCCAAGCGCTGTAGTCGCTCTTCACCCTGGCCTGGAACAAGCTCGCCCTGGATCAGTCGTAGCGCCGACATAATTTGAGCCAAGACTGCTGGAGCAGGTGCCTCTCCATAGAACACGCCAGAATTCGTGGCTCGGAGCTTGTCAATCATTGTCTTATCCGCAGCAATGTAACCGCCATTGGCACCAAACGACTTGGTGAGCGTACCCATAAGGACATCTACCTCGTTGGTGTCAATACCGAAATAATCACAAACGCCACGGCCCCTAGGCCCAACTGCACCGATCGAGTGCGCTTCATCAATGAAGAGGTTGTACTTGTAGCGTCTCTTCAATTCAACCAAGCCAGGAAGGTTGCACATTGAGCCCTCCATGGAGTAAAGTCCCTCCACCACAACAAGGATCTTCTTCCATGGGCGGTGAGTCCGCGGCTGCCCTTGGCTGATAGCCTCACGCAGTTTCGCCTCGAGATCCCGCATGTCATTGTGCTTGAACATAGCAATGGAAGCACCGGAGAGACGAGCACCAAATCGGATGGACGCATGGTTCAGCTCATCTGAGATAAGTAGACAGCCTTTGTTGACGAGAGCTGGGAAGATATTCGCATTGGTTCCGAATCCCATTGAAAAGACCATGGAAGCTTCTTTACCAACAAATTTGGCGACCAGCTCTTCGACCTCGACATGCAGATCTTGCGTTCCAGTCTCAGCACGAGTGCTTGGTGAAGTAATTCCATATTTTCGGAGTGTCGCCTCGGCGATATCGGCACAGGGACCTTCGGACTGGGCAAAACCAAGGTAGTTGTACGAGCTCAGGTTCAGGGTATCGGTTGTTGTTCCCGTCAGATAGAAGTGTCTGTTGTGGTCGTCCGTGGCACGATCGATCAGTGTAATGTATCGACCAGGCACTCCGGTCACGGGGCGTTCGAAACAATCATTGATACGTAGCTTGAGGCGGCGTACGTAGAAGTTGTCGAAATCGCTGTTGAGAGCGCCATAGCCATTCCGGGGCTTCAGATGACGGTAATTCTCTTCGCGGAACCGCTTTCCGAAGAAATCCCGCACATGCCCGAACGCAATGAGGATAAGATAACTGATATACGTGGTGAGAAGATAATAATAGGGCGGCTCATCCATTATAGGCTCCGGAAAGGGACCGCCAGGATGTCGGCTGGAATAGCGGTGGCTGTGATGACCGATCGGTCCGAATTGAGCATGCTGCTTGGCCAGCCGACGAGCCTCTTCAGGCGAAGGGGGCTGGAATAACGTGGTCGGAGGTTCGTCCATGTTGGAATTGCCCGCAGTTGCCGTCGAAAGAGAAATTGTAGGCAGCGACAAAGAAGCTGAACTGATCGGTGGAGCGACCGTACTAGACTGGACGGTGCCCTGCGCAGTCTGCGATTCAGCCTTGGACTTTGGCGAGGTAGAGAATAGTTGGCTTAGGCGACTAGGTTTCGAGATGGGCGCCTTGATGGCAATGCCGCCCTTGGCAGAGACAGGAGAGGAGAAGGGAGCGTTGGAAGGATCGTTGGCAAGAGAAGGACCGGCAGCTCGACGAGGCATCGCAAGGAAGCAGCCGGACAGAAACACGGAGGATCGTGCGGTACTGAAGGGAGGAACAGCGCAGACGGCTGACGACGGCAAGAACCAGCTGGTCGGCAGCACTCGCAATTTCTGGCTGTAAAGAAACGATATCCTCTTTCGGACCTCTTCGTTGTCTTCAATTGGTGCGAAGGGCAATCAGCGATCGTGAATTGTCCACCTAGAAGACGGTTGGGAAAATGGTCAGTGACTCGGGCAATTGACGGTGTCGCAGGGTGGCAAGAGAAGCGAAAAGCGCACGGCGCGTACAGATATAACGGGTCACAGAAGGGCCTTGGTAAAAGGAGCAGCAAGCATCAAGAAAGGAGGGTGATGTAGAAGATAATTCCACATTTAGGAGATGGGGGGGGGGGGAACAGCGGAAGATGAGATGACCAGTCAGGTACCTTTTGCACGTGGAGCAGCAACAGTAGCAGAAGGCACGGAGCCCTGCAATGAACAAGTATAGTTGGAATCCTTGAGACCAGGAGAAGTCCCACGAAAACCAAACCACACAAGAGGGAGCGAGTGCCGATGACTGTGAGGAAGAAGAGAGTTGTAGTGGTGGTGAAGGAGAGGAGAAGGTGGGAAACGGGCCTAAAGACTGAGAGGGACTCTCGTTCCTGAAAAGGTCGAGAACAACTACTGACTACTGACTACTGACTACTGACTACCAACGACATGGACTGATTTGTGCAGCGCAAAACCCACGGTCAACATCCAACCGTGATTAATGAAGAACTAATGAGAATAAACATCAGCACGCCCCGATGGGTCCCTTTTTCCACTCTGGATTGGGGTCGTTGAGCATCCTTTTTTTAATTTTTTTAATTTTTTTTAGATTTTTTAGATTTTTTTTCTGCATCTTATTTTCTTTTCGGTCCTTTTTCTGCTGGAGAATTACGCAGTAGTAAGCGGATATTACGGAACGGTAATTTGGACCCTCTTTCCGCTGATCGTTTGGTTCTGAGCTTGTAATTTCTCGGCTGGGACCTAAAGAAACTAAAGAAAGGGGCAACGCAAGGTAGAGAAACTGCCACCACTGGGTGTAGTTGGTGTGTAGTTACACTGTACGGAGTACAGTAGACTCTGCATATGTATGCGCAAAATGATTTTCACCGCTAGTTACTCTAAAGTATCTGTATCTGTATCTCAAGCATGGAAAGAAGCATTCCTCAGCCTGGAACATGGAACATGAGGGGTTGGGATGAAACCCACCTCGAGACTCAACTGGTCGACTACATAGTATGTACAGTTGAGTAGACTATTCCTGCTCAAAGCCACCCTGCAGCAATCTACTCCGTACAGCGTGCATCCCTCCCTCACATCTCGACTCTACTTACCCATGTGGATGAGTTGACCCTGTATTGTTCACTTAAGTTCTGCTGCTTCCCCGCTGTCATCCGCTTTGTTCCGCCCCCGTTCCGCCCCGGAATGCCCCGTCGAGTGGCTCCAGTCCATCTATATAAATATAGCTGGTCCTTATAGTACAGTGTACCTGGGAAGAGTTACTAAAGTTGGGTGACACTGTAGCAACCAGATATTCACTGGCACGGCAAGCACGGCGGATATCTCCGGTTCCTTGGGACCATATTTTCTCAAATAGTTTGGATTCTCTTTCCAAACAGAAAGAACACATCTGTCATCAGGAAAAAGCAGGCCGCACTTTCTGTGAGACCTCATGGCAATCAACGAAGAAAGATCCAGGGAGCTGTGGCGACACTCCTCTCCTCAGACTACCCAGATCTATGATTTTATCACAACCCTGAACAAGAAGCATGCTCTGTCGCTGAAATCATACAACAGTCTTTGGGAATGGAGCATAGCAGAGCCCGCCAAGTTCTGGGAGGAGGTCTGGAACTACACGGCAATCGTGGCGCATCAGCCTTACAAACAGGTGAGTAAATCAATGGCAATGCTCATGATTCCCTCGTGTCACTCTGCGAAAGCCATCTTGGCAACTCCAGGCGAGACTGACCAAGTCACAGGCTATGAGCTCCGAGAAGCTTCTCTTTCCAAGGCCGAACTTTTTTGAGGGTGGTAAACTGAACTTCGCCGAAAATCTTCTGTACCCTTCCACGTCTCCTGACGAGGATGCGGTGGCAATCATTGCCGCCACAGAATCTGATCGTGAATATGTGTCATGGAAAGAGCTGCGAGACCGGGTCAGAAGGTGTGCCAGTTCATTGAAAGAAGCAGGCTTGCAGGTAGGAGACCGCGTCGCTGGGTTTCTGGGGAATCATACCAACGCCGTCGTCGCGATGCTCGCTGCCGCATCGATTGGTGCCTTCTGGACGGGCGTCTCTCCAGACACCGGAGTACATGCGGTCTTGGAACGCTTGAAGCAGATCGAACCCAAGATCATGTTCGCCGACAATGCAGCGTTGTACAATGGCAAAGTGCATGGTGCAGACGCCAAACTGCGTCAAATTGTGCCCGGTTTGCCCAATCTCGAACTGTTGGTTGTGTTCCAGACTGTCACCTCTTACGACTTCGAGCTCAAGGAAATCGCACCGCTGCAAGGCAAGGCTGTTTCTTACAGCTCGTTTCTTGCGCATGCCACAAATGATACAGCTCCTCTGGAGTTTGCAAGTCTGGAGCCGGCGCACCCCGTTTACATCTTATACTCCTCCGGCACAACCGGAGCGCCGAAGCCTATTGTACATGGTGCTCTGGGAACGCTTCTCCAGCATAAGAAAGAGCATGTCTTTCACTGCGACCTACGGCCGGGAGACCGATTGTTCTATTTCACAACTACGACCTGGATGATGTGGCACTGGCTGGTTTCCGGCTTGGCCAGCGGAGCCACCATCGTCCTCTATGATGGCTCGCCATTCCGACCATTCGATATCGAAGGCGGGAGCGGAGAGATGGCCATGCCACGCCTGATAGACGAACTGCAAATCACGCACTTTGGCACGTCTGCCAAATATCTTTCCATTCTGGAGCAGGCATCTCTAAATCCGACAAAGCACCCCCATCGGCCAGTGAGCCTGAAATCTCTGAAGGCCATTTACAGCACGGGGTCGCCTCTCGCTCCATCTACCTTTGAATATGTCTACTCATCTATCAAAGCAGACATTATGCTGGGCTCAATCACCGGAGGAACAGATATCCTGTCCCTTTTCTGTGGCAGCTGCCCCATTCTTCCTGTTTACAAGGGAGAAATTCAGTGCCGCTGCTTAGGTATGGCCGTCACAGTTTACGACTACGCCGGGCACGACATCAGCGCCTCTGGCGAACCAGGCGACCTTGTATGCACCAGACCGTTCCCCGCTCAGCCTGTGATGTTCTGGCCTCCTGGTCCTGTGGGGGCGGAAAAATATCGCAAGAGCTATTTTGATATGTTCGGTCCATCGATCTGGCATCATGGCGACTTCGTGCGCCTTAACCCACAAACTGGCGGAGTAGTCATGTTAGGTCGCAGTGACGGCGTTCTGAAACCCGCAGGCGTCCGTTTCGGAAGTGCAGAGATTTACAACATCCTGCTTAAACATTTTGCGGACGAGGTGGAAGACTCTCTATGCATTGGAAGGAGACGTGCAGGTATCGATCCCGACGAAACTGTCGTTCTTTTTGTCAAGCTGCCGCCGAATGAGAAGGCTTCGGAAGTTATCCCGTCCGATCTTGCGGCTCGCATTCAGGCGACAATTCGCAAGGAGCTCAGCCCTCGTCATGTACCAGGGATTGTGGCTGTATGTCCTGAGATCCCCGTGACGGCCAACGGGAAGAAAGTGGAAAATGCGGTAAAACAGATCCTATGTGGATTGAATATCAAAATCGGGGCGAGTGTTGCCAATGCCTCTTGTTTAGAATGGTACCGCAACTGGGCCACGGCGCACTCTTAATTGTGGTTATGTTGACAAGATCTTGTCAGCGCTACCATGTTCTTCAGCAGTAGACTAATCACAAGGGCAGTTAATGAGTCTTCATCATCAAATTGAGTATTGTCCTCTATGTTGTGAGGTGTCCAGTATGAAGCAACTACTCGTCTTGGCAAGGCATATTCCCTGGCCTGATCTAGATCAGCATCGTTAATAACACGATCACGTAGGGGGGCGGTTATTTGCCACACATCCGGCGAGATGTCGATGCTGAGGAAGCAGATCCTTCTCACCACGGGCAAGATTTGATCATGCCACCTCGATAAAGTACCCAAACCCGACTGATTATTTTTCTTTTGTCAGATAAATTGCTACATCCACATCTTCATCCACTACTCCGTCAATCCCAGGACAAGTGCTACTCGCTTAGCTAAGCAACTCCGGCCCGGAGCCCAAATCCTTGCGACGGCGGCCGTGACGGAAGCATCTCCGGAAATACCAGGCTTCACTAAACTCAGGCCGCCAGCAAAATTGACCTGTAAACACTTATTGGGACATTGCGTCAAGATATCCTTTAACATGCGTCGCTCTGTGCTGCGGGCTGTCGAGTCCACAAAGCCGCTCGCTCGCGTGCCTCGCGCAGCTGCGTCGAGAAGCTTTTCTACTGCCAAAGACCAATCCAAGGTAAGTCAAGCGCACTTGGATTCAGGTCTCTGGAATTCATGCAACTCGCAGACTGACCGAAATTCCGTTCTCCAATCACAGGATCCTGCGGAATTAGATCAAATTACTACCTTACCAAATGGAATCCGTGTCGCTACTGAATCCCTGCCGGGCCCCTTCGCCGGAGTTGGTGTCTATGTCGATGCTGGATCCCGTTATGAAGATGAGAGTCTGCGCGGAGTGAGCCACATCATGGATCGCCTGGCGTTCAAGTCCACCAAGTCACACTCCGCCGATGAGATGCTGGAAACCCTCGAGAATCTTGGCGGAAACATCCAATGTGCCTCTTCTCGCGAGTCGCTCATGTACCAGTCGGCTAGTTTCAACTCTGCAGTCCCCTCGACGCTTGGGCTGTTAGCGGAGACAATCCGTGACCCTCTCATCACGGAGGAGGAAGTGGTCCAGCAGCTGGCCACAGCAGAGTATGAGATTGGCGAGATCTGGTCCAAGCCCGATCTCATCCTACCGGAGCTGGTGCACACAGCAGCCTACTCGAACAACACTTTGGGCAATCCCTTGCTTTGCCCGGCGGAGAGACTGGGTGAAATCAACAAGTCTGTCGTAGACAAGTACCGGCAGACGTTCTTCAACCCGGAGCGGATAGTCGTTGCCTTCGCTGGCGTGGAGCATGACAAGGCGGTTAAGCTCACGGAGCAGTACTTTGGTGATATGAAGTCTCACAAGGCAGCTCTCTCGGGAACCGGTGTTGAGTCTACCTTGTCTCAGTCTGAATCGACTCTGGAGGAGGGACAGGTGCCCACAATTCCTCAATTCACGCCGTCTTCGACTGTTTCTACCACGCCTCCTAATTCCAAGTCGGGCCTTCTTTCCAAACTTCCGTTTTTGAAGAATCTCAATCTTTCCGGCTCGCAAAGCAACGTTGCATCGCCGCTTGACCCGTCCCTTGTGCAGTCATCTACATTAGACCTGACTCGACCTTCTCATTACACTGGCGGCTTCCTCTCTCTACCACCAATTCCTCCGCCAGCCAACCCCATGTTGCCGCGACTGAGCTACATTCACCTCGCTTTCGAGGCCCTTCCTATCTCCAACCCCGACATCTACGCGCTTGCTACCCTCCAGACCTTGCTTGGAGGCGGTGGCTCCTTCTCGGCCGGTGGTCCCGGAAAGGGAATGTATTCCCGTCTCTACACCAATGTGTTGAACCAGTACGGATGGGTGGAGAGCTGCGTTGCTTTCAACCACAGCTACACAGACAGTGGCATTTTCGGGATCTCCGCATCCTGCAGCCCCACGCGCACCTCCGAGATGTTGGAGGTCATGTGCCGTGAGTTGCAGTCCCTGACTCTCGATAACGGCTATTCCGCCCTCCAGCCCCAAGAGGTTGAGCGCGCGAAGAACCAGCTCCGCTCCTCCCTCCTCATGAACCTGGAGTCGCGAATGGTGGAGTTGGAGGATCTCGGACGCCAGGTCCAGGTTCATGGCCGGAAGGTGAGCGTCATGGAGATGTGCCGGCGCATTGAAAACCTCACGGTGAAGGACCTCCGTCGTGTTGCCAGACAAGTCTTTGGTGGCAATGTCCAAAACCCGGGTAAGGGCACCGGAAAGCCCACCGTCGTCTTGCAGGAAGGCGAGCTTGAGGGCCACAAGCTGCGTCCATTCCCCTGGGGAGAGATTCAAGACCGGATAGCCCGGTGGCAGTTGGGTAGACGGTAATCCGAACAAGTGTGGTGATTGAAGTTCGATCAGCGAACCCCAAGGAAGTACGGAGGATGGTGGGAAGTGAGTCAAAATAGAGCAGGCTTTCACAAATTCTTCACTCTATGTAATTAAATATAGCTCTCAAATGACAATGTAGTATAGACGGATGATAGATCCTATAGCTCGAAAATCGAAACTTTGAATCAGGTCGGATGAATAATGCATGGAAGGCGCGCTCAGCTCCTTACCGCTTTGAGTTTGTTTCCGCCCGGGAAAAAAGTTGGAACGGATGTTGGAAGCCGTCGGCCGCCTTCAATCTCCGTTCTGCTCCTCCATCCAACTTCACCTATTCACTTTACCGTCTTTAGACCTCCGCGCCCCCAGCTTTTATTACGATCCATTTACCGTCCTACTTCCTTCAAACGTCAAAATGGTCAAGCTCACCGAAGTCGAGGACGAGCACTTCGCCCAGGAGAAGCCTCAGCCCAGCAAGCACAACGTCCTTCTTGCCTCGGATGACGAAGGCGAGGACGATGACTACACTGACACCGGTATGTCGGCTTTGTCTTCTCTTTGAGTGAACCAGAATCATATTTCATATGGTCTCGGTCACGAATCCAATTTCTCATCTTGCGAACAATCCCTCGACAATCAATCATTCGTCCATAATCCAGTTATACATCCTTTGCGCGACCATTCAAGCGCGAACATGCACCTACCCCAGCCTCTACTCTCCATCCCCCAAATCCTTGATATACCCATAAAAAACGAATGAAAATCCCAAAAATCTCAGTTTAAGCATTTTCACCCAAGGATCAAAACAATAACTAACTCCTTTCCCTCCTACAACAGAGTCCGAGATTTCCACCGATTCCTACGAAGAGCTCGAGACTGAGACCCTCTACGACCGCATCTACGCCCTGAAGGATATGGTGCCCCCCTCCGCCCGCCGCTCCCTTACCTCCACCGTCAACACCGTCACCTCCTTCACAAAGTCCAGCGTGCAGTTCAGCGGCAAGGCGCTGTGGATCATCAGCACCAGCGCGTTCTTGTTGGGCGTTCCCTGGGCTCTGGCCTACGCTGAGGAGGAGCAGTACATCCAGATGGAGCGCGAGCAGGGCATGATCAAGGGTGCGAATGAGGTAGGTTTGCTCAATCTCATTATGTTCTGAGCTTATATTGCATTTTTCCCCTTACGTCTTGTTGGGTCGCGGGTAGAAATGGGGATGATCGGTAGAGAAATATCCAGTCTTCACGATGCGTTCGTACCGTACAAGATGGTTGGTTGGGATGCTCGGTGTCTTATGTGCTACCTGTTGGGGTTGGATACTGCGATGACTTATTGAGCGTTGATGCTGACGTCTTGTGTGCTCGATAGATGCTCACCCCTGGCGCTGCTCCCGCCGAGCAGCAGGCTCAGCCTACTTTGTAAATCTGAAAAAACAAAGAAATCTCCCGTCGCCGAAGGCGCCAAAGACGAGAGATCGCAGAAAGATTGAGGAAAGAAGATCAAAGATTCGTCTTTCTCCTGGGGGACGATTCGCATTTCTTCCAGTCGTCCCCTTCAATCCTTTCGTTCAGTCCATGAAGAAATGGGCAACTGAACGGCAGGAATGCCTGGAGCAGACTCGACCTCTCGACGGAATAAAATATATACTGTACAGAACGGCTGGGGGTTCTTCTTCAAGATGGGAATTTGAATCCAGGATCCGTGACGCGGCACTTGGCCCTGCGTGCTGCTCTGGATCTCTTTCCCTCTCCTCACGTCTTCTGCTTTCCCAGATCCTTGGCTCTTTTCTTTCCCACTATATTTGTTCATCCCTCCCTCCACCCCCAGCTTGGTCCTTGGGCGATGTGTGTTGTATTTGTAAAACCGGTTTTTCTTTTTCTTTTTGTTCGTTTCGTTGATGTCTACTCCTATCCTCTTTATTTTTGGGACTCATGTTTCTACAATTCATGAAATGTGAATGATTTCAAGACCTAGTGAAGATTCAACCACGTAGTGTAGTCTGGATTGTAGAACTAGCCCACCACAGGAACTGGCCGGCAGATGATAGGGACTACTAGCATAGATGATTCTGTTTTCGCAGGAAAGATAACAGCAAGCAGGGTATCATGAAGATGACGGAGAGAAAAGGCCCGTCACAGGCAACGCATACTTGGAATATGAACAGAAAGAAGGAAAGTAAGGGGAAGAAATGTCAAGTCTGTAGAGCCGAGATCTTACTGCGGTGGTATAGACCACTGGCTCCAAAACAGTGGGGGAAATGCACTGAGCGAGCGGTAACCTAGGATGCAAAAGTCCCTCGGAATCCCCAATGGCCGTCAAAACCCAAAGCAACAACAACGCACGCGCCGGCCATGGCGATGGGACCTATCCCAGGGACTGTGAAAATGGTCAGACAAAATATCCAGACTTCATCGAAATCGCAGGAAAGTGATATAGACATACACTCGATTCGCGGGCCGTTCTCAAATCAATGTGGAAGTCCCGCCAGAGTTTCTTGATCTCGCCGTCCTGCACCATCTTCTCCATGGCTTTGATGGCGTACTTGGTCTGCTTCTTCTGGCTCCAGTGGCTGCGTTCGACGATGCGGTCGTCGGTTAGATATTTCATGCGGACGAGGTGGTCGGTCACCCACTCGTTGAGGCGGAAGCGCCAGTGGGTCAGTGTGTGTGCGAGGTTTGCTTTGGTTTTGCAGTGTCTGTGGGGTTGGGTTTGTCAGTGAACTGGATTTAGAGGTTAGGTTAGGGCATAAAGGGGGAGGGTGAGTTGTTCAATATAACGTACCGTCCAAGTAGGAAGCGAGTGTTCTCGTCGGGCAGGACGTGGCCGTCACGGTCTCTGTCCCGGCCGTTCTTTTCTTCTTTTTCTTCATTCTCATCATCCTCACTGTCCTCGTCTTCGAGAGGCTCGAGTGTATCTACAGCGTACGGTTTGCCCCAGAGCTTGATGTCAAACGATGCTGGGTGACCGGATCGCTTGCATGCGTCGCACGGGTGGTTGTCTATAATTGGGTAGGAGGTCACCTCGAGATGCGGCCGTGCCAGCAGTGCGCGGCGGAAATCTGGCGTCCACACAGATGAAACCAGCTGTGACCCCGTGCGGCCCTTGACCTCATCCTCGAGTTTGCTGAAGGCGAGTTCGTAGACTGGGCTGGAGCGAGGGAACGCGGGGTTCAGCTGGTTGTGCACCATCCACTCGACTGCGTCTTGGAAGTAATCCTTCATCTGTTTGTAAGCGTGGCGGGTGAACTCGAACGGCATCTCTTCCAGGCCTGCGGGTGCACCCAGGAGATCGTCTTCGTCCTCTAGGACAAAGTCCTCCTCATAGCGATCCAAATCGTCATTGCCTGCAATGGACGATTCCACATCGCTGTCATCGTTTTTGCTGAGAGTTCTGTGTCTGATGGCTGCGGCGGTTTCACTTTCCGCTCCGCTTGCGTTTTCTTCGTCATCTTCGGCTTCGTCTCCGTTCTCTTCTGGTTCGGCCTGGGAGTCTTCCGCGTCCGACTCAAGCTTACCTGCTCTCCGACGGCGGAGCGCTTCTAAGTGTTGTTGTCGTTGGGCCCTAGCTGAGTTGGCGAGGCGACCTCTAGTTCTGCTTTCTTTGACCACTGTAGCAAAGTGCTGTTAGCAGGCTGAAGGCCTTATTCGGTTGTAGGATTTAGGAGGGCTTGGTACCTGAATCCTGTAGAGCCTGAAGGTCCTCCTCAATGTCTAGGTCATCCTGGTGTCTGGCACGGCTAGGTGTCCGAGGCACAGTTGGTAAATCATCCTCCTCATCTTCGTCGTCCTCCTCCACTGGCTGAGCAACCGTGCCCCGCCTTAGCTTTCGACGAGGTCTGCTGACGACATCATCGCCGTCACTTTCGTCTGAGACGACTTGTAGAGACGGCTCGCTATCAGAAGACTCCTCTGATCTCTTCCGCTTCTGCGACGTCAGGACCGATCGTTTGCGCGCGCTGCGGGTCATATCGATATCACTCTCACTATCCTGCTCCGGTGTGACTGCACGTTCTTGACTGGGTTCGGCTGGTTGCATCGATTCCACATCCGCCTCACGAAGCCCATCTTTTGAAGACTTCTTAGCCTTCACCGAAGCAGAGGTCGCATAATCCGGACCTTGCTTACGCGACGACTTCCGAACAGCTTTCCGCTCCACCGCGGACTCTACCCTATCATCTTCATCATCATCATCATCCTTCGATACTATCTCAGCTTTCACGACGGGAGGAGGCGAGGTCGCGCGCTCCTTGCCCTTCTTGCGCGAGGATTTGCGCGCGGGTTGTTTCACTGACTCGGGCGCGGTCTGCGTATTCGTGAATGGTTTCCCGGTCTTCTTGACAAACGGCGTGAGCGAGGCGGTCTCTGTCCGTGGGCGACTGGTATGGATGACGGGCCGGGATGGATGCGAATACCGAAGTGTGGCCCGGCGATCGCGCTCTCCGTCCGAGGTGGACTCGTTCTTAGTCGGCGAGGAGCCTATCGGGGCGAAAGAGAGTCGCGTCTGCTTCTTCTTGCCATATATGCGGGGCATCGGGGGATATCTGTCATGCACGAGTCGATAGTGATCATGTAGTAAGCGGTAGGTGGTTGATGTGGGCGGTGATTGGGACGGGGGACTTTTGGGCTTGGCGGGTTGAAACCGCGGCGGGACCGCGTCGGGGGGCCACGAAAGCACGTGATGGGGTCGCAATATTGCCTACTCCGTAATGCATTGAAGTGTAAGGTACTTGTATGTACGAGGAAGATGAGGAGGAATCTGGCCATGGCTACCGGTCGTGGCTTCTTCCTTAGTATCACCAAATACTCTCCGTAGGCCTGCGTCGCGACTTTCAATAATGCCACGCTCATCATGTCTTCCAGTTCCTCCTCTGTGCTTAATCTCTTTAGAGCATTACTCGCCGCATCTTAGACAGCAGACTTCGCATTATAGGATCCGATTCACGCGGTCAGATTCTTCTATTCCTCCATGCATTGCCAACAGCGATACTATGCATTCCTTCATGCACTTCTAGGTGTGATATCTAATACTACCCATGATTCTCCCCCGCTAGTTCCGCATCAGTCTATCGTGGCCAATAGACCTTTGAGCGGATGCAGGAACGCAAACGCAGGCATATCGAGTTACGTCACAGTATCCGAGTCCAATCAAGCAGAGGAACTGGGTTGTACGATCTTATTGGGCTACCCTGTGCATTTCGCAACTGCCGTGCTTCGCAAAGATGCGAAGGACAGTGTCCCGTTGAATAACGGGGTTGAACCAGGCCTGAAACTCACGCTGTCAATGACGAACATCGAGAGAGGGGCTCTAGACTTGCAGAGATGTGAAGCTTTTCTAGAAGAGCTGATATTCGGGGAACTCGATAACCCCTTGTCAGCCTCAACACCACCAGATCGCTCGCTGTCTTCCTTGCCCGTTGGTGAGCATAGAAAACGAAGCAACTTCACGGACGAAGCCTCCGGACCAAGGCAAGCGCAAGATGAGCTCCCGGCATACACAGCTGCCAAAACACCCACAAAGAGCGATCCAAAGTCCCTCGGATACCATGGGATTCTGGAATACCTGCTCGGGAAGGAGAAAGGAACAAAGATCTCCCAAAGGGCCGTCGATGAATCGGATGTTGTTGCTATGATTCGCATTGGCGATACAGATCCGACCATTTACCGAAAGTCTTCAAAATCTAGCCCGGACTGTGCGGACTTGTGTGACAGTCATGGTTGGAGAGATACCTTTGAAAAAAAGGTCTTCCTGGATTCGGTCAAAGGACAGTGCGTCAGACGTCGTTCGGAAACAGACATTGATCGTGTGGAGAGGCGCCATCACTCGAGAAAGACACGTGAACTCGATGTGTTCTACAAGATCTGTGCAGTCTTTGGGGCATCAGTCATTGTGGCGACCCTCCTTTATGTCTTGCGGGAGATCTACCGACGGCTTCGCGTGCGATACTCGCTGCTTCAAGGCATGAGACATCGCGATAAATCCACACGCGGCATTGCCATGAAGGCAGGCCAACTAGTTCCGAGTGATGATATGAGAGACCCGGTACCCGAGGCTTCGCTGAAAAGACCAAGTCAAACATTGGATGTGGTTAGTGACGGCTTCACCACGCCGTCCATGATCAGTTCAGCCACCCAGCAGCGATATAGACGGCTCACCCCCGCGCAACGAAACACTCACAGGAACATTCAAGAGGTCTTTACTCTCGATTCGTCTCAAGTACGTATAGGTGATTGGAAGGCCGAGGAGAGGATCCCTGTGCTCCCGCCAGCCCCGAACGCAAGCGTACGAAGGCACACCGGTATCTGGCAGGCTCAGAAGAGACAACGGTGTGCCGAAAACAAGGAGCTAGAGGGTATCGGGCACGACAAATCATCTCAATCCTGAACCAGCGCCACTCTGCATGCTCCTAGGCAAGAATTGGAAGAGTCATCTAGATTCTTTTTCTAGGAAATGTCTGGGCTGCTCCTGTAATCGTGGTAGGAAAGAGCTTGGAACTTGTTTCTGCAATGGGACTAGCGAGATGGGCGAGGGGCATGACCTCGGTTAATAACAGATATATGGACAGACCGGCCTCGACTGTATGTATCAGGAATAGGAATGGTCTTGTGGCTGTCAGAGTGGCCCCATTCTGGCCCAGTAAACTAGTAGCCTTGTAGATCCGGATCTCGAGGAGCGACAGAGAACATGCTGGAAATCTGGCGGATCGCAATATGCGTAAACCTCGTGGCATTCATACGAACCTGACTGTAGGGACGAGAGAAGGGGGGATCTCATTCGAGGTAAATCTGGGATGGGGGAGGGGAAGAGGACAGGAAGGGTGTGTCTCGTGACCGAGGCTGGCGATGTCTTGGTTGTTTGCAATCTTCAGCTTCCTTCTGCTTCTACCTCTCACCTCTACACCACCTCCTCTCCTCTTCGCCATCCAATTGCCTTCTCATCTGATCGTTTGCTCCAATCCTTTTCTCCCTCCATGTGAAATGCGACATGTCTTGATTTAATCTATTTTTCATCTTCCATTGGTGGATCCGAGTAAGCCCCCGTTTGGCGTTCTTAGCGCGGCTGATTCGTGGGAAATGCGATGACTTGGGCCGTGTGTGGTCGAGAATTTCCTCCTATCTCGACCCCGGATTTCTCCACGATACGACTGCCCCGACAATGGGTCCCGTCTGGGGAATTGCTCCATCCACGATCCACCCCTTCACTTGTTGGGCTCACCCCGGAATCCCCACTCACCCCGACTCAAATCCTGGAGACGACTGTCGGGGAAGCCCTGTTATGACCGGTTCGTGCGCTCAAATGCACGGGGGAGCTCTGTACCCCCCGCCTTTTGCTCGAATTTTGCCTCCTCCCAGGATTGAGTCCAGTTTAGCGTTCACCCTAAGCTGCATGGGATGCTGCTAGAGCGTAGGATGGCTTGATATAGCTTGCCACCTGGCTGCTGGCACGCAGCATGGTAGCTTATCTGCTTATGGTTACCCTGATTCGAACTCGGGCAGCTCGCATATATATATCCACAGCCCGCATCGTCTGCTGCATCTTCTCTTTTCTTTCCTGTCTGTGTTTCGCCTTCTCACCATCAGTCCTTTCTAGCCCCGGTTGGCTCAAGAGGTGGCCCTTTAGGACGACCACTTGGTGACTCTCACCTCTTCGGTTTTATATTATCCTCATCCGATTAGACCTCATCCACAATTTCAAGATGGTCGAGAAATTAATGTCAAAGCGAGCCTACAACTGGTGAGTCTTTCCCTCACACAGGTCTCTCCGAACAGCCCGCTAAATATTTGACTCTCCAGGTTCATTTCCTTGGTTGCAGCAGCATGTATGGTGCTTTATGGTTATGACGCCTCTGTCTACAATTCTGTGCAGGGCTCGGACAAATGGACAGCCTACTTCCACGACCCTGATGATAATATGATCGGAGCCGTCAACACGGCATACACAGTTGGTGCGATTTTCGGTGGTTTCTTCCTTGGTGGTCCCGTTGCCGATTATCTTGGTCGCAAGATCGGAATGGCTACCGGATGTGTTTTGGTTATTGCTGCCACATTCATGCAGTGTTGGTCGCCGCGGGGCAGCATTGCTTGCTTCCTTGCTGGACGGTGCATCATCGGTATTGGCCAGGGTATCGCCTTGAGTAAGTGCATCGAGGTATAGCCACTCAAAGATATTCCCTGACGATTCTTAGCTGCGGGTCCGATTTACATCGGTGAACTTGCACCGCCAGAAATCCGAGGAAAGATCATGACTTTCTGGCAGATGTTCTACTCCGTTGGGTCGTTCATCTGTTTCTGGATCAACTATGGCTGCACGAAGCACACAGAAAGCCTGGGAGAATGGGACTGGAAGCTTGTTGTTATCTTCCAGCTCCTTGTCCCAGTCATCATTCTTGCCATTCTTCCAACGATTCCTGGTTCGCCTCGCTGGTATGTCTATAGCCGTTCAGAAGTTAAACGGTTCCTTGCTGACCCGCTGTAGGTACGTTCAGCGCAAAGACGATATCGAGAAGGCACGCTCGGCTCTTCGCAGAGTCCGTGAGACCGAGGAGGAGGTCGAAGAAGAGCTGCTGAAAATCCGCGAAGCCATCGAGTACGAAAAGGAGGCCATCTCCAGCAACTACAGCGCGCTCTGGAAGGACAAGTCCCTCCGCAAGCGTATGGGGCTGGCCTTGGTCATCAACGCTGGTCAGCAGATTACCGGACAGGGCACCCTCAACACCTACTCGACCAAGATTTACCAGAAGGTTTTCAAGAGCGCCGGCCAGATCGCGCTCATCAACGCCCTCAATGCCACCTTCGGTATCATCTTCACATTGAACGCAGTCTGGGTGATTGACCGGTTCGGACGCAAGTTCCTCCTGATCCTCGGTGGTATCGGCATGGGTATCTGCATGATCATCGTGGCTGCTGTTGAAACCGAGACCCCGTCACCGGGCGGCGCAAAGACAGAATCGGTGGGCATATCGATCGTCTTCTTACTATTCTTATTCATTTTCTTCTGTAAGTGTAGCCCGACCCCTTTTCCACGTTTTCTTTCTGGGTTACTAACCTCATTCCTTCACAGACAAACCCTCCTGGGGAGCAACAGTATGGATCTGGACGTCCGAGGTCTTCTCCATGAACGTTCGCGCGCAAGCCGTGGGAATGGCCTCACAGACCCAGAACGTCGCCAACGCCATCGTGCAGCAGTTCTTCCCCACCTTCCTCAATAACTGCGGCTTCTACGCATTCTACATGTTCGCGGGGATTAACTTCGTGCTGTCGGTCTTTGTCTTCTTCTTCATCCCAGAGACCAAGCAGGTGCCTCTGGAGGAGATCGACGCGCTCTTCGGCGGTGCCAATCACGTCACCCAGGGCGAGGATCTGTTTTCCCATGAGAAGTCGATGCGGGTGACGCACCAGTCGGCCGATACCGAGAAGCCGTACGCGACGACGGTGGAGGATACACGGGTTTGATGTTTGATGTCTGTCTGTTAATGTATAACCTGGATAGTCTAGGCGGGTGCACACTAGGTTGTGTCGCTGGATGATAGCTTGACGATACCATTGGAGTAGGCTTGTTGAAAGTCATTTATTTTAAAAATAGGCCCATGATCTTCCTCATGTTGTAGATGTAACTATTAGTATCATGCACTTGGGAGTCTTACATCAGCGCACATACACCGTTTCCGTGCGCCTTCTCCTGCCTGCGGAGAGATTCTCATTTTCCAAACACTCCCATCGTATGACAGACACCCCATCGAGCACAAACCTATACTCCCACGTCACGGGCGTATTAGAACCATCACAGCTCTGCCCCGACGCATGGACACTGAACCTCGACCGATGCCCTTCCACCCCATCAGTCCCAGATTCCATGTCATGTTCAGCATCAGGCCCAAGTGATATTGCCGGCCGGACTTGAAGACCATACGCGAACCGGTCCGCTAAGGACCCAGCCCCGCCCTGGCCATCGTCTCTAGTATCTCCGAGACCAGTCGCTGCGTCCCAAGCGTGGTCATCCCACACATATATCTGACCACCCTGCACCCCCGGACCTGAATCCGTATTTTGGGGACCACCTCCCTCATCACCGACAAGCCGATACACCGCTCCTTTTCTCGTGCTGGAGAGGTCTCTGGAGGATGGGGTTTCGAAATCGGAGGCAGGGGTTCTAGTTTCTGCTTCTGATTCGAGGTAGAGATATTCCTTCTCGTAGCCGGGGGCTGTCACGTAGCGCGGATGGAACGTCGCAGCGCCTTTTGTGGTGTCTTTGGTTCTGTCGGGAAGGGGTGGAAGCGTTGATGTCTGTTCTGAATTGCGAGAATTCTCTACCACGGGGTGGTCTTTGGGTTTGAATTCCGGTTCTGCAGAGCCGGGTGTGAGTGTGCTTGTTGTTGTTGTTGTTGTTGTTGTGCGGGTGAAACGCCACGAGCCGTGCAGAGCGCGGAAGATGGCTGTTGCGGTTGCTGTTGTGGTTGCCGCAGCATACTGGTCTTCTGTGGTGAAAAGGGAGAGTAAGGACGAGAGGGGTTCGATTGTCTTTTGGGGCTGGGTTGGCGTTCGTCGGGTACTATCATCTTTGTTTATAGACATCATGTCCTCGGATCTATTCCGCCTCCTCTTACCACTATTCGTGCTTCCAGTGCAGGCGTCAAACGCGTGATATCTCGCCGGAATGACAGGATTTACTCGCTGCTGTAATTCTCCCAGCTCCACCCTTGGAATCCCCAGCTCCCGCGCAAAACTCTCCATAAGCCCGACATAGTCACCCATGGGAAACTGGCTGCGCTGGGTCGAATTTTGTCGCAGCTGCCGCAGTTGCTCTCTCGCCTTTTCGGTGCTACCACGAGGGTCAGGGTGAGGGTGGTGTCCCGTGGGACTATCTCCAGGTTGTGCCGTCCACCGCGCGACCAGACTCCGGGCTTGCATCTCCATCACCCCCCAGTACGGGCCGCGGTAGAAGCCCACGAACCCCAGGGCGGGGATCTCAGTCCGCACGGTCCCCTTGTTGTCGAGGATGAGGGGGATGAACGGGTCGTCGGGGGAGTATTCCAGCTGCATGAGGATAGACTCTGGCAGGAAGGCGAGCGAGTCATCGGGGGTGAAGCCAGTGGCGAGGATGACGGCTGCGACATCTTCGATGATGCGGCTTGACCCGGTCGGCAGGGTGATGTGAATATTCGTGGCGCTGTGGTTTGGGGTCTGTTCGAGACGCGCGACCCGGCCGATGGTGGTGTGGATTGCGCCGCTGCGGACGTATTCAGCGTGATCGTTGCTGATGGCTGTCCAGGATGGTGTTTGGAGTTTGATGCTGTTGTTGCTGCCGCTACCAATCCGCGCGTACTCGCTCCCCAGTAGAGCCCGCAAGTAGCTATTGGTCTTGGCCACCTGCGCCGGCGAAAGCGGACCAGAAGTAAACTCGATCCGACCCGGTGGCCGACGGGCGAGATCGTAGAAGACCAGGTCGAGCGGGAGGAAGGGCACGAGTTGGCCCTGTGTCTCCGCTGGGCTGGGGAGGTAGGTCGGGACTGCCCAGAACGGCCTTGAACAGATATGATGAATTTGGGTGGTGGGGTGTGATACGCCCAGCGAGGACAGATGCAAGGCCACGGCAGACGCAGCCTCGACGCCGGACAGACTGCCCCCAATGATCACCACCTTGCCACTTGGTCCCCCAGCCGAAAGCACGCGTTGCACATCCGCTGCGCCGCGGAGTGCAGAGCTGTGCACGGTCTTGTCGCTGAATGCTGCAAGCCCGGGGATATCCGGCATGAAAGGACGCGCAAAGTACCCGGACGCGATGACGAGGTAGTCGAAGTGTTCTTCGTGCGTGGACTTGTCCTTGCTGTAGCTGTCAGCACCCTCTTCTTCTGGTCCATGGAAATCCAGACAGACAGGAATCGGGGCAAACAAACCCATCCACCCACTCCACCACCCAACCCCCCTGACTACTCGTGCTCGTCTTCACCACCTCACACCCGAATCTGATGACCACCCCAGGGGAGGCAAGAAACCGCTCCGCATAAGCCTCGAGGTATCTCCCCACCTGCCACGCCCGCGGGAACATCGGTACCGGCACGGATCCCAGGACCTCCTCCCAGGCGAGATCCGCAAACGCAACCGTGAATCGACTGAGGTTCGTCCGCATGGAGGGGCTTACAAACTCCCTGCGCCGTGTATGCGAACCTCCCTGCTGTCCCGCATGCTCCCCCTCACCCTCGTCCGTTGCCCCCTCGGGATGAGTCCAATTCCATAACCCCCCAATAGAATCACCCTTCTCAAAGATGGTGACCCGAAACCTTCCCACGGGAGCGTTGTGCAGGAAGGTTTTGGCGGTGACGAGACCGGAGGGGCCGGCTCCTGTGCTTATCAGTTAATTACCTTTCGTAGTATTCGCTGGGGGGTGGGGGTGGACCCGGGGATGTCTGGGTGAAGGGATTTGGCGCACCGATGATAGCGACCTTCTTGGGCTCAAGTTCAGACTCAGGTTCAGATTGGAGCATTGTTGTTGTTGTTGTAGTTGCCGAAGCGATTCTTTTGTTTAGGAAATGTTGATGGGAAGTGCCAAGGTGGGGGAGCTTACCCCTCATTGACCCCGCATGCATTACTTACTTATTTTACTTATTCTACTTAAATACAGAGTAGCTTGACAAGTGGCAGCTGTGCATGTATGCATGTATGCGGGTGTATAGGTGTTTAGGTGGGCCCTGTGGACTACTTTTGCTCTGGATTGACTACTTATACTTTAGACAACCGCTTCTTCCTTCAGATAAGACAATTATTGTCAAAGATCGTATTCTCTATCTCTAAGAAAAGAAAAAAAAAAAACATAAAAAAACATCCACCAACCGAAACAGAGGTCATTACAGTCATACCAGATACAGAATCCCTTGCTAATCGAGTAAATTTAGCGGTAGTATGTGCAGAGTATCAGCCCGACCCCAAGGCTGGAGTGATCGAGCTGATCGATAGCCAGCCTGTCAGGCTGAAGACGGGGTATATTTTTATTCACATCATCTTTGTGTTTAGGATGATGTTGAGTTGTATGTATGGAGGGCATTGAGCTTGAAAGCTCATCCATGGTTTAGCTCCAGCGACAGATGGAGCATCCGCGTGGTATCCCACGGTCAAGCACCACCCTCACAGACGGTGCTGCAGAGGCGACGAAGGAGCAGCCACAGCAGGAGTCTCCACCGACGAGTTCCCGGCCGGCTCAAACTCCGCGGACGGCGAGACATCACTCAGACCCAGCCGGGTGACCAGCTTCTTCCACGACTCCAGTCCGCGGCGAGCGTGCTGCTTGGGCGTATCCGGGTGAGGATCAGCCAAGGTCCGCGAGAACAGCTCGAGCGAGACCCAGCCCTCGAAGCCGGTATCAAAGAAGGCCTGGGCGACCTCCTGAACGGGCAGGTAGCCGCCGCGATCCTCCTCAAAGGCAAACAAGCGGGCGTTGCGAGACCAGTTCATGCGGACGGGCTGGCCGGGGACATGGAAGGGGTGGGTGGCGTCGAGGGGGGCGCTGAGACGCTCGCCATCCACGATCTGGATGTAGAAGATCTTCTTGACATCGACCGACTGGCGCAGCTTGGCCAGCGAGGCGGCAAGGTCGGCGTCGGCGTTGGGGGTCTTGCCCGAGGGATGGGCGGGGTCGGCGTAGACGCGACCAGCCAGGTTGAAGGTGTCCAGACACAACCCAAAATTGGGGCGGTCGACCTGCTGCACGATCTCCCACGAGGCGTCCCAGGTGTCGACGTGGTTGCCCCAGCAGAGGGCCTCGTAGACGAACCGGAAGGGCGGCTTCTGCTGCAGCCCCAGATCGGCGACACGCTGCAGGTCGCTCACGATCACCGCGCGGTCGCCCGTCGTGCGCAGCTCGCCCGTCTCCGCGTCGGCCAGCAGGAAGTTGGACGGAATCTGGATCATGTCGGTGTCCAGGAGACGCGCCAGCTCGAACCACCGCGGCAGCTTCTCGGTGACCATGCGCTCCGACTCCGCGCGGTCCAGCAGGCCCTCGTAGAAGGAGAAGGGCTGCAGGCAGATGATGGTCAGCCCCAGCGAGTCGCACAGCCGGCGTACCTGCTTGGCCGCCGCGATGTGGCACCCCTGGAACAGGGTTTTGGCGAAGTGGTCGAGGTCGTCGAAAAACAGCTCAATGCCCTCGTAGCCGTGCAGAGCGGCCTGGTGCAGCTTGCTGGACAGACTGTGGATGCCCGGTCGGCCCAGCGACATCGAAGCAATTCCTAGACGGTTCGGCATGGTGGTGTGTATTGTAGGATGTGAGGTCAGTTGAGGAGGGAAAAAAGATGGGGAGGAAGTGAAGGAAGGGACAGATAAGAAAGAAACAGCAGCAGTCGGGGATATTATGACCTGTCAAGAACGGATATGATGTGACAGATGTGATGATTTCTGGGCGTTATCGAGTCGAATGGACGAATGAAAGGGCCGCGTCACCTATTTCTAAGCGTTGTCGTCTCAGCTCAGGGGGGGGAGAGAGGTGGGTGGTCAATGAATAAAGCATGAATTTCATGTATTGGACAGCTGCCTTATACTCTTTTCCCACAGCAGTGGAAGATCATTGCATCAAATCCAGTTAGAGCTGGTCGGTACTATTGCTTGCTTCGTTACCTCCACTAATGTTTTGTGGACGGGAAGGGGAAGAAAGCACCGGCGGGAAAGCGCTCTGCCCAGCCACAGCCTCAACTGCATTTATCCGTCCGTCACACAATACATACTTACCAGTGCGGCAGTGGCTTCGGGACCCGGCGGGAGCTGAATTCCCTTTTCAACCCTTTTATCCCCCCCTCACTTGATGAACTGGCTTCTCTGCTTGTTCTCCCGAATTGAGAAGACCAGATCATGATTGTTGGTTTGTATTCTTTTGTTCTCGGGAACCAGCTTATAGCATGGTTCTTCACCTTGTCGCCTCCTGATGAACGCCACCACTTTTGTGACTGGCCTCTAAAAGTCACAAAGTTTGATAGCGTTAGACTCTCGGGTTACAGGCCTTGGCCATGGCTCTGCCAAGGGAGTTCCAAGCCTTTGCTTTACAATTCACTACCAATAGAGTTTGCAGGTTCCAACAAGTGATACAATGTGGACAATTATCAAAACAACTTTCAAAATTCAAAGAGGGTATGTCATCAACATGGTCCGACTATCTCACAATCGATATGTCCAAAAGAACAAGATGAAGAAAATACATTAACACAATCATAGGTAATTGCTAGCCTTAGGCTAGCACTCAAGCAATCCCACCCAAGCATTAATTAGACCTTGTTGGCCGTGTCCTCCACCTGGTGGACTTCACTCTTGGTGAAGCCGGACTCCTCCAGATCGCGGCGGAAGCGTTCTTCGTCCTCCCGCATCTTCTCCAGAACAGCGGCGTGCGCCTTCCACACGGGCTTGACCTCGAAGAGAGGATCCATGGTTTCCAACGGGATACCCTTCGTCTCGGGAACCAAGAAGTACACAAAGACGAACGAGAGGATCATCAGCGAGGCGAAGAAGAAGTACACCCCGTACTCCATCTTGGCGAACATCTGCGGGGTGAACCGCGAGACGAGGAAGTTCCAAAGCCAGTTGGATCCTGCGGCACAGGCTTGCGCCAGCGACCGAACATTGGGGTCAAACATCTCCTAAAATGGATTGTTAGCTTCGTTTCGGTCCCTCTGGAAACTTGCAGTGCAGCAGAGCAGGGGTTGGTGCTTACCGAGTTAATGACCCAGGGGGTGCCGTTCCAGGTGGGAGTGTAGAACGCGGTCCACAGGTAAAAGAAGAAGATGGCTGCAGTACCGCCACCGTTGAGCTTGTCGGTGGTGTTGTTGACGGGGTCGGCGATCTTGATGTACGCCCCGATAATCCACATGCACACGGAGCCGCCGATGGCGCCGATCAGCAGGAGGTTTCGTCTTCCCACGCGATCGATCAGCCACAAGAGCCAAACGAAAGTCACTACGGTCTTGACTACACCGAAAATGCCCGTGGTAAGCAGACTCGAGTTGGTGCCCTTGAGCCCAATGCTCTTGAACACAGTGGGCGAGTAGTAGTTGATGGCATTGATGCCGGAGCCGTTTTGCCAGAAGAAGAGCATGCTGCCGAGGAACAGTCGGTACAGGACCTTCTTGTTCGACCAGACGGCCTTGAACGGCTTCCAAAAGCCCAGTCCGATCGTGTTCCGCTGGGCTTCGATGGACTGGTCAATGGCCCCAATCTCTTCGATCATGTAGATATGATCCTCAGGGATCTGGCGGATCCAGCAAAGGTTCTTGATCGCCTCCTCGCGCCTCCCACGGAGGAACAGCCAGCGCGGGGACTCCCGAACGAACAAGATTCCCAGAAAGAGCAGGCCCGCGGGGATCAGCTGCACCGCAAAGGGGATGATCCACTGCTTGTGGCTGGGGGCCAGCGTTTCACTGACACCGTACTGTGCTCACATGATTAGCTCAAAACTCCAAGCTAAAAATCAGACGTAGGAGAAGCTCACGTTGATCCAAAAGCCCACCAAACCCCCAATTTGCCACCCTAGCTCGTAGACGCCAACCAATCGGCCACGGATTGCAGGCGGGGCCAGTTCAGAGATGTAGATGGGGGTGATGTTGGAGCCAGCGCCGACGCCGATTCCGGCCAGGACACGGCCAGCGTAGAGCAGGCCCAGACCGCGGTTACCGTTGACCCCGAGCATCAGGCCCGCCCCCAGAATGAAGACCAGAGAGGAGGACAGCAGGCCCCACTTCCTACCCCAGAAATGCCCGATCGGGTAGCCAAAAAATGCTCCGAAAAAGGCCCCGGCTTGGTAGCAGGAGACGATGTTGGCACTGACCAGGTTCTGCTTGGCCGTGGACATGGAGGCCCAGTCAAATTCGTCCTTGAAAGACTGCAGAGACAGGGTTGTGCCGATGAAGGCACTGTCGTAGCCGATCATGCATGATGTGAACGAAGCGACCGCAGCCAGAAGATAGATTCTCCAGTTGTAGACCTCCTTCGGCGTCGGCCGATCCTCGACCATTGATAGAATACCCATTCTGGATGATTTCACCCACTGGGATCATTAATTGGGTTAGAAGTTGTGTCTTGTTGAATTGAAGCACAGGACGAGAGGGAGCTAGTAATTCAAGGGAAGAGACAGAGAGCTCGGGAGAGAAGAAGGGACAAGAGGTGAAGAAGGAGGTGAGGAGTGTGAGAGTCGGTTCTCTTGATATAGTATGATGGAGAGGATGGTGATGGTGAAAAAGAAACAAAGTCCTCCTCGTCGAGGAAGTAGGCTTATATAACTCCACGACCTTCCCCAGTCTAAGCAAAATCTGGGGTGCGGAGGGAGGCAAACTCAGGCAAATTGAAAACCCAGATATCAAAGTTAATTGCACTACACCAGAGAAAGTATCGTGGGAAAACGATGGGAGCGGGAAAACGATCCACAACAAGCCTGATGGTAAACAACGCCCAGCAAAAGTCGAAGTACACCGCAGCCAAGGGACTGAGAAAGGAGGAGGGGCGCAAATTCCCTTCACCACCTGTGAAGAGAACGATTGGATCCAGACCAGCTTGGCCCTCGCCCCGGCCTAGAAAAAGCCATCCATGACTAGCACCACGGCCGAAGTAAACCATGTCATGTGGCTTTCAGACTGCGTCTATTGGGCTAGATTGGGCTGGCTCCATGGGACACCGACTCCGATGTTCGGCCCTGCGATCCAACTAGTTCATTCAGAAAGAGCAGAATAGGCGAGGATGGGTTGAGTTACGGGGTGTCAGTTTGTGGGGACTTTGGGGAAGGGAGCGTCGCCCGCCGAAATCCACGGGCTCAATTCGTGGGAGACGAACATGCAAGCCCCAAGGCTTCGCATTCAGCGGACTCTTGGGCCAAGCCCTAAGCGGGTGGTGATACGAAGATCGCACAGTGGACGCTCCCAATGAGGATGAAGTGATAGCGACTGTGGCTGGGGAAAGTGCTTCGCCGGAGAAATCTCCCCACGGGGAAGAAGGATGAAAGTGAGACTAGCAGAAAAAGACTAAAGCCGGTGCGGGCATCGGAATCTCGGAGATAAGCGAGTGGCGGGAAAAGGGTTCTGCCCGTTTGGCTGCCAGAGTTCATCACCTGCATCACGGTTCATCCTGACAGTGGATCCCATGATCAAAGCACGATCCAGGAACCTGAATGAGAGGGTGGGACGGAAGAGAGAACTGCAATAGAGGGAGAAATGAGGGGCAGTGCAGGAATGCCGAAAAAGATAAAGGAAAAGCCGGGAAAGTGACAGGAAGAAAAGTGATGGAGGTAAAAGTCACAGCCGAAAAGACCTCTCCCGCAAAAAAATGTTGGTGGCAGCCTCGACACCTTAAAAAAAGCACTTCCCCCCTCCGTCATTTGGCTCTTAAATCTGGTTACTGCTCTTGGCTTCCTTCCTTTCTTTTCTTACCTTCTCTACTACAAGAAACGCAATTGCAGGCCAATTCACTTCTTTTTTGTCCTATACCCATCAAAATCCCCCTCCCATCAACCACACAGACACCACCACCATGGCCTCCAACCTCCCCGAAGAGCCTATCACCATCCCCGCGGACCGGGATGGAGTCGCCTACCTGTACGGCCACCCGCTCCTGAACTCCCTCTCGCCGCCGCTGCACAAGACCGTGTACGAGAAGCTGGGGTTGAATTGGATTCAGATTCCGCTGTCGAGCGTGACGGGGAAGTCGGAGACTTACCCGCCGCCGTACACGCGGTCGCCGCCGATCGACAAGTTCTTGGCCTCCATTAAATCGAACCCGAAGTTCGTGGGCTCGTCGGTAACGATGCCGTGGAAGGTCGAGATTATGCCGCACCTGGACGATCTGACGGAGGACGCGCGCCAGGCGGGCGCCTGCAACACCATCTTCTTGCAGACCGACGCCACGACGGGCGAGCGCCGCTACGTCGGCACCAACACCGACTGCAACGGGATCCGCGAGGCGCTGGTGCAGAACTCTCCCGACTCGGCCGCCTTCCGCGGCAGGCCCGCCCTGGTTGTCGGCGGCGGCGGCACCGCCCGCACCGCCGTCTACGTCTTCCGCAAGTGGCTCGGCGCCAGTAAGATCTACATTGTCAACCGCGACGCCGCCGAGGTCGCCGCCATCCTCGAGGAGGACCGCCAGCGCAACGCCGGCAGCACCACCCCGCTCGCCCCCATCGTCCCCGTCACCGATCCCGAGGTCGCCGCCTCCCTCGAGACCCCCGCCGCTATTGTGTCGGGCATTCCCAACTACCCGCCCAAGACCCCCGAGGAGATCAACGCCCGCGCCGTGTTGCAGGCCCTGCTGGGCAGCAAGGCGGACGACAAGCCCAAGGGAGTTATTCTGGAGATGTGCTACCACCCCGTCCCCTGGACCGAGATCGCCGAAATCGCCGACGCTGCGGGCTGGAAGGTCATTCAGGGTTCCGAGGCCCTGATCTGGCAGGGTCTGGAGCAGGCCCGTCTCTGGACCGGTGCCGATATCATCGGCACGCCCGGTCTGGTCGATGAGATCAAGGAACTTGTCGCTAAGACGATCGCCGAGAGAACGCAGCCCAAGTCTGCTTGAACTTGATTTTCTTTTTTTTTTTTCTCGGACGACCACTTTATGGTTTATGATTCTTTGTATAGAATTCTAGCATACTCGGAGCCTTGCTTGTTGTTACAGAATATCTGAAAAGGAATAGATGAATTGTATATATACTTCCTTCTAGCATGAGTCGTGCCACCATCGATAGATAGTTGAGTAGACCAGTAGGTAGCTATGTTTACTTTATGGCTAGTACTGATGTGTACCGATGCATGGTCAAGCCCCGGGGCGGGCAAAGTCCAGTTGACGCACGCGCTTCCATACTTCGCGCACGGTCCGCTCCTGCGACTGACGGCCAGTCTCGGTGTCCGACGGACCAGCAGGTCTGCTACTGTTTAGAGCCACAGCCTGATTTTTTTTTTTATTCGGAGGGAGTGGAACATACCTGATACCAAGATACAGCCGACTTCCCAGCTTGACGTCCTCGATAGGAGCCGTGTCGGGGTCCTCCGGGGGGTTGGCCGTCGTGACCAACCCGCCTGCCTCGAGTAGAATGGCAATACCCGCAGCCACATCCCTGTAGTGCTGTAGTCAGTATTCCACCGAGTTTAATGGCCCGGCGCAAGAACATACCACTCCCAACAACCCCCCTCCCACCAGATATCAAACGACCCCATCGCCGTGTAGGCGAGATCCAGGGTGGCGCTGCCCAGACTACGCACCCCGTGCACCATGCCTCCCTTGCCGCCGCGACTGCCGGTCTCGGCCGCCAGGTTCAGAAAGCTCTCGATCTTGCGGTACATGTTCCCGTCGGGGATGTCGCGGCGGTCCTTGCCCCATTCGCACGAGAGGATGCATTTGCCCGGGGCGGTGGGCGGCATGGGCGGGATGGAGGGCTTGTGGATGAGGGGGAGACGGCGCTTCTCGTTCAGCCAGGCGCCGCGATTGATACAGGACGAGAACAATTGATCCTGGAAGGGGGCGTAGATGACGCCGATCACCGGCCGGTGGTTGACGATGAAGCCGATGGAGACGCAGAACATGGGGAAGATGTGGGTGAAGTTGACCGTTCCTGGGATTGCGTGAGTTGATAATCGCAGTGAGTTACAGTAAGAGGGTCGCATACCATCCAAAGGGTCGATACACCATGTTGGCTGCTCGTCGATCAGATACTCGCGGGACTGGCCCTTAGCATATGTCTCTTCTCCGATGAATCTGCGGGGGCAACGGGAATTTAGTTGATGATCTCATCTCCGCAGCTGGGTGGGGATGTAGAACGCACTTGTGCGAGGGGTATCTGTCTTGGATGGAGGCCTTGATGAATGCTTCGACATCTGGAATGCAACGTAAGCTTGTGCGTATGCTTCAACCATGCAGCGGAACGAAAGCCGCACCTTCGTCCGTCTGAGTCACGATGTCGACGGCGCTGTCTTTCTCTTCGATCGCCTGGCTGCCGCCGTCGAGTCGCTTCTCGACACTCTCGAGCAGAAGCTGGCCGGCCCTGCGACCCAAGTCCACTGCGAAAGCGTATATCTCGTCCAGTTGTTCCTGGCTGAACTCGGTGGCTGCCATGGTTGGATGGATGTGCGGGTGATGTGCGGGGTAGAAGGTTTGTCACTGAGGCACCGTTGTGATTTCGCTTGATTTGCTGCAATTTCGCCAAAAGTCTTTCTAATCTATAGTCTAGACAATGTGGAATTTGAAAGAGAGAAAGAAAAGGCTGCAGTAAGAGTCAGACCCTGAGATGAGGAGGGCGCAAGCTCGGACGGGCGATAGTGAGGAGGTTTCCCGCTTCTTTTCACCGCTGATAACCGACTTATCAGTGGGGGCCCCATGGACTCACGTGGGTCGGCCGAGAGTCGTTGCTAGCAGTGCAGTCAGTGTCTGTCTGTCTGGGTACTAATCAATTGCATTGCCACTGATGCATTGAGAATGAATTGTGTCGAGTCATAGATCTGTAGTTTGCTTCTTCCGGGAATGGGCAATGTTGCCTCTTCTCGAATGGCACAGCTGACACAATGAAGCTGTTGAGATGAGATCCTCTGTAAGCATTGTACAGTCTGAGATTTCCATTGCCCTGTGAGTTCATCATGCTCCTGAGCTCAATTGGCGTGAGTACATGAGAGCAGCACACTGAAGGGTTGCTGGCCTAACTCATCATGATCACCACTGCTTATGCCGTTCTTTGGAAGCTGTCATAGAGTTGAGGTTGGTGCATTGGATCTGCTGCGCCCCCTTCCCCTAAAGCCCTACCTACCCCAAGCTCCCCCGGAGCTCAGATAGAACCTTTAAGCCGTCCAGTATGACGACGGACCGTCCGTCCCATCATTCATGACTGGCCCCGACCCCACTTCCCAGTCACGGCGCGAGAATAGATTGATTAATAACGCGACAAGTTTATAAGCTACTAAAGCGAAAGTGGAGCCGGCAGTTACACCAGATCGTGAGTGCTCAAGTATTGCAACCTTTTAACCTACTGGGCAGCCACATGAGACGCAATTCAAGATTCGTGCAACGATGATCACTAAGCAATTCACTCATCACATAATCTTGCTTGCCTTGCATGCAATGGTCAGTAATGACAGCATGGAATCATCCGCATAGGAAACCACCCAACAAAACACTTCCACCGGTAGAACATAACCCGTCCACACTCCTACCGCGAAGAAAGGTCAGCTGCCCATCAAATCCTGCTCAATTCGCAGCCTAAGGTGACCGGTAATGTAAGCACAGATGGAACAGCACCCCGTACTCAGTGACTACCCACCCTCTGGAATTTGTGTACACTTTACAGTACGAGTGCAAGAACAAGAACAAGCGACCTCGGCTCGGCAGGCTCGGCACACCCCGCACCCACCAGCTCCGGCAAAGCCCTTTTCCTCTGCCGTCGGGGGAAATCTTTTGCCTAGGGGTCGGGGGTCTCTGCTTGTGCGCGTTGCATTGCATTGCATTGGGGTACTGTACATTCGAAACTCCAAGGAATACTGGAAACCAGCCAATTCTGCGCGAATTCCCAGCGAGATGAATAATCCCTGCCTGCATTTCGTGCAGGGATTCCGCGCAGGAGCTTGGGACAATACTTCTCCGCAGGCAGTGTGCGGATCATAGACATGATGAACTACAGAGTATAAGTAAAAATGGAAGAGCGTAGGCGCAGACCAATTGACTACTCCCTTAGACATTGAAGCCCCCTCATAGCAGAAAATACTATCCCTCTATTCAGGTTCATAAAGTATACCATCAATTCCCACCCCCACAACATCCATTCCAAAGGAATAAGGGTATCGGCAAAGATCAGGATAAGGACTAAGCCTTTCCCTTCAGCAAAGAGACTACTCAACTACGGTAAGTTACTTCAATTGACTTCAACTGAAACAGAAGACTAAATTTGATCTTGAAATAAAACCCCCGCATTCCGCTTGTTTCATTGCCCGCTAAGTAAACCTATCCATAGGTATTTTAAAGCATAGGGGACCTACTTATCCTACCGACCTACAACCTATTAACCCTCCTTTCTACATTTTTCTCCTCCCCGCCCCAAAAAATCAACTCCACCAACCATCCATCCAAAATGTCCTCCCAAAAATCGATCCTCCTCCTCAACGGCCCTAATCTCAACCTCCTCGGCACCCGCGAACCTCACATCTACGGCAGCACCACCCTCTCCGACGTGGAAGCCAGCTGCCGGCAACGCGCCACCGCGCTGGGCGCCACCTTCCAAGCCTTCCAATCCAACCACGAAGGCGCCCTCGTTGACCGGATCCAGCAAGCCCGGGCTGAAAAAGTCGACGCGATCATTATCAACCCGGGAGCGTACACGCACACGAGCGTAGCGATCCGTGACGCCCTGCTCGGGGTGAACATCCCCTTCATCGAGCTGCATGTCAGTAATGTGCATGCACGGGAGCCCTGGCGCCATCACAGTTATTTCTCGGACAAGGCGAGTGGGATTATTGTCGGCTTGGGAGTGGATGGGTATACGATTGCGGTGGAGCATGTGGTGAGGAAGTTCAAGAAATTGGAGTATTAAGCGAGGTCTGTCTTCATTTTGATTGGGGTTTGGGTCTGGGTTCCGGTTCGAAAACAAAAAAAAGGTTCTGGGAGACAAAGGGTATACACTTTGTAGGGAATGGACTAGAGGATATGCTTGGGTATATGTCTTGATATATGATATATATGTGTATGTATGACACCTGGTTTGTGTCAATATTTACATGGCGGTTTGCTTTTCCGCCCTCCAGCATCTCCTCCAACGTTGTGCTTCTAAGCCCCCTAGCACCTCGTAGTGTGTTCGGCCTCCTCAAAGCCAACACAGATCGTAGGCTAAGCTCGCTTCCCACTCTCCACCGCTTGAGACTCCCGTCGTACCATCCCCGGCTCCGGACATGGCACCTGTTGCTGTGTCTGAGCTAGCAGAAACGGTTCCACCTGCGTCGAGTACGAGTATATCTCCGGAACCCCAGCGTCAGGCACGAAACCCAGATTCTGCATAAATTCGGGTTGATTGTCCGTTCTATATTTCCAGTTAAAATCATACCCCCACACAAACAACAGGTCAACTTACTTTTCAGTCCCATCCAGCGACGCCAGCTCGTCAAACAACGCATCCAAATCAGGTGCAATCTTGGGCCGTCGCGTTCCATACCCGTCGATGTCCACAAAAGAGCCAAATGCAAGATTAGGGTCGCTGTAGGCTTGCTGGTACTGAGGACCGACGGGGTGGAATGGAGAGGTCAGGTCGGGTATCATGGGTGTGCCATTCATCGGCTTGGAGGAGGAGATAGAGGTCCGCGGGTGGTGGGTGATGGACTCTTTGAGCTGGGATGGAGGAAGTGGTGGCTCGTTGCCATGGGTGGTGGTGATGTTCAATGAGGGTGCTGGAGTAGGTATCGATAACGCAACATTCTCCTCAAGATTGGAAGTTCGCATCCAACTGTGAGAGAAAAAAGCGTCGGGTGTTGCGAAATTGGACCGGGGCTCGTCCATCGGGCTTTTGCGCCGGGCAGCTTCCGTGGGCGTCTGTAGATTGGACTGTGGGAAAGCGTTCTGAGAGATCGATTCTCTATTCGACAGACTCCTCTGTCGGTTCGCGGCGGGAGCGACAGGCGTGGGCACACCCGGCATCCTATCGGGCGGAATCAATCCCCCGGACTCCCTTCCCTTCACATTCCAGACAGTCGCAAGATGTGCCGAAAAGGATTGAAGCTTATGCTTCAGACCGGGGTCGAGTTCGAAGGGAAGCGCTGCATTCGCGCTCTCGGATCCCGAGAAGGTGGCAAATGTCAACACCATGCCAAAGATCGGACAGGTAGCCGACAAGCTGTACGTCTCCATATATGTCTGGAGCAGCGACAACAGCCGCTTGGAGCTTTCCAGGGCTCGCTTCTTCCGAGGTATATCAGGAACCATGCGATCGTCTCTGTGGGAGGCGATCAGCAGACTGAGATTCGTAGCGACGCCCTCGTAGACCATCTCCAAGTTAAATATATGCGGCGAGGCAACCTTCGTCTGGTTCAGCTGGATTCCCACACGATACGTTTTCGGAAGCGCAGACACCCAGAGCTGTAGTTGGCGCTCCAGCGCCTCCAGCTGCGATATCGGACCTGCCGAAGTCTGCTTCAAGCAGCACAAATCATTCAGAATGCACAACAGTGAGGTGAGGCGATTGAACGCGCTCAGAGCGTGTAAGGGTCCGCGATGGAATGATGCTCGAGACGACTCGATCGGGCGAAGGCCAGTCTGGTCCTCCCACGGATGCCACTCTTCCAACCCATCCTCATTGACTGGGCCGATCTTCAGCAGCTCGTCTTTGCGCAACGACGGCACCTGGCCTGTCTGCATGGCTACGAGTGTTTCCAGAATGAAGCATCCCAGGAATACATGCTTGGACCGCCCCGTACTTTTCCCATCTTCAGGGGCTTGAGACTGCCCAGTAGGTGGTTGGTTCAAACCCAGAGCCTGGGATACCCGGACCGCTTGTCCCACCAGCAACCACGCGGCCGTCCAATCCTGCTGCCCCACCTTGACCAGAGATAAGATCAACAGAGCCTGAACATGTCCCAGCTCGTGGACCCCATCTGCGCCCGGAATGAGACTTTTTGCTGTCGCATACAGTTGGCTAGGGTCCGGCCGCTCAGCGGAAAGCTCTGCCAGCTGACGGGTTGCGGATATTGATGCTTCTTGGATGGAGGCAAGAGTCAGCACCGCCCATAATGCGGCGTGATCTCCTGAGCCCGGATTAGTAAGTGAAATATGGAACTCGTCATCGCCGTCATTGTGTCGAAAGGCCGTTCGGAGAATATCATGTTTTTCAAGGATGGGAAACCAGCAGTGTGTATAGGTGAAGTAGATGTCAAAGAGAGCCCATGCATTGGAGGGGAGCTGGGGAGGTTTTTGCATGATAGGGTCGGAATTGGAGGTGAGGTGGGAGGGCAGACGAGCGAGAGAGGGGTTGGACAGCTCGTCTAGGGTGTCGAGTGGCGCTATGGTCTGCGTGGAGGTGTCTCTGGTGACACGGATGGCGGCAGTCCTCGTCATGGTGGACGCCGCTGTCGGGGTCTTGATGGGGGAGACCATGGACAGAGAACCTTCTCGCGCCTCTCCCAGCACTTCTGAGAGATTCCATTCCAGCGCATCGGTCGAAATGACACTACTGCCTTCGGCGTCCTGCGGCGAGTAAGTCTCCCCTGGGAGTCGGACCCCTCCTGGGTCATCTTCCGGTTGCTCCAGGTAGGTCAGAAGCCTCTCAATCTCCTTGAGGACGATACTGTTCTTCCACGACGAGAGCAGGGTGTCAGACCCTTCGGCTTCCTTGCCCATGGTCGCGAGGTGGCTGGGGATATTGGCGGCCCTTAAGAGGGCGCGCACGACCTCCTCGCTCCCCTGAATTTTGCTGAAGACGAGCCCCCATAGCAGCTCGAGGGTGCGAATGTAGCCGGTTGGGAGGCCGCGTTTCTTGGGGTTGGCCTTGTAGGTGCATGGGCGCGAGAGCGAGGCGCAGGTTGAACAAACGGGTTGCACTCCGTCACACTTGTCCTTCTTGGAGCGACAGCTGTCGCAAGCGCGTGAGACCCGTTGGCGTTTGGGATTGGAGGCGAGGTCGTCTGCAGCAGGGGTCTGCTTGGCCTCTTCGTCGGCCTCCGTTAAACGTCGCTTGGATTTACTGCCGCCCCCGGAGGCTTGGCGCGTGTCGTTGTTCATGATCGTCTATCCCACGGTCCACTAAGTTGATCCGGACGCATGTTCATCTTCAGGATGAGTCGTAGCCGGGAGGAGATGAATGCTTTGCCGGTGGCTTGTTTATGCCATAAATTGGCGCAGTCTGACTGCGGCCCCACTATCAGTGTGATTGTCGACTAGGAGGACTGAACACTCTTTTAGTTTGAACTGGCTAGGAGTTGGAAAGGAATAGGCCAGTGAGAAAAGGGAAGCTAATATCGGAGGATCGGGTGACAAGCGACGAAGAGGGGGGAGAAGGGTGTGTGGGAGGAATCGTGGGAGGAAGAGTGCTAGTGTGTGGGATAAAGTGTGGTGGTGGGTGTGGGAGAATTAGAAAGATGTTGGGAAGAGAAGTCGCAAAGGCGGAGAAAGGAAAGAGGAGGAGGAGGAGGAGGAGGAGATGACGGGCTGGAGTGAAAAGTTGGGGAAAGGACGGCCCTTAACTGCTTACCCGCGTATACTTACTGTGTAGGTAGTGTGTAGAGTGTAAAGTAAAGTAGTTGACTTACTGGTTTAGTGGTTGATTACTGGTTATTACAAAGTATGGGGACCAGAATCAATCCATGGATGCTCCTCTCAGACGCAGTGGATTACAGAAGACTCCTCGGTAAACAGGATCGAGTAAGGTGCTGTTTGCTCTGGGTCCCTCCCTTCCCTTTCCCCCCCCCTCTTTCGCTGGCTTGGGTGGCGGACACTGTACCCCAATTGTTATTATTCAACCATTACTCGAATCAATCGCTAACTGAGTTGGCATCGTTGATTGACGCTAAAAAGATCTATGAATTTGTACTGTGAATACGGTGTATATATGATAGATTAGAAGTTAGTCGTGATGTTGCCTCAATCTCCCCCATGCTTTTTGACCCCGAAGCTAAATCAAGGCACAGCCTCCTCCATCCGATTTTTCATCTGAATCCCCGCGGGGTAACTTAAAGTAAGGAACACACCATCGGTGCAAGGAAAAACACACACCATCTTGCGTCTCGGAAAACGGAAAACCGACTCCCTCCGGACTGGGGAAGGCCTGTCTGTAACGTTACCAATATCTTACCGACTGGTCCCAATGGTCTCCCGGCAGAGCCTTTCTCCGCAGTTACCGGCTTTCGCCTGATGGTTTGTCCCGGCACTACTCAGCCTGAGCACACAGCATGTACTATGGAGTATGTACTATGTACTGTAGCCTCTGCACAAAGAATGCATGCAACACAAATAATTAATCCAGAATCTCTATATCTAATAATGTCGTGCGGTCAACTAATAATAGCTAAGTACAAGGACTGTCCAAGGACACCCCCACGCCGTCATCGCTAACAAACGTACACGTGAAATAACACCAACACTGCTCCCGAAGCGTATCAGGCGGCCTGTTCGAAGTTCCCACATGTCAACCGAGTGTTGTCGGACGCATGCACCACCACCGATAGGTTGCCAAAAAACGCAGGCGTGTCCTCGACATTGGACAGGAACCAGTCGGTGTACGAGACGGCCACCGGTTCCCCATCAGCCGCCCAGATGGGGCCATGCTTTCCACTGAGGTCGCCGACCTCGCAGGTCTGGGGCGCCTTGATGTCGCAGGGAGGAGTATCTGTACGGCCATAGGGGTCAAGGTGACTGCTGGTGCTGTAGCAGTTGCCGTCCTCGGGAACGGGCTTCTTATGAATGTGGTATACTAAGATGCGAAGGGCCGGTTAGCAAGGCACGAAGTCGATCCAAACAAAGTGCAAGCTCTCTGGGAGTGCAATACGTACGCAGAGGTTGCTGATCCGTGGGAATACCCCAGAACTTGGCATGAATTGTTATGCCGACGTTATCAGGCCCAGGACTCGCCTTGAGATGACCCTGAACGGTGGTATTGTCCTTGTGCAGAAGCTGCACCTGCCAGACGGAGTCGTTGTTGTCCCACACAACGGGTGCACTGGTGTCGGCCGCAGTGGCCTGGAGGCAAAGGAGGCCAAGCGAGGCCAGCGAGAGAGTCTTGGTCCACATGATTCAAGATAATTTGTGGTAAAGATGGGAGCGAGCGGAGTCAATCAGAAATCGCAAATCGGTTCGTTGTGCGAGGGTCGGGGGGTTTTATGTTTCGCTTTCGCGATTGTTGTTGACGAGAACGAAGCAAGGAGACCCTGGGCTGAGTACGGCGCAGAGTAAAGGCGGATCGAAGGAAAGTACGACCTTGACAAAAGTGGTTTTATTATCAATGCTGAGGAGTTCAAATTTGTCAGTCAGACACAAGAGCGACTGGGCTCAGCAACACAGCCGATGTCATTGCGAGTACGACCCCTGAGGGCCAAATTGTATGGTCACTGTGGTGTTGTTGGCCGGTTGCGGAAGAATGCAGAGTGCAGTCACCGCCCCTTGTTACACTGGCAATCAAAGTGGACAAAATAATGTCACGGTGGCTTGGAAGCTTTGTGGTTCGTATTCCATTTCAATGGCAAATTGGAAGGCGACAGACCGACCACCAGCCATTTCATTGAAGGCTGATCCCTGCACCACGTACGTAGTCAGGGAGGGTCAGTACCTGAAGGGTTGTTTCTTCGACCTGCAGGGCTGGAGATTGCATCAGTTGTCCCGCATTCAAGTAAACATGAATAAGCCAAGGCTTGCTTGGAATACGAGGGTAGACCTTTAGATGTTGGATTCAAAGGCAGTTGGTATATTGGTAACAAGAGATCGTGTTTTGGACAAGTCACTCAGTGGTTGAATCACAAAAGGGCGATTACGAGCAATGCCTCCTCGGCGGAAGGTCTCGTGACGAGGAGTGACAGACAACTGGAAAGAGAGTCAAGCCAAGCTCTACTCCGCCTTGCTGCATCTTGCTGCATCGTTATCATGACCATAATTATCTCTCTCGAGTCAACCCCTCTCGGACAGAGAGACCCCGAGCGTGACCCAACATGTTCAAAGAGCAAATGGCAGAAGGAGATCGACTCCAGCTTCCTGCTTCCCCCACACAGTCTAGACTCCACTCCTCCGCTCCTCCGCTCGCCCTCTCCAATAGATGCCTCCGATCATTATCACGGCCTTCGTTGCGGACAGCAAGCAGCAGCTCGGAGAATGTCCGACTGCTTTAGATACATACATCTTTCAGACAAATGTTTCTCTATAAGCCTGGCAGTCTCAGTCTCGCTGGCCAGTTCACGACCCTCATTTTCTATCGTTTGTTGACTTGACTCAACCTCCACAATGTCTCTGGCTCAATCACAGTACGTAATCCAGCTCCCGAAGACGCCCTCGATCATTGGCGCGCTGGACCCTCGAGGCATTGTGCAGCGATGGCTCACCAACCTGGAAGCAGTCCTAACCACAGGCACCTTTCACCAGCTCTCAGTCCTCCTTCATGAAGATTCCTGGTGGAGAGACTTGCTGGCAGTGAACTGGGACTTGCGCACGATACAAAATCGCGATCAGATACAAGACTTCCTGGCTCAAAATCAGTCCCGTGCGGGCTTGTCGGCGTTCCGCATACAACACGAGGGCAAGTTCCAGCCAAAACTGGAATCTCCAATAGAGGGCCTGAAATGGATTACCTCGATGTTCTTCTTTGACACGCGCGTGGGTCATGGAACGGGTGTAATTCGACTCATGCAGAACGAAGCCGGCGAATGGAAGGCCTACTCGGTGTGTACCACGCTACAGGAATTGAAGTCCTTTGAAGAACCCTTGGGTCTTCGTAGAGCACACGGAACCATTGAGGCCATGCCTGGTGGTCTCAGCCAGGGAAACTGGCTTGAACGCCGACAAAGGACGATCAAGTTCGAGCATGAGGAGCCTACTGCCCTCATAATCGGTGCTGGTGAGTTCGATGACCTTATGCATTATGCCTGCACAAGCTGACATCACCAGGTCAATCGGGTCTCAACATCGCTGCTCGTCTTCAGTCTTTGAATGTATCTCATCTCATCGTCGATCGGAACGAGCGGATCGGCGATAATTGGAGAAAGCGATACAGGGTTAGCCATTCCATGCTCCAAATCCCGCATCAGAAAGGCCCTAACATCTGCAGACTCTCGTTACCCACGACCCAGTCGAGTTCACTCACATGGCGTATCTCCCCTTCCCCAAGAACTGGCCTCAGTATACCCCAAAGGACAAACTTGCCGACTGGTTTGAAGCATACGCCAGCATCATGGAACTCAACGTCTGGCTGCAGACCTCCATCAAGTCCGCCACCTACGATGACACCAGCCGACAATGGACCGTAGTGGTGTCCCGAGGTAGCGGAGAGGAACGAACTCTCCATCCGCGGCATCTAATCTGGTGCACCGGCCACTCAGGCGAGCCTCTGGTTCCGACCTTCAAAGGCCAAGAGCACTTCAAGGGCGTTGTCTACCACGCCAGCCAGCACGACGACGCATCCTCGCACAACGTCAAGGGCAAGAAGGTAGTCGTCGTCGGCACCGGCAACAGCGGCCACGACATCGCGCAGAATTATTTCGAGAACGGAGCGGAGGTGGCCATGCTCCAACGCCGCGGCACGTACGTGATCACCGCCGAGAAAGGCGTACTAATGATGCATGAAGGCCTCCACGAAGAGAACGGGTATCTCCCTTCCCTGCCCATCCCCCTCCCCTCTACACTTTAATTCCCTCCCCCACACCCCTCAGATCTAACAATCCTACAGTCCCCCCACCGAAGAAGCCGACCTCATCGCCGAAAGCCTCCCCTACCCCGTTCGCTTCGCCCTAGGCGTCCACTTCACGCAACGCGTCGCAGCCGCAGAACACGACCTCCTCGCCGGCCTCGAACGAGCCGGCTTCGCGCTGGACTCCGGCATAGACGGCGCCGGCATTTTGCGCGCCTACATGACCCGTGGCGGGGGGTACTACATCGACGTCGGCTGCAGCCCGCTCATCGCCGCCGGCAAGATCGCCGTCCACCGCAGCCCCAACGGCATCTCCCACTTCACGGACCGGGGTATCGCGCTCCGGGATGGTGGTAGCACCAATACCACCACCACCATGACGCTCGACGCCGACATCGTGGTCTTAGCCACCGGCTACGACAATATGCGCACGACCGTCCGGAAGATCCTGGGCGATCGCGTGGCGGATAAGCTCCGCGATGTGTGGGACTTGGATGAGGAAGGGGAGATTAATGCTGTAAGTTCATTGCCGGATGTCTTCTTTCCTGCTGCTGGTCACGAGGAGGAATTGGCGTAGCGACAACCCTGGCAATCATCATTCTGGTAGAAACTAGTTGCTAACCCACCCTCCCCCACCTAAACAGATGTGGCGTCCCAGCGGTCACCCGGGATTCTGGTACATGGGCGGAAATCTGGCGCTGTGTCGCATTTACTCCAAGTTTCTGGCGTTGCAGATCAAGGCTGTGGAGGCGGGGCTGGTCGATGGGTTGCAGGCGCAGCAGCAATCTAAGCTGTAGCTGTCGCGGTATGTGCATTGGGAAGTAGTATAGAATAGAGGTAGAGATCTGGATGTGGCATGGTTGGGAGCTACTTTAGTTCAGCCCTTCTGTGCGCCATGTTCAAAGATAGTAAGTAGTTATTCTGGGCCTCTCCTCAAGCCGAGATCTAAAGAGCCAGGACTCATTGAACTTCCAGAGGGAAGATAGATCAAATGCGATGATTCTACTATATACCAAGCTAACTCCCAAATCGCCAGAAAAAGTTTCATCAATACATCAATCATATAGATACAATTAAAACCATAACACATAACGTCGCTGAATCACATGGAGCAAGAAGATGAACGAGTCAGTCATACGCAGAAAAAGTCCGTAGATCATATCCCCTCTCTCTTGCCCCCTCCGGTTCTTTTCTTTTTTCAATTGCTGCTTCGACCACTTAATCTCTCGCTTGTTCACCATCATCAATAATCATCTCCACATCCTTGATAGGATGCAACAGCATCGGGGGCAGACACATGCGGCCCTCACCGGCCAACTCCTCCTGCTCACCGCCGTCGTTATCGACCTTGAAGCCCAGCCAGCGGCGCCAGAGATTCGGCGCGAAGCCCGCCGAGTAGAACCAGGTGGTGCCGCGGAAGTTGTGCTCGCGGTCGCCGAAGACGGAGGTGCGGGCGCCGCCGGCGGCGCCGTTGCGGCCGGCGTTGAAGACAGAGTCCAGGTACTTGGTGGGCCAGCGGCGGTCGAGGTAGATGGCGTGCGGGACGGAGACGGCCTTGAAGCCGTGGTGCAGGGCCGTGGAGGCGGGCCACATCTCGGAGAACATGGTGTGGCGCTTGAGGACGGTCTCGCGGTGCATGGTGTGCAGCAGCTTGTGGGAGAGACGGGAGGCGGTAATGATGGCGGCGCGGCGCGGGGGCATGTCGCCCGAAGACCTGTCGTAGCCGGTCACGTCGTCGCGGAGGCCCCAGGTGGTGCCCTCGGGGTCGAAGAGCGGGTTGAACACGATCAGGTCGGCTTCCTCCCCCACGCCCCATTCGTAGCGGTCTTTTTCCATCGTGGTCGGCGGAATGCCTTCGCCCTCAACCTCGAGGATGTCCTGCTCGGCGACGGGCCGTTCGGGGCCCCAGACGGATTTGTCGCCCTGCTGGTGGAGGGCGGTCTTCTCGGTTGCTGATTTATCTTGGCCGGCTTTGGATGGGCTCCACATGTTGTTCGGACTGTTGGTCCCAATCTCGGTCTGCACACGCACCATCTGTCGGAAGTCTTCCCACGTTCCCTGCACGGATGGAACGTAGAAGCGCGCGTTGCGTTCCCAGAGGCCCTTGCGGGGCTGTTCGCGGGCCCAATTGACGACCTTGTCAAAAAGGTGATACCAGTGTCCAGTATACCGGGCGTCCATTTCCCAATTCCAGTAGTAGTCATACTCCGGGTGCTGGTATGCGAAGTACTGCATTGGTAAGTGGGAGCTGCGATAGACTCCATGGACAGAGAGCCCGCTAGCCCACGTCTCTTCCAGACCGGGGTACATGAGCGCCATCTGTCGTTCAGACCACAGCGTGGCCATTCCACGGAACTCGGCCGGCAGGGCTTCTGTGAGAACACGCTCGTATGTCTCATCGTCGGCCCATATCTGGAGATTCTCATCTTTGACATGGACTAAGAAGTGGATTGTGAACTCGCCACCGGACTGCAGAGCTAATTCCGAAATCAGCGAGCGCAGGTAGAGAATATCATCAGGACCATAGTGATAGTCGTGCCAGGTGCGTAGAACAAACGCAGTCCGAGGCCACTTTTTATTTTCTGCTTGTTCCGGTTGGTCGCTTGTCGGTGAGCCTGCAGCAGTTGCCGCGTCATCCGAGGCATCATCTAAGGGTGGAACCCCGACCGGCATGGAGACGAAGCGATTGAGACGCGGTGAAGGCAGCTTCCCGAAGCGATGACTGTTGGCGGCCAAGCATCGATTCTGAGCAGCAGCCCAATCCACTTTGCGAAAATCGACTGGCGGAAAATCCTCCCAGACACGTTCAGCACCCTCGCGTTCGCCTTCGAGGCCCGCACCGATTCCCCCCTTTCGAACACTGTATCCCATGCCATATGGTCCTAGGCGACCGAAGCGGTCGAAACAAACATCATCCTTGAGGCCAAGCAATTCATTCGACCCTATGACGGCTTCAGGAAATCCGCGGGGCACACCGGGATAGTGATGAACCGAAGGTATCCGCATGGACCCATCCTCGTCAAGAAAGCATTCGCGCTTCTCGCCATACTTCGCAATGTACTCGGGGGAAGCGTAGTCGGGATACGGGTTGAAGACCGAGCTTGAGAATGGTACGGTCTGGTCGCGTTTTGCATTGCTGGTATCGTTGTGAGAACCAGCATCGCCAGGCTCCATCAACTCCCAGCTGTCGTTGGGATACTCGGGCACATTTTCGGCTCGCGCGACCAATGTCCGGATACCACCATGGTAGCGCTTGAGGAACGGGAAGCTCTCCCAGGTAGGCGGCTTCGAACTCGGCTTGGGGAGCGGGACATCGACCCGGCTGACCGTGGATAGGAACGTAAACCGGAACAGGACGATGATGAAAAGCACCAGGAACGACAGCAGGCCCATGCACAGCCACCGCATGACTCGGTGGGGAACGCGGTAGCCAAACCCAGTGCGAAGCGGTCGGCGCGCCGGCGCATCGTTCAGCATAGGGCGATGCGAAGAAGTGGACGACGACCTGCTGGTCTCATTTTCGGTATCGATATCAGAATCATATGAGCTCTGGCTATATTGACGATAATGTTGTTTTGGCCGGGCGGGCTGTTTCTCTATGTCGACCACGACATTACGACTCTTCTTGAAGTATCGTGCATGAGCTGCAGTTGAGGCTGGATGCCTTTTGGCTCGAATGGGCATGGTGGACGCAGCATGAACCGGTGGATGCTGGCGACGTCAGAGGAATGCAGGCCGAGCAGGGCGATCGAAGGAGCGGCACCAGCGATCCGAGGAATGGAAGGGGTACGATTCGCAACTATCATGTGTCAAATTTGTGAGCAATAGGATGAGACAGGTACGACGGGTGAGAACCCACAGGTTAATCGATTGTTTCGAGCAGAGTCTCAGAATGGTTCGCCCGCAAGTGGGTGGCTGATGCCCACCGATATGCGCACAGATTCCCGAGAGAGCCGTGGATACTATAATAAACAAGAAACAATGACAATTGAGACAAATCAATTCCCCGGGCGTGGAATGAGCCGCGCAACGAGAAACGATTTAGGAGATGATGTCGAGACAACCTAATGCTCTTCAACTGGCATCAACAAAACACGAAGTCGCGCGGCACGAGTAGTTAGTTAGTATACAGGGTAATAATTAGCTAGTGTTAGTCCGATCGGCGCCAGGCGTTGCCCAAGGGACGGACGAACAACAAGCGCTGCTGCACTAGCCTGGATTGGCTGTCTTGGTGGGGAACATGTGGACTTTGAGATGGCCATGAGTCCCGTTTGGATGTGAGATCTGACAAAGGGGATCCATTGACACAGGTATAGTTAGAAGCATTGAATCTAACTAGTATCGAAGTAAAAGAAGAATGATGGTTGGTAGGGTGAAAACTGAGTGTGGAAAGAATAGAGATGGGCAGAGCTTGGAGTTTGACCCCATCGGGCCTAGTGGCTCTTGCAGCCTGAGGCTGAAACGTCACACGATGAAACGGAGAACTCAAGAAGTCACCTGCTCAATCCAAGTACTCTATTACTCTACTATAGAAATCCTACTGTGCAGTACGTATGTTCTAAATGTTGAAAATTGCTCAGAAGCAGAACAGCTGCATCAATCAAACCCCAATTGCAACCGGATCCATTCGGGGAAGCACGACAAGGAATCCGTTATCTGCAATCTACTCCGTAGCAGTAACCTACAGTGATGCCGCATGCAAGCATAGTTAGTGATGTCACTGATGATAATCCGACCTCATGCCCCAAACCGGCCGTATCCAATGCATCCTACAGTATTCTTCCCACCAGAGCCCTGTCTTGCCATTACCACAGTATGGTATGACCCATTTGCCCCCCCGCCCGCCTCCCCGGCACTGGGAATAAGAGACTCCCATCATATGTACTTCACCCAGGCGGCCCACAATTCCCACACCTTTACCCCGGCTCTGGGTGGGAATGGGAAATACTAATAGACCCCACTCTTTCACAGTTTACTCTGGGCGAGCCTCGTTTTGAATGCTTACACTGCTACTGTACGGAGTAAGAAACTCAAAAGGGACAGAACACCCTCGTGTTTGCATTCATTATTCAATTTTGAAGGAAGGGAGAAAGAGATACAGAGTAAATGCTTTTGACAGAACCAGCTCATCCGCTGACAGCTTCGGCATACCGTGGCTGAATGCCGCCGACGCTTTCCGTTCTGTTTTTAATCCTCCGAGTTTTTCTGGTTCTTCGTCCTGGTTCTTGTCCTAAGGAAGAGAAAGGTTACTTCCTTACTTACTTACTCCAGAGTGGTCTACGGAGGATTGAACTACTGGGTACGGTAGCTAGTGACTTTTTGTCATTGCTGCTTCATACCTTTCCTTCCCCCGGCATAACATCAACGTGACGAAAGGTACAACTACCACTAACTTAACTAACAAAGTACCTCGAGACACTAAAGCTTCCGTCCACCCAACAGGCGCAGTAGCCGAGCCGTTCGTTCATTGACGAGAAAGCTCCCCCCTTCCCAGCAGTTTCTGTCTGTACAGATCAATCCCATTCTAGACTGCGCAATATCATCATTATTATTTTTACTTATTAGTTGCGGTGTGATGCAACAGTGACCTTGATTGGTCCACCTGGCCTGCCACTCACACCAAAGACATTGGTGGAAGTAGAAAACTATCGTGGCAGCATGAGACCTGCCGGTACCTCCTGACTTATACATTGACTCAAATTACTGCCTTGATTCCAGCCAGCCCTGTGGGGAATTTTGGGATTTGCATTCTCCTTTGTGTCGTGTGGAGAAGAATACGTACTTACTTACTTCAGCTGGGTCACGAACGATATGACATGACACCAACCTTACTCACGCCCTGAAGCTGAGGTAGCTAGCTTGGTTGTGGTTGTGTATAAAGACGAGCAGTCCAGCCCTGTTACCTGTTAATGCATCAGATGGCGCTGTGCTCGACAGCGCTTTTAGAGGATCGAGCTGTGGTTTTCCAAATCTTCCCTCAATTGCATGCTTTCTTGTCCTCCTCCTCGCTCCGGAACGACTGACACAGCTCGTATCAAGACCCAAGCAAGCCAACAAAGAGCCCCCAATTTAGATAGTCATCATGGTAGGCGTTGACCTCAATTACTCCAAGCCCCATTCAGCACCCACTCTCCCAGATAGACCGACACACATACACGCACACACACACACACACACACAGCAAAATTACTAACATCGGCTCATCAGACCTCATCACCGAACCTCATCCAAGCCCACACCCACCAGATCCACCACAGTCACCATCACCACCACCACCTCCTCCACCTCACCACCTTCACCCTCGACACAACCACAACAACCACCTGCCTCCTCTTACTCCTCCCAACTCTCTACCTCATCCACACGATTCGCAAAGACTACCATGCCTTCCTCGCCCTAGGACCAGGCGGCACCCCGTCAACACCAGCCGGCTACCTCCGCATCTGCATCCTCCGACTCTTCATCCTGCGCAACCCCTTCCTCGCCCCCTCCATCTCCCCCTGCGTCCAACCGCAACAGGGTCTCCTAGCGCCCTCCCACCTACCCCCACGGCCGGGGCCCCGCCCCACAGTCATCGGCATCGCTCCGCAGCGTCAAACGACCCAAAAGAGTGACGCGGAGATGTACGAGACCCTGTCGAAGGAGATCCACCGACTGGTCGCCCAACACCCGGACACCCTGTACACGGGCACCTCGTGTTTCGAAAAATACAGCACGGGAATGTTCTGCGCTGGGAATGGCAGCGGTAAAAACAACAACAACAACAACACCACCACCACCACCACCACCCCGAGTAACGCAGCTTGTGAGGCCATCACCACCACCACCACCCAAGATGCCACCACCATCAGTCCAACTCGTAAATCAACCACACAGTATAACAGCAACAGCCATCAGCAAGAACAACTCCGCCTCCGCCTCACCTGCAACGGCGAGGTGTGTCACGCCCACCCCAGCGACGGGAGTTTGCATCTGACGCTGCACCCGGCGGACGTCAAGCTCGTGCTCGAGCGCGGATGGGGCCAGCGTCACCCCTTAGCTCGCGATAGCTGGTGGTGGTGGCTGCGCCTCGTGCCTCCCGGGTTCGTCATGGTGTATGCGCCGCGCGACGCGGAAGAGTTGGAGTGTGTGCTGGAGATTATCCGGGCGGCGGCGTGGTGGGTGAGTGGGACAGAGTTGCGGAGGTGAAGCTGAAAAAGAAAACCGGGACGTTATAGCCCAATCGTCCTAGTTTATGTGCGATGCTGAGAGAATGAAATAAAAATGGTGGACGGGGGAAGGGATTGAAAATAGAGTAGGCTGTGCATATGCTTTGGTGCGTATGTACTGAAGCTGTAGTAGCTTGTGATTTGGGTATTGGTGAACACGGAGCAGGGTGAGTTCAGTTCAAGTTCGACGTGTTGAGAGACAGTCTGGTTCTTATCTTCATCATCGGTGAGAGTTAGTGCCAGACTTGAGTGTTGTGTGCACGCACAATGAGGCTGTATGGGCAAGAAACGGGGTACTGGGTGGAAATGAGTGCACTTACTGCCATCATCATAGCAACCAAGCTTGAAGAGTTGCTGGCTGGCATTAGGCGGGTACTGCGATGTCAAGGCTGCATCCGTAAGATTGTATCAACCTTGAACTGGCGTGCACGAGTCTGGAATGATCAGACCAATTTGTGTTTGTTACTTACATGCACCACTTCTCTCTACACGTTGCCAGTTTGTTCTCTGCCTGTCGTCGCACCGGGATTTGTCAACGGCTCAGTAGCCTCGCTGCGTCCTCAATGCACACCACAGAGGCCAAGCATCCACATGATGACCGCCAACTTGCTAGTCACTGAAGAAAGTCACACAGAAAAGATCATCGTTGCTATCGACACCGGAATATAGATATCGGGAGAAAGAGAAGAGGAAAAGTAAAAAAGCTAATGGCATAGAGGAATGAAGAGCCGTAAGAGAACATACAAGAACCACCAAAGTAGCATTTCCCTTCCACACTACACACGAGGTGTCTTTGCCGGCCCCGGTTTCTCGCCCCTTGTTTCCAGTCATATCATCTGCAACCGTCCCCGTCACACGCTTCCAGGTATACCTCGAATCATTATATCCATTTAATCGCGGTTGGTTTTCCGCAGCGTCTCGGCGAGCCACTCAAGACCCTCGTACAGACCATCACCAGTCGTGGCGCAGGTGGATTGGATGAACTAGAGAGAGAAACACACAAGGGTCAGTAAGCCCGCACGATCCCTCAGGCACCAAGATGACGTGGTGTTCAGAACTTACCCAGGGGCGGCGAGTGAGACTTTGCAGACCGAGCTGCTGGGTGATTTCGGCGGGGCTCATGGCGTTCTAAGAGGTAGATCATCAATATCATGTTCAAACCAATCGTAGCCATGAGGGCACATACGGGCAAATCTTGCTTGTTAGCGAAGACCAGGAGAAGGGCGTCACGGAGTTCATCCTCGTTCAACATGCGCTGCAACTCCTCACGGGCCTCAACAATACGGTCCCGATCGTTGCTGTCGACGACGAAGATGATACCCTGGGTGTTCTGGAAGTAGTGTCTCCAGAGAGGACGGATCTTGTCCTGACCACCGACGTCCCAGACGGTAAACTGAATGTTCTTGTATTCGACGGTCTCGACGTTGAAGCCTGCATGAACCATCCCAATTTTGTGTCAGCGAGCCGGTTCAGTAAACCTTTAATGCGCCGAGTGAAGGGAGAGAGTTTTAATTCGAGTCGACAGTTGATCAGGGTGACTGACCGATGGTGGGGATAGTGGTGACGATTTCACCGAGCTTGAGCTTGTACAGAATGGTGGTCTTTCCGGCAGCGTCGAGACCGACCATCAGAATTCGCATCTCCTTCCGTCCCCATAGACGGTCGAAAATCTTGGAAAAAGTGAGACCCATGATGACGGTGGTGTGTCTTCAAGGTTCTAGGTTGAGGCGCGGACGATGTTAGTCGCGACCAAACAGCACAGAATGTCAGATTGCAAGCACGAGCGCGGGGATGTCCTGCTAACGAACACGGACCGGGCGATGAGGGGCTGAAGAGGTATATATGAGAGCAGACAAGATAGTGGTATGACGAAAGGGGGGGGGAATGGGAACTTGACGAGGGGTGCAAGGCGTCAGGTTAAGGTAGTCACGCCGGGGAAACACGGCGGGCAAGACAAATCAGGGGGGGGGGGAGGAGGTGGGAATAGAGGGAGGCGAAAGAAACAGACACAAAGGACCAGAGCCAGTCTGACCAGAAGAGACTTGGAGTGAATGGGCAAGGGCAGGAGACACGATAACAAGTAGTTGATCAGGAGATGAGCATAACCACTCTAAAAGGTACTTACCGATGTGATTTGGAGATGGGGAAGGGAAAGAAGGAGATTAGGAATGGGCGTGGATACAGCAGAGAGAGAGGGGGGGTGTGGAATGGGTGTGGGAACGAGACTAAAGTTGACCGCCCGAGAGAAACAGACCAGAAGACAGGGCAGGGGGAAGGTGGAAATTTTGGCTGAGCCAAACGGCCACTGCAACCACAATTTCAGCCGCCGGCGTCGCTTCCGTCACTAATTATTACGGTATTGTGTCTGCGTACAGTACAGGATAACTCTGGAGCATACACAAACCTAGAACACCAATGCCAATAAATATTGAATCAGATATGTATTGTTCTCGCACCTTAGAATCTAGCTCGTCTCTTATCTATATTCGCAGCTGGTGAGCCGCAAGCAATGGACCCTAGCATCGTTGATGTTCAGCTTCTGCCTGGCGCCCCAGAAGAGGACACGGTGTTTCCCGTCTATCAATCCTTACCATCTGACGCTGTAATCTTACCGCCCCGCGTACTACCTCTAATGGCAAGGCCTGTCGGTGAACCGTACAGTACAGACTCCGTACAGTACTGTACATACGGGATAGGAATCGCTCTCATCTCTCTGCCTCAAACAGGATAAGACTAGGATTACCGGTATATCAATGAATGCATCGAAGACAAACAAAACTAGGTAGCCATATTGTTGGCCTCTCTCTCTCTATTTCCAAGCAACTCCTCCTTCTCCCAGGCATATAGGACCACAATATACAATGGCTGATAGGGTTTTTAATCAGTGGATCGCCATCGGCGGCACTATGGATGTGCAAGGGAGGAACGGAGGGGCTCAAACCCTGCCCTCGTGCATCTCTTGTTGCTGCAAAGCCCAAGCACGCAAATCAGCTAGCTTACTAAGAATAGCACAGAGGGCTGAGATTTTTGACATATAAACAATGATTTTGTAACAGCATTATCTGTGCACCTTGATATCAGAAAGGACCCAGCAGGAATTTTAAGGACCATTGGTCATCTGCAAATTAAACACTTCGGCATCTCGCCCAGCATATACCTCGGAACCCACAGGGACCACTTCCGCAGTGCTACTCGATAAACGCTACGCGTCATGCGTTCATTCATTCCCTAAGAGGTCTGCCGCAACCCTTCTTTCTCCCACATTTGAGGTGCGTCTGGAGATGATCATTTCTCAAGTGGAAAAGTGCCTCTGAGTCACAATAACAAAATCCGGGACGCTTCGCTGTTCACTACCCCCGAGCTTATGCGTCGTCCAGAAGGCGCGAGTTTTAACGGTCGACGGTACACAATTTGCCATGTGGCGAAATCTCACCTAATGGACCCTGATTCTGGATGGGGCAGATCCCCAAAGATCACACCGGAGCTGGGTTGCATTCTATGTCTGGAGTCGGCTTTTTCGTCAGATCGAATGGCAATACTGTTAAGCCAGTCATTGCTCAATCTACGTCTAACTAGCATTACATACCGCCATGGAATACTTGTTTCTTAGTCAAATATCGTACACATCAACAACCATAGCATCTTGACATATCCATTCTTGTGCAGGGAACAGACGGGATTAGTCGTCCCGTAAGTCTTTGCGATTGTGCGAGATTCTGCTTCGAGACACCCGAAAGAGTTTCTGGAACAACGATTCGTAGATCGGCTTCCCCTCCACGGTGTCACTGACATACCCGAAGAAGACAAGCGATATAAAAGACAGGAACATAATTACGGCAAAGCTGACCCAGTACTGTGTGATTGTGTACTCTCCCTTGACATTTTGGAGTTCTGTCGAAAAGTACGCCGTCATGAGACTGACCGGTAGGAACAGGATTGTCACTTTCGCTAAGAGAATCGTGATCCTGGTCAATTTCTCTACAGCCTGGGAATCTTTGAGCGCGATCAAGTTGAAATTCTGCCACAAAGAGTCAGTACGTATTCAAGCCATATCCCAAGATAGGTTCGTATCACACCAAGAAAGTCAGATTCTCTTTCTCCGTCAAGCATGTCTCAATCTCAGAGAGACAATACAACTTAATCCGGTCAATCAGCCTCTCAAATCGCGCGACCGCTGTAGAGCTCAGAGGCACGCCGACTGAGTCGTCTAAAATGGTCGAAAGGCTAAAGCTGCTCTGTGTGGCTTGCTGTTGAACGTCATCAGCGTCGTTGTCTCCGAACGTTTGCCCAAGAGCAACTTGAGGCTGGCTGTAATGCACTTTATCATGAATCGATCGCTGCCGTTGCAGGATCCGCATCATTATGAGCTCGTAGCTCTGGTACAGACGTTTCAGGACCGCCAGTCGCCTTCCCAGCCAATGCAATTCATCGACTAGGTCCACGATTGGCTTCGTTAACATATGTCTTCTCTATCGCAGGATTTAGCTACGCAGTCGGCTGCGAGAAGATAACATGACGACAATTACAAAAAATGCAGTCCACTTACCAACCGCTCCAAAGCCACACCATATTTGTGCTCACGTTTCGCCACAAGCGCATAAGATGACACCCAGTCATCAAAGATATAGTAGAAGAGTAAACTAGGCCCATCTTCTTGTCTGATATTCGTCTGACCCGAGCCAGTCTCAGGGGACGGCCGTACTCTGATTGTAACCAAGGACTCGCTCTCTGAGGATGTGGAATGGTACTTGGAGACCCCGGAGAAGATGATTTGCAAGTTCCGACGGACCACACCGAGGACAGCTTTAATCTCTTTCTCCGACGGGCCCGATAACCCAGGAAATGGATTCTCTTGCATGTATATGACAGTGCCTAGATACTTCAGCACTTGAGGTTTCAGTAAAAGGAGGCACACACCGTACCATCATCGCATAGAATCAACCAAGACCATAAACGTCTGCCATCAGGTAGATCCTTTCCATTGTCCGTCTCATGACCCGGAATCACATAGATTGAATTGTACCCAACACAGGTATCTATGATTCATAAGAAGCCTGACTTCAACGGCGGATGAGACGAACATACACCTAGGTCCATAATCCACCGAACAAAAGTGCCAGATTTGATCAATGACGTGGGCAAATGTCAGCCCCCTAAACGCCGCCAGAGCGCCAATTTCTTCGGGATTCTTCAAATTCATCAGAGCGTTGCCTTCTTCGATATCATTTAGCCGACTCGAGTGCAATCTGTCGCGGTGTCTCGAATGGAAGCTGGTTCGGGAAGGCTCAGCAGGGGCCGGAGGTTTCGATGGACGCTCGACCGGGTCTGTGCACATCATGCCCTGTAGTCTTTCAGACACGCCATAATGGCTAGTAATCGACTAGTATGGTCAGTGATGGACATAACCCATTGAAGAACGAGTCAACCTTAATCAGGTCCTTCTGCTGCTCGGGAGCCCATATGTTGCTGGCGAAATCTATTGAGCATGTCTCCATTCGCACCGGAGGATGTCGAAACTTACATCCACCGACTACCGAAACATTTCGGTTTCTGGAATACGAGGGCGCTCAGCATCGACCAAAGACATGACTGCAGGCATTGGCATGGCAACGTACTGGCTTGCGCAGCAGTAGCGCTATGTCTTCCTGATCCAAGTTCACTGCACACCATGCTTCGTCATTGCCAAAGTCGAGCACGAAATTTCTTGTCTGAGGGTCTTGCAAACGAGCTCGATAAGACTTCAGGTTGCTGGCGTCATCGATGTCGCGGAATTCATCTTGGAGATTAGGCCTCTGGGGAAAACTGGAATAATAATCTTGAGGTGTATGGCCACTGTCGGATGTCGCACGCTCAGACATCTCTGGAGCTAGCTAGCCCAAGGCTGTCGTGAGGTAGTAAAACAATGATTGAAGGGTGAAGTGATAAAAGAGAAGGCGAGGAGTGCGAGACGAGGCACGCGCAGTACTCCAGTAAAAGAAGGCGACCCATCGAGTAATAAGAGCATTTCTCGTAACTTCAGCCTCGCTCAGCTCCGGGCGACTGCCTGGGTATTTATGAGCTGAGACTTTCTGTCGCTTGCCGCCCAGCGCGAGCGCCAATATCCTGCAGCTGACTCGCCCGCGACACGAGGGGTATGTTGAGGCCCCGCCAAGAGGTCCAGGGGACTCTCGAGGTGAGCGCCTATCGAATGGCTGATCATATGCTCGAATTTTGATGCATTGAATCAAGATTCGGCAAGCGTCGACCGGGTGAGTTGCTAACTTGAAAAGTACTAATGCTCCCCTGAAACATCATAGAGGTCTTCTCTCAATGATAGTAACTTATGGCAGGTCGTGCTTTGAGAAGGGAGGGGTTGATGGAAGAAGTTCGTTCCGCATTCGGGAACATGCACGTTAGTATATAGTTTCCGTCCAACATGGGTATTCGAGCAAATGTCTGCTTATCTTCGAGACTACGAAAATCAATGGGTGCCAGATTTAAAGACCAAAGCCATCATTAGAATCACTTTTGATATGACGAGATTGAATTAGCTTTCTAGCTGATAGTTATAGTCTCTTATTTCCTAGATGTTTTATCCCCAAGATGGAACACTACTACAGTTAGTAGTTAATATAGCAAGGTTCCTCTTTTGGTTAGGGTGGCGGGCCGTCACGCGGTCGGAGAAGGACCTCGGAGGGGCGTGCATTAATAGCGGCAGTCAGTATCCACGTAAATGAACGCATCACATCCACTGGTCACAGGTAACTACCGACTTATCTCTTTCGAAGGGCATGCTGATCTCGGTCAGCCGACCTATATTGCAAAGGACATGATCATCATCTCTACTAATCTAACAGGAAGATAAGCTTAAGCGATTATCTCGACAATGGTCCATCAAGCAGCTACTCGCCTGGCTACGTCTTGTACGGAATGTCAGCGTCGAAAGCAAAAGGCAAGCAGCAATAGAATCCTCAACCCAAAAATTCTTTCTAACTGCGCTTTGGTATAGTGTAGTCGCGATTGGCCATGCAATCACTGTCAAGCTAGAAGAGTGGCCCATCTATGCAAATTCCCTGCCAAGAAGGCACTAAAAGTTACTAGGTCTATGGCCAAAACTGCAAGGTCAGCTATAGACAGACATCTGCTCTTTGGATTACCACTGATCCCTGAATCAGCCTAGATAATGCAAGAGCAGCTTCCCCACAACCGAACCTGGAGACATCCAGTCTTGGTGGAATTGCGGCAGTCACTAACGACAATGCTTTTCGTATGCTTGGATACCTTCCTGGTACCGAAGCAACAAACCAGAGCGCTGAAAACTATGTAAGCCTGCTGTGATCTGCGGTTCGTTCAGGATCGGCTAATTGCTGATTTGGAAGCAATCGGCTGCGATCTCTCTGGACCTTCCAAGTATGGATCAACCGGAGATGAAGGAGGCTATGCGTGGACTGCCTCCGAAGCCAAATGCAGGTGAATCCATCGACTCACGATCAACCAGCATAAGTGCTTACGCGACTCTAGACATCTTGGTACAGTATTTTCTCAGTGAGATCAACGAGCAATACCCTTGTGTTTACCCACCTACTTTTTTGCACGACTATGCTATTTGGTGGTCTGGTAAGGCCAAGGGTCAGGCCTTAACTCCAGAATTTACCTGTTTATTGTTGCGAATCTGTGCCTGCGCGACGTTATATCTCGACAATGATGCACGACACAAGCTGGAGGCAGACCTCGAAGAGAACGCCCAGAACCTCGCGGAACGTTATCATCGTACTGCCAAGCAGCTCAGCACAACCATTGCCCCGGGACAAGGTGGGCTGACCCAAGTGCAACAATTATTCCTCAATGCAGTCTATTGCAAAATTGAAGCACAGTTTGTCGAATCATGGCATGCTCTAGGCACTGCGATTCATCAGGCGCAAGAGTTAGGTAAGGACAAACCTATAATCGGTCTTCATATCAGCCTAACTTATAACCCGAGAAAAGGCTTGCACAAGGCTTCGTTCAAGGTAATCACCTCAGAATTCGAACGCGAAATGAGAAGGCGGATTTGGTGCATCTTGTATGATTGGGATTGGTAAGTTTGGGGTGGAACGAACTCGCTGGCAGTTACGGTGTTGACATATAGCCAGGCAAATGTCTCTCCTACTCTCGCGACCTTTCATAATCAATAGCAACTACTGCTCTGTCGAGCTGCCAAATTTATGTCTGGAATCCTCCGACCCTGATGAATTTGAACTTTCACCAATCGCCCACACAGCCTATCAATGCCAACTAGGACAAACTATCTCCAAGATACCCGGTGTGATGGGTGGCTTAATGACCTCCGCGCAGGCCATTGCCATCCAACAAGAAACCGAGAGATGGTTCAAGACCCTCCCCGCGGCATACAGACTTGAGAACCCTGACACTCGCTGGGACCAGTCTCACAAATTTGTAGCGCTGCACCGATATCAGTTACACTCAATCGGGTATATGGTCATGTTTCTTCCTCTGAAACCATGTCTTACCATGAATGTAGATGACAAACCCAGCGTTGAGAGGAGTCTTCGACCCATTGCGATTGATTGCGCACTGAAGCTGATGGAGTCATCGCAGCGGATGCTAACTTACATGCTACCTACAAGTGCCAAGTTCTACTTCGCTCCCTTCATCATGTTTGACACGGCAGCCTTCTTATGCTCTGCAATCATTCATGATCGCACCAGAACTCTGCCCAATCAAGACAGGATCATCGAAGCTATTGGGTCAGCCCAAGAAGCGCTCAAGCAGATATCCGAAAGTACAAAGACTGGCGCCATCTGCTATGCAGCACTTACCAGACTTGCGGGTAGTATGCCTCCACGTCAGGAGGAGAATGCGACCATGGTCTCTCGAAGTTCCGACGAATCCATTGAAGGGCCTTGTACACCTCCCTCGGCTCCACTAGGACCCGAAACATATAATGACCCTTACTTTGCAGAAATGGACGCTAAAATGCTCGGGAACTCAACCGAAGCTGGCATTGTAGATGCGTCACTGGCAGGACTGAATCCTTTCCAACCAGGAAACAATGAACTTGCCGAATTAGACGACCTTATCAACATTGACATGTGCGAACTGAGCCAAATATGGGACTGGAATACCCTTGATTTGACTCTTCAACCCCCTCCGGCTGCTTGATGGCCTTGACTGTGTTGTGAATCTATGACAGTGTACATCAGGTGAAGACATGAAGGAAACAAGCCCCACACAAGTTTGCTCGATGTGAAAGCCTGCAAGAGATTCAACAGTGAAATAAATACTTTTCCCATTTGGGAAGTAGTACAGATAACCATCTGGCATATTGCAGTCTCTTTGATGGTCAGCTTCACCACTTTTGCAAGTTGTGAAGCTGGGTCCTGCAATCTACACAGTAGAGCATAGAGCGAACAGAAGCTTCTTGATTGGCTGCAGGTGATACCGAGCAAGGACATCGCTTAGTCATGAAGTAAACGCTGAACCGGCTTTAGAAATTAGGGCAGCGCTAATCCCAGAGCGGCTAGCGTACACCGCACCCACAAGCGGAGAACGGGAATTTCTCTACGGCCGACGGGGTGAGGCACTCGAGTTTTTCCCTCTCCTTGTCCTTGAACCAATATTCAGCGCAGAGCCACACCATAGGAATTTGAAAGGATTCTTTTGGAAGACTGTCCAGCAAAATGTCCAAGATCACAGTCGGTATGTGACATGCCCTTCATACCCAAACACCATACCATCAATGTGGAAAGCGACGAAAATCGAGAAATCGCCATATGCAACAAGAGGCTGACCTGCGATTTTTCTGTCCATCACAGCCGGAGTGCGCCAGAATGTTGAGCAGCTGCTCAACTACTCTCAGAATGAGAAGAAGAGAAACTTCCTCGAGACCGTCGAGCTCCAGATCGGTCTGAAGAACTACGACCCCCAGCGTGACAAGCGTTTCTCTGGCACCATCAAGCTGCCCACCATCCCCCGCCCTAACATGAGCATCTGGTATGTGGTCACCACCGATTGATTCTGCAGATGGGTCATGTGCCCGCAGCGTCCGGAGGGACAGCAAGGAGATAAGGGAGACGGAAGAAGTCGAGAATAGCCCGGCTAACGCAGCATCCTCGAATACAGTGTTCTTGGTGACCAGCACGATCTCGACCGTGCTAAGCACTTCGGTGTTGACGCCATGTCCGCTGATGACCTCAAGAAGCTGAACAAGAACAAGAAGCTCATCAAGAAGCTTGCTCGCAAGTACGATGCCTTCGTCGCTTCCGACTCCCTCATCAAGCAGATCCCCCGTCTCTTGGGTCCTGGTCTTTCCAAGGGTATGTTTTCTTTTCCCTGCCATTTTTGCACCAGTTCGCAAACTAACGCTCCCAACAGCCGGAAAGTTCCCTACCCCCGTCTCCCACGCTGAGGACTTGGCCAACAAGATCAACGAGATCAAGGCCACCATCAAGTTCCAGCTTAAGAAGGTTCTCTGCTTGGGTGTTGCCGTCGGTAACGTTGGCATGACCGAGGACGAGCTCGTCGCCAACACCATGCTGGCCATCAACTACCTCGTCTCCCTGCTCAAGAAGGGCTGGCAGAACGTTGGTAGCCTTGTCCTCAAGGCTACCATGTCTCCTCCCAAGCGTCTCTACTAAGAGACTCTTACGCTTTGCTGCGTTGGAGGGTTCTTTTTTTTTGAGAGGGATTTATTAGGGCTGGGATTTTATAGGCCTTAGTTGACTCTACGGAAATTTGACCCACGACTTCATGTCCCTCAAACTCAATCCATTCGAACTTAGATACGTAGCGTCGTACTACTTGCACATGCACTGCCGCAGCGGCTGTAAACTAAGGGATTTTGGTCTCGCTTCTGAACACGGTAATATGTTGGGCTATATGGTACAGTACAGTACATCTTTATTCGATTCAGTCAAGGTCACCATTTATTGCATACCCTCCATCAGCTCCGTCTTATCCAAGATCATCCCCCTCATTCCGATAAACTCTCGCAGAGTTTCCCATTCCTCGCCTTCCTCTTCACCTCTCATGTAAACGTTTTTAAACCCCCACGCAAGGGCGACCTTATCGAAGGCCGCCCGCTCCTCCTCGCGGAGCCACCGGTGCCGCAGCGGAATACCAGACTGCCAAGTCACGCGTTTCATCTGGTCATTGGCTGTGGTGATGGCTAATAATCCAACCGAGGAGACTCCTCCCACGTATGCCAACCCCGCCGCAAAAGCAATGCCAGTCGCCGTGCTGGGATCCATCGTGTTCTGAAGGCTCCCGGCCCACGTTGCGAGGATGTAGCAGGCCACCGGGGCGGCAGTCAATCCTCCCAGGGGCACAGCGGCCTTCTTGTAGCCCTTGGCACGGCGGAAAGCGGCGGTGGAGAACGTGGTGTCGATAATAGCCAAAACGAGGGAGAGGTTGCGTCGGGCGATGGCGACATCCAGCGCCGCGTTGGCCAAGTCCACGGGGATGGCACTGTTGATGCTGCTCGGGTTTGCCTTGCTGAACCGGACTGGCGAGCTATTCTCCTCCGGAATCGGCTTGTTGGCGTACAGGTGGAAGATCTCCGGGAAGTGTTCGGGTTGGCGGAGCAGGACGTGAATCTTGGTATAGGAGGCTAGAGCTTCGGGGGAGATGAAGACCTTCTCGTCGGTCAACAGGTTGTGGATGGCCTGGCAGAGCTGCGTGGATTGTTGCTCGGGGGTTTGTCGGGGTCGTCGTTGCTTTGTCTGTGCGGCATTGGACTGCTCGTCAAGGTCCAGGAGAGAGGACAATTCATCCGGTTCCTGCTTCTGCTTGATCTGAGCTTCTCTATGTTGGGCGATTATCTCAGCGATCTTCTCGCTTCGCTGGAGGATTTGCGTGACGGCCTCGTTGGCGGGTACGCCGTCTGCTTTGCAGAGGTTGGAACATTCTTGGACGATCTGGGCAATCTCTTCATCCAATCGTAGTACTGCGGACTGTCCTGCTTGGCTGGACTTGGCTCGTTTGGGAGCTTGGTTCGTACGAGTCCACAATTGTTGTCTTTGCGGGAAGCGCTCGCGATGCACGCTGGGGGTGGTCGGGCTGGTGTTGGATGCGTAAGTCCGAGCAAGCAGCGAACGGGACATAGGGCTAGGAGATCCCGCTCGCTGGCAGAATTGGCAGACCAAGGCCTGTGACCTGGCCTTTTGGGCCTTGAGGGCAATTCTGTTTGTGGTGATCATGTTTGTTGTTCCTCGTCGCACAATTGAGAACAACAGGGTGATGACTTGCACAGAAAAAGAGGAAATGCGGCGGATGCGATAAGGCGGCGAGCGTTACTGCCGTATGTACCTTCTCGGTGGGCGGTCTCGACGTACTGTTACTCCGTACTCCGTACAGCCCCCTCCAACTCCGTCACTTCCCTAACATCGTCGCCTGGTTCTCATCATCTCCCTCAACAGGCATCAACTTTCTTTTCTTTGACTCTAACCTTTGGTCGCAGCAGGCCTCAGATGGTACTTCTCACCTCAGCCTCCTGGTCCTTTTGAGATCGCTCTACACATCGACCGTAAGCTTCCGATCATCAGTGTCATCCCCTCCTCGTTCTACATACAGTCAACATGCCTCCCCCTCCGCCTCCTCCACCGCCGCCGCCCCCCGGAGGGATGGGTGGCCCTCCTCCCCCACCTCCCCCAGGAAATATGCCAAATAGACCCTCAGGTTCAGAAGCAAAGGGTCGGGTAGGTGCTTACAGCTCTTGGTATTGTCAGGTCAATTGGCTAATACCCGATGCAGAGCGCACTCCTTTCCGATATCCACAAAGGTGCACGATTGAAGAAGGCCGTCACCAATGATAGATCAGCACCTATGATTGCTGGTGGGGGAGCGAAGTCTTCAGGTCCGTCGGTCCCGGGCGCACCACCTGTTCCGGGCATGGCGAAGCCTCCGGCTGGACTTGCACCTCCAATTCCAACGGCACAGGCCGCAAATCGGCTACGGAGCTACAGCGATACTGGGTCAGGGGCGGATGCAGCGGCGGCTGTTCCAGCAGCTCCCCAACTTGGCGGACTTTTTGCTGGAGGAATGCCTAAGCTACGCAGTCGAGGCGGAGTTGATACCGGCGCTACTCGGGATTCACCATACATCTCCGATTCGGAAAGCTCCAGAGGAGCTCCCCCGCCGCCGGTTGCGTCGGCCCCTAGGCCACCAGGGGCTCGCCCTCCTCCTCCCCGGCCTGTCACAGACTCACCACCAGCCCCTCCAGTCAACCCGCTAGTCGCCAACCTCCGGAAACCGCCTCCCAGGCCTGCCTTTCGCCCGTCGTCGACAGCTTCTACGGCATCGATCAAGTCCGCTCCTGACGCACCTCCTCGCGCACCCCCACCTTTGCCTGGTGCCGCTAAACAAGCTCCTCCTCCCCCGATCACGTCGCGGAAACCCACGACACCCGCTCCATCCCCGCCTCCGCCGCCCTCAGCTAGTCCAGCTGCGCCTCCGCCTCCACCCCCGCCGGCAGCGTCAGCCCCACGTCTACCCCCCGCACCGGCTAGATCGACCCCTCCCCCACCGCCTCCGCCCTCAAATGGCACTGCAGCTGCATCGGCAGCCGTGCAAGCCGCCAGAAATGCTCTCGGACACATGCACCAAACTCCTTTCACGCCACCCCCGCCTCCACCAGCTGCCTCGGCGCCTTCAGCACCCCCTCCCCCGCCTCCTTCATCTGCTCCCCCAATGATGCCTCCTACGGCGGCACCTCCACGACCAAGCTCATATGAGTCCTCAGCCATACCCCACCCGGATCGTTCCGCTCTTGATCCGAGCGCTTATACCCTCAGTAACGGCGGGCCGTCAGCGGGATCTAGCTCTCGGAGTTCAGGCATGCACGGTGTGGTGCGTATTGATGACCATCGGTTCAAGTTTCAAAGCGAAGGGCTACTGCCCAAACCCCGGCCGTTTGTTGGCGGTGTACGCCGGTATCGAGCTGGGCGAGGGAGCAGTGTGCCATTAGACCTTAGCACATTGAGTGGCTAAGAGGTACTTGATGGTCAGCAGATAGATAAGATGTAGAAATTGAACAGTCTTCAAACGCATTGGTTGTTGCGAAGACCGTCGCATCTCTCCATCCCTCTGCCTGAAAGATTTTGGCAGATGCAGTACTGGCATGGTCATCGGTGGTTAATGTTTTAGCTGCAAACGAGGGTACTGTTAGCTTTACCCTAGACCAAATAAGAGATATACACCATCTGCAACCATGCGCCGCCCCAGGTCGCGAATGTCGATCATGGTATGACGAGTCAGATAATGTAGATCTTCGGAATCTGATAAGCAGAGCACGGGAAGGCTTCACGTGACGCGACGCCATAGCGGCAGCAGGCCGAGATCAACAGTCGGTCGCTGCCATCTCTCTTTGAACAGATGAACCCCGATTGATCGCCTTCATTCAGACTGACACTGCGTCTGACTGCATTCAACGCAAGTAATCTAAAAATCTTACGGATACTCTCTCAGATTCTACGAAAGTAATACCTCGAAGCTATTGTCCTCGAAGACCGAACGCCTTTTGCGCGACACCATCTCTCCGCCCGTTTTCCCCGTCACCATCGGCATCTTAGTGAAGCTCTGATCCACAACGATCATATCTTCCGTTGAGAAACGAAAGCTTTGGGGACTTGCGCTTCATACACATCTCAAGAAGCCGGTCTGAAAGCTTAGCAATATTCCTCTTTTTGTGCCCGCGATACCGCCTGTCTTCGGGTGTGCCAGCTTCCCGTCATGTCTTTACAATCATACATCAACAGTAAGTCAAAGAACCTTTGTGGGACGATCATATATCCTTGAGTGGCTCTATGCTGCCCTTGAGGGATACATCTTCCGGGTCATTTAAGAAAGCGAACCGAGCTGACCATGACGCGAACAAAACAGAGAAAATTCTCGTCTTGACCGTCGATGGCCGGACACTGCTGGGCACCCTTCTCTCGACCGATCAGCTGACCAACCTGGTTCTCCTCGATACAATTGAGCGGATTATCCGGACACCCGACGACCCGGAGCCCAGCTCGCAAATCGAACACGGACTCTATCTGATTCGAGGTGACAATGTGGTATTATGCGGGGAGGTCGACGAGGCTATTGACCGTGACATTGACTGGACCAAGGTCAAGGGTGAGGTAGTTAAGGGCACCAAAAATGCATGAGAGAGAAAGAGAGGCAAGCAAAAAAAAGGGAGATCAACCCAGCTCTTTCTTCTTAAACACAAACAAAAGTTGCATTCGACCAAAAGAGACATTAACGAGAAATCCGAAAAGAGAAAAAAAAAATATTTAAAAAATGACCCTATGGCGAATCTACTAGCTGGGTTGATTTGCACGGCAAGCAAGGAATGGAGACGCGTTTCGTTTGATGATTGTGGTGTGAAATTGACGTGGACGAGCTTTGGGCGTGACGTGGTTTCGCGGAACGGATTGCTCCCTCCTCCCCCCTTCTCCTCCCTCCTTCTGTCCCGCCCCCCCTCCTTCCGCCCTTTTTCTCTCGCGTCGTCTTTCATCCATCAAGCTTTCTCTCCCTCTCTATGTCGTGTGGTGGTCGCTGCTCAGATTTGAACGGGCCAGGTGATAGCCACTGATGAGCTAGGATTCTTGCATCTGTGAACGTCGTTCCCGGAACCCGGAATTTGCGCGGCGGGAGGACATCCGGTCGGTGGGGGTCATGCTATGCAATGCATTTCAATTGGCCCGGGTTGAGACTGGGTTGGTCTTGAAGGGATTTATGATGAGAGTTCTGGAGTGCGACTACGGACTAGACATGCAGGAACAGGAGACGATTGAGGATTTTAATGTAAGTGGGAAGGTGCAATCCAAGTCTTATGGTTAGACCGGCTCCTGCACGATTCTTCGGGGCTTGAGAGACCATATGAAGCAAAAGGGAGCAGCATTCGAAACTCGGAATGATTCGCATGGGATCGACTACTCGGAAAGGCAGAGGAGGGGGCCGGCTGTTTGAGAACTGGACCGTGTCCCCCTTGTCAGCGATGGCCTGGGATTGAGAGGATTGATGTCCCTCTGAGTTGGTCCTGGATGATAATCAGATGAGGTCTTCAACCGGAAAGCTTTCCCTTCCACTAGGAGACGTGGGCCACGAGCGGGCGAAAGTGGGTTTTGATACATAGACGATCAATTAACATATAACTATTGAATACATTTATGTTCCATGTAGAAGAGTTGATGAATCAACAATGGCATTGTTCAATGTGATTGTTCAATGTTCTCCCTGTGCAGTGAAAGTGGGCTGTGCAAGACATTTATTTGATTGACTGCCTAATATTAAAGGGGGAGAAGATATTCAGTTTTCCCCCTGGCAAGAAATGACCAGGTCCAGTCGATGCAAGTAACCTTCTTAAGTATAACTTATATAGTTAGATAACTCTATTCAGAAGAACTGACTACTACTGTCGTCTCCTCCTCTCTTTCCTCTTTCCTTATTCTCGTCATTCATTCGTCCAGTCATTCATTTACATCTTTTTCTTCTCTTCTTTCACATCAATTTCTCTTTTTCGCCCCGCCGTCTCTCGCCAAGGTGCGGCCCAACACCGGAGTGTTTCGTTTCCAATTTCCCCTGACGGGAACTCTAGTCCTGTTCCATCCTCGCCTCCGCCGCCCGCCCGCCTGCCTGTCCTTCTTTCTGTTCTTCTCCTCTTCTCTTCTCCTCTTCTTTACCTTTACTCAAACTACTTCTACCTCTTCTACCTCTTCTCCTCCTCCTCCTCCTCCTCCCTCCCCTTTCCCCCACTTACTACTGATTTCGAAACTACTTGACTCCTTTCTTCATCTATCATTCCTTGTCGACATCCTCCTAGCCGGTCGGATTCCCAACCACCCGTCCACCCTCCTCCCCTTAAAATCGATAAGTTCCCGTATCCACTTCCATTTCCCTTCCTCGGTCGCTGGGCGACCGCCACCTTTGCCTATTCCGGTCCGCCGCTGCGATTCTTCGCTCTTCTCTCCATCTGCTCGATCGATCCAGGCGCCCTTCATGTTCTTGCGACCGTGCCAGCACTTCTCGGGTTCGACTTGTCTTTACCCGCCCTCCAATTGGTCTACTTGAGTGCTAGGTTGCAGCATAATTCCCGCCCACAGCCTCGTTCTGTGATTGACAGCACAGTCTCTCCGTCACCTCGACACCTCACCCTCCTTACGAATCTATTTCTTCTCCCTCCCGCTTGCTTCGATCACGCTTTTTACTACCCAGCCTTGGTCGCCCGCTACTTGATTTCAGTCCAGAATGTGGTTGTATCGGGGCGCCCAGTCGGCCGTTTTCTACTATGCCACCTGCACCCCCTGCGCCGAATCCTCATACCGTCGGAATCGAATGAAAGAAGCCGCCAAGTCGAAGCGCGAACAAGAGAGAACCGATACCATTGTCACAGATCAACCGAAACCTTTTGCACAACCTACACCTTTTAGCACGAATCCAGCATGGGCGGAGGAAATCGCTCTGGGGCCCGGTCCGCCTGCCCGCAGAGGTGGCCGAAATCACCGCCGAAAGGAATCATGGAACACAGATGGGCTCTCCGCGGATTCACAGCATGATTTGGGAAGTGCAACGTCCAGAAAGGACAAGCTAAAACACCCGCTGGGCGAACGTTGGAGTCGCATGCGGTACCAACGGGAAGACGAGCCGTTATGGGGCCAGGATGTGGAAGTTAAGGGCTCCTCGGTGGGCTTGTCTGGTGGTGGTCGGACGGATGAGGGATCTAATAGCAAATATTATATCGCTCGCGTGCCTCCGGTGAACGATCTACATCCCCCGATTGTCAGTGGGCCCAAGAGCCGGGCGGAGACCCGGTGGATGCTGCAGCCTCCACCCAGTGCCAGGGTTATGGCTGGCAAGGAACGCATCGGCGACTCCACGTCTCAGAACACAAAGTTGTCTGATGTGAAGACAGAACAAAAGCAACCCGAAGCACCAGTACAAGCGCAGCCCTCGATACAAACAAATTCGATCGAAAGGAGTGCTGCTCGAGTCAGAACTTCAGTAATGGCCCCAGATGGATGGTACGATCCGAGAGCCGACGGACTGGAGGAGGATGGCGACGACGAGTCGCCTCGGTACGGACGTGATCAGTCTCATTTGGTTATCACACCCTCACTGCACTCTCGCTTTGAGTCGTGCTCCTCGCTTTCGTCCGATGCCGATTCTGAGGCCGAATCCCCGCGGGTGTCCTTGCAATCACCGCAGACGCCGACCTCACGGCCCGGTTCCAAAGGCACTCAAGATAGCGGTAAACACTTCCCAACGATCTCCAAGACCATAGCCACCTTCCACCAGCAGCACCAGGAGCCCAACAACAAGGTGCAAATGCTACATTTGGAAATCAATGACTCGCCTGACGATATCGCACTAGGTCAGCTTGAACGCTTGCGACCCTGGCGTTGGAGTATGGACATCTGAATACCATCTCTGATGAAAGCCGACTTTGGGTTCTAGTCCTCAAACCTATCCTTTCCTACCGAACTTTTTATCCATCTTTGTTTTCTTATGGAAGCCTGTTTTCGTGATGCTCGATTTTTTTATTCCCCTTGGGTAGCATAATACCCCTTTTCGCTGTTGGTTCTAAATTCTTTTTGTCATGTTTCTTGGCGTTGGCAGCAGCGAAAAAGCGTCCCGATCTTTTGCGTTACCTCTGATTCATCCTCTAATTCCCATAGCACGTGTCTTTTGTTTGTGATGCATCATCAGCGACCCTGCACCCACCCCGCGTTGAACAAGCTACAGAGTGTGTTACTGTCTGGATGGCTGGGCCAGTAGACATTAGAACACATACATACACACACACACACACATACATACATACTTCATGGGTACGAGTACATAGATGAAGAAACCCATGTTTTCATCCTTGCCTATTGCGAACACAAACCCAAGCCTACAATTCCTGCATCATATGAGGCTTCTTGCACAGAGTACTGTACTGTTTCATGCCCCTTTTTTTTTCTCTCTTACAATTCTTCTTTTGTTTTCCCTGTCCTATTTGGTGGCATTCCCCTATACTTGCTTTTTTCTTTGGACCTCTCTTTTTATTTCTTATTTTTTTCTGTTCTCCAACCTTTGGTCTCTCTCTATTGCTCGCGACCCCGAACCTCGTACTTTCTTTTTGTTCTTGTGTCTGGCTCCATCGTCTACCCAGTGCCTACCTTCCTTTTCTTTGTCTTATGATTTTCCTGTTTTTCCCCCCCACCCTCAATTTCAAGTTCGATTCCGATTCCGCCTTCTTGTACATGTACACTAATCCACCCTAATACATACCTTATCTCGAACTTTGGTGTCTGGCTCTTAGTTATTATACTGAGGAATATAAACCAGGTATCGTCAGTAATCAAGTTGATAATAGTATTCATAAAACAGGGAGGGCTTTGAAACATGAGATAGATAGGTAATATGAAGTAGGCAGAGCGATATATTTATATTTATATATATACACACCGCTTTGTGAAAGAAATGAATGAAAGCTCTATACTCAACTTGAAGCCTCATTCTCATGGCCTGCGATTCAATCCAGGCCCTGATAGTAACGGTAAGTAGGTACTTGTTGGAAGATACCCTTTGTAGTTACTGCACCCCGCTATCCACAAAGAGGCGGGACTTCCAGAAGTCACTTGTGCCCGGCTACAGTTAACTTGCTGCTTGACATGCTGAGAGAGGGGAAGGCGCTCTGGGATTGAGGACATGGTTTTGTTAGGAATTGTCGGGGGTTGTATGGGGGTGTAGGTTGTATAGATATAGTGTGCCCGGCGGTGACTACGCCTAGTCTGGTATGGCGCGACCATACCTACTAGTACATAGGAGTATTTCCTTCGAGTATCTAACCCCCTAGTGCTTAGTATGCTTATCTACTGATCGACCATCCTTCCGCTCTCAGGATCATCCTACGCAACCCTTCCGGGATAGGAATATCATGATGGTGCCGACTATGCGCTGATGCAAACTGCCAGGTAGACGGAAGGCGGAAAGAGTAGTGTTCGACGATGAATGTGTAGACATTCCAATACAGAAAGCGAGATCGAAATAGTGCACACTGAACTGAGTTCTCTTTTTCTGTTTTGTTTGATGATTCTGAAGATAGTCCGTCCCTTGACTGGTGATGGTAGTAGGGGTATTCAAGGGTGGAGTAAGATAGAGACAAGGAGTTTCTTTTCCAAGAACAACCGAGGAAGAAGCTATTGGGAGAGAGAGAAAAAGTAATTCGTATAGCTAAGGGCGGTCTCCAAGACCTGGGAGAGCCCTCGCGTCATACAAGCACACACACACACACAGACACATACACATGGTCGTATTCGAACGGCAGCCAAGCATCGACGTCGTCGGGGATTCGTTGTCCGTCGTTTAATAGACCTTCTTCTTCTCATCCATGCTCAGCTGACCGGGGCCCATGTTGACCAGAAGCAAGAGTCCGCCACTGTCCAGTGAAAATGGGATTAGCTTGTACTCGGGATGCAATCACGGTGGGACCGCAAGACAAGGGAAGGAATTCTTACACAATAGACAGGATCTGGAAGAAGTCGTACTTGGCGAAGTCCTTGTGAGGGTGGTGGGGGTGGAGCTGGCCATCATGTTAGTGAGGGATACCACTGGGGCAATCAGAGAACATACAGTCCAGAAGTTGTTGACCAGCACGTTGAAGACGCTCAGTAGCACAACCAGGATAATCGCGCTCCACTTGGCCTTGAAGCCAACGATGACCATCACACATGCAACGAAGCCGAACAAACTGACCAGCACGCGCCACATGCTCCACTGGCCAGAGAAGACGAAACCGATGAAGAGGAAGATCAGGAGCACGCGACCAGCGAACTGCACGTACATCTTGCGGTCCTTCTCATCGAGCTGGGGCAGGCCAGCAGGAACGAACTTCTTGCGCACCCACGAGTCGGACAGCACCATCAGCAAGCCACCGATCACGCTCAAGTTGCGAAGGAAGAAGTTGAGGTCGAAAATCAATCCGTACCCGAGACCCTGGGTGACAACCACCCCCAGCAAACCGGCGACCGCAAACTCGGTGTGCTTGCGGGCAATGACCAGAACGGAACAAACGGACATGGCGATCATGTTGACGAGGAGGAAAGTATGCGTGATTCCCCATGGTACTGGCGCGGAGGAACACAAGTTAGTAACGTTCTGGGTTTCACAGGCCCCCGTCGGGTGTGCCGTGGGGGCGCCAGCAAGACAGCGACGGAGTCAAGGTGCGAGCTTACTTTTCCGGTAGTCACGCAGGTACAGGAGTTGATCGTTCCATTGCGTGATCATGCGGAGACTGTCCTCGAGGAAGGTGACCACGATCAAAAATCGACCAATGGCTGGGAGATAACTGGACAGCAAAAAGCCACGGTGTCAGTGGGAGATAGGTCTTCTGCTAGATGCGCGGGCTGATCGTAGGCTCCTTTCGCTGCCACAGCGAGAGATCGAAGCATTGATGCAGGTAGAATTACTAGGAATCACATACGGCTTGACTGGATCGGCCATGGTGTCGAGCCAATCCTCAATCTTGCTGGTCTGCTCGCGGATGGCGTCCAAGGGACTGGGGTCGCTGGTCGCTTCCGCTCGACCCGGACCGCCAAAGGGATTCTGGTGGCCGAGATTGTACCCGGCAGTGCCACGAATCTGCGCCATGACGACGTATATACGGTATGAAGGAAGGATGTGGGTTGATGAGCAGAGGAGAAGGAGTGAGAGAGACGAAGTGAAGTTGGACCCCTCGGTAGGTTATGTTTTGGGGGGGGGGGGGGGGGGGGAGTGGAAACAAACAAAGGAACCCGGGGAAAGGGATTCGGGAAGAGCTCCAGGCGCACTGGGCGGGAAGAATAGAGATAGAGGAAGTAGTTGGAAATAGAGGGAAAAGAAAGAAGGAGAAATAAAGAAGCGAAAGAGGAGGAGGAGGAGAAGAAGAAGAAGAGAAGAAAAAGAACAAGAAGAAACGGAAGCAGAAGATGATGGATCGAATAGATCGAATAGCAATTAAGAATAATTGGAGGAACGAATGAATAGTTTGGGAGTAAAGTGGTCTGTATTGAGGTTTGTAGTCGAAATACTGGTACTGAAGCAAGTTGTAACAAATTAAGGCCACGATGACCGGAACTCCGCGCTATTCCTATTCAGGGCTAATGGAGCCGTCGGAGTCGCGGGCGGTGACGCCATGGATGGATCACATCAATTCTTCATCCCTCCCCTGCATTCTACAGAGGACTCTCTGTAAACACCACCATTATGATTTATTCTCGAGAAGAAGAAACAGAGGATAAAGAACTTCTCGCTCATTCATCCTGCTCTGCCTGCCTGGCCTTGAGGCCTTGAATTAAACCTCCATTGGATCAGGAGAACTAAGTCCCTCTCTGGAACCGAACACTCCCCCCACACACACCAAAAACAGGGACCACCAATCTTTAGGTCCTGCTGCGGATGATCCGTCGTCTGAGATCCGAGTCGCGAAACATCTTCCAGACAAAAATAGGTCGATGTCTTCCCCACCTCCACCATGATCTCCGTGGGAGAAGTATCCTGTTACTGACAAAATTCAAGACAAAAAAAGCCAAAAAGAAGGTTGCAGCTGTAGAATATTCGGACCTAACACATCTTGCCAAGGAACAGGGCCAAACCGATCGCCAGGGTTCGAGTGTTTAAACTAAAATAAAGCCCCTTCCCAGACCCTAAAAAATGTTTCATTCAAACATTTCCACAGGCCAGCTGGTCGTTCCCGCCACAGCCTCCGTTCATTATGGATAATGGGGACCTTGACTTATCAAAGTGGCCCTCTCGTCAACTTCTACCATGACCTGAGATTAAGGAATCAAACATGCATCAAAGATGGCAATGCGCCATCCAAACTGACCAGAGAATGGCCTCAAACACAGAAGCACAACAGATCGTCTCATTCCGACCAATTATCAATGGAAATACAAGGTATTCTTAGGAGATAGATAGACAGAAAGGGTAAAGAAAAAGAGTACATCAAAGGGTAGAACCGAGCATAACAGGAGAAGAGGGAAAAAAAATACATGGCTTTTGAAGGAGAACGGAGGGATTTTCTGAACATTCGGCCAATTGAGGTGTCTCCCTCATCACTGCCATATTGGTGGCTGGAGACAGAGCAAGCAGCCAGATACACACGAAAGGGGTTCAATGGATAAGAAAAAGTCCCAAACGCCAAAGCCATGAGTATAAATACAGCCCACGGAATAGTAAGATATCAGCCTCGTGTCCGAAGGGCATCTTGCACGAGACTGCCAATGCATCTTCTGCGCCAAAAGAAAAGCTGCTTAGGCAGCCCAGTCGGAATCAAGAGGGTGTCCCTTCTGGTTGGAGCGAAGGATATCAGGGAGATAAGTGGGAGTCACTTTCACCTTAGGTTCAACAGGAGCAGGAGAAGGAGCAGCAGGCGTAGGCTGGCTCTCAGAAGCACTGACTTCGCTCTCATCCGTCTTTCCACCCTTCTTCTTGGGCTTTTTGCTGGAGACAGTGGTCCATTGGTCCTGACCGTTCTCCGCACCCAGGAGGCGCATCTGCTCCTCCTCGGAAGGAAGACCTTGATCCCATTCCTTGGCAGGCTTGGTGGCGGAGCCAACAGGCTCGAAGGTATCCAACAGCTCAACCTTAGGGGCCACGGCAGGCTGGGAGGCACCGTTGGTGGCACTGGGGGCAGCGGTGGTCTGCCAAGCGTTGGTCTGGGGAGCGGTAGGGGTCAACTTGGCCGCCTCACGACGCTCAGCTTCGCGGGCCGTGTGGAGTTGCTTCTCGAGCAACTTGCGTCTCTGCTCCTCAGCTTCCTTCACCTGCTCCTTGCGAGCTTCATTCTTCAGGCGCTGTTGGCGTTGCTTCTTCGTTTCGACCTGCTTGAAAGACTGAGCCTTCTGCTTCTTCTGAGCCTCAGCCGGCGCGGTACCAGTGACACGGAGAACAGATGCGCCAGGAGCTGGAGCCTCGAGCATGTCAGAAATGTAACCAGCGGAAGGAACAGTGGCGTTGACAATGGGGGAACCAGCGGGGGATAGGTCATCGTCGGCATCAGCACCAGTGGTGGACGAGGTGCGGGTGGAAACACGAGAAGCAGAACGTTCGCCGTTCTCAAGCTGCGGAAGGGCGCCCTTGCTCTTCTTCTTCTTCGCAGACTTGTTGCTGGGAGCACTGGGTTGAGCTGGAATGCCATTCTTCACAGCGTTATAGCGCTTGGCCAATTCCTTACGGTCGATCTCCTCGTCCTGCTCATCAGCTTGCGAGCCGGTAGTCTGGGCTGCACGCTTCTCTTCAACAGGCTTGCTGGGTGCGGGGGAAGCTTCCGAAGGCTTCTTTGACTTCCGCTTCTGTTTCTTCACAATCGGTGCATTTTCGACTTTCTCTGCAATAGTCTTGATCGGAGTCTTGACCTTGGGGGTAGGGCCATTGTAGTACCACCCGAGGCCTCCTGCGACTACAAGCAGGAGAGCCCAGCTGATATAAGGATTCATCATCGTCAAAGCTATGGTCGAAGGAAATGTTAGTTTTGCGTGGATACAAGAGCGAGATGAGAAGGCCAATACCCACAGTCAGTTCGGCTTGTTTCTTTACGGACGTAAAAATTGTCGTGAATTCAGAGAAAAAAAGAACAGTTTCAACCCAAGATATAGATGACTGAGCTGAAAGTCGTCAAATTCTCCGTAAGCGTGGCGTGGTCGTTGGGAAAAGAAACGGTTAAATAGATCTGGTGGCGAGGACCAGACAAGTAGGAAGTCAATTGGGCAATCGCGTGCTGTCGATTCAATCCTTATACGTCAGAATGCAATGACCCCGTGAGGCGAACGGTAAACGGATGGCAAGGAAGAGCGTCGACGCAGTTGCGCTGAAAGGCCAGATCTCCACGGCGAGTGAGTAGCACCACGTGTGATCAATGCTACCAGACAGCAGGGGTATCAGACTGCGGAATTGAAGACCGATGATGAGATGACAATCTTCTCGCAGGGCGCTGAAACCAAGAGTGGTGAAGGTGACGGACGGCGCTTCGCAAGAGGATGGTGAGGGAGGTCGCGAACGACGCAGAAGAAGGTGAGGCAAAGAGGAAACGGGATAGATCACCGAACGACCATTGAAGCACCCGTCAGCCGAAGACTGAAGGGTGGGCGACAATGGTTGCTGACTGGGGGTGCAGGGGAAGAATGGTAGGGGAGGGTTGGCAGCGAAAGAGTTTGGGGGAGAGAGAACGGGTGCTGGGAGAAGGAGGAGTAAAAGAGGACACGGTCTGGAGAGATGAAGGGGTGTGTCGTTGACTCGGCAGTGATGAGGAATAAATTACCAAAGCACCGAGATGGATGAACTACACAGGTAACTGACCTCGTATCGGTATCAAACAGCGGTCCTGGCGCGCGCTGAGCGAGAGACTCCACTGTGAAAGCGTTGATGATCAAGTAGTTTAGATTGCGAAAGTGTCTCGCGCCTGATCATCGTCTGGACCGTGATTCAGGAGATTCCGAGTACAAGCAATCAGTTACTGGAGACTCGGGGAGAGATGTCTTATAAACCCAGTTGCAGTCAACACCACACGGGCTGACATGCCTGTGGCGCATCGATGGAAGGATTACCCCATGTTTTCATCTACTTTCTTTCACCCAGTCTGTATCTGGTGGTAACGAACCAACAGGGGAGGAGTAATAGCAATTATTGATTCCTGGGGTTGGACAACTTGGAAATTAAGGATTGGGAAAACAACACGAATCAGACCTCTTGCTTCCCTGTCGCCGGACCAGTGTCCGTGACATCGATAGGCCAAATGGTCGCACTGCGTCCCCTGGTGTGGAGGACGAAGTTTGACAATGGCGCGGGGGAATGTCTTCTCCCTGCGCAAACATTGGTGTGGGCTCTCCCTCAGCTGCAATGTCAGGTTGCAACTCTGTCAACGGGCGTGTCATACTATAGTCAGGGGGCCTTTGCCCCTAAGTGTCTAATCACTTAACCCTCGACCTCAGCGACAGAAAAAAAGAAGAAAAGAAGTACCCTGGGGTCTGCTAGTTAGTCCTGGTATCTTACCAATCAGCAGCAGCAAAATACAGGGGTAATACCAGCCCATTCCGCCTTCCGAACAGGCCACGTCTCAGAATTGTCCAGACCGCGGGCGGAAGCTCCGTCGGCGTGGACAACCCGAGACGGTATTCGGTCAAAATTACCACCATGAGCTGGTAGTAGCCATTCGTTCTTCTCTATTCCTCATCTCAGTTCCATTGCGGATTGGACATATCAGATCTGCATGATGCCTTATTTCATCGAGCTATGCATTATACCTGTCCTTCCTATGAGTGGCCTGCTTGTGCTTTGAGACTGCTAGAAACCATTCCAAAGAGCGTCATTAAGGTATGCTCATCATTAGAGTCTCATGATGGCACTAGCTAAGCCCACGGAGTATTAGCACAATACATAACGTTACTTCAATGCACTCAAGAGAGCTCCGGTTCTTAAAGAGTTGACTAAGCCGTATGACGGGGTCTTTATCGACAAGCGCGATAGTGGAGCACGGGTGATAAGACTCGGGATTAGCCAAGAACCATCCCACCTTCCCCTCCATCCTCTGCATCATCTCAAGTTTGTCCCCTCAACATCATCCTCTTCACAAGGTTGACAGATCAAAGTCGGTCTTTGGAAGCTGTAGAAACATCACGCGAAGTAAACCTCAAGATATGGCGCCTAGAAAGATCATCCTTGACACCGACCCTGTACGATATAATACCCTCTCGCCCCACGTCGCAGCTACTGCTCTTGCGCGTTTCCGGTCTCTGACTAGTCTGGTCTGATACTATAGGGAATCGATGATATCCTTGCTCTTCTCCTCGCACTATCTGCAAAGCCGGAGGAGGTCGAAGTGCTTCTCATCTCGCTTACGTTCGGTAACATTGAAGTGAGAAGGTAAATATCAGGCTCGAAACCATTAAGTGCGCCGACTGACTCCCCAAGTTGCTTGAAAAATGTCGTCTCCATGTTCCACATCCTTGAGCGGGAAATGCAATGGCGTCGGGAAAAAGGTCTGCCGGAAGGATACGGTGCCCTGCGCGCATGTCCCCCTGTTGTTGCGGTGGGAGCTGAAGATCCCTTGGAAGACCAGAAGATGCTGGCAGATTACTTCCGTACGTGACCAAGCCTAGGCACGGGATTCAAACAACGCTGACCACAGTCTTAGATGGAACGGATGGCCTGGGAGGAATCCATGCCAGCGTGAGTAGCGCACGTGTCTCTTAACTCTCCCCCCCTCCGCTGACAAGGAACCTGCAGCACCCGCACTTGTCTCCCCAGGAAACCTGGGAGCATCTATTTGATCCATCCACCGACTCCAACACTATCAACCCAGTCCCAGCTAGTGACTCCGCCAAGCGGTCATACATCCCTTCAAAGCGTCCCGCACATGAAGAGATCCTCCGTGTCTTGCGCGAGAATGACCCCGACACCGTCACCATCGTGGCTGTTGGCCCCCTCACGAACCTTGCCATCGCGTCGGCAAATGACCCCGAGACTTTCCTTCGGGCCAAAGAAGTTGTGATCATGGGAGGGGCGGTGAACCAGCCTGGAAATGTATGTTTCTGCGCCATTCCAGAAACTAGGAACATGCCCGCCGTAATCTGACAAGCACTTATTAGGTCACTCCGGCCGCCGAATTCAACGCCTATGCCGATGCGTTTGCCGCAGCCCGTGTCTATGCTCTTACCTCTCCATCTCCCCGAAGCACCATGCCCCCAGGCACGAGTCTACCAACCTACCCGGCTACCCTAAGCAAACAACTTACCCTCCGTACTTTCCCCCTTGACATCACTCTCCGGCACGGCATGACCCGCGGTCAGTTCCGGAAGGCCATCACGCCTCTCCTCGAAGCTGGCTCACCACTTGCCGAATGGGTTTCAGCGTTCATGGCCCACACCTTCCAGACCCTGGAGAGACTGCACCCCGGCCACGAGGGCGATAAGGCCGATCTCAGTCTCCACGATCCCGTGTGTGTGTGGTATGCACTAACCGCAGACGACAAGGGCTGGAAGCCGTCCGCAACATCACCCGAGGACATTCGCATCGAAACTACCGGTCAGTGGACACGGGGCCTGTGCGTTGTGGATCGCCGCAACCGCCACCGGATCGATAGTGAAGAGGAGAGCTCCAACGACCATGGACTTTGGTTGAGCGCAAGAGCAGGAAACCGGGTGTTGAGAATGGATCAATCCCCAGTGGAGAACACCTTTGGGGGGATTCTTCTCGAGAGGATCTTCAGCTGAGGCGATTTTGTCGCAAGGCCACTTGAATGCTGCTTAAAGGACAACAAGCCATGATACTGAGCCCTGCTCTCCAGTCATCTAATATGCCAGTATATAGACAATATGTAGTGATAGAATTGCATCGGTAGAGGTCAACTAATCGAACAACCTGAGGTGTGTCTGTGTCAATGGCACGAGGAGGACGACCCGAGTAGATGTTAGTGAATGCCCACCCGGCAAAAGCTAGCGCCCACCCACCGAGTTAGGACCTTTGACTGAGAGTACAATCTGGTCTCTCCTCGCCCCTCATTTCTGGTCCGACCCGAACAAGATTTAGCTTCGGATTTCATCAAGAATTCAGCCGAGAGGATTGACTAAAAGCCCCTCCCAATCTCCGCCGGAGGAGGGTTTCGTAACGAGACCCCCGCTATGGCATTCATCTCGTGAAGTACTTTGTCCAGAGGGAGATCCAGGACCGTCATGTTGACGCATTGGCCTACTGGCAGACCCAAGTGAGAGCAAATGACCAATGTAGGGTGACTGTTGAGAAGTCATAAACTACTTACTAGTAGGCTTCAGACAAACTAGCACCAGACTGTAGCTTACTGATAGGTACTTTCTCTGTGGTGTACTTAGTATCACCTATGGATTGGCACATGCCCAACCCGCCCAGGCTTGTGCAACCACTGGGTGGGAGTAGAAAGTGCACGTGCTTGGATGCCCGGTCTGGACGGGACTGAGCTCGGAAAGTCGGAGCCTTTCCCTTCCTGCACCGCGTGTGCGGTGCGTTTCCCCTATGCAGTACGGATGAATCCGGAGAAGATGAGGGTTTTGAGCACGGGCTTTGCGGGTGGTGATGGGGTATGATGGAGAGGTGGGTTGCTACTGGTGAGTGACATGCGTGATACTACACCCGTCTGTTCACTATGCTTCCTGTGTGGATTGTAACACGTTGAAGGCCTCAGCCATTCTCCGCGCCATGGTCCTCCATAGACCCCGTGCTTGGATAGCCTCTGACGGAATTGAGGTATCTTGTGCCGATAAGGGAGCACGTTCTTGGGGTCACTTCATGACACCAATTAGCATTGCGTGAGCATCAGCGTGGGCTATCGAGCTAGATAAGCTGCTGTGTCCCCTCATTTTGTGCGCAATTGACAGCGTTAGGTGGACCCAGGCTCAAACTACGGCACATGCCTATTGCATAGGTATCGTACTCATGTTTCTAGCTTAGTGCTAGGTACAGTACTTAATTACTCTCGCGACTAGCGAAGGTAGATAAGTACTCTAGCGTGGATAGACTCTTGGGAGTGGAAGAGGGGGCTGGCTTAGTCAGAGACTCTCTGGAGTTCAAATTTTAGGGCAGGAAAGTATTGTACGAATGAAGCAAGGAGACTGATGAACGAAATGTGGGCGAGTTGAGAAGCAGTCTTGAGGCAACCTTTCAGAAGAGGGAACGGGGGCACGAGCACCAGCAACCCTCAGAGACTCGGCCTTCTGGTCCCGGCGGCAATTCGGTCTCGTGCCTTTCCCGCCGCCGCTGTCCGGCCAATGATCGGTGGCTCGTCCGCCGCGTGGGCTTCCCTAAGCACGCGACACCTGGATGGGAGGAAGTACCTTTAGTTCTGGGTGGGCAAATCTGTCGATCATCCATCCTGTTCTTTAAGTTTATACGCTGTACTCCGGAGTTGGTAAGTGACTGATATGCCTACTGTAAGTGAAGTAATTAAGTACCTTATTCCAAGACGATTATCCGAATCCTTCACTGCAATCCTCCACCTCATACTCCTACGTCCCCTCTCTTTCTAGAAAATAACTACTACTCTCTCTCCTCCTTTCTCTACCATAACCCTCCCTTTCTCCTCTACTCTTCTTTATGCTACCTCTTGTCTAGTAATGATTTTAGTTCAAGAGTCTTTCTACTTTTAACTCAACTCTCCAATCTCCACTCCACTCCACTGCTACTGTCGTTCCCGCATCCCTCTTACCACATTCAATTCTCTGCTACCGATAACACAGACTGTACAACCTCGCTGCGGGGAGTCGTCCAACATACGCCCACCATAGGCCCCGTTTCACTCGTATCCCCGTTAGTTCAGCCAACACAATCATTAGCAAGCAGTGTCCAGGTTGACAGGCAACGTTGCTTTAACCTCCGATCCTGATCATGTCACGTTCTCATCTGCCACCGACACCCGCCATGTCCGGGGAGCTCACCATCAAGGAGCAGTCCTCGGTGGATGCAGCAGACACCTTTGCTCTGCCTCCTGCGGCCATCAGTCCTGTGAGGATAGTGGGTGCCAGCAGAAAGGCCTCCAAGCCGGATCCGTCCCTGTGCTTTCCCGCCTCGCCCGCCTCGCCCAACCCACCTATGGGCAGTATGGCCAAATCGCCTCGTCAGACTGGAATCAAGAGACCCCTGGAAGAGTTTGATTTGCCACCGCCGCCGACGCGCACCCGCAGGATAATCCAGATGAAGCCCAAGACTCAAAGCCAGCCCAAACCAGTTGCACCGGCCAGCAGCAAAGCCTCTACGAAAGACAACGCCAGCAAAGGCACCGCCAACAATGGAAACACGCCGAATTCTAAGAAGAAGCAGCCCAGCGCCACGAGTGCGGCCGGGCGGAAGATTGCGAGGAAGACCGCACACAGTTTAATTGAGCGGCGACGGAGATCGAAGATGAATGAGGAGTTTGCTACGCTTAAGGACATGATCCCAGCCTGCCAGGGTCAGGATATGCATAAGCTCGCTATCTTGCAGGTACGTTCTTCCCTTGTCGATACAACCCCCCTGATTCGTGATTTCTAATGGCCCTGGGCTTATTAGGCAAGCATTGACTACGTCAACTACCTCGAGCAGTGCATCTTAGATTTGAAGACTGCGGCTGGTGCTCCAGCACGAAAGTCTCCAACTATCCCGCCAGCCCCGCCCTCTCCAACATCCCCCGAAGCTCTCGGGCCGGCCGAGTCAGGACCCTCATCCCCAGATTCCGTCTCTCCAGCACTGCTCCCAACCGAGGCCTCGACCTCCAACGCGACCTCGCCGATCTTTTCTGCACAACCGTTCACGCCGGTCCCTGGCTCAGTCCCCGACTTCCGATGTTCTTTCGCCGCATTCTCTGTCCCGGAACCAGTCCAGCCCTCTCCAGAGACGACCCGCTCGGCACGTGGCTCGTGGGTGGCATCGTCGGCCAGCACCTCGCCGGGGTTGGGACCGCAGTACCCCATCGCATCTCCCGCCGATGTCGACCATGAAGCGTCGGCTGCTTTGCTGATGCTGAACCGTGACTGCCGGGGCTCCGTCGGCTCAGCTCACGATGCGCGAGCACCCTCTGTACAGCCTGCACGGAGAGAAGGATCCAACCAGGGACAATATCCGCAGAGGAAACTGGGCATGAGTGTCATGGATCTGCTCATACCATAAACTATACTCTTTCCTTGGGGTTTTCGTGGCGTAAAATTTTTCTTTCTTTTGTGTGAATAGCGTTGTCAACAACAGCAGGCAGAGACCGGATGGCGTTGCTCAGGTGATTATTGTTTTGTTCTATAGATGCAGGCCGAGGAGTATCGGTAAGAATGGTTATGTCGCTCATGAATGAATTGATACGGCTAAGTTACTGGGCCTTGTAAGGTTCCGAGTCCATCCACGTCGTCACGCAGACATTCCATTATAGCAAGCGAGGCGATGTACCGTGCGCATTCATGCTGGCATTAAGGAATCGAACCCCGCGAAAGAATCCACGAGCGACCGAGCGAGCTGAGGTCTAAATAAACCCCAAATTCGGCTCAGCTTTCGTCAAGGTGGTCCTCCACGCCCCACCAGACCAAGAACCCGTCCGTCCCCATAACCCCACTCATCCTCAGCACAAATACATACAAGCGACCCAAATGGCAGAAGGACTCCCAAGTACTGTTCTGGCGCAGAACAACGATTGCGACCAAGTACCTAGTACCCAGTCAATGCACTCGGAGGCTGGTCCCTTGACTCCCGCGCCCGCGCCATACATATAGTGTACGTAAACTTAGCCACCCTAGCCAATACACTACTACTGGTAGCCTCCTGCAGACGGATGCAAGTAATGCTGCCACACAGTGGCTAGGGACCTGGTCCATGAAGACTTGAAAGTGGTTCGTGGCTGTTTATTCTGAATGGTACGCGACTCATGCATACGTGTGTGCGCGCGTGATTATAGTAAGTTAGTTACTGTGCATAGCCAGTTCTTTCTGTCCGTTCTAGGCGCCTTCCAGCCCGTAAGCCCCTGATTGAGTTATGGCATGTGACTATGTTACCTAGTGACCGTGAGCTTGGTGGGTGCGTGAGTGGAGAACAGGGGCGACACTGGCAGTCTGTTTTGCAGGGTTGAGAGGGTGGAAGGGGCTTGGGGGGGGAGGGGGGGGAGGTGGTGTATGGGAAGCATCGAGGAGGTTTTGATGGCTAGCTGGCTGGCTTATTCTATCAACGGATCGCCAGACGCGTCGAATAACCCGATCAAAACCAACTTGTTCCATATCAACCTCTTCGAGAATAATGATTCGTACGTGTCCCGAAAGAAGAGTTGGATATCCAGCCGGTCTATTTCATTGGGAGCCGCTGCATGGAGGATTCTGAAACTAACTACTCAATCTTGTATGGAGTACCTTAGTTAACTGTTACTACTACTAATGATTGTGCAGCCCGCCTGCAGGGTTTTGCGTTCCCCCACCGGACTTGGCGCCAAAGACTGGGAAATATAAAGCCTTGGCACGATCATCGCTGCGAGGGACTCCCACCGTGCTTTACTTGCTATTACCGGGATATGTGCCAGTTGAGTCGTTGCACAGCGGCTGGCCGTTAGTCCCAAGCTTCATGCTTCGTTCTACAGAGTGACAGGCTAAGAGTGAATTGTTCTGCGTATACGGAGGATCAAAAACGCCGGAATTCTGGTGTCGAGGGTGATCGATGCTGGAATACGGGGACTGAGTTAATGGTATAGGAAAGGGCAGACTATACATAGTACACTTCCGAAGTGCAGTGATTGCAAAGGCCAAATGCCCGCAGGGGTATGCCTGCTTCTTGGGGAGGGTTGCGAGATAAGCATTGTGTGGATGGCCAGTGCGGGAGACAATTGCTTCTTGTGCTTGTGCTTGGAGCCCCGCGGGATGGTAAATGGGGGATCTGGGAATTCCACTGGGTTGGGTTGAAACTTGAAGGATGCTTTTGACTGCAGTGTGGATCTTAGAGTCTACTGGGCATCGAGGGGCAAAAAGAGCTGGTTGAACTGTGCGTATTGAAGTGCTTTGGGCGTGACCGCGGAGATGCCCTTGCTCTCGCTCCCACTATTTATGGTTTGGGCTTACGAGTCGGCGAGCGATGATCTACCATTCATTGTATGGATTGACTGGGCGTGCCCCGACTTTTTCGAAGGATGATGTGAGTGGGGCGAACCACTTATCTTTCACAGTATTTCCCTCGGTAATTGATTAATAGAAGGAAAGATGAAACCAGGTCGGAGTTGGATGGCTGTAATATTGATTCGACTAGTTCCAGCTGTCTCTGTCGGGGATGCATGAGAAAATTGAAGAGAGAAGAGTCAAGTTATGCAGCAGCATTGGGCAGGGTTGACTATCGTTCTTGAAACGGCAGTATCGTACAGTAACCGAACCCCCTAATCAACCTAAAGTCTTAGCATCCACTAGTGTGGCCCGGGCAAAGTCCCCCGCAGTGCCGACATTCCGTGATATGCAACTGACTGCGAGTCGCGTGGTAGCCCTCGACCATAGTATATATCCAACTCGAACTCCCCTGAGCACTTACGCTTCCCCTCGGGTTTTCTTTTCAATTCATCTCATGGCCTAAATTATGATCATTTTCCCCCTTCCCATACCATCCCATCAGCCACACTACCCCCCACCATGTCGAACAAACTCCCCTCCCAACAGCGCAAGAAGAACGCCCGTTCGATTGCATCCGAAGACCCCTGGAAGGTCGACACCCCCTTCGGCCCGCCGCGCATCTCGCACTTCTCCAGCAGTAAGATCCGCCGCATTCGCAACACCCTCCAGAAACTGTCGCCCTCCGCCCGCGCCGAGAAGGAGCTCCTCAAGCAAAAGAACCGCTACAAGGTCCCCCTGACCGAGCGCAACGTCGACGCCTTTGTCAATGAGCAGCTGGTCACCGATGCTTGTTGTCCGGGCCAACATTCCCGCGAGTTGCAGATCTCGGCGTGGTTGGAGCGGTTGTCGTACTGAGGGGTAGCCCTCACCAAATACGACATACAAAGTACTCTGTCAGGGGGAGATACATAGGAAATAGCGACATTCCCACCGTCCCAGCCAGAGCAGAAATGGCAGACTAAGTCTACACCCACCGACACCCACCTTAGCCTTGTTGGCAACTCCAAAAATGGCACATCCCCCCCAAAGCACGTGTCGAACATTGCAACAACACGGGAAGTAATCCAAATAGACGATGGTCTTTGGCTTCATATACATCGGCATGGATGCCGAGGGGTGGAGGGAGTGGAGGCAAGGGGAGGGGCAAACGTCATTGACCTGAGCGCCGAGCCGCTCCCGGCCCCCGCCAAGTATGCAGGTGTCAATTCCATGCATCTCGGCTTTCCTGCTCTATACCCCCCGGATGTTAGCCCCATGCATTTTGTTGTGGGGTTTGCGAATGTGGCATATTTGCGGGTGGTTGATGGCTTCAATTGCTCTCGTGGCGCGGATGCTTTTGTGTTTGAGGATTTTTGGTCTATTTTTAGTATTGTTCTTGGTGATTTGTTTGGTTATTAGCATATGCGACAGCGGCTGGCTTCTATTTGGGAACTACCTATCATTAGCGAGATGCATGGAGTTTGGTCACGGTTGTTACAGTTCAGACGTTATCTTCTGGCTAGCGTTCGTTGGGTTGTTGTATAGCATCGGTACGAGGGTTAATAGCATCCGGTCTTCTGATAGTCGATCTGTCATTTATCCTACGAACATAATTTCTTAAATTCTACGCTTGGTATGGAATCGTCTCATTCTTGTCTAATATGCTGACTGGACTATTAACCCAGAGGTCCAATCTGTGAACGTCAATTTATCGCCCATTGAACATGCTACTAAATGTTGGACACTGAGTGAAGATCTTCCTGGGTGCATGATGTGAATTCTATAGATCATAGTGAATCTCCTTCGACATAATACACGGTCACTAGGTATCCCCCTTCCATCGAGTGAAGCTCCGATCCATTGGTGAATTCACTACACAATACCGGGTTAATTGAATAGGCCCTCATTCAAGACAACCGTCTCTTCCCTCTCCAGCTTATCTATCCTTCCTCCTCCGACCCCGTCCTTCCATCTTTCCATCTTCCCACCTCCATCCTTCCACCTTTTCATCCTTCCGTAATCTCATCTTGACCAGTCCGTCACTCATGAACCGTTCATCTATGATCTACACACTAAACCCAGCCCTTTACAGGGAAAGGACATTCTCAACACGTCCTCAGATAAGCATCAACCTTTTTGGCAGTGCTATCAACTTAACATGAAGTAAACAAGAGCCAGCTAAGAAGGTCTAGTGACCAATCCAAGCTATACTGCGCCCAGCGCTACAGTCATAGTCACTTACACAAGGAGAGAGATGAATACCTGATGGGCTTTCAAGAGTCTTGACGGTAGTAAGTTTGAAGCTATCGAGGCTAGCTAAGGAATCCGGTGGTGAGGCCAGCCATGCAGCCTAGCCAACGAGGCCTAAGACCCCCGTCATCACCGGGAGGATAAAGCCTCGTGCTTGTTCATGAGCAAGCTTACGTGACATTTGCCTCGGAGAGAAACAAGACACGGAGAGAACGGAAGCCCACCGCCTCCTATTTTCAGGGCACAGCTAACCCATCGCAGGTGTGCCCGTACCGCCCTTCCCGGACAGATAGCCTTCTCTTTCCTGTGAGTGAATGAGGATAATAGAAGCACTAACGGCACCTTCGCCTCGGGGAAGAAAGGTGGCATACCTGGCGGGAGGATGCACTTTATAACTCACCACTTTCTGGCGACGACACACATTCAAGCTTAAATATTAGAGCTTGAGAAAGTACGTATTTATGATTGGGTTGTGAGTGATGATCAGCTCATTTTTATGGTGATTCCGCCAAGGCCATTCTCGATTCGAATTAAGAATTGGTCGGATTATGGGGTCTGGGACACCGATTAGGCCGAGTGACCAGACTGTTGAGCCTTTGATCTGAGTGATGCGCTCGATCTAGTGACACTTCAGCTAATCCTGAGAAGCAAAGACGTGTAAGCTCTTCTTGTTTACTCTTCCATTATTCCATCCTATGTTACGGGAAGCTGATGAATTGCAGAGAAAGACGTACGCTATTGAAAAAGGGTAAAGTGGACGCTGTGGACAAGGCCCACGCTCCTAAAAGACCCAGAAGCGACGAGGCTCCGCCTTTGCTATTATTAAGGGACGTCGAAAATGGTTTCGCAGACGACCTGAAGCACGTCGTCACAAAGCGCAATCCGTGCCGCCTTGACGGTGATTGGAGTAGAAGGCCTGATCCAAGGAGGGGCTAACTCCATCCGTGGAGTTTGGAAGCCATCCTATGTGGCCACACCCAAAGACAACTCTACAGGAGTCCAGAGATACTAGTTGACCTCCCACTAGCTCGACAAAAGTACAAAACGTGCTGAGTCACTCTTTTGCCTGGAGCTGTGTTCACTATCTACCATCACTGCGCCTGCTGCTCATTCGCAGTTGAGTCTCTGAGTATAGATGGCTCTCTTTGAGAACGCTTCAAGTTGGGCCAATCGTGGCCAACCCTGCGGTCATAGCAGCCAAAGACAACATCGTTATCGGCTTAGACCAGGGCAACAGCTGGGAAGAAGATATGCCCTCTGAACATGGGACTTACCACACATCATCCTCCTGTTTCAAGACCAAGGTACACCAGTGCGCAGCGAGTGGGCTCGCGACACCACCCGAGATGAAGCAGGAGTACCCAGTTCTTTGGAAGGGACAAACGTTAAGGTGAACAATATAGACAGCGAACATGATCCATTGGGCTGTCGTTCCAGTCGCCAGACGAACCCGATATGAAGATGTAACCCGCCCTTACTTTCGCTGACCTCTTCCAATTATTACAATGGGCCGGGGAAGGGGTGTTTGCAGTATTTTGATATTCACTACACCTTGTGCACCTGATATGCGCAGCCACTGAAACACTTCGCACTTGCATACACAGCCAAACGAACATGCTTACTCTCGTTCTGTCTAAGCTTACCCTAGTCGCTCAGGCAATCTATGCATGCAAAAGACTTCCGTGTCTTTTGATCTAGATATCGACTGATCGGAATTGCGGAGAACCACATGCGTTGTGTGGGCTTAATCAATCAAGCATCTATACAGTACGATTGAAAGCTTGGTTGCATAATCAGACTGAGTGCACTGGACTAAGAAACGAAAATTCACGTCCTTCTAGGTCAGCTGGCTCGATATAAGGATAACTGCCATTGTAGGTATGGACTTCTGTCCACCTACGAGTAGTCCATTGTCTTCCGTCTTGTGGGTGATTTCCGCGTTGAGGTGATCCTAGTCATTGACCTAAGAGAGAGCTCAACCAGGGATTCTTTATAAATATCTCTCAAAGAATGTGTCTCATTTCGGGGCCTCAAAACATTTCTTGCTACTGTCGCAAAGGCCCCGCGACCGCCGCCGCCGCTACCGCCACCCTCCCCCCGCGTACTGAAACATACGCGAGAGGAAACCGGGTGGTTCATCTGACGATGGTTAACATCGTAGCGGCCCCCGCGACTCCCGGCCCCCTGCTCCCTGGACCTCCCCCGCCTCCCGCGGGCACACCCAGGGCTCAATGGGATCAGCCGGCGCCCCGCGAGCGGGCTACCGACGAAAAGTGGGGTGCCTCACTGACGCATTACGCACCGGCGACTGTGATATGACGGTCAACCTGGTGCTGGAGTGCCATGTGGACCTAGGCAATATCAGGGGTCAATGTCATTTATAAATACGCACAAACCTACTAACTACACTAAGTACTCACATTACTCACTGGCGATTCTCGGAGGCATGCCGACTACGAACAGAGTCGATGATGCCTATCTCTGGTCGTGTACCATCCTGTCCGAGATTTGCCGTGACAACTTACCAGGAGAATTGACCGTCTGGTGGAATCGACCTGAAGATCCGCCATTCCTGTCTAAGAGTGAGGAAGAGACATAAGCAATAAAACCAAGAACAATGATTGACGCTGGAATGGGTCAGTTCTCGGCTACAACTTGGGGAGTCAAGTCGGAGAGGTTTTCCCTCGAACCTTGGCAGGAAGCGAGCACATGATAGTTGCAGAGCCGGATTTACTCCACTAGACTGCGAAACCCCAAAACATGGTCTCGGAACAAGGCATGAATCAGTACCCGGCTTTCAAACAATTTCTCCTGAGAATATCATAATTCTACTTACAAACCAGAGTCGACAACGTAAGCCTGCAGTCCTTTGAGAGATAATGAATATTGGGATATATGCTATCCATATTGTACGATATCACGGGGGTCACGTGACCTCGAACCTCTCAACACCTCTCAGTCATCCGAGCGTCTCACCAATAACAACACCTTAATAATAACATATCTGTCACAGAGGAGAATCTGAATACAATAGTAAACCTCTTCTGAATAAGCTCAACTTTCTGGCGCCTAGGCAAGACATTATGTACGATATCAGGGTCACGTGACCTCGGACTTCTACACACCTCGCAGGCAACCGTGTATCCTCAGTAAAAACACACCAATAATACACACATATCTGTCACACATTAAATTGTCCGCTCACCTCACTCCAACTCATCAAAGTACAAAGCAGACTTTATGAGTTCGCGAATCCGCCTCCTGATGCTTGGTTCGCCCAGTTAATGGGGAACGCACCTGCCATTCTCTCGGACATTCCATCCTGGACAGGCTTGCAGCCTCTGTCAGGTCGTGAGAGGCGCTGGATAGCGCAGCCGGTCCTGCGGTCCATCGCCCTTGTGGTGAGAGGCTTCCTGCAGATCGCCTGCGTGGATATGCCTTCACGTTCGCGCCAACGGCCAAGACGGCGACAGTGAGGGTGTTGTTCTCTGTCTTCGTAGCGCACGACCTAAGCTGCAAGCAAGGCGAAATTAAACAAAGCCTCTCGCATGGTTCAACCCAATGACTTTGACGACAGACCCGGCCGCATGTGTAAGCTACTGCTGTCTTTTTATGGCCTCAAACTGTCTACCGGAACTGGGGTTACAAGGTTGTAGAGGTTGCAGCCGATGTCAGACTTATTCTAACCGAGGCTGACCCCTATCTCTTCGTCAGAGCAGACGAGGTAATCTCCTCCTTCATATATTGACGATTGCCAGGTCACTAAACCAGGTAAAAATGTTATTTGTGCCCAAGTTAACAGACTACACAAGCACTTTGCCATGAACGGATTATGGCATCTCCTCTTGATATCTCGACATGAAGATCGAACGTGAAAGTGACACGCTTCATCGGATTAACGAAAAGACTTCCCTCTGTTTTTTTATAGACTCTGTGGAGCTTTTTGTGACCCTTGTCTCGACCTAAAAAGTATAATACAGCGTCCTCTGATATGGTTTTTGACAGGAACGCCATTTCCCATATTACTGAAGAACCTTGTCGGTATTATAGGATTTATACGAAGGGGTGAATCGAATACACATCTACAGCTTGGTCTGTAGAATGCGATTCAGCAACTTAGGCATATGGGTCGACAACTCAAAGCCCTCCGAGGGACTGGCAGACGAAGCTTGAGGGTCCACACTGCACTGCAAGAATTCAGAGAGTTTCTGCTCAACTTGCACTATATCCGCAGAATACATGTGATCAGAATATTCGATAACCCTAATTCCACTTGCGAACAAGACAACTAACTGCCCAATCAATAAACAATACGCAAAGCAGTTGATAAAGGAGGGAACCAAGCTTCGCCGTGCAATTGAGTTTAAAGGCTATCATAAAGGTCACTAGATATCTGTAGCATCGCGTGTGCATTTCTTTTCCCTATTTATGTGAACCTAAGAAAGAGATCATAAATAGCCAGAATCTGTATAAAAATGGGTACTACACATTGACAGACCCCTTTCTGGTCCAGAGAATTTAGGACATTGTTTCTACAAGTAGTAAATGGTAACAGCTCAGAGGTTTTTGTCTAAATTGCAGCTGGATAAAAAGATAGTCATTCGTCTCAGACTCAACCAAAATGTATCAGGCCCCTGGAAGATCGGTGCTCTAGTTTCTACACATGGGGAAAATCACAGATAGTGTAACCGTACTCACTCTCCTTTCGCTACTGTCCATCAATAAGCATGGGCCTGTTAGGTAGTGAGGTAGTAACTAGGAGAGAAGCAAACAACCCCGTCGTAAGTATGAATAAAAAGAAAGCATTACCGACTTCGATCAGCCAAAGATCTCATCATCCGATTCTCTTCGCTAACCCTTTCCTACCCTCTACCAGGACCCAGAGTCCGCAACTTAAAAAGACCTCTTGTATCCGTACCTGTATCCGAACCCACGATCCATGCCCCTATGCCCATGTTCCATAGCCCAAGACCAATGGCCCGATTCCATCTCTACCAGAACCCTCAATGAAAATCAACTAAACGGGAAGACAAGACAGAAGAGGGAAAGAAAGAAAGAAAGAAAGAAATAAAGAAAAGAAAAGAAAAGATAACGAAACGAGGTATCGGCACGAGCGCCGATTATTATGGTTGTATCAAAGACCCACGTTCACCCAGACTACCGGGAATGTTGTTGAAATCCCCCGTGTTCTTCCTTCTTCTCATGACATGACAAATCAGATGGGTGGGACAGTCGGAAACAGGTTTGAACGCGCAGAGATAAATCATCGCTAGCGATCGGAACTGTTGAAATGCTTTGATGTATGTACAACGAAAAAAAGCAGTGGCTCGAATATCAGCTGCTGTTTCTATATTAGAAGCCGAGTGAGTAAAATGTATTAAAAAGGGGTTGGCAGGAATTGTATGCCCAGTGTTCTGTTGCGCGTAAAATCCAAATTAAGCCTCTTGAGCCCAGCGACGTTCACGGAGGGGCATCTCCTCTTCAGCTTGGACTCGAGACCCGTCCGTCTCGCGACGCCAGGCGTAGTATTCTCCAAGGCGGAGCTCGGCGTAAGATGCGTAGTCAAAGTCAATCTGGGAGATTTGGGCTTGGATGAGAGACCAGATTCCCCTGTGTATGCATTCAATGGTCAGTAATGCGATCATGCAAAGTCAAATAATTTGGGCCAGACAGACCAGTATAGACCAGGTATTCCACGGAATCGATCCACATCCTCGTAAAGCCGTGCAACAATCTCTGGCTGAGAAGCCTCCGGGATTCCCTTGTGCTGGCTGTAGCTCTTTACGTATTCTGTCAAAAACTGGCGTCGAATCGAGCGCGTCGGCATCATGTTGTAGTCACAGTCATAGCCGCCCCATTCGGCAAAGTGGTTGGCTATGTCGAAAGCAGCCGGAGATGGAGTCGCGTATTCGTAATCGATGAAGTTGACCGTCGCAGGTTCTTGATCTTCGGCGGTTGTGATAGCGCGTCCGGTTTGGTTCTGCTCTGAGGGAAGGACAATGACGTTGGCACATAGGAGATCGCAGTGGGAAAAGACCAGCTGTTATGAATGAACAATTAGAGGTAGAACGACAAAGATTGGTGATCACGATTCTACGTACGCCGCCTTCACCAAGTCCCTTTCCATCATCGAGCTCACGCACAACCCGTTCAAGCTCCTTCTGCAGACTCAATCTGCGCTGACGCTGCTCCTCCGTCGCCGTGGGAAGCGCAAGGATCCATTTCTGGGTAACAGTCCAGATGTTAGGTCCGGGCTGCTTGGTCTTCACCACGGACAGATTATCTTCTGCCTTGAACGGTTGCTGGTGATCTTCCAAATCGACGTCTACTTGTTGCTTGAGGGGTACATCATCGGAGTCCTGTGACGTAGCAGGGGTGCCACAAACGGGCAGGACAGCATGCCACTGCGCCAGTCGTCGGGCAACCCCACGCCATACTGGAGGCGCCGCCAAATCCTCGTGGGTGGCCGGCCGACCTCGGAGGAATCGATACAATAGGCCATTCTTGAACCGAGCCAGCAGCGGAGGGGCAAGGCCATAGCTAGCGAGGAGAGCGTGAGAGCTCGTTTCTCCTATAGATTCGAAATTCTACTCAGCAATTGTCGCAATGGGCAGAGAGGGAGGAAGGGAAAGGGGGGTCGCTTCTGGAGTGGTCCCCTTTCCCAGGTGTGGCATACTTTCGCGGTCTATAAGGATCTCTGTGTGGTTACCGTACGCTCTCATGAGTACTGCATCGTGGTCTATCTGCTCCTCGGTCAAACCGGGTTTGCGGTTGATAATCTTAAGAAGCTAGTGTCCAACGTTAGTTCATGACACTTGACGACGAGCATTCCAGTGCCCCTTGCAGCGTCGAGTCTGCGAGAAGGGCTTGGTTCCGGTGGTAAACACACAGTATTGGTTATGCCATCCGTGAAGCGCACGAATTCAATCTTGTTATCGGGGCCCTCCCAATCAGGATTGAGGGTCAAGATCAGCTGAAGCGCAGATGCATGCGAATCGGCATGGTTATAGGACAGCGGGATATAGCGCAGGGCAGACCCGTTCTGTTGGCACATGGTCATGGCGGTAGGAAAAAGGAGCGAAGGGGTTAAGGAGCAGTAAAAAAGTGTAAAGGAAAGTCAGGGGGCGTATGCGAGCAGTTGACCACAATGCTGCTAGTATTAATATTCTATAGAACTCCGAAGCACATGTCAGTGAGGGCCCAATCGAGGTCTGAAGGAGCGAAGGAGGTTTTCTATTTGAGGAGTCCAAGAAATAGGATAGAATTAGGAAAACGGGATACATATAGGAAGTTCCGTACCAATCAGCCAAGCCCGGGGGAGGGGGTCTTGAAGAATCTCTCCTAATCTATTAGCTGCACGGATTCGCAAGTTCACGCCGTAAGGGACACGAGTACAAATTGGCCGGCAATTGATACTCTGGAAGCGAGCAGGAAGATATGATGGGGTAGAGTGGGACAGGTAGCAGAAGAAGGAGAAGGGGAGAGAGATTGAAGTGGTTGCTGGTCTCGTGCCCAGCGCGCCACTGATTGGTTTCGAGCGGCGGGCCCTGAACGCCCCTCCTTTTTTTTCCGCCCAGCAATTCAAGCCTGAGGCCGAGGAAGGCAACCAACCACTGCTCGTGAGCAATGACGCGAGATTGTTGCACGATGTACTCCGTAAGATGACTGCGCAACGATACACAGTATTCCGTAGGCACAATCAATGAGATCTTGACTTCAAAAATAAAACGAATATTTGTGCAATCTTCAATCTGAGCTGCTGGTGCTGGAGGAACCGAACTAAGCTGCTTCTGGCCTCGTCTTCTCAACAACCACCCAACTTCTAGCATGTGATTCTGCCGCTCCGCTCGAGATCACGTGAGGTCTATTGAGCATCAAGCACGTGCTGCCTGTAAACCCCAGCCCTAACAGCCGCTCTTCTCGGTAATCCACTAGTCCCGACTCCCCTTAGCGGCTCCACTGATGCAGGGTATATATACCCGCTGCTGCCGACCGCGACTTTGATGATTTTCTTTCTTTTTTTCTTCATCATCAGTAGCGGTTTACTTACTTTATGTTATGTAAATCAAACCGGGGCTCCGTCAACGTACGGCTCGCTGAGGGTTATCTTGTGTGGGATTTTTTCTCTATGGGTTTCTCCTCCGTTCCCAGCCTTGGAGAGCAACAACGCATTCCTTTTTCCCTTACAAACTATGGCTTGGCTAGGGTTTCTGCTCGCAAGAATAGATCCCCATGCGCATAAGCTGTGGAGGAGGCGTGACATTCCGATCTCAAAACACTTTCATGTTGGTGTGGTGAGATCAACTGTAATTTGTAATCAACACTTGCATTTGCGAGGTCTGACTGTCCATTGTTCACATCATCCCATCTGCAAGTGGAGTGCACTATCAGAAGAAGAAGGTCACTCATGATCTATATATAGATCGATCTGGTGCTCTGGAAATTCGAAGGCGATCCCTTGCATTCTTGCTGGACACTGCTAGTCTTGCCGGTGGTATCGCTACGGATTATCCTGGTCGGGCTTTTGTGCCTGAATTGCATTCGTTTCATAATATGCATATTTGCAACCGATGCCATTATATGTCTGATTATCTGGTTTTAGTCGAACGTGGTATATTGTATTTCCATAATCCGTCTCTCAATACTCCGTATACTCAAGCCCTTCCAGCCTTGCCGACCTGGATGCGCTCTCCAGTCCACTTATCGTCGCTGCGCAACACAGGCCAGCTGGTGCCGTCCGCCTTGATCAGTGTCAGTTCCAGCTTGGTTCCCATGACACGGTACTGGGACTTCACGGGATCGATCGGCGCAAACAGCTGATATGTATCCTTGTATCGCTTGTTGTCCGTCGTGGGGAGGTCCAGCTCGAGGGCGGTGGCGGAGAATTGCACCTTTGCGTTCTCCTTGTCGATCTTCTTGAGGTACAGAGAGACGTTGACGGACGATGGCGTTTGGTAGAAGTCGTTCCTATAGAGACAGAAGAGAGAAAAAGACCATGTCAGCCATGCTCCGCGCCTGGCGCAACCGCTGTCTAAGCGGCGTCTGCCACTCACCGGACTGTGTCCACCTTCTCCTCACCCGGAGGCTTGCCCTTTCCGACGAACAAATGCTTCGTCTTCTCCTTGCAGCCCTGGATCTTCAGGAACTCGTCGAATTCGAGCACTCGCTTCTTGCAGCAAGACCATCCCTTGCTGCCCTCGTGGAAGATAGGTGCGCCGGGGTGGAAGACACATTTCTCCTCCTCGCGGGGCACGGCTGCGTTGTATCCCGAGTTGCAGCCCTTGCGACGACAGGTGGCGTTGGTCGGGATCTCGAGATCGGGGTCATCGGACTCGGGCTCTTCGGGGACGGGAGTAGGCGCATTGGAAGGTGGGGGAATGGCGGGCGAGATAGCGTGGCGGGGAGGCTCGGCTGCCGGCGTAGGAGCCGGAGCTGGCGGAGCTTCCTCTGCGACAGGCTCTTTGGGTTCCTGAGGGGTATCGTCGACAGTCGAGTGCTTGCCCGTTGTGCAGGGGGGGATGGCGAGGAATTCATCGAAGGTGAGGACGCGGGGCTTGCAACATTTCCAGCCTAGGTCGTCGGACAGTGATTAGTCCACGGTGGTCTAGAACGAGCAAGCTGGGCCCAATGTATAAGACCTCCGAGATGTAACAAGCAACTCAAAACCAAAGATTATCAAGATTCCGCAAGGTCCTTAGAGATCGTACCTTTTTGACCCTCGTGGAACACAGGCGGGCCGGGATGGTAAACGCAGGGCTCTTCAGGGTCGGTGAACTCCTTCCCGCAACCCTTGTGGACACACTTGGAGGCCATGGTAGCAAATTGACAGTGCAAGATGGTGAGACAAGGAGGAAGACGAGCGGCTTTGTCTTTGGATGGGGGGAATTTGTCTGATTCCCTCACCGTGAGGGAGAAATGCGAGTTTGTCGCATCGAAGCGCGCAGAACCGCCGCAGGAAGGCTGGCCCAATCGGGCTTAGCCCGGGGAGCTCGAAGGTTCCATCCATCCCCAAACTTCCGCCTGCTGTCCGCATCTCTTGTGCCTCTTTGTTGCAGGTGTTGACTACTTGTCTGCGCTTCAGTCATGTTTCCCACTGCCGTTCGTCTTTCCAACGCGGTGCGCGTCACTCTCTTTACCCGCGCCGGCTGCGGGCTCTGCGACACCGCCAAGCATACTGTCACTCAGCTGCATAAGCGTCGTCCCTTTGAGTACGCCGAGACGGACATTGCCCTGCCCAACAACAAGCCGTGGAAGGATGTCTACGATTTCGACGTTCCGGTTCTCCACGTGCAAAGCGTGAAGGAAGACGCGTCTCTCTCCGACCCGAAGAAACTTTTCCACCGATGGACCGAGCAGGAGATGGAGACGCTAATCTCCGAGGCAGAGAACAAATCGTGACACTCGAGTCTTTCCAGCCATGATAGCCTAGTCATCACTATGCATGACAATAGCATGGGCTGTCGGCAACGGTATTCCATCCAAGACAGTCAGTCCGTGCGCATGGCAGTACCAGTCTCGTATCCCCCGCCTCTCACGGTAACAGCGTGAGCAAGGCACCGCATCGGCCATAACCCGATAATGAGGCAGTACGATGCGCCATTGCCCTCTCAATCAATTTGGAATCAGGCACATGGCATGCTTGTGAGCATTGTTCGGTCACCTCTGTATCGCGACGGGAACGACAGCAATATATCCTGCAGCCATGCGAGATTTTCACATCTTTATAGCTCGAGTTCTTCCACAGTAAGCTGCTTATCGCTTACTTGTTCGGGCGAACTTGCTGAGCCTACGCCGGCTTAGACCTAGACTATTGGTTCTTTTTTCGAGAGAAATCATACCAGATGTAGCGATCAATCTACAGTACAAATCTATCATACCAACACTCTCTTTCAACAACCAGACAGACATGCAAATTGTTGAATTGCATTTGCTCATCTAATCAAACAATATTGTAAACTCTCACATTCACGTTCTCACACGTTTCTCATCATGATAATCCTGGGCTTTCCATTCAAAAAGGAGTGCTCTCTCGCACCCTCTATCAGCGTCCCCAACCCCATCCACCCAGACCCTCTCTCCCAACCTCAGAAGAACAAGAAACACCTCTAACCAGAACACCCATGACTTCCCTCCGTCGCCGGATCCGTACAACCCCCGGCACACAGCTGCGCATGCCCCACATCCCCCGGGTTCTTGCAATGGAACAGAATATTGGCTAGATCGTCATTCTCGAGCCCCGTGCCTTGCAGCGCGGTTTCGAGGTCTGCTTCCGTGAAACCTATTCTCCAGATCAAGATCCAAAATAGTTAGCCGTGGCGATTTGAATTGTTATGGTAGAGTGCAGTGGATTCTGCGTCTCCCGGGAAGTGCACCGTGCACTGGGGGATAGGGGATACCCAACCCATCAGGACCGGACACACAAAAGAACCACCCACCAAACGTCCCCGTGGGGTTGGCAGGAAAAGACGTAAAAGAACAAGGGGCAAGGAATCACTAACCTTTCGAACTCAACAGCTTGTTAGCGCAGTAATCGAAACTTGGGGTGCAGGTTTTGTCGGCTAGGGTGGTACCCGTGGTCAGGGCTAGGAGGGTGGTGAGGAGGAAGGTTGTTGGTTTCATTGTGATACTGTCTTTAGGCTTTGGTGGGGTAGTACTCCAGTTGGAAGAGGAGAGAGAGAAAAGGGAGATTGAGAAAGGAAGCTAGATCTCTTTTGAAATGTATGGAGCTTCAACCCTTGATAGCTATGTGGGGAGGGACTCCTAATTAAAGCATTGGAGATTCTTATATTATCCACTCAGCTTATACCACCCCATTCAGACTTCAGGGGGCTGGGATGTGATGGCATAGCATTCTCTATGACTCGATTATTTATCTCGGGCTGGCCCACTGCTCAGTGGGAAATATGGGTGGAATGCGGAGAAAGGCGCGTGGGACCTGGTCATTGGTATGATGTACACACAAAATAGCCTAGATTCTAGAGCTTAAGTCATGGACTTAGCTTTCTTTTCTTGTCTTACAATCTTGATGCCAGGTATGTGCTTCCTCATTCTTGAGCAATGTCCTTGCTGCCAGGATCCAAGAATCGTAGGCAGAGGACGAACAGAATTAACCGTCCATATATATAGGCAGGGCATCCTCATTCCAAGTGGCGCGTCTAGATCCAAGACATCAGTTGTTCACCTACTAGAATCGGACACACAAATCTCAGATGAACAAACATTACTATTTATTATGACTATGGGCTGGCTGGTGAGTAAACCCTTCCGAGACTGAAAGAGCATCAGCAGCCAGTCCCTAACTACCGTAAGAGCTAGGTAACTGCAGCTCGTCCCATCCACAGGAAGACCATCCAAGCGGTCATTCCCCTGCGAACAGAAAGCAAGAAGAGGGACTGAACATCCATGAACCTCTCTCCATCGACATCGTAAAGGCATGAGCAGAACAACACCCCAGACCCAGATCCTCCCAACCAGGCCCAAATATCCACCAAGCAAGTAAGCGATATACACGTGAACCAATTACATAAGGCGTTGCCAAGCCAAAAATGATGAAAAATAGTCTGCAAAGAAGATTCATGAGCCGGACCCGTCCGGCCAGAGGAAAAAAGAAAATAAAAGAAAAACCAGAGAAAGACCTGCATCGGAGCAGGAGAAGGGGTGCGCAATCTCAAACTGCGCGGGAGCGACCTCCCTCGCCTCAGCATTCAGGATTCGTGGTAGGACAGAGCCCAGATGCTCGGATGCGTCCACTGCAAGACTCAGCGCAATGGTGTCCCAGGCCTAGAACCACATGACGCCTGCGACTATTGCTAGCACAATGGCCATGCAGCTGCCACTGCGCACCCGCCCCGGTTCAGCTTGGCCTTCAACCACCTTCAACTGCTCCATAGCAGTCGTCGTTGCGGTCGGAGCAGCAGATGGCTGCGCTAATGCATCGATAGACTGGGTGAGGGCAGCTGAACCTCTGGCTTCGGCCTGCTCATGCTTCTCTGTTGCTGATGCCGAGTTTAAGGCATATTTCAGGTGCGCCTCTCGCCGCGAATCTCGAGGTTGGGACGAGTCTTCTGATTTCACTATTTCCGAGCAATTGGAGGATGTTGTCACGGCGGGGTCTCGAAACCTATCACGGCCCGTGACGGTATCCATATAATCGTTGCCAACACGACAGGCCTGCTGCCATGAGGACCAAACACATGATAACAGCCACTTGGGCATTCGAACCAGGTCGGTCGTATCTGATATCGTACGGTCTCCGCTACCAATAGGTATAAATAGAAAAAGGTCTTCTTCATGCGAAGGTATCATCTTGGCGGAGCTGTTCGCATAAGGTGAGTTGCGACTCGGTGAGGATTGATCCACAGAAGCGGTATCGCGTTCGGCAGGAAAGGAATGAATGGCTAGCGAGTCGTCTGTTTTCCGGATGATCAAAGCCTGTAAAGCGCGCACGCCGCGTCTGAAGGCCGACGAGTACTGAACCGAATAGGTTATCGAATCACTATCCAGAATTGCCGCGGCTTCAAACGAGCTCCGGGGAGGCGCATCCGTGGGCGGTTGTCGTGGCCGGGAATTCGAATCGAGGTACGCCGGGCGTTTATCATCTACCGACCACGGCTTCGATTGTCCGCCTGCTATTCGGAATGGTGATCGCACATCGACCCAGCCATCCTTATCCCGGGAAGTATCTGCAAGAACCGGAAATGTAAGCCTGAATCCTGCGCCAGCAACGAAGCAGAAAGAGAAAGGACGCGCTCAGCTCATACGTCGAGGTTCGCCGCGGACATAGCCAATGTGCGCAAAGGGCCGACTATAATAGTCCCATTCTTTCGCCAAAGACGGTACAAGACTCAGCAACGAAAAGATCAAGAGCGCGAAGAACGGAATGGCCCCAGATTTCTGAAAACCCGACCGCATCATACACAACTCAGCGACCTGCGGGCGCAGGCCTGACTGTCTCTATCCGCGAAGACGCAATGCCTGATAGTCGGTGAGAATCTTGCGTGATTGCGGAAACTGGCAAACAGGCAGCTTCATCGCCGGAGGAACGAAGCGGAGAGAACCAAGAAAATTATCGGGGGGTCAAATTCGCAACGTAGCGCAAGATCGGGACAGATGAATCCAGGTTGTCTGGGGTGTGACCTCGTGGGCGGTTTGTTTAATCCTTTTCCTCCTGGCGGTCCGGGGTCTAGTTTGGAATCCTCTGCGGGTCTCAGGGTCTTTTGCGGTTGACAGTGCTGAATGGGATGCTGATTACCCCCTCTTCGTTTCTTGGGCGATGGATACTGTCGATCAACCCGGGCGGTCGGACGTTCGGTGAGCAAGCGCGTCTCCTAAGATTGAAACCCTCGAGCAACGTAAAAAGCCCCCAAACACACTTGCAGCCGGCGAGAAGGACAAGAGCCGCGAACAAGTAAAAAAATTGCCTGGGCTCCCACAATCTCCCCAAGGTTTCCCGAGGTGCAGGAGTCAAGCACCGCAATGACGTAGAAGACCGCCGGGTCGTAACGTAAAAACGAACTCGTCGGGTTCGCAAGCGGGTGTTGCCAAGTCGGACTATCAGAGGGAGGGCTGTCGTATCTAACGTAAGCGAGGGTCCATGATTCTCGTCTGTGCTTTGAAGTGCTTGGAATAGTACCTTTTTAGCTATAGAACTAAGTGATTTGCGAGATGTGAAATCAAGCAGGTGGCAGGTAGAAGTCTTCTTGGAATAATAAGATCATAGATGGAAACTAAGGGGACGAATGATGGCTCCAGGGCTGCCAGTGACATGGATTCGGAGCTCGTATGAAAAGGCAATGCGGATCTCGCAACTGGCCAATTCTCTAAATGCAACCCGCTGCAAACTTTCGGGGGTACATCTGTCGGCCTGAGGCAGAAGTCCCGCTTGCATGCCACACTTACTATGCTATGTATGCACATTGTGAAGGTAAAGCACTTCACACACAACATATTATTTGGTACTGCAAAAGAAGTACGAAAAGCGCAGCGTAACAGCAGATTGCCCTCCACTTTTCCATCCCAGCAAATCTAAATAACAACGTGTGAAACAAGTATATACAGCTCTTGAGCAGGTAAGTATACATCAATAACTGATAGCGTACACTTTGCGGATCGAGATCAAATAGGATTGATGATAGTGGGATCAGGCACGGCAGGCGGTAGAGATTCAGCACTTGTCGGCTTCACGGAATAGGCTGGTCGAGAGTGGGCTGTTGTTCGAGACGACGGGGTTCGAGATCCGTCGCTTCGTGACTGTTCATCCCTGGGCGTCTCAGCGACAGTGGTACTGCCTGCTGTGCTGGCTTTCCTTACGCGTTTGACCATCTTGCCCAATATACCGACGATCTCCGCGGCATCTTCAAAGCTCTCGTCGTCCATGCCCTCCTTCGCGTTGTATACATCTGCGATTGCCTTCTTTGCTATCCGTCGACAGGCAAGTGGATCATGGAGGCAATCATAGAGATATGCGGCATACTCGAGCTTGATTGAGAGACGAAGAGGATGCGACCCCGGAAGAAAACGCTCCGCCAACAGTACGGCATAATCGAAGCATTGCGTAGCCGTTCTAGTGTAATCAAGGGCTGGGAGGAGAAAAGCAGACATCGTTTTCGGCGGCTGAATCGGTGCAAGGCCTGGCGGAGCCTGCGTAACCTTACGCCGCGGCGCACCGTCCGCAGCTGCGACCAAATGATCGGGAATTGATATGATCTCGGGTTTCGGCTGGAACGAGTACCTGAATTCCGGTAACCTCTGCGGCAGACCTGCGTTTGTAGTGCTGTCGGCAGGCGGTGCATTGTTCGGCAGATTGTCGATACCCCGTGCATGAATAGCAGGCTGGTTATGAAATAACACAAAAATGTGGTAAAAAGAGGCTCTCAACTTGTACGCGAGAATATTTAGCTCCACATAAATTTGTACACGGGTAAGAACGAATTCCTCTAGAATGAGGAGACCTTCACGAGCAAGCCATATGATGTGATAGTAGAGCTGAAGTGATTTCGTTTCACGGGTTGGATCAAGACGGCGCAAGCGCCGTGCACGAAGCAGTTTCTTGGAAAGCATGACGGACAGGCCCAGTAGCTTGTAGAGCATTGCGGACAGAAATGGATTTTCCAGGCTTGTTGTGGCCGCGAAATTGCCCAAGGCTTTCTGGTCCACTTCGGAGGAAGCCATCCAGTGAGTCAATGATTCAGTATCTAGCGGAAGGCTTTCGCCAGTCACATTAGCCTTCGCCATGTTCGATCGGTTTCGTCAATGTGTGTGCTCCGCAACAACCCGCATGAACTTGAATCGGTCAAGACAAGCCAGACCGTAGGTACTGGATGTTGACCACGGCCGCCATGCGATTTATGCAAGCCAACTCAATGGAGAACGGCATAAGGGGAAGAGGCGAAGCAGGGAAAGCCGTCGAAACTTACCTTGATTGCGCGTACAAAAGATGCGAGAGGATCAACTACTGTAAACGTTGCAGCTGCTCATGCTCGTGTTCGGCGCTCGAAACGGAAACTGACTCCCTTGACTGGTTCGGCGTTTCTGGATGCCCGGCTAGATTAGCGATGGTGGGGTTCTCCACGCTCCCACGCTCCAACAATCGAATGCTTCTTAATGCTGTAGTTAATGCTGTAGTCCCGATTTCGAGTTTGTGACTCAGTATGCAGCCCCAAAGCAATGAGGATGTTGGATTGCGACTTGTCTGATGAGCGTAGCTGAAAGCAGAAAGCCGCCAACGATCAACGATAAACAATATGTGACATGTAAATCAGATATTAGGTACGTCTAGCGAAGTGCTGTGAAACCAAGGAGCTGCTGTACAGTGAGAAGCGGATAGAGACGCAAAGAGACAAATTCGCAAAGGAGCAGAAAAGAGTAGGGTGTGGTCTGTTTGGGGGTTCAAAGTGAGTAGGTAAGTTGACATGCATGCATAGGACGGATTATGCCAACCGAACAACAAACGGATTAGTGCAACCAAGACCCGCAGGACAAGGTAAAGATGAACAGAGAAAAATGTTAGAAACGCAAGGCAAGACTTTGCTATGAGATTTAAGGAGCCAATCTTGATGCATTGTGTGCAACTAGACGCAGCAAGGCATTGACTGCACCTCTCCGCCAGCTTGTTGCTTGCAATGACGGAGGGGGGAAGGGTCAATGTCACGATTGATATCAAGATCGGAGTGTGCTGTTGCACGAGAGAGGCTTGATAACTAGAATTGGTATCTCCCTAAGAGATCTCAATAGACCAAAAGGGAATCAATGCTATCAGTCACAGTGGAAGCAGTGGGTCAACAGTTGCTGCTGCGCAGAAGCGCAGTTCTTGGGAGACTATGTCAGTAATAAATTGTTGTGCGAGACGATGATGCAAGGGCAGGTTGACTGCCCGAATGAGGATGTCTTCGGGATGCAGCGAAGTGGGTGAAGCCCGCTACGGCGTGGGCGTGCTAATTAAAGTGAGGTGACTTGCGGCGAGACTCCACCATACATGCACTATACATAAGGAAGGTGAAAGTTATCGAGACCTAGATCATTGATCAGGCGTCAGTCTCGCCTCGTTACTGTTCCCGCCCCAAGGCGGAGGACGTCGGGCACGAATGAGAGGGATCGTTAGTTAGCATCCCAGTCCACTTGTCATGGCCACATTGTTTTGATAAACTGTCAAAAAAGACAAAGTGGCATGTTGGCTGCTCCCGTCCCCCTCCCCCAAGGGACCAAGCCATGAGACGGGAGGACAGCGCATCAGCTAGTTCGATACGTGTCAGAGCCCAACTGCTGAGTTTCCCTGCCTTGCAGCTCCTGGACCAGCCGGCGCGATGAGATAGGATTAGTACGGTGGATCGTGTCTCCAGCCTCTCCTTCGGCAGCAAGAGTAACACATAGGCTTCTTGACGGCGAATGCAGAGCGTTGGGTCGCTCTGTGGCCGAGTAAACCGCCACTGGGACGCATTTTCCGGCTAGAATTGCAAGCGTGGGAGTTCAGCGCCCGCGTGGTTGTTCAGTAGAGACGATCGGATAACGGCAGGAGTGTATTCAAGCTGACACAAGGAAACGATGACGACAGTCGGCAAATGTCTATGTCTAGCATAGCGAGGCAGTGAGGATACTTTGAGCCAAGCTCACTTAGAAGCGATGATCAAGCAGTTTGCCTCTTCTAATGTTGCCAGAGGTGTGGTTATGCTTGAAGGGAAGGAGATAGAAGATGATCATGACGATCATGATGATGATGATGGATGGATCCCTCCCTCCCTGCCGGACCCTTCCTTTCCCACCCCGCAGGCGGGCAGGCAGGCAATTGAATCCGCCACCGCCTAACTGACCGCTACAGGCGCCTCCGGGGCTGTGGTGGCTTCCCCCGGTATTCCAACAGCCTGGGTGGGATCTGCTAAAAATACAAAAAAACTCGAGATTCGTTTCCAAGTTAAATAGAATATGTGCTAGTTTATATACATGCACCAGAATCCATCAATAGAAACCAAGAAAAAATAACAATCATGGGCCGTAACATCGTATAAACTAGGTCATTGATTGCCAGACGAGCGGATCAAGCCTGTCAATTTATGTCGTCAATGTCGTCGCTTTTCAATAGACCAACGAAAGCCCTTGTCACAAATGTCTTCCAAACACGGTTCTTCTTCTTCTTTTTCTTCTCTACCTCGATACTTTGATCGTCAGAATCGTGATCTGTTTCAAGGACATCCAAGTCGGCTTCACCCCCATATTCAAGAGAAGAAGATTTGCTCTTCTGGCCTCCTCGCCTAGCTATCCGTGAAGCAAGCTTGAAGAAACTGCGCACAGTGAGGTCGTCCATCTTGTAGATCTTATCGTCGCGAGTATTATACTCGATTTCATAGACAAAAATCTCATCCTCTTTCAATCCCTCTTCCACTTCACCGCCTGCTCGATTCGCCATCTGACTATTGATTCTGGTTAGGTTCGCAAAGTACTGAGTGTAACCGAGCCAAGAGAGCGCTTGATTCGAGTACGCCGGTCCCGGAGGCGTGGCCTTGGACGGAGGGCTTGGAACCTTGAAATGGGGCTTCTTGTTCGGCTTTGCCTGCGTCTCGGACAATGGGCTACCGTGCTCCTCCCCCATAGGCGCACTGTCCAAGCTGCTATGATGAGGAGTGTCTGCCCAGATGGCTGTATGTTCCAGGCCGGTGATATTGTACTCGACGACTCGCAATGTCGGGAAATAGTTGGGTACCACGCTGGGAGAAACCAACGAGACGCTGTATCGTTCCGCGAAAGGGCCACCAATCTTCTTCAAGAAGCGCTTCTTTTTCTTGGACGTTTGGACTGAAGTCTCGTCCTCATCGAACCACTCGTCCATCGAGAAGCTTTTCGACTTGCCCGAGGCAACGGATGGCAACTTCGACCAGTCCTTTCTGAGGCTAGAGAGGTAATCCGATCGCGACCGTGTACTTATTTCGTCCGAATCTCGGAGGTCACTGAGGTATGCAGAAGACTCGTCAACGCTAACGATATCCACTTTGCGACTATCCTGGAGCATGAAATGGTCGAGGTTCATGTGTCCATAGACACTGCCTACCACGACGTCCCGAAATCGGTGTAGCCACAAGGTGTACTTTTGCCAGCACGACTCATCCCAATTGCGCTTGGAGCCAGCCCGAGCCGGAGGGACGTGTCCCATGAGAATTGCCTTCATGTGCCTCCCCCGCAACATTTCAAGCTGCACACGCAGCCATTCCATATGTTCATAGCCAGGTTCGGATTGCGCAGAACAGCCGTCCACGGCCGAATTCGAGTCGAAAAAGTACATTGTGTTCAGACTGATCACAGCCAACTGCTCAGGGATTACCTCGGAGATGAACCAGCCACCTTCCACGAAGCTGTGAAGCTGATGCTCGGGGATGAAATGGGACCAGATCTCTCTGTACTTCTTCGTCCACCGATTTGGGCCGGCCTTGAAGATGTTATGGGGCATGATGTCGTTGTTGCCGAAGGTGGGGATGATGGGAATCGAGATCCCTTTCACCGAGCTTTCATCTCTAAAAGTTTCCACGAACTTATTGGCAAGCAATCTGTTCAAGTCGAGCACCTCCTCGGGCTCCCGGGGGTTCTTCTCGTCGTTATCATGGCGAGCTGAGTCACCGGTCCAGATAACGAAGTCCACTTTGCCCTTGAGGTTCTTCTCGATCCAGCGGAATGTTTCGTTGATCAAAGTGATAGGCGAGTCGCAATTGGTTCCTTCAGCCCCATAATATCCGGTCGAGCCGTCTCCTCGATGGCAAGCTTTTTCAGGTGACGTTCCGGGCTTATAATACGAGTCGGGATGTAAGTCTGTTGGATGTTAGAAGGGGTGTCTCTTTCCTGCTGTCTGCAGCCTTGTGCGTACCGGTTATGTGCAAGAAGCGACCGGATAGGCCCCGAGATTCCGATTCGACATTGTCTTGTAGCTCAAGATGAGGTGCATTCTGAACACCATTGTTGCCCAGCGATTGTTGTTCGAGGAATGGAAAGGCGCACGCGCATGTCGCAAGCAAGAAGAGCGCCGGTAGCAATTGTGACGGAATCATTGGGAGAGATGAGCTGAAGAAGGAACAAAAGTCCCGACAATGCGGGCAACCAGTGTCAACCTCGATCAATAAGAATAAACATTAAGAAGTAAACGAGGATACGGGTATGATAATAAGCCAAGTGTAGAAGAGATAGCGTGTGAGCAATAATAAAAATAATTATACGAAGAAAGAATTGAGATTTCGACTGATCTGCCGGTTAGGCTGCGAGTCTAACGTCACGTCACTCCTTCCAAACTACCAAGAGCCAAACCGGGAAAAGCGTCAGGAAGCCTGAGGCCGAGACCCACTCGATATTCGACAGCAGCAAAAATAATAAAACCACAGACAACGTCTCTGTCATGACAGTTGCAGGCTGGTCTGGACATTATAAATGTTCTTCATCTGTCCTTTGGTGAGGGATAAGGGCCAGGAAGTTTGAATCATCAGCAGCAGATCCTGTGGCTATACAGCCTCGCACTATGTACGCGGATGCATTTTCTACTACTTTTGCAGGCGTGTGACCCCTGCGGAATGTACCCTAATGTAAGGTACCTGTAGCCTGTGTGATTTCCTGTATCAACCACGTGCCTGTCTCGTCGGATGGGATTGAGGGAGTGAGCATTCCTTAGCAGCTGTTAGTGCAGCTCTTGGTGATTGAATGGGTTCAACAAGGTCCTCACCCGAGGCAATTTTCGAGTTGGTGGTCAAGTGCACCCGTCCAGAGTGCGATTTAATAAGCCGTTTGCATGACTTTAGGACTGACAGCCACAAATGAGTTGTACGTTGCGGAGTGTTAGCGTGACCAGTCGCTGGTTCAACAAGCCGTTGCCTTTTCACTGCCTGCAAAAGAGGTGGAGCTTATGCCATTGCGATGGAGTAAACAAACCTCTGGTCAGACAACATCGAAATGGACCGTAAAATCGCCGACGACACAGAACGCAACATATACACAGACACCGTATTCAAACAAACCGATTTTAGACTGCTTGACCGACCCAACCAATCTTAGTCTAGTCTAGAACTTATAGTAATTTACAGTGGATTAACGATAGTCATGAGTTAGGGCGATCACCCCTCCAGCGCGTGCGGGGCACACTGCCTGCGGTATAGCTTCCCCTCCGCTCCGAGCTTTCGCCGCGTAGATCCGGCCCTCAACATATCACCTCATCCTCCCAGTCCTACCTACTCGTTGGTCAATCAACTGACACTCATCGATGCACACCATGTCCGGCTATCCTACTCTCCAGCCCGCCTTCACGATCAAGGTGAATTCCCTCCCCAGAACACAGCTCTGCCACCGACGCACAATCTAAGCCAAGCATCACGCGACAGGTTACCATCGAAGCACCCCTGGGCGTCGGTAAGCCACCTCTGTATCCTCGTCACGAAGCTCGCTTGAAACCACACTGATCTCCTCTCAAAAGGCAGCGCATCCCGGCAGAATGCCCTCCAGGTCGTGGTAAGCAGCTAGTGGCTCATCGGCCCACCCCCGAGTCAGCTAGAGGGACACAGTTGACACATGACACAATATGAGTCCAGCCCATGACCGGCGGCAGCATCAAGAGCGAGCCTGGGTTCTCCCCGGCCATTGATGCGGAATTTGTCGGCGTCGGGAACGACTACATTCACGCCGATGCCGATGGCAAGCACTGCCGCTTGAATGCGCATGCGGTTGCTAAGTATGTCGCTCGCTCTCTGTGACAGACCCTTTCTTTGGCTAGACCGTCCGCTAACTCTATCTTAGACCTAAGGATGACAACGATGTACGTCGTCTTTCCATCGTGCTGGAGAATGGAACTAGATTTTGACAATGCACCGACTCACTAGCTCATCTACGTGAACTATACCGGCGTTGTTACGCTGGCCCCGGAGATCCAGGCGGTCTTTGCGGGCACTGCTGAGGAGGGCTCGACGCCGTTTGGCAACGCTTGTGAGTCTCCCGTGGTGACGTCGGGAGCTTGAACGAAATGAATGTAGCTAATGTGAGCCTCTTATAGTCACCCATTTCACGTTCGAGGTAAGTCTTGCGTGTCTCGACGGCTTACTGGAGCAGCGGCACCTAACGCATAGAATCAGACGGGCAGCGAACGCTACAAGGACCTCGAGTCCCGGATCTTCGTCGCGCAGGGCCGATTCAACATCGAGAAGGGCAAGTCCCCTGTGGTCGAGTACCGCGTCAGCCAGGTCCTTCAGGGTTAGAAAGGCCGCTTTGCCTAGTGGCTCATCCGTAGCCATCCACGCAATCATGTGCAATGCACATGGGCAGAGTAGGTCTGCAAACGTGATCGTTACATTCTCCCTGCAATATCTGCGTTGGACTAGCCCTCCAGGTAGTAGTATAAAGTACATCAAACACAAGACAAGACAAGAGACATGATACCCACGACAGCCTCCCACATAAGAACCAACTGGACATACCCTTTTCCCCAACAATCAAAAGACCCCCTCACCCCGAGCCCCTAAGCAAAGGCCTCCTCTCATCGACAACAACCCGAACCTCATCCTCTTCATCACGGGGCACAGACCACGCAAACCCCAACCACCGCCTCAACACCCCACCGCCCCACGATCCACCTGGAGCCTCAGCACCACCACCACCAATCCCACAGGCACAAAACTTCCTCTGCGCCATCCACCCAGAAACCAACCTCATCAACCACATCAGAACGCCCACCAGCCCGATCGCTGCCAGCGTCCCCACGACCGCCCCAACAGCCGTGACGAAAGTAATAGTGCTAACATGACACCCCAACGGCAGCGCACGTAGCTCCCACCGCTCCTTGGACCCCAAGGGACAGATCGCGGCCGAGTGGAAGGGCGCAAGAATCGGGAAGCGGGAGGGATTTGGGACGCATGTTGAAGACTACATTGTGCGAGACAAGGGGGTTTCCCCCCTCTGTTGTTAGTTGATGTATGCCGAAATGTGTCTTGAGCAGCCCAAAAGTCGCTGGAAGCGATGAATGAAGGGAAGAGAGGCAAGCGCAAAGTCCTGGAGGCAGGTACTCCAGGATATCCATGATAGCCACCAGTAGGTGGCACAAACACAGCAAAAAAAAAAACTTACCACTGCGCACCAACCACAGGGGAGATCGCCCTGCAAGCAATAGTCACATGACTGCCGCCGCCAGCATAGATAGAAGAGGTGATCGTCCGTGTTGAGGGAATGGGATGAGTTGAGGTCCATGGCCAATGGGGAGAATACTACTAAAAGATGTGTCTCAGATTTGGGTATCTTGGTTTCTGGTCAAGGAGGGTCGGGTGAGAGTGTGGTGCGGAAATTTTGATATCATGGGATCGTGGGAGGTGTCACCGGGAATGGAAGGGTGGTGGTGTGTTTATTTTGGGTGGGAGGTGTTGCGTGCGGGGTTTGAGTACCCCTGGTTGGATTTGTTAACCACAAGTACGGACAGGGTAATAAGTGGCTGAATTTAAGATATGGGGTTTTCTGTGACTCCCATTCGGGATTGTTAGTATTCAGCGATGGGACATTTTGTGATTGCTGCATATTGGCTTTTGTCTTGTGTTTATCGTCGATGGAAGGAGGATCGAGGCTTGAGTTGCGGTCAAGTAGAAATGTACCCTCATTTCTAACAAAGCTCAAAAGTTCCAGAGTCATCCAGATGATCTATTTTGATGGAAAGGTAATATGGAAATAACATGACAGAAGCTCGGCGCTTCTGCTGGGAATCGCTATGACAGATACCCTTCGAAGATTCCGATCGTAATTACATCGCATTAAACCACACGCTTGACCTATGCACCGCATTTTGTCGTTAGTGAAAATGCCAACCATGCACCAACGCAGGAATCTAAAAACTTGCCTCGAAGAATCTCTTCAGCCACCACACCTGGAAGATACCCTCTCCGATCAGCACAGCGAGCTGGAAGATACTCCACCACTTCACCCGGGCATTGGTGCTCTCGGCGGTGTTCCGATGTACCCGTTCTCTCACGACAATGTACGACTGCTCATCCTTGACTTGAGCCAGAGCCTCAGACAGTTTGCGAACTAATGAAATGGTCAGCTCACATAGCTCGCTCCTGCGCGGGGCAAGTTTGTGTGTCTGAAAGTATTTCTCCTACCTTCGGTCTCGAGAGGGTCCTGCGCCATTTCGTGCTCCGGAACGTACACAATGCCATGGACGTTGAAAGACACCTCCTTGGAGTTGGAAGACCAACCCTCGTTGCTGAAGCAGTAAACATATTTTCCATCCGCGTGGGCGTTGAAGGAGTAGTCCTCCGACGAAATGGCGTGCTTGTAGTACTGGCGGTTGTTCAGGGGGTCCTCAACCTAGAGAATGACAAAGGTAAATGTCAGCATCTGCTTCAGACAGATGAAGCCACCGGGGTCCTTCAGGATGCTCATCGACCACGACATGTCCACAACAGCTTTGTTCCCGCGGAGGTGGAGCGCCCGCCCGGCCAAGGGTCACAAGAGGAGAAAGCCATACCCAAAAATCGATCTCCAGGTTGCCACTGCCACCGAATTCCCGGTCGCCGACCTGAAACGTAACCGTCATCTTATCGTCCTTGTGCAGCACCTCGTGGAAGCACTCTCGGGAGTGAGCCTTGAGCTGAATGTTGTGTGCGGTCACGGCGCTGATCCACCCCAGCGCGGTGATCAACAGGGTCGTCGCGGAGAATCGCATGGTGGGCGAATTGGTCTTGCTGTTTCCACCTGTGGTGAGAAAGCCCAGTATAGTAGGTATCAAGCCCTGGAGGGAATGGGGTGGTGTTTCGTGGTGGGTTGGAACCTGGCTCGTTGTCGTGGTTGTTGGACATCGGGACGCGCAAGGTGGTCTCTGTGCTGTTGCTGGGAATTCGAGACGCTCGGACCACCTCCCAAATCCACCCGGGCCGAAGGTTCGATAGTATAACTTGCTTCTCATGCCATCGACAATTTTATCTACCTTTTCCAAGTGCCACGGAAGTTCAAATTATACTGACTTGAGCTGATACAGACTGTAGTTTTCGGTCTCTCTGACACTTCGCCAGTCACCGAGAAATGCGTGTACGATCAAATAGAATGCTATGCATATTTCGGTAGGAGACGAATGAACGCGCCTTCTAAACGAGATCTATAGACAAGACGGCAAACCGCATAGCAATGGTAATGACTTGGGAATGTGGCTTTTAACCTACTAGTAGACTACTACCTGATAAAAATGCGGTGAAGATTTGAGCAGTTCTTGCCATTACAAAAGCCTACCTGATGTCCCTGCACTTCTTTCGTGCGTTGACCACGTTCGCAATGTACGAGCTGATAGTGCAAGCTTATCACACAGCTCAAACCATATGCCGCTATGCCCACCTACAAGGATGGTGACCAGCTTCTACGCTTGCCGCTCTAATCCCTCTTGCTACGCAGCTCAACTGCGAAATCACTCGTGACGGGAAGAAGGTGAGATGCACGATTTGATCGTGCTCCCATCCTACCATTCATAGGTGAACCTTTGAGCAGCTGACTCACTTCTCTGAGTAGAGAAGGAGAGGCGATAGAATACGACTTGTCAAGCCTACCATCATGGAGAGTGTACGTTGCCAGCCCACTAAAGAACGCCCGAGATACACTGAGCTCATCTAAGAATTCTAGCTCCCCGGGGCGTACAAGAACCTCCGGGCGAACAGGGACCTCCGGGCGAACAGGGACCTCCGGGCGAACAGGGACCTCCCGAAGAACAAGGACCTCGTGGTGAAGATGAGCCTGGCTGAGAACAGGAGTCTGGCAGAGGATCGTAGCTGAACTTATTATGGCGTGGCTGAGCTCCTGATGATCCTGTCGCTCGTCGTGACTATAATACATGAAGGACCCTCTTGGGAGTTGTGAGCCTCTGAATGACATTCGTATCCAGGGTTAGCTGTTCGCCCACACAGTCCTCTTTTCGCATCGATCGCTCCGATTTTCCCCTCAATTACTCAATCCATCATAGCCAGAGTCAGCGGTCAGTAACATCCGCCTAGCGAACGAGAATTCGAGCATCGAACAGCGTCATGTTGCTCAATTACTACTCAGAAAGGAGCAACCGCTGTGCGGCCGTCAGCTCGGCGAACAAGTTCGAAACCATTTCGCTCTACTGTGATGTTTGGCAAGGTCAGTGCTCAGGTACCCACCTGCCTAGCATGACTGGATTCATGGCCTGCAGGATCAGTCTACTGTGTAAAGTGGGAGCCGATACACAGATTGTTGCGGGATTTCTTGAGTGGGCCGTTTCCGCTTTTTTGAGTGTGACTGTATCCCGATAGTATCCGTCCAAGGTTTCTGTCGATATGAGTATGCGTTCGAAGTGGCCGTGGTGACATCACCTTGTGTGGAATGTCCCTCTGTATTGTGGTTGAACCAATGCCGGACCACCACGATCATCTTGGGTTTCCACGTTCTCGGCCCTTCGGTAAAACAAAGGGACTTGCCAGAGGAACCACTTTCATTGACATGCGACGGAGGAAACCGGCGTCATTGAAGGATTAAGGCGTCTTGAAACTGCCCTGTTATACCTGAGTCAAAGATACTCCTGGTGGAAACTATCAAGCTTCATTTTGTGGACAATTCAAATTTCTGTTAAAATTGAGCAGTAGTTGAGGAAGGACGAGACAAACAGAATATTCGAAAGGCTAACCAGATTGTATCCCTGTGAAGTGTGGCTATGGTTCATGGAGTCGGTCGTCTATATCTCTTTAAGGGATCAGTTCCCAAGTCTAGACCCTGACGTTGTGGTGGCGGATCGGCGGAGGCCACAGCCGGAGACCCCAACTTAAGAAAAGGACGCAAGGGCGCCCAGGGTTTAACGGGCGCTTGGCGGCTTTGAGTAAGGCTCGCGGGGTCTCCGAAGCAGGAAGCGGACCCTGCTCATCCTCCACTTCGAAACCCCAGAACCTTTTACTGCCGTCAATCGGATGCCACTTCCACCCTCAGCATTGCACTGGAGAGCACTGTGGATTCCAGAATCCCCAGAACGAAAAAAAATGGTCCCAATGATTGGTACATCAGTAGCGGACCTCATCACTTCACTACGCCTCTCATTGGAGTCGGAAACATGGATTGCCTCAGAGCATGAACCACCTGAAAGGGCGGGGGTCCATGGTTATTGCTCGTCCACTACACACTTTCATCCCACATTGGGCTACTCCCACTCGATGAGTGGTGTTCGTTCTGACGTACTGCACTGCGCTTCTTGTTCTTATAATAACTTGGCTAATCCGCACCCCCTTTGAGACGTTGCCCCCCTACCCAGGTTGTTGCTATTTGTGTATTCTGTCCCTTGACGCTCATTCTGTTTATAGACGCCCTGCGCTCTCTCTTTCTTGCCCTTGCATCCTTTACGAAAAGAGAATAACCGTCGAAGAGGGGAAGGCTCTGTTCTTGTTTCTACCTTGCCGTCTTCACTTTCATTTCGCATTCTTTTTCCCTCAGAATCATTTTTCATAAGAATATCAAGGCATTCTTCCATTACCCGGCCTCCAAATATTCTACCGAGTCCACAATGCACATCGTCAACCTGCTGCCTGCCTTGTTGGCCACCATCCCCGTTGTTGCCGCCAGCCCCGCTGCCACCAGCCCCGCTGCCACGTCCAGAGGTACTCTGGGGTTGGCCCTGGGTGACAAGAACGCGGACGGCAGCTGCAAAGCAACCAGTGATTACGAGGCTGATTTCGAGGCGTTGAAGAGTGTTACGAACATCGTCCGTATCTACTCTGCGAGCGACTGCAATACTGCTCAGAATATTATTCCTGCCGCAAAGCTCAAGAATTTCAAGGTCGTCTTGGGTGTCTGGTATGCACTTTTTCCTGTGGAGCCTCGATGATGGTGATTGCTAACCTCCATACGCGACTAGGCCGGATACCACCGATTCTTTCAACAGTGATCTCAATGCCTTGAAGCAGTCTGTTCCTGGCAATGAAAATGTCGTCAGCGCAATCACTGTCGGCTCAGAAGTTCTCTACCGCAACAGTCTTACTGCCCAACAGCTTCTGAGCCTCATCCAGCAAGTGCAGGCTCAGTTCCCAAACGTGGCCGTGGGCACTGTGGATAGTTGGAATAAATTTGCAGATGGAACTGCTGATCCCATCATTCAAGGCGGTGTCACGTACTTGTAAGCGACGCTCGATAAACAACGCCTTGCCGAATATGCTGCTAAGACTGACCAACCTCTAGATTGGCCAATGGGTTCGCTTACTGGCAGGATGTTTCTATCGACAATGCCCACTCCGTCTATTTCAGTGATGTCAACGATGCGAAGAACCATATACTCCAAGTCGCTGGCTCAAATGCTAGCAAGATTCGCTTCGGTAACGGCGAGACTGGCTGGCCGACCGGTAAGTTATTTGAAGTGCGAAGGACTTTTAGGAGGCATATCTCGCTAATACTTTGCAGATGGAGGATCGGACTATGGCCAAAACTCCAAAGCCGGCACCAAGAATGCTGAGACGTATTACCAAACGTCTGTCTGCGACATGCTAGCCTCGGGAGTAGACGTCTTTTACTTCGAGGCTTTTGACGAGTCGTGGAAGCCCAATAGCGTTGGAGACAACGGCCAGTCGATGGATGAGAAACATTGGGGACTCTTCACTGCCGATCGTCAGCCCAAGTTCAACCTAAACTGCCCAAACTAGAAGGTTGAAAGAAGCGATTTCAGTGCGACATGGGGCCTGACGCGGGTCTTTGTTCCTGTTGTCTTTGACCACCATCACCTGTAACATATGCTTTATTCTGTTCTATACTTCTATGAAACGCGCCCCGAAGGATGCTAGGGCCTTGATGGGCTTTGTCTCTTGAGAAACCTCACCCGACTCTTAAGCTTTCCGTGGTAGACGTATTTTAAGTTCGAATGCAGGAACAAATCTTATTTCCAACGCAAAACCTGAGATCTACAAGCTTTGCCGTGGTTACTGTAGAAGAAAGTGAAAAGTCGAAGTCGTGTATGATGCCAAGCGGGGACTAAATTAGTCTCGTCTCCAAGCCTGCCGAGCTGGAATGTTCATTGTTCAATGAATGATAAGTTGTAAGCAGATGCAAGCCACGGGAGTCACGGGCAGCCGAGGGAACCGTGGTTCGTTACGCTGGTAGCGCAGCTTTACCCCTGAATCCAACCAACACGCACTTGTTTACTTTATGTATATGGGGGAGGGAATCTACTCCGTTCGTATTGTGTAGCAGATGGAGCCAGCACATCGATCTCCCATCTTGAGATAAGACTGACTGACTGATTGACGGCGCGCTCGCCAAGACATGTCACCCAGCTGGGACATACATGCTTTGGAGGCAGGCAGCAAATCCCTGCATTTGGTAACTAGTCATTCTTAACTAAATACTGAGGGAATGAACACGTCAATGGCGGTCAAACACCCAGAGTCATGACATGAGGTAGAGGTGAAGGTGAAAGTGGATGAGTTGGCCGACTATTCATTGCTAAGGAGAAGAGACTAAACCTGAACCAGACCGAAGGCCACCACTAAGAGTCGAAGTAGAGCTTTTTACCATACTTTACCGGCGTTAACTTACCAACTCAAGTCACTTTTGCACCATCTGAACTTCCCTCCCTCCCCGGGCTTCACGCCAATCGTGTGTTTTTTTCCCGCCTCATCTTCTTTTTCCTTTTCGTTCTTCCCCCCAACCAACCTATGCGCCATGTTCCAGTCACTTGCATTCTTGAGGGTCTCTCGGTAATCCATTGTCTGCTGCCTCTCACTTTCCAGGCCTCCTCCACCACCATCATCACTACTTGCCCCCCTCATCTCCTGCTCCCTTCCCCCGGATGTCTGAATTGGGTTGTTCATCCATTGTCGGAGTCCACCGCCCCTGAAGAATAATTCCCAGTCACTTCGCGCCAAACAACAACCACATCAACATCCTCAACAATAACAACCCCAACAATAACAAACCCCCTCCACCACCATCACAACCAACATACTTCCTATAGGTACGATTTTGCAAAACCAATTATCCTCCCTCCTGTGTTGATCACAGGTTTTCTGTGAGGTAGTGTCAGTCTCCGAGCTTGTATTCCATGCTCCATCATTCTGGACAATAAGGGGAGCAGCAAGCAAGTGCTTGCTGCAGGAGACGAAACGGAAGGTCTGTGTGTCTCTCTGTCTGTCTGTCTGTCTGCCGGTGTGAATGGTGTAGCTTGGCTGCATATCTGCCAGCGTCCACTACGTCCCCTCTTTTCTTCCCCCCTAAACAACCAAAATAAAATAAAAATTGATTTCCCCTCTCCCCCCCCCCTTTTATGGCGGTGTCGCGCATTCGTCATTTCATGCCCATGCTTCTGTAGCCACACTAAATATGGGGCAGAGGCTAAACGATCAATGCTGTGGTGTCTACAGATCTAGGTCCCTCCGCATCTTCCGCCAATTCGGCGCTTTCTCCGCCGCCGCCGCCGCCATCTTTCACCCAACCGTTCAGTCTCCGGGTTGATTCGCACTTGACTGTCCCATTGACCTCGTTTCCTACCTCGCCCCAAACGTCAAGCCTTTCGGTTGCTGGATCCCCTGGCCGGTCGATCTCCCGCAGCGTTACGCCGAACCCCCCGAACTCACTGCCCATCCTACCCAAATATCGAGGCGCTTGGGAATCCTCGACCTCATCACCGGAGAATAGAAGGGCAGAGAGCAGCGTCTACTACACAACCGCCTGGGGCTCACCGTATGCTGCACCTAGCCCTCGGACAATTTCGTGGTCATTGAGTCAGTCCGCCGTTGCTGTAGATCGTGGTTCCGGAAATAGCTCTCCGGCCTCGATGCGCAGTGGTGTCCAACACGGTCTTGAAACGAATCAATCCGACCTTTTGAGACCTTCTGCCCGAGACAACTCAACCCGACGCCCATATAGCCGTCTGCTGAGTCGGTCCCCGTTCGGTAGGAAAGGAGGGAAATCGATCAAGGACTTCACGCAGGACTGGATCAACCAGTACCTCTCAGGTCAACCCAGAACAGAGCGTGGTAACTGGCTGAGTGACGATTCAGGAAGCGAAGCTCCCTCGTTCTTTACAGCGCAGAACTTCGCAGAAGACACTTCTGACGACTGGCTGGGTCTGGAACAGGACGCTCTCGACGAAGACCTCCTGAGAACCCCAACGCTCGCCGACTTTGGAAGCCGGAAAACAGCCACTGGTCGCGGAGAAGGCAGTAAGAGGAGTAAAGACTCTCTGCACAAAAGAACGGATACGTTACGGCAGGAGGACTTTTGGGGTTTCGCCTACGATAAGGACCCCCCGTTGATAACCATGGATTCCACAGACGCACACGTCCCCGCCGGGCCGTCGCAACCGCAGGCACCGCCATCCTTATCGATCGAGAAACCGCTGCCCCCACCCCCCGCAGACGAAGTCACAGATACACCGACCAGTGCAGAACATCCGCAAGAGCCCGTCGATTCTCCAGCCGTGAAAAGCCTCGGATCAGAGCAGACCATTGTTCAACCGCTGGTACAACGACAACGGAAGAAGCTGATTTGGCGTGGCAAAGTATGCAATATCGCGCTGCCGTTCGATGACAGGAGAGGCACAGAGGAGTCTGGATATCGGCTCCTGACTGTCGATGATGTCGAAGAGCGATTGCGGAGTCTTGAAGAACAAGGGTACGACACCCGCGGGTTCAGTGTTTGCGCGTCAGATGACTTAACGGATTTGGGACTGGGTGGTCTGAGTCGCCCAATATTTCCGGATCCGCGAGAAATGCATGAGGACTTTGTCTCTGGCAAGTTCGGCGTTGGATTTCCTGACAAAGCCGAATGGGATGCATATGTCGCTTTCCTCCAAGAAGAAAAATTGCGGGCTCTCGGTGTATCTCTAGGAGATGATGAGCCCAAGCCGTCTATTTCGCCTGCTTTGAGCCAGATGGCCTCCTTCCCAGGTCTCGTCTCATCACCCCCGATCCCAACGGCATCAGCCGCCAGCAATCCGTTGTCCATGTCTCATCACTTCTCACCGCAACTGAGCCAGCCAGGAAACCCTGCAACTGGCCTGGCTTCGCTGGCTTCTCCGGCCTCTCAGTTCAGTATCCAGACGCCGTTCTTGGGAGTCGATCAGAATCTGATACCACCGTACTCGATGCCTTTTCAACCTACTCCGCCAGCACAAAATTCTCTCACGCCTCAAAGTTTCTTCAACCCTCGACAACCTGGTGCCGCGTCTACCCTGGCTGGCACATTACCTAACCTCACCTCAATCCTGTCTCCTGTCTCTCCTCTGAATGAGCATGGCGCTTTTCACCCCGGCTTTGGCGATCCCAACTTCGTTGACCCTGGTTATGGCGAGCATATGGGCATTCCAAAGGAATCGTACGGCGAACACGACATCCTTGCTAATGCTGCCGAAGGGCAGCTATTACGTCCTCTTCACACCCCCACGGAGAATCTTGATAACTTCCATGCTTCTAATGTTGAAATTGCTCAACCGACGCCGCGCGGTCACAGTCATGGCCACAATCTGAGTGAGACTCTTCAGAAGGGACTGGACAACTTTGCGCCTGCCTATCGCTTGGAAGAGTCATTTGATAGACAGCAGCTCGAAGCTAATGACCGCGATCAACATCTGGGTCACTTTGATGGTACTGAACTCCTGAAGTCTCGGTGGGCTTTTGGAGACAACCTGGGAGTCCAGCAGCTACCGCAGCACATGCATCAGTTCTACGACGGAAACTATTCTGGAGAAATCGCTCATGAGGGTTCAGACATTGATACCAATCCAAGCCTGTCGGGCACGCCCCGGCGCGCAGCGCATGTCAACAATGTGCCTTGGCATCAGTCAAGACCTAGTGCTGGCTCTTACGTCGGCGGGCACCGTTCGAAGCTTTCCGCATCTTCTCTCAATGTTGATGCTAAAGAATTCAAACCCACTGCAGCGCCGACGTCCCAGGCGTTCACATTCCAAGACAACTCTTTCCAATTCCAAGCGGGCGGAAACCCCGTGTTTACATTTGGTGGACAACCTGAATTCAAGCCTGGCAACAATGGCTTCGGTTTGAACGCTCCTCCTGCCTTCACCCCTGGGGTCCCCAACAACAACACGAAACGAACCACTGGGTCAGGCGAATTCAAATTCTCTACGGCTTCATTCAATGTTGCAGCTCCTGCATTCAATCCTGGTGGTAGCACTTACTCTGCTGCCACGCCGCAAGAAACTCCAAACACTCAGACCAAGATTTTCAGCGACGTCGACCTTTCTCAGGCGTCGTCGAAAGCTTCCAAGAAATCCAAGGCCATTCCTATTGTACGACCGGATGAAGTCGACGAGGATAGACGAAGCAAGGATGAGGACGAACATAACAGTGGCAGACCAGGCCGTCCAGACCGTCACAAGCGTGCTCGCCGTGGCGAGGAACTTTCAGAGACCGAGGCTCAGCTCAATGTACCTGCTGCATTAGCAGAAGCGAGCAACCTTCAGTCTTCTCATTTGCGTCAGCCATCCCACCAATCTGCTGCTGGTAAGGAGAACATTTTACCTGGCGATGGAGGCGCACATTCCGCTGTTCCAAAAACTCTTTCCGCGCAAGACGAGAAGTTTACCGCAAGGAAAGATACTCCCATCAGCGAGGCTTCGACCTGGATTCCACATGAGTCAAGGATCGAGAGTAGTGTTGCTGTGCCGGAGTCTGAATTGGAAATCAAGCACACTGCGCCAGAGCCGTTCAGTCAGGTCCAAGAAACCATTGAGCGCGACGCTGCCGAACACCAAGAACAAGTTATCCCCGACTCTACCGACAAGATCCTACCTTCTGCTGAGTTGGAAGCTACATTTGCGAAGCAACCCACCAAGGCCGCTAGCCTACACGCCACACCAAAACGGGAGCGAATCCCTGAGCCAGCTCATGTGGAGGATGATGATGAAGACTCTCCGGATGAGGAAGAGCTTAATGCTATCATGGAGCAGCTGAACGATGATTCGGACGTTGGCATTGAGCGGATAAGCACTCCTCAGCCTAAGAGCCATGTTCCTGAATCTGTCATGCATGTGACCAAGGAGAAACGCCACGTTCCAGCTGATATCAGAAGCGAGGCCCCAAGCCCAAGCCCGGGACGTGGTCCAGCCCCTAATGCATTGGACGTGCCCAAGCTTGACTTCGAGGCTCAATCCCAATTCTCTGCCTCTCCTTCAAAGGGTGCAGTTTCTGGCTTCCCTTCACCAGTCCGTCTACTCGTGAGCCGAACCGAGCACATCAGTGATTGGGATGATGTCATCTCCTCGGGCGAGGATGAGAAACTGGTGAACCGAAGTCGATTCTTCGATCGTCGAATCAATGATCTTGTGGGTTCGACTATCGACGAACGGCTGACGCCGCTAGAGCGAGCGCTCGGGGTGATCCAGGAGTCTATCATGGCTCTCACCTCCGGCTCCCATACCAGACTCTGGAGCGCATCTGCCGACGGTGACAACAGTGATGCTGACGATGAAGAAGATGAGTACGAAGAAAATGCATCTTTCAGTACCAGATCTCATCTACGTCAAAGAGAAAAGCTTGACAAGCTGAAGAGTGTCGTCCTGGAAGCACTAGCGTCTCACGCACCCCAACAGGTCAAAAATGAACTCGCAGTCTCCGAATTCGCCCAGCTGCGCGAAAGCGTTTCTGCGTTACAAGCCCTGACCATTCAGAAGTTGTCGCAGGACCCAGCGGCCGAGCTCAGAGAGATGATGCAAGAGCTGATGTCAACGCAGCGTGATGCGCGCTCTTCTGAGACGGATGAGGTCCCCACCGAAAGTCTGATGCTTCAAATCGAAGGTTTGAAGAACATGCTTCGACTATCTGATGAGCGTGCGGACCAGGAGTACAAACTCCGAAGGGAGGCCCAAGACTCTGTTGCAGAACTGCAGCGACTCCTGAAGGTTGTCGAAGAGGATGCTGTCCGTCACAGCGAGGCAGCAGAATCTGCCGAGGCCCGGTTGCTGCACTTCAAAGCAGAAAAGATCCCTTACTATGAAACTGTTCAGCACAGAGCCGACACGCTGGAGCAGGAGCACAAAACGATGAAACTCACTCTTGCTGAGCTTTCGTCCAAGAACATCTCGCTTCAGGGCACTCTCGATGAGTACAGGGTCACGGCCGATAACTACAAACGTGACAGCGAACAATCCAAGGCTGCTCTTGAGGAGGCCAAGACCGAGAACAAGAGTCTACATGGCATCGTTGAGCAGTTGAAAACACGCCTTGAAGACGGTATGACCGTCCGGCAGAACCTCGGTAATAAGCTGGATCGTCTCCAGGAGGAGATGGCGACTGTAATTCGGGATGTGACGCGTGATCAAACCTCGTGGCGCCGACGTGAGGAAGAACTCAACTCCAAGTACAATGAGTTGCGTGCTGCCTATGGGCGGGAATCGAAGCTGCGCGAGAAGCTAGAGTACGACATCGAGGGCCTTGAGCAAAAGGAGCGCGAAGCGGCGAAGCTGAAGTTCATTTTTGGTCAATCTCAGCAGGAAAATGCAAGGCTCGAAGAGCTAGTGGCCAACTTGCGTATTCAGAACCACGACTTGGAGCTCAAAGCCGCTCGGTTCGAGCGTGAGTTCAATGAGGCGCGCGAGAGCAGTCGCATGGAGATCCAACGCACCAGAAACTCACTGGAATCGGATCTGGATGCCGCTAACAGCCAGGTGAACATCGTTCGGGCTGAGTTGGAAGCACAAATTCTTCGTCTACAAAGTCAAATGGACAATGTACGACTCGACAACGACACCGCTCGAGAACGTTACGAGCTCTTGTTAGAGGAGGCAGCTGATAGTAAGGCCAATGCCCTGGCAGCGGCCGCTCAAGCGCAAGAGCTGGCTGTTGAAGAGCAGCGCCGAAGCCACGAACGCGTTCTGAATGACCTGCGGGAACGCCATGCCCGTGCCCTGCACAATGCCTCGGAAGATAGACAGCGCGGCGAGGGTCATCTCCTCGAGCGATTGGCGTTGTCTGAAGACAAGGCCAACCATCTTCAAGAACGTGTGCAGCATCTGGAAGAGAGACTCCAGATCGCCCAAGAAGCTGCTCGTGCTGCTGCCGAAGCAGCTCAGAGTGCCAAGGCAGGACCCAGCCCCGCTCCAGCAGCGCAAACCAGCACCCCTTCGATGTCATACCCCAATGGATCTATGGTCCCTGAGAAGATTTCTCCCCAGGCATTGAGAGAATCGATTTTGGTTCTTCAGGACCAGTTGCAGCAGCGTGAGACCCGCATCGAAGAGCTGGAGCAAGAGATCTCTGCTGTCGACAAGGATGCGCCCAACAAGATCAAGGAGAGGGATACTGAGATCACCTGGCTGCGTGAGCTGCTTGGCGTTCGGATCGACGATCTCCAGGATATCATCAACACCGTGTCACAGCCTGCCTTCAATCAGAATGCCGTCCGTGACGCTGCGATTCGCTTGAAGGCTAATCTGCAAATGCAACAACAGGAAAGAGAAAGAATGTATTCTGGACAGGCTTTCCCGAGCCTCCCTTCGCTTGCGGAACTGACAGCTTCACCGCGCTCGCTTCCACTTGCGGCCGCGGCCGCCTGGGGCAACTGGCGCAAGGGGAGGGAAAGCGTCAGCTCTGAGCAGACTCCATCCAAGCCGGGAGGTGCCGGCTCGTTTCTTTCCGGGCTCTTGACACCACCTGCCAGCCATCTCCGCCAGACGTCCAACTCGAGTACGCTAGCGGCAGCGAGCGGTAGACGCCCATCGGAGACTCGACCATTGAGGAAGTATGATACGACGCCCAAGCAATCATCTACGCGCGCCAGCCGGATGCGTGAGCTCCCTAGTACCCCGCCCCTTCTTCGACGGTCGAGCTATGATCACGACGCCGAACCAACCGATTACGCACACAGCTCTTTTCATGAAGATGCAGAAAGCACGGCCGACGGCTTAGTATCAGCCTCACCGCGGGAGACGATCGATGGGCCCTTCGGACCTGAGATCGCATCTTCTACCTCCTCTTAGACTGTCCATAAACTTTGCGCATTCCTCCATAATCTCATGTTAATAGATAATTCCCGAAAATCTTCTGTTTGCCTAAACCAGCGGGCCTTGCGTTTACTACCTGATTGACTCGTTATATCATGATGCATCCACACTCTTTGCTTTGTCGACTCATTTTGGCCATCCATATCATGTGATTCATTTTTTTGTGCTCCTTGCAGTCCTGCTGCCGTCCTTTCCTCTCTTCTGTTCACTGTCTGGGGTTTGCTTTCCAGACCGCAGAAGTTAACCTTTCATGACCTTCCTCTTTCTTATCCTTCGTTTATTATACCATATCCACCTTGAGTTCTTACTTTGTCCTCATAATTATTCGTCTGCGTTCCTTACACTGAACTGGATACCACCGCCATCTTGATTGCTTCTACTGCAAATCTGTTTTGTACACAAGAATCTGTCCTTTTGACTTGCTGTTTTGTTCTTGATTCACAGATTTTATCTAAAAGAATCCGATCCCTTACTTTGAGTTTATGATGTCGCGGGAGTGGTATACAACTACATAGACCATGGTTTGGGTGTTGGGTTAAGGTTTCTGCAGGTTTCCTTCATGGGTGATTCCCGTGCCCCCCCCCCCACCCTTGCAGATTTGGTAGGGTGGGGGGGTTTATATACTGTATGTCGTCATCGCACGTTTTCACTTCTTGGTGTGGAGATGATGGGGTTGGTACTGGTATGCACTCTGTACACAGTATGATGTTCGTGGCGCTGAAGAATGTACGATCTTGTTTGGTGATATGCATGAGTGTGCATGTGTGCATTAGTGCCAAGTCGTTTCTTCTTTTTCTCTTCCTGTGTTCTGACCCTCACGCGCTTCCATCACTCTCTGTTTAGACTTTGTTAGGTTTGGGAGATTATATTAGATATATGATCGGGCAATGAAGGCTATTCCGACTATGAGCATAAGTATCTCCAGCATGGCATTGAGGGGAGGATGACTCCATTAATGTATTTTGTAGACATTAAACTATGGTGGTATAACAGATAAGTAACACCTTGTGTAGCAAATCAAACCGGAACATTAACAGAATCCTATCTATTCATAAAAGTCCCCGACGCTATGCCCTTTTCTTCTCTTCTATACCCGTGCTTATGCTTATTCTAGTAGCTTAAGGTGCTCTGATCGATCTGCTTTCATCCGTGGGAGGTCACATGTGCTCATACTCCCCCCACGAACGCAATCCCAATCTTCTTCTTTTTCTTCTGCTTCTTCCATCTCGTGATGCGAAAAGTCAAAAAGGAAACCTTATGTCGACATCGACCACTCAAGAACCTGCTTCGGATTTGCGGTCGCAGTGGCTGATATCACGAAGCATTTGTGCTGCTTTCCCCGCTCGTTGATCTTCTCCTGGGAAAAAGGCAGACATGCGATGCGGAGGTCCTGGAGATCCTCGTCTGTGATGTCTAGGAGAAGGGACCATGTTGGAATGTTTGCGTGGGCGAGGGTGGGGAAGTGCGGTGGTTTGTGGTTGGTTGTGGTTCGGTCAGGCGCTGCTGCTGCTGCGGATGATAATGGGTGATTGTTCTCGGTGTCCATGTCCATAGGGACAAGAAGGTTGTCTTCGTCATCATCATCGTCATCGTGCATCAGACTGTAGACGTACACTGCGCCACCCTGTGCGATCGGGGAGTAGTGGCCCGTGCCTGGCTCGTAGATGCACATGAGGGTCGCGTCCGGGGAGATCGCGATGAGCGGGGCTGACGTGCTAGACGCGGCGGGGGCGATTGGTAGATTGGCTGTGTTCCATCGTGCGGTCGTGGCGGCGTGGAGGGTTGTGAGTTTATGGTGGGTGTCGATTGATTGGAAGGTGGGTCTGGGGGGGGAGGTGGGTGGGGTTTCGATCTGGGTTTGAGTAGCTGGCTTCGGGGTATCGATTGAGGCTAGAGGGGAGGGGTCGTTTGTGGGGCTGGTGAAAGGGGTGATCTGGGGCCATTCAACATTGAGATCGGGGATGTGGTTATGGCGGCTAGGGAGGAGGCGGGTGATGGATGTTGGAGGAGGTGTGGATGTGGTTGTGCTAGGCGTGTGGATAACCAGCTGGCCGATGCAGTAGCCGCTTGTGCTTGTGGTGCCGGTTTGGAGGCATGCGGTGAAGTGGCGGCGCGCTGGTTGTGTTGGGTCGTCGTTGTTCGTGGTTGATGGCCTGTAGCTTCGAGGCAGGAGGCGAAGGCCTTGGAGGAATATCTTGTCTCCGTTGTCGACGCTCAGCGTGGCGGCCATAGATGCGGAGTCGAGGTAGATTTGGTTGATGTTATCACGCCAGTATGCAAAAGAGCAGGCGGCGCCTGTGGGTTTGTGGGCCGGGTTGCCCAGGTATCGCACGCGAGTCGGTCCGTAGGTTGTGGTGTCCTGACCGATGACGACCCGGAGCAGAGTGCCGTCTTCGTCATCAGCGAATTCAAGGGACTCAATCAGGCCGTTTGTTTCCTCGTAGTTGGCCGGTGGGGGGTGGAGGTATTGATTGTCCTCGTTCAATGTGTACTGGGCTGGCGCTGTGAGACCCGCCAGGTCCCCGAGAAGACTGTAGATCTGAACAGTTGACACCATCCCAACAGCGAGAAACTGCCCGTCTGGAGACAGCGCTATGCGATGGTGTGCATGCTGTGACATATCCCCCGTCATACCACCGAGGATGGCAGGGCATACAGATGTCCAGAGGCCATACAGCGGTAAGGAGCGAATGAGCTCCCAGGAACTGTCGATGTCTTGACGGCCATACAACAACGCTTGTGCGCCCTTCATGACCACGAGCTTCGTCCCATCACGAGAAGTGTCGTAAATCGTGCAATGGGAGCATCCATGGGGGAGCTCGTATCGTGACACCGTTGCCCGAATGGGTTTGCGGTAGCTTAGCAAGTTCTGACGGACGACTTGTTCGAAATAGATATTCCATTCCTTCCTCGTGAGGAGCTCCGTCCTAGAGGGAAGCAGAATAGGAACTTGCTGCAGGGTGTTGCGGATGAGGGACGAGGAGGAGGCTGCGGCTCTCCATTTGCGACATGTTGCCCAAACGGCAAGGTAGTCCTCCACGTCGAGGTAATCGAGGATGCAGTAGATAAGCTCAATTGGTAGATTTGCGGCCATGTTTGGGGTGGAGGGTGGAGGGTTAATGTCAAGTGACAAGAGTCACATCTTGGGTTATCTAAGGGAAGCTCTCCTTCTTACTGCCCGGCGAGAGCTCCGAGATTTTATAGATGACTCGGGGGATCGGCTCAATTGTAAACAGATGGGTTGACATGGTAGGGATATTCACCGATAAGGGAGTTAGCGTTGACTGCACGCCCCCCTTCTGTGTGACATCGGAGGGCCCATCATAGCTACCAGATGGAGCGATGGATGACGCGACGATTCCCCAATCATCCCTGTCAGGGGAAAACTAGTTTTCGCTTTGTGCGTCATGAGGCACGAGAGTTGAGGAGATTAGGATCAAAATGGATGATTTATCGGAATTGTTGATCGCCTCAGAAAATTAAACACGGGCCGACCGGATCATCCAACATGATGCCGGTTATCAACTGGTGTGGCGTGACTGAAACCCGCCCGGTGGCCAAGGCTTTATTTAGTTCCCATCGGATGATCCAGACCACAACAGTGTGACAGAGAAATGATGATTTCTTCTACAGCTGCCGACCGGGATGGCCTTCCGTTGTTATCACGCCTCGAATTGTATTATGTTAGTCGGTATAATTGATCTCATTCGCTAGGTTTTCTGAAATACTCGTAGCTATAGGCCGCACTCCCTCCTAGGGTCAACAGAACCCCAATCAAGGAGGATAGATGGCCAGCGTGCAAGTAATCAAGCGGGCATTCATGAACAAAAAAAAAAATGTCCTGATTGGGATGGTAGCCGATTTGCAAGTAAGACTGATGCCATCATATGCGCCAAGGAGCCCCTGCGCTGCCTGATCCAGAGGCACGCATATTGGTTACCTGGAGCTGCATGCAGTTCGGCATGGAGGATCACGGCCCAGGCTCGGCTTTAGTTCGGTCAAGGCTCGTGAAGGGAGCTGCCATTTCTGCAGGAGTGCACAGCATCACCGACCCGATTGATACTGACAGCTCCGGTGGAGTAACCTACATCCTGTTCGCCAAGATGCTGGTCGGTGGGCTAGGAAAGGCCCATGGACTAGCTACCTGCCGCTCATATGATGATGTTCTGTTGCTTGTAGAGTCCCTGAAGAGTTTTCAACTGGTTAACAGTCATATTCTGATGGGGCATTTTGCTGGGAAACTCGACAATCGCCAGTCTCATCAAGCCCAGCCCGACATGTCCGAAGAAACCCACGATGCGTTCGGCCGAGTTCCGGAGCATTGCGAACAGAAGGGTGATGTGAGTATCCTGAATCTCGTCAACGGGAATGGACAAGATCTTGTGCATTGACTGCCAGAACATGGTGTTGGGGAAGGGATTCTTGCGCGAGGTTTTTCCGAAATTGCGCAGAGTGATGGCGGCATAACCGGCACCGAGGGCGGTCATGCGTTCGGCATGGGCTTGTTCGCTGATCCAAGGCCCGTCCGGCCCATCCCGTCTCCATCCCACGGCACGCCGCCCGCCTTCAGTTTTCTCATCACCGCAGAATCCCCACAGCGCCGGGCAGAAAACCCGATATTTCGCTAGGAGAATGTCCACCATCGGATGGCCCTTGTAGATGAAAGGTTCATGCGAGAATATCTGTGCTGCCGCAATCCCGATTGGCTCGGCATGTTCGGTTTTGATTCCGGCTTCTGTGACGAGACCAGCAATCAGGGCTTTGGAAAAGATGTTGAGTCCGTAAATCAGCATGGCAGGAACCTTGCTATCCTCCGAGTTGGCGATCTCAGGCGGCGGGAAAGCCATGAACTGGCGAATGTCCACCGATGGTTCGGCGATAGAGGAGGCTTTCTCAAGCGTGGCCCGGATTTCCTGAATCTAAAAGAGCAGCAACACGGTCAGCTTGTCATCAAATCACGCATCGCACGGTCTAGATAGGCACCTGTTTTTTGTTTCCTCCTTTATTTTCACGACGAAGCTGGCCAACAGATTTCACGATGGATCGCCGAATATCGCCCGTATTCTGCTTCACAGCTGCATTCCTCTTGCCTTCATCCTTCAGGTACTGTCGGAACTTCTTGAGGTGCTGGTGGAGTTCGACGTAGCGGGCTTGAACCTTAACCTCATCTTCCGTCAAGCGGCCTCCACCGACCCGCCGTTGTCGTTCTGCTTGGGCTTTTTGCGACTCTGCAGCCTGGCGCTGCGCGGCCTCTTGCTCTGCCTTCGCGGCGGCTTCTTGTTCCTTGCGCTCTTCTTCCGCACGTCGCTCTCGCTCCTTGCGCTCTTCTTCCTCTTGTGCTGCTCGTCTCTTGCGCTCTGCTTCTGCCTCTGCCTTCTTCCGAGCTTCCTCGGCAGCCTTACGCTCGGCTTCTCGCCGGGCGGCTTCCTCTTGCTCCCGTCGCTGTTTTTCCAATCTCTCCTTCTCGATGCGTTCCGCCTCTCTTCGCGCTTCTTCCTCCTTCCGACGAAGCTCTTCCTCAACTGCTCGTTGGTGGGCACGTAGTGTCTCTTCGGCTTCCTCTAGAACTTGTTCGTGCAACTGGGCTACTTTATCGAGTGCCGCATTGTGTTGGGCTTCGCGTTCGCTGTCTAAGCGATCCAGGTTCTCGTAGAAGGAGCGGCGCTCGTAAGCCTTAACCTTCTTCAGCTCGGAATTATGGATCTTGAGCTGCTCAAGATCGCGTGTCAGGTCGAGCAGAAGTTGCCGGGACGGGCTGTCCACTTGAGGAGGATAGCTAAGGCGCCCCATGTTGTGACTCGATGTTTGACAGTCTTTGCAGTTTGCTCTCAGTTATGGGTGAAGGAAGGGACAAGGAACTCGACCTGGACCAAGTTCAAAGAGTGTAGTTGAAATCGATCGCCAGGAACCAGCTCAAGCAATAGGGGCGTCCAGACGACAGAAGGCGAGATTGAGTGGATTGACACCCAGTAGGTGTATAGACTGACAAAGGAGTGTGGAGGACAAGTCTAAAGACGAAGACAGCACTCGACAATGTGGATCTAAGCATGGCAGGAAATTGGCGATTAGCAGATGTCTCGCATCTTGGCTCGGAACCGAATATTCCGACTTACGACTTATGACAGAGGGTAAATCTACCCAGACACGCGACTCTAAAGCTTTCTCAAAACCCCTTTACGGAGTCAATTGAACTGAAGTGAGCGAGATTGCGGCATGAGGCAGCCAGAACAGGAGCAAACAAAGAAATGGCGTTGCCAATTATCCTGAGCTGGTACACGATCCTATCATTCGGAACGTTTGGGCGTGGAAGAACCAGAGCTCCGGAGCTGAGTCATCAGTTCCTAGGAATGCAAACCCAGCAAACCGGGCTGCATCACTAGTTACTGCACCAGGCCGCCTGGCTAAAACAGACATGGATCGCTCGGTCCTCCCGTTCCGCGGTCGGAGGTTCCAGCAGCCCACCACAAATAGTCTAATCAATCCTGAATCAGACCATGATGATCTGCGTTCCGATCACAACCACAGTACGGATTACTCAATTTGAAAGCAGAGCGGGCATGATACTCATATCAAGCATGTCATCAATTTCCGCGGTCTGACTCGCTTCTGACGCCATCCTTCAGTCAGGAAGGCCAGGCCAACACCTCCATTTAATCTGTCTCTCACACCCAACAGCACCTCATGGGTATGGGCTTGTCCAGAGCCCCGCCTGTTTCGCTTTGTGGATATCCAGCTTGCCCACCATTGGACAAGTCAATTCATCGGGGAAACGGATTGATACCGCTGGATACCTCGCCCACTACCAGTAAGATACCAAGAACACCAACCCACCTCAATTGCTGAGGACGGTCAGCTCAAGAGACCCCATAACAGGGGCGAACGGAACCCCAAATTTATCCAGACGAGCTGTTACCAAATCTGCCTCAAGCTGACTCGCGTCGTCCAGCGCTGGTCTTACTATCTATGCAGACGGGAACCGCAAGCAAGAAGTTATACTATCCGGGGTTCACCAAGCTATTCCCACATGCTAGATGCAGGTAGCCCTATTTTTGATGTGCCTAAAAAGTTTAGATGGATTTTAGTGAGCTGCGAATGAATCCGATGGGAGTCTAAACTGTTAAGTTAGACAACTCACCGCCATACTGCGTGGACTCCATTCCCTAAACCCCAAATTCCCCATAGGCTCCAAGCCTGGATTAGGCGCCGCCGTTCAAGCACAGTGGATCAGACCTCCGGAGAGTAAGAACTCAATGATAATGCAAGTGCCGGATAGCCCGTCCCTGGCCCTGCAGTTGAGGAGTCCCCTGAACAGTCATTGTGAGTGAGTCTGTGACAAGCTCATGAGTGGACAGACGCGCGTACTGTACATAATTTTTACTCCGTATAACTAAATGGGTCAACCGCAGTGGCAACCTAGTGGCAAAGCCGAGAGGAGTGACAGGCCGGAGCAGACGATGGAACCAGACCCTGTTGAGCTCCCAAGTATGGTACGTTCTGGGTTATTACTGACATGGGAAGTTTAATTCCTTACTGGTCGGGGTCCAGCGATGGTTGGAAATACATATACCAAAGTTATTTCTAAATCTGCTGGCATAACTACAGTGACTGACTGACTCACTTGCGTGCATGTCAAGAAGGACCCCCATCTCAATTAAGTAGTTTATAGACTATGTATCTGATTCTGGGCCCTTTCCCCCACATTTTCCTATATCTTGAGCCCTTTAACTACTATCTATCACTCACTCTCTCGTACTTATAGACTGTATTGCTACTAGTTACTGTGTGAATCGGGTTACTTCAGCATATAATGAGCAATGTTGACCTTAGGATCAGTAATCTGCATATGACTGAATCGATTCACTTTTGCTTTCTGGTAATATCTGTGGTATCCTTACAGCGTCTGCTAACTTGGTCAGATTACGATTACATGCTGCTACTCGCATACAGCTACCAACTAATGGCGACACTAAACGGATCTCCCTCTTGCTTTCTCCTCTCTATTCTTCATCATCTTCATTCCTTCCCCCCCACCCCAACCCATTTCCCCTCTTCCCATCTTCTTTCTTCTACTTTGTCTTCGTTTGATTCTCTCTCCTCATCCTCCTCTCTTCTTCTCGCCTTTGGCCTTCCTCCTCCCTCCTTTCTCCTGACTATCCCCTCTCTCCCTCTTTACTTTGGACTTTCCTGTTCATTCCTTCAGGTTATTCACCAGGCCTTGAGTAATAACATTGATAGTCTTGGCTTATCTGTCATTCTCTCTCTGTCAGATAAACCCACTTCCCTCGTGTGCGTGTTGATTTGGCTGAGGAAGAGCCAAGAACAATCTGGTTTGGAATAACAACAGGACTGTTTTTGTGCCTCATTGCCAGAAACGACGTCAGCTCAACAGCGTTGTGGTGCAAGATTCACTTGGGTTGCCTCCCATCATCCCCCTTTTTCTGCCACTCCAAGAGGCAAGAGACTCCGTTCTCTTCCGTACCATCATCATCTTGACAGAATCCCCAAGCTTCCGATCAGACTCCTATCGTCGTGAAGAATTGTTTGTTCGTCGCTAGAAAAGCAGGAAGTCAGAAAAATCGAAAAATAACGAGCTTTGCCCATTTGCAGAGGGGGAAAAAGAATAATATATGCAAGTCATTTTGGCAGAAGGGGACCAACTCCACTCTCTCCTTTGGCTGCTTGACCGACGATAGCTCCCAAACATCCGCTTGAACTCGGTGCTTCTCTTTCCCTTTCCCTTTTTCCCCTCCTCGTTCTTCTTCTTTTCCTCCTTCTCCTCCTCCTCTTCCTCCTCTACCTCTTCCCCTTCTCCAGTTTTCTCTCTCTCTCTCTTTCTTCTACTTAAACTTCTATCAAAATCTCCCCACCCCCAAAAATACAAGTCACCTCCCCTCCCTCCTGCTTGTTCAGTCAAGCTTCATTCCTCTCTTTTCGGTTCTTGCCGTCCCTCATCGGGCCCCGCACGGTGTCCTTTCCCACATCCTCTCTCCCATCGCAACCTTGCTTTCTCTCTGAATATATTGGTTTTGCTTCTTTGGCTTCTTGGTACTCCCTGCTTCTTATCTCAATTTCGCCGGGCCCACCGCTTCTCGTTCTTCAAGTTAACCGGCTGTCTCCCGCTCCCGTGCCAAAAAAAAAAATTAAAGGAGAGAAGTGCGAAAGCAAATTCTCCCCAGGACCTTCCCCCCCCCCACAGAAGTCGGACAATCGTTAAAAACAGGTAAGCATTGAATTGCAAGCTATGCGAGCTGCTTGCATCCTGATCATTTTCAATCGTTCCTTCGGACTGGGTTCTGTTGCCTCCACATTCTCGCCCCGGTTCGCCTCGCTTCTTTCCCAGCAGTACCTTGGTTGATGTCACTGCTGGTATGGGGTAATCGCAGCTTCCCGTTTGCCCACTGAAGCTCCCCCTCCTTCCGCCTCTTTCCTTACCACCTTGTCTTTTCCTTTGTTCTGCAACACCCCAATCCATCGCTGCATCTTCTTGCTCGTACTGTCTCTTTCTCTCAGCCATCTGACCTATCGTTCTCCTTTCTAGTTTAACGCAGCATCCCTCAGTCGTTGTTCCAGTACTGCCATCGATCGGTTTCCCTTCCCCACCCCCCTATTCGCTCACCAGCGTTCGTCCATCGCTTCCAACGCTCTCTCGTCGCCATAGCGGGCCAATCTTCGACAGACGCTCTTCCCTTGAGACATTATAGCCGGTGATCTATTCATCCGAAAAGATGGACCAGCAGAATCAATCCGGTGTCCCCGGCCCCGCAGGGCGCAAGCTTCACATCGCCCACAGAAGGAGCCCCTCGGAGTTGACTCCTCTCATGAGTAAGTTCTCTTCGATTCTCACCTTATTCAAGCTTCAAACCCTGTAGTCTCCTTCAGAACCACTGTTATTGACATCTGTCCGTTCCATAGTGGAGCAATTGGCGATTCAGCAACAGATTGAGCTGCTTCAGCAGCAGCAACAACAGATCGCAGCTACGCATCAGCAATATGTCAACATGGGTCTGTTACAACCACAGCAGCTGAGCCAGGTTTCGGCATTCTCTCCTTCTTTGCAAGGCCAAGCTTCCATGGGAGGCGTAACTCCACAGATCAACGCCTTCCAATATCCACAACTCGCCCAGCAACAACTTGGTGTCGGGTTGAACGCTCCCACCCAGCATTCGCATCGACGCAACCAATCGGCCCTTCCTGGCTTGGGAATGGGTCCTCCCCCAGCTCCATCCTCTGGAGCCTCAGGATACTCGGACTATAACCAACAACAGAGCCACCAGCCAAAGACTGAAAATGGAGGTCATGGACGTGGCCAGAGAGGTCCTCCTGGTGGTGGTGGCCATCAAAGACGTCACTCGCTTGCACTTCCCGAGGCAAAGAAAGCCGCTGAGCTTGCGCAGCAGAAAAGGACAGCATCTGGTTTCCAGTTTCCGGCTCCCACTGGCGAATCTTCCGATGCTGCGCAGAGCTCGGATGGCAAGTCGACCCCGCCCGCGACACAGGCTCCTCAAGGTTTGGGTATGCATCGCGCTGGCAATATCCGCGCTGGTGGCCATGGTCGCAGTCAGTCAATGGCTGTGGGTGGAAACCGAGGCTCTCTGTCTGGCCGCGGCGCCGGTGGCTTCCAGTTTCCTGCTTCTAATGACAGTGGCTCTGATAATCCACGCCGTGGCAGTCAGGCCGGCCACGCTCGGTCTGGATCGAGAAACTTTGACAGTAATTGGCGCCAGCCCAATAATCAAGCTCAGGGCCAGGATCAACAGAAGAGCTTTGGACAACAGGGCAGTGGCTTCCAGCCCGGGCATCGTGCTCGTGCATCCATGAACCAGTCTATTGGTTCCATTGGGCAGTTCCAGTACCCCGCGCAGCCCCAGCTGATCCAGTTACCTCAAGGTCAAGTCATGATGGCCCCTCCGCAGTTGTTTGGTGGCCAACAACAACTGAACCCCCTCCAACTTGCACAGCTTCAGGCTCTGCAGCAGAACGGACAGCTTAGCGGCCAGGGTCTCGGTCTTCAAGCTAGTCAGCATGCTCCGCCTCAGCTATCTGCCCAGCAGCAGCAACAGCAGCAGCAGCAACAGCGGAAGACTCTCTTCACTCCATACCTGCCTCAGGCAAACCTGCCTGCTCTGTTGAGCAATGGCCAGCTCGTGGCTGGTATCCTCCGTGTGAACAAGAAGAATCGCTCTGATGCTTACGTCACTACCCCTGACCTGGATGCCGATATTTTCATCTGTGGAAGCAAAGACCGCAACCGTGCTCTTGAGGGTGACTATGTGGCAGTCGAGCTTCTCGATGTCGATGAGGTGTGGGCTCAGAAGAAAGAGAAGGAGGAAAAGAAGAAGCGCAAGGATATCACAGACGCTCGTTCCGGTAGCACTGCTGGAAATGATAAGCTGTCTCGGTCTGATTCTGGCGCCAACGGTGACCGTCAAGAAGTTGGTCCCGACGGCAGTATCCGTCGCCGTGGCAGTCTTCGTCAGCGACCGACACAGAAGAAAAATGACGATGTCGAGGTTGAAGGTCAAAGCCTTCTTTTGGTTGAGGAAGATGAGATCAGTGACGAGCAGAAGCCCCTTTATGCGGGACATATCGTTGCCGTTATTGAGCGTATCGCCGGGCAAATGTTCTCTGGAACCTTGGGTCTCCTTCGTCCCAGTAGCCAGGCGACGAAGGAGAAGCAGGAGGCCGAACGGCTAGCCAGAGATGGCGGTCACGGTCGTCAACAGCAGGAGCGCCAGCAGGATAAGCCCAAGATCGTCTGGTTCAAGCCCACTGATAAACGTGTCCCTCTGATTGCGATCCCCACCGAACAGGCTCCCCGCGACTTCGTGGAGAAACACCAGGAATACGCCAACCGAATCTTTGTCGCATGCATCAAGCGCTGGCCGATCACATCTTTGCATCCCTTCGGTACCCTTGTTGAACAGCTAGGCGAGATGGGCGACCTGAAGGTGGAGACCGAAGCGCTGCTGCGGGACAACAACTTCGGTGGAGACGAATTCTCCGATGCTGTTCTCAAGAGTATTGGCTGGGAAGACTGGTCTGTAGCCAGCGAGGGCGATGCTCTGCTCGCCTCCCGTCGGGACTTGCGCCAGGAGACGACTTTCACCATCAACCCCAGTGGAGCTAAGCAGATTGACAACGCCTACCACATCAAGCCTCTGGCCGATGGAAAGGTGGAGATCGGTATCCATGTAACGGATATTGCTCACTTCATCAAAGCCAACTCCCTTGTCGATCGCGAGGCTAAGAAGCGAGGCACGGCTGTTTACCTTATGAACCGAATTGTGAACATGCTCCCTCCTCGTGTGTCTACTGAACTGTGCGCCTTGCTGCCAGGCGAAGATCGGTTGACAGTCAGTGTAATTCTCAAAGCCAACCCGGAAACAGGTGCCATCGATGATGACGTGTGGATCGGTAAGGCCATCATCAAGAGTTCCGGTCGCCTGAGTTATGATGATGTCAACTCCCTCCTTCAGGGAACAACAAATGTTGCTGCTCCGGGCATTGCTGCTGACACTGTCAGGGCTCTACATGTAAGTGATTTTGTTGGCAGCATCCTTTTTTGACTGGGCAAAAACTAATAGTTTATTCTTCACGATAAGGCTGTCACTTCACGGTTCAAGGAGGCTAGGTTCGGCAACCGAATCTCTCAGATCCCTCCTCTCCGTCTCCTGTATCAGCTGGATGATGAGAATGTACCGGTCGAGGGTAACATCTTTGATTCCTCTCCCGTCCGCGAGATGGTCGAAGAACTCAGCTTCAAGGCCGACTCTTTGGTCGCTCGTCGCTTGGCCGCTGCCTTGCCTGATAAGGCCTTCCTCCGGCGTCAAACCCCACCCAACGCTCGCCGTCTTCAGCTTTTCGTGGACAGGATGAACAGACTCGGGTTCGGCTTGGATCCAACCAGTAGCGGAACCCTGCAGAGCAGTCTCTGCAAGGTTCAGGATGACGATTTGCGCAAGGTGAGATTGTCCCTTTTGATTGACATACGAACACTCTTGGCTCATAAATACAGGGTATGGAGACGCTTCTCATGAAGTCGATGCAGCGTGCCAAGTACTACGTGGCCGGCAGTGCATCTGACGATCAGCGCCAGCACTATACACTCAACCTGCCTGTATATACACACTTCACTAACCCTTCTCGCCGGTATGCGGATATGCTCGTCCATCGTCAGCTCGAGGCTGTCTTGTCCAACGGTGCTATTGAGCTCTCGGAGGACCTTGAGTCATTGAACAAGACTGCCGATCTTTGCAACAACAAGAAGGACTCGGCACACAATGCCCAGGAGCAGAGTGTTCACATTGAAGCCTGCAGGAGCATGGACAAGATCCGCCAAGAGCATGGCGGTGATCTCATTAGCGAGGGTATCGTGCTCTGCGTTTATGAGTCCGCCTTCGACGTTCTCATCCCAGAATACGGATTTGAGAAGCGTGTTCACTGTGACCAGCTGCCCTTGAAGAAGGCTGAATTCCGCAAGGAGTCTCGTGTTCTGGAGCTTTACTGGGAGAAGGGAGTGCCATCCTCGGCTTATATCCCCGAGGACGAGCGGCCGAAGTCTACCAACTCTCGTGCGGCTCAAGCTGCTGCTGCAGCACGCGAAGCCGAGGCTGCACGTGAGCGTGCTCGCGAGCGTGAAGAAGCTATCCGTAGACAGACCGAGACTGGTACCATGTCGCATGATGATGTGGACGCTTTGTTCGACGATGATGACGACGTTTCCGAAGTCACTGAGATGGCTGCTGGTGTCTCCTTGAACTCTGCTGCCGACCGTTCCACCCAGAGCATGCCACCTTCGCCCACTCGCAATGGTCATCTCCCTCAGGCGCCTCACCGAACACGGTCTGATCCCAAGATTGCGACCGTCAGTGGCGATGCTCCTGAAGCCAAACTGACCAACAAGGAGAAGTACCTGCGGTTGTTCAAGCTCCGCGAGGAGGATGGCGAGTACATCCAGGATGTCACCGAGATGTCTCGCGTACCCATCATTCTGAAGACTGATTTGAGCAAGAGTCCACCGTAAGTTTCTCCCTCACCGTTTCTCCTTGGTAGGGTGCCTCAAACTAACCAGAGTCACAGTTGCCTTACTATCCGCTCTGTTAATCCCTACGCTCTGTGACTGGGGCCGTATACTCTTCTCTGAATGTGTTCTACATGTTTACAGTACAGATTTGGTCATTGCTTAGCGGGTTATAGGGTGGCTGTCTCATGGTCGTCGTGCGGTTTTATTGTCTCCTTCGGCTGAGCCTGGCACGGGTTGCACGGGACACCACCACCTTATGCTCGTGGTGGTATAAGTTTTTTAATCAGGCGAGCGTGTTCCGGTTATCTCTATAATATTTGAAGCTCTTCCAGAGGAAGGGACGAGCCTGACTTGAGTCTCACCGCAGCAGGACCTCTTATGGACCTGACTGAAGGAGATTGAAAAGCGGGACCCCATTGCAATGGAGAAGTATCTCTACGGGTTGTCGATCATGAAGCTCTGCAGGCTAGATGCCTGATTTGATGTGACGTGACGAGAGAGGGGGGTTGGTTATTTTTGGCCAGATCGAAAGCCAGTCAAGCGAAAGTGTCTCGGCAGATTTTGTGACTTCATTATTAGATATTGCATTGGTTTCAATTAGCACATGTTTCGGATTACTGCTTGAAGCTCAGGGCTCACTTGTGCTCGGTAAGGTGCCTTAAAAACGTAGTATTACTGGGCACTTAAAGGTCACATGTGCCGGTTATATCACGACTCATGATTGGCACTTGGTTGAAAAGCTTCATATCTCGTCCTTATGGGAAACGATAGAAATGACTAAGGGCGGTCACGAACAGTTGCCACTGGCTTACATGCATGGTCCGAAGGTACCCCAGGCATAGTACACTCGAAGCCGTGATATTAGGTTTAACATCATTTCCGATGATACATGTGCAGCCATGGGCGGAAAGGCTATGAACAGGAACCCCTGAGTATGCATACACATTACAAGCCAAGTAACCGACTAACTTTTCGAGGGCACCGTCAAATCGCAATGCAGTGCAGAGTGTACACAATGACTACTTGTACAAAACAGAACGCCAGGCTAAGATACCCAAACAAACTAACTAGACTCCATCCACGTATCCTAAAAAAGCAAGCAAGGCCGAATCCCATTCATTCCAGCATGAAAAACAATCTTACTTCCCTTCGATATCGGACTCCCCCCAGGCTTCGCAATGCACATAATGCTGACACCCCTAAGTCCGTGGAGGACAGGGAGGAGGAAAGAGGGGTTTTGGAGAAGAAGGCGAAGTCGATATTTTACAACCTCCGAATACCAATCCTCGGCTTCACCTTCTTGCCCGAGCCAGCCGCCGAGGCCGATACCTTTCTCGCGCCTGTTGTTGCGGAGCGGAGCGGTTTCGACCCCGATGGGATGGAGGCGGAGACGGCTCGTCGAGAGGTACTACTAGTACTAGTACTCGTAGTTTTCGGGATTGTGGTTGTCGTGGAAGGTCCTAGGATGGAGAGCGGAGGGTATTGCTTGGATGATGTGCCATGAGGTGGATTCGCGCAAGAAGGGAGCCGGTCCTTGGACAGGGGATTCTCCTTGCCGTCACCGCTGCGACGCCGGCGGTCCTCTTCGTCCCCGGACGAGGATGACGAGGAAGGGTCCTCGAAGATCTGGAGGTCAACTGTTGACGTTGGGGCGAGGTCGTCGTCGCGGATGCGGCCAGAGGCGTTGACGCCCGTTAAGGGTGAGGCGCCGTGCTTGGGGATAGAGAGTTTGGGGGATTTGTTGCGGGGTTGATGGTGGAAGGGAGCTTGGTCTTTGTCCTTGGGTTCGTTGTCATTTTCTGTGTGGTAGCAGGATGATGAGGTCGGGGAGGAGGTCGGAGAGGATGATGTTTGGTTGGCGGCAATATTCCTGTCCGACGCGGATGGCTTGGAGGGCGTGGAGGCATTGCCTTCGAGGTCGGCGGATGAGGTCGGGGATGCGTCGTCCATGTCCAGTGGTAGGGTTAGGACGGAGAGGGGGCGTTTCCCGTGGATGTTCTTGCGGAGGGCGGGAGGTGGGAACGTGCGAACGGGCGAGGGGGATAGAGAAGGGTTGTTCTCTTTGCTAGCGTTGGTGGAGGTTTCGGAGTCAGAGGTGGATTCATCATTGTCATTATTTTCATTATTCTGCTCCTGTTCGTTGTTGGTGGTTGAATGCAACTGGAGGTTTAGGGGGTGTTCTTTTTCACGGTGGGCAATAGGGTCGGTTGTGAGAGAGATCGAGGATTTGCGTATGCTGCTAAAATCGTTTGGGGGGGATGGCACGGCTGCTGAGGTTGTCTGAGGGGTTGTGGTAGATTCGGATTCTGGTGTAGTTCTCGAGCTGATCTTCCGGGTTGTCCGTTTCTTCATCGTCACAGATGTGACTCTGGTCCCCTTGCGTGGCCTGAGAGTACGGGGTTCATCCTGCTCGATTGGAATCGTGGTGCCGGCGTCTTCGCCCCGCATCTTCGCTTCGGAGACTGCGCTCCTGAGCTCATCAGGGACAGAAGCATGGACGGATGTCATCAGCTTGGCCTGACGGGCAAAGTCATCGTAGTCGCCTTGCAGGAGGGAGCCCGCGGCGTAGTTCAGTGCGGAGTCTGGGTTAGGGTAGATGAGAAGGCAAGAAATCGTCTGTTCGTATCGAGCACTATGTCAGACAGGGATCACTAATCGTTGTCTAATCGGAGCAAACAACTTACAATCAGCACATCCTTCAATGTCAACGTCGACTTCCAGTCCCGCTTCAGAGTATCCACGCAGACAGCCCCCGTCAACTCCTCCACATTGGGATGCCAGATGCGAGTCTTGAATGTCGCCTTGGGGGGACTTTTGGGGTAGTCATCTGGCATCTTGAGGTGTAGCCGCCATAGTCCTTGCGAGTAAGGGGTGCCCTGTGGCCCAGCCAGAAGAACCGTAAGCTGTGTCAAATCGTCGGCGGTGGCATCGTCCGGAGGGAAGAGGTAGTTGGGCGGTAGCTCCTCATGCAATGCAGCGTGGTCTGCTGCGAGACGGCGGAAGCTCGCTGCCCCCTTTACGGATCATTAGCATCATGTGTGTTTCTGGGATAAGATATGCTTTTGAATAGAGAAAAGGGAGAGTTATACCATCCTGTCGGCTCTGTGTTTGACTTGCTAGAAGACGACCTTGATCGCAGTAGTAAGATTGAGATAAAATGATCGCACAAGAGCACAGAAAAAAAAGTAGCGAACAGAAAGTCAGATGACGAATCCGCACCAAACGTCTCTGGTGTTATCTCCAGATCTCAGGGTCAAAGAGTAGTCTGAGATGTTGTAACACCCAGTACTTTTGTATGGAGGCCGCAGTCACTCCAGCGACGTCCCGAACAACTCATTTGTTTTGATGATGTGAAGCTGACGGACGGCAACTAGACCCAACTGGGATCCCAAAACAAACGCGCAGAGCAGCCCAGTCACGTGTGTGTTTCGCGTGCGGTGCGCGTTTTAGGAAGTGTTATTAGCTGAGGTAATCCACCCAAATAGGAATAGTTAGTTGGCTGGTTAAGGGGAAAGGGCGGACCACCTCCCGGGCCTTCTGTAAATCAAAGTGGAGGGTCTCCATAATTATCATCGACTATCGATCGGACTGCCAGACTATTTCAACGACTTCAGATGTCTTGCAGTACGCTCAGGCACTACTTTAAAACAATTCCTCATCCCTCTACTTCACTTCAACCCATACACGAGATAGATACAAGTGCAAGATTGTACAAAGGACTAAATCCTGCTCCGTGAGAAATTGTCTTTGTGTATTTACCATGTCCTCGTTAAGCAATTAAAAATTACTAGAAAAGAATCAAAAGCTCTTATGTACGCCGCAGTCATGCAACTTTGGTGAACAAGGTGCGGCTTTGACAGCAAAACAAAAGGGGGAATGAGAAAGGATCAACAGAGAAAGCAGCTCTCCCATCAATGGTACATGTCCTCCCGACCGAGAAACGTCTTATGTTCAAGGTATCTTTTGACCCGGGTTCGCCCTGACTCGACAGCCGCCTACGGAATCGTAAGGCTCGGCGACTGGGTCCGAAGGATCAAAGCAAGGAGGTCGTCGACCGGTGAGGGTAGGTATTGTCGCCGAAAATGCCCTTTACAGGAGGGCAGCGATAGCAGCACCGGCCACAACACCGAGACCCATGGGGGCCATGGTGGCGAGAGGAACACCAGCACCCTCCGAGCTGCTACTGCTCGTGGAGGAGCCGCTGGTCTCGGAGGAGGAAGAGGAAGTCTTGGTGGAGGTGGTAGACTCAGTCTTCGCGGTGGTGGTCTTGGTCTTTACAGTCGAGAAGGACGAAGCAGGAGCGCTGGAGCCGATGACTGCGCTAGAAGCACCAGCAGGAAGAGAGCCTTGCGAGGTGGGGATAACAGGCTGAGAGGTCACAGCAGCGGAGGGAGCCTAGCACCATGTCAGCAATGGCGTTGGCTTGTTAGAGTGATAGAGGTTTGCTTACCACAACAGCCGAGGACTGCGCAGCGGCGAGAGCGCCGAAAGCAAGCAGGAAGATAGAGGAACGCATTGTGATCGTAGGTGGATTAGATCTGGTGGAGCGATTGTGGAGGCGAGCGCGGAGTATGGAGATGCGGCCGAGAGTCACAAGCGAATGTCTCTTGAAGCAGGCAGCGAGCGAAGCGAATGGATGAGGCCTCGAAAGGAAACGACCGTGGGGGTTACTTTATATCACTTGGGAAAGGAAAAGGGACAGAGAGGATGACAGGCGCAGGGGCATCCCTTTAAATAGACAGGAGGAGGCAGGGGACAGGGCAGGCAAGCAGGCAGGCCAGACCAGGTACGGGGTACTCTGTAGTGGATGAAAGAATTAAATGATTGATCCATATTTCTTTTTGTTTCTCTGCACAATCAGCCCTGTTCAGCGTCTGCACCGAGGCAAGCAAACTGGAACAGAGTACGTACTACTACTGTCTCGGGCAACCAATGCCAAGAGGTCCAATTGCCCACCATCTTGACTAAAACGCCTAAAGACGGACTAGAGACGGAGACCACACGGTGGATAAAAAAAAAATCATAAATTCATATACGAACCACGGCAGGAAGGAGGTTTGCGTATGCCTTTCTGCTATCTTTGCGATTTTTGCTATTTTTGGGGGTTCACAGCCTGTCGCCCAAGGCTGGCCCCGCCAATCAGAAGGCTTGTGCCGTCGATCTACCCATGGGCGATGGCGAGATGCGACCTTCAAGAATACCTAGTAATTTAGCTAAACTTACTATTTTGTTTATTATCTTTATTATACCTAAGTCATTCATACTGCAGTGCCCCGAGCAATAAGCTTTACTTTTCTTACTTTTCGAACAACAACAACAACAACAGAGCACATGCTGGGGTCCCATCCGAGGACAAGACCACTGCAGATGCTCGGATGGGCCGATAGCAATGGCATTGACACAAGTACGTTCCCAGCCATCTATCACCCATTCTTCTCTGGACATCCAATCTGCATGCACTCCGAACCATTGTTATCCGAAGCGCAGTGTTAGTGTTCGGTCAAGTTATCTCTTTGTAGGTTACAGATTCACTTCAACCAGCCTCTTGTTTAACCACCCACCAACGGGCACAACACCCGTGGACCACAGCGCGGGTCTAGCCGATGATGGATTCTCGCCCCTCTTCAGTCGTGAACTAGTCAGTGAGTGAGTGGTAAAACCGCAACTGCAGGAAATAATTTCCCCCTCCCCATCCATACCTGGTGATTCACTCGCGTCTGGTGACTGGGCCGGATTCTTTGCCGCATCATCAACCGCGGAGCCTCCCTTCAAGTGTGACCAAAGCCATCCTCATCCCACCCGCTGGTATCGCTGTCACTGACGCGGTCCACGTAACGACCACCGGAAAGACGCATCATCCAACACTGCTCACACATTCACCCTGACGTAAGATCATTACGATCCCTTGAGAAGGGCTTGCCACGAATGAAGGTCTACTGGTTGTCTCATCCTTTCAGCCAGAATATGGATTATGGAGCAGGTCAAGGGACATAAGGGAAGTGACTTTGATACCAAAACCGGGGTGCCAAGAGCATAAGACAAGAAAAAGCACCCTCTTTGCCTGGGCTCTCAATTACACACACTTACTTTACAGAAGCAGTGTGCCCATTGCCCCAAGACTGTGTAACTGGGGGGGGCGCTTTGTCGATCCGCCCATTCGAGACACCAGGGCCAGAACAATCTACCGTAAGGTACGGTCGTATCAGGGGTGACAAAATCTCCGGCAAGGCAAATCACAATTACTGTCCTAGTAAAGCGAGGCAAGGATGCACCTACCAGGAGTGAGCATACTCCCGATCCTTTCTCTCTCTAAATGACATAAATAACGATCCAAGGAAGACCAGAGTGAATGGCAGGATTGTCTTCGTCCTAATTCACACGGAGTACGGAGTAGTATTTTAGTATTGCGATGGCCCCCCCCCCCTTTCGGTTTAGCGGCCCTTTGTCTCCCATCCCGCCCTTGTCTCATCCCGCCAATTTCGGTGGATTCTGTATGACTGTGATACCCCAGGACTTGCGGTGGAGCGCCTTTCCCGCCCGATGTCGCTAAAATTGAACTAATTTGCGCTTGGGCGGACGACAGCCAATCGAGGTTGGGGTTCGAGCTACGATCGAGGAAAGCGACCTGGTCTCCCCTCTAAAAGAGGCGAATTGGGCGGTGGCTGGGACGGAGTACGGAGTACGAAGTACAGTTGCCCTCTCCATCGAATGGAGTATCTCGAACTATTCGAGTGGAACTACGGAGTAGAAGCTGCTTGCTTGCTTGCTTGCTTACTTACTTGTTGGTGTTCTCTACCACCTCTCCGTGTCTCAATCTGCACTCTATACTCCACCCTCTTTCCATACCCGTCGTGATATGTCTCGTAGTAACTTCGCCCGGCAGCGCTCGATTGCTTTTCTTATGCCGCTGCGGCTGGGCCGTCGTCTAAGACGGCCCACCTAGCCAAAATCCAAGGACTTGATCCTGAACTCCATTGGATAAGTTCCTCCTATCCATCTTGGGATACGAGCAAAAAGTGGTTCAGGAGCTCCGTCTTCTGCACCCTGAATAGGCTGCTTACAGAGGCCACATGATACCACGGAGTTCTCTACTCCATGAAGATTGCTTCTTCCATGCCCCGAGGAGCTATGGACAAAACGAGTATACATGTACAGAAGACCGACTGACATGGTTCCAATTAACCTGACAGGTTTATCTTGGTCTTGATGGACTCGGGGTGTCAGCTAAAGAGTTGTCCGAGTCGGGTGTACAGTTTCAATGGGAACGTACTTTTTCTAACGGCACGAAGAATAGAGATATCAATAGGTACTGTACACTGTATGCGATGCGTTGAGTCGGGCTTTTCACACCCATATTCTTACTTCTAACCTACCGCGAGCCATTAAGCATTGAGCATGTCAACTTCGATATATCTTCTGCCAGAGATACAAGGGCTCTTCCACACTCACTTCAGTTGGGGGCATATGCGTTTTGTCTTCATACCTGCCTCCAAACTTGCTCCCTCCTCGCAGAAGCTCCATGCGAAGCTAAACTGTCCCCAGATCACGACTTCCTCATTGACCCATATCCAGAGACAGAAACCCGCCTCCCAGAGGCGATCACGATGATCTGAACAGCACCCAGACGCGAGGTCCCATCGATCACAGAGCCATCTGCACGTCATCGATTGATTGTCGCAAAGAGCCCTGGTTCATATCATGCATATATATACATACACACATAGAGAGAGAAAGGGAGAGAGCGTAGATCACTGCACCAGTTCTCAAGTGATATAGATGCGATCGATCAACGAACACGTTCTTCCGACCCCTCGTTCCTGGCCCGAGAACAAGGCTGAAACATGGATATCGTTCGTACATGATGAAACTGCGGCAGGGGTAAGGGGGTGATGTGCCATGAGCTAGATCTTGATCTGATGAGGGGCTGTCTAGGGCTTATGTGAGAAGAAGAGGTTGAGAGGTGGGATGGACTTAGATGAGGGTTGCCAAGTGGGCATATACAAAGTGGATTGTTGCGAGGAGGCACGCTTCTCTTGCTGAGACAGGGGAAGGTGCCGGCTATTGCCTTCAGCGAGTGACAGAGCATATCTCCATAGCATAGCACCCAGACTCTGCTCACTACTATTTCACCTCAAAGCTACTACTCCAGGAATAGTTATAGCTTCACCAAATCTCAACTTGACAACGACACATATCACCGACCTATCATGAAAACAGAAGAAGCACATAGAAGAGAAATACTTGATACTTGACATGTACCCTGAATCTATCTACCCAGATAACCTCACCCGCCCCAAAAACAGACTGAGATTATTCCGGGCCATCCTCATAACAAACCCACCAGATCCAATCATCATATAGACAGACAATCCCAGAAGATACCGCTATTTTTTCTCCTCAACCATCTCTCCCAAATCCGCCGCCCTGATCCAGTCCGCAAACTCCTTCCTCTTTGCCTATCGTCATGGAAAAAAACCAAGTCAGCATTGTCCACACATAAACCACACTTCCACCAAATCCTCCCTTTTGCTCACACCCCCGGGAGCTCCCCCTTAACACCCCCTCGCCTAGCCTCAACTCCCATGCCTGAACTGAAAGGGAAGAAGAAACCTACCCTCACATCCCAAAACGAATACCGCTCATCCAATCGCCGATACGGATGCCGGGCGTTCCCTTCGCGCTCGATCTCCCCGGCCCAATCCCTCCAGCTAATGGGTTTAAGTTTTTCGGTGCCGAGGACAAGGCCCACGGAGACGATGACGAGAGCCACGAGGGCTTCGATGACGATGTCCGGGGGGAGATGGGGGGTGGTTGTGGTTGCTGTGGTCGTCGAATAGAGGGTGTGGGTGTTGCTGCTGGTTAGGAGGGTGTGTTCGTGGGCGGAGTATCCTCTGTTTGTTTAGTGGTTAGTAGGGGTTACCATTGAGACGGTGGAGGGAGCCGGGTTAGATGGTGTGTGGGTTTGGGTTAGATAGGAGGTGGATGAGGGTTTATGCTGCGCTTTTGCTGCGCTGTGCGGAGGAACGTGGGTTGAGGGTTTGTTTGCGGAGAGAAAAGGAAGTACGCACGCATGGGCGAGCAACACCAGCCCGATGAAGGTGAAGAGGCGGGAGAAGAATCCCATGTTTCCGTATCGCACGACCAAGACTTGTTTTTAGTCTTGAATTGGAATAGTGATGTTTTGCGTGAGTGGAGGTGAGCTTGGTGCCTCTGATAGTAACTTCAACGGAGCTGCATCGATCTGCGGAGGTGGTTTGTACGGGAGACCGGGGAGACATTTGATGCAGTGCACTGTCCGTAAGGTTGGAACGTCAATCCCGTGCTTGCAGATAATCTGGCCCGGTGAATGGCACCCCACTAGATTGGGCAGCATTGACCTCTGGCTTGATTGCTACTGGACGCGCAGCTAGCTTGCAGCTGTCTACCGGACTTCGATGAGGGGTCGAGGATGAGGGGCAGTGACTAGGTACGAATAGCAACTTGGATAGCTACAAAGAATCAGATTGAATTGGGTATAATTTTTCGATTTTTTTATTATTCGTCACGCCGACTAAGCCAGCTTTTATTTATTCAGGGTCATGACAGTAAATTCCCGTGGAATCACATAAATAATCCATCGTCACACCATATGGTTTATCATCAACAATCATTTACAGCTTCTGCATAGCAGCCTGTAGGGACAGAGTTAGTACCAAAGTGGTAAACTTCGATGTGATGGATGCAACTTACAATATCGGTGGACTGGACGTGGTCCTCGTCCTCCTCGATCTCCTGCTGGAGCTCATCCAGGGAGATCTTCTCGTCCTCAACGACAAGGTTGATCTGGAGCTTCTTGATACCGAAACCAACGGTAACGAACTTGGAAGCACCCCAGACGAGACCCTCCTTCTCAATGGCACGGACGTTAGCCTCGAGCTCCTCAAGGTTGGTCTCATCATCTAAAACAAAAGTTAGTAATTGCATCGGTCTATGCTATCGAGCGATATAAACATACCCCAGGGCTTGACCTCAAGGGTCACGATGGACTTGGCAGCGGGCTTGGGGCCCTTGGCCTCCTTCTTCTTCTTGTACTCAGCGAGACGCTCCTCACGCTGACGGACGGCCTCGGGGTCCTCCTCCTCCTCGTCGGAGCCGAAGAGGTCCATGTCGTCGTCCTCAGCGGCGGGCTTGTCCTTAGGGTTGGTGGGGAGCTCGGTGGCCTCAGGGCCGTAGGTGGTGTACTCCTTGGAGGCATCACCGGGGAGGCTGGAGAACTCAGCCTCGTAGGAGGCAATGTTCTTGTACCAGCGAGCGACGTGGGGGTACTTCTCAGCGTCAGGGGCGCTGGAGAAGGCCTTGAAGGTCACGACATCGGCCTGGGAGGGAGCATCGCTTCAGTCAGGTCAGCTAGGGTTCATCCAGGTGATACAACAGCCGGTGACAATCAAATCCAGTCAGGCAGGGAACGCAACAGAAAGAAAGGATTTTCCAAGTGATCAGAAGCGCGATTGCTCGCATTGTTGTGTAATCTTGCAGCGGGGTCTTAAGCCGCCTCATAAACACGGACCAATTTGTTTTCATCATGAAAAACGAGGAAAAAACCTTAAACAAGGAGGGGAAAAGGGGACAAAATCATCAAGTGTGCCTTACCCAACAATGTAGCTCCGGGAAGCCAGGTAGTTGTTGGCGACTGAGGGGCACCATTAGTGACTTCTAGAAACAAAAAGAAACAGAAGGGGAAGAAAGAAGCACAGAGAGAGACATACGGGTGAGGCCGGATTCGGAAACGAAGTCAGTGAAACCCATTGTGAAGGTATGTGTGTATGTGAAGAGTGTGTGTGTGAAAAGAAGAAGAAAAAGGAGGGGGAGGGGAGGAGTAGGGAATAAATAGGAGGAGGGGAGGAGAAAGAGGAGGGGATTTTTTCACCTCGAATTTTTTCGGGCGACGCCCACAGCGCCCCTCCTTTGGGTGCAGCACGTGACTGGAGAGGTGACGGATTCGAGAGCTTGGTTGTGGAAGAACTGACCTTCAATTGGATCGAGCTGGCCCAATTCGGGGAGCTTCCGCCACTCACCGTCCCTCTCTTCTGCACAAGGTGGAGCCTTCGAGAAGCCTCGCGACCTGGGGAGCAACCGGTTATATAGTCACGGCAATGCACCCTCCACCAATGCAACTGTCAACCTAAACAATCCTGTACAGTTAATTGAAGCACAGAATTGAAGCTTGTTTCCAAGCTTAATCCCGACCATGTCGGCAAGACTACAGCTATCCCGGGGCCGGTTGCTCCGACCTTCGATTCTATCGTCATCGACCCGGATCCTTCAACCGTCCCAAGCATTATTACGTCGTACTCGACTATTGCCAACCCTAGCAAGCAACAATCTCTTCAATCCTCGTGCGATCATCCCCTCTCGCAGTTATGCCAATGGCCGTCCCCATCCCCCAGGAGGTACGCATCGTATGAACCTGGGTGGCGAACCCGAAAAGTCAGCATTGGAACAATTTGGTGTCGATCTCACGGCTAAAGCCAAGGCGGGCAAGCTGGACCCGGTCATTGGGCGAGATGCGGAGATTCATCGCACCATCCAGGTCCTATCCAGACGAACAAAGAATAACCCTGTCCTTATCGGAGCTGCAGGCACAGGTAAGACCGCTGTATTGGAGGGATTGGCCCAGCGCATTGTCCAGGGCGATGTCCCCGAAAGTATCAAAGACAAGCGCGTTATCTCTTTGGACCTGGGCTCCCTTATCGCAGGTGCCAAGTTCAGAGGTGACTTTGAGGAGCGTTTGAAGTCTGTTCTCAAGGAGGTCGAGGAGGCGCACGGCGGCGTGATCCTCTTCATAGATGAGTTGCATACGTTGCTGGGGCTCGGTAAGGCTGAAGGCAGTATCGATGCCAGCAACCTTCTGAAGCCAGCGCTATCGAGAGGAGAGCTTCAATGCTGCGGAGCCACCACCCTGAACGAGTACCGCTTGATCGAGAAAGATGTGGCTCTAGCTAGACGTTTCCAGCCGATTCAAGTCGGCGAACCTTCAGTCGCCGCGACAATCTCCATCCTGCGTGGCATCAAGAACAAATACGAAGTCCACCATGGTGTACGAATCACAGACGGCGCACTAGTGGCAGCGGCAACGTACAGCAACCGCTACATTACCGATCGCTTCTTGCCAGACAAGGCCATTGACTTGGTTGACGAAGCAGCTTCGGCCTTGCGACTGCAACAGGAGTCAAAGCCGGATGTGATTAGAGAATTGGATCGCGATATCACGACAATCCAAATCGAGTTGGAATCTCTCCGCAAAGAAACCGACGTCAGCAGCCGCGAAAGACGCGAGAAGCTACAGGAAGACCTGAAAGCCAAGCAAGAGGAGGCCGAACGCCTGACCAAGATCTGGGAGAAGGAGAAGGCTGAGATTGAAGAACTTAAGCGCACCAAGGAGGAGCTAGAGCGAGCACGTTTCGAGTTGGAACAGGCACAGAGAGAAGGGAACTTCGCAAAAGCCGGTGAATTGAGATACGCCACTATCCCCAGTCTCGAAGCCAAGCTACCCAAAGAAGGCGACGAGTCGACTGCCGGCACCTCCTCTAGTCTCATTCATGATTCGGTTACCGCTGACGATATTGGAAATGTTGTCTCGCGGACTACTGGTATCCCCGTGAACAAGCTCATGGCGGGCGAGGTTGAGAAACTCATTCGTATGGAGGACACGCTACGTCAGTCGGTGCGCGGGCAGGACGAGGCGCTTTCTGCAGTCGCTAATGCAGTTCGTATGCAACGAGCCGGCCTTAGCGGGGAGAATCGCCCTCTAGCTTCGTTTATGTTTCTTGGTCCCACCGGTGTTGGAAAGACAGAGCTTTGCAAGAAGATGGCCGAGTTTCTGTTCTCGACCGAGACCGCCGTTGTGCGATTCGATATGAGCGAGTTTCAAGAAAAGCACACTATCAGTCGCTTAATCGGCTCTCCTGCTGGTTATGTGGGTTACGACGATGCTGGTCAGCTGACAGAGGCCGTTCGACGCAAGCCGTACGCAGTTTTACTCTTCGATGAGTTCGAAAAGGCTCACCGTGATATTTCCGCTCTTTTGTTGCAAGTCTTGGATGAAGGCTTCTTGACAGATGCTCAAGGCCACAAGGTTGACTTCAGAAACACCCTTATTGTCCTTACCTCGAACCTTGGTGCCGATATTCTTGTGGGTGCCGATCCGTCATACTCCTCCAAGGATACAGGAAGCTCGGAACTCTCTCCCGAAGTCAAGAAATCAGTTATGGACGTCGTGCAACATGCATATCCGCCCGAGTTCCTCAACCGCATTGACGAGTTCATCATATTCAAGAGGTTGTCACGGGAGGCTTTGAGAGATATCGTCGATATCAGGATTAAGGAGCTTCAGTCGAGGCTTGATGATCGACGAATGGTCCTCAAGGTCGACGATGAGATCAAGGACTGGCTTTGCGAGAAGGGCTATGACCCCAAGTATGGTGCTCGTCCTCTCAATCGCCTCATTGCCAAGCAAATCGGCAATAGGCTGGCCGATAAGATCATTCGTGGCGAGGTCACGGCGGGCCAGACTGCCCGCGTGACTTTCAATGAAGAGAAGGATGGGCTGGCCATCACTGCGGAAGCTACGCCTGAGGCGAATTCTGAAGATGCTTGAGCGTTAATGATATTCTAACTCATGTTGATCATGATATGTTCCTGGCGCAATGTTGGCTGGATATTTGAACATGCTGGTTTATAGTCTTTCATATCTCCCCTTTCATGTATCATAGCATTATTGTACCAATTTACAGAATTTAATGGACATACATTGCAAGTCAAGATAACTTTTTAGTACCAAAGTCGTTGCTTTAGCATAGCTGTGTGTTCTTTAAGCCTCCGCTGTCAATGACTGGGCAGTTGGCTTTACGTTCCTCTTTTAGCCAAGGCTTGCTGCAACATACCAACTCGAAATATTCCACCTTCGGCTTCCGCAACATGATGAGACCTTCTGTCAAACGAAGACGTACTATCTATGAACCTGAATCGTCTCGATGCTCTCCTGATGCCAGGTTTGCTGCTCATGACTCTTTACGGCGCGTGCGCCAGCACAGCAATCAACAACCCCGATCACAATCTACACCACGACCGGTACCAGCTCAGCAGGATGTTTCAGAGAGTGACCTATTCTTGCAGCCGGTCGATGATGAGCTCGATCAAGTCATTGTAGCCATCGATTCCCGAGATTCTGGGACTGTGGGTTGCTCGTACTACTGCGTCCGAGAAGAAAGGCTTTACCTGCTGGGGGACTTGCGATACTCCGACTCTGATATTATCGATACTTGTCGGTCTTCAGGTCTCTGAAGTCGACTCAAGCTGATGGAATAACAGTGATCCTCCAAACAAGCCCGACGTTGCTGTTACTCTCGCCTCGGGTGGACCACAACGCCCTCCAAGATAGACAAATGCTCGATATAGGCAGTGGTATGGAAGAAGCATAATCTTTTTCACAAGACTAACATAGCTTTCTTGTGCAGATACCGGCTCTCTACTCCCATTTCAGCTCGATATTCGTCCATCGCAGGAATTTAGCTTCGAGAACGCGAAGAGTAAGCTATTCGCTTTAGGCATATCCTCGCAACACGAACAACGCATGCGGTTCCTCGTGCCACACAATGGGTTCGCCGACAGTGGACAATTAGACTCTGAGAGTCTGAATTTTACCCTGCAGGAGGGCAAGTTGCTGCATATCTCGAGCTCGATAGAGATGGAGAACACAGTGACGATCAGCTGTGCCGGCGCTCTCCTCATGCATCTCCAGAGACGCAGAGCCTCTGTCTCTGTAGCTACCAGTCAACCCTCAGATAATTATCGGGTGAACTCTGTGGAGATGTTCAGTTTGATGGGGACTATGTGAGAGTATGAACTGACTCAGAGTCTGGGATTGCGAGCTAATGACATGAAGGTTCGTTAATAAGAGAACGCTTTCGTCGCTGCAGATAATGGAGTCGGAATCTCATCCTAGCATTATGAACCAAGGCAAGAAGTCAATTCTCTCAAAAGAAGGTCTCTCAGTCTACGGCCTCTTCCAGCGCTTTGCGCGTACACCCCAGGGCAAGAATCGACTAAAGCAAATATTCCTTCGTCCAAGTGTTGACGTTGATGTCATCCAGCAACGACACGCATTTATCAGCACTTACTTGAGACCCGACAATTTCAATCCGCTGGAGAAGCTGACCAAGAGTCTCAAGCACATAAAGAATTTGCGCTATGTCATGGTGAACTTGCGCAAGGGTATCGAGACAGGAAGTGGAAAGATCACGGGCTTTAGGACCACGGTGTGGGCTACGTTGTTGGCAGTATGTTATCATACCTGGTGCTCATATGTTATCTGTACACTTACTTGGAACAGTTTGCTTTCTATGGCATTGATGTTTATGATGCTCTGAAAGAAAGCGCCGGAGCTGCTGATTTGGCTCTACATAAGAAGGTCGGTGATTGGGTTGAAGCGATCCTGAACCATTGCTAATGAGGTTTAGGCTCTTCGTGTCTTTGAAGCGGCTCAATTATACAGAGTCGGGAAAATGATCCAAGAGCTTGTGAGTACGATACACACCCCCTTGATAAGCATGGCTGATTCTTCTTAAGGTCGACATAGATAGCTCTGAGGAGCAGGGAAGAACCGTCGTGAAACCGGGAATTGATCGGGCACTCGATCGAATGAAGGACACCTACGATGGGCTCAGCAGCCTACTCAAGAACATCGCCATAGAGATTGCAGGAGAGATACCCGAGTTCTATGACATTGATGTCAACGTCATCTATTTCCCCCAGCTCGGCTTCAACATCGCAATACCACTCAATCAGGCAGGCGATGCTGCTTACAGGGGTCCAGAAGAGGAATGGAACCTCATGTTCTTTACAGAAAACAGGGCTTACTTCAAAGACTTCAGAATGAGAGAGCTTGATGAACGACTCGGAGATATCTATGGTCTCATATGCGGTATGCATGCTTCCTCTCTGCCGTGTTCTCAACAGGATCTACTGACGCTTCCCAACTCTTCTAGAAAAGGAGATTGAACTAGTGTATGGCCTTGCGCAGAGATTGCTCAGGTATGAGAAGAACCTTCTCGAGGCATCGGACATATGTGGGCAGCTCGACAGGTATTTCTTCCCGGGTTCACCGACTTGACGTTCCACTGAGATTATAGTCTTCTTGCAATGGCTCAGACGGCGAGCTTTTATAAGCTTGTCTGCCCGAAGATGGTGCCGGAAAATATCATAAGGATTAGAGGCGGCCGGTGAGGCAATCACTGAATATCCAAATCGCTATCGCGTCTAAAGTCAAGACAGGCATATCTTGCAAGAACTGACTGTGGCCTCTTACGTGCCGAACGATACCTTCTTAGTAGGTGGAAGTTCATCAGACTGCCTTGCACTTTCATCGAGTCAGACATGCCACGAAAACCCCGAACCCATTGATGAAGATCATGGCCCCAGCATGCTTCTTCTTACAGGCCCGAACTATTCAGGAAAGAGTGTGTACATGAAGCAAGTATGTTCATTGCCCCTTGGCAAACGAATATCTCACAAGAAGCATCTAGGTTGCTCTAGTTGCGTACCTCGCGCAGATCGGAAGGTAAATATAGATTCATCTTCCAGAGACAACGATGCTAAGGGTATTAGCTTTGTGCCAGCAGCCAGCGCAGAGCTTGGGGTAACCGACAAGATTATAGTCAAGTCGAGCACCCAAGATAGCGTCTCCCAGGTTCAGAAACCAAGCCAATGCACAGCAATCGACAAGTCCAACTGACTCCCTGTGCGATGACAGATCCAAAGTACTTTCATGCGTGACCTACAACAGATCTCTTTCGACCTGAAGCAAATTACCGAGCGCAGCTTATTGGTCATCGACGAGTTCGGCAAAGGCACCAACGAGAATGGTCAATCTTTCCGTTGTAGACCCTGCTTCGCCTCGCAACAGACACTGACCTTCAGAGAACATCATAGATGGCATCGGCCTTGCCTGTGGTATCCTCAGTCACCTGCTTGATATCGACAACCCACCGAAGGTCATTGCTGCAACGCACTTCCACGAGATCCTCGCAAATGGTTTCCTGAAGCCCCGGCCACAATTACAGCTGGGTCACATGGAAGTTCGCGTATCCGACGAGGACTCCGGCGATACTGAAGACCAGATCACCTACCTTTATAAGTGAGACTCTTCGGTTACAGTGGTGAACAGCTGTGAATCTCCATGCTGATATCTGACTTGTAAACCAACAGCTTCCGACCGGGTCGAAGCGATAAGAGCTTCGGAACAGTGTATGTTTATGCCCATATGGTCCCCGCTCTCACCTGGATCACTTTGCTTATACGTGCCAAAGTTGTGCCGCGATGAATGGGATCAGTCAGGCGGTAGTTGCTCGGGCGAGCGAGATCGCGGCTCTCGCAGCGCGTGGTGAAAACTTGATCGCTGCGTGCGCCACGCTCTCGGCTGAGGAGATGCGGATCCTTGAACAGGCGGTATGTTTATTTGATATTGCTGCTTGATATGACGGACTCATGGAACTTTAGGATACCTTAGCGAGGAAGTTTCTCCGTTTGGATCTTTCGAATTATGATGAGGCGCTTGATGTCCAGGACATGCTTGACAAGCTGTTTGAGGAATCGTAAGTGAAAGGCAAGCCTTTTACTCAGTCAATATAATATCCTTAGGTCAACTTTATACTACCAATACGACAGCCAAGGCAGGAGATGAAGATTTGTAACCTGAACAATGTTTGTATCATCAAATGAATTATATATGTACAAGCAAACAAAACCCCCCTTTTTAACACACGCAAAACGCCGGCGAGAAGGAATGGTATATCGGTGGAATGGAGAAACGAGGCTAGAGCTTGACACTCTTGACCAAGTTCTTCTTGATACCAGTAAGTTCACCACCATAGCCACCACGGCCTTCACCGCCCTTGTACACCTGGCGTATGCTACCCAGCTTCTTCTTCTTCTCTTCGAACTTCTTCCTCTTCTTGACACGGGGGTTGCGAGAGTCCTTGCTGCGCTTGGGAGCAAGACCCTTGTTCTTCTCGATCTGGTACGTGATGGCTCGCTTGCCGTCGGGCCCAACCTCCTCCTGGACCTCGACATAACCGCCTGCGCGGGCGGCCTCCTTCTCGGCCTCTGCGCGCGCCTTCTTGTCGTCCTTCCGCTGTTTGGAGCGGGCTGCGACCATGTCATAGTAGTCGTCGCTATCGGACTCCTCTCCGCGGAGTTGCTTGGCCACCCGGTTATCCTCTTCGTCACTGTCGCCACCCAGCTGCTCCGACTCCTTAAGCTTCTGCTTACCACGCTTCTCAGCTTCAGCGTTCAGGCGAGCCTGGCGATCCCTCAAGCGCTCGCGGTAAGGCAGATCAGCGTCACCACCTGCATCACGGCCGGCTGCAGTGCGCTTGTTCGCCTTCTGCGCAAGCTGGGAGGTGTAGAAGCGGAGAGAGCGCTTCTGCTTAGCCTTCTCCTCGGCTTCCTTGGCGGTGAGGGCATCTTCATCGCCAAAGTCGGAGTCATCTGCATCCTTGGATACATTCTTGACCTTTTGTGCTGCGCGTTTCTTACCGGGTGCGGTGACCAGCTTGGAGAGATCGGCCAGGTTGGCCTCGGTCTCCTGCAGTCTCTTCGCTCTCCGGGCCTCCGCTTCCGCCTGGCGGGCTTCGGCTGCCAGCTGTGCCTTGGTCTTCTTCTTCTGCTTCTTGTCCTTCTTCGTCTCGGTTTCGATCTCGGAGGCATCGGAGATTTCATCTTCCTCGAGCTCGGATTCGGAAATGTCGGAGGGTTCGGATTCAGACTCAGGCTCGGTGAGGTCCTTGACAGACTCCCAGAGTTTTCTGAACTTAACGAGAGTGGCCATCACGGGGTGTGCTCGGAGCTCGGCGGGGGATAGGGCAATGGGCTTGCCGGCTGCGTCCTTGCCGGAGGTCAGGAGCATAAAGTAGAGGCTGATAGTACCAAGGTAGGCAGAGAGGGCGCGGAACTTGACAACGGAGGCCGGCGCATATTCCGGGGCATTCTCAGAATCGTCGTTAGCATTAAAGGTTTCGGCGGCCTTCTTGAGCTCCAGGTGAGTGGGTTGGAGATCAAGGAAGTCTTTCGAAAGCGGTTCGAACTCGGGGTATCTCGACTTCAAGATTTTCATCTTCTCCTCCGCACTCATATCCTCTGTGATTTCCAGTTGTGGGAGGACTTCCGTCACCTCACCACCGGCTTGCTCCGCTTCATCCGCCTTGCCAGAGTCGGCCCATTCCGTCTCGTCGAAACCGAAATCCTCCTCATTCATGCTCTGCAAGTGCTTCTGTTGGAGTCTCTTGGCTTCTTCTTCTTCTTCGAGCGCATCGGCTTCCGTTTCGATCTGGTCCGCATTGTAGAAGTCTTTCTTCGAGGAGCCCCATGCGGCAATGCCTTCTTCCTCGTCTTCGGAGCCCGATCCCTGGCTGCCCGCGCGCTTCTTGGATTTCGATGGCATATCATCCATATCATCGTCATCGTATCCATCCTCCTGATAGTCATCCTCGTCGTCCAAGTCATCGTCGTCATCGTCCGCCGAGTCGTAGCCCATTATTTCCTCGTCCGATGGCTGCAGCATTGCCTCTGTTGTCACGATCGGTCAACAAAAGTGCTTAAGATAATCACAGGGCAAATCTGAGGTCGACCTACCATCTTCGACCAGCTTGCGACGACGCTTTGCCTCTGGTGCTTCCTCTAGAAGAATCTGATCGCGACCGGCTTGGAACTCATCCTCGGAATCATCGAATCTCTCCTCGATATCGAATTTGGTGGGTCCGAAATCTTCCTTTTTGGCGCCTGCAGGACGACCGCCAGCCTTTCTTTTCTTACCCATTGTATATTTCAACCAAGTGTAAACTGGGGCTATGAGGATGAATCTATACCTTCCGCTCCGGTCTCGATAAACTTTTGCGATAAAATTTTGGGAGGGATCCTCACCGCCCGGGTGACGCTAACCCCGAATGACAAGGGTGGAGGGAGGTTTGCATCGTTTGATTTCCGGCGGGACAGGCAGGTGTACCGAGGCGCATTTGTTCCTTCCTTTAGATCTTCTGGAGCATCAACTTCTCCACTCGCAGTCAACAATTGACAGTTGGGAGCGAAGAAAAAAAAAAAAAGAGAAAAGGCAGGTACACGTTTCTATTGACAAGCACAGCAAGAACCCCATTTCTCGACTTCTATCTCTCCCGGTCTTTCTGTTCTGGCTTTCTTCCTTTCTTCTCCCCCCATGCATCCACTTCTATCCTTCATTTCTTACGATTCTTCCCCAACTGTATTGGGAGTCTCGACCATCCTTTGCGGAGTACTTCTCTATATCGTCAGCAAGATGCTCGGCTTTGGATCTCGTAACCAGTTCGTTGTCGAGGGCAGGGTATGTTCCATTCTATGCTCTGTTCTTCCAAATAGTGCACTGATTTCGTTGGCGTTCTTCCCTTTGTAGACCGCAGTGATCACTGGCGGCTCCGAGGGCATGGGCAAGGCAGTTGCTTGTCAGCTTGCTGAAATGGGAGCCAACGTTGTGATTGTGGCACGAACTACATCCAAGCTTCTGGCTGCCATCGAGACCATGAAGGTAAATCAATCTTCTCTTCTTGTGGCATTCACCAAGGTACAACGCTCATGTTTACTCCAGCGAGTCGCGGACAATGTTGAGCGGCAGAAATTCCACTACATCAGTGCGGACTTGACCGATCCTGCAGAATGCCAGCGAATCATGTCCGAGGTGACCGAATGGAACGATGGACAAGAGCCTGACATCGTCTGGTGCTGCGCAGGATACTGTCACCCTGGGTTTTTCACCGAAACATCCATCCAGGCGCTGCGGAATCAGATGGATACCGTTTACTGGACTGCTGCCAACACGGCCCACGCCATTCTGCAGCGGTGGCTCACTCCGATCAGCCCGAGTAAGCAGGCACCAATTCCTACCAGACACCTCATCTTCACCTGCTCCACGCTCGCCTTCGTGCCTATTGCGGGTTATGCTCCTTATTCCCCAGCCAAGGCTGCTATCCGCTCTTTGTCCGATACCCTCAGCCAGGAGATTGAGATCTACAATGGCTCTCGTACCTCCAAAGCACGCTGCGAGGCTCCGGCTGCCGATGTCAAGATCCACACGGTCTTCCCAATGGGAATTTTGAGCCCCGGCTTCGACAATGAGCAGAAGCTCAAGCCGGCGTTGACGAAGCAGTTGGAGGAGGCCGACAAGCCGCAGTCCCCGCAGGAGGTTGCCAGCATTGCTATCAGTGCCCTCGAGCGAGGGGAGTACCTGATTACAACAATGTTCATTGGCGACATCATGAAAGGGTCTGCTCTCGGACCCAGCCCACGGAACTCCATTATCAGAGACACCTTGACAAGTTGGCTCAGTAACTTAGTCTTCCCAGGTGTGATCTACGACCTTCGACGGAAGGCGTGGAAGTGGGGCGTGAAGCACGGTCTTCCCACCAACCCAGATGGCAACTGATATGCTGTACTGTCATGACTTGAGTCCTGGTTGTCTGGTCTATGTCCTAGATACCCTGAGCTGCGTTCCTCATTCTTGCAGCCATTATTGTAATCATTCCTAAAGAACATGTACATATAGGCGTAGTCTTAATCCATGCTTCATTGTCCAACACAAGTCTCCGCTATTTACCACACAGAAAACAGCTACAGAGATTTGAGATTGGGAGCTGCTGGCTGCGGCGACACCAAGAATAGTATCCCAATAACCTTTGATGCGCTTGTTTCAGTGCTTTGTGGGAAACAAGGGAATTTGCAGGGTGGCTTGGGGCGAGCAAACAAAGCGCAAACGGGCTGCACCAATTCCTGTCGGGGCCGAGCGGCGGCGGCTTATCGAACAGTGGGGGGAATTTTTGTCGCGTTCACCAACCGCCGCAGGCACAATCAGCTTCTTTCAATTTTCGACTCTAGACAACTGGGGCAACGGACCGAGTATATAGTCCTTGCTAGAGTATCGCCATTCTCGTGGATGCCAATTTACTTAGGCTACAACTGCTGGGTTGCGCGTTACTAGAAACCCCGCAACGCCGTTGCTATACGCAGAAGAAGTTATATATCCACCCCGACTTCTCGCTAGTAAATAAACATTGCGCCTGTTGATCGATTATCGAAAGCCACGGTGAGTTGATTGAAATCAACTCAACCACTACCCCAATCCACCAAACGATGCAACCAATCTTTGCTCTTCCAATATACTACCTCCTCATTGAACCGGTGTGGGCTTTCTGCGGCACCAGCTTCAATGTGGTCTTTTTCTACATGACATGGGCCACGCTAGTGCTGTCGCATTCAGCCCTCCGTGTTGAGCTCGTGGGCACCGCCACCGTGCGGGTGTTGTGCTATGCTCTGCCATCGCTGCTGTTTTTCTTATTTGACATCCTGACCCCCTCGGCGGCCGTCCTTCTGAAGGCGCAGGGCGAATATGGCCTCCCTGCCGGCAACAAACGGGGCCGAATCCGGAAAAAGGATCTGAAGGTCGCCGGGTGGGCGCTATTCAATCTGACCCTGGGGATCGTCGTGCAAGCCGCCGTGGAGCATGCGCTGGCCAGTCAATTTCGCAAGGTGCGCTTGGTGAAAGTGACGCTGAAGCTGCCTCTCCCGTGGACTTTGGTGCTGGACCTTTTTTGGGGGCTTCTTTTCCGCGAGGTGAGTTGGGTTTGCCCTGGGGTGAGGGGGGCGGTTATACGCTTTCTCTTGCCCGTTTCTCTTTCTCTATGTGCATCTCTCTCTAATATGTGACGTATAGATCCTCAGCTACACCATCCACCGCTGCATCCTCCACACCAACAACCCGCTCGCCCGCCTCCACCGCACCTGGTACCACTCCCTGCGCGCCCCCTACCCGCTCACCGCGCACTACGACCACCCGCTCGTCTACCTCGTCGGCCGCTGGCTGCCGACCATCCTCCCCGTCTTCCTGCGCCGCCTGCACATGCTCTCCTACATCGTGTACTTGGGTCTCGTGTCGCTGGAGGAAACCTTCGCCTACAGCGGATACTCACCCATGCCGACGGGGTTCTTCATCGGCGGCATGGCGCGCAACACCGAGGCCCACCTGCACAGCGCCGGCAAGGGGAACTTCGGGCCCTGGGGCGTGCTGGACTGGATGCTGAGCACGAACGTCGAGGAGGAGTTCGAGGAAGCAGACGGAGAGGTCCCCTCGCCGCCGCGCAAGCTGCGTAAACGGCCCAACAGTGGGAAGGAGGGAGAGGTGAGACGGCGAAGAACGGCGGCGGCGGGGGTGGTGGATTTGAAGTATGATCCTCGTGAAGATTATGAAGGGGAGGAAGGTGAGGGGGAGAGTGAGGACAGGGAGGAGGCTGTGGCTATTGTTGCGTCGGATAAGCAGCCGATTCGAAGGATGAAGCATTATTGGACGGGGGAGCCTAAGACGACCAGGGATAGACGGACGACGAGGAGGAGGGCGGCGAAGGTTGCTGTCGTTGAGTGATCTTGTCCTTTTTGTTAGTGTTTGCGATCATTCTGTGCTGTGTCTAAGGTGAGGGAAAGGGTGATTGAAAATTGCATTGCATTGCGTTGGGGAGAGGACTGTTGGTGTTGGTGTTGGGCGGTGGTTTTTGTTGTTTCTGTTGCGGTTTTGCTTGTTACGTCATGTACTGTATGTGGATGGTGAGTATATTTTGGCGGCGTACTGTACGCCGCATACGGAGTAACGAACTTTTTGGAGATCTGGGGAGTGGGTGGGCCTCGGGAGGGTTTTGTTTGTGGTGCTTTTTGAGTCCTGTATGTTGTATAGATTTTGCTTTCAATCTTCGCAATTGATTTTTCTGAATGTTATATGCCCAAAAATATATGATTCTGAGTTACTGAAGCTGTAGGTTGCCTTCTTAGTTGTTGTGTGAAGTGTGCGATCTCCATGTGTGTGGGGGGAGTAAGAGTAGTCCGTAGAGGATCGGAGAGCATTATCGAGGGTTCTCTTATCGGAGTTGGGGTGGTCCCGCTTATCGCTACGTACAGTACAGTCTGTTGCCGGGATTCGAGGCGAGAAACGCACACTACACCGTCCCCCGGGGAAGACTCGATCGGGAGAGGGTAGTCCTTGACTAACGCATTCAATTATTCAGTGGGTGTACAAAACTGCGATCTTGGTAATTACAAGGTAAGTCGAGAGTATGTAGAGTAGTATTTCGGATCATATAAAGATTTCATGAGGCCCAGGGGACTCGGATGGTGATGTAAGTTATGTGAATAGGAAACAGACAGAGGTATATGTCACTCGCCTTCTCTGAAGATGAAGTTTGGGATGAAATGCATGAAATAGAAAGGAGAGGTATTCTGCTTTTTTTTGTTTTCATTTCGGCTGGTGATATCAAAAGCTGCAAAATTCGGCCACGCTGGGAAAAGGGTAGTAAGAGGGCAAAGCAAAAGAAACATAAGCCCAAAAAAGAACAAAATGTTGTATGTCCCCTTGAAATGAGAGATAACGAACCCGGTTTCTTTTTTGTCCTTCTTGTCCGCATTAAAAAAAGTTAAGAAAACCGCAATCCTAAGCAAACATGAGGCCTGAATCGAGTTACATATATTTCATGAAAGGTTTTGTTTTTTTAAGCATTTCTTTTGTTTTGATCTTTGCCCAGTTCCCGGCGCTGCAAGTTTCGCTTTTTTTCCCTATTACTTGACAAGAGAAAAGAAACGCCGACTTTGCATTTGGTTAGCCGCCTTTTTGACAGGATTCCTCCACACAAATCTACCGAACCCGCGGCCGCCGCGTCACACATCTACCACTTCATCTCGTGGGGCTTGTCACCGTTGCGGAGGCTGAAGCTGGCGGCGAGGTAGCTGCCAAGGAAGTTCTCCTTCTTGACAGCGGCCAGGATGGACTGGTCGATGGCCTTCTGGTCAGCAGCACGGGCGCTGGCAACCTGCTTCTTCTGTAGCGAGAAAAACATATCGAATCAGCATTCATCTTCTGGAGTAGTGGTAGGTGTGTCGTTCTGCCAGAACTTTCCGAAAGACGACCTGAATGGTGGAACGTACCTGGGGCTTCTCTCCCTGCTTGAAGAAAGCCTCCTCGGTCTTCTTCTCAGTCTTCTTCTCCTTGGTGAAGTAGTCCTTGGAGGAGACCTTCTCAACGGTCTGGGCGTCAACACCGCTGATGTCGATGCGGGTGCTAGTGGCGATCACGTAGCGGGCGTTGACACGGCGGAGGGGAACACCGTTGATCTTGAAGGGACCGGTGACGAGGAGAACACCCTGCTCGAGGTGCTTGAGGAGAACGACACGCTTTCCACGGAAGCGACCGGCGAGGAGGATCAAGACAGTACCGGGCTGAAGGCTCTCGCGGATCTTGGCGGGACGGACAGCCTTGCGGACCTATAATCGTGCAAAAGAGGCCATGTTAGAAACGACCTGGATTCCATATGCGATTTCCAATCCCAAGAGTACATCGGTCGATCCAGGAAAAGGCCCGAAGATGCGATTTGACCCCTATTTTCGAAATCGTATATGTTCCGACCGACACTGGCCTTGATTCTCTTTCTTGCCTTCATATTACCCCGAATCCGAACCCGGAGGTCTCCTCCTCTTTCCGAAAAACTAGCGCAGTTGTCGCAATTCGTTCATAGATTCCAAATCGCATCTTCGTTGCCTCCCTGGTCGGTCGATTGCTCTGGTTCTTGTCCCAGGGTGTGTGTTGGTGTACTGACTTTCTTGACCTGCGACTCGTCATCAACGGGGTACCATTTCTGGGCCTTCTGGGCCGGCACAGTCCTCTGGCCCTTTCCAAACTGCTTCGTCTGGTCCGACATGTTGGCTACCGGGACGAAGATGGTCTGAAAAGAATGTAGGGGGGAGGTGGTGGTTGTCGACGGCGGGTGGTTGCTGGAGTTGATGTGTGACTTGCTGCTTTGCGCCCCAGGACGGGAAAGTGTGAGTTTGTGTGAACGCGAGCCCTAGCCGAAAGGCGCTAGTGCCGATTCGGAGCAGCCTGATAGCGATAGAGCCGATAGCGCTGCCTGGTGCCTGAGGCAGTCGGCCCGCTGCGCTCCGGTCGGCGGGAGCCCCCACCTATGCAGTTCGTGTGTGTGTCTTAGTCAGAGGAGCTGGTCAGCCAAAACATACTGCGGGTAACCTCCAACTGACGTACATTGCTTTTGTTCAGCTTTTGTCCGCTATCCCAACCTACCAGTTCGCTCTCCGCGATAGGCAGAATCGCAAGTTACGACTGCTGTCTCGTCACATTGAAACACCTTGAGCTTCACAAGTCCCTGTCACAACCCATTTCCTGCTCCATCACATCCCGCCACCATGTCTCTAACTCCGATCATCACGTTCAAAGCGGGTATCTGTGACCTCGAGGTGAGTTGTCTCTCAGAGCCCCCACAATCCTCCTATTGTCCGGGTCATCCAAGCATCTCCTCTTCTAATGCTAATGCCTGTCTCTTCTGCTCGATCAGTCCGGCAACGTTGTAAAGCCAAAGCCCACTCCCGGTTACATCTACCTCTACATTGAAGATGAATTGGTACACTTCTGCTGGCGCCCGAGAACTGCCCCTCACACCGAACCCGACTTGGATCTGGTCATGGTGCCCTCCGACGGAACTTTCACGCCCTACAAGCCTGCCGGAAACTCCGCACCCACCAACGGCCGCATTTACGTCTTGAAGTTCTCGTCCAGCTCGCAACGGTATCTCTTCTGGCTGCAATCGAAGTCGCAGCACGAGAGTGGTAACCCTAGCTGGTTCAGTCCCAGAGATATCCGACTGGGTGAGATTGTCAACACGTTGCTGCAGGGCGAGGAGGTGGATGTTGAAGAAGAGATTGCCAATCTTCCTCGGGGTCCCTCGAGCGGTGGCGATGACGACGAGACCATGGAGGATGTAGAAGGCGTTGATCACGACCCCAACCACAACCACGGAGGCAACAGTGGCGGAGCTGGGCCAGATGCTACTGGAGGCGATGTCCGGGAAGAAGGGCAAGGATCGAGGGAGGGCGGGGCCGATGGTGGACGAGCGTAGGTACATATCTCGACAGTTCCTCATGTTCACTCTCGGCGTTTTACACTGGGCGGGCGGACTGTACCCTCAAGCAATTGATAGTTTCCTATAGCTATGCTACCGTACGAGTGCTAACAGAGTGTTTCCGCCTGTAGGGCAGCCGCTGACTCGGATCCTTCATCTGTCGTGCAGAGCTTCTTGCAGTCTCTGGGTGGGGGTTCGCGCCAGTCCCAAGATCCCGAACGGCCTTTCACTACTTTGCAAGATCTCCTTCCTCCTGCAACTACGCTTCCCTTCTTGGCGTCCGCCGACGCCAAGACCGTGGATCACTTGTTGAGCTTCTTGCCCCCCTCGCTCCTCCTGCTGGCACAAGACATCGACGACGCGGCGGTAGCTGATCAGGACCCGGAGATCGCAGAGGCCGCCATGGGATCCCTCGACGAGGACCAGAAGAAAGAGATTCTCCGAAAAGTTCTGCACTCGCCTCAATTCGCGCAGAGTCTCGCAAGTCTGACTGTGGCTATCCGAGATGGTGGATTACCGAGTATTAGTGAAGCCCTCAAGATTCCCGTGGAGAATGGTGGATTCATGCGTAGAGGGGGAGTCCCCTTGGGAGGTGGTGATGCTGTGGAAGCGTTCCTTCAGGGCGTTCGGAATCACGTTAAAGACACGACAGCTGAAGCAAACAACCGGATGGAGACTGATTAAGTTTGACCATTTAGCCCAACAGTTTAGCATCAGTGGTTTTCTTATGAGTTCTAAAGTTCCAATTCTCCGCCCAGCCCTATCGCGTCAGATAATTTTAGATTGGTTATACGGTATAGATAGGGGTATATATGATCCCGGCATATTAATGTATGTTGTGACTCGTTAAAGTCTTTGAGACACGCGACTTAGCGGCTGCATGGGACTGAAACTCGACAGGTGGAAAGGCTGGAGAGAAAGTGGACTTCTATTTTTGGCCGGGACGGAAGAGCTGTGGTGGAGACCAGCTATGGGCGCAGGCAGCCATGTCTTGTTCGGTGTGGCGCGCGTGGCTATGATTACATGTGCTCGCTGCTCACTGCTCTCAGTTGGTCGTGGAATGTTGATCTCGATTGGTATTCAGTGTGAGTGACGTTTGAGAGAAAAGTACTTAGTAACTTATTCTAGAGTGGAGGGAGGAGGACTCAAAACCGAATCTAGACTTGCTGTACCAGAGGAAAACAAATCAAGATCCAATAATAGTGAGTAACAAGATGGAACTGATAGTTAATGTTGTCAGGGACGGGGCTGAGGAAAACGTAAGGAAAGTAGGGAAATGATCCATCGAACCAAATAAATTATTAGTATCATTTATTTTTTGATCCTTTATTCATTCATTACTCATATGAGGCTCGGATGTTGAGCAGATGCTGGGGACTTCAGTCACTCAGCCATACAGAATCCGTGGATGATCAAATTCGCCCCAGTTGAGGGCCGCATTGGCGTAAGTCCAGACACTCCATTCTGCTCTTCACATCCAATTGCCCTCCAGCAATCACCCCCTCTCCCCCCTCCACACACCCCCCCCCCCCCCCCCCCCCCCCCCCCCCCCCCCCCCCCCCCAAAAAAGACACGATCACTTTTGGGTCTTGAATGTTCCAGTGTTCCCAGTCTTCCATTCTAATGATCAAATTTCGAATTTCATCATGGTCGGACACCTGCTTTGATTGGATCCTGGCCCACGTTTTCCACTCGGGGAATCCACCCCGGTCATCTTTCAGCCCTTTTCCGGACACTTTCTTTCTTAGCTCGAGACCAGGTACTTTGCTCTTTGCCTACACGAACACACGTACGTACGATTTGGACGAACTACTACTAAATTCCCAGCTTTCCCCCGTGCTCTCCGCCCGCAGCGGTGATTTTCTTCCACCTTCTCCCCTGCATCATTTGCACCTTCGTACCCTCTGACTATATCGTCTGGAAGTCCTGCGCCTCCCCTTCCTCGCGATTCCCTCTCGACCTGCAGCGGCCTGCGATGTCTGCGTTCGGTTAGCGCATCTGAACTGCCCCCCATGGCTTCCAGCAGCCATGACCGCGGCACCGACGACGAACATCTTCCCTCCCAGCACTCAATTCCTCTGCAAGACCTGTCAGGGACCTTCGACCCTGACATCGAGCCGAGGAATACTACGGGTGGGGTAGCAAGCAGGCTTAGTCGGTCATTGACTGGCAGAGGCCGCACCGGAATAAATTACGAGCGCATCGCGCTTGATTCCCCCATTGATCGGGTGGCCGGTGTGCCCCCGCACCACCACGATGAGCACGCAGGCGCTGCGATCGATGATCCGGGCGCATTCGCTCAAGCAATATCATCAGTCGGACTCAGCTTCGACCCCTCCCACCGAGCCTCACTGACGCCAGTACCGACCCGCGATGGCTCCAGCTTAGACCTTGACACGGTTCCCTTGGACGAAGCCGAGAACTATCTTACACACACCGAAACCTACACTGACACGACCCCATTGACGAATATCCGGAATGTTCAGCCCATGGGCGGCGCCTCCAGCTCCGAAGACATTCTGCACCACGATGATCAGCATGGTGCACCCACGGCTCAATTCGCCAACACAGCCGGCGGCAATCCGGATGCACGGTTGGGTGATGACCTGGAGGGTGGCTTTCACGGCCGACGGCGCGGATTGAGTAGTCCTGGCGAGAGGTCGCGCTCACTGTCTCCCTCGGCGCCCGGGTCGGCTTTGCAGCGAGCTAGTTCGATGATGAAGTCCATGTCTCAACGTATCGTCAATCTTAGTAACGAGCCGGAGGTTGTGGAACAGTCGATTTTGAGAGAGGAGTCGCACAAGAATGCGCGGATGGAGGAACCGCCGGCCCTGCCGTCCTTACCGGACTATGCGCACGATATGCCGTCTCCCCACACACCTTGCAGCCCGGCTGCTCATCACGAGAAGCTACCCTCGAATAGCAAGGCATGGCGCAAGATCAGCAATCCGTTGAGGGGCAAGTCCCTGGGAATCTTGGGTCCGGATAATGCTCTGCGGATGTGGCTGTGCGACATCTTAGTTCATCCGTTCACAGAGCCTTTTATCCTGGTGGTGATTTTTATTCAGACAATCCTACTGACCGTCGAGTCATCTCGCTCCGTTTGGAGCCATCCTCGTGATGTAAGTTGGGGCAAAAACCCAACCGATTATGTTTACCTAGCGATTTTCATCATCTATACCCTCGAGGTCGGCGCCAAGATCCTGGTGTCCGGCTTAATTATCAACCCTGCTGAATACAGTACAATCGACCGATCATTAGGCTTCAGGAAAGCGGTGGTCGAGAAGGGGAAGAATCTCATCATCCCACAGCGTCAATTTTCAGTGAGAAAGTCAACGGTCGCTCCAGAGCAGCCGCAGGCTTCTATTATACGAACGTTCACGGGAGGGTTAAACCAATTGGAAAACCAGCTGGAACACCAGTTGGCGGATGATCCCTTGCAGAAAAGTCGCGTACGACTGGCGCATCGAGCGTTTCTCCGTCATTCCTTTAATCGTCTGGACTTCGTCGCATTGGTCGCCTACTGGGTTTCGTTCTTCCTCTCAGTGTATGGAGTGGAGACTAGCCAGCAGCTGTATGTCTTCAGCATGCTCAGCTGTCTCCGGATCCTTCGTCTTCTGGCTTTGACGAATGGTACCTCTGTAAGCATGATATCCGCCTCTGCAGAGTAGACATCCGACTAATTCAATCAGGTAATCCTTCGCAGTTTGAAAAAGGCTGCGCCGCTGCTCGCGCACGTTGCATTCCTCATCGGTTTCTTCTGGCTTCTATTTGCCATTGTGGGCATTCAGAGCTTCAAATCTAGCTTGCGAAGGACTTGTGTTTGGATTGGGGTGGATGGTCAAGGTAACTATACGCAGGATGAACAATTCTGCGGTGGTTACCTCAATGACGGCCAGCATTTCCCATGGCTACGTGCTGACGGCACCCCGACAACTTCCAGCCCAAAGGGTTACATTTGCCCACAGGGGTCTTTGTGCGTTGAAGGTGACAACCCTTACAGTGGGACCATGAGCTTTGACAATATCCTCAACTCGCTGGAGCTCGTGTTTGTAATTATGACCTCGAACACGTTCACGGATATCCTCTACTATACCACCGACAGTGATTACCTGGCAGCCTCTCTCTTTTTCGTCTGTGGATTGATCATTCTGAGCTTGTGGATGGTCAATCTGTTGGTTGCTGTCATCACACATTCCTTCCAAGTCATTCGCGAAGAGAGCAAGCGCAGTGCTTTCGCCGTTCAAAAGATAGACTTGACCCACAAAGAGGATCCATCCGCCCGCAAGATAAGTACCATCAAGCGTATCTATGACAAGACAGAGTGGTTTTGGGTTTGTGTCATTATCATTGACCTCGCTACACAAGCTCAAAGAAGCGCTTCAATGGGCGATGACCGGAAGTCTCTTATTGACAACACCGAGATCATCGTTACCCTCATTCTTCTCGTGGAGATTGTCTTGCGGTTTGCCTCGGACTGGCGTAATTTTCATCGCAAGGCGCGAAACTGGGTTGATCTGGGTTTGGCAATCATCACCTCTGTGATTCAAATCCCAGCCATCAAGCATACTCGTGCGTACGATGTTCTCACAATGTTCCAAATTTTTCGAGTCTATCGAGTGGTGCTCGCGTTCACGGTGACCAGGAACCTCATCATGGTAGTCTTCCGGAATGCTACTGGTTTGCTGAACCTCATTGTCTTCGTGTTCTTGATCACATTCCTTGCATCCATCTTTGCGACACAGCTCTTCCGCGGCCAAATCCCGGAGGAAGATGACAGTGGCGACTTTATCTTCATCTCGTTCTCCGATATTTACAACTCTTTCCTGGGAATGTACCAGATTCTGTCTAGCGAAAATTGGACAGACATCTTGTACAATGCCACGACATACACGGTGGCTTACAAGACCGCCTGGATCTCTGCGACTTTTTTGATTATCTGGTTCATCGTATCCTGCTTTATTGTCCTGAACATGTTCATTGCTGTCATCCAGGAAAGCTTCGATGTGTCGGAAGATGAGAAACGGCTGCAGCAAGTCAAGTCGTTCCTAGAGCAGAAGCAAGTCAGCATGTCTTCGCAAGGAAACTTGTCGCTCTCGAAGATTCTGATGATGGGCCGCAAGTCGGAGCGCTACAAAGATCCTCTTGATCACGGACCAGCGGCGCTGGAAATGCTTCTGAAGGATGCTGTGGTGCAGGAGTTCCTTGACGAGCAGGAGCCGGCGGAATCGCAAAACAGGGAAAGCGTGCCACTGGAAACGACGACCACGGCGGAGATATCGCAGCCTGGCATCTTCTCGCGTTTCTGGAACAAGTTTGCGACATCGGTTATGCGTCGAGAACCAAATCCTTTTTACTCCAAGCTGAAATTCTCACGAGCATACGACGAGTTAGACCCGAGGACAATGGCTCGGGAGGTCGTCTCGGCAGCTGAGCAGAGAAAGCGAGCTCAGCGCGAATACCTGATGCGCCACCCTAATTATAATAAGTCATTGTTTATATTCGCGCCGGACAACGCAATCCGGAAGTTGTGCCAGCGTATGGTTGGACCCGGTCGCGGTACTCAGCGAGTGGAGGGCGTCGACCCCTACAAGCCGGTCTGGTTCACTTTCTCTGCTTTCATTTATGCCGCCATTGTCGCAATGGTCCTCCTGGCCTGTATCACAACTCCGATTTACCAGAAACAGCACTTTCAGAACAACCGAGACTGGTTCACTTATACGGATATGGGCTTTGCGATCTTGTTCACGATTGAAGCTCTTATCAAGGTGGTCGCTGATGGATTCTTCTGGACGCCCAATGCGTATTTCCGAAGCTCGTGGGGGTTCCTGGACGGTATCGTCTTGGCTACTCTTTGGATCAGTGTGGGCGGTTCACTGTACAAGGACTGGGGTTTGACTCGGGCGATTGGGGCTTTCAAGGCACTCCGAGCACTGCGGTTGTTGAACGTTAGTGACAGTGCCAAGGATACGTTTCACTCGGTCATCATCGTGGGAGGATGGAAAGTTATTGCTGTACGTTCGCGCCTACCGAGGATCGTTGCAAATGCTGATGAGATTAGGCCGCTGCGGTTTCGATGAGTTTTCTAATCCCCTTCGCCATCTACGGCGTCACGCTTTTCGCTGGGCGGATGGTACAGTGCAATGATGGCGATGTGTCTGGCAGCCTGGACACATGCATTGGCGAGTACCTGAGTTCCCCTTCGAACTGGGATGTGCTTGCGCCCCGGGCCGCGGCCAATCCATACTACGACTTCGACAATTTCGGTGACTCTCTCTTCATTCTGTTCCAGATTGTCTCCCAGGAAGGGTGGATCGATGTTCAACAGAGTGCCATGAGCATCGTAGGGGTCGGCCAGCAGCCGCAGGACTACATAGCACCAGAGAACGGGCTGTTCTTCATCGTGTTCAACTTGCTCGGCGCCGTCTTTGTCTTGAATCTGTTTGTGTCTGTGTTCATGCGCAATTACACGGAACAGACTGGGGTTGCCTACCTCACTGCGGAACAGCGATCGTGGCTGGAGCTGAGGAAGCTGCTGAGGCAGATCTCCCCTTCCAAGCGGTCCATCGACAACAAGAGCAAGCAGTGGAAGATGTGGTGCTACCGCGTGGCTGTCAAAAAGCACGGCCGCTGGGCGAGGTTTGTTACTTTCGTTCTCACCTTTCATCTTCTGCTATTAGTGCTAGAGTTCTACCCCGAAGCCAGTCTCTGGAACACGATCCGCGAGGGTTTGTTCTTCGCATTCAACTTTGTGTACATTGCCAATGTGGTGATCAGGATAGTTGGCCTCGGCTGGCACCGATTCAGCCGAAGTTCCTGGGATCTCTACTCCCTGATCTCGGTGCCTGGAACGCTGATTACTACGATACTCAGCTTCGCGAACTCGGGCCATGTAGTCTCGGAGCTGAACAAGCTTTTTCTGGTGTCGATTACGCTGCTCATCATTCCGCGTAACAATCAGCTCGACCAACTTTTCAAGACGGCCGCAGCCAGTTTGACGGCCATCGGAAACCTTCTCGCGACCTGGTTCGTCTTGTTCCTGGTGTTTGCCATCGGAATGAACCAGGCTTTCGGCCTGACCAAATTCGGGTCTCAAGAGAGCGACAACATTAACTTCCGTGACATCCCACGCACGCTGATTCTGCTCTTCCGGATGAGTGCCGGTGAGGGGTGGAACGAAATCATGGAAGACTTTGCGACCATGGTACCACCCCTCTGCACCTATGCCAGCAACTACTTCGACGACGACTGTGGCAGCGCACCGTGGGCCCGGTCGCTCTTCATTGCGTGGAACATTATCAGCATGTATCTCTTCGTATCACTGTTTACCTCTCTGATTTTTGAGAGTTTCTCCTACGTGTATCAAAAGAGCAGTGGGCTCTACGTCATCAGCCGCGAGGAAATCCGTCGCTTCAAGCACGCATGGGCTACGTATGATCCCGATGGGACGGGCTACATCACCAAGGAACAGTTCCCGCGCCTGTTGGGGGAGCTGTCTGGTATCTTCTCGATGCGGATCTACGACGGCGAGTTCACGATACCCCAGATTCTCGAGGAATGTCGGGTGGACAAGCGCGACTCGCTTCTGGCTCATAGGAGAGTAGTGGACGGGCTCGATCTGGACAAGATGTCTCGCATCCTGCGGCGCATCCCGGTCGAGAATATTCGCAAGCGACGGCAGCAGCTCAATTCGTTCTATGAGGAGGTGCTGGTGTCGGCGGACCCGGTGCGCGGCATCTCGTTCCACTCGTGTCTCATGATCCTTGCGCACTACAACGTGATCAGTGACAGCAAGAGTCTCCGACTGGAGGAGTTCCTGCGCCGGCGGGCCCGCCTGCAACGTGTGCAGGAGACGATCCGACGGCAGACGGTGATTGGGTTCTTCGATACGCTGTATTGGCTGCGGCAGTTCCGACGCAAGGTGGAGCACAAGAAGTCGGCCCGGATGAGCGGGGTGCCACAATTCTCGGTGCCGGAGATCTTCGTGGATGACGGATCGCAGGACGAACCGGCGCCGGTCCACGCGCCTCCTTCCGATGGGTTTGTGGGCGCGGAGCCCCTCCAGCCGATGCTGTCCCCGACCTCACCCACGCGACGCGAAGGTGGCGGACCGTCCCGACTGGGCGGACTTCCCCCGATTGACACGAGCATGGGCGGACGCATCTCCGGGGCGAACTCGCCCACGGAGTGGTCGAGTATCAGTCCGTCGCTGTCGCCGCGGCGGGAACGCGCCAACACGACCTCGTCGTATGGCAGCGGGCCGGACGTGCTGGAGGAGATCCAGAGCGCGACGACGGAGCGGCCGCCTAATGTGAACGACGTGATGCAGTCGCTGGGCGACTCGGCGTGGGGCGAGAGTATCCGACGTAGTTTTACGCAGCGACGACGGTCGGGCGAGTAATGCGTTTGCCGTATCTTGATGTTTGTTGAGCCTTGATTTATGTTAGAGATGGAATAATTCTTGCAGCGTTTTCTATTTTTTTTTTTTTTTTGTGGCTTATAGCTCTGCATCTAGACATCTTGCTTGGGGGGCATGCCGCGTGCATGGCTGTACAATAGATGGCGGGGGGGTTTATATGACAGTGATGATGATGTTGTTGATGATGATGTTGTTGATGATGATTGATTGAACATAGGCGAGTCGATATACAGATAGAGACTGGAGTGGGAATGAACGGATTGTATAGTCATAGTCACTGGCGTGAGTGAGTAATTAGACCCCGGTGGGTTCCAGGAAGAACAGCAAAGCACAGGAGAGAAGGTAGTGGAGTGATCGATGTGCCGCGATGTTGATCCATCACGTGGATACATCCATGCCACCTAACAGGTCTAGCATCAGACCAAACTGGGGGTGTGTGATCGCTGGAGATGCCTTGTTCTGCCTTTTCCCTTCGTTTAGGTCCGTTGGATCTGCGAGCAACGTAGGGGAGCCGTGCAATAAGTTCCTGTGTGTGTATGTATTTTGGGGCCGTTGGAAAACAGGGCGAGATTGGATGACTAAGAGCCGTGATGACAGGGCGAGTTCCGTGGATTGTGGATGGGGGAAGATCCAGTGCCCGGATGGAGGGGGGCAAGACTCATCTCCACTATTCCTTGGGTACATACTTCTTGAAAGAAAAGGGGGCAAGCAGGATTTGATGATAATAATTACTGTGTAATTATCCAATTTCAATTTCACTCGCAGGGTGTGCCCGAGTACGAGTACAGATACAAAGACTAAAGAATGTGTGTGTGTGTGTATGTGTGTGTGTGACTGCAGTCGGAAAGAAGTTTGAGAATCGGCTGGAGCGGAAACGGGGCGGTAATTCTTCTGTTTGCAGGAGATGCAATGCATGGGTCAGGCAGGGCCCCCCCCCTGGCTGCAACTTTGGCTGGTCTTGGATGTCATCATCATTTACGGAGTCAGTTACTTTAGTTACTTTTGATGAAGTTGGTTAGTTACTTATAACTAAGTTAATCGGCCTTGATTACCTCTCGCTTGGGACTTAACTTATAACTCACTACACTTCACTTGTTACGCCAGTTGATCTATCACACGGTCACAGGGATTGATTGATTCATCACACACTGACTGCCTATCAGTAGTTACTGTGAATCTAAGTCTATGAATCTGAGTCTACTTGTGTGACTTCCCACTCTTCTTTTCTTTACTTTTTAACTACTATCTTTACTCTCTCTCTCTCTCTGACTCTCCCTCTGATCCTCGACCCTCTCCTCTCCTCTCCTCTACTCTACCGAGGATTCTACTACTGCATAACCACATACATATTAGTATATACCCCATCCATCATGCCCGCCCACAATAACCACCCTCAAACCCTTCCGCATCTTCACACCACCTTCGCCCTCCCGCCCCCGTCATCCCATACTCAGTACAACACCACCACAAAACCACGACGAACAACAACAACAACAACAACACCAGGACCAGGCACCCTCTTCACCCCATCCACCTCCCCAACCATCTCCCCCCTTAGCTCCACAACCACCAGTCCCACCTCCTCCCCAATCTCCAATCCGGATTCCATCTCCTCCGCCTCTGACACCCGCGGCCACTCCCCGCCGCCGCCGCCGCCGTTCTTCGCGCTTCCGCATCGGGTCCATTATCATTATTCAGGTGGGGGGAACGGCCATCACAACCCAACCCAGAAACCGCCAGTGCAGCAGGGGCAGCATCAACCACCGAAATACCAGCATTTGCAACCACAAGACAAATACCAGCGTCCGCCGCAAGCAGATCTCACCACCCCGCCCTTGAGTCCGCATTTGGTGCCTGTGAACAACAACAACAACAACAACAACAACAACAATCACCCCGCTCGATCGTTCTCCTCGCCGGCGGTACTGAAGCAGACCGAGAAGGAACAGCAAGGCCAAGCGCAGGCGCTGAGTTTCCTTCCGCCGCTGGAATTTGGGGAGTCCCCTCTGCTGGAGTTGTCGCTGTCGTCTTTGCTTCCGCTGTCGCCGGAATTGTCGCCAGAGCCGGAGCAGCAGCCGGAGCAGCAGCCAGACCCAGAGCGAGGTTCAAGCTTGGACTTTACTCCAACGGGACTCGGGTTCGTTGCGTCGGAACAGCGCTACCACCGCCACCACCACCACCACCACCAGCCAAGACTCCTATCCAAAATCGAAAAGGAAGTCCTCGAGGAGCAAGGCCGCGCGGCCGCCGGTGCAGTGGAGCGGGTGGGGCTGGGGTTGTTGGAACCGAGGCCATTTCTGTGGTGTGCGAGGGTTGACGGCGGCGGCGACGATCGGATGATCGGCAGGGGAGGGGTTTTCTTGGAGGGAATAGAGGAGGTTTTGGCGGGATAGTCGGTGTTGCAGCCTTCAGCTGGTGGTAATCTTTGGTTTCTCGGTATTCTCTGGGAGGGAGGACGAGTAGGAGGAGGATGATGCTTGGGGGAGGATTGTTCGATAAGGGCTGCGGTGTCGGTGGGATTCCCCTTGGGTTTCCTTGATGATGGGGCTTGCATCTGATCGTTCAACAAGAACCAAGAAAAATCACAGGCTTCTTGCTGAATGAGATCTCATCAGTCCATCAGGACAGACAGACAGACAGACAGACAAGCAACGAGCGAGATCGGAAGGATTTGTCGTGCTACTGCGCGGGTGGACGGACGGTTGTTAATACTAGATGGATGGAAGCTTACTAGTTACCCTTTTTCTCGATCACGATTTACAGTCATGTTGGCATCTGGATAATCAGGCGTTACGGGGAAGGCGCTCGAGAGTTGAGTTTCCAACCCTGCTACTTGCTGCTGAGTATCTAGCGAGGTAATCCTTCTTACCCTCAATGTGTTCATAATGGGTTGGGTTGATGAAGGGCGGAGGAGTTTGCGGGGGGGGGGCTTATGGTATCATGTTTGTTTGTTTGTTGGTGTCATCTTGTCGGATTTTTGGTTGTTGCTGGGATGGCTACCTACTTACCTACCTAATCAATCAATCAATCTACTACTACTCGCTACGTGGATGTGTTAGGGCTATGTTTCTATATGACGTATTGTGGACATAGGGTTGGTGGGTTTTCGGGCTTTACTTGCTCTTGATCTGCCTTGGGGTGGATTTGACTAGTCGAGGGACTCGTCTAGTCGAGGGGTCTGAGAAGAAATGCGTAACTTATACACCTACTTCTCACCAACGAGTCCTGAAGATTATCCTTTTGAATCAACAGAGGAAGATATTGAGGTCAAGCTTAGATTTCCTACTTCAGGATACGTAATCTGGACGCAGGGGTCGGGGTTTCACTAGTCTTATGCTGCGATAACCATGGTTATTATCTTCAAGGTTCATCACATCTTCAAGAATGTAAAATAGCCCTGAAGGATCAAGACTTGTTGTATCTTATTAACAAATCAAAGCAGAAACAAAAAAAAAAAGTACAGGATAGGTAAGAAGGTAAGTAGATAAGGGTATCGTAAGTCAAAACATGTGCAGGACAGCGCCGAATTGAGGAAGTCGCGCATCAGCACCACGAGCGGGAATTATTCACAAGTGCAAGCAGATCGCCAGATCCATGGACAGAGTGGGTGGTGGGTAACCAGGATAGAACACAATGAAAGAAAGGGATGATGTGAAAGGGGACAGAAAACATAACGTAAGTACGCTTGTTTCGCAGCATGAAAGCAAAAAAAAAAACAGTCAAAAACTTAAACACGCCACGCCATGTCATACCAACTGTATGTATGTATGTATGTATGTATGATGGATGGATGAAAAGGTAAGCCCAATGCCTGGGGAAGATACAATGTAGTCAGTACCAACCATAAGAGAACTCTTGGAGAACCAGACATCAACTATGACCACCGCTTCACACACAGAAGCAATGTGTTCATCTCGTCCCCTTCTTCCGCTGATTTGGCCACAGCTGCCCTCGACAATTCGCCTCTCCGCACAAACACCGCACCGCGGTGGGTTCGATCTTCGAGTCGCGGACCCCCTCGGAACCAGGGTTGTAGTCAAAGGTCAACTCGGTGAAGGGAGGGATCTCGCGCAGCGCAAAGAAGGCCAGGTCGTAGAGATCGCGGTCCGCGTGGTTGCGGGAGACCGGGATCATGCGGCAGTTGGGGTTGCACGAGTGGTTGATGAAGCGCGTCACGCCGCCGAAGTTGCGGCCGTCGATCACGTACTTGCACCCGGACTCGGCTTCGTCGTCCTCGTCGTCGTTGTCCTCGTCGTGGTAACCGTCGTCGTCGTCGTCGTTAGACTCGTCCTCAAATTCCTCGTACTGGCCGTTCAGGAAGTCCAGGCTGAACAAATACGAGGTACCGCGGGCTGTGTGGTCGGCTTCGCGGAGAGTGGCGGCTGCCGCGGTAATGACTTCACCCTGGTAGCAGTCGATGAATTGGCCGGGGCGGATGCGATCTGGTGAACGGAGGCCTGTGGGAAGGAGTGGGATGGGTCAACACTTAGAGACTAAAACAAGCGAAAAAGCTTACCAACACCAAGAAGGGGGCAACATCTTACCGAACCCACGATCCCCGGTATGAAAGATCTGCAGCCGCACGGTACGCCCGTTCTGCACCACGCGGTTCCAGCACGTCTGATCACAGCTGCACCGGTCACTGCACTCGTAGATCATCGCCTTGCGCGTCAGGAACTCCGGCTTCAGCACCATCAGACCGGCCACATCCGCCGCGGCCCGATACGGCACGATGTTCGTGTTACTCTCGTCCTCCTCCTTGGACAGACACAAACACGTCGTCTCGTCGCAGACGCCCTCGCACGTGCAGCCCGCGTTAAACTCCTCGGCGACGGGCACCACCCCCTTGCGCAGCGGGTTGGTGTTGACGAACTCGAAATTCAAAATAAAATCCGCAAGGCGGCGCTCCGCGGCCGCGTCGTAGGTGACGGCGGGCCCCTTGATGCCCCGTAGCTTGCGCTTCATCGTTTTGCGCGTCTGCTGCCGGATGTTCGGGGGTCGGATGAGCAGCGGGCCCGGCGTGCCGATGACCAGCGGCGTGGCGGACCGCTGCACCCGCTTGGCCTTGGGGTAGGCGCCCTTGACGGCCCGTTTCTCGTAGGCGTCGGTGGGGTAGTACCTCTGCGAGAGCGCGGTGGGCGGTTGAGTTGTTGTTGGGTTAGATGATGCGAGGGACGATGATCTTGATGATCTTGATGATGTTGCTGCTGCTGCTGCTGCATGGCCACTATTGAAGCTCGAAGCTTCACGCTTCAATCGATGGGATGGCGTGTAAATTAGAACATCTGGGGGGTTGGAAGGAATGATGACCTCTGGGGTAGACGCTGAAGATGAGGTTGGGGTATTGGACCGAGTGGCACGCAAAGCAGGCACGAGGGCGTGCGGCGTGTGTCGGCGATTCTGGCTCTGGGCCTCTTGACTTGCGTTGCTGCGCCTCGAGCTCGGTCGACTCGGCTCGGGCTGGGAGGCGACGCGACGGTCATGCTCACGATGCTTGGATCCATTGACAAAGCTAGATACAACAAGGGCGGGAAATGCATCTTCTGTGTCAGACTTTTTGCGCTTCTGTGGCACTGAATGGGGGACATTGAGTGCGCGGTGAGCCAGGCTGTGTGGAAGTGAGGGTGTCTTGGTTGATGTTGTTGATGCTGTCTGGGACCAGAGTCAGCTCATTCTATCAGAGAACCAAGCCCCCATGCGTTGGGTTGGGGGTTATAGACTTTATTTTGGGGCTGGCAGCATTGACTGAGAGGTATACATCGTATATAAAGAGACAACGAAAGAGAACTGAAAGAAATAAGCATTCAAAAGTCTAGGATGGAATAGTCATCCATAGAACACCAGTCTAGCCCGAGATGTAGCAGCGGGTACACTCGACACGCGGGGGATTTCCCAGTAACCGATTTAATCAAAACTCATAAACTGGATATCGCTGGCTTACCTTGCTCAACTCGTCCGAATCCGAGTCTAAGGTCAGGTCGATAAACATAGCCGACATGATACTTCAAAATCCAGGCCAAATAACCACCGAGTTTGTAGTATCTCTGAAACAGCAGACATGATAGTTGAAAAGAGCCCAAAGGAAAGCACTGTTGAGGCGGTCTTAGAAACGGGAAACTCAGGAGGGACTCAGGGAAAAAACTAGTCTAGCTTGTTTAGGAAATATATCGCTGAATCAGCTATATGTGAATGATAAACTGTATAGAGCCGAAATACAAAGGAAATAAATGAGTCCCATCTCACTGATATTTCAACATTCTTTTACAGATTAATTTCACTAATAATCTCCAAAAGTGGACCTTGACATTACCATGGAGCAGAACGCCAGGCCTCTGGGACATGGTCGTTATGCTGATACTATCATGTCAGAAACAATTCTGAACGGACCAATCGGTGGCCTTCAGAGAGCTGAAAGCCGAATGGCCTGCTTTGACCCGCTCCGCCGAGTTTGTTTGCATCTCAAAGAACCAGGTAGCAGCAGCTTCGCACAACGACCATTTGAAAGTCAAATCTACAGTTTCAAGAGACTCCACACACTCTCTTAGTGCCATTATATCTGTGTAAATTATTTTGGTCTATTTAACTCTCCGGAAGGGCGCAGGATCATGGCCTGAATCTGCTCTATAAATCTGGTTGTTGGGCGATGCGGGCATATCAGGTCATGACTAAGCCGCTCGGCCCTGTCAGGACTCTGTACTTAAAAGATATCCTCAAGCCCTGAACAAAGCATTAGTATTTAGGGGGGATGTTTCAGATCACCAGTAAGATAACTAGAAACTAGCAATAGGATTTAAACATTTTATTCTATTGGTAATCGCCAGTATCTAAGGTAAGCCAGTGGCTGGAAAGTACAGTAGTTTGCGCCCCGGGCTGGGCTCAGCTCGTTTGTCCGCTCTCCTAATTAGGGATAGTCTTGATCAGCTCCGCCAGCAGAATTCTTCTTTGAGCCAACGCTTTTCTTACCAATATATGGCTAGCCCGATGTAGTAGGCGGTATTGCTGTAGCGCAAACACCGAAACCAAAAGAGGGGTGCAAATTAATCCCACTGTAGCAGCGGATGCACGCAGCCACCAACTGGTCAATCGCGGACCCTCGTCTCTGGTCGGCCGCATTGTCTTGCGATGAGCGCCTCGACTTTGAAGCAGGCTGGTAGGTATAACTGAAGATGTAATCAGGCTATTGACATGATGTAAAGTAGCACTTGGAAGCCCTTGTGGAGTATGGGCTACTAGTACCAAATTCATGAAATCGGAGTCGAGCTGAATGCTAAGATATATATCATATGACACCGACCTCCAGCCTGCAGTTCCCCAAGCGAGCACCTTGCTACCTAGTACTGGATCCAGTACCGAGTACATCCAAGCTATTCAAGGCTTATGACATGAACAAAAGTCTAAAGCATGCCAACTACTAAGCATAAGTTGGGCTTATGTGACATGTCCACTCATGTCGGAATGTCAACCCTACCTGTATGACCTATGTACAATCAACGGTCCCAGACAAAGGTACCCTCATCGAGCATTAAGCGAAGCAGAAGAGGTGAAATACACAATACTGGTCAATAACAACACAAGGACATGTTTCACTGAATCCATGATGCTCCTTGCGCATGTCTAATATACACCATGATCAACATCTCCTAAAATAAATGAGCCAGCTCAAATGTAATGCGAACCGAAAGTTGACATAGGAAATGCTCCACATAAGAAAACCGTCATGCTCATGCAAATGCTTCGTGGATCCATTCGAGGTTAATCAGCACGCAAATAGTCACTAACGCATCATCTGAATCAATCCACTCAAAGTCGCAGGGCGTCCAAGATCTTCTTCGCCATCTCGCGATACTGCCACATGCCACCTGCCACTTTCTTGAACTGGATTCCGTGCAGCGAGAACAGAGGAACCTTGACGATAAGAATCTCAAATCGAAGCACCAAGTTTTCTCCTGTGTCACTTTGGACTCGGGTTGTTGTCTCACCCATCACACGCTCTCCAACCATCCCGATGTCGCGACTCGGCCGTGGGGCCACTTCCTCGTCGGATCCCTCGGGTGTGGTCACGAAGCTGTGATCCGGCGGCGCTCGAGCCCGACGCTGAGCTCGGGGCGTCTGGCGCAGTTCCTCTCTGCCTTCATCGTGGCTCAATAACCCGCCAAAACTGATGCGCCGGCGATGGCCTGATACAGGACCCTGCCGGTCCGGGCTGGGCGGCCCAACATCCATCACTGTGTCCAGGTCAATGCTCGGGGCATGACGACAGCTAAAGCCTCCCTTGATCTCCGTGTAGTCGACACCTAGTTGTTTCAGAGCACGAATGATGTCGGCGCGAATTACTGGCAAAGGTTTGCTGCTCGTGGTCGAGACACTGAAAAGACCCTTAAGGTACACAGGCTTGGACAAATCCTCTCCTTCATTGGCACTCTCCAAGGCAGTGCCTGCACCGGAAATGTCCGCGTCAGTCTCTTCAGGCACATTGGCTTCTCGCGTAGCATCACGTCTTGCTCGGCGAGCTTGGATACTTTCTCGACGAGCATGGCCTAGCGACATCGTCCGCGCAGTATGACCGCGACCCAACTTCGTGTCTCGCGCAGCCGTCGGCTCCTTCTGTACGTTGGCATAATCCGATCCACTGCTCGGCGGGGGTTGGCCTGTCACGTCAGCTTCATTCCGCCGCGAACGACGAGGACGATAGTCGGCCGAGTTAACGCTAGCAGATCTCTCCAAAAACTTGTTAGACCGCGCAGCCGGCTCCGCTGATCCAGGGGCCTTGAGGAGTTCGTTTTGCTGAGATGGACTCAGTCCGGATGGAACAGCTGTTGGAGATGGATCTGCGCGTCGGGTTCTCTTGACACTGAATCCTCTGGATAGGGGCGAAGCCAAGTCGGCGGGTGGCTGAACGTTAAGTGCCGGGGTGTGGGGACTACCAAGTCTTCCACGTTCCGAATCGCGGCTGCGCTCCTTTGTCCTGCGCGTACTGAACCGTCTCAAAATACCTGCTGCCGTGCTTTCTTTCTTCGCTGGGGTTTCTGGCTGCGACAACGCAGGACCCGGCGAATGTCCCGTTTGCGGGCCAAGGTGAAGATTCTTGATACCATCTGCCAAGTCATCATCACCATGCGTTCGCGCCCGGGGGCGCGACCTTCTCCCGCTATCTTTCTCACCCGGAACGTGATATTGGTTGGTATGGGCAGCCTCCGGTGCTGGAAGATCTGGCATCTGGAGCATTGAGTCCCCTGCCGCGTGTGGGACGCCTAGTGCTCCCGGGTTTGATTCGGCTCTTTCTCGGTCCAGTTTCTCCTTGACCAGATAGTAGACCGAGATTAGCGGGCTGTAGGCATTAATTGGATCGTTGCCTAATTGAACGGCCTCCGCTGACGGCGCGGACAGCGTATCCCTGCTGGCGGAGTTCCGTCGCTTGTAGAAGTCGAAGACTCCTCGCTTCTTTTCTGTATAGCTTGGAGCGGGCTGTTCACGGGCGCTCACCTTCACAGCATGTTGGTAGTCTTCAGACTCGATGACCTTGGTGAGCTGTGCTGTAATGTATTCGGGGGGCCCAAAATCGAAGCCCGTCATCTTCTCAATGACTTCAGGGTCTAGAGGTAGGCTTATAGGTTCGCGGTACGGCAAGTAATTTTCCGGGGCGCCACTGAAGCCTTTGTTCATCCAAGGATGGTTCATGATCTCGGCCAGGCTTGCACGCTGTTTCGGATCGGTGACCAGCATGCGCGAGATTATGTGACGGCACTCTGTTCAGTCGCCATTAGCATCAATGATGTACTATAGACTGTAAATACTAACCTGCAGTGAGCCCTGGAGGGTACTCGAAGACGCCCTGCTTGATCTTAGCATGCAGCTTGGGCATGCTCTGGTCGTCAAACGGCACTTTGCCGCAGACGAGGACATAGAGGACAATTCCAAAGCTCCAAACATCCACTTCGGGACCCGTGTATTGCCTTGCCTGCAGCAGCTCGGGGGCAGCAAAGTAAAGACTACCACAGAAGGTCTTGAGTTGACTTCGAGGAGAGAAGAGATTACTGAGGCCAAAATCGATGATCTTGATGTCTCCAGTCTTGCTGATAAGGATGTTCTCGATTTTCAGATCGCGATGCACGATGCTGTTGCGATGACAATAGTCCAAAGCACTTGCGATCTGACGGGCGAACTTGCGGGCCTGCTTCTCTTTGAGTTTCCCATGAGAAATGATATAATCTAGCATCTGACCACCGTTGACGAGCTCAAAGAGCATGTACCAGTGGTAGTTGGTCCGTACTACATCGCGCATCCCGCAAATGTATGGATGGTTGACGAGGCTGACGATCGCTGCTTCACGCGCCGTTCGAATCTCCTTCGAGCGATCTGCTCGTTCGGCCTCGCGCGAGCTACGGTGCTCTTCGGTCGATTGCCGAGGTACGATCTTGACGGCAACCTGGACTGCGATGAGTTTCTGGCCACACAAAGCAAAGCACTCTACAGAACTTACCTGTTCCCCAGTGTCCATATTTTTCCCAACCTTGACTTTACCCATGCTGCCGGCGCCTAACGTCTTACCCAGCGCCCACTGACCCGTCGGCGTGGTGATCATTGTGCGACGCCTTGACGGGACGGGATTAGCCGGATGTAAATGAGCGGCGGCAGCCTGAGGCTGTCCTGCGACACCCTCTGGCATGACGGGGCCCGCGGTCGCCATATCAATACTGTCCCGTTGCTGGCCCTGCACGGATAAATTTCTTTGGTGTCTGTTGGAGGAGGATTCGGGGCGGTAAGAGGTGGATGGGCGCTCTTGAGAACGGTCCCGCGAGGATTCCCTTCGGGGAGTAATGGGGTGAGCTCCGCGAGAAGCCTCGAAATCTCGACGGGCTATGGTGTCGAAAACAGCCTGATTTGGGGGAGGACGACGATCATATGACTGAGATTTGGAGTGGGTATGAGCGTGACGAGAATGGGGTTGATAGTGGTATTGCGACGGGGAAGGTGGCGGTTGATGTTGTGGTTGGGAGGCTGTCGCGGGTCGAACAGCGACACTTCGAGTACGGTGAGGAAGCTCGGATGAAGGAGGACGATAGGAGGGAGTTCGGGAGGAAGTCGAGTGACTGCGGACGACCGAAGGCGACGCAGTGGATGGGGCAGTAGTGGACATCACGGTGGGCACTGGACTGGAGAAATCCCGAGCCAACCACAGGCCAAGCGTGTGCTTTTTTCAGCCCAAGCCCGCCTTAGTATTAAGTGGATGGGAATTTGGGAGAGGAGGGAGGGGGGGTAGATTCAATAATAGCGACCGGTCGGGCGGAAGAAGGGGAGAGGAGTAAGTGGGGGGGGGGGGGGGGAGAAGACGGGCGTAGATATGACCGTTTTCTGTTGGGGTTCTCTCTTTTTTTTCTTTCTTTTTGGCTGACGTAGCAGGCGCTGAAAAAAGGATAACAACAGCCAAAAATGACTTCAGAAGGATTGCTGAGGAGGGTTGATAGTTCCACCCATGTGAGTACAATATGTACAAAGGATCCCTAAGACGGAGGAGCGAGGAGGGGGGGAAGAGGGGGAAGGGGAGGGGAGAGGGGGAAACGATGAGGGAAAGGAAGGACTAAGAAACAGGGTGGGGAGGATGGCAGGGGGAAGGAGTGTAAGAGCGTGAAAAGAGAGAGAGAGCGAGAGAGAGAGAGAGAGAGAGAGATCTAGGGAATGTGGGACGGGATGGAGATGAGAGGAGAGATGTCGATGAGATCAGGAGAAGGAGGAAGAAGAGAGAAGGGGAAAAAGAAGAGGGAAGAGGGCAGGCAAGGCAGGCATAAGCAAAAGCAACAGCAAAAGCAAAAGCAAGCAAGCAAGCAAGAATGCACGAGGGAATAATAATACATAACAGTTCAGTCATGGATGATGGATGCGGCTGCGGAGAAAGGAAAGGCTTTCAACAACCCAGGGGGGGCCCAGCCAAATTGCACCGCAACCAGAGATGAACAGACGGGTCTGACATTCGGGTTGTGCTCCGCTTGCTGGTTCTATTTATGAACCCTTTGGAGATGGGTTCCAATATATTAATAGTGTGTGCCCCCACAAATCACACAATACATGGATCATGGATTCATATTCATTCATCCTACGCAGGGGGGAAAAAAACCCCGAGATAACTACTACAGCAAACTTCATTTCCACCACCGGTCGGTCGGTCCCTCAACACGGGCGCTCGTCATTTGTAAGCTCCTCGCTCACGGGCCTGTCACGCAGAGTTGCCTTGTGCCCGTTAACTTTCCACGAGGGCACTCGGAATTATTTTGGGCATGGATGGGCAAAATGACGAGGGAGGCAGATGCTGATCACTGGGGGGTTCCCAGTTAATCGGTCCATACAAAGTCGATTGATCCAATGAGCTTAGTTATTCACATTCCACGCACCCCTCGCTAATCGAAAGGGACTCTGGAGCAGCTGAGACTAGACAGGGACTTCCCCTTGCGCTCTCTCATAGATAGAGATACCTTAATGTTGTTGACTAGCTGAGTTCAGCGTAAAAAAGTGCGGACTACTCCCTGTACTAGTGCGGAGATATATGAAGCGCTTCTGAAACTCTGCGGTGTGCTCCCTTGTGGTACGCAGACTTCAAGGAGCCTGCTCATCTGGAAACAGTATTCATCGTCAAGGTGGACAAGGTGGAAAATGACATTGTTTGATAGACATCTGGGGTGGCAGCATAAAGTTTTGGTGGGAGAGAAGGAGACCCGCCCCCATACACCAGCCACAGTTAATTAGTGGCGGTGCCAGACAGCAGCCGCTCGGCCCGTCACATGTCTTTATCCTTGGCAGTCGCAACATCGAAACTGCTTCCGCGATCAGAAGCTCGAGTCCCTTAACCACCATCGCCTTTTTGTCAGCTCAAGGTATGCTTACAACTCTATAATCACAATCACCCTTGCAAAACGCCTCGAATTGACCGCAATCCTCTCTCAGTCACAGTAATGCTTGTTTGAACCCACGCTTCACATGGCTGGTAAAAGAACTCGAGCCGCTTTTGAGGCCGATCTACAGGCGCAACAATCACCCTACGCTCTTTACGGGACCCCTCTTCCTCCTCTGGATGCTAGTGTCCGTGATGATGGCTCCTACGCACCTATCTGGAAGCAAGAAGTGACAGATGACCGGGGAAGAAAGCGCCTACATGGCGCCTTCACCGGTGGATTCAGTGCCGGGTGAGCTCACGATTTATGGATCGCTGTGGACAGCACACTAAAGGTCATCCCTCTGCAGGTACTTCAACACTGTCGGGTCGAAGGAGGGATGGACCCCTGCAACGTTTGTCTCATCACGCCAGAACCGTGCCAAAGATAACCCGAAACAACGGATTGAGGATTTCATGGATGAGGAAGACATCCGTGAAGCCGAGGAAGCAAAGACTGTCCATACAAGCAATGAGTTCGCGGGATTCGGTACAACCGATGCGGAACTCGCGCGCCGCGGGGGGTTGATGGACCTCCTAAAGACCACCGGGGAAACCATGGGGGTCAAACTTCTGAAGAAGATGGGATGGAGGGAGGGTCAAGGCGTCGGTCCCAAAGTGCGACGACGAGCCAATCTAGGCGAAGGCACTGCCCCGGCTGGTGCAGATGCTAACAAGACGTATTTGTTCGCCCCGGAAAATCCGCCAATGGTGGCCTTCATCCACAAGACCGATCACAAAGGACTTGGGTTTCAAGGGGAAGCCCGCCTTGACGCTCGCGCGTTGACACGCGGTGGATCTGACGCGGAAGACGATGACTCCTTTTTCGGTAAACGACTCACAGCACCAGTAAAGTCCAAGCAGTCTAAAGCCAAAGAACCCCGTCGCGGAGGCTTTGGCGTGGGAGTACTTAATGATACCGGGTCAGATGACGAAGATCCATATTCCATCGGGCCTCAAATCTCTTACAACCGCGTTATTGGAGGCGACAAGAAGAAAAAGAAACGGGCAAAGTCCATCGAAGACACAAAACCGCTCCCAGTATCGTCGAACCCTCTGGTTACCAACAAACCCATTTACATTCCCAAGAAGGTCCTCGCCGCCAAAAGCTCGAGTGGTTTCAAGAAATGCCACGATGGCCGTCTACCGCTTGAAGGGTTCCTGCTTATCGACGGCATCTCCAGCATGACTATATCTGCCCAAGAAAAGAAGTATGCGGCCCCTGAAATACCTACTGGCTGGAAATCTCAGAAAGCACCGACTCAAAAACAAGACGTACCGAACTATGTGTCTACATCAGAGGCAGCCAAAGCCTCATCACTGGACCCAACTGCCCGAGCTGCACTGCTGGGCGAGGCGCAGCTGCCAGGAAAGTCTATATTTGACTGGTTGACCCCAGAAGGTCGGGAGAGGATTGCCAAATTGACAGGGAAGACGGACTTACCGCCGGCTTTAAGTGAAAAGGCGCCCAAGGGTTACGAGCTTTCCGAAGCGCAGAAGCGGAAGGACTTGTGGGACCTGGTGCCGAAACTAGATAAGCAGGTAGCTGTCCAGGCTTTAACACGAGCGGCAAGTGGCTGGATGCCATATTCGGAAGACCTGGAGAAGCGAAAACGCTATCGAACATTTCTCGAGGTCCGAGCTGGGCTTCGAGACAGTCTGCCTGATCGGGCTCCTGGGTCTACTACGGATGAATGGGCCCTGGAACTGGACGAATTCGCCCGCGCTGCGGAGGTCTTCAAGCCTATGTCTGGATTGATGGCATCACGTTTCACCTCAGCCTCATCGGGCCCGAAAGAGTCGTCTGATAAGCTAGAGCCATCATCGGCCGATCCGCTTCTCAACAAGCCTACGGCGAAACCTGAAGACCCTGCAGTTGAGGCTGCCCGGATCGGGATGTTCGGGCCGATGACTCGAAGCACCATCTCGTTCTATCCCACGCGCCTGCTATGTAAGCGGTTTAATGTCAAGCCCCCGGATCACGTTCAGATCGATCCCGGAGAACCCACTGGACGCACGGATGCCCCGTCATCTGCCGGGCGCTTCCAGTCAGCTGGATACCAGAATGCTTCGGGACCCAAGGAATTGGTATCGCGGGATGTCATGAATCAGCTTTTGATCGACGCCGGTCGAGGTGGCACTCTCCTGCCTGGGGCAGGAAATGCTTCTTCGGGACAGGAAGCGCCCGTGCTTCTTCGGGAGCCCGTAGTTATCGAACCGGAGCGCAACGAAGCTCTGGAGGCGGAGCGGCCAGGAGAGGCGGTGTTCAAGGCTATCTTCGGAAGTGATGATGAGGATGAGGACGAGGATGAGGAATTGAGCTGAATCTATGTGTTGTATACCACTATTGTTTATAGAAAGTTAATTTGACCTCTGCCGTATGAGTGAATGATTCAACTTCCTCAATTGCTGACCGCTGGTGTATGAATTGGGTTGACCCTGTGCAGTGTTTCGGTGTTTTCTGATGCCGGAAGATTTGCGCGAACCTCATGCTTGGCTGCGCCACCATCTCATCTCGTCTGCAGTTAAGCCTAACGGTCTGGCTGGTAAGTCTGTCACACAGCAGGGAACAGTATGAACGGATTGGCTGGGTGAATGGATGGATGGAAAGATGGATGGAAGTGAGGGAAGAATAGTCGGGAGTTCGCGATTGTTGGCTCTCACTCCCTTTTTCCCCTCACGTCAATTTCCTTCCCCTCCTTCCCTTCTTCTTCACCTTCTACTCTTAACTTACTCTACTCTACTTCACCACTTCACTCCATTCTCCTCTTTCATACCCATCTGTCTATCCTTTGTTTCTCCTCCTCTACTCTTCCGCTATTACTTCTTCTTCCTTTGCCCGCTCAATCTCTCCCCAAACCCAACTAGGTCTTCCTCATAGTCAAATTTCTGATACTTCTCTAACGTGTGTTGCTCCCCCACCGTTGTCGTCATGCGAATGCCCTGCAACCCGCCGCTCCGTTGCCACCACTAGCAATCCATCGGTCCAGCCATTCTCACCACTTCTTGGGTCATACGACTGGCTTCCCCAATTAGACGGACTGAACGAATCGATTTCCTGGTCGCCAACCACCGGCGGTTTAGCCCCAATAAGCTTGTCTTTCTTTTCTTTCTCGTTTCTCGCCCACATCTTTCCCTCCGATCATCCTCTCTCCCCACACCGCTCCGCCCTCATCGGATCAATCTTCCATCTGCGCTGCGGGTCTGGACGTTGCTGGCCTTGGTCAATCGTCGCGTTTGATTCCGGCTGATGGAGCTTGTTTCTTCAAGATGGTATGTCTGATCTCCCCTTCTCCTGGGCTCGTTTATCATGTCTGCGATGTACATGCTTATAGCATTCGCATACTCGCCCATGCCGCAACTCTTCGCATCACTTGTAGATCAGACTTGAGATGCTGATTCTAATCCTTTCTCAACAACCAGGGTTGCTGCTTCTCCTCGCCGCGCGATAGCGATCACCCTGCCTATGCAGCGCAGGTAGCCACGGAAGAGCGGCGTCACGAACAGTCTTCTCGCGGGGCGATTGCAACCAGCAATGCGCTCTCTGACACCAGCGCTTCTACGAGCACACGCGGCGCCCGGACTACCCGGTCTGATCGCCAGTCGCTCAGTCAGCATTACAATGCGCCTATTCGTCGCCATGTCTGGTACAGCAAACGAAAACTGTGGAGTCGGGCGCAACTCGACCAGGAGCGAACGGCATTCTTTGAGACCAGAGTGACGGGTCGTCCAGAGATCTGGGCTGCTTTGTCTGCAGCCGTGTCCCTGATGCGAGCCGGTGACATGTCGACGGCACAGACCATTATTGACGCAGCCGGTATCACAGTCCCAACTGGCGACCTCTGCCAAGGTTGCTACGACGAACAGGGGGCTCTTTACAGACTACCACAATGTATCGTGAGCGACCCGGAGAACATGATTCGATCCATCCACGATCGGGAAGATGACTTCGACACCGATGATGGCAGGTTGTCCTCGGATGAGGCTTCAGGAGATGATCTAATCGCAACCGACACAGACCTGGAACGTCGCCGGGATGAGAAGGGAAAGACTAGCGAACGAGATTTGATCCGCGTGCGAGCACGGTTGAGTGACCGCGGGGGTCCGGATATCGATTTGTCGGTGGGAAAGACCCAGAACGTTGGCTCGATTGCCCGCAGAGTGCAGCAGGAGGCATTGGTACGTCATCATGCATTGTGTACTTCAGTAGTATGCATCAGCGCTGACCGTGTCGCTAACCCTGTCTTAAGATCCCTCGCAGTCACCGCGTGAGGATCGCCTACCTGGGCAGGATTTTGAGAGAGCACGAGCCCCTGGTCGATCAGGGTTGGAACCCAGGCCATGTAGTCAACGCATTAGTTGTCCCGCGGCATGACCTCTCATGACAGCTCACGAAGCGTTGAGAACGTGCCTGACTCATCTGACATCTCCTATGCTTATGCATAGTCTAGCAGCGCCCGCAACTCTATTTCAAAATCTCTTTTCGGTCAGATTATGCCTCCCAACCCTGAGCGATTTTAACCCTTGCTGCATCTGACCGCACCGTGCGAGGGCGTCAACCACATTATCAACCTCCTCACCACAACCAATTTTACCCTGCAACTAATGCCAGCGATGCAAAGTACGCTCATCTCCTCTCACATTTGTTTCAATGCCTAATATCCATCTGTTTTGCGATTTGCATAATACCCCCTTACCTATGTTCGGTTGACCTCTTGTGTCTTTGATTCTCGTATTTCAAATCTTCTTCTTTTCCAATCTGAATGATTCGAAGGGTTTCAGCTTGCTACATAACCACGATTCATTCATGTCACATGTTCTCACTACTCCTTTTCATCCATTGCCTCTGTGCTCTCGGTTTTGAGGTACGTGGTAGGCACCTGACTTATTGGTCGCATGTTTGGAGGAACCTCTGTGTGCTCTTAGTCTTAATTTTTCCATAGCCTTCCTGCTACTGGTGGTTAGGTTAATTGTTGAAATGTTCAATGTTATGTTTCCACGCGTAAAGATATAATGGGTTACGACTTTCGGCTTCTATATTCCACGTGCAGTAGGATAATCGTAGCACTGTCCTTCTTCCATTCGGCTGCATACACACATGCATCCCATTATAAGACAGTCGTTTGTCCCCCCAGCTAAGTACTTCACAGCACCCATGCTACCGTCATGTAAACATACGGTGAAGCGCGTCGCATATTGGATGCATTCCACTCATCAAGGCAAACCCCACCATGATATCCAATATGTATCCATCAACCCGACCCGCCCACCAGCCAACCTCCTTCCTTCCCGGGGGAATAGTCCACACGTTGTGCAAAAACCGGCCAACCCACCGCCTTCTACAAGCTGAATGAAACTCTCTCCAAGAAAAGGAAGAACAATAAAATAGCAACCCTCATATCCAACTGAATTTGTAGCTGCGTGGAAGAACCATGCGCACAAAAAAGGTATTTGTCGAGTGCATCATCCGTGAATCGAACACGGGCCTCATCGATGGCAACGATGAATTCTACCACTAGACCAATGATGCTAATATGATTTGTACCTTCAGTAATTACGTTTATGACACTAAAAATACATGATCTAGTCAGAGCGCGCTCTAATTACCGTGGACAGCAACAAAAGGCCATCGATCGGTTTAACTTAGGGTAATGTGATTCCATTGGTCCAGGGTTCGTATCAATGCCCTGTACCGGGCGAGATGCTTTTGGTTCAAGTTACCTTACCCATTCTTTTTTTCTTTTAATTGTTTTGACGTGGTTGATTGCGCGTTGCGACTATGATCCTTGGGTCATTGTTTATTATTTCTTTCTGTGGTGGGGTTCATTGCTGTTTGCCTGGTTGGATTGAGTTGCTCAGTGAATACTTGTCATTGTTGTGAGAACTTAAGACTGGGGGTTAGTTATATATACCGTACTTCAAAGTGATGCCGGCTTAAACGTCGTTCTATGTCCTGGGAGGAAGGGATTGGGTTCTAGTCAAGAAGACGAATGGGAGGGATTAGCAAGGGAAGATGCGGTGGCCTCCGATCCTCAAGGTCTTGTTTGTATGATCGCGCCTTGCAGATACTTTCAGTCGACTACATGGATCAAGTAGAGAGCATGAAGAAGGGAACCTAATCAAACCTCTGTTGAATTGAAAGACGGAGCGGTGAGATCTCAGCAAAACATATATCAGAGCACTTACACGCCTGAGCATACCCGCGACAACCGCGGAGACTCAAAACAGCAGGAAACACAAACACTGGAACTTTTACAGCAATCTTCCATTCTCAGCCTCCCTGCCCTTGGGTGTACGCCCGGACCGACGCTTGAACACCCGACAGACCACCCTTGCGCCGTCCACGATGCCCCGGACCAGGCTCGTCGGATTGTAGTGCTTGACCCGGAACATGTAGTACAAGGCGACGGTGCCGAGGACGTTAAAGCCAATGTACGCCCAGCCAATACCATAGTTTCGCCAGCGCTCGCTGTAGTCTAATCAGAGCTGTTAGTAAGCATAAGGGGAACAATGAGGGAAGCGGGAGATGTACAGATGTTACTGGAGGCAAGGTATTGATCGGCGTTTCGCAACTGGCAGTACTGACATGCCTGTGTCGCGGTGGGGTTGTACAGTTGCCCCGGAGCAACCTGGAGGTACTGAGCCATGTACTGCCCGCACGTCTGGCCGGAAGGAGGATTGAAAATGCTCATCTCCTCGCTGGAACACCGGATCGCTCGTCCATGTAACCCCGTCGCCGTGATGCCGGCAATGAGGTACGTCAGGGGAGAGACCCTGTACATGAAGATCCAGAACCCTGGGAGAGCCGAGGGAGCCTGCATCACACCGTTGAAAGTCAAAGCCATGATGAACAGTAGCGTGGCGATGGAACCTCCGGTCTCCGCGTCAGGTAAGGCGCAGATGACCAGGGATGCGAACGTCGAGGTGAAGACGTAGAACTGGGTGATGAGGAGCAGCATGAGTCCTTGGCGCGCGGATGCCTGGTTGGCTCCGTAGACTGGATAATAGTACGATGCCCATGCGATAATCCCTGCAAGTACTTGATAGGGTATCTCAACAAGGACATTGGCGATCAGAAAGGCTGCCCACGAATAGGCCTTTGACGGTCTTTCTCGAACCTCGTACAAAGATCGCTGCACGACGAATTTGGGCATGATCCTATTAAATGTTAGTGACATGGCACATCGAGGTAAATGTGAAACCTACTGTTGCACCAATGTGGAGAAGATCGAGGTCATCATGAAGGCGCTGAACAAAACGTCTTGGAAACCCTGTTGGGTGCTGTTTGGTTTGAAGAACGTGAAGCCGATGAAAAGAGACGCAGCCGTGGCAAGGATGAGCTTGGCCCAAACATAAGCAGGCTCGCGCCAATATTGCTGGAATACTCGATGCGTTACGTGCCAAACCTGGTTGACAAAAGGCATGGCGTATTCGCTCTTCTGGGAGGTGTTGTCTTGAGACTCAGGAGCAGAGGACCTCTCCTGACAAATCCTGTCGATCTCCTTTTGGATATTCCTCGCCTCCTGGCTGTCGTTCCACACCGTGGCCCAGTCTTGAGTAGCCTTTCCAGATGCTCCAGCTCCAATGATTTCAAGCATGTACTCTGCGGGCTATGTCATATCAGCAATGCTGTAGCATTTAGCGATTAGTATACTTACATTTTCGGAGGAGCCACAAGGCCTAGCACCGTTGGCTTCGAAGTAGTCCAATAGGGCGCGGGATTGATCTCCGATATCCCCAAAGTAGACCGTTCGCCCTCCTTTGGCCAGGAACAGAAGACGGTCGAATTCCTGAAACAAGAGCGCGCTGGGCTGATGAATAGTCGAAAGCACTGCCTGGCCGTGATCTGCAAGCTTCCGTAAGAAAGCGCAGATGGCCCATGAACTCTGGGAGTCGAGACCACTTGTCGGCTCGTCAAGGAAGATGAGAAGGGCAGGCTTCGCAGCAAGTTCGACACCGATAGTCAACAGCTTGCGTTGTTCGACATTCAATCCTTCACCTGGCGTTCCAACAATAGCACTGGCAAAATCCTGCATATTGAGCATTTCGATAACCTCCTCAACGTACTTATACTTCTCCGCCTTCGATACCGACTTGGGCTGGCGCAAGAGCGCACTGAAGCGTAGCGCCTCTCGCACAGTTGTTGTAGGCAGGTGCAGATCCTGTTGTTGCACATATCCCGTTTTTCTGGGGAAACTGCTGTCAAGCGTTTTGCCATCCACCAAAGTCTCACCGGTGACAACTCCGATAGAGACACGTTTTGCTAGTACGTCTAGTAGGGTGGTTTTGCCAGCTCCTGAGACACCCATCAAAGCCGTGAGGGTTCCAGGCTTGACCCATCCGGAGACGTGGTCGAGGAGGCGCCGCTCGCCCCCCTTAACGGGAATGTCATAACAAACATTTCGCCACGTGAATATGCTATGTTGCTCTGGAAGTGCAGAGGTATCTTTCTCGGTTTCGGCCGATCTATGAGCCAGAGCCCCATCTGCGGTGCCTTCCTCGGCTTGTGACTTTTTGTCGAGACCGCGCATATGCGGAGGTACGTGACCTCGCCGGAAAACCAGAAATTCGGCCTTGGAAGAGGTAGAAGAGTTGATCTCAGTTGCCACCAGATACAAACCAGTAAAGAAGATATAAAAGCCAATCAGAATCCCTAGGTTCCTCCATTCGTGTGCATATGTATAACTGTACTGGGTTTCAATGTAAGCATCTCCAGAGACAGTCCGCTCTCCTGCGACAGCGCCCCGGACAGCACAGATGAATGAATCTCCACTCAGAGTAGGGTAAGCCGGCACAAACCCCGAGCACGTGAACCGCCTCCCGTGAAACTCGTTGGCTATCAAAGCTTCAAAGGTGTAGTAAACTGGGTTTATCCATCGGATCCAGCTAAACCACGGAATGTCTGACATCTGAGGGGTGGGGATGACGAATCCAGTATAGATGACAATGGCCAAAACCATGACACCAGCCATAGCCATGGCCTGTGCTAGAGTCTTTGTTGCTGCTGCGAGAGTGCGAAAAATGCCGGACATTGCAAGCGTGCTTAAAAAGGTGAACAGGAAAAATATGAAGAACTGCGATGGTTCATATCGCTGTGTCGCTGGTTAGCTACACATCGCTACAAGTGGAGAAAACGGGTGCGGTTTTTTTGACTTACGAGGCCAGCGAGGAAATAGAAGATGATATTGAAAACGACAGCGGAGACGAACTTGACGGGAATATCGGACACAATACCACCGAATGCTTCGGCAAAGGGATGCACAAATGCGTAAGAGGCTTGTTTCTCGATAATAGGACGTTGATCATAAAGCGAGTTGATCTCTGTAATACTGATAAGAGCATTCATTCTATGGAGGGTCAGTTGATCAATCTTGAGGTTGTGCTCTGCATCGTTCTGGTTGAGGCAAACTTACAGAACTGCGAAGAAAAGGGCCGCTCCCTTGCTCTGAAAGCCCGCCGTGGCATTTGGTGTTCTGAGCAATCAGTAAGCGCCAGAGATATTGGGGTCAATGGACATACCCGAAGTACATTGAGCCAATGATGAGGGACATTGCAATTCGGCCAAGGACATTTGTTAAGGTCGAGGGCTTGTCATTCCAGATTCTACAAAAGTCAGCAGCGGGAATCGTCCCTGGCTATCATCAGGACATACCTTTGGTAGGCTCTAATCGTGCAGAGCTTAACCTGCGTAGGAATCGAGATGACATAAGGGCTCTTTGGTCGGACATGTTTTGCCTGTCTCACATGCTTCATCTCCTGAAACTTCTGTTCTGCTTGTCCACCCAACGGGAATTCTTTCAAATGTTGCTCGATTTCTTCCTGTAGCCTGGCATACTGAGGGCTTTTCTTCCAATACGATTCAAATTCATCTGGAGTCCGAGGCACCTTGCCTTCCATCCCCTCTCGTGCTTGACGCTCCTGTGGGTTGGTCACGGACGTTAAGAAATCGCCCGTCGTTTGGCGTGGAGGGCAATTCCAGCCCATGTTGACAAAGTAGTCTTTTGCTTTGCTACACGGCCCAAAGTAGATCTCCCGGCCTTCATAGAGGACAATGGCTTTATCAAAGACATCGTAGATCGCTTGAGATGCCTGATAGATTGCAACCGCATGACAGGTACCTACTAGATCGGAGCTGACCCGTAGCGCCTTCACAAATTCGAGCGCGCTCGCCGAATCTAACCCTCGAGTGCTGTTGTCCCAGGCCCCGAAAGGTGCTCCCGACACTAACACAGGTCAATACATATACAAAAGCTAACCAATGTTGACACTTACATCCCATTTCAGCGATGCTTAAAGAACAAGTCAGTCTGAGCCACCAGAAGAAAGAAGAAAAATGAATAGAGATCAACCAACCTGACGCGTTTCCTCTCTCCTCCCGAGACTCCTCGGATATAGTCATCGCCAACTAGAACCTACGTTAGCACATGAACAAAAGGCTGGGAAGCTCTTTCGGCGTGAAGGCATACCTTTTGTGTTGTAGGTGTGCGTTAGACCAAATATAGACATTGCAACCTGCGTAACGTACTTGGCATATCGCTGTCGACTGATCTCACGCAAGCGTACTTCAGGAGCTCTTGCTGCTGCCGCAAACTCCAGTGTTTGCCCGACAGTGAGATGAGGAAAGTGCTTGTCGACCTCTTGATTGTAAAGCACCTCTCCTTTAAACTCCTTGTGCATCTTTTCCATTGAGATACCATTGTACTGAATCTCGGAGCTCTTGCGCAGCTTCAGTCCATGCAGTTCGCCGCACAATGACTTCAGGAGGGTTGAACATCCGCTCCCAGGCCGACCCAGGACTATCAGGAGCTCGCCACTTTTCAGCAGTCCGTCGAAATCACGCAAGATGTGTTTCTCTGGAGAGTGGCGCAGGAAGCCCAAATGATCTTGTGGCCTAAGAGGAGCCAGCAGCAGCGAAGCCACGGTGCTCTGATATTGTAGGGCAGACCCTGAGCCAGATACATTCAGATTCTGGAAAACGATACCCGTCGAAGGTGGCCGGGGAATGCCCTCTTTGTCCAGAAGCCTGAGCACCTTTCGAACCCACTTATTGTGATCGAACTGATCACTGGTTGGATCTAGAATGGGGTCGCTCATCTCCAAGTTTTCAACAGTATCTTTCCGTTCGATGCTCGACGCGCCAACGCCCGAATCGACAGTCTGACGCCGGGAAAAGGCAGGTGGAAAGTTCGAGGCTATGCGGGTCAATTCAGCCTTGCGCTCGGGGTCCATCTGCTCGAAAGAGCTGCTATCTTCGCGCTCCAACTTCGGGGATCTGAGGGGAGTGATCTCGTCATCCTGACCGTTCTCCGCGGAAGAGGTGGGTGAGATGTCACTGGTCTCTTTACTGCTTGCCATTGTGAAAAGCTTCGTCTCTGATCAGACACTGACGAGCTGATGCTGATGCTGATACTGATGCTGAAACAAAGAAATAGAAACAATGATATTCTGCATGGAAAGAGAAGTCTTGAATATAGAGTAGGCAGGGGTAAAATGAATGAGAACTGCTTCTCCCGCAATCACCAGGGCAGTCCGAAGTACACACCAAGCCGACAGGACTTGACCACAAACAGCCGATGCACGTGCTGCTGCACCAGGTGTACTGGGTGCCATTTGTGCTGCTTGCTGAGAATCAGGTAAACTTTCTCGCCTCGGAAGTTCGAGTGGTGATGTCATGACAAACCCCTGTGCAACGATGGGCCAATTTGTGTGTTGGGAGCGAATAAGAAAACGTTTAGAAGCATCCTTTGATGTGTCCAAAGGTAAGACTACCATCGGAACTCAGTGTGTGAACCGGGGCCGCGCAGTGTGGTGTACCTGGACGGTGCGTCAAGAGGAAGCCGGATGCGGAAGATCCGTTCAAGCTTGCGTTTAGTTCTGAAGCCACCCTTTTGTCGCTGCGAGACCAAATCGTCCGATTGGACCCCAGGGAAGCTAGAGCGAAGAAGCTTAAAGTACATTTCCAAGTGTACTTCTACAGGGGACGAAGTATGAATCTCCTCATTCCGAAGAAATTGGCTTGTATACAAGTCGGTTGTGTATGAGCAGCTGATGAAAGTCTGAAGCGCAATGCGCAGTCAAAGAGCTTGTACTAAAATACTGATACTCTACACGGCACATATGTCCACCATCAGTAGATGATCATATCAGCGATGAGGCGAGGGGTAGCAAGTAAGTATGAAGTTGATTTCCGGCTCCGGAACGAACTGAAGTGCCGAGTAAGCGGAAGATCTAGTTAACTTACAAGACATCCGCTTACCTAATAATGCACATAAAGATTGGTAGTGCTTATGCATCCCACGCAGTAATCATGCACATACCTTTGTCTGTCCTTGCTTGCTGTCACTGCATTCTCCCCGGGGGCATCTAGATGCTTTACATCGGATGTTCCGAGTCGACAATACTCACAGCACTATCTGCTCCAGTACCCTGAAAGACCTGATGAATGTACAAAAATTCAAAAGCACTGTCACTAGTACTATAAAAGCTTGACGACTACAAGCCCGTTATCCCATAGTTTGGCGACCCCACCCATAGGGCCGACGAAAGAGCATGCACTGGGTTTGAAAGTGTACTTATCCAACCGCCCGTTGTTTTGGTAATCACATCATCGATAACTTACTGCGAGATAGATTAAAGATGGACATGCGAAGGATTCGATCTTGGCGATGACGCAGCGCCCCCATTACGATCCGCGAAGCCTAGTGTTCCTTGATGTGGAGTTGAAGTGACCGGGCTTTGCCTGGTTTTCCCCGCCATGAGGTCTGCGTGTGCCGGTAACCGAGAGGCAAAAACTCCAATCTGAACTGCGTAGTGATCTTGATCTGGCCTCCGGTAAAAAAAACATTGCGAAGGAGAAAAAGAACACTGGATGCTCATCATCCCTGACTATCACTCCCTCCATAGCAGACAGGCTTGAATTTGTGTGTCCTGCTGCGCATTTACACGCTCGCACACTCCACTTCTAGACCGGCGCAGATCATTATCTTGTATGATTGGTGCCAACACCGAACCAGCGAATTAAAGGAAAAACCGACCAGGCCAAACAGTGCACCTATAATAAGCGACTGGCTATCGTTACTTGCAACTGTTGTGGTGTGTTTTCTCAAGATCTCAGCTTTTGTGCTGAACAGACTTCAGCCTCGACTGGTACCTGTAGGTATACCCCAAGGGCCAAGGCAGGAAGAGTCTCCACCTGGCCATTCTGACTTCATTGCTCTTGAAACTCTGACTCTTGCTTTTCAAAAAGAAAAAGAGATTGAAAACTCTTTTGGTTCATGCTGGAATGTTCATAATCGAAAGACAAGTAATGCACGGTTTGGGATCTCGGCAATGGCAAGCGAACTTTTGTCTCCTCGACACACGCGCAACCCCGGGGATGAGGGGTTTCGCACTCCCACGATTGAGGATACACAGAATGACCTAGAGGCCTTTCCATTCCCGTCGAGAGGGAGTAGAGTGCGCGCGGCGCATACGTCGGCTCTGGAAGCGCTGAACCAGTCTTCGTATCAACAGTCGGAGGGGCACAGCAACAAAGAACGTCGCCGGCGGCGGCGGGAAGTGGACTGGTCTACTGCTAAGATTGGATGGAAGGGGAGGCTTCGTCACTTCACGTGGGCTTATTTCACGTTGACAATGGCGACTGGAGGAATTGCAAATGTTCTGTATTTTAGTAAGCATGAGCCCATCACGCATGCTGTTTGAAACTCCTGCCAATTGACTGACTGGATCCTAGTACCCTATAGATTTCGCGGGTTGGAGACGATTGGCATCATTTTTTTTCTGCTCAATTTGGCCTTCTATGTGATTATCTGGTGCCTTCTGCTTACTCGCTTCTACTTATACCCCTACACGTTCAAAGCGTCATTTTTGCATCCGACGGAATCCTTGTTTGTCCCTGCATCATTGGTATCCTTTGGCACGATTCTGATCAACATCTCCCAATATGGACCCGGCCACACCGGCGCATGGCTGACACATGCGGTGGGCATACTGTTCTGGATCGATGCTGCTCTAGCCGTTATCTCCTCCGCCGGCATATATCTGATTCTGTAAGTGGACCAGCGGAGCTTTCCCCCGGCCCCCTTGTCAAAGCTGACTTTCCTGGGCGCAGGTGGTCAACGCAGACATTCACAATCGCACAGATGACCCCCATCTGGATCTTCCCCGCATATCCCATGCTGATCATCGGCCCTCATGCGGGCGTCCTAAGCTCGACCCTCGAACCCTCGCGCGCCCTGCGCATCATCATCGGAGGCACCACCATCCAAGGGGTGGGCTTCCTCGTCTCATTGATGGTCTACTCCGCCTTCATCTACCGACTGATGTCGCAGAAGCTGCCGCGAGAAAATGTGCGTCCGGGAATGTTTGTGTCCGTGGGTCCCAGCGGGTTCACCGTGTCTGGGATCGTCAATATGGCGGCGCATGCCAAACGAAGCTTCCCCAGCGACTTCTTGGGCAACGGGCCCCTCGCCGCGGACATTGTGAAGGTAGTCGCTGATTTTGCGTGCTTATGGCTCTGGGGGTAAGTGCTGTCCCCTCGGGACCATGATTTGCGGGCAGAAAACACCAAGCTTACGCAGCCTTCCTCTCCAGACTAGCGCTGTTTTTCTTCTTCATCGCCAGCTTCGCGCACTGGTCGGTGATCGGACCAGGGAAGATGGTCTTCTCGATGGCGTGGTTTTCGTTCGTCTTCCCGAATACCGCCTTGATCACGGCGACGTTTGCGATCGGGAAGGCGTTTTCGTGCAAGGCGATCAACATCATTGGATGCGTCATGGTGCCGCCGTTGATCCTGATGTGGCTTTTCGTTCTCTACATGATGGTGCGGGCAATTGTGACGCGCCAGATTCTGTGGCCGCAGAAGGGCGAGGACAAGGATGAAGGTGGATTCGAGATCCGGGACATCAAGCCCGAGTCGGGAGGGAGTACGCCTACTGAAGAGGTTTGATGATGAGTGTGATGAGTGTGAAGGTTAGCATTTCTTGAATAGATTAGATATATATTAAGATCATGAGTCACGAAGTACTGTACGGGTGATGACTGATACACTGGCAGTATACTATACTTACACCCTGCAAGTCTATTCCATTCCAACACAGACAGAACTAAAAATGCCCCACACCCACCAGCTGCCCCACCGCCCCGGCATGCCTGACACCCACCAATCAGCCACTCCTCGCAACCAAACAGTGCAAACATCGACTCCATCCGCAAGGAAAAAAAAGTGTAGTGTCCAACATATCGATGGCTTCAAGTCCGTCCGTATCGCGCGACCAACCGTCTCACCCAGGACCAGCATAATTCTTCTTGAGTGGTCAGCATCATCGCAGTGCCCTCCAGCAATACCCAAAAAACCAATTGATCTCCACACGTCGGACAACGGCGCTCTCAACACTTTCAGTACTGCGTGCAACCTGCCCACCATGGCAGACGTCGGCAAAACTCCTTTCATCAAGGAGCTCGCATCCAGCGGTATGCCTATTACCCCTCAAAATTTTCTTTGATTATCACTCCCGTCCTAATATTCTTACAATGAACAGACAAAAAACTCCGCGACAAAGCCACCAACAGCCTAACGCTCTTCCTCCGCGCGAAGACCGACCTCACCAACCTCGAGCTCTTGAAACTCTGGAAGGGACTGTTTTTCTGTAAGCATCCTTCTCCCCAGACCCTTCCCTCAAACCCAACCCTGCAAGAACCATCCCGAACCTCATTACCCTCCAAGAACCACCTAGCTAACCAAACCCCCCCTCCTCCCGGGGGAAAAAAGGCTTCTACCACTCCGACCGCCCCCTAACCCAACAAGCCCTAGCGCGCACCCTCTCCTACAACCTCGTCCCAACCCTACCATCCACGACGGTCCACAAGTTCCTGCGCGCGTTCTGGACGACCATCGGCCGGGATTTCCACTCGATCGACCGCCTCCGATTGGACAAGTACTTGTTCTTGATTCGGTGTTATGTTGGTGTCGGTTTCGAAGTCTTCCTCAAACAGAACCAGCAGAGCAAGAGCCGAAATGGTGCTGAGGAGGGAGTTGCGGCTGGAGGAGCCGGGGGCAAGCGCAAGCGCGAGGAAGACCTGAACAGTAGCAAAAAGGGCGGGAAGAAGCGCAAGGGGAAGGGTCAGCAGCAGCAACAGCAACAACAACAAACAGACTCAAAACCACAGGAACTTACGCAAGAGGAGGAGGAGAAGGAGCAGGGGGTCGATAAGGAAAAATGGGGGCCGCTGGAATCCTACCTCGCGATTCTCGAGGATGGCCCGCTCTGCCCCCTCAACTTCGATCCTGATCAACCGGCCGCCAACGAGGCGGAGGACTACATCCCCATGCCGCACGGGCCGGATGGACTGCGCTACCATGTCCTGGATATCTGGGTGGATGAGTTGGAGAAGGTGCTGGAGTTTGAGGAGATCACCGATGAGGAAACGGGCACGACAGTCCGCAAACCAGTCGGGGATGTGCCGAAGGAGTTGCTGTTGCGGCCGCTTGAGCGGTTGAGGAAGGAGAGTCCCTATAAACCGGTGCGCATGCGGGCGGCGGAGGCGCTGGAGGATGAGCGGCTGGTTGAATGGGGGTGGAAAGAGCGTCGTAAGGTTGACAGTGATAGTGATGATGATGAGGAGGACGACGATGATGATGACGAGGATGCGGAGTGGGGTGGTTTTGGAGACGACTAGATGATACGACTCGAACACATACACTATGCCCAAAAGTTCTTGCTTGATCACTATGGGTTAGGATCGGAGTCTGGTTTTTTACACTTGTTCTACGTAGACTTGCATATCTTGTTATTTCAATTCTCCGATCTTGAGATGCGGAGTTTGAACTTCCTGTTTGATAATTCTTATATAACAATATCTATATCAACTCTACTAACTTCCTCATCTTTCTCTTGTAGTGTACAACTGTCTATGCATCTTATCACAAACCAAACACAAAAGCAAGCCAGTGCTTTCCTCAAAACTCAGGGTATCATCAGAGCGCAAAGACTGGGAACAGAAACGTAGCAAACGCCGGCCAGTCATCAAGGCCGCGGCCCCGCGGCCTCATACAAGTGTCCAGACTTGGACAGCACAGTGCCGAGTCCCTTGTGGATCTCCCCCTGGAAAGCCTCAAAAGGCACACTTTCTCCGTCCACGCTGATGAAACCCTCTTTCTCCCGGGGCACAAGTCGGTATGCCAACGCCTTGCGGATATTGACCTCCGGCATATCGAAGAACCCTCCTTCGGGAATCTCCGTCATCATCTTGAGAGACCTCAATCGACCGATGGTTCCATCAATGGTGACAATGTCCATCAACCCGTCGTTGGGCACCGATGCGGGGAAGAAGTTGGTATCCTTCGACATGATGGCCATATTGCCCGCGTAGAAATTCCCCAGCGTCTCGGCCGGGATCACCTCCCAATCCTTCGGCAACTCGTCCTGTACGGTGCCGTAGACGAGATCCGGCAATCCGCCGGTCTGGTCTGCAGTGAGCTTGGCGGGCCGGCCGGGGGGCTGGCTTTGCGCATACGAGCTGTAGTGGTTCTTGATCGCCTGCTTATCGTCCATCACAACCTTGATCGCAAGATCGCATGGGTAGACCGTCATGTGCATGAGCCGCTTGAGGAACCCATACGTGAATCGATGAGCTCCCATCCAGCGGATATCATCCGTCCCCAGATCCGACTCCGCAATAATCCCGAAAGACTGGGACAGAAACGACAAGGTGCGGGTATCTCCCTGCGTGATGGACACCAGATCCAGCGGGGTCCGCAGACCCTTGACGATCGCCAACGCCGCCACCGAGACGCTGCCCGTTCCGTACAAATTCCAACTCATGGCGTTGCCCGACCCACCAGGGAGCAAGGCCACGGCCACCTTGGCGAGCGCTTCGCGTGCATTGGGCTTGCGCGCCAATCCGTTGAACACCTCATACGGCAATCCATCACCGGAGCAGCAGACGATCGCGTCGTAGGCGTCGATGTCGAGCTGTTGCACAATTTCGGTAGCGTGGCCGCGGTGCGTCGTTTCCTGTACGTCGATCTGACAGCGCGCCGAGGCAAGGATGGGCGCTGCATGCGTCGAATACAGCTTGGCCGCGTGGCCTTGACCGCCGAACGGATTGACCAGGACCTTGAGTCTCTTGTTGCGCTGCGCGGACCCGTAAGCGACATCCAGCAATTTCTTCATCCAGCTCTCGGCGGCGCCCTTCTCCTCCTCGCCGATTGAGTATTGGAGGGCGGCCACCGCGACCTCGTCTTGTTGCGTGGGTTCTGCATAGGTGATGGTAAGCCCGGTCGGCGAAAGATCGGCGTCCAATACATTGTACAAGGATATCGTGCGAGAAATTCTGGTAGCTGGAAACCGGTAATAATTGTTAGGAATAGTCTTATTTCGAAAAAAAATCTGCTCAAGCGTGGATTGTTGGACTATACCTGCATCCTTCTTCCGAACGCTGCAGCATCCGCGCTCGGATTTGCGGCCGGAGCGTTCATCTGCGCGCAGCCGAGGCTGGGTCAGTCGCAAGCACATGGAATCATAATCATACTCTTCCAATCAGACATTGAACACTGAGACATACCGACAACAAGTAGAGAGTCACCCCCGAGCGTCAGAGTGACCGAGTCACCGACTGCTAAGGTGGCATCGTGCTGTAAGAGCTGATCCGAGGCATCCGCGGGACTGAAGGATGGGCGCGAACTATCGGCGGTGGAAGCCATGATAAAGCCCGGCAACAAAACCGAAAGAGGGCGACACAGACGCAGGAGATTCGGAAGGACTGCCAATGAACAAAAGGCAAAGTAGGGACAGGGAAATAAGCAATACCCAAAAACCGGATAAGAATAGTCTAACAATAAGAGGAGAGCGGGCAGTAGGTAGTTCTTAGAAGAGGAAAGTGACATGAAGAGGAGGAGGAGGGGGGAAGAAGACGAGGAGGGAAGAGCAAGTTTTAGGCTAATAACGATAGATAATAAATAATACTAGTCAATAAGAAATAATACTCAGGTGGAATAAAGCAAAGTGACTGAGAGAGCGAGAATGAAAGCGGAACGGAGATTATGCCGGTCTTTATCGAGCAACAACTGTTTCTCCACCAGGAATGGATCGTACTGTATTCTCTCCATCTCCACTTGGTCGCTTTCGCCGCTCCATCGTCTTTCTCTAGTCTCTACTGTTCAAACTTCAGTCTCTCTTTTAGTCTCTCCCCTTCGGGCACCCCAGATCCATTTCCACAATCTTCCCTAATTTTGTGCAATGCAGATCCATCAGGATGTCATTCGCGGAACCAATCTACCGGTCCACTGGAAACACTCCACTGCTTCATCATCGAACCAATTGGTTTCAGGTCCTCATCCCACATACTTTGGTCCAGGACTGGAACGAACAGCCTACGAGAACAATTGAACCGAAGCACCAGCGCGGAATTCTAGAAATCTTGCATTGAGGAATCAAGTCTTTTCTCGTCCAATACAACACAGGAAGAGGGCATTATAATCAACAAAATCCGTACCATGAGAAGAACACAGAAGAGAGAATAGGTGCATTGGTTCAAATAAATCCGTGGTCCGGCAACAACAGGGTAATGGCTATTCAATTACGTTTCAAAGGCAACACTTGATTCATGCAGCGGATGCCTTGAGGCCCTTCAGGGACCCCAGGCTCAGGGCCAGTCCCTGGGAACGACTTCTTATCCGCACAAAACCGGTGATCGGTCCATCTTCGCCCTCCTTCTCAATACTCAGGTTCGCCAGAGCGTCCTCGCCTGTAGACATTCCAAAGTCAGTAACGCAGTCATACTCCGTCTAGTTGGTCAAGGCCGACAACTTACCAAATACGCTCCGGGCATATAGATTGGCGCTCAGGAACCGACAGTCGCCCTTGAGGGACGCCTCGGGAGTCAAGCAGGCCATGTTGGTGCTTTCCATGAGCTGCTTGAGGAACTCTCGAAGGCTCTTCGCCTTGGAGTTAATGTTTACCTTGTTCTCCCACTCAAATTCTGTCCACATGGTACGGAACTGGGTCTCAGTGCAGTGCGCAGGTTGAATGTAGTCCATGATGTCGGCATGGATGTCATTCAAGATCACAACGTGCGTCTCCGTTGAGCTCGCTCCATCGTAGACAATGTTGCCAAAGATCACACCCGTATCCGTCGACGACACCTTGACTGTAGCCTGCACGTTCAAGAAGTCGCGGGGTCCCAGGTTGTGTGTAGTAGGTCGCTCGACAACCTTGAGATCTCCAAGAGTTGCGAATTCAACGCTGAGATTCTGTAGCGTCTCCAGAGTCTGGTTGACCAACAGTACATCCAGAACAATATCAAACTGGTGGACTGTAACGTAGGCTTCGGCGTAGACGGCATCCGAGAACCCGGTCAGCTGGACAACCCGGCTCAGCTTCGATGAGACAGTCTCCACTGTCGAGTCACCACCAGTGGCCTTGGCGAGATCCAGTTCAATCTCCTCCGCACCCTGGAGAGCCGCCTTCTTTGTGAATTGTCGGATTGGAATAGCATCGTCAACTTGCACAGCAGTCTTGGCCTTCTCAACAGCCTCCTTAGCAGCCCTCTTCCTATCCTCAACCTGGACCATGGCGCGGAAAGCTTTCCGAGTATCTTCCAGGAAGGTGGTCTCCAGCTCCTTCTTCTCGGAGAACTCAGCAAGCGAGCGCACGCAGCACATAATGCGATCTACCGAGTCCTCATCAATGGGTGCTTTCACGAAGTGAGACTGGCCAACACGGATGATAGAGATCATGATGAGCATAGCCTCGGCCCGTAAAGCGTTCGTACGCGCGGTATCCTGGGAGACTTCCGAGTGGCGCATGACCAATTTGGTGAGGGTGGAAGAGAGAACAGTCGCGAGGTAGTAGTCACCGTCCAGAATCAACTGACGAAGAGGAGGCTTCTGCGCAGCCTTGACGGCCTCGAGACGGGCAGCAGCGGCCGATTGGCTCGTGAGCGCACTCTCAGTGGCATACGTGCCATCAGCCAGCACCTTGCGCGATCCGGTCGGAGCAGAGGGCTTGCTATGACCATTCGGTTGATCCTTGAAAGTAGCATCTTCCGGTACCTCGTCAAGGAGACGTTGTTCCGAGGCGAGAATGGGGATTTCGCCCAGGCTTGCTCTAATCCGCTTCCATGCTTCACGAATGTCCCTCTCCTCCAGGGAATATTCACCAACTACCCACAGAACGCCTCGGTAGACCTTGCCGGCACGGACTTCGCTCAAGGTCGAGACCAACCGGTCGACGATGGAGTGTCTGAGGGCGGGGAACTTCTCCACGACTTCCTTCACGAACGAGATCACGTCGACAGCGGAGTTGTTGTTGAAGTCTGCAATGAAGTCCATCAGAAGGTCGACAACGCTTGCAGCGATCTCTGAGAAACGAATGGCGCAGTTGTGTATCGACTGAATCAGCAGCTGGCGGTATTCGCTGTTCTGTACAGGTTATTAGCTTCTGCATTATAAACTATAGGAACCAGCTTACCTTTTCGTATTGTTCATCGACGGTCTTTGCGAGCTCCTTCTTCAGCAGCATGACAATCTCCTCAACATTCTTGCTTGACACCATCTCCAAAGCAATGCTAAGTGCCTTCCGGCGAACGTCAATGTCTGGGCTGGACAGAACACGTAGAATTTCCATAGTCAGATCATCTAGAACACCCTCGTTACGAATGCGCAGCTGATCGACGCGGTCGAGAACAATAAGCTTGACATTGTTGTCGGCCTCTTTGATGCAAAGTTCAATCAACTTGCCTGCCGCAGCTTTCACGGCCACCGGGTTGCTGGTGAGCGCTGTGAGCGATGTCGCAGCCTCATAAATAACTGTACTCGTGGAGGCGTCCAGAAGGTCGAAGATCAAACGCAGATATTTCGCCTGTTTGCTGATGGTTAGTGAATGGCGCGGCCGATTGACCTCTCCAACTAACCTTGTTCTGAGCGTTCTGCACGGCATCTTTGCGGATAAACTCAAGCTCGGCCAATTGAAGCAGTTCATCAGTATTGGGAATGCCGTCAAAAGTGGAAGCGAGGTACTCCAAAGCCTTCTGATGGCTGATGGACATGAGGGCCGCGAAGGCATTGCGCTTGCAGGTGCCGTCGGTTTCGGTTTCGAGGAAGGTCTGGATGAGTTCGGGAGCATCTGGAATCAGGGACTCGGAGTGCTGGAAGATAGAAGCGACCGCCCAAACGGCGTTCTTTCTCACGTATGCGTGGCGGTGCTCCAAGCACGAGCGTGCGGACGAGAGTAGGGGTTCGATGAGTTCCGGCTCACGGAGTTTGCATAGGAAACGAAGTGTATTGCCTCGGATATACTCGTTGGGATGCTGAAGGTCATTGCGAATGCCGTTACTATAGACCAAGAAAGCAAGTGTTAGACCAAAGAGCCGAAAGATTAGACCACAGCGGGGGATGTGATCGTCCCCTTACCAGACCAAGATCATCTCTTGCTTGAGTTTGCCATTGGCATCGAGTTTCGGGCAAATTTCGTAATAGAAGTAAAGCAGTTTCTTGAGAGACTTGCTTCGGGACGGCATGACGAAGCGAATAATGTGCATGAGCAACTGTGGCATCGGGTCTCCATTGAGCATGATCGTGATGATCCGCCTCATAGTGTCCATCTTGGTCTCATCGGTACCCTTCTCCAACTGCAACTTCAGGTCCTGCAACGAGGGCTGATCTGCAGTGTTGTCCAAGTGGACCAGACTGTATGCATTTTCCAGGAACGAAGCCATTGTGATCAAGTGTTGTAAGCGAATGGCCGTAACAGGGGGAAGGTCAGGATGGAGGAGAGCTTAGATGTGGTCAGTACAGGTGGTTGCTTGGGGTTGGCGATTCAGGGGATGGCAGTATTGCGCACCAGGTCAACTCTCCCCAATGGTAACTCAGGATTGACTCGAAGAAAGTAACTAGTATAGCTGGGCTCCCCTCACCTGCCTAGCGTTCATCAGTGCAAGATGTTGACAGTCGGAGGGGGTGCGGACAATCGAGGCTCAACCTGGCCATTTGCGCGGGCGGAGCAAGCTGTCCGGAGTGTGTGGATGACTAAGCCCCGCCTGGACCAACCCGACAAACCAGCCAATTCCACCCAGGAACGCGCCCGCTATTTTCCTCCAGCTGGCTTCGGAGTAATCTCGACGTACTCGTTGATCGGCCACCCATCTAGCAGACAGGCCGAGCACATAACCAACATGTCGGGCCAAGGCGAAACCTTCTACCTCCGCTACTAGTAAGGACGGCCTGTATGAAGCCCAGGTTTCCTCAGCTGCTGACAGGTCCGCAGCTCAGGTCACTCTGGGCGGTTTGGACATGAGTTTCTAGGTCGGTATCCTCGAGCATTGCAGCTGGAGGTTCATGAACTAATGGCGACCAGAATTTGACTTCCGCACATTGGGCGATGGCCGTAGTGCCGCCGTGCGTTATGCCAACAACTCCAACTACCGCAACGACTCCCTCATCCGCAAAGAAAGTGTGTGCCCGAATGTTCGATGGTTGTAGGTTACAGAAGCTGATATCAGTCTTGCAGTGTGCGTCAGTGCGGCAATGATCCAGGAGGTCAAGCGCATTATCAAGGAGAGCGAGATCATGAAGTACGCCCTACCTTGGCACTCGGAGGATCCGATGAAATGTGTATACTTACGCGATTTAGGGAGGACGACTCCAAGTGGCCGCAAAAGAACAAAGATGGACGTCAAGAATTGGAGATCAGGTTGGGCAATGAACACATTTCCTTCGAGGTGCGTTTCAGAAATTACAGTGGTTGATTGCGGGTGTAGAGATACTGACTGGTGGGCTTAGACCGCGAAAATCGGCTCCCTGGTGGACGTGACCGAATCGGCTGACCCCGAAGGTCTCCGCGTCTTCTACTATCTGGTGCAAGATTTGAAGGCCCTCATCTTCTCGCTCATCTCACTTCATTTCAAGGTATGTTAGAATTCCCAACTGCGCACCCAGCAAGCACTTTTGGCTGATAGCAGTTTTCTCGTTCAGATCAAGCCTATCTAAATTGGCACGCGACGATGGAACGAAGAAGGATACACATCGGATTAGGCGTTACTTGATAATTGGTTTTGTGACTTTCCAAAATGACAGCGGATATACCTGGTTTTAACCATCGAAGTATTGTTGTCGCAACTGGTGAAATAACTGCAGGCGGAGATGACGCAATGTCGGATTGTGAGTAGAGCCAACGTAGCCAGTAAATGTCCAAACCATGGTGTATCATCTTAAAGAAGGGAAAAGAGAATAGGAGAATTGGGGAGTGGAGTACGAGTCGAGATAATTGTTTAGTCTGCGTACGTAGTCCGGAAAATCAGATCATATCATATCATATCATATCCTCGCATCTCATTCCATATCACATCGTCCACCTGTCCCTCCTTTTTATCTCCTCGCCGATTAACCGCCCGAGGCGCCGCCGATTGCCCCGGTCGCCTCCCCCGCGCTCGCATGATCTTCTTTTTGGGTAATGCCCCCCCCTCCCCCCCGGGACTTAAGCAGTACTCAAGAATCAAAGGTCCAACTAACCTTAACTACACTTCCCCATTCATTCTATTCATCTCCTCTTTTCTCGCTAACACCACCGCCCCCTCCTCCTCCTTCTGCTCCTTATTCACCTAAATCTCACTTCTGCAACCTTTTTTTCCGGTTCGCTCTCCGATTCCCTCACATCATTCCCCTTTTGATCCTAGTCCCTTTTTCTTTCCTGCGGGAGTTTCGGCCCTGGTTGCGAAACTGCATGCTTGCTTTCCCTGCCTAGTGAAACTGCCTCCGTCTTCTTGCACTCACTCACCCACCCACTCCCTCCCTCACGCTTCACCACCAGATCAACCTGCCAATATCCGATGTCATTCTTTTCTTGATTCGCCTCCAATGCCGACTCCGAGTGACATTACATCCAGTGTGAATGCTTCGTCCGTCCTAGAAGAACTCTCCACTCGTTCCACCTGCCCACCCGAGGTCGAGAGGCTGTCTTCCTGGAGAGAGTCTCGAGTACCCACCACTCTTTCTGACCGGGATGATTCCGAGAACTCCTTGTCGCAGCTCATTTCAGCCGCGCACACGGTGCAGAATGCCCTGAGTCCAGCGATAGATGCGACCGTCGCATCAGCCGCTGAGCCTTCGTCTGGTGGTAGCCCTATGAAAGATGTGGCAAAACCCGATGATGAGCCTGCCGCGGGGAGGCTGAGTCCGACTGCAGAGCCAGCATGCTTGACCAACCCTTCCTCACCCGTCGCTTCACCATCGACCACGTCGCTGTTAAGCTACGAATTCTCCAATATCCGGGTATGTCTTTGAATCAAAGCTGTCACGGTCGCGGGATCCATCTGACTGTGGTAGCTTCTCCCGAACTATACCTCCTCTTTCTTGCGCCCAGGAAGTAAATTCACTGGCACGCAGCAATCCGATCGCCAGGTCTACAATGTTGATGTCGAGATTAAGCATGTTGACATGCAAGAATCCTATCTTTGTGGATACCTACGTATACAAGGTTCGTGAGCTGCAATACCTGTACTATACATGACTGTGACTCATCTAATCTGCGATGCAGGTCTAACGGAAGATCATCCCACTCTCACGACATTTTTCGAGGGCGAAATAATCGGCACCAAACATACTTTCAAGACTAAGAACGAAGCATGGGGCGCTACAGAGAAGACTGATATGCAGCATTGGAACAGGTTTCAAGCGTGGCGACCACTGTCGAAACAAGCAAGGAAACCCGATTTCACGTATCGCAATTATGCCCAACGTGAACATATTTTCATGCGTTGGAAAGAATACTTTCTTGTTCCCGACCACCGCGTTAGGTCTATATCTGGTGCAAGCTTTGAGGGGTTCTACTATATTTGTTTTAATCAAGTAGAGGGGACCGTGGACGGCATATACTTTCATGCGAAGAGCGAGAAGTAAGTGTTTCGTGGAGGAATTTACGGTTTTCTTGTATGCTGACCTACGTTCTCTTGCAGATATCAACAACTGGATCTCAAGCATGTGGAAGACCACGGGTGTACTCCCGCTATGGAATTCCGTTAATTTCGCCTTCGTTCGACATTGGCCCGGGGTCAAGATCTCATATTCAACCTACCAACTTCCCCCCGGCTCTATCCCATTCTAATTGTTGTTAATTTTACTCTTTTACCACGCATACCCCGCCTGTTGGCGGCAATGACTTGCTTGTTTGCTATGATGTCTCGAGTTACGGAAATGCGGAGCGTTTCACTCTTCTCGAGTCGTCTGCGGGGGCCAGCCGTCTTACTGTCCGGCGGTCAGATCGACCCTAGCCCAATGGGCCACATTTCATGTCACCTTGATGAGATCACGCTTTTGAGTTTCCCCGGTTCTTCTCTTCTGCATTTTCGATGCCCTCTCCACTCGGCGTACAGCTGGCCGATCTGTTTTTGTTATCCACCAACACCACATTGAGGCTCATTCATGCCTTAAGCTTCTTTCGCGTTCCCCACGTCGCGGCCTGCTCGTCTGGTTTTCTTTTTCTTTTTCTTTTTTCTTTTCCCTCTTTTTCTTTCTCTTTCATCGGGTTATCGTGAACAGTGTTAGAACGAGCAGAGCGAATGTCGGGCATGTATTCCGATTCAGTCTCCATGGTTACGTTTCCATTACCATTTGCTGAGGGTTTTCCTTTTTTGTGCTCCTGGCTCTTACGCCCCTCGGTCACGGACATGCGTTGCGTTTCTCGTTTTGTCTTGGAGAGCATTAGTCAACAATTAGTGTCCGCGGTCATGGAACCCGTGATGACACGGTGAATCCCCGGTTGATTCACCTCTTTCCAGAGATTTCATCTTCGGCTTTACGTAGAGTAGTAGCTTCTTAGTCGAGCCTCGTTTGATTTACCCTTCTCTCAGGGCTCAAACCCGTGTATCCAAGGGTTAAGGGGGTTCATTCACTCCTACACATCCGCAACCCACTTCCAGAATCGACAGGAGCATAAACTGAACAAAAAGAAAGAGATGGTAAATGTATTCTCTCTCTCAACGCTGATGCTAGTAATCACATACAGTGGTCAAAAACAAAACGCCGCTCCTTCGTATGCTTGAGCGTGATAACAAAACAAAAAACCAACATAACACAGACCAAAAAAAAATTAGCCTAAAATTTCACTGCAGCACAGCGTAGCCCCTTCCAAAAACGAGAAAAAAAAGAAGAGTATGGCCAATCCCCTCTTCTCCCTTTATATGACAGTTTATACTCAATAGGAGCGGCGGTCCAATAAGTAGGTTTAGTTTGGTCACAGTGGCATATATGTATTATATGCTGACATTTCAGGCACGGCAGGGAGGAACCAGAAGAACAGGTAACAAAGGGGGAACGGAATCAAAGGAAGAAATACCATCTCACAAGACCAGTAGTGATAGATATAGATAGTTTGGGAATGGAAGTATGCAGGGTATCAGATGCAGATAAAAACGAGGTAAGAAGGAGGAGAAGCGTTATGGAAGGGGAAGGAGCAATGGTGGCGGTGGTTTGGGGTAGCAGTCTTGGAGGTGGGGGAACAAGAATTTGCGAGCAAGTGCCGTAATGGTAGTGGTGGATCCTCGGCCTCCCTTTCGCAAAAGGTTACCAGTCAAGTAAAGAATGGATGCTTGATTGCGAAAAGCAAACATCTTGAGGTGGGATGATATCGAGCTCAGATCTAGCCGTAGGTAGAATTTTGGCGGCTGCCCGAAGTAGAACTGCTGGCGCTGTTCTCGCTACCTGGCGTAGGGGTGTCAAGGACGACCTGCTGGCGGATAGAGACGATCCACTCGTGTTGAAGAAGTTCGGCGGCGGTGGAGCGCTTGAGAGGATCACACTCGAAGCAACGGCGGAGAAAGTCGATACCTAGGTCGCTGAGCTGGTCGCGAGTTGGCAGCTGTGGTTGGTTGCCTTGGGCGATGTTGTACATGATGGCCCACTCGTTGTCTAGGGTCGACCACGGTCGTCGGCCAGTGGCCATTTCGAGGATCACACATCCCAAAGACCAGATGTCGACTGCGCCTTGACGGTGGATGAGCTTGGAGGTGTCACCGCGGATTACTTCGGGGGACATGTACATCGGTGTTCCGGTCATGGTCTTCTGGTTCTTGCCCCAGTTATTGTGAGGCACCTGGGAGTCCTTGGGTATGGCGTCCTTGTGGCCAGTGCTGGTCAAGGCATCCATGGGGACGACAGTTCTGCCTTGGCGGGCAATGATCTTGGCGGCACCGAAATCGACGTACTTAATGATTCCATTGTGGTCGAGCAGGATGTTCTCGGGCTTGATATCGCGGTGAATGATGCCAGCCTGGTGCAGATAGGCCAATCCTTCCAGGAGCTGGAGAGCGTAGACCATAATGACCATCTCATCTTCAACACGGCCGTGCTCGAGCAAGCTCGCGAGGGAGCCGCCTGAGCAGTACTCCATGAAGATATACACCTTGTCACGATGAACTTCGATTCCGTGGTATGAAACGATGTTAGGATGATCCAGAACCTCCAGCACGCCCATTTCATCGCGAATCTGCTGAGCGATCTTGGGAATGAGTTGAGGATCCTGTAAGCGAATCTCCTTGACAGCCATGAGGTAATTGCTGTCGAGGTTGATTGCAGCATAGACAGATCCGAACGTTCCGCCTCCAATGAACTGACCCTGCTGCCAGCGGAGAGTGACATTAGTGGCCGAGGACGAGAGCACGGTAAGAGATCTGTCGGCCTCGTTGGATCCCTCCAAGACTCTTCCCAGTGCCTGGCGCTTGGCGTCTTCGTCGACTCGTCTCTCCTCAATTTCAATCAAGTGAGCCAGGCGCTGTTCCCGCACAAGCTTGGTCGCTTCCTCATCTGTCAAGACTCGACCTACGCCCATCCTTCTAGAGCCAGCACGCTCTTCCAAGCGTTGCTTCTCCGCCTGAGCCGCACGTGAAGACCGAGCGCCCATGATATCGAAATGAGATATCAGGAGTGACATACACCCGGCCACTTTCTGTCGTAAACGAGCAAATTGGGCATCATCCATGGAAATCAAGTGTCTGCTAGAAGTAATGGCCATGGCGAATTCAAGAGCAGAAACAGCCCACTTGAAGGTTTTCCGATCAGCGGCATCACAGTCATCACACACGAAAGACACCCAATCAAGAGACAAATCCACAAGTCTTGCACTATTCATAGCGCGCCTGTTGGGGTCGACGTTAGAAGAGCGCTTCCCGAATTCCGTAGCGAAAGCATAACATGCTTGAATCAGGTCGTGGTTTTCCACCCCTTTCTCCTTCAGCTGATTGCGAATAATTGCAACACTATCCATGATAGTCATGGATAACTTGAATGAAATCTTCTTGATCTTGTTGAGTTCCACATTGACGCGACCGAGATTGGCCCGTTGCTCAATGGCCATATCCAGATGCATTCCGGTCAATTGCGCCAACTCAGCCCGAGCGTTAGCCAAGCGCTGTTGGGTGCCCTCAACGACAAGGCGCAGTTTCCCCAGCCGTAAGTCTGTAGGGTGCTCCATGGTTTCAACCTGCATTTCTTTGCCAGCCCAGGCTAATGGCTTCTCCGGACGTACTACCAGTATATAGGGCGCGTGAGGGGAGTCTTTCGAGCCATCCTCCTCACGGAAGGACGTGCCCATGATCGCTTGTAGATCTGCGGGGCGGCCCCACAATGCCGGATGCGCAAAGAGGTAGACATTCTTCTGTCCCATCGGGATAGTCGACTTGATGATGAAGTGATCCGATACGAGAAGCGCTTCCAGAAAGTCATAGGCAATGTCAGCGGGCAAGTTATACTCTGTTGCATTTTCGAACAATTGGCGCAAAAACCGGGAGAAGCGGTAGAGCTTTCGTTGACGAATTCGGGTAGAGTCAAGAACACTCTTGTAACGCTTGTCCATGTCGATAGGATCTTCATTTGGACGTATCGTCAATTCTCGCTCGAAGTGGATCATCAAGCGTTGAAGAGACTTTGCAGTCAACGCGCTGGTTTAACATTAGCAAGCATGCACATGAATGTCGTAGTCTGTGATACCCGTACCTATATTGCTCAGCAACCTCGATGTCACCCCCATCAAGTTGACGCCCAACCTCGTTAGAGAACTCCCAATCCTGTTCCAGAATCTCGGCTTCTTTGAATGTGTTTTTGTTTGCATTCAGCTTCCAATTGAGAAGTCGGAAGTAATACTTCATAGCATCCAGAACGACCGAGTCGAAGCTCTCGTCAATACAAGGAGGCAGATCCCAACCCGGCTCAGGCCTGGCAATATCCATGTATCGTTGCTTGATATCCACTGCTACCTTCATCAAAATCTGGAACTGCGACAGCATCTGATCTACCAGAATAGGAGACTGCTGGGCAGGGTCTTTCATGTTCTTGGCGTAGGAGAGTCGCATGCGAATGATCTCTTGAATGAGGCGCGAAGGAAAGTTGATCAAGGTAAGCAATTCTTCAATGTAGGGAGGTAGATGGCGCTTGGCAAACGAGCTGGCATTCTCGATCAAGGTGTTCTTCGCCTTTTGAATCACCTCACCGACACCATTAAGCATATTGTGTCTCCCCTGCAATGTTCTCAACCCATCTTCTTTCATGATCCGATCCAAGAAAGAGGATTCATCCGTGAGGTCGCTGTTGATTGACTTGGTTCTGGGTTTGCTGAAATCGAGCTCGTCATTGCCGACCCACTTTTGTAGAATGGCAAGTTCCGTGTTGATCAAGATGGTTGTATTATGCCAGGCGAGAACAGCGTCACGGCTCGAGCGAAACTCCTCCGAAGCAATGCGAGGGTGTGCACTTTCAAGCTCTTTGTGAGTGGAATACAAGCTTTCACATCTCTCGATCTGTCCCACGATGTCTTCGACCTGTTGAATGGGAGGCTTGCCGATCTCAGTCTCACCTTTGATCTCGAACTTGATAATCTCTTCGATAATAGGTCCCAGTCCAGTTCGAGCCTCTTCGATGAGCTTCCGTTGCAGAGCCACACTGCGTCCGCACGTCCTTGCTCTAACACCAAGCCAAATCGCATTGTTCTGGGCGGAGGACCGTTTGGTGTCCGTGGACCCCAAAAGACGTTGTTTTTCTTGCTTAACGACGTCTCCCTTCAGGACGGACGACAACATGGAATGCCACTCAAGTCTTTCCTGGTTGCGCGGGTTCTTTAGTTCGTCGAGTGTCGGCAGATTGTCATCATTGAGAAAGAGTTGAATATCCGGGTCATAAGCATCGTCTTCAAAGGGAACTTCCGATGAGGGCGAGGGTTCCTCTAGGTCTGAGTCTCCGATTCCCGGGCTCATATTCTGAGCTTCATCGAAGTGGTTGTACCATGCCTGTGGATCGGCCCGGATGCGCTGGACGTAGGCTTTTTCCTGGGCTCGGTACTGGGCGTTGGGGTCCCGTCGAGGGGTACGCTTCGTGGAGGAGGATCTCTGCCGGTCATTCTGGAAGCTGATGTACTGGGGCGGGCGGCGCTGAGGGGCGTAGGTGTTCGAAGGTGTCCGAGCGGGGCCGGAGGGACGTTGCGACCTCAAGTCACCTGGCAGACCATCCACGGGCTGGGCTTTGTCGAGAGCAGAGGCGCCGACGCTCGCTCCCCGCGGGCGTGAAGGTGTACCCGTGACCCAAGGAGGGATACCGGTGGGAAGGGATGGGGTAGGGGAGTTGGTGATGGTCGACGCGGGGGTTGGGATCTGGCTGTCGAAATTCTCCGTGAAGCTGGAGTCCGATCGGATGCTGTAGGGCTGTTGCAGCAGCTCATCAGAGGAGCCGGAGCCATCCGAATCATGATTGTTCATATCAGGATGCTCCATGATCGGAAACCCACGGTCTTGTTGGGACTCCATCTCGCATGGCCAGTGCTAAAGAGTGGGTTGGAAGGGAAAGCCTCAAGGGGATAGATAGGGGCTGTGGCGGTGCATGCTTTTGCTGCGAAACCTGTCCGGATGTCTCTGCCAGACACGTCTGCGTCTTGAGCTTGCAGATTTCAGCTGAAAACCAGGAAGTTTTTTAAGGATATAATGGAGTCTAACGGATGATAAAGATTCCAGAAACGAGCAGTGTGAAATGACACTGAAGGTGAATGGAACGGTCTCGTCGGAGATGCTGTTCGAGATCAAGAGCTTCCGAGGCGGACCCGAAGGTCGCCCGCCATCCGTGAATAAGCACATCACCGCCACATCAGCTCCGCGGAGTTTGTGCGCGACTTTTATGTACATTAAGTTACCAGTACGGAGTACCTCGCCCCAGCTTATCGTGAGATGCAGCATGTGATTTTTCTGGGTTTGAGCGAGTGTCCAGCTAAGTTCTTCTTGTCCTTGCGAAAAATCGATCCTTCTCATATACTCCCTTTTTCTCCTTCAGGATCTCAATTATTGCAATGGCTGATCATTACTCCATTGATCTAAAGTAACCTGACTGCATTATAGTCCGATGTTTCGGTCAACTGGTCACTGTCTATCTTATGAAGCAGCCCATCCTCTGGCATCATTAACAAATACCGAGGACGATTTCCTCGGTCATACCTTGACAAAGTCGGCATTAACTGACCAACTAGATACCCATCGGACACCCCACGATGGCATTGTCTGATATTGCTCAGCGAGGAAAGATTTCTATGAATATTGATGCAAGGTTCTAGACAGCTCTTCTGTCGAAAGCAGAATCTCTTCTGCAGAAGATGAACCCCGAATTTACTAGTTGACCATCTAGCAGGTTTATCTGGGTCGTGCAAGAGTTCGCTACATGGTTGAATCTGCTTGACGAGTAGAGTGTTCGCCATATACAATCACTTCTAGATTTCAAGAAAACGAACATTAGGTACGGAGTAGTAAAAATCTGTGATTGAGCTTTGTAGGTGTCTTGTTTCCTGAAATCAGTCCAAGAGGAGGTATTGACTTCTGCAACTAGTGTTTTCTGTTATTGTTACTAAGAGACTCTACCTTGTTCTTATATACTTACCTAGTAGACTGGTCTTTTGCTCAGTCCACTTGCACCGGGGCTACTACGGAGCGGAGGCGCAGCGGTGCTCTCTTTTGTTCTCGGTGTGGTCGCTCAGTCGGCTGGAATCAAAGTTCTGGAGCCGTTCATTCTGGCTCTGTTGGTGGCTATTCTGTTGTTATGGATTGGGCTTCCAGGGACAGTCAAGAAGCACCGCGAGTAATCGGCTTCTTGGATCCCTTGCCAGAAAGCGCCCACCCTGGGTGTTAGAGTTAGTGCAGAAGAGGAGTTGCGGATTGGGCAGCGCACGCGAGAGAGAGCGAAACGCTTTTTGTCCCCACAGTGACAGGGATAGTACAGTCCTGCGGTAGTCAAATTGGCTGCTACAGCAAGTACCCCATACTCTCTCGGTAGGTAATTATATGGAATGAGGGATGTTCTATGGAAAGATCAGTCAAACAACTTATTTATTCACCTTGTCCCGCACTGGCCGACTATAGGAGCTAATGGCTGCAGTAAATGTCAAATCTTGTTGTAAAGTCATTCGTAATACTGATATTGATGATTGAAGTCTCTTCAGGGCCTCAAGGCCAAAGAATCGGGTATCTTTCTTAGACAAGGAGTTCAGCAGCTCGAGACACCAAACAAAAGTTCGTGAGCAGCTGTACAGTACATGCAACAGTCCTACTCGAAACAGAAATTCAAAAGATAATCCCCGCCTCCCTAAATCTCTCGAATGCGTCCAGCCAGCCATTAACCGGATCTCGCTGCTCAGTAAATCCCACCGTTCTCAACCTCTTGGGACTGAAATGTCGGTCAAAAGTCAGCCACCAGCCAACAGAATCTAATTGCTTATTTCCGATGCCCACCCCGCAGGTCACTCCCTTTGGAGCCCCATCCTGAGCAAACAGATGGCGGTTTTTGTCGATATATTCACTTGGCTTGAGAGCGTCGTCGTCTGCCGCTGGTCCAACTCCTTTCAGCCCGAACCAGGCCGCGATGCGCGGCCATAGGTCGCTAGCACTGACGGGTGTATCGTTGTCTAGCATGTTGATAATCTTCCCACCGCATGATTCTGGATGTAGTGCTGCATGGATTGCAATGCGACCAAGAATTTCGCCCGACACAGGGGTATACAGCGATCGATAACCGGCTTCGCTCCCAGGAAACGGAACTTCTATTTCCTCGTTGGTGGAGCCTCTGTGATTATATGCATATAGAGAGAGGTATTGCGCCCAGTGAAGGGCAAGAGAGTACCCCGAGCCGTTAGGAGAAAACCCAACCACAGCATCCGGACAGACCTCACTCCAGGTCCAATTGCGATCTTTGCTTGCTTCAGTCAAAATCTTTCTGAACCACGGATATGCGACTGTTTTGGCGTAATCTGCTGGTATGCTGTCGGCCATGGATTCTTCGAGTGGTGGGTGGAAGACACCACCAGGAATGTAAATACCGTAGCCCTGCTAATATTTAGTCGCCACTCCCGCTATGCAACCAAATGCTTGCTTACTCTTGATCCGCCGGGATACACGAACGATCGCAGCTTTGGGGCGACGATGTTCATTGCGTCGGCCAGTCGCTGCATGATACCGCAGTTTTGGGTACACTCTTGGATATGGTCATCGTTAAACGGCGCAAAGACTGGTCCATATTAGTATATCGTTATCTAAACCCTGCTTTTCAATCAGTACCTACCGAAATAAAAGACGTGAGTTATCCCTTCCACGTCGGGGACTTTTTCTTTCAGTTGCTTCGCAAGATCATCTCCGTCTGCCTCTAGCAAATTGATCCCTGAAACTAGCTCAAAAGAAGGCCGGTTCGGCCCTGAAGGTAAACAGAGGTCGGGCTCCGAGACGGGCCGATTGAGGACGGCAGTGACCCGAGAGAATGGGCTTGACGAGGGGTAACCCGAGAGCAGCTGGTTCAAGGTCGCCCATCCGAGCAGTCCAGCTGCTCCGAAGACGATGGCATGAGATTCTGTCGCCATTGGTATTTGTCTTCAAGTGTGAGGAAAATACTGTAGTTACCATCGAATTTCCCTGGCTCTCCCTAGAACATTTAAGCTCTCAACCATTCCAGGCGGGGTCCATTTAGGTGTTAGCGCAGTCGGCATGACTCATGATGAGTGCACCCATGAAATAAGATTAGTAGTTGAGTGGGTAACCACCAGTAAATCCCTTTAATTTCATGTTTTCTTTTGTCATTTTCCTTGCTTTGAAATCTGTTGAAGGACGATGAACCTTGAACTGGAAGGCGGGCGAGATGCGCCTTAGCCACTCGTCTATCATCGATATCAAATCCATGATCGACGCACTAATGATGAGACACGGCCGCCAAGCAAATGAAGCGTTCTAGACCGAATAGAACGCCGCATGATCAATGTAAGCTCGCTAAAGAAAAATTATATTGAGTTACTTGGACCCAAAGTGGTGAGAATAGAGCTGCTGCTGTGTCAGAGTCTGTCAAGGCTCAGAGGCGAAAATAGTGATGCCGCAAAAAAAACCGGAAGGGCAAGTAGATCTTGGAAAAGCGATTTGGGAGTCTTGAATTCCATTTGTTCGACGTGTAGCGGATCCTCCAGCAGGAGAAATGAAACATGCAGCAGCGGTTGAACAGTCCAGGTTTATGACAAGCTCGCGGCGGGAGGTTGAATCATCCGATCCGATCATGCCGTTTAGCTCTACCCTTGCGGCATGAATTCCAATTTTGACACCCATAGAATGCTGCTCGCTGTTTGTGGTCAACGAGAGAGTATCGCATACGGCTTTCCCTACGTCGAAGCCCTGAGCATACTGCAGATTTCGGTCTCGAATATTTTTTCACGGGCATGACTCCTCGGATGAAGTGGAAGTCCGCCTGCAGGCCGGCGAACAGTACATAACCCCTTCGACGCATTCCCAGAAAATTCGGTGCTGAAACCTGAGCTCCAGTACATTCGTCAATTGGCCGATAGTAGAACTTCGTCGTGGTGGCAGACGAGACGATCGGTAACTCGACCAACTTCCAGCTTCTGCGCCATGCCGTAGATGCCAACGGCCTCACAAAGATCGACGCAGTATTGCGGACAACAATTACTGGGCCGAGCATACTCTGTCAACAGAGCGCAAAGTCGAGACTTTGTCGCGCGCATTCAGAGAATGCAACGTAAACGCTGAGGCCATCTGTCGGACTCTGCAATATCACCCACTGTTCGAGAGAGTCTACTACCCCACATTTATCCCGACAAATTGATTCTATGATGATGCCGAATTCCGACCGGCGAGTATTTGACTTGCTGTCCTTTCCTCCTTACAGGAAGGAGCATGCGGTGGAATTTTTTAACTGGGCTGAAACGGCCAAGAACTCGAGTCTCGGTACTAGCTTCACCTTCACGTCGTCTATGTCCTTCTCGCAAACTAATGGGAACTGGAGTAGGCGGCGGGATTCGGCGTGCCGGCAGATCTTTTGCGCGTTAGCGTTGGGGTGGAGGATGTGGAGAATCTCCAGGCGACTGAAAACATTGCACTGGGTTCTTTCTGATCATCGAATCATGACACTAGTGACAGAATCTTGTTCAACGGCCTGAATGTACTCCGTACTGTGTGACACTCCCAGAGCCGCGCAATAGTCTGTTAAGCTTCATGAATGAACTGACCACAACGGGAACAGTGGTAGTTAGCACACTGCGAAGCTGCGTAAGCGGATATCGAATTAGCCATCATGAAGTGACTGGAGTCTTGGCGTCATCTTAATGATCTTTGGCTCCAAGAGCATGAACGAGATCAGGAGGAGTAATACTATAATAATAATAGATTCGAAGGGGGGTCAACTTGTCAGTTCGTAATCAGAAGCCTTGTAGATAAGACTGGCGCAGATCCGATTGTGATTGGCTGTCGTGCGGAGGAAGATAAGGCCTGCTTCCACCAATTCTCGGAAGGTTTAGGAACCTCCCACACCTGCATCTCTGCGCATCCACACGCAGCATTCGTACAAACAACTTCTGGAATTGTACGACTACTAACGACTCAGGACTCCGGTGGGGCAAGACGAAGGTTTGGGACAGACAACCTCGTGGAGGCAAATGCGCCTCCGATGGAGCTCCATGAAGAGTGCCCGTGGATGATGGTAAGCTCTCGGGGTCTCCAAAGTCAGCCCTGTCATTGACTGACTGTATCTGGCGGGAGATAAGGAACTTTTTGTCTCCCCTAAACCACTCTCTATCACTCCTGCATGCAATTGTCTGACTGACTAGTTCCTTAATCACCACTGATAAGACTCCGGGATGACTATCTCCAGCCAGTCCCGATGCTGCCTGAACCGAAGGATTCTCTTCGGGCTGAATAGACTTCTCTCCTTATCCATACTTCCGCGCGTTTGCATTATTGACCTCCATCTGTCAATGAAATCCCTAATCTCCCTCCACGTTTGGGATGCGAGTCACGAAAAGAATATTCCCTGCTAGCAAGCTGCGGTGTGTTTGTCGTCTCCGCCATGAGAGCGATATGCAGCCGTCAGCCATGGCTGATGGATTAGGCGTCCATGCACAATGGACAGACCAATGCCATGGACTGCTTGGGCTCAACATGCTCGTCCACGTTCTCGACAGATCGCAAAACGAAGTGAGGTCTCCGTTCCACTGCAGGTCAGACGAGGACCGCCAAGTCAACCAATATGAGAAATGGCTGTTGGTCCGTGGCAACCTCCATCAACTCCACCGGCCTTAATCCGCCGCCATGGCCAGCCATCCGCTATCTATCTGTAGATATCGCATCGTATTAGAACCAAGCTAGCTCTACAGCCAAGAAATAATGACTCCCCCCCCCCCCCCTTCAAGCATGGTTCCGATGAGGTGGAGTCAGTTCCAGGGTTCGAAGCAAGTGAGACAATGGCGCTTTTCATCTGACTGGTAATATCTCCGGCCGCCGATTATCATCAACACTATTTATCACTCCTGCATCTCCCCCTGACTTGAGTTTCCTTTTTACCAGGACTATATCTGACATATCTACTTCTACTGATTAGTGATCAGCAATCCAGACCTCCTAACTGGGTTATAGCTCATATCAAATTATTCATTGATCGGTGCTCGGACTTTCCCTCCACTGGCTTCCCTTGCGCTCCTCTAATACGTGCCTGTTTACTCCACTCCACTGCCTTCGAGCCCCCTACGCTTGGGCTTCGACTGCGAACTGAGAACTACTTCAACTTCCTGCCAAGCTGAGGAGAAATATTGCAGGCCACAGTTCTTTCTTTCTGGTCTCATACCAATTACCGTGCGTTGTGTGTGATTCGTGATGTCGGCGTATCCGGTGGCCTACAATGGCACGGGTGCCAATGGTGGTGATTCCCTCACGGAAGATCTCAACATCTACTACAGTGTAAGCTTATTCAAGGACTGGTCTGCAATTGTCTCATACTAATACTCATCGTGCCCAGTCTGGTGATATCGCTTGGGTAATTACTTCTACTGCCCTGGTGCTGCTGATGATCCCGGGGGTCGGGTAAGAAACCTGTTGAAAATCTCGACATCATGATTTGAGAGCTAACCATCCCAGCTTCTTCTATTCCGGTCTGGCTCGGCGCAAGTCAGCTCTGTCACTGATATGGCTTTCGATAATGTCGGTCGGAGTGGTATCGTTCCAATGGTTTTTCTGGGGTTATTCTTTGGCCTTCTCCCACACTGCTGGAAGTTATATTGGAGATCTGCAGAACTTTGGTTTCAAGGGAGTCTTGGGAGCTCCTTCTGTTGGCAGCAGTAAAGTGCCGGATATTTTGTTTGCCGTCTTCCAGGGAATGTTCGCAGCTATTACGTGAGTGGTTTCTTGCGCGATCTATCCTAGGGCTGAATGACTGATATGATGACGCTAGGGTGGCCCTTGCAGTCGGTGCCGTCGCTGAGCGCGGTCGGATGCTTCCTTGCATGGTCTTCAGCTTCATCTGGTCCACCATTATTTACGACCCGATCGCTTGCTGGACATGGAACTCCTCTGGTTGGGTCTACAAGCTGGGTGGTCTCGACTTCGCTGGTGGTACTCCTGTCCACATCGCCTCCGGGTCTGCCGCTCTGGCCTACTCCCTCATGCTTGGAAAGCGTCGTGGTCACGGAACCCACGAGCTCAACTACCGCCCCCATAACGTCACTCATGTTGTTATCGGCACTGTCTTTCTTTGGGTTGGATGGTTCGGGTTCAACGCAGGGTCCGCCCTGGCTGCCAACCTGCGTGCTGTGATGGCGGCCGTTGTCACCAATCTTGCGGCTTCCGTGGGTGGCGTTACCTGGTGTATCTTGGACTACCGCCTTGAGAGGAAATGGTCTATGGTCGGCTTCTGTTCGGGTGCTATTGCCGGGTTGGTTGCCATCACGCCGGGCTCCGGTTTCGTCACTCCTTGGGCGGCCTTCATTTTCGGAGTCGTCGGTGCTGTTGCCTGCAACTACGCCACGAAGCTGAAGTATGTCATTCAAATTGATGACAGTCTCGATATCTTCGCTGTTCACGGTATCGGTGGCCTTGTCGGCAACCTCTTGACCGGCATTTTCGCGGCGTATGTCTTCTCCGGTGTCTTTGCTTACGAGCTCTGCTAACCTGCTTGTGCTAGTGACTACATTGCTCACCTTGATGGTTCCACCTCCATTGACGGTGGCTGGATCAACCACAACTACATCCAGCTCGGATACCAGCTCGCCGACTCAGTTTCTGGCATGGCATATTCCTTCTTCGGCAGCTGCATCATCCTTTTCCTGATCAACTTAATCCCTGGTCTCCACCTTCGCATCTCCGAGGAGGATGAGATTCTGGGTACTGACGATGCTGAGATTGGTGAATTTGCTGTATGTTCCCCCGAAACCCCACTATCTCCTGAGTCGAAGCTAATTATCCCACCAGTATGACTACGTTGAAATCACCCGCGATGTCATTTCCGGCACCAGCCCCGAGCACGCCGAGAGCTCCTCCAAGCGCAGCATCACACCCGCTGGCAACGAGGACTCGATAGAGCTAAAGGCTTGAATCCGGACTTGAGCAGTCTGTTTCAGACTCTGTGGGGGCGCTAAGAGCCCCACTAGACTTTATTCCTTTTTATTCTCGATTATATCCCATTTCCTTTTCCTTCTGGTTCACCCCACTGTGATATCCCCCTCTTCACTGTACATATGTGTATACTTTTCTTTTGTTATATTCCCCATCAGGATTAATTATGCTTCCCTTTTTATTACTGATGTGTCTCCTCTGGTTCGGTGTTTGACAAAAAGGAGTAATTAAAATGACCTCACATATTACGACATGGTCAACCCATCATTCGTCGCCCGTCACTTCCGCCTTTTCCTCTTCTTAAGAATAGACGCACAGACTCAATGTTTCCATGAAGACTTGCAGCTTTCATCGTCCCTTCCCCTGAAATCAAATGAGACCTATGATATATACTTCCCAGCAAAAGAACCTACTATGCATGCAAAAGGAAGGAAACCACCTCAGCCCAAAACACATTACTAAATCAATTCCAATTCCCTCGCGAACAAGCCTTTCCTTGCCGAAGTAAAGTACTTAGTATCTATACCTACCTATACTGTAGAATACTGTCTCTATTAGGTTCAGGCTTCAGCCTCCGAAGATGCCTACCCCCCCTTTCCCCAAGCATGAATTTCATGACAGATAAACAGACAGACCTCGGAAGGAGATTTACCAGGCAATGCGGCCTGGGAAGAATGTACTTGACTAGTATAGCGCTAGGGGATGTTTTTGCTTGATGAATTTGGCTATCTGCGGGGGACATGGCGCTTGTTCTGTTTGATACCCCTTCAAAGCACTATATTACATATTTATTAACGCTCGCGTTGAAGATAGAATGGTTTTTGATTTGATTTCTGTGGTTTGATCCGCTCTTGCACTGAATATGGTAAATGAGGACCTCGAGTCAAGGGAATCAATACTTATCGAGCACGCAATAGCTTGGAAGTAGGATCCACCGAGAAAATCGAGAAGTGAGACTTGCATGGGCTGTGGTTGGAATACTGGAGCGTGCAGCTCTCCCCGTACCTGCATTGGACCAGCAACTAAGACTATAAGCGTTTAGCGCCGGCAACCCTTTATGTACTTGATCTCCGCTCCTTCCTTTGTCCAAGTTGGTTTACTTAGCAATTAAATATGAATAAATTGCTATAAACTATGTGCTGATGATTTTGATAGTTTCAGGCTTTTATTGGCCTAAGTAATTAAAAACAGGAAGGGGGAAATAAAAGCGCTCAAACAAAAATAGTTTACCGACTGTGACCGGTAAAACAAGTCCACCTCCGCGGTGAATGTTAGCTTATCAAGGGTATTAAAGAGCGCGTCCCGGTCGGCGTCATTCTTGACGGCCAAAAATCTACTCCTGTTCCTCCCCCATCTCGTCCTCAAGGCTAGGGTAAGGTTAGTACTTGGACTGCATGCTTGTTCCTCGGGAAACTTACTACTCCTCCTCGCCCTCGGAAATGGAGGCATCCTGGTACTGCTGGTACTCGGAAACGAGATCGTTCATGTTGCTCTCCGCCTCAGTGAACTCCATCTCATCCATACCCTCGCCAGTGTACCAATGCAAGAAAGCCTTGCGACGGAACATAGCAGTGAACTGATCACCAACACGCTTGAAGAGCTCCTGGATAGAGGTGGAGTTACCGATGAAGGTAGAGGACATCTTGAGGCCGCGGGGAGGAATGGAGCACAGAGCAGTCTGGATATTGTTGGGGATCCACTCGACGAAGTAGCTCTGGTTCTTGCTCTGGATATTGCGCATCTGATCCTCAACCTCCTTCATGGAGACACGTCCACGGCTGGATTCAATTAGCGCCAAAGCCATGAGACAATGGATAACAGGGAACGTACAAGATAGCAGAGCAAGTGAGATAACGTCCGTTACGGAAATCAGAAGCAGCCATCATGTTCTTAGGGTCGAACATCTGCTGGGTCAACTCAGGAACGGAGACAGCACGGAAAGAGTGAGCGCCACGGCTGGTCAGAGGAGCAAAGCCGACCATGAAGAAGTGCAGACGAGGGAAGGGAACCATGTTGACAGCCAGCTTGCGGAGGTCGGAGTTGAGCTGACCGGGGAAACGCAGACAGGTGGTCACACCGGACATGACGGCAGAGACCAGGTGGTTCAGGTCGCCGTAGGAGGGGTTGGAGAGCTTGAGGGTACGCATGCAGATGTCGTACAGAGCCTATACAAGCCAACCAGTCAGTCTCTATCTGTCACACTCTCGTTTGCTATAGATCCTACCTCGTTATCGATACAGAAGGTCTCGTCGGAGTGCTCAACAAGCTGGTGAACGGAGAGAGTGGCGTTGTAAGGCTCAACAACGGTGTCGGAGACCTTGGGAGAGGGAACGACGGAGAAGGTGGCCATCATGCGGTCGGGGAATTCCTCACGGATCTTGGAGATCAGGAGAGTACCCATACCAGCACCGGTACCACCACCGAGAGAGTGAGTAATCTGGAAACCCTGGAGGCAGTCACAGCCCTCGGCCTCGCGACGGACAACATCGACAACCTGGTCGACAAGCTCGGCACCCTCAGTGTAGTGACCCTTGGCCCAGTTGTTACCAGCACCGGACTGACCGAAAACGAAGTTGTCGGGGCGGAAAAGCTGGCCGAAGGGACCGGCACGGACCGCGTCCATGGTACCGGGCTCGAGATCGACGAGGACGGCACGAGGAACATACTTGTTACCGCTGGCCTGGTGAAGGGATGAGGAGCTGGCGGGAAAACTGGCGGGGAAGACTCGGGGAAGGACGAACCTCGTTGAAGTAGACGTTCATGCGCTCCAGCTGAAGGTCGGAGGAGCCATTGTAACTGGGCTTTTTATTAATCACTTGCACGCTTTGCCGCGCACCCGCTTGGCCCGCAATCTGGGGGTTGTCTGCACTTACACACCAGCGCCATCAAGGCCGTGCTCACCAGAGATGGTCTGCCTGGAGGACTGTCAGCTTGATTGTCCACGAAGCTTCGACAACAATACCCTTGACTCTGAATCAAGAGCAAGCCATGTCTCTGCCCAGCAAAGTCGAGACGTACCAGAAAGCAGCACCGATTTGGTTACCCTGTCACCAAGACCATGGTTTAGTCCACTGCATGAATATGCCCAACCACGAAACAATTGTAGTTCAACACGGCTTCACTTACACACTGACCGGTCTGAAGGTGAACCTGCAAAGCAAAAATGGAGATGTCAGGTTAGCCACATGTTATCGATTGAGGAACGGGTGGGGGCCTATCAAAAGAGCGCAGTCAAGACGAGGACGCGTCTCCCGTGAAGGACAACAAAGTTTAGGAATGAACCACGTACAATCTCACGCATTGTGAAAGGTAGTTGAAGGTGTTGTGGGAGAAAAAGTGGGTTGACAGATGTCGGAGAGAATTGGAGGAATGTAGGGGTTTAAGTGGAGGATAGACTTGGGGAGGGGGGAAGAGGAAGGGGGGAGAAAACGAGGAATTGGGTTAGTCTGGGAGGTTTGGGTAGAGAAGGAGAGCGGTGAAGGCGGAGAGGGGAAGGGTGGAACTACAATGGATAGAGGGGAGGGAGGGAGAATTAGTGAGTGTCAACAGTGGGACAATTGGGACAATTAGTGGTGGTGTGTTTAATGCGGGTACGTACACACTCACAGTAAACAACACCACCCGTGGCTTGATTGTTTTTTCTTCCAAGGGGGGAAAGACTCGGCCCGATCGAGTTTGGCGTGTTTGTTGGCCATCAGGGGATTCGCCGAGCGCCTGAATTGGTGCCTCACAAATCAGGCATAAACTGCCGTCGACGCGAACCAGACTTCCATTCTACCCTTATCGACATCGCCTCCCTTCAGGAGATGTCAATTCTATAGTTGTTCTTTGTCCTTTCCCGTCGCGTGAGGTCATTACTGCTTGTTTAGTATTCACTATAGTACACATATATTTCATGAAGCATGGATGACCTATAGACACCACATCTGCTTCCCATTATGAAGCACATTGCCCCATGGGCTGATCCAGATCTACTGCTACCTAGTAACCCATGACGCCGGGGTTCTCTCACTTGGCGGTATTTTCCACCGTGTGAGAACTCTCCAGCCACGTGCCAAACTCATCCAAACGTTGTTCCTCATCTGAATCCTCCGCATCCAATCCCTTCTCGGCCAGATCTTCCAGCGCCGCCCGCTTCTCATTCGTCTTCCTAAACTTCTCGCGCCCGTCGGAGATGTACGCTTCCACTCGCGTGCCGCCGAAATAGCGCCCATCCATCATCTGCTCGATATAAACCATTAGCATTTAACAAGGCGGAGTGCCTGTCCCACATGGCAAAGCCACCCACCTTGACACAGTTGCGGGCAGCTTCCGGGTCATGGAAGCGAACGCTCACAACTCCCTCTGGCTCTTTGTCGTAAAGAACAACATTCGTAATCTCCCCGAGCTTCGAGCATTCGTCACGAATGTCTTCCTTGATGTCGAGAATAGCGGCAGGATCCTCCTGTCAACATGTTAGATATGCATGATATGACAGCTCGAGAATGGTTTCGTACGTCAAGTTCCTTCAGGGTAAACATATGTTTCAGAATGACGATCTTCTCAAACCGAGAGCTTGTATCGGGAAGAGCCGACGGATCGTCATCGTCCCAATCCGCGAGTTTGCTACCGCGAACAGATTAGCAAGCGCCTCCATCGGTACACCGATGCCCTTACTTGTTGAGTTTCTGCGTCCGTTGAATGATCTTTCTCTTGTCCCTCATGCTGGTCTTCGTGGGTGCCTCTTGCTGGCTTTTGAAGGAGAAATCCGCCGCCTGCACGCGCATCGGCCCATGCGGGCCCGTCACGCCCAGCCGGAAGTCCGAATCGTCCAGCATTTGAATCGCAAGGTTGACCGATTCCGGCCGGAAATACACGACCAGTGCCTCTCCCTTGAACTTGCCGTCGTCATCGTTGTACATCTTGATGCGCGGCCGACCGCTGTCGATTTCCTCCGCGATGACGCCGCACTTGGAAAAAAGATCTCGGATCTCGTCGAATGAGGCATCGAGGGGAATCGACGTCACAAACACCGCCGTATTGACGCGCTGTTTCTTCTGCTTCTGTGCACTTCCCTGCATAGACGATAACACAACTGGTTCAGCCTTTTTCCCTGTAATCCCCGTAGACTAGGAATAACAAGCAGACAAAAAATTTGACGGGGTGTGCCCGAAGGACTAGAGTCTAACAACTGACCTCTTCGCCATTGCCCTGCTGCTTGCGCTTCTTCTTTAGTTGCGATGCCGTGACCTGTTCATCTTCATCCACCCCCTGGACTTTGTAGGCTTCTTGCTGTTTCTGGAGCAAGTCGTCGTCGACCTGGAAATCACACACCCGCCGCCACCCAAGCGTTTAGAAAATCAGTTTTCACGAACCAACCAGAGTCGCCAAATACAAAGAGAAAGCCAATTCTCCAAAACAAAATTAAGCCTGTGTCCCACCATCGGCGATCAGGCCTCCAAGCCGAAGAGAAGAGCGCGCACACACCGTCGGAATCCACCGCTTGAGAGCGGTGTCGTACTCATATTCCTGTCCGTCGTCGGTTTCAAGGATGAACTTGTTGTCCAACTTGGAGAACGAGATGCGCGGGTCGCTGTCGAACTCGGAGGGGTCTTGCGGAAAATTGGCGAATGGCGCCGGGTTCGAGGAGGCGGCGGCGGCATCCTCGTTCGACGAGGGTGACGCCATTGCTTGCGATTTTGCTGTGTGTTGAGGCCAGAAGGAACGATCGTATTGTGTCTATGCAGGAGCTTATCGATTCCGATGGGTGTGAATAAGGTGTGTTGAAGATACCAGACTTTGATTCGTTGCAATGAGATCACAGGACCGTCGGCTTTGCGGGGAGAATGGTTGCTGGGGTTATGTAATCTTCTTCGAAGGCTTCCGCGCTGATGAGGCGTGTCTACATGTCACATGAACTTTTTGGAGATGAGCCGACCACAATCAACTTAGCGCCTATTAGAAACAAAAACGTCTCACGCGATCATTTAAATCACTGTTTGTAACATTGAAATTCATTTCCCTTTGATATTCCACTATACCTAATTGTCCAAGCAATTCTTAAGCACTTTTGAAGTACTCTAGGTACTATGGATTTTGATAATATTATTGAGATCAGTTCTTCAGACGAACAAAATGCTTCAGAGGTAAGTTTACAGCTATATACTAAGTACGTATTAGTGATAGTACTTAGTATTCGGTTTTACGTACTTGCTAAGTGATTCGAAACTAATTAGATTCTAGGAACTGTCACCATTCACTATTTTAACACATGCTAAATCTTTTCCCTTAACTAATCAATGTCGAGTATATTGATGATCTTCCAGAATATCCAGTTACTCATACTAATGGATATACTATGTGGTTGCCTTACGGAGCTATTCTGAAGTTGAAGCCAAACAGATCGTTGAAGATGTAAGTAATCTTAACTACTTACTAACTACTTCGAAATCGCTTGCTAACTGCTTGATAGATTCCGTATACTAAACGTATGAGCAGTGGTATGAAGCGAGCAGTTTTTTCTCCTTTTCTGCAGTGCCGGGTTAAGAGGGTATCCTGGACATGCTCTGGTATCCTCCATTGCGAATATCTTAATCGATCTCTTCTAAATCATCATCATACATCTGTTGATGAGGGCTTTTGGAAGACGTTTAATAAACTACAGAAAGATGTTCCGATAGCAGATATGCCAGAGTCGAAAAGGAAAGCTTTTAAATCAGTACTTATTAAGTATTTAACATGCACTTGCTAACCAGTTACAAAGTTACTACAGAGCAAGGATGAATAATTTTTGGAAAAAAGTACAACCCTGCTATGAAAAACTTCCGAACTGTAAACCAGTACTAAAGCGCTATTTTCATCCGGTATTTATACTACTCAAACTATTCTCAAACTGCTTTCTAACTACTTTAGGACTTAAATGGGGACCATCTTCCATATATTGGGTGCATCAATTTCACCGAGGACTATCTGAATAAGCATTTTAAGGCTGATATAGTTGATCATACTACTCTTGATTGTGCTTTCCTTGAGGAGCTGTTTGCCAACAACTCTCTTACTGAAAGTGAGGAGTGTAGTGTGTTTGAACCTCTCTCATCCCGCCGAAAACACTGTGGTAAGTACTTAATAAGTACTTACGAAGTGTTTGCTAACTACTTCCAGAAATGCCACATCCTCAAGGTTCAGGGCGCTTAGTTCATACTTCTTGCAGTGTGGCTTTTACTGCTTTGATTCCTTTAGATCTTGTTTCATGTCCTTATCTTCTTTTTACTTCTCATGGTATTCATACACATCCTCCACCTCCTCCACATAAGCCGCCAGAGAGGATTCTTGAAGGTATTACGAATCTAGTTCAACAGATCCGTGATCCTAGTATAACTACAGGTAAGTAGCATCTAAGTACATGTTCTAGAGTACTTACTAACTGCTTATGAACTGTTTATTGAAGCTCAATTTCTTCGCAATCCGCAGCTTGAGGAATTTTGTCGTCAGCATAATACCTCTACACTAGCTGAATTACATACCAGCTTATCTCATAGAGACAGGATTAGTACAATTATTCAGAAACAGCGGTTATTGATGAATCCAAGTGGACAGGATATTGATGGTCTAATTTTTTTGCTAAATATTGACCCATGTATGCGGGTAAGTACTTGCCAACTGCTTACCAACCGCGTCCAAAGTAGTTTAAAATAAGCTAATAACTACTCTAGTCCTATGTTAAAGAGAAATATCATGGTACTGATGGAACTATGGTATTTTGCGCCTACAAAGAGCAGCTTGAACTTCTTGTTCGGCTTGATCTATTCAAGGTTGATATGTCGTATAAACGACTAAGATCAAATAAAATGAATGAGGTGCTTTTTACTACTTATATTCCGGACCATGATAAAGGTAAATACTTCTGATCTGCTTGCTAAGCTGCTTGCTAAGTACTTATACTAGTCATTACTCTTCTCCGTGTTTTTACAACTGAGGAGACTACTGAGGGATTTTATCTCCTGTTTAAACGAGCTTTTGAACTTATTGAAAAAATAACTGGTACACCAGTTCAATTTAATTCGATACATGGCAGTGGTTTTAAGGGTATGATTCTTGACATGGATACAAAACAGTTTAGTGGTATGTCTTATTCTAATTACTTCTTAAGTCCTTACTAACCGCGTGGGAACTGCTTAGGACTCGGCAAATATCTTACAGAAGTGGACCCTCACCATCGGGATTACAAATGGCAACTTCAACATTTTGTTGTTTTTTGTCATGCTCATTTTCAACGGAATATTTTGAAGGTGATTGGCACTAAAGAGAAAGGTTCTCGGCTCTGGCATCAAATGGCAGGTCTTTTGAATTGCCCGACAGAGGAGAAATATGACCAAACCCTTAGCTGCTTGATAGGTATTTTCTTAACTGCTTCACACCTGCTTTGGTAGTACTTACTAACTGCGTGGCAGAGAATGAGAGTAAGAAAGTCGCAGAATGGGCTACTCAGAAGAAAAGTGCAGTAATCAAAGCAGGCTTAGTCAAATCCTACTCTGGTATTGCTTCACTTTTTTTTGATGAATTGAGATGGCATATGAATGCAGTTAAACAGTCTCATAATAAGCCCTATGCATCTGGCAAGTATCGAATTCTTCTCGAAACAGTTAGAAAGTAAGTATTCCCCGACTACTTAAAAAGTACTTAGAAATACTTAGAGAAAGGCTGACTTTTGAATTCATATTTCTAGTTCCGCCAAGTCTGATAAGGAGGACATTGAACAGTTTAAAAATTATAATGGATTCAACATCCATCATAATTACCGGACCTCTAATGTAGAAGCGAATTATCGACACCAGACGACTACTGATTCTCGTAAGTACTTTAAAACCGCTTTGGAACTGCTTCGGTACTAATTATAGTTTAGGAGGGTATAAAAGACGCCGTTCTACAGAGTCTAATCAGAATTCTGCTAGATCTGTTTCTCCTATAGCTTCAGCTTCAGCTTTAGAGAGAGATACAGCTAGATCTATTACCCGGACACCATCCCTGGGTGATGGTAATCAGTAAGAATATTCCTTATTATCTAAGCAGTTTCCAAGCGCTTGCTAACTGCATAAGATCAACTACATCTTCACGAACAGGTCTTCCCCAGGCTGCCTCTTCTACTCTCTTAACTCTCAAGCTAAGACGTGAGGAACTTGAGATTCAGAAGCTTCAAGCTGAAATTGAAAGGCAGAGAGAAGAGACACGTGCTTTGGCCTTAAAAAATGATGAACGGGAGCTTGATCTTTTAGAGAAACGCCAGCGCATACAGGAGGCAGATCTAAGCATTTATCAAGCAGAAAGCACTTAGCAATCAGTCGAAAATTATTGAATAGAGTGATCACATTGATCCGAGTAAAGATACTTAACAAAATCTAGGCTGTATTTTGATTCTACTAAGATAATGGATTGATTCAAATCAAAGCAGGTAATAGGCTTTCCTTTGGTTCTATCGCTAATTGGTCAGTAGAATGTGAATAAACAGACCAACGGGATAACTTGGGTACATAAATGAGAAAACCGAGTACTGTATTCACTAATAACATACGAATAAAGATTCCCCATAGAAACGAGTTCCCATCACCTACGTGGCAGTGAGCTCTGATGGTATGCATGAACTATACATAGTAGGTCAAAACTCTGTTTCCGGATGCCCGAGAGAGATGTTGTGTGTGAGAAACAGTAGAAGAAGACTAAGGTAGTTATCCGGAGCCCTGACAGCATATCACCTGCCAAAACTGCCAAGGCCATTCACTATTGGGCAATTCAGAGTCAGCCGAGCTAAGTGTAACTAGAAGATGATGATCCTTCACGAGACAGGTCAATGTAGACACAATTGCCCACGCCATCATGAACCCCGACATGTATTGCGCAGGCTTCACTCGATTGAGAAGCATGTTAGATGGAACTTGACTGAGGAGGTATCTATTCGAAAGTTAGCTTAGGTCAAAGAACGAAGATGTCGAGGCAGGCAATACCTGACAAAAAGAATGCTAACGCAAATGTTATACTGCGTTTCCGTGCAAGCTGAGATCTTCGGATAGACTGTTAAGCTTCCCATTCACCATGGCTGTTGCGGTCGAGGAAGCTGAGAAAGTACAAACCAAAAAAATTGGCTTCTGTCAGTCCGCATCACCCGCTAATGTATCGTGAGAGGCGACAGTAAACGAACTGACCATCATGTAGGCATCAATCTTCCGCACGAGTTTGATCTCCGTCGCATCCACTTTTGCAGCAGATCCAAACGGATCATATTGTAGAGTTGACTTGGTCGCTCTCTCAGCCTCCTCGACATGTTCACGCTTCCTAATACTTATAAGTTTAGAAGTGCTTAGAGTAATAGTTCTTTTCACCCGTAGGGTAAGCTAGTAGAGTTTGTAAAGTATTGAAAATCCATACTTTTGTACTTTTCCTTTACTACGGACTACTAGCAGCACTCAGTGAGGAGGCCTGCCTAGTATACTTGTTGAATTGAAAGAGACGTAATTCATGTCTAGCCTTCTCAATGAACATTCTCCTCTTTAAGAGAGACAAACTTGTTGCAAGATCATTTTTGAGTGCCCGGTCGTTATTGCATCCGCACTCTTGTAGCTCACAAGAGAATCATTGGTACGCGCGCATTCAAGCTAGCTTTCTCCAACCCTGCAAGCGAATGACTGCTAGCCTTCCTCTAAAGGTAACTGCTATAAAGGCCTTGAAGAGACTCCCTCGCAAAGTTTCCGACGAGCATCTTGTAATTCACTGCAAGAATTTTATCACATTGCTAATTTTGTCTACCTATTCTGGCCTTCAAAGTACGAACCGCTTCAATACCAGCGCGAGGCCTCCAAATGCAAAAAAAAAAAAAAAAATAGGATCTGCAAAACTCACCATCTTGATGAGATCATGCAGAGTGTTGGCTCAGTCGCTCAGAAGAAAGGACATTGACCCCTACGTGACGATTCCAGCTCCTTCGTGATCTGGTCCAACTCCTTTCGGCCACGGCCCTCAAAGTATTTCGGTCCTACATCAGGGATGTAGTATCCTTGTGGGTAATATTTAGAGCCCTCATCGCCCGGAAGAGGTCGGCCGAAAGCCCAGGTCAGCCAGGCAACCGGTCCCCAGCGATTCCGCAGACTCGGTTTCGCATAGTATGGGGCCGCATCCCAATCGGTGGAGAAAATGCGGCCATGCCCGTCCGGGTCGGTAAAAGTCTTATACCGTAGGAGATAAGGCCGGGGAAGGGCGAGGTAGCGCATGGCAAACTGGCGCACTGTCAATAAGATCGAGAAAAACCGAGCGTAAGCCGCTGGTGGTGGGTCGTACCTAGAATTCCACACGGTCAGTGATGTTACTCAGACGCTGTCGAGTCTGAAGTCTGAGGTAGCACAACGGATACTAGCATCGGACCTACATCATGGCTTTCCGCAAACGATCATCCATCATGTAGGATACGAATTTCAGGCCAACATGTTTGAAAGCTTCTGGGACCATGTAGAGCAGCACTTCTGTGGTCTGGTCGGCTGTTTGGCGGTTCTTGATGTGCGGTACCATGCACGTCGCTTCGTATTCGTCGCTCCAAGCCATTACCTCCTCCAACCAATGGAGGCCATCTTTGAATCCCTTCTTTCCCGATGGCAAGGCATCGTAGCTGATGTTGAGGTTATCACCGATACTCTTCCAGAAAGTACCGATGGCACACTGTTCCAAATCGGTCGCGCTTCGCCATTCATACTTCTTCAGGAAGCGGACGGGCTGTACAGCGAAGAGCGCAAGAGTGTACAGCATATCGTCTTCGAGGATCTTACCAGACGCACGATAACCTTTATGCATCCAGCGGGTGCGCGCAATGGAGGTTCGAGCACGCGTTGAAGATGGAGCATTGCCAACGAACTCTTGAATCAAGACCACTGTGTCAGCGTAGCGCTTCAGCGATGTATCCGGCTTCGAAAACTGTGCCGTGTCTACGAGGACTTTAGAGATGGATGGGATGCCGTAGGTCTGTGCCAGTGTCAGTTATTGCAGCTGGTCCAAGGTACAGATCGGATACCAACCCGAAAGAGGGCGAACTGAAGGGACTTCAGGTAGAAAAAAGGAAACTCCTGCTCTAGCATGGTCTTCTGAATTGCCCAGGCGTCATCGTCGGTCATATGAGCGAAGGACTCGCGAGTAGGGTAATTATATCTTGCGTGCATCCATTTCACCAGGCGAAAGCGAAGGAAGTTTACTAATAATGCATACGAAGTAACAGCAAGAACAAGGTATGTAAAGTATGAGTGAGATGGGGTGCCTGGGGTGGAGAATAGCGATCCCTTGGCGGCGGATGAAATATCCGTGACGTTGGCCATCTTTCTTTGGCCTTTGGTCTGATGTCTTTGCTCAGTTGTGGAAGACTGAGACTAGTGGCATTGATAATAATTCTGGATATGGCGTATCACGGAGTAAGTTAGTCATTGACTGTCAAAGCTCCTTGTTGAAGGGGGGCACTAACGGATGTACTGAGGATCATGGAACTAGGGGTGGTCCCAGCAGCGGGTGAAATGTACCGAGGGAGAGCAACCCCTGGTTCGAGCTTAATACTTGAGTGGGGATCCGGGGTCACGGGTCCGGGGAATGGATTGGCCACATCTTATTGGACCTGCTGACCCCGACTGCTGACTGTCCGGTGCGGGAGTGGCTCTATTCATCCGCCTGAGGTCACGTGTCGTCTAACCCATTAACTGCATGAGATTCAATATCGAACAACAACTCAACACCGATTCTTCTATTCAAAGCTTCTTCAATACAACAACTTATAGACGCTGAAAAATCTAACAGAACTTGCTTGTACATCCGCCAGCCGCAACTTCTCAGTTATACAGACTCACTTCCAAACACCCCGTGATCAGACCATCTCCGATTACTACTAGTGCTTAGCGGCCAATGCAATTGAGCTCCAGCAACCTCAAGGGTGGGAAAGCCAGGGCGGTAAAGCCCAGCCCAAGCCAGATTCCCAGATCGCACCCCTCCGCAATCGCTGCCGCCACCGGGCCCGTAAAATACGTTTGATCCTTAAGTCATTGTCAGCAATTGATGTTCTTATGCTCACAATTGATCATTAGGGGTGAGGTACCATGCCAATGATAGCTCCGATCCATCCGACGAGGAAAGCAATGCTGGCTGCAATACCAATGGGGAGCCTCAATCGATCGTTCCATGCGTCCCAGTCATAGCCCTGACCTCGATTAAAGAGGAGGTCTTCTTCCACCACGATCGTGAACCAGATTACCGCCCAATATCCGATCAAAGGCATGACACTCCTGAAGATGTCGTATAGGGAGTCACGACCGCCAATAGCACACGAAGCGTAAACCAGGGTGCTCACGGTCGTGAAGACCGGGCGCGGGAACCTGCGCCATACGTTTCCTAGCATTTGAAAATTCATCCCAGTCGAGTATGAAGCTGGTGCATTGTTAGATACAATCGTCAAGACGTTGATGACGGCACATAGTCTTCCCAGCGGTCCCAATCGATCGTATCCCGCCATCAATAGGCTCCCTGGAGTGCCATCATAAATCGAACTCCATCGGGCACTGTGTGCCACCCCACTTCCCAACCCGGCGCCAAGGAGCAGAGTGATTGTGAATGCAAGACTGGCGCCGATGGTGGTCACCGTCCAAATTTTCCATCGCTTGATATCGGGAGAATAGTAAACGTGGTAGTCGGCTGCAACAGGTATCCATGACAGGGGAATCGATAGGCATAGCGAGAAGAATGCCAACCGCTTTGCGTTGACCTGTGAAGTAGTCCCAACCGACGGGCTATCGAAGTCGAATTGCGGGCCAGCAGACCCAGTGAGGAGCGCGAAGACTATCAACTGTGGAAACCAGGCATACCTTGAGTCACCATCATGAATGTCAGTCTAATCTGGGAAATTTCGAGGGCAGTCGATCCGTACCTTTCATAGTACTGGAACATTTGCATGCCGAATGTGGCCATCGTCCAACTCGCGAATGCCACGATGATGATGCCAACTATTACTGACAGGCCCCCTCCTGAGATCTTGGACAGCAACTGGCCTCCAACCGTAGCGCTCATCATTCCAGTGCCCAGACATGAGAGCACATTCAACACACAGCACACTTTGGTGGGATAATAACCCATGAAGAACCGGGACACAATCTAAGGGGCGAGGGGCCGTTAGTCAATCTGCATTGCTAATGCGGTAAATTGTCGAGATCGGAATGATCAAAAGGTTCTGAACTCGTGCGATAAGCCATACCAATGTGCGATTCCCACTTCGCGGGCCCCAGGTACTCATATAGCCAATCGCCAACCCCCCGAGAAGGGTGCTAAAAACCACGCACAGCGCAGAATCGGCGAAGCTCAGCTTCATGACCAGCGTTCCCAGCGATCCGGTGATTGTGTTGTTTATTGCCATTCCCATGCTCAGCCACGTCAGAAACATCTCGAATGATGTGAACTTGGTGTTCTTGATCCGTTCCTCAAGCGGCACCGGCTCAATACCACGGGTCTCGAGCCCTTTGATGCTCCTCGTCCATCGTTGATATCTCGATTCGCTATCGCCCAGGAATGGTCGTTCAGCTCCGGAGTCTTCATGTGTCACCGTCACGCTCGTTTGCAGAGAAGAACACCCTCCCTGTTTTTCGATCTCAGGTTCCATCGGTGGTCTCGTGGGGGATCTCTTGGTGCGAAGGGATGCCGGTCCTCACACAGCTAGCTGCCTTCTCGTCACTTTTTCACAATAGCAACTCCAGTACAACCAGGCCCAACCCCAGTATATATGTGATTCTCGGAGACAAAACAGCGATCAGAAGCAGGATCAACGGGAGGCACAGCAGGCGGGTGCAACTTCACCTTCTTCGAGGCAGGTTACTGGACTGACATCACCCTTTGTCCTTGGTCGTGCAACCACGCCCGCGCTACTTTCTCTATCGGCATTCCACAACCTTACACTAGAGCTAGGGCCCTGTCGTCGCCCTCCTGCCCTGACCGGAATTGCGTTACACCGCTCACCCCAGCTCTATGCTTATAGAGAGGAAGGGTTAGGTATCCTTTGGGACATAGGAAAAGGAAAAACACCGGAGAGGCGATCCTTTGGGCCCCTTTTCGCCTATTTCATGCACTTCGTTCTTTCTTCTCCCATACGTTGGGGTGGTGATTTTCTTTTTTCGCACGGGTAGTCATGTGGCTGGAGACACCACATACCATTGCTGATATTACCATTTTAAGCTCTGCTGTACATTCCAGAGGAATGCTCCAAGCATGTAAGGGGAAGAGCCACTAGACGATGAACCACGAAATGGAACAAACCTGTTTGGCGCTTTCATCGAGGGCTGATCACCGCGTGGATGATCACCGACTGTCTGATCGTGGGGTAAGAACGAGATTTTGGCTGATTTTGAAACACATAAGTGAGGCATGGAGATGAGCTCATTTTCTGAGAGATTCGGACGTGCCCTGACGTCTTTCCGAGCCTCACCTCACCTCCGCGGCAGCTGACCGGACGAGTGCTGGTCCGAGGCTGATCAAGACTGTATACTGATGTGGGCACTCGTCCTGGGAGCAAGTCTCCCCAGGATGTATTTCCGGTTTGCCGGGCATTATGTGCGTTGCTTTGTATCTTGTTCTCACCGTGGTCTTTTGACCCTCTCTCGGTGCGAAGTCAAGCTTTCAATGCCCTGTCTATGCTTGGGTCGATCATGTCGCTACAAATCAGCTCGTAGTCGCGACGAAGTAACTACCCAGTCTAGAGGACAACTGGTCCGGGGTCTTCAGCTAACTATATCAAGTTACTATTGGTTTAGCGACCTCTTCGAGGCCTTCTATACAGGTTATACTGTGTCTTCGCATCGTGCAAATGATTGACTGGTAATCTCTAGCTTGCTACCCTCGGAAAATACGTAGTACCGACCAGCTGAAGTGAAAGAGAATGCAGCTTAAACACCATCATGATGAAACGCGACAATTGGAGAAAACGAGCCAAAGTTAGTGGTCAATATGTTTCTAAGTAGTAGACCTTCCCAAATACGACCTGGATTGTGAGACAATGGGATCACATCTTGTGCAGATTAGTACAGTACAGCTAGGCTATAAACAAGCCCAAAAACTTCCCTTTCCTCGTTCAGAATTCTAAGCCAAACTTCCACCTACTACCGACCTACTAGCTTACCAGAGCGTACTTACTGGTAGTTAAAAAGCCATGCAATCATATAACCAGTCAGAAGTCCTGGATCATCTAGTCCAGCGAGTAGGTAAATTTGACGTCACCCGTGCCACACCCGCATCAACCATAACTAATCACATCTACTCACCTACCTCCAAACCAACACCATCATCCTCAGCAATTCCCCTGCAGCTACCTTCACTGAACATATTCAGATTATAGCTAGCTACTAGCTAGCTCACTAGTTTCTCAAGATAATGGCAACGCAAACGCCTCAACTCCTCACCATCGACCCTAGCAACCCCCAACCACCGACAAGACATCGTCACCACGACGACATCGCAGAAAAAACACTCCCCGAGGCGAAAGCTACAAAAGCCCATCCCCGCAACCCGGGAGCAGAGAATGCCTCGGTCTATTTTGTCGGGAATGCGACGACAATCATGTGCGCATCTCCTTCACTTTTCCCTCGTTAGGAGAGGAGTATATGTATAGTAAGGTTACAGAGAGAAGGTTGGCTAACACATCAAGCAGACAATGGCATGGTATCCGGATCATGACTGATGTGCGTTTACCATGAGTCTAACATGTCCTTGAAACATAGCTTAAGCTATGCCATCACGCACAAATACCTGACTAACGGGGGGGGTTTCTTGGAATCAAGCCCAATTTCCTCCACGCGGGCGACCATGTCCATCTCGGTCCTGGCGTAACTTCGACCCGAAGAAAAGACCCGGCAGTGGATTTGGAAGATCTACCGCGGGTGGATCTAGTGCTGCTTTCGCATTATCACGAGTACGTATTATTTTTCTTGCGGTTTTGGATATCTGCGTCGCTTTATGGAGGATGTATGGACTATCTTAGATCGGAGGGACGGGGAAGAATGTAGGGTTGTGCTTTTCCCCTCGTGGTAGGTGAGCACGCTCTACAAGGATCGCTGCGCTAGGTCTTCTAGCACATACGACCACAGGGTGTGGAAAATAGGGCTTCCCGTCCGCTCAGCCGTACACAAGCCACACGCCGGGAGGTTAGTAGTTGGGTGGGTGACCACCAGCGAATCCCTTCTGTTGTATGTTTTTTGGTCTTGGTACGCTGACGAAAGCGTAATCTTTACATTTGGTGTTCTAATTCGGGCATTCTGCCGACTGCAGTGTTCTTAATGTGGTGCTTTACTGGAAGAGTCAGTCAAACTGGTTGCTGATATATGCAGAGACCACTTCGATCGGCATGTCGAGGACTCCCTCCGCCGGGACCTCCCTATCATCACCACGTCGCACGCGCACAAAATCCTAACATCCAAGGGTGACGGCGAGTCATTCACCCGGGTCGCGGCCGTGGATGCATATGAGCAAGCGATGGTCGACATCCGCAGCGACAATGCCAGCAAACAGCCCCGGTTGAGGATTACTGGCATGCCGGGGAAGCATATTCCCATGGGGAAGCCGCTCGAGAAGTTGAATGATCTCGTTGGCGCGGTATGTCGTCATCATCCCTTGTCATCTTTGTTTGGTTTTTGGTCATATACTAAAATGGGGGAACGGCCACAGATCCCTCCGACGAACGGCTGGATGCTCGAACTCGGGTATGGGAGCCAAGGACACATGACGGCGGACTTCAAGCCGGGGTACCGGATCTACATCTCCGGGGACACGCTGATGTTCGACGAGTTGAAGGACATCCCGCGACGGTATGAGGGCCAGACGATCGACCTGATGCTGGTGCACCTGGGAGGCACCACAGTGCCGTCGCCCGCCCTGGGCCCGTTGGCGATGATGGTGACGATGGACGCGAAACAAGGGGTGGAGCTGATGCGGCTGATTCGACCGCAGATAACGATCCCCATCCATTTCGATGATTATGACGTGATGGCCAGTCCGTTGGAAGACTTCCAGGCCCTGGTCAAAGAGGCGGGCTTTGAGGGGGAGGTGGTCTACTTGGACCGGGGGGATGAGTATCGGTTTCACGTGAGTGGGTGAGGGGAGGAGAAAGAGTTTGTCTTGTATTGTGTACTTTGGTAGGAGTAGGGACGCAATGGTGTCATTGGCGGATTGAACTTGCCTCCTCCTCCTTAGTCGTCGTTCAGTTTACCCTGCAAGGTAGTGGAGCTTACTCTGGTAGGTAGTGAATAATGGTCCAGGGAGGGGGGGTCCGGATAAAGTACCGTCTAGTTTAGCAGCAGTTGACAATGAAACCCTTTTTTTTGCCATCGCTGATGGGGTCCGTGAGCCTTGGCCGATGATGTCGGAGATGCGAGCCCGCCAATTAACTTGCAGAAAAAGCATCGTCCACGAAACGGACGCCATCTGAGATAAGGATGTCGAAATGGGGCCTCATGATTTTCGTGTTGAGAAACAAACTGGACGAAATTGACCCAGGTCAGTATTCGTATGTGCAAAGGGTCCTGAGCGGAGAGTGGCAGGTGAAGGAGGAGAAAAAGAGGAGAAGAGGCGGAAAGGAGATCATCCATGATGTAACATTCACCCTCCAACCAGTGAATCAGAAGTCGCACCCAGTCCGCGGCAATGCAGCCCAGCCCTGCAGATTCCCGGTCCCAATTTTCTCGTTTTCTTTTTTATTTTTAAATTCTTTTCTCGCCTACACATACTTTCATGCAGCGGCTGAGTCAACTTATTGCATGACCCTTTGTTTGCCATCCACAGGTGGGTTGAGAAGTATATTCTCGTATCTTATACTTCACATCCTTCCTTCCTTTCCTTTCAACTTCACTATCGCAAAAGGATCAGCAGCCCCACCGCGTCATAGTGACACCAATCGCAAAAGTCCCTTTCATCTTCTGATCTCAAACGGTTGCATATCATAAACCAACAAAGCATATAAGGTTTCACGGCCACCAGCGATCATTTCTCTAGTCCACCATAATTGCTAGGCTTCACCTCCAACTTCTTTCTGAAATACCCTCGACAGCTGGCACAAGTCATCCTGAGTTGAATTACTACAACACAGTCTCCTACCGCAAACCTATCACTCCATACATACCAAACAACACAATATGGCCCAATCCACCTTGAAGGCGCGAGAGCCCGCAGCCTCCGCGAACAAAGTGCCCACCCTTCACACCCTTCACAATGTCAAACGCTCGGTGTCCTATTCGCCGGCGCAGGACGGTGGTCATACGGCTTCGCGAACCGAATCGAATCGCGGATGCGACCACATGGTCAAGTCCGCGTTGACGGAGTTGCTGAACGATGACGGCGTCAAGTCGAATGCACGCGGTAGTCGATCTGTGCAGAACATGCTCATGGAAAACGAGCGGAAGCGCAAATCTCAGCGTAGACAGTCGCTGGTTGAGCATGGGCAAGTGAGAGCGAAGAACGCGGTATGAAGAGCCAAATGGCGGCCGGCCGGGCATGACAGCGGCATGGCATGATAAGTCTCAGACGCCCGAGGATCCTGGCTTGCTGCTGCCGCATGGTGTCTGGAAGTATCGCATATGTCTATTGTTCATTGCGCTGAGTGGATGGGTCTTGCAGTCTGCTTGTCATGGGTGGAAACATGACACCAATCTAGTCGATTCGAAAGGGTGGAGGCTTGATGACTGTCAAAAATTGAACGATGGTCAGTACACGACGACCGATGACGAGTCGAATAATTTCTGCAGCTTGAAGCCACTTCGAATGTCAAACAGGGCCAAAGAGGCTGGTTTTCATCTTTCAGGGCTGGGTTTCTCAAAATGGTGTTATGCATTGCGTTATGCATCACGAGCATGATAATGATAATGGTTAATGAACTTCTGATCTCGAGCTCCACATTGTTCAGTAGCCTTTGGTGTTAGGGAAGTTGTCAGCTGATGGCGCTTTGCGCATTGAATTTGTAGGCATGAGTCTGGCTCAGTAGTCTAGTCGCTTTCTCCTGTTTATCAGCGACTGTTATAGCAGTAAGAAGAGCATAGTTCTTCTTTATTTTCGCCAGTGTAATTGAGTAGAGTTGGTTGTTCTGGTGAAACTGCACAAGTAGTTGGATATTCCCCGAAGTAAGCCAACCACCCGCTGCCGACCGCCTCTGCCCGACAAGCAACTCGATCGAGAGCCTCCGCTCCGCACCTTCAGCTGCAGCTCCACCTCCCCTCTGGTTTCCAACTCAACTTTCCGTGCCTCTGTCTCCTTCCCCGTCTTTCGTCCGTTCTTATATACAGGCGATTATACCGCATGCCTGGTATTCTCGCAGCTTTTTAAAGGCCTCCGATAACCTCCGCAATCCCCCTCATCCTGTGCTGCTGCCACCACCACCACCACCATGTCCAAGTCCACCAAATACCTCCTCGTCTCTCTCCCCACCTCCATCACCCCTTCCCACCACCGCGACGACGCACTCGACGCCGTCTCTACCACCGTCGCTCCTGAAAATGGCTCCGTCGCCCCGTTCCCCATTCCTGAATTCAAGATCGGTACACTGGATGCCTTAGTGCAACAGGCCGATGAGTTGGCCAAGCTGGAGGCTGCCTGCCAGGGGGTCGTCGCCAAGGTCGGCGATGCGCTGAAGAACATTCTGGAGGGCGACGAGGCGCAGATCGACAAGATGAAGACCGTGAACGATAGTATGGGAACCCTTCTTACTGGCCTTGTCATGACACCTTTCTTGGAGGAACGTGCCCGACTAACGCAATGACGCAACCTACAGAGCCGGTGGACCAATATCTACGCACATTCTCCTGGAACAAAGTCAAGTATCGAGCCGATAAGCCTCTCGGGGAGTTGATTGATTTGCTACAAAAGGTCGGTAGTGTTTCTGGTTCTGTGTCAGGGTGTGAACATGAAATATGGAGTCGGGCAATCGCTGAGACCTGGAGCAGGAGGCCGCCAGTATTGATAACGATATTCGCACGAAATATACCCAGTACAACCAGGTAAAGAATACACTGGCGACGCTTCAACGGAAGCAGACGTGAGTTATCCTCTTCCTGCTACGTCTTTTCTTCAGTGGTCAGGCTAACTTCGCCGGTAGAGGTAATCTGTCCACTAAGTCACTCGCCTCGGTCGTCGACCCTCGCATCCTCGTCCAGGATTCTGAATACATCGAGACGCACCTCATCGCTGTGCCCGCCCAGCAGATCAAGGAATTCCTCAAGACCTACGAGACTGTTGCTCCGATGGTGGTGCCGCGGTCGGCCACACTGGTCGCCTCGGACAACGACTTTACCCTGTACGCCGTCACGACGTTCAAGAAGCACAGCGTCGAATTTGTACACAAGTGCCGTGAGAGCAAATGGATCCCGCGCGACTTCAAGTACGTGGCCGGTGGCAAGGAGGAGGAACGGAGGGAGGTCGAGCGCGTGGGCGGCGACGAGCGCAAGCTCTGGGGGGAAACGCTCCGGCTGGGCCGGACGGCGTGGAGCGAGGCGGTCATGGTCTGGATCCACGTGCTGGTGCTGCGGGTGTTTGTGGAGACGGTGCTCCGATACGGGCTGCCGTTGGACTTCGTCTGCACTTTGATCCGGGTAAGTGTTGTGGCGGTAGTCACCACCAGCAGATCACTAATGGAGTTACAGACTACGAGCTCAAAACAAGCGGACAAGGCGAAACACAACCTGGACGACAAGTACTCGTACCTGGCGGGCAATGCATTCGGACGCGACAAGAAGGGACGGGTGAAGCGCGATGATCCGAGCGAGATGCACGGTGAGGGTGCTGCAGCGGCGGACTACACAGCATATGTGTATTATGACTTTGAGTTCCAGTGATTGGGGTCATTGTCAATTGTTCTCGTTTTCTGTCTGGTTGTGCGTCTTCGTGTGAATATGTATAGCGTACATAGAGTCGAATGCATGCTTATCGAGCCAAGTTAGCGTGTTACGGATTCATTTTCATTTTCCCGCACTAGTAAATAAGTATCATACAGAACTTCAACGGTCTAATTCGTTCTTTTCTATGTGGAGGTGTGTCACAATCTGCAATCAATGCAAGACAACAAAATCGACAGAAACAAGTGAAAGATTCTATAATTGCACACTTCGCCCATGGGATCGGGAATCCTCATCCATCAACTCAACCCCTCGCCGAATGCCCCCCTCCCACGTTCCAACAAAAAAAGTCAAAAGTCTAAAGTCTAAGCAGACTTAGGAGGCAAATACCCCTTCGAATCCAGGTACTCAATAATCTGCCGCACCGCCTCCTGCACCGGCACCTCATGGTTCTTGATGTGCACCTCGGGCTTCAGGGGCGCCTCATAGGGGGCGCTGATTCCCGTGAACTCCTTAATCACTCCTTCGCGCGCCTTCTTGTACAGCCCCTTGGGGTCGCGCTGCTCGGCCACCTCAACCGGCACATCGACGTACACCTCCACGAACGGCAGGCCGGTCGCCTCACCCGGCGTGGGCACCTCGTGCAGCTGGCGCGCGGTGTCACGGTCCTTGCGGTAGGGGGAGATGAACGAGGTGATGGCGATGCTGGCGCTGTCGGCGAACAGCTTCGCCACCTCTGCGATGCGTCGGATGTTCTCGTTCCGGTCCGCCTCGCTGAACCCCAGGTCCTTGTTCAGGCCGAACCGGATGTTGTCGCCGTCCAGGCGGTAGGCGTGCACCCCGCGGTCCCGCAGCAGTTGGTGCTCCAGCTCCACGGCGAGGGTGGACTTGCCGGAGGCGGAGAGCCCCGTTAGCCAGATGGTGAGGCCTTGTTGTTGGCGGAGGGAGCTGCGCTCGCTGCGGGTGAGGGCGCTGGCGTGGTAGGTGATGTTGCTGTAAGTTGGTTTAGTATGAGGGGGACTCTTTTTGGGGGGGGAAGGGGGGTTGTGTACGTACGTGGCCATTGTGAGGTTTGTGGGGGGAGGGAGGAGGAGGATTTGGGATGGAGGATGTGGTTAGAGGAGGGGGTTTGAAAGAGAGAGGAAGTTGGAAGAGGAAGAGTCAGAAAAGGGCGAAACTGGGCTATTGTTGTTCTCCGACTGTAGCGGGCCCCGCCGATCGCGGGGTGGATTGATTTTGCTAAATTGCGTTATCGCTAAGCGGTGAGCCGCTGGCGAGGTGTTATTGGCTACCCGGTTCCAGGGATGGGCTCCAGGTACGGCTTCGAGTTTATAAGGGATTACGTATGCCCTCCTGCCACGGAACATTCTGGGCCCCCACCGCGTTCACTGTGTACGAAGCACGACTCAGGGGATCATCTTTAAGGGATTGTTCGATATATTGTGTATGCATTATGCTTGTGCATGTTCTATGCAATGACTGAGATCTATAGGTCTATCTACTATACTACGATGGCATGATCCTTCACTGCTGCGCCAATTCTATCACCCGCTTCGCCGCGGCCTCGAATTCGTCAAATGCCTCTAGCGGCAGTCCACTCTCCGCGATCTGCGACCACCAAGTCAGCGAATGCTCCGCAGTAACTACTTCACATGATGCAGGCATTCATTCACTCACCATGCGCTGTCCCTCTTGCTCATTCGTCCCCCGTAGTCGCACGACTATAGGAATGCGAACATCCATGTCCTGGAACGCCAACAGAATACCCTCGGCAATCATGTCGCACCGCGTCAATCCGCCAAAGATATTCACAAAAATGGCCTTGACGCGCGGGTCGGACAGGATGATCTGAAACGACGCCTTGACTGTCGCCGACGTCGCCTTGCCGCCGGTGTCCAGGAAGTTGGCGCAATGGCCGCCGTGCATCGTTAACGCGTCTACCGTGTTCATGGCCAGCCCGGCGCCGTTCACTATATGTGATTAGTCGGTCTCTATGATGTGAAAAGGAGAGAGAGCTTCTCCTACCAAGGGTTCCGATGCTTCCCTCTCCATCTAGTCTGTGAAAACGTTCAGTATCATGTGCTCAGCCGGAAGGTGCAGGCATAACTCACTTGACGTAGACGATACCGTCTTTCTCCGCCAGGACCTCTTCAGGTACCTCCTCCGCTGGGTTTCTCAGACTTTGGATATCTTCTTGTCGTCCAGAACTGCGGAATGCGGCATCGTCAAATCCGAAGCGTGCTTCTCTTACCTCCAAAGCATCTGTGGAATTGGCTCGGACTTCGAGGAGGTACGCTTCCTTCTCTGTGAAGATCTGCCACAGCGCGCGCAGGAGCTCGGTCAATCTCTCTTGCTGCGTGGATGGAAGTCGGAGGTGAGAGGCGACGGCCTGGGTGAGAGGATTTGTGCTGCTAAAGTCTGCATTCTGGAAAGGGAAAGGAAACCGGCCTGTGTGTTCGGGGTTAAAAGCAGCGGTCGAAGAGGCCAGGATACATGGAGACAGTGCGGTTCTGTCTACAGTCAGAGCCAGGAAGAAGTCCGCGTCCGTTGAGGCAGCCTCCTTGACCGCAATGGACTTCTTTCGGAGCATGTCAAGGGCTTGGAACGGCTTCACGTAGAGATTTCGGGCTTGTTGCTGTTGTCGTGCGCTATGGTTGGTGGAAAGAGAAGCCCTTCTCAGTGTATGGAAGCCTCTTTGTTGGCTTACTCCTTTGGTAAACTTGAACACATGAGCATATCAATCATGACCTGACGACCGCACGAACTTACGTTGGCACTCTGGGCTCGTCCTCGGCTCTCCAGGAGAGTCTTCATGCCCGGTCCGAACTTCTCAGGGTGGTTCACCATGACTGCACCGGCACTCTCGAGCGCCTGATACTTGTCTCGGGCGTCGGGCTCCCCGGGAGCGGTCCAGGCACCGGCATGGCCCATCACACGTCCTGAGGGCGCATGTTGGCCTCCAACTAAAGCCATGATGGGTCTATGATCATGGTCAGCATGTACAAGAAGCTCAGCTCAACCCCGCCGATGAATGGCACACATACTTGGGGTTGGTAGTTCTTCGGTGATAATCACGGATCCACTCGGCGGCGTCCATCTCCGCTGTGCCGCCGATTTCTCCGACCAGAACAATCCCCTCAGTCTCGGCGTCACTCTCGAAGGTCTCCAGAGCATCAACGAAGTTTGTCCCAGCCAGCACATCTCCTCCCATACTAATACAAAGAGTCTGGCCCAAGCCTGCCCGCGTTGTGGACGCAGCAGCCTCATAACTCAAGGTACCCGACTTGGCCACAATACCAATCTTACCTGGAGTAAAGCACGGCAACGGCTGGAAGCCAATGCGACACTTCCCAGTCACCGAGATGATGCCTGGACAGTTTGCTCCGACCAGCCTCGTCTTTGATTGCGTTTTGAGCATTGAGTGCACCTACAGACAATCAGTCGGCGATACCTCTAGGAACAGTATAAGGAAGCCCTTACACGTAGCATATCATGAATCGGCACATGCTCAGCAACAGCCACAACCAGTGGCACCTCGGCTTCGATAGCCTCTTCAATGGCTGCCGCCGCCGAGCCGCCAGGCACGTAGACAGCGGACGCATCCACCCTCACATTCTGTTGTGCCTACAGCTTGTTATAAATGCAAGCTCAGCTCGACCTCACAATACAACAAAGGCCACCAATACATACCTCTCTAACGGACCGAAACACCGGAAGCCCCAGATTCTCCCCCCTAGCATTCTGCTTCACCCCACCGACAACCTTGGTCCCCCAAGCCAGAGACTCTCGTACATTGGCCGTCGACTGCGCAAAATCATCAGCACTCACTTAGCCAACCTCTCCAAAAAGCCTAGCAGAGGAACCATACCTGTCTACCTACAATTGCACCAGTCAGTCAACCACCCTCTGACCATTAACTGCATACGAAAGCGGCACACGTGACCTACCCGGAAACCCCTGGAACAAGACCTGAGTATGCGCTCCAATCCGGAGGTTCGGCAGTGTCGCATAATTATCGGTGCGCACTGAGGTTGAGAATTGATGTGGCCGAACAAGTGGTGCTTTGAGTTGTTGGAGCGTTGCCCGCCGCGCGGGGAGGGAGCATAGGCGAGTCATCATTCGGTTGCGAACTTACTTAGTAGGTTGGGTGGGTACTGGCTGGTCAAATGGAGCTCGACTCGTCCCCTAGAACCTTTTGGAGTTGAAAAACGTAGTCTGGATGCTGTAGCGGGTTATAGAGTAGATCAACTCCCCTTTTGATACGTAGGGGGAAAGGAAGAGAGGGAGAACAGCCGCCTCGGAGGATTGAAGCCCCTCTTTAAGAATGTCACTGCCGATCTCTGACCTCTGACCTCTGACCTCTGACTTTCCTCGTTACAGGTTTCCGAGGTCGCGGGTGGGGACCCCGGGAAGGGGAAAGAAGGCTTTCTGATTGGGTTTCTCGGAAGTTTTCTGGTGGTGTAGTGCGGGTTCTCGGGAATGACGGCAACCGTAGGAGATTGGCAGTAAGTATCGTGCGACGAGGAATAGGTGACGGCCGAGTTTACGTGAGCTTGTGTGTGGTGTTTACCGCCACTCCCTTACCGCGCGCATGTGGTCTTGATTACGAACGAATTAAGTTATTGTTCTTCAGCGATGGATGGTTGTTTAGTTGTCTAATTCCTGGGATAGATTGTCGGCCATCAATGCGCTACTGCTATCCACAGCCGCTCAAGAGCTACTGCTCTTGCTGGCTAAATCCCTTCTGAGAAATCGACTCGATATGAAATCGATTGTATAAAGTTCTTACATCGTGTAAATGATATATAATCCAAAGTATGGAGGAAAATGACGAAGGAGTGAGTAAAGGGGTCCAACTGGTAGATGTTCCGGAGGACGATCATGGCGCTGAAGAAACATAGCGAAAAATAAAGCATCCAGTTCAAGCGAAGGGTCGACGTTCATCTTGTTCTCAGGCCTGGAGTTACGGACGGGGAAGACGACTGCGCACAGAGCGTATATGCAGAAAACCCACCAGGATTGTGGGTCTGGGCGAAATTGATCGCGGAGGAGGTATCTACATACAGAGCCCGCCAACCACAGTAGCGAGTCTGAACCGGTGTTTTGTGCGCACACAATTCTCCATAGTACCTTATCCCATTCTAATTGGTTCTTATACGGTGCCACTAATTAATTTCTGGACTTCTTATGATTGGGAAAACTAAGGTGGTAGGGGTAGTTCTTGGGGATGCAGAAAGAAAATCAGAAAATCTCAGAATTATGAGGGAGGGGGACGGTGCACTGTGTTGGAACATTACAATTGCGGCGCTTCATATCATTATTTGCAAGCTGGATATAAAGCTGGGAAATTCAAGTGCTAGCTTATTGCCTTCTTTTCGTAGAATAAGTAGGTGTATTTATTGCGAGTTGGCAAAGTCCTTTGCCTTGACATTACCCACAGGGAACATGCAAAGACGAAAGCACTTAATGAAAGCCTTGGTCGACATCAAAGCACCTGCCACTTAGAAGAAATTACACTTCGGATTTGCTTAAAGAAAAGCGCCTTAGTCTGGTCTAGCATATCTTCAAGAACACTAAAATCATCTCTTAAGCTTCACAGGTCATTTAAGGTACCTCAATTAAAATAAGAAAGTCTTGTTATTCCTTTCACTTTATATGTCTCGAACATGGTGTCAACCTTTTTTATATAATGATATCTCATTTAAAATTCCAGTGTTAGATCTGTTAAAAACCCCCAAGTCCCTAAGAGAAAGGTAGGCCATCGGTAATTTTACCTCAAGCCGTTAGAAAAGAAAAGCAGCAAAAGAAAGATAAATATCAATGTCCAATGACTTGAGCCAATTTATGCTAGTTTTCGCTCCCAGAAGCCAAGAGTCGTTGAGGTATATCTCTATACCCTTATGAAGCCATGGATCGGAACCATCGGAAATTATAACATGCAAGTGTTGGTAATAACAGCCTGAAGAGTGTTACCAAAGAACAAGGAGGTTTGAATACTGAATAGAAGAAGCTACCAACCTCAGCACAACCAGATAACCCAATGCTCAGGGAAATGAACAACTCCAGGAGCATTCATGACGAGGAACACACCCGCCTCGATATCAAAATTCGGGATATACTACTTAGCCGACGCCGATCAATACAATCAAATTTTTTAACTTTCCTTGCACTTGCTATTCAAATAAATAGGACGACTTGAATCTCCCCTCCCCTTATGTGGTATCTTGAGCTGCGGAAGGCCCTATACCAGGCAACAACCACAAAATATCAGTTACGATTCTGCTGCCTTCCCGCCAATTCAAGCCATTTATTGCAGTTGCCTAGCGCCGGGTGTTTTGTCTTTCTCATCATATCCAACTAGGGCAACTAACTTAACCGCAGGGCCAATTACATAATCATTGCTAACCTGATAAAATCTTCAAGTACCGAACAGAGCCGAATATAACTTATCATCCCTTCTAGCCTGAATATAACATTGACCCTTGAAGCTTATTGGTTTAAATTTCCCTAAGATGCACAACCCCTTCAGGCCGACATCTCCACGGCATTCCGGCGGGGAATCCTTAAACGGCGCGCTTTGGCTACCACTAGATAGATGTGCCCACAAGTTGACTTCAAGCTCCTTCGCTTCCATCAGATATTTTCTATATAGAGAGTGATATAGTCTGAGTGACAGTGACGGAGTATACATCGAGGACCATAATTACCAATGCAAGGTTGTATTGACTGCAGCAGCGACACCGAGTACTCTTTTCTTGCCCTAAGTGCGAGGGGCCGACAGTTTTGCCTTTAGGTCTAAGGGTCCTAGGGTCCTAGGGTCCTGGGTCGGAGTGGGGTCAGGGATCAAGTGCAGCTGGATGGAGGACTTCGTTGGTGATGAATGCTAGACTAATACATGTAGTCTACTGTGGGTACTGTGGTTAGCCTACCTGTACATAGGCCCAGCTGTGCACGCTCCTAAATAGGTATTGTATGTGGACCGCGGGATCATTCCGGACGGGGCCCAGCGGGGCCCGGATAAGGCGTCGCATTTTCCGACAGCCAAGTCGTTTGGCAGACAGGCAGGAGTTAGGGGCCTCATGGGTCCGGCCAGGAGCCTGATCGATATACATCGGAACCTGCTGGTTCAAGAACCGCGCAGTCTGGGTGGGTCCTTGCGTGGAGCTGAACATTTGACTACCCATATAGTGTACCCAGTAGCCAATTAGTGTAGCCAGCGTTGGGGAGGGGTGGTTCTCGAGGAGACTTAGAGAGCTTGAGTGAGACAAAATCTAAGACAGCAAGCAGCAAGTATCAGCCGAGGGATTAACTTGCATTCACTGGTGAGGGAGACTCTCGAGGCACTTCCAACTTACCTTACCCGTCGAGAACGAAAGGAAGCGTTATACAAAGCAGTAGAAAAGGCTCCAATTTTCCTCTCTGCTGTACGTCTGTGCTATCCTTCCATCGCATCTCACTCTTACCCTCTGTTCAATCTCCCGGACTCTGCTCCATGTTGGTCTCTGAAGCACGCCTTGCTCGTTGTTGTTGTTTTTCAATCCTGGTCGCCTCCCTCTGCTGGCTCTATGTTGCTTATAAAGGCTTCGATCCTGACGTTAAGTTTATTCTCTGGACTTTCGTCGGCCCAGCCTTCTACGCCACCTTCGGATGGCGATGGCCTACAGTTGATCGACGGGCAGCGTCTGCCTGATTTCTGGTATGCCTACGATCTCGACGACGCCAGTGCCTTGGCTCTTCCCAGCCTCGAGGCAGCATATGAGCAAAACCCCAACTTGACCACCAACAATTTGGCCGTCCGTGAGCCCGTCCAGGTCTGTGAAAGCAGCCTCTCCCGCATGTCCCAATGCTCGACCATTGCAGGGTTTGCCTTCACCACGACCGCGAGTATTGCCGCAGCGATCTGGGCTTGGTCCCACCAGAAAGATTGCACCTACCACTCTGGCACGATTGAGGGTTGGCAGTACGAGTTCCATGCCACTGGGCGGAATTGCGACACCACCGCCCAGCAAAAAACCATCCAGGGTGCCATATACCACTATCTTACCGCGATCGAGGGCAACACTGTCTGCGGCACACAGTGTCTGTCACTAAAGCACGGAGGCAGCTATGCCGGCTACCTGAAGATCGGCAAGGTAGGCGTCTTTGACTCCGCCGCTTATTGTGGTCCAACCCTGCATTTCGAAAATTGTGCCTCAGGTGGCGTGAACAGCTTCTAAGGGAGTCTTCTTTCTTGTTCTCCACGTTTTCATTGGAGCTATAAGAGAGTGATGGCGATAGAAGGTGGAAGAAAGAGGAGAGGGACTGGAGGTGGTTGGTCTTTTGGGGGCCGGTGTGCTTGAGAAAGAGTAGGAGGGGCTGTGGGAATCAGCCTATCTATATAGTAACTAGTACAACTGAGTCTTAAGTAACTTCTTCTTCAGATAGCTGGTATTCAGCTTTCTAATAGTACAATTACTACAGTCCTTTCCTCTGGTATACTATATTACTATTAATATAATCCTCTGGGGTATAATTCTCACCTGTATAACAGTGTACCACTTGTTCGCGGTGCTGATAATCCACTATAAGTTTCTGGGGTGACTAAGGCAGTAATTATATCTATATAGATAGTCTTTACATCACAGTAATATTATAAGAAGAAGTAGATATTCTAAGTTGGAGTATAGTTTACTATATACGGGTTCGCACAGATTTTTGGCAGATACATCGCGTACGAGATTACAATATAGATTAGGAATAGTACAGCACTGTATACTAGATGATAGATCATCTTTCTGATACTGGGTAGATTCACAGTACTTATAGATATAGTATTTCTCTTTCTTCTATTAGATTCACCTATCATGGTGCAGTTTCTATCCCCTATAAAGAAGATACTGTATATAGAGCAGCTATATAGAAATATACCTTGAACGGTACTAAAGTCGGTGAGTTTTTACAATACTATCTGCTTTGAGCACTCTCTGATCTCTGAGATGATGATGTATATAGGTTCCGAGGTGGATGGTATTGCAGGGCAGCTTTATCCTACGGTCTCCTTTCAAAGCGGTAGAACATGGTCTCTTTCTCGCGTGAAAGCAAATTTTGGGCCTGTTTTCAAATTGCCGCCCGATGGAAGGAAAGGGGGCTCTGAAATGGAGGGAAATGGCGCTTGAGATCAATAACTCATCAGTCATGGAAACATTTAGGTCGGTTCTTGGATCGTTATAGCTCTCTCTTCACGTCGAATTGGGACATTCTAGATATCTTTGTGCCTTTCGATGCAGGAGGTCACTAGTGCTGGATTTGGCGATAGATGTGTCAATCTTATATCTGTGAGGATAGTCGTAGGAGGTAAATGATGCCAGTTAAGTCTTGGCTATCATTTTCTTTCTACATCCCCAAGAAGACGGTGGTGTTACTACATAAGATTACTGACCTGGTAGTTTGACTTGGACTTTGAACTTTTATGCCTGCTTGATAGTTCTTCCACGAACACTTGGAGAAAGCCTACACTTGTGCCAACCCAAGCCACCGAACGCGTAGTTCTGCCGTGTTGTTGGGGGTTGTAAAAGTATAGTAAAGAGAATAGTCACTATACTCGCAGTCACTTCATTAATCGGACCGAAAGCCATGCCGCCAGATAAGATCGAAACATACAATCCATACTAGTCAAAAGTGGTAGAACACTAACACACCACACCAAAACTGCTGTTTGGAATCTTTCTTTTTCAACAGACTTTCTTGATTCAGTGATAAGCGATAAGTATTACTAGATCTTTTCGGTAGACCAAATTTCTTACCAAATACTAAGTCTTGATACAACAAGACTACTACTGTACCAAGAATGCCGTTTCCAGAAATACCAACCAGTATTATACACTTAGATTGACAAATTGCTAGAAGGCACACATTCAAGCACAAAGTTGCCACAGACAATTCTATCACTAGAGTAATCCAATCCATGACTACTAACTTCAGTCAGCAACTGTTCTGAGTCCCCATACATCATACATAAAGTAAAGCTTCTTCAAATACATTGTGTAAATAATGATTAACAATCACTGGCAGGTACTACTATTAGACGACTTAGAAGACCCTATAGTTACAGCGTGACTATCACTGAGTACAAGAGTTAACTTTGAGAGTGAAATATATTCATATGACGCCTTGATATGGCTTAGAGGTGGCGTTTGAATATGCGTTGTTGATTTCTTAGATGGTTGTTTTAATGAAGAATTTAAACTGACAGGAGCATGGGATAAGTATACTCGGAATCACGTGGCCGGATTATCGCCACGCCGACAAATTATAAGCACGGTATTACAGCAAGAATCATCTATACTACACCTCAAAGCTTCAAAACTGCTACTTATATCTAAGTCAGCATTATACTTAACTCAACAGTAGACCAGAGTACTGAGTAGTGAGCCCTAATTAGTCCCACCCACATTACTAAGTTTCAGAAGACATAAAATAGCACCACAAATACTATGAACTTAGTCAAGAAGATAATATACTATGTTACTCAGGCAACGCAATAGAGCACAAATAACAAGCGATAAGAAGAATCACTTCAATTAAGTAAGTAATTACAACTTCAGATGATGTGCCATTAGTACAGCTGGGAATCCAAGTACATCGTGAGTCTTTAGTTCTAGTGCAGAGAATATTATATTATTAGTAATCAGAGTATAACAAGCAGTAGTTACGTAGTTAACTAACTAGTTAACCAGTTAACTAACAACTATACATTATAGTTAGTGTCGCGGCTTTTGCTTACCTACATCATTTTTTTTGCTTGCAGTGGTCATCTTTTGTTAGCAAAAGTCTGATTATTCCCTGCGCAGCCCTGCTTACTCGTTACAAGCCTACCCTGAACACGTCAGTCGGAGAGTCAGGGACGTTGTAGGCTAGACAGAGGGACGGGGTAATGAAAGCCGAGGAGAGATAAGGTACATCGACAATATACTTTCTACAGAGGCTGGGAAAATCCAACTGATATCCTTTACCGCAATCAATTAGAAGTCATAAAAGGTGAACCGCCTCGCTACAGAACTTCCAAGACGGACAGAAAGAGCAAAAAGCACTTGGATTCCATCCCATGCTATACAAGTATCAACCATCCAAGCAAGCAGTGACTCACCCGGGCTCCGCAATGAAGGAAGAAAACTCATCTGTTCAGGACATAGTTTCTATTCTCGGCCAAACTCATGTTAGTAGCTGGCAAATGCCACGTCCCAAAAGACTCCCTATTCATGTGGCCAAAGCCCGTCGAAGCGGGTTTTTGCAAGCGCCGCCTCCGTACTGAACACCATTTTGCGCCGTGTTTTCTCGCCTCTTCTTCTTTTCATATGCGACGAATTTAGGAAAAAGACAGGGGGCCGAGAGAGAAGTCGGAGAAGAGAGGGGAAGCGGAAAGAAATAATTGGCTAATATTGAAGTAGAAGATTATGTATGAAAAGGGAGAAAGAGAAAAAGAGCCACGTTCATCATTATGCATCGGGATGGAAAAAAACAAGTGATCTATTTAACCACCGATCTGCTCCTGGTGGACCTCAAGGGTGTCTCCATCGGCCATCTCGAGCTATCAACGGGGAAGAAGTCAGCTTGGTATCTTTTATGTGAGATGGGGGCAAAAGAGAGTCGAGTTTGCGTAGGTGTTTATTGGCCAGAGGCGACAGCCTGAAAGCGCTGGCCCCCAGCCGGTGGGTGGCGCTAAGGGCGCGAATAATGGACAAAAGTAAGGAAGAAGGCGGCACGTACAGTGTCTGGCGTGTCTTCAGGACGCACACGGGTACCGTCGAACAGAAAACGGACCGTTGAAGGCTGTTTACCCTGGCGATCGCAGAACGCATCCATCAACTTCTTCAACTGGGTTGACCGCTTGATCTTGAAGAAGACCTCGTTGTTGTTGTCGGTGACTTTGATGTTCAGGTGCTCGGCGGGCGGGGGCGCGGCGGCGTCACCACCGGCAGGCGAGGCGTTGGCATCGGCCATCTTGCTGAGAGGTATGGTTATCCTGGAGGTGCGCTGGATTCTGTAGGCGACAAGGCAGAAGTCAGCGCTGGAACGGTTCCTGTCGCATGTAGAGCGGGCTTGCTCGGGGTTGAAAAGAGAGAGAGATGTGATGGGAGGATGAGGAGATAAAATCTTACTGCTGGAGATTTTGGGTTGAAGAAGGGCTGATGATGAAATATAGGAGCTCAGGTTGAGATTGTGGAGAAATAGAGAGGCGAAAGAGAGGGAAGCGCTGAAGAGAAATAGATCGGAGTTAATGGGATAGAAGGCGATGGCAGAAGCAACCTTCCCCCACCGCTGATGACCGCCGGAGAATCTATTATTGCGGCGCAGGTCCAATCGGCCGGAGCAACACTGGATAGGCGGACTCGACAACGCGATGATACCTCAGTGAATGACATTGCTTTCCTTCTTGATTTTTTCAACACCGGGAACTCGAGTTTTGTTGTATCTTTTTCTATTATCTTCCATGATTCTGCTTTCAATTGTTTCTGAATCCTGATTTGCCGCCCGCTTGCTGTTTTCCGTCAGTTCTTGCACTGTGAAGTTATTGCTATATATCATTGCGTCATGGTAGGCGGATCACAATGTCACAGTGAATATGCCTTCAACAAGTTCATTGACGGTCGACAGGGCGGACTCAAAGAGGACCTAGCATATGACCCTCCTTGTCATCCACGCGCAGTAAGTTATCTTCCAAGAAAGATGTGAGAAACGTCTGTTGACAAGCCGGAGTGTGCCATACAAGGTAAATCACTCGAGTCTTTGTTTAGGGCAAATGTCACTGATCGAGACCTGTCAGCCTGTCTGACCAAGAACTCATACCAGGAAGAGAAGTGCCAGTCGCAGATTAACGCTCTTTACGAATGCTGCAACTCATTCTACAAGGAGCAAGGTGAAGACGCAAAGACCCCTAGCTGTCCCAAACCCAGTCTACTGCGACTGCGGATGAAGCAAAAAAGCCAGGAGTCCTAGCTGCATGAGCATCTTCTTAGACCCTTGTTCGTGCCTCGAGTACATGTACATACTACTAGAGACCATCCCTGCAGATACTGTACAGAGCCCAGTTCATGTGTTCTACTGTAGAGGCGAAGATCCGGTCGAAGCATCGAAGCTGAATGTGACAATTCCTTTGCAGTCTGAGCTCTCATGTAAAAGTGAAGAGCTAGGCTAGTTGTAAGAACTGCCAACTTCCTCTAAGACAATCGTGAGCACGCAAAGAGGCCGATTGACCTGGACGAATATTGAAAACTCTCGCCCCGAGACTCTAATGACTGCCTATATGACATTTGTTGAGAGAAAAGAAAAAAGAAGAGGAAAGCGAGAAAAAAAATCACGGTATTTCAATGCGCGGGTGTGTCTCCGCTAGACCTGATTAGGGTTAGTATAGCTCGGGCGGTCAGTCTCACCAAATACAGCAAACACGCCAAACACAAGGCGGCCAAGAAAGAAGGCCTGTAAGAAAGTGGAAATGAACTTGAAGTTCCAGTTCTTCCCCAAACCGTGCTTGGGGAGCTTCACGCCTATCCCGCATACAATCCACCACCCCCATCTATCCACCCCATCACTCCTACCACAAACTAGAGTCGCATCAAGAATAATTTGTCAATTCCTTGGTCGCGCTCATGGCTCCCCTGACCAGGGTGTCGGGCTCGGGCGCCCCGACCGGGTTTACCTCCGTCAATGTAAGTGTTCCTGTGGTTTTGTTGACACAGCCGGCCAGGCGGTGCGCTGACACACAGCTTTGCGATGTCCAGCCCCATCAACATGCGCCCGATGATACGGACGTCATCGAGATTATTGATGACGACGACGAGCCTATGGATGAGGGCGAGGATCTCGAATCCAATGACAATGAAGAGGATATGGAGCAAGCCGAAGAGGAAGAGGAAGAGGAAGAGGACGACGGAGAAGAAGAAGAAGAAGAAGAAGAAGAAGAGGAGGAGGAAGAAGATTACGATGATGGAGAAGACGGGTCAGAGAACAACTCCGCCGAGGATTCGAATAGCAGTGAATCGCCTTTGGAACTCAGCCCCCCTCCCACCGCGCAGTCCGGGATAGACATGATGCCTGTCGATGGGCAAGTGGATGGCCGCGCGTTGAACGGGAGTGCTGATGCTGCTACACCGGAACTATTCACCTCAGCAGGTGCAAAGAAAGCTATGGGTTCTCTTCGCCATACTGCGGACCGTGTGACGCGTCAGATCGAGGACTTCGCAGAGAGGCTGGATCGCTTCAAACGGCGGGGAAGCCGGGCGGATGAACTCGATGACTACAAGGCTGCCTACCAGCTGGTGAGAAGCTACCAACAGCTCGCGCACGAAGAGCACCAAGCGATTGAAAAAGAAGCCACCTTGAAGCGCGCAAAGCTGGGGTTTGGCGCCAACCGGGTCGACGGAAAGAAGGATCCCAAGACAGAAGAAGACTTGGCGCGAATGAAACTCGAGGAAAACACCTGGCAACTATTCTGCAACCTCATCACTGTTGCCACCCCAATCCGTGTCGCCAAATCGAAAGAGAGACAGGCAACTGCCTTCCAGAACCTGCACCGCTACTCAACAGACCGTGAAGTTTGGGAACAGTTCCTCGACTCGGACGCATACGCGGTAGAATGCGTGGTGATTCTGAAATGGCTCGAGTACACCGCCAAGCATTCATCTTCCCCCAAGGATATCGACAATCTGATCGCGAAGCTGGAAACGCAAGCCGAGAGAGGCCAGGGATCTTGGTCTTTCGGCTGGCTTTACACCAAGGAGACGATCAAGGGACACAAGCGATTACGAGCCTGGCCTCAGCCCCTGGAGCCTAACGACGCTGGAATCACCGCTTCGCTGTTGAAGTCAGATGACTCAGAACCCTTGGTCACGCAGTTGGATCCCGATGCGGTCACACGACAGAAGCAGAATCTCCAGAAACAGGACCAATACTATGAACGTGCCACCTGGATGACATGTTGGAAGATGCTTAGAGAGGGCGAGAACTGGTCGAAGATCCGGGACTGGGCCGCAGAAAGGCTGGAGCCCTGGAGGGCCGTCAGCATCTGCGGCTCTAGTGTTGACATGAAGGCTCACAGGGGACGGACTCCTGTCGACGACGGGCACACACGCTTCATGAATTGGCGGTCTCAGGAGTCTTGGGGTGCCGCCTGCAGTGCTCTTGCGCGGAACCCAAAGATCGAAGACTTTGAGCGAGCCGTTTATTCGTTGCTTTGTGGCGAGACAGAAGCCGCCTTCAAGGTTTGTCAAAATTGGGATGATTTCCTTTACGTTCATTTCAACCGCGTTGTAATCTCCCGCTATCAAGGATTCTGCAAACAGTTGCAACGGAAGTTGAGTCATTCGCCCACTGCGCCAGTGGCTTTTGTTGCAGAACCCGCAGGCTATGATGAAGTGAAAAAGTTCATTGAATACACCAGAGGACATGAACGCGTTGGCCTCGAGGCTCGTAACCCATACCGCACTATTCAAGCAGCCATCTTGTCCCGCGGGTATGACGAGTTCTTCTGGACACTGGCCCATGCAGTCTCACAGGCCGCAAATGACGCAGCGAAAGGCTCATCTCTGGTTCCTGAATTGTCGTTTGTGGAGGTAGAGAAGAGCCTGCTGATTACGGCCAATGACCGCGATGCCTTACGGATTGCAACTCATCTGCTCATTATCACTCGGCGCCTTGGACTGGTACGATCGGACACCAGGTACCACGAAGACACGTCTGTCAATCTCATTGGGTACATCTCCAACCTTGAGGACGCTGGCGTTGTGGAACTTATCCCTCTTTATGCCTCGCTTCTTCCAGCTCACCTCATGAGAATTGCTCTGGCACGGGTTCTGATTGAGATCATTGACCGATCTAGACGGACGCGTCTGGTCGAAGTCATGGAGAAACATGGAATCAATGTCGAAGAGATTTTGGAGACCCAATGGGAGTATGTAAGCCAAAGAGTGTCCGCTATCGACCATTCGCGGACAACGAAGCAAACCTCTAAGGTTGTGACACGACATGATGGCGATCGCGAATTGGTTATGCCTAGGCATGACTATATCGGAACCGAGATCTCCGACATAGATGAACGAGTGATTCGCAGTCTTGAATGGCTCCGCCATGTGGACGGACAATGGGGCAGGATCTGTCAGCTCGGATCCCAGGTATACCGGCGATTCTATCGTATGTTTGCCGTCTCCTACGGTTCCATCTACCATTGATTGTCATGCTAACAAGGCTGTAGTATCCGGGAATTTGGCAGCTGCGAGGCAATTGAGCAAGCGCATGAATCTTTCTGCCATTTCGCGAGAATCCTTTGGATTTGATGTGGCGGCCTATGCGTTCGATCTCGCATACGGACAGGAGCCTACTGGCTCGGAGCCTTCCAGCCCCATCAAGAGCAGACTGTTTAATTCTCCCCACAAACGGAGTCGCTCCAAGACAAACGGCAAACCAGCTGTGGGTGACACCAACATTTTGCTACAACAGTCGCAAGTGATGCGTGACCTAGAAAGTTTGATTGTCGCGTTTGATGGGATGGAGAAATTCGCCCTCGCTATGGAGAAATATGATCGGTAAGTTTTGATGCTCGACCTTCGTGCAACTTCAGCATACTCATGAAACGATAGGACGAGACGTGGGCGGGACACCGGCGCCATCAAAGATCTTCGTGAACAGGTTCAAGATGCTTTGGATCTAGTCAGCATACCGATCGACCAGATGCTCGGCGAGTGGCTCGTCGGTGCTGAGACCGGTAAGCTCGCTCACATGTCCGACCCGATGATTCAAGTCCGACTGACTTTCCCCCCCTTACAGCGTCCGAGCAGGAAGAGTTAGAACAAATCCGGACCATGTACATTCCCGAGGTCTTCCTGGATTATCACAATGCTCTTTACTTCTCTGCTCGTGTTCTCAACAGCGAGCTTCTTGTGCAGTGCATGAACCTCGCGATCCAGGTTTCAGAGAACGAGCTGTTGACGCGCAGCTTTGTGGCCGCGCGCCGAATGCAAGAGCTGATGGATGCGTTGGCGTTGGCCAGCAAAGCCATGGTCAACACCCGAGCGAAGCCCGGGGTGAGACTCTTGGGAGGCGAACAGTTAGGGCTCTGGAACGTGGACACGACCGATGGGGATGAGCTCGACAGCAGCATGGTGCAGTGAAGTCACCCCCTATCTTAGACGTGTAATTACTACTCTTGTAAAATGGCACAAGAAATGGAACGACGGATTGGCATGATGCGTGTGTATGTACATTAGCCTCCTCTTTGCTTTTGTGTTTTTTTTTCTCTTTTGTGGTTCTGTCCTAGCTGTCATTCTATGGTCACGGTGAATATTTGCATGTACGCTGGATTGGGCCGGACTGGGACATTGAGCAAATGGCTAGGGAAGTCATTTTCAGGCGCATTTGACTAGGTAGGGTTTGCAATGCAATACGGGTCTGCTGAGTGGACGGGGAAGAATGAGATCCATCACATCCAGTACGAACTACTAAGAGTACTTGCTTGCCTTGATGTCCTTGTCATTGATGGCCCAAGAGCATATAGTCATCCGAACTAGTCAGTCGTAGAAGCCGTAGCCGCACATTCCACCCCCACAGCCCACAGCGCAGCATAGCACTAGTCGTTTTACCGAGTACTACGCGCAGTCGGTCAAATGTCTCCGAACAGGATCACGTCTCGGCTCAATCATCCCGTCAGATCTCTGCGATGGGGGTGTGTGTGTGTGTGTGTGTGTGTCTGTGTGGCTGTGAAAGTCAACGGGGGGTGACCGCATATCCCTTCTCCCAATCCGGGAGGGATTTAGGGTGGCATTAGTTTGTACTGTATCCCAAGCTTTCTTTGATAGTCACATACTAACTTCGGGGGAGCAGAGCAGATAACGGTAGATAGCTCTACCCTTGCATCATGCCTGTGTGTTCCTCCTGGTTCAATATCATCATGTGGTGTGTTTCTGTTTCGTTCTCCTGTCCGAAGATCGGTGGGGCCTACATCCATTTAAATAGATGAAAACTGTGCAGGGGAGAAGATACCTAGTATACTTTCTGTGGGGCGGGCGGGGGGGGAAGCTATAGGCTGTCTTGCAATAATCACAGCATGAATCCATACTCGAAAATGTCACGCCAGCTCATCACGAATGAGATGAGACAAACAACTCAACCAGCTGATTTCGTGAACCGGATCGGTCTAGGCGAGCGAACATCCTAACTTGCTGTGTTTACTGTGTGTGGTTCGGATGGATGAATGTTTTCCACCCACTTTGTTGCGCGGGAACCTCATGCCGCGACAACTGAATCAAGCTGACGACAGACACTGTGGCTATGCTTTGCGGTGAACCGGGCTCCAGTGGGGAGGTCGGAGGGAGGGGCAGTTGCCGAGTCTAGGGTTAGACTATGTACAGTATGTAGATACGTCGAGGTGTCGAGGTGACTGGGGAGGAGGGCTACAGTTTGCACCTACAGTACCTCTATCTGTGTTCTAGTGAGGAGGATAGATAGTTAGGGTATAGGACTGGCTAGTATTGTTGTGGTGGTATGGTCGAGGATAGAGTATTCAGTCCTCTAGGTCGTGTTTCGCTATGCTAGGGATTAGATTTGTTGGGTCTATGGTGAGTATTGTATGTCTCGATTGTCTGGATAAGGGAGATGGAGTTTGATGTCGCATGGGTGCGTATATGCGTAGCAGCTGAGATTGTGAGCCCGGGAGATAACTTAATGCTATCAAGTCATGATAGATAGAGCCACCAGAAAGTCGTTCAACGCTAAAAGAGTGCTAGGTACGGTATGAAATGAGAAAGACATGTGCTCATGCTGTCCGAACCATTTGATGTCATGCCGTCGTTAAACGCCGAACGAACAACACCCAAAGTGAAGCCAAAGGACATTTTCCAATACTCGGTACAGCGGAATCACATTCAATAGACCCAATCAGTGATAGGAGAAAAATGTGCATAGTAAAGCACTCAACCTTAATCTGCAATGATGTGGTTACTACGGAGTAACTTGCTAATCAGTGCGCAGAACCCGCGGTTGCGTAACTGAACGACGTGAATGGATGGGTCTCTTTCTCCCCTTCTTTGCACCGCCCCCTTGTGCCAAGGATGTCTATCCGCATCTGGATTCCATGCCCTGAGGACCGGTGGTGAGGACGGACTGCACTTGGGTTTCGGGCTCCCGGGGCGGCGTCGCCTCTATTTGGGTTGCAGGGGCTTGTCATTTTTTAGGGTAGAAGTCAGGTCAAGACTCAACCTGGCTGGATATCAGAAACTGGATTCTGTGCGTGCTGTAGTGGTTACTCGTTACTGAGTAGGGTTAAACATCATGGATGGGAGTACGGAGTAGTATAAAGCAGGATGTCTTTTTCCACTTTCTCCCTTCCCCCGTCTAGTCTAATAGAGGGTGGGTGGGTATAGCAATCTTGCAATCAAGGTGGGTCTTCCTCTACTGGTCATCGCAGAATATGGTGGCATCAAGTAGCGGTCATCATTATCGAGTATTGATTAACAACCCGTGACTGATCATCGAGACTGGAATGATCACTAGTGGTCGATAACTTGATAGAAGATAACTACTGAACCCAATGTAACAACTCTTTATACTTTGGTCTAGAGACTTCTATGCGCGGGGTGGGGAGTCAGGACCCAGACAGGGAGGGTCCTGACTCCCTTGGCTGGGGGAGATAATCAGTGGCCGGATTTCTCTCAGGACGCACGGAAGTTCGTTTGTCGGATTCGGAGAGCGTGAGGCGATAGTTAGTGGCAGGCAGGTACGTACAGGACCATCCCCGAGTACTTTGTACGGTACAATTAACTTGGCATGGGCAGAATCTGAACCCAGCTCGCTCTTTCTTGCCGACTACGAGGTGGCAAGGCAAAGCATTAGTAGTTAAGTCTAGTGATGCGAGCGCTAGCTGTGACCACTGAACCTGCTGGACGACTCGTCTCGTCCAGCATTGACAGTGCGACTAGGTTGATTACTCCGCTTTTCAATGGATGTTGTCATGGGGAGGGAGTTGAGGTTCTGGACTACTCCGTATTCCGTACTACAAACCGACATCATCCAACAATTTCAATCTAATTAAGCAAGATGAAAGTCGAAATTCTAGATACCGCGGCCCAGCCATGATAATGACATGAGTTAATCAATTAAAGTCCGGGATGAGAAAAAAAAAAGGGGAGACAGGAAGAATAGTTAGGGAAAAAAGGAAAAAAAATTACTTTGATGACGGGGAGTCGAGTGAGGCAGTGCAAACCGGAACCGACGAGTGAGGTTACAGCCCAGCCGGGGTGGGAGCTTCTGCAACAACTTCTCGTTATTGGGTAAGTAAGTTACATTAGTAGTTTGTACCCAAGCAGCGCGTCTAGCTGGAGTGGCAAGAAGAGGCGTGGTTGGGGGTACTCTCGTGGCTCCAGCCGACAGATTCCACCATGCTTACTGACCATCACAAGTATTGAAGATGAATGGGAGAATAGGTAGTGCTTCATTGTCCGCAAATATGTATACTTCCATTGCAATGGATGGTATCTGCAATCGAGAAGATGACCGGACCGTTTCATGGATGGAGCTGGGAATCTGGACCAATCCGTGGACCCTCCAGTGGATCTGACGGCGACTTACTTAGCAGCTGGATCTTCTGATTGGTGGTGGGAACGACAAGTGCAGGGTTCTCTTAAACCTTTCCGAGCACTAGTGGTATCATCTATGGTAATCTGGTTACCATACATAGTCCACAGAATACTAGCTGCTCCTCTTTCCTCCTTCCTTTTCTCCCCCCCCCCCAAAAAACGAAGACGTAATTGAACCGGTGGTGGAATGGATCCCCTTCTACTCCGTTAATCCACCTCTCACTTCTTTCTCCAGGCTCTCTCTTTCTCCCTCTCTTCATCCATCTTTTTGTACTCTGCCAGGTCTTATTCGCCCCTGTCAATACTCAATTCTAATTATTATCCCTTCATTTGTTGTTTCATCATTCTCGCGCTTTCTCTCTCTTCACATCCCTCCATCCCGTTTCTTTTCCTCCAGTCTCCCCCTCCCGGACCCGCTGTTTCCGCGGAGCTACTTGGTGTTAATCTCAGACTATCACATTTCAATCTGGCTCAACATTGATATATCGACAGTACAACCAAGTGTCACGAGTGACCAGGGAGCTGTCAAGACCTGGGTGGTGGAATCGTCGTTTTGAGGATCGTCCCGCTTGATTGCGCTTCTGATACACACTACGCGGTCTGGCTCTTTGCTCCTGATAATTTGGTCAACCTTCGGCGTCCACGACCGTTTTTCGCCTCTTCCCTTTCCCTCCCTCCCATCAGTCGCTGACTCGACGCCTGATCTGGGCGCGCCTATAATACATCGGATTATTCTTGGCGGGTTGTTTGACGCAGACGTGACTTGACACCAGGATCCGGTTTGCGGCCACATCGCGACATTCGGTAGACTTCGTCCAGTTAGACCACATGGGATATCCTAGACCACTGTTGAATCCCATGATTTACTCTTGAGCTTAATTCTCTCCTTGTGCGCCCTGGAATGAGTTTCGTCCCCTTGAATGTCTGGCGTCGGAAACACATGATACCGCAGCACTCGACCGATTTTCTCCTTCCCGGACCGCATTCCACTCCATATTAATTTATCCCCTTCCCATTCTTGCCTTGTTCTTCTTGCTTCCAAGACCCACAGTCCGTCCTCGGTCGTACCCTCCCCTGGACGATCATGCAAGACTCCGGACCCGATGGCCAGGATCCCAGGCACTCAGGGTCGACTCCCCTGCGCCGGGAGCGGGCCCCGACAATCACCATTGACACCTCCGCCGTGACCTCTTCCTCACACGAACACAGCCGACCGCCAGTGCAGGTTTTGCCCGCCTCGCCGCAACCTTCGCTGCACATTTCAACGGACAATGTCGATGCGAATGACACCAGTGCTCTTTTGAATAACGGCGGAGTCTCGCCTACTTCCCTCCGCTCGGCGGCTTCCTCCGAAGCCAGAGATAACGAAAGTCGACCGACCTCACCGCATAACTTCTCTTCTCCCGCATCGAAAATGGCCGACTCCATGTCCAATTCGAACTACCTGGCTGTACCAGGCACAAGGTCTCGTGGGAATTCGCTAGAGTCACAGGACTCGAATCAGACGACGAGCTCGTACGGTGGCGATACATACGCACCGACTGCATCGCACGGATCCAACACAGATTTGACGCAGAACACAATAGTCAACGACGAGGATGCGCTGAAGCCTGACCCAGGCCGAGAAGCCGAATTCGAAGTGGAGGATAACAAGTTTGCCTTTTCACCTGGCCAGTTGAACAAGCTTTTGAACCCGAAGAGTCTCGGGGCTCTGCATGCTCTCGGTGGGCTTCGTGGAATTGAGAAAGGGCTGCGCACCGACGCTCGAGGTGGCCTGAGCTTAGATGAGGATGAGTTGGACGGCGTTGTGAGCTTTGCAGACGCCACGGCTTCACAGGCGACCCAAACAACACCCAAGTCCTCTTCTCCCCCGGGTCCGCGCACCACACCCGCTGGAACGAGCTCTAGCGCGAAACCCGGCGATAGTTTGTTTACGGATCGGACACGCGTTTATGGGACAAACAAGCTTCCTGAAAGAAAGGCCAAAAGTTTCCTGGAGCTGGCGTGGATTGCATATAACGACAAAGTGCTGATCTTGCTGACAATTGCGGCCATTATCTCTCTTGCTCTTGGTATATACCAATCTGTGACAGCCACCGGCAAAGAGGCCAGAGTCCAATGGGTTGAAGGCGTTGCGATCATTGTGGCGATTCTGATTGTCGTGATTGTCGGAGCCGCAAATGACTGGCAGAAAGAGCGCCAATTCGTCAAACTCAACAAGAAAAAGGATGATCGTCTTGTCAAGGTGATTCGATCCGGGAAGACCTCTGAGATATCGGTTCATGATGTCCTGGTGGGCGATGTCATGCATCTGGAACCGGGTGACATGATTCCCGTGGATGGGATTTTCATCGAGGGTCATAATGTCAAATGTGACGAGTCCTCCGCCACTGGTGAGTCGGATGTGCTTCGGAAGATGCCTGCCGATGATGTATACCGTGCAATTGAGCATCACGACAACTTGTCGAAGCATGATCCGTTCATCGTCTCAGGTGCGAAGGTTTCGGAAGGTGTAGGAACTTTCTTGGTCACCGCGGTTGGCGTCAATTCGACCTACGGAAAAACAATGATGTCGCTTCAAGATGAGGGCCAGACGACTCCGCTTCAGTCCAAGTTGAACGTACTGGCCGAACACATCGCCAAGCTCGGTCTCGCCTCTGGATTGCTCCTATTCGTTGTTCTCTTCATCAAGTTCCTCGCTCAGCTGAAGGACATGGAAGGTGCCTCCGAAAAAGGCCAAGCTTTCCTGCAAATATTTATTGTTGCTGTGACTGTGATTGTTGTTGCTGTCCCGGAAGGCTTACCACTCGCCGTCACTCTTGCGCTTGCCTTTGCGACGACCCGAATGCTTAAGGACAACAACCTTGTACGACTGCTGAGAGCATGTGAAACCATGGGAAATGCGACCACTATTTGCTCCGATAAGACCGGCACATTGACAGAAAATAAGATGACTGCTGTGGCTGCCACCCTGGGTAAGAACCTCCGTTTCGGAGACAAGTCTTCAGGACCGGCTCTCCGTGCGGACGATGACCGCGGCCGGGACCCGGTGACCACCGTATCTCCCTCGGAATTTGCTTCTAGCCTTTCTGCCCCAGCCAAGGACCTGTTGGTCAAATCGATTGTGATCAACTCAACTGCCTTTGAAGGAGAGCAGGATGGGATAGCGACCTTTGTCGGCTCAAAGACCGAGACTGCACTCTTGGGATTTGCCCGGACGTACCTCGGAATGGGGTCAGTCAGTGAAGCACGAGATAATGCGACCATTGCTCAAATGGTCCCTTTCGACTCGGGACGCAAGTGCATGGCTGTGGTTGTCAAAATGGAGAACGGTAAATACCGGATGTTAGTCAAGGGCGCATCGGAAATCTTGGTGGCTCGCTCGACCAAGATTGTCCGTGATGCTAGGAAAGATCTTTCTGAGGTTACCATGTCTGACGAGGACCGATCAGTCCTGGACAAGGTCATTGATCATTATGCTTCCCATTCACTGCGAACCATCGGTCTAGTCTATCGTGACTTTGAGCAGTGGCCGCCACGCGGTGCAGCCACCCAGGAAGAAGATCGCTCACTTGCGGTCTTCGACTCGGTCTTCAAGGATATGGTCATTCTCGGTGTCTTTGGTATCCAGGATCCACTACGCCAAGGTGTAACGGAATCGGTGCACCAATGCCAACGTGCGGGCGTTTTCGTGCGGATGGTGACTGGTGATAACATCACAACCGCCAAGGCTATTGCTCAGGAGTGTGGAATTTTCACGCCGGGAGGAATCGCTATCGAGGGACCCAAATTTCGTCAGTTGAGCAGCCGCCAGATGACTCAGATTATTCCTCGGTTGCAGGTATTGGCCCGGTCGAGCCCTGATGACAAGAAGATTCTGGTCGCTCAGCTGAAGAAGCTTGGTGAAACTGTTGCCGTGACGGGCGATGGTACCAATGATGCTCAGGCGCTCAAGACTGCTGATGTCGGTTTCTCAATGGGTATCTCTGGTACAGAGGTTGCGAAGGAAGCTTCTGATATTATCCTCATGGACGACAACTTCACCTCCATCATCAAGGCGATGGCTTGGGGTCGAACTGTGAACGACGCCGTCAAGAAGTTTTTGCAGTTCCAACTCACTGTGAACGTGACAGCTGTCCTTCTCACGTTTATCTCGGCAGTTGCAAGCGGTGACGAGGAGTCGGTCCTGACTGCAGTGCAGCTTCTCTGGGTCAACCTTATCATGGATACCTTTGCTGCTCTCGCTCTGGCAACGGACCCACCATCCCCTCATGTTCTCGACCGCAGGCCTGAACCCAAGTCTGCACCCCTCATTACGCCGACCATGTGGAAGATGATCATTGGACAGAGTATCTATCAACTGGTTGTCACTCTTGTCCTAAACTTTGCCGGAAACTCGATCTTCCACTACCATTCAGAGGAGGATACTTCGCACATGCAAACGGTCGTGTTCAACACCTTTGTCTGGATGCAGATTTTCAACCAATGGAACTCTCGCCGTCTCGATAACAATCTCAATATTTTCGAAGGGATGTTGAAGAATGCGTGGTTCATTGGAATCCAATTAATCATCATCGGAGGACAGATTCTCATCATCTTTGTTGGTGGCCAGGCATTTTCAGTCGAACGGCTCAATGGTCCTCAATGGGCTGTGTCTCTGGTCTTGGGAGTTATCTCCCTCCCAGTAGGCGTGATTATTCGCTTGATCCCAGATGCTCTTATCGCCAAGCTTATTCCCACCTTCTGGCACCGCAAGAAGGGACCCGAGCTCTGGGTTTCTGACGAGGATCGCCGCTTTGAGTGGAATCCTGCCCTGGAGGAGATCCGGGATCAGTTGAAGTTCCTCAAGACTGTTCGCGGAGGTCGTCTCCGGCACTTGAAGCACAAGCTGCAGCACCCTGAAGAACTTCTACCCAGATCTCGAAGCGGATCACGGTCATCCCGATCTCGCGAGAACTCGATCCCTGGTACACCCGTGGAAAACAACAGCGACAGCACGCCCCCCATGCCCGCGACTCCGGAATCACGGTCTAGACGGCGCACGAGGTCTCGTTCAAATTCGGCATTCGGGCCAGCGGCTGCTATGGCCGGTGTTGTGGCAGGCAGCATCGCAGGCTGGTCTCCCATTGAACGGACCCACGGAGATGGCGAGCCTTTCAAGATTCAGGCCAACAGCCCGCACGGAGGGTTGGACAAGCAACAGGGCATTGAGATTCATCCAGACACTGCTGCGGATGACCAAATCGTGGGAAGCTTCAAGGCTACGTCGAAGACACCGCCGAGTCAAAACCCCGAGCTTCTCCCCCATTTTGATCATGTCCCTCCTGAGCGTGCGCCGTCCCACCGCAGCCGACGGTCTACGTCGCGCCAGTCGCAATCCAGTCAGAGCCATGTCTGAGCGTTTTCACAATACCACCTGTGCAACAAGCTGTTTTTAATACTCCACCTCCCAATGATTCCAAGCTCGGTTTTTTCTCGCATGTGTATACCTATTTGCTCTTCCTCATACCCCATTTCCAGTCTTGATTCATTGTCTCGTCCACGCTGGCTTTTCTCCTCCGCTATTCTCGAATTATTCCCTAGTACTCTCTCGGAGGAACCTCTAGCCTTGCTTTGTTTGTTTCCATAATTCCATTCATATCCCAGGAGGTGTCTTGGTCCCGGCGTACGTGGCTTTCAAAAGGGATGTTGTTTTCGCGTTTGCATGGCTTGTTCATTAGACACTCTTTGTTCTTCCTCTCGCATAGGGATGGGCGGCGAACTTGAGCGAAAATGTCACTTTATTCCGATTATCACTGGGTTTGCGTGATATCCTACGAATGATAGCCTTCCTGCCCAGCTTGGCCACAGCTTAGCTGGCTTTCCTGTACATAGTGTACTTCTGATATACCTAATATCCTGCCGATTGCAGGCAAGATAGAGACAATCAAGCCAAATGATCTCAAATACATTCTCCGTCGCGTGATGTCGTTCTGTATGGTCCAGTGAATGATGTGTGACAGAGTTTTGCTGCCAACAGACCCAAGAGGCTGGGGCGTCCAGAGTCAGGTACATTTTCATGTCTGGGAAGACTGCTAGGTGTGGATTGGTTCTGCCATAACTGACCCCTTTACCTTTATCATTATCAATAAACAAGCACCTTGCTTAACCGAAGCAATGTTGCACAGCTCAAGGCACAATACACGTTGGAGTCGACCGTGATGGCCAGCTTTTCTGGCGCTGCGGTACGCAGAGTACTTGTCCTGCTAGTATCTGCCGTGTGGATCACTTATATTGGACCTTCGGTCTTCACGGGGGCTTGTCTGAGCTTCCACGTGCATTGCAGGCTGCTGGTATGTAGATCTAGTTGACTTATACCACATGAGATTTGACCTTGACTGGATTGAAAGCTAGATGTGCAGTACAGGGTATCTAGAACTAGAGGCACTATTGACTATGACCTCCTCCATGTATGTTTTTGGTAAAAAAGTGGAATCTTGCTGTAGATACTCCAGATAGGAAAGAAGAAACGCGATTGTTGCAATGACACAAAAGGGGAAAGCGGCCTTTTCTATTTTTTGTCTTACCGGCCTTTTTCTTTCTCTTCCTCCTCCTCTTTTCTGCTCACTCTCTTACCGTTTTGGGATAGCTACTACAATTCCTCTTCAATATCACTGAGACTTGACCAGTGACCCAACAGTCCGTACTCGTTACATGCATTACTTCTGATATCGCCCTGTGCAAGAGGGTGTGTCCGATGATTCACTTCACTTCACCTCTTCTGATTCTGATGAGAGGCTCCAGACGTGATAGTAAAGCAAAGGCAAATCGAGAGCCCATCGCTTTCTGATAGGCTACTTACCATTGCTGCCCTGCTTCTTCATTGCTGGAGTGATGCTTCAATAAAGATATCGCAATGAGCCCCATCCTCGGAAACGCGCTTGCATCGGTGATTGAAAGTCGATATATGCTATTTGTACTTTTGAAACTAAGACAGAATACCGGCGTAGTCGATCCACCATATCTCAAGTCGTTATTGAGGCTGCAGGTCACTGGGGTTCCAAGATGTAGCGTAGTCGGACACCGAACCGGCGCGACAGCGAACCGTCGTTTTCCTATATGACTACTACTATAAAAGTAGCTACTTGTTAATATCCATAGAGACTTTATATCTTATTTAATCTATCTAACTCAAAGAAATGGTAGATTCCTATATGACTACTACTATAAAAGTAGCTACTTGTTAATATCCATAGAGATTTAATCTATCTAACTTAAAGAAATGGTAGAGTTGTAATTTTTATAGTAGTAGTTGTATAGGAAAACGACGGTTCGGTGTCGCGCCGGTTCGGTGTCCAATAACTTAATCAGACACCGAACTAACCTACAGAGTATGTTATCGGACACCGAACCGGCGCGACACCGAACCGGCGGCCATGCAAGCCCCGATCAGAACACCAATATCTTGAAGATGGGAGATGTGCTTCCATCGCTCAATCGATTGAACTTTGTAAGCTATGGTCGTCTCAGCAGATACGATTTGATCAGACACTCAAATCTCGTGTGGATGCCTTTCTACAAGGAAAGTTATTTATCATGTTCACCTATATAGCTACTTTCAATATAAGAATGAGTATCTTGAGAAAGATTACTCTGATATCATCAAATCACACTGCACATAAAGAAGTAATTTTCGTAAGAACTTCTATTCAATACAAGGGAGTTACTCTAATAGTAAATCATAAACTCAATCTAGCTCAGGTGCAAGAGAATAAAGTAATTCAGGCCGCGGGACCAAGGCCGCCCAGGGCGCGCCGGCCAGCCCGCTGTAGTATTAATAAGAGTAGAACTGTGAGCGATATACTCAGTGGGAATACCCCAAGAGAAGCAAGAGTAATCAAATATATATAGCCTTCTCAAGGTGTTTCCTATCAATTGAAGCCTCGGAAAGAGTTGGTGCAGGCAACTGCTGCCGCCGGTTCGGTGTCGCGCCGGTTCGGTGTCCGTTTACGTAAACAGCTTGCATAGTTGAGTAATCGGACACCGAGCCGGCGCGACACCGAACCGGCGTTTCTTACTATAGCTACGACCGATAAAATAGAACTAAGTAACTGTCTAGTAGCCAATATTTAGTAGTAATAGAATAAGAAAATTATACTATATTCATCAAATACTAATAAATAGTAGAAGTTCCAGCTTTGAGTGGTGGCTATAGTAAGAAACGACGGTTCGGTGTAGCGCCGGTTGGGTGTCCGATTACATTAACAGGATCGATCGGACACCGAACCGGCGTTTCTTACTATAGCTACGACTGATAAAATAGAACTTCAAGTAACTGTCTAGTACCTAATATTCAGTAGTAATAGAATAATTGATTATACTATCTTCATCAAATGCTAATAAATAGTAGAAGGTCTGGCTTTAAGTAGTAGCTATAGTAAGAAACGACGGTTCGGTGTCGCGCCGGTTCGCTGTCCGATAACATAAGCAGACACTGAACTACAGAGTACATTATCGGAAAGCGAACCGGCGCGACACCGAACCAGCGCGACACCGAACTGTCGTTTTCCTATATAACTACTACTATAAAAATTACTACTCTACTATTTCTTTAAGTTAGATAGATTAAATAAGATATAAAGTCTCTATCGTTATTATTAAGTTGCTGCTTTTGCAGTAATAGTCATATAGGAAAACGACGGTTTGGTGTCGCGCTGGTTCGGTGTCCGATCGATCCCGTTAGCCCTAAGTTGTTCGTGCTTGGCGGAAATCAAACAGCGGGCTTTCGCTTCAACCTTGCCTGCCTTAGAAGAGATTCTTGCCCCGGATCATTTTACATACGAACCCCTACGTCTCAGGAAACACATTCAATAGATCAATTCGCTGATAGAACTATGGACGGAAGCAACCCGACTGAATTACAGTTAGAGAATAGTGGTTAAGAATCTCCACGTAACGTTACGTTTTGAGGACCACATTAGTCGTTTTGATCTTGTGAGAACAGGTGTACCAACGAGACTCTTATGTTCATCGACCATAAAGAGACGGATCATATTCAAATGGTTGCGGACTCTGCAATCGAAAGACCTGAGAGCGAGATGGTTACTTAACAGAAACGTAAAATCCGACTGAATGCGAAATCAGTGGGCCTCTCAAGCTTGATCGAGTGTGGTCAAGAATGCACAGAACTCGACATGACACTCAGAAGTGAACACCGTACAAGATGAGCCCATATTGAAGGGTAGGCCAGTCTCCTGCCTAAAGCCGAAGTCCCGGACAATACGTTGGCCCATTTTCCTTGACATGCTGGACAGCATCTAGAAGATCCGCCTCCAAGGCACTCTGGACACTGGGTGCACTCGGGGCAAAACCCAAGAGAGATTTTGCGCGATCGGCGCGCACCCGCGTGTTACAGGCCCAGGTGTACACTCCCATCGGCTCCCAGCTCGAGCCCCCCCGCATCTCTCTCACAGTCTCAACAGACAAACTCTTCGGCTCGCTCGTGGGAATCAGACCGTGTTTGTGGAGGATCTTACCCGCCTCCCGGGCCAGATCCAGCTGCGACATTTCTTGGCTGGTGGCAAAGTAGTACCCCTGTGTTGCATTGAATCAGTTTATCTGTGTAGATGCGGGACTGACTACCTTGTTGTGACTTACCTCCTTCCCCCACGTCGCATCTCCTCCCCCTGCGACAGCAGCCTCCACAAGCTTGAGATATATGTTAGCCACATCGTCAACATGAATCCACGACCTCCGGTTTGCGCCCGTCAGCGCATAGAAGGAGTATCCCAATTCGAGCATATTCTCGCACATCTCGGGTATGAGCAGGCTGCGGATGTTGCCGGGTCCCCTTCCTGGTCCGTAGATGCCTGACGGGCAGATGATCGCCGTTTTGAGTCTGTCACCATGTTGAGCGGCGGCGGCTTGCAAGATCTTGTCGGCTGGTCGGTGCAGATATTCCTCGGGGAAACTGGTGATCTCCTCGATATCGTCGATGTCAGACCAAACCTTTGGGTTGAGCTCGGCGTAAGGTCCGTTCTGCCAGTCGGCGATGATACCGGTGCCGGCGAGACGGATTAGAAAACCGGGTCCGGGTTGAGAACGGCGAAGGAGGCCAGCGATGTGGGCTTGGAGGCTCGGGAGGTGCTTCGGCTTTCCGCCGTCTGAGTAGTATATGCGTATGGACATTCAGCGGAAGACGTTGCTTTGAGGGAAGCATAACTGGTCAGGGTGAAGTCACTTACGGATGACGACGTCATTCTCAGCCGCTGTATCCTCAATCAGTTAGGTATCGTCGAAGGTACCGCGAACGACGCGAACGTTGGGATAACGTGCGGCAAAGTCATCAGGGACGTTGCGCAGGAGCGCGGTAATCTTGTATTCCGGATGGCGCTTCGTCAAAGTGTCGAGGACTGTGCCGCCAACGTAGCCTGTGCCGGCAGTGCTGGAATGGCAAGTCAATAATGCAATCTCATCCAAGGCCTCCGCTTCAATCCATACATGAAGATTCTGGCACCCATTCTGCTGGCCAGATATGTCAGTAGTATCAATAAATTCCGCCAACTTCCGCTGTCTCCGTAACTGAGTGAGCCTGACGACCTATAGCGCCGTCTCAAAGGTGTTTAAATAGCTAGAGATTGAATACGGATTTTGCTGCTTGCCCTCAAATATCTGGCTCGCTTACGAATCTTCCAATGCTGATCATCTTTCTCTTGCCTTGCTCAGGCCCGCCCTACCCCCCTTTACACAGCTTTCCTGTTTCATTCAACATGGGTAATGCGGAGTAGACGTCCGCCTCCTGGTTGCCTTAGCGCGTGGACGAAGGGAATGTGATTCTAGACCTATCATGCAGTAAGATAGGATCCCTGTCAGAGTTGATGTACATAGAATGCCGATCATTCTATGTAATTCTCCATTGAGAATAACATATTGTATTTCTCGTTACGGTCTTGCGAGAATTTAGGCAGAAAGTTCCCGTTTGTGCAGCTGTATGGGTTTCTCATTGGATGGAACGGGCCAGATGACCGATGGAGACTGCTCAGTAGGAGGCCCTGACAGAGTGGTATCATACCGAGTTCAGTGTTCTGCATGTTTGTCACGGATTTTCTGGTAAATTATACTCACCGAGCTCTAGCCTAATTTTTGCATCTACTCAGCTTACGAGCAAGCCACATCTTGAATATACTCCGCATTCTCCAATGCTTGCCTCAAGTGCTAGGAATTGGTTTGATTGTACGTTTACTTGGGGGATGTACACAAGGAATTACTACCACGAGGATAAATTGCTAAAGGCCATTAGGGCTCGATACGTTCCGGTCGGTTGTCTTATTTTTCAAATACACCTGAAGAAGTTCCTCCGTTTCTCCATCATCTATCCAGACTGCACGATTCTCTGTCCACGGAAGAGACCCAACTATGTGTGAAACATCGAACTCAAGCCTTATTACTCTCCAACTTGCGGGACACAAAGGTAATATCCAATACAATGGACCAACCGAGAAGCTAAAATGTGTCTGTTGCAGCGTCGATCCGATGTCTTTGGAGAGTCAACTCAGCCCCGACGGGCACCCACGCGCCATTCCGAACTTTCGATCTGTTATTAACCACGGAGTCTGTCTGGCCCCAGTCCGAAGCGCTGGAGGTCCTCTCCCCGCAAAATCTCGAGATAATCGAAGTGATCCACAGCAATGCGAATGCAACCCGGGTTCTGGGGGAGAGTCTTGCTCAACAATTCTTGTACAGATGCATTCGCAATCACATTCAAGGCAAAGGCTCGTCATTGACAGCCTTGAAGCTCCTACTGCCCAACGTGGATGGGTACATTCTACGCAAGGACCTGATCCAACGGCGGTTCCTGGGATGTGATCTCGCATGCGAAATTGCGGAATTTGTTGCACCCCGACAGCCCGTGCACAGATTCAAGGGAGCCACAGACATGTTCGCTGCGGCTCTCGACCAGGCGGTGGGTGGCTTTCTTGCGCGCGAAACGGGAGCGAACCGGCAAGTTGCGGAATGTGTGTTGATGCAACTTGAGCTGGAGGCCACGCTTCGATTGTCCTTTCCATGGATCATGGCCGATCCCCTGCCACAGTACCGCTTGGCCATCGTGGAAGGTCGTCCACACCCCAGTATCTCTGCAGCGGCGGAAGGCCCTTATCGGGCTGCGTCCGCCCTCGGCGTGGAGGTGGCTGTTCTGGATTTCGACGGTCATTGGCTTCAAGATGCCAATCAGCGGAGTCTGTGCAGCGAGTTTATTGTCTGCGACATTACCCCTGACGATGGATTGCCGGACAGAATCGTCGCTGCGGTGGCCCGGAGCCGGGGTCCTATACACGGCATCATCACGTATTCTGATAAGCTGCTCGTTCCCACCGCCAAAGCCGCACGACTGTTGGGGCTTTGGACCAATGACCCCCACTGCATTGAGGCTTGTTGCGATAAAGTCAAGTTACGCGGGCTTGCGCAACCGGGTCAGCCTGTCTTGTCGGCGAGGGATGTCGCCGATTTGCGGCACAAGCTCCATGCTTTGTCTACGCCACTGATTTACCCATTGATTATCAAACCGGCTCAAGGCTGTTCCTCGGAAGGAGTCGTGCTGGTGCAGACCGAGCAGGAGTTGCTGGCCGCGATGGACAAGAACCACGCCAATTTCCCGGACCGGGAGCAGCTCATTGAGCCATATATCTCAGGCCCCGAAGTCGACGCGAACTTGGTCCTGGTTGATGGCGGGATTGTGTTCAGTGAGATCAATGACGATTTCCCGTCCGGGGCCGACCTTGAAGTTGGAGCCGACCGGTCCCAGTCTCCTTCCTTTGCCGAAACGGCGACCATCATGCCCTCAGCGCTTCCTCCATCCGAACTAGCGCTGCTGGAATCCGAGTTGGTGGAACGTCTGCGCAGCGTAGGTCTGCAGACCGGCATGTTCCACATCGAGGCGCGCGTGCAACACAGTTGCATGGCCTACGAGATGCACGGCCTGGCCCTGGACCTCCGAGAGCAACTCTTTTGACTGGACTCGCCGGAGCCCAGCATTTTTCTGATTGAGATCAACCCGCGCACGCCTGGACATCAAGAGTCTTTCGCCGTGGAATACACCTACGGCATCGACTACTACGCACTGTACACCCTCCTTGCGCTGCGCGAGGTGCCGGACGGTTCCAGCCATGGACCCATCCCGGATCCCGCCGCACTCCAAGCCTTGAAGACACTCAGTTGTCCTTTGCCCGAGGTCATCCAGTATCCCACCACCATCGTCTTTATCCCCGTCTCGCGCGGGGGTACGTTTGCTGGAGCCGCGCCCATTCCAGCTTCCCTCTCGCCATATATTCCCCATTACCGGGTTCTGTTCCAGCGTGGAGAAACAATCCCCGACCCCCACCAATCCGGTCGGTGGCCCTTTGTGGCTTATTTTCTCGTAACAGCCAGTCTCACTGGCCAGGCCGGACGGGAACAGGTTCGGGCTCTAGGCGAATGTATTAGACATGAGTTTCACTATGAGATTCTGTAAGCGTTCCCAGTATCGGGGGTGATGGCAATCCGAGGAATATTTCGTACCGTGCACATCCAATCGTTATCTCTGTAATCCGATTCCATCCTCGGTTAGAGGCAGGCACCCCACACGACACGAGTAGGTGTAACCAGGAGAAATCCCAATCGTGTAGGTTCGGGGAATGAATCTCCCTCATCGATTACACGGCCGGTTGCCTTGTCCATTACCCCTCACGGCAGTGCGGTTCTGTCCATTCATGCGATGTAACCTGATCAGTTCCCCCCAACAGCCAAGTTCAAGTTCACTCGTACCTAGTTCTCATCACGCACTACGTTCCGAGGCGATGTACTGGTAAGGCGTCCAACTCATTACGCGGCACTGGACTGGCATTGATGGGCCTTCGGAGACTAGATGGGGGTGAGATTGAGGGTGGTCAGCCGGCCTAGTGAATGAGGGTTCGGGGTCTCCGTACCAGATTTCTATGTACAATGATCTGCACTCATGGCGGGGTAGAGTACATGTGGTGTACATCCCGCTAAGCAATACGGTGATTGAGTGGCATGCATGCAGAAGTGATCACCACAATGTACAGTCCAATGGCACAGACCCGGTATGGTGTAGTAAGACATTCTTGCAGACGGAGAAACGGGATAATGGAGATAATGTTTCAGAAGAGACCAGTAGTAATTGCTAAGTTAGGGCTCTTGACCCACTACACCACTGCGCCAATGTCAGGCTGAAAGAATCGATTGTAAGTGATACAAGCCTTGCACTAACGCATAGTTCGGCATAAGATTGACTCTACGCCTGCGAACCACATACATACTCGATACCATCGCGGCAGAATTGCAAATACCTATGACAGGGCGTGGTAATTTTGTTATTTGCGAAAAACCGCAAGAGTTTTTATCTTTCACCTGAAAGAAAGGTCAGCTTGTAGGTGATATTCCCAATAGGGTCATCATGGTTATGGCCGGTGCTATAAACAGGTCCCCATCAGTAGACCACATAGATTCTATGTATATCCCCCGGCTTAGAGACAAACAGCATCAAAACACACACACACAATGGTGAACCCCAACCCCTCAGCGCAACTTCATCCCGCAAATTACCCAGCAGCCACATCCTCCAAGATCATCCCCTCGAACATGCGGGATGTAGTCGAAACATGGATCCGGGCTTTCAACTCCTTCCTCAACAGCACGACCACCGTCTCCAGTTCCAGCGACAGCGCACTGGAGCGACTCTTCTTCTCCGAGTCGTATTGGAGGGACCATCTCCTCCTCTCGTGGGAGTTCCGTGCTGTGCAGGGTCCGCACGGCATTCGTGATTTCCTCGCCCAGCAGCCGTCGCGCACGCAGCTGGTGATGGTGGGTTCCGGGGTGCCCAAATTCACCAATTTCGATCACAATGGGATGGTCTGCGGGATCGAAGCCATGACCAGAATTGAAAGCGAGATTGGATATGGTCGAGGGGTGCTTCGTCTGATGCAGGACGATCGGACCAAAGAGTGGAAATGCTTTACGCTGTTCACCACTTTACGCGGACTGCGGGGATGCCGGAGCCCTGTTGAAAGTCAAGCGGAGGATGATGATGATGATGATGACCCTCCTCTGCCACCGACGAGGTCGATGTCGTATGAGCGCCATCACAATCCCGCCGTGCTTGTTGTTGGTATGTGTGTGAACTTGTTGTTTGCACGAGAGACAACAAAATCAGGGCTGATGAAAGGCCTAAAATCTTGTAGGGGCAGGACATACAGGGCTGATGATCGCCGCTCGACTCCAAAGAATCGGCATTTCCTCGCTCATCGTGGAGAGAAATCGTCGAGTGGGCGACAACTGGCGGAATCGATACCATCGGCTTCTTTTGCACGACCCGGTTTGGTGTATGTCTATATCCCCGCCCCTTTTAGGTGTCTTGACCAGCGCAACTTACTCAGGAACCATACATATCTACATTGGCTTGCAGATAACACCATGCCATTCCTCCCCTTCCCCAAGGACTGGCCCATCTTCTCATCCAAAGACGAATTCGGCGACTGGCTGGAATTCTACGCCTCCGAAACCAACCTTGCCGTCTGGACCTCTGCGGCCGTGAAGAGCGCCATCTGGACAGAGACTGGGTGGCAGGTTACCGTCGAGCGCAGAGGCCACGACGGACAGCCAGAACTCTACACACTGTCCCCCCGCCATGTCATCCAAGCGACCGGGATTGCCAGTGAGGCGAGAATATTGCACGTGCCGGGCATGGAGTTGTTTCAAGGTCGGCTCTGCCATTCCTCGCAGTTCGACCGAGCGACGCCTCCCCGCAGTGGTGGTGCACGCCCGCACGCAGTCATTGTCGGGGGTTGTAGCTCGGCGCATGACATTGCGGTGGACTTCTACGAGAACGGGTACGAGGTAACCATGGTGCAGCGGTCCTCGACGTGTGTCGATCCCTCGGATTACAGCAAAGGGAAGGGGCTGTATACGGCCGATGGTCCGCCCACCGGCGAAGCGGACTTGCTCACCCAGAGCGTCCCGACTCCGGTGCTCAAGCGGAAAGAAATGGAGCTGACGCAGCAGCTGCGCGATAGACATGCGGGGGTTTTCACCGGTCTGGAAAAACGGGGGTTTGCTCTCAATTGGGGGCCAGGGTCTTCTGGGTACGTACGTTGAAAGTTGCTTGCATGACTCGACTTTGTGCTGACAGATGTATGTGTTTGGTTCGCTAGGCGGAAGCTAATGTTTCTCGAGACCGGCGGGGGCTACTACATCGACTCGGGTGCCTCGCAGCACATCATCAATGGCGACATCAAGGTGAAGCAGGGCAGCGAGCCGGTGCGCATCTACGACAAGGGCCTTGTGTTAGCGGACGGGACCGATCTGGCCGCAGATGTGGTAATTTTCGCAACAGGATACGAGAACTTGAGTAAGTCGACGCGTAAGATCTTCGGGGACCTGGTGGCCGATAGGTCGAATGCATCCTGGGGCTTGACTCAGGAAGGGGAGCTGAAGTCCGTCTGGCGACGATCAGGACTTCCTGGATTCTGGGTGGCTGCGGGTAATATCGCCCTTTCCCGGTATTACTCGGCCCTTCTCGCCTTGCAGATCCAGGCGATTGAGGAGTCGGTAGTGCAATACGGCGATGATTGATCCGGTTTGCTTGGGGGTGATGTTGCATCGGGAGATATTCCGACATGGTACTACTTACTAAGTAGTAATAGTAGCAGCGGGGCCCGGATATCAACCGCATACTGTATTGTATTCAGCCTCATGACCCCGCTTTACGTCTAGACCCTTTAATGCTAGTAGTCCTTGGAAAGTCATTTGCAACGACGTTTCTGAGATCTGGATAGGTAGAAATGTACGCGCCGTCTCACCATCATGACACATCTGTCAGAATAGTATGTGCCATAACTTGTAGTTCAAGAGGACATATATCATCGCCATTGTCGGTACTCCCCTCTCATTCCACCAGGTGACCCACACCCATCATCAAGAATGTCTCAACCTACCCTCAACTTCAGCAGACACAGCGAAGCCGCGGCACGGTAGGCACCATCTTGCCTGCTCCCGGGAAGAAAGGAAAGAGAGGAGCTAGCTAACAAGACCCCAGTCTTTACCTCCAGCACTGGATGATCTTAGACCAGCTCTCCTCCCTTCTCGACCCCTCAATCCCGCTGGAAGGTTCATTGAAAATAGTAGACATTGCGTGTGGGACTGGGTGAGGCCGCCAAGCACCCACTAAGCTACAAGCATTCTTGATGCTTGCATGCATTCAAGGCCATGCTTCGCTAACTCCCACATCCACTTCGCTGACTATTTACTAGGATCTGGCTCTTAGATCTAGCCAAACACCTCCCTCCCACAGCTGAACTCCACGGCTTCGACATCTCGTCCGCGCATTTCCCCACCCCGCGCGAACTTCCCGCCAATGTCGTCCTCGACACGTGGGACGCCCTCGGCCCGGTGCCCGAGCACCTGCACGGCCAATATGACCTCGTCCACTGCCGGGGGATGATGCTCTACATCCAAGGAGGGGACCCGAGCCGCCTCCTTGCTAATTTGGCGTTACTGCTAAGTATGGCCCCTACGGTTTGAGTCAATGCCCATCACCGTCAAAAGACTAACGAGGGTTCCATGTGAAGAACCGCGGGGGTGGCTCCAGTGGGAGGAACTGGACGTTGTCAACATGTACATGCGGGGTGATGACACCGCCACCAAATATCCGAACTGCGCGAAGTACCTCGAGTATGGGAAAAGATGGCTGGAGAATGTGGGGATAAGAGGCGGGTAAGTATTCTGGATTTTTTCTGTTCAGGGAAGAAGATTAGATCCGCCGCGGGATACTAATTTGCAGGATAGATGGGTCAGTCAGATGGGGGCATTCATGTCCCAACACAACATGGAGGTGGTGAAGGAGCGTCGCCAGGTTATCACTCCGGGGATGGAAAAACCGTGGACGACAATGCAGGTCATGGCGACGAGGGATTTCATTGAGAATGATATCATTCCGACCTGTGGTGCTGTGGGAGAGGGTGGGATTTCGCCGGAGGAATGGTCGGAGATCTTGCGGGAGTTTCCGCGGGAATGTCAGGAGGGCGCGAGGGTGCTGCTGGATATTGTCTATGTTGTAGCGAAGAAGGGTTGAGCTGAGAGGAGTTGGGAATGGGAGGCTGTACTGGTTTTTTTGGGGGGGGGGGGGACGAAGACCTTCCGGCATGATTGAATGGTATAGCGTACTTACTCAGCACTTCTTGCTTTGAATTGTTTTCTCCACAACCCTATGGCTGAAACAGACGAGATGCATGGTCGGTGTAAGATCTAGCGCTCAATTCCAAAGAGTTGAATAGTGGATCAGCAGCTGGCACGTCGAGTTCCTTTTCGTCTTCCTGAGCCTCTGAGCGGGGAGAGTATGGGATTAAGGCCCCCAAACGACTCGCATGAGTCCAGTTTCTGTGGAAGGCCGGATTGGGTAGTCAGCCTCATGCATGATAGCTTTCTACAGGTATGGTGCGACATTGTACGTATGCATTAGAGTTGCACAACATGGGGTTACTCAATGTGCTTGGTAGAGCCATCCGAAATTAATGCGTATCTGTCAGGCCTTGTTGTTATGTCTGTGCACTCACTGTCCATAATAACGACGATCCATACTACTATGTGGGTATATATGGAGGCTGTAGGAGAGATCTGGCCCTCGATCTAACTGGCCAACAATTCAGCAACCACTAGGGACTACTGCATAGTACTGCATCGTACCCAGCCGACGAGGCGGCCAGTCAGCATGAGGTATGTTCAGGGGAATCCCTCGCCCACCACCACATCTTAATACCGTCTACTCCTATCTACGATTCACTTCCTCAACAGTCTGCAATAGCAGCCTAGCATATCATACCCCACATCCGCCGCTCACAGTGCTTTCGTTGACCGAGACAAACACCCTCCCGCGACTGCCTCATTTCAACTCTAGCATTCCCCACCCCCCCAAAAAATCAACTGTCGGACTTCACCTCCGACACCTCCGTCACAACCCACCTCAGATGACATCTCCATGACGCCTCCCCAGCTCAAGGAGGGCGAAAAAAGCAAAAGAAATGCCGCGACTGGGACTCGAACCCAGAATCTGCACTCCACCCGCTCACGAAGTCGGGGGCTCTGCAATGTTGATACCACTACACCACCGCGGCGATTGTTGGCAGTAGGTGCTGGTAACTCAATGATAGCCCATGAAATTTTCTGCCTGAGGCTGCAAGTGGTAATAGCCTGTGTCTTGGTCTGCTAGAAAGGGGCAGTGTGAACAACTTTGACTTGGCGGAGTTCTTCAGTGTGGAAGCTTGTACTTTAGCTGTACGAACAGATTGCTGGAGCTCCGCACACTAAGGGGAATGAATTCTTTGCGTCAGCTTCGGGGTAGAGAAGATGCACCTAGCGCATTTTTTTTTTTTCAAATGTTATTGATGGCAGGCCTCATTGATGGGAATATTCGGCTTGCGACTACGGCGACTATTCGTAGGGGTCTATGAGTTATTACTTTCGAAGGAGAATGTCTTAGAATCTTACAGAGACGGAGTCGTACCGCAGTGACGCTGATCCTACAGTACTAAATCAATTCATTGCAGCGGCAAGCATAATGTACGTTACAGCTTTATTTGATTTTGATTCTATATTGTCGCAGTATATCACCTGTGCCAAGATGGGATCTACGCTACGAGTTAGATTCGCCAGTACTTTTTCCCCCACAAACTCGAATAACTAGTGGCAGGCAAACAGCCAAACCCCGCAGTGAGACTCAAATCCTCCGGCATTTTCACATGTAGGGCGAAGAATATCAGCCTTGCATGGTTCGCCAATTTGCAGATAAGGCGCCTTGCATGTCTTGGACGGCGATCGCCAATCGTCTTGTCGAGTTTGGTGGTGGTCTGGGCTTTGGTGGGGCGCCTGATGGCGAAGCACTAACTACTAATGTACAACTTCTTACGGTCCGGTCCGGGGTCCGCCTGAGTGGGGTTAGGCTACAGTACGAGACGGAAGAACTAGTCTTGCTGGATACTACCCAAGGCAAGGTATACTTTTCCTAGCGGTTTGACTGAGCCGCGAGTGCGTGGTAGGTAATTACCAGTAATCATGCTGATTCTCGCAATCTTCTTAAGGTTTGTGGTATTCGTCACTGAATTTACCGCTGATACAACTCTTGTCACTTCCTTATCTTTTTCACTCTGCGTCGTCAATGCTGACGAGTATTACTCCGACTATTACTCCGACGCTAGACTCAACTTAACCTTGTAAGTCATATCCCTTTCCAAAGGGTCTGTGCTCGAATAGCGTAAATTGGGCGGACTGTGATTCCTCACTCGTGAGCTGGCGGAGGCTGCGTCATCGCTCTGTCTCATGACTGCCAACATTGCATCCGCCAGAACAAGCACATAGTCTTAGCTCAGCCAAGAAACGTTGCCTTGGACTCTGTAGCACCTGTCAACCGTGAAACTATGCAAATGGGGAACCACCCAATCCTTCAAGGGAGTGTGGCTGCAGGATTCAGAGGAGGTTTACGCAGAGTACTTGACGGGTCCACACCGCCGGCAGGTGTTGTCAAAAGAACTCGTAACATAAAATTGCCACGCCTAGCTAGAATCTTCATTGTTCGGGATCTCCCTGTTCTCAATGAAGAGGCTAGGAAGGATGGATACCACTCCCTGCGCCAGAAGAGAATAGAACACATATCGAAGGGCATCCATGTATGCTTGAATAACCAATTGTTTCTGATCTCCGTGGAGTGCCACGGTATCCAGGCCGGTGATGTTGTCCTGTTGGGCCTTTATACCAATTGCTTCCAGCTTTGTATGTAAAGTAGTTTGAAGTATGACTGATGAGACCGTCAAACCGACGACCACACCCACGGATCGAACTGCCCAAGAAGCACTCTGGACAGTCGCCAGGTGTTCCTCAGACACAGACATCAGAACTCCCATGAGATTGGTAACGTAAGTTCCTCCAACGCCAATGCCGATGATGCCAAGGAATACAAATGGTTTCCAATCAGACGACCCTCGACCCAGTGAGCAGAGGAGACCGTAGCCAAGTGTAGCAATGCATAACAGAAAAATATTCAGATGATAGTATCGTCGTAAACGAACAACAAGGTAACCAACAGCTCCAGAACAGACCCCGAAGGCAACTGCCAGAGGGATAAGTCGAAGGGAAGCCTCAAAGGCCGAGAGGCCGAGGACCTGAAGGTAGAGAGGCACATAGAACATGGAACTCACGAAGCAGCCAGTGTTGAAAAAGGCAGTAATCTGGATGAGGCCGACACTGCGTTGCATCAAAACCCGAATCGGCACCACGGGGCTCTCGGCATGGTATGCGCTATATAAAAACAGGAAGAAGCACGGTACGACCAAGCACAAAGGGGCGATTGTGCCGGCGGCGGCCCAGGCGAAGGTGGTGCTGCCGTGATTGAGTCCGAACTGCAACAGCACAATCGTGGCCATCAAGGTGACCATGCCAACGACGTCGAGAAGCCTGTGGGCACTTGTGTTTGCGCGTTGGTCGGATATCGTGACGTATCGGAAGACGACTCCACCATCTAGGGCGATGATAGGGACCTGGATCAAGAACGCCCACCGCCATCCGATAGCAGCATCAATAGCAGCACCATATACCCCCCCGATGGCCATGCACATGCCGTAGAGCATAGAGCCGAGACCCTCAATGAGAGCGCGTTGGTGGGCGGGAATAAGATCCGTCTCGACAACCGATGTGATTGAGGCAATGGCGCCGCCGCCAGTACCCTGTAAGGCTCGGCCCACCAAGAACAGCGGTAGATTCCTCGTCGCCAGACCGCAGAAGAGTGTACCCAGGGAGAAGAGAAAGTAGTTGACAGCAAGAGCCTTCCGGCGCCCGTATGCATTGGCCAGATGACCACTAATAGCCTGTGACACGGTGCTGCCGATGACATAGGCTGTTGTAATCCATGAAAAGCTTGATGCCGCCGATAGAGAGTTGGCGATAGGAGTCGCAATTGTAGCGATCATGGTTTCGTCTTCAGAAGGAGTCAGTGGGAGAGGTTTCATCACCAATGCGTCAAGCGATGGACTTACCGAGTGCCATGAGCAGAGTCCCAAGCTTCCAGCTGTTAGTAGTATGTCTGCAACAGAATTGGTGAGGCTACTGACCCATAGACTACCTAGTAACACGACCAGACGTCGCGTTTTGATGGTGTTCGACTCGCTGAAAGCGGCTTGTGAGTTAACGCCATGCTCCCCACGCTCAACACCACGAGCTGTATCTGCCAGTGCATGCTTTTCGCCGTCCATCTGTCCGGAACTTCCGTTGTCTTGGTGATCCAGAGCCATCTCCCAAGTCTGACCTTCAGATATTGTTCAGGGAAGTAATGGGGGAGAAATTGTTCGACTCAAACAAATAAGGTGGAATCTCACGTGCGCATACGACTTAAAATATGTGTGACTTCCTTTTCGGGACTAACCACTCACCACCTGCATCCATGTACTCAAACCCCTGTTCAGACCGCCTGACTGTCTACTAATAACTTGAAAGATCCCTGGTTTCTACACTCTTCAGACAGGCCTACACAATCACCTCTTTCTACTTCATCTGAGTCTAAAGTCTAGCTCTAGCAACCTAGCATCTCAGGATCTGAACCACACCTACAATGCGTCCTGTATCTTTAAGCGGAGATCACATACAAATACAAGCGTTCCTTGATCGATATGATGTGAGATTTTCTCTCCCCTTTCGTTCCCACCGCTAAGAAGAAGCTTGAAAGGAGGTTCGAGCTGAACATCAGGCCAGACATTTCTTCTCGATTGTGACGGTAATTTGAACTCACATAAGTGTTTATCAGGCTTGTTTATCTGGCAAGCACGCACGGTCTGATATCCCGTAGGTGTCATATGGTCAGGCGAGGAGCTACTCCCGGGTGCTGCGGAGGCGATCAACTCTTTACGCAAGCAAGGTGATATCTTTCAAATCTCATTCTATGAAGCATTGTCATTCTTATGTCTCCAGGTAAAACGGTCATCTTCATTACCAACAACTCGACCGAGTCGCGTGCAAGTTTCTGCCGACGATTTGAAAAGTTCGGAATACCCGTCCACATAGACGACGTCTTTACCTCGGCGTATATTACCGCCAGCTATCTCTCCCAAGATCAGCGACTTGCCCCTCCGCGCGATGAAGTCTTTATTCTCGGAAGTGAGGGCATTGAGAACGAACTCAGCGCTGCGGACATCAAGCACCTTGGGGGAACCGACCCAGCATTCCAGCGCGACATAACCCTCGAAGACTTCAAGGACCTTGCTGCTACTTCCACATTATCGAGCAGCGTTGGCGCTGTCGTGGTGGGAGTGGATCTACAACTGAACTATCTCAAGCTCTGCCAAGCAGTGACGTACATCCGCAACGGGGCAACATTCCTAGCTACCAACACGGATGCCACGTTTCCGATCTTTGGCACCGTCTTCCCCGCCGCCGGCTCTGTTGCCGCCGCTGTCTCCCGCGCTTCTGATACGCAGCCGCTGCTGATGGGCAAGCCAGGGCCTCACATGATGGATGCAATCTTGACGCGCCATGAAGACCTAGACAGGAGCCCCACCTGCGTGGTGGGCGATGGGCTTGACACAGATATCAAGTTTGGTGTAGAGCAGATGCTAGGCACACTGCTTGTTCTGACGGGTGTTTCGTCGCGCCAGGACATGGAATGTACCGACCCCAAATATGCACCAGAGGCATTTGTGGAACAGCTTGCAGATTTGGTTCTTTGATCTCGCGATGGGATGTGTTACATAGAAGTTCTGTGAATAACTTGCCACCAATAGCCTTGCTTGAGTGTATGCTGCCATGCGTGAGTGCTGTTAGACACGCCGAGAGCTCGTGGTTGCTAGTCCCCTGAATAACCGTTTCATAGAGCTCGCTGGGCAATGCCCCTAAATGATCACTCGAGGACCCTACAATAGGGTCTAATAGCACAGGCTTGGTCAGCCGCCTTGACAACCTGCTCCCATACTCTTCTCTCCTCATGATCATCCTGGCTCTCGGCTGCCGCGCCTGTGCTCGCTTGTATCAGAGGAGTAGAGTGGTCCTGGTACTTCTTTCCTCACCTGTGCCACTTTTCTTCTTTTGTCACTTTGTCCTGAGGAGACCTTACCGTGCGTCGCTGTTTCCGATTTCTAAACAATCGGGCCAGCCGCTGGGAACTGGTCCGAAAAGCCTGTCCATCCTGTCCATAGCATGAATCCAGCCATGGATGTGCGGGCTGGTGGCCCCATTAGAGCAGCTCCTTGAGTCCAAGAACGACTCCACGCTCGCAAAGGGCACTTCTCATGCAGGCGCGCGCATACTGGAGCAGCGGACATCCAAAGAAGATGCCATTGACCGTCTGGTTCACTTGATCACAATTACATCTTGCGAGCATGTGCTCGTCGATGCGGTGTAAGCAAGTTACAAGACTAATCCTTGTAATGCAAAACAATATCAGAATAGATGCTATAGCCTTCTGTAGGTTAGACAAGTAATCCAGGTTTATGCTCGGTAGCTCGATCAAGCGATTCATCATCCGGTTTATTCTCTCTGTGACCCAACAATTCTGCCGCTTAGCATTGGCCTCGCGGTAAAAACGTCGTTAAGCCGCAGCTGCGAGCCAGACATAACGACTCTTAGGGTTCTATAGTCCATGCGGTTCCTGGGCTGCCTCCTAGCATGTTGTCAGACGAGTTCATTGCTACCTACTTCTGATGAGCCGCAGGCTATCTGAACTGCCTTTGGATACTGTACACTGCATACTATTCTATCATATCAAGTATTGATTCCAGGTAGACGTGTCTTAATGGCATCCGTGGCGGGCGGAGCGCTTTAATGCTGCCTGGCTGTCAGTGAATAATCACCCGTTTTCCGCTAGCGTTACCCATGGTGCTGTGCTTTTCAGAGGTAGATTTAGTACCATATCATCATCGTCAAGCTTCAGATCCTACCTTGTAAACAATCTATTGATTCTGACTTGTCCATGGGCATGGTAGTTCTAGAAACCAACGCTTGCGCGTCCGATCCTCCCTTCGGTCCCGATGCCGTCGGTATAGGTATTTCAAGGTCTCTCTCTGGGTCTGTAGATAGAACGTGTTTATGAATTGTCAGTCCTTTATTTATGCTCGAATGGCCACCACGAGTGGCGCTTGCTGGCTCCTGGCGAATGTTTTCGAACTCTCCCAGTTCGTCACAAAAAAGGCTCCACGAGAGTTGTGGACACCTCTCCTGGGAATACGCTTCGATGGGAGATTTCTTTTTTCCGGTGGGGGGGGGGGGGGGGGGGGAAGTAAATGAAAAAAATAGTCAATTAATCTCCTGCGTTCTCGGATCAATTTGATGGGTCATCTCAGTGTGTACGCTACTCATCTTGTAATGCTCTGCTTTAGTAAAATCGTTCGCATTGAACTTGGGTTGCGGGCCTTTGCTTCAATGATTGGTAACTACCAACCAGCACCAGCAACAGTACTTTTGACTACCGCACCGCGCCGAAGCGCATACACGCGGGTTCATATCCAGATCGCATCGCCCTCTCCCTCTTGTTCTTTCTATTGTCTATCCAGAATCATCAATATCAATATTCAGATCAAGACAGAGTGTCATAGCATCTACCCAGGATTACTCAGGTATCAACAGAAGTAGTACCAAGGTACTATATACCACAGTACCGTACAGTATCACCCAAGCGAGACTAATTGTACAGGTCCTTCCAACTTAATTGAGAAGTCTCACCGCTCACACCGCTCCATGACTCATCGTCATTGACCACAAGCAGTGAATAAGTTGTATGATTCATCCAATCTACCCCAGACTACAGAGTACTCCGTAGGTACTCCATACACTACGACGGAGTACATAAGGTATTCAACTTGCCCACCCATCACACTCAGTTCCCCACCCCAACCCTACTTACAGTACAACCGCCCCCCAAAATGCCACCAGCCCCATCATCATCATCATCATCATCATCATCTATATCTTTACAAATCACTTACGCCCACCCTTCCGACCTCCCCACCCTCATCCGCACCGAAATCCGCTCCTTCCCCTCCTCCAACTACATGCGCAGCACCTACAAGCACTGCGCTCCGCCCGCCATCCACACCTTCAAAACCGTCTCCGCCCTAGACTACTTCGCCAACCCGGAATGCCATATGCTCGCGGGCATCGACGCGCGCACCGGCGAGACGATCGCCTACAGCCGCTGGCATATCCCCGCGGTTTACGGGTATGAACGCGCCGTGGATACAACGTTGAGTGCCGAGGCGGAAGCCCAGAGACGGGATGCCTGGGCATATGCCCCGCCGTTGTTGAACCGGGGGACGTATGCGTTTTATGAGGAGATGGTGGAAAGGAGTCGGAGGGGGTTTTTGCAAGAAAGTGATTTTGGTAGGTTTAGCCCTTTTTTGTGTGTGTGTGTGTGTGTGTGTAATCGATATGGGGGGTTTGTTTTTTTCAGGTTCTGGGGGTTTGTGTTGACTTTTCGGGGTGTGTGCAGTGCTGGAGATGCTCTGTGTTTTGCCCGAGTATCAGCGGATGGGGGTCGGAAGGAAGTTGCTGCAGTGGGGGATTGAGAAGGCGGATGCTTGTCATGCGAGGATCTATCTGGAGGCGACGATGGAGGGGGTGCCGGCGTATTTGAAGTATGGGTGGGAGGTGGTGGAGGAGATCCGGCTGGATTATACGGAGCGTGGGGGGGTGGGGAGTCAGAGCTTTGCTTTGATGGTTAGAAAGCCGAGGGGGACTACCGGGGCCCACTAGTTTAGTTCCTATACAGTTACCAACTACGTAGAGTAACACTCATCCGCGCGGGGCGGGTCCCGCAATGGCCCCATCTGTGTGTGTTGAAATTAGTTCTAATTTTCGAGATTATTCCTTACTTGGACTGACTAGTATATGTTTTCCTGTTGGTGATTTAGCGCTAGACAGGTGGTAACTATACTATAGTAGTCTGAGTAGAATAACTTATATAACTACTAAGTAGTATATATAGTATAACTAAGACTGATGATGATGATGGCAACTTAGTTACTATTTGAGTGGGTCATAGATACCACATTCTTAGACAATAACCCTACTTACTAGCTATCAGTAGTGATAATATGTTCCTTTTCATCTAGCAGCAAGTAGTTCCATATTATAATAGTAAACTTACAACAGTGACTCCCTTGATAGACAATTACTGCAGCAGTTGGGATATTACAGGAGTCCAGAATTCAGTATGTGCAGGGTGATCACTATACACTTCTGTACTACTGTATAAACTACTACTCAAAAGTCCAGTAAGTTACTACCCACTCTAGTTTGGCTCAACATACACTAACTCCACTAGCTAATCTCGTAGCTATCATAGCTTATAGCCGGATTTTGGGTGGGATGGATAAGGAGATAAATGCAGTCGTGAAGAGGATTATAGCGGATGGGGTGTATATACGTGACTTTACTGGACTACATTATATTTCTGGAGGGAAATATGGGGTTGATGGCCATGGGAGCTGGTTCTTTCATGATAGAACTCGATTACCTTATTGTTCATCTTGCTTAGAAAGGGAAAGGGAACACAACTGTCTTGGTACAGAGCGGACTGGGTATTGGGATGAGATGGCTGTCCCGGTCTTTACGATCGCTTTCCAGACTTACATAATAAAATAATATATCTGATATGTATATTCCTAATCAGAAATATTTATAACGACCACCAATTCAATTCAAGTTCTATTAACCTCGGAGGGCCCTGGCCGCGAGGGGGATTTATGAACGACTTGGATCTCAGGAGGTGGGCCGCGTGATGCAGAAGCTGGAGCGGTATGGCGGTGCTGGTCAGTATACGACTTAATTTATGATGAGAGATGTGCCTCATTCAAGAAGGTCTGTGGTTCGTTAACAATGACATTCAACGGCTTGAAACACGGAGGATAAAGTGGGGAGAGCACGACATGACAGGAGTTTTGCGTTGAAACTTGTTCGAATTCAACATCTTCTCACGTTCGAGTAGCAAAGAAATAATGATAGCCACCTCGTCCCTTGTGATGGGTAGTGGGAATAAATATAATAGGTGGTTACTGAGGAATCATGCTGAGTTGGACAGGGCAAGTCATGGACCATGTAACATATCCTGCACATGACCATAGTAACAGTAGACATGGGAAGGCTCCTGACGAGACCCATGTAGATGGAGATAAGCTAATGGAATGATCTTGCTTATCTCTTCTATGGTAGACCTTATCGAGATATAGGGAACCTGGAAATAGACTGCGTGTATTGCTTGTCCTGGTCTTCGGCTGATTGCGAGCCATCCATAAGCCAGGACCTCGTATCAGTAAATCTCACCTGGCAACCACGTGGTCAGATACGGGCAGTGGGCGATTTTCACCGAAAACACGAGATCTGCTGACCTGGAACCTGCGTGATGCGGTGTGCGACTAACGTGCGCAGGGCTAACGTACCTGCCTCGGGGTCAGGCCGGACACAATCCAGGGAGAAATGGAGAATTGTCCAAGCCCTAACTAACCACCTTCGTATGGTAGGAAAAGTACTCTGCTTCACTTAGTGCTCATTCTCCCGAGATCTGTCTTATGAGTGTGAAGTTGTAGACTGATGAGGATGATATTCTATTTAAAACTCAGTCAGTACCGGCACTGGTTTGCTGCTGATATAGTTTCTGTAGCTGAAGTTCCTGGTTTTGATTTTACTCCATGAACACGAACTGCACGATGGATATCGGTATCGTTGGTGTCGGTATAGCAGGCCTGTATCTGGCTCTCTGTCTTCAGAGCCATGGCCATCGGACCACCGTCTTCGAGCGCAAAGTCGCATCGGAGGCAGACTATTCACTCACTGGTTCGATGAGGACGTATAATTCGAAGCTGGAGCCATGAGAATACCCCGCTCCACGCTGCACGCCAATGTCTTCCACTTATTCGTTACCTCAATGCGAAGGGCGAAGAACACGATAAAATCGAGCTCATCCTCTACATACTGGAGCATCGTAACAATGTCGCATTTATTCGGTGCGGCTGATCGGTCTTGAGAACATCATCATCAATGTAAGAGGAGAACGAATCATTGAGCAACCCGACGGACGAGTAAATCTACGCGCGCCGGGGCTCCACGGCGGCACTTTCATTAAGGCCGTCCTAGCCATTCCCCCAGCGGCGCTGCACTGAATCCACGAGCGTCCGACATGGTCCCTGAGGAAAGAGCATTCCATCCGGAGCATGCATTTCGAGACTCTATACAAACTCGGTTTGCACTTCCGCACCCAATTCTGGGAGCAGACGCCATCGCCGTGTTTTGGGGGCCAGAGCGCTACGGATCTGCGCTTTCGCTAGATTGTCTATCCATCGAACGACCTGAATAGTCTTGGCGCTGGGGTCCTTCTGCTCTGCTGTTGGATGAATGACGCGTATCGCATGCAGTCCATGCCCCGAGACCAACGCATCAGCTCCTCCCTCCATAACCTCCAGCGGCTTGACGACATGGTGGACATCAATGGCCAGTACTTCGAGGCTTTTGATATCTGCTGGAGCCAAGAGTATGCGACTGGGATGCCATGTTCCTTTCGGCCACTTCACACGGTCCATGTCGCGAAGCAAACTGAGGGTAACATTTATTTTGCTGGGGAGCATTTGAGCCGACATCATACTCGGACTGCAGACGCAATTGACTCGGCCATCCAAGTGATGATGCAAATTCAGGGCGAGAAAGAAATCCAAGCACTTGGCAGTGAGGAGTACGTCCCACCCGCCCCGAAGGTCGATCATTCGTTGCGGGCACATATGTGATGCATCATCACAGTAACCTCGAGTGTATCGTCAACTGCTCAGTTGGACTTCTTTCTCTTTGGAAGTGTGGAGGTGGTGGGTTCGAGGCTAGTAAAGAAGGAAGCCTGAGGCTACTTTTTCTATACAGACAGGGCGGTGAGCGACGCGACCAATGGGGGCATCGGCACCTCTCACTGCACTCAAGTTATCATCTGCTTCAATAGAACTTGCCCTACACTTTCGAGGAGGTATTTGCAAATAGAGAACTTAAGCAAATCAATGGTAACGTGATTATTTCATAGTGTGCAGAAATTTGCGGAAGGGCTGAGCACTGTGAAGAAAGAGGGGACACAGGTTGTATCTCGTTCTGCCGACAATGGTGTACTGTTGGACACAGGCTGAATGCTAGGTATGGAAATGGGTAGCTTAACTGGCTATGCATTGAGCATGTTCACAACCAAACAAGACTGGCCACTTCCGCAACGTGCCAAACGAAATCATATACATACGCAATGTTCTGAAGAGGGAATCCGAAATCTCATAGAAACAGAAGATATCGTCTATACGCTTGAAAAAAAATCTAATCATGTTCTTTCCAATGCCTTCTATGGGCTTGTAAAGATGAGTTTGCAAATCCGAATAACACGCATCGATCTAACAATCTAACCGGTGATGTTGTACAAACCGGACAAAGCCTGAGGGACAGTTAGCATCCACTAGTCCCATATAGACTGTACCTCGGGAACGAGAGCAAACTTACCGCAGCCTGCTTAGGCTCAATAAAGAGCGCCTTCGCCTCTACTAGGACTGCCGGCTCCTTGCCATCTTCGGGTAGCGTCTCAATCCGCGCCTCCACCCAGGCCTTGCGGCCCTCTACCTTGACCGTTTCTGCCCGCAGCGCGACGTAGTTGCCTGCCATTGCGGGAAGGCGGTAGTCCAGGTTCAGGTTGGCGGTGACACCGACGCGGTTGGGCAGCGCGGGAAAACAGCAGCGTCCCATTGCCTCGTCCAGCAGCGTTGCCAGGAGCCCCCCGTGCACAATTCCCGGGTGTCCACAGAGGCTGGGACCCAGGTAGAGTATAGAAACCAAGCTCTTTCCGCCATCCTCGCAGAACACCAACGGCGGGACGACAATCTTGTCTGGCCCGGCCAGCGTACCGCCCGTGAGACTACGCTCGCGCATCTGCGCCGGCATCTTGAGGTGTGGACGGGACTCGGTGAAAGCAGGATCCTCCCGCAATGAAACGGCTAATGGGTGATTGCGAATGTAGTCGTCCACTTGTTTGGTGAACTCGTCACCAGGGATGAAAGCGGAGAGGGTCTCCTCATCGGTGCTTAGCTTAAGCGTCATCATGCGTGCAGTGATATCGAAGGTCGAGTATAATCCTCCGGCAAGGAAGGCGAAGAAGGCAAGGGATGTGAAACCGAGAACTCGGCGTAGTCGGGATCGAGGAGGGGGAGGGTTGGCTGTTTGGTCGGCTGTTTAATCACCAGAGAGAGTGTAAGGTTAACTTGACGTTTCTTTCCAGTTAGTCGCATTCAAACAGGAAACAGACCTGTGAAAGAATATGTCCGATGCGCTGGATTTTGGACAGAGAAAATGCGACGCGATCGCAGAGCTGTTCGATCGAAAGTTGTTGCAGGCAGACGAGAAGAAGACAAACAGCGAAGACGCTGGACACTGCTGGCGATCACAGTGGATCCCAAGCGAACTGTTGGGAGCTGCGGCATGGCGGCGAGACTCTGCGAAAGGCGGCGCGGACAGGGGCGACGGAGAAAGGGGAAGCGGATGGTCTGGGAAAGAAAGCCGCAACGGAGCCTTGGGACCGAACCAAGAACTCAATTACTGGATTGCTGAAGACTATCGTGAAAGTTGCGGATCCATCGCGAGCCAGAGAGAAAGTGGAACTGGAAGACAGAGGGAGACCCGCCAGAAGGTCTCCAAAACCTCCGCCCGCCCGTCCTGCTGATTGGTGCGGCGCAGCAGGAGCCGAGGCTCATGGCCATCGGAGGGATGATATAATCGCAACATCTTTTGGGAACGTTGAGGAATTTGCTCTGGACGATTGGGTATGGGGAATTGTGGTCTAGAAATAGTGGGAGTAGCGAAGAGTATAAGAATCTAAGAACAGCTGAGGTGAAGTTGTGGTCACAAAAAGGGAAATGTTTAGTTGTTTTGCAATCAAAGTCACTGGACCGCGGCTTGTCTGTAGTACAGCATGTACAACCCACACAATCTTTCCCTTTTCTTGTAGCACCAAATCAGTGATTTTCTCAAGCTTGGACTTCATCAACTTCCTGTGATTACTTGTCAATGGATTGTACAACCTACCCTCACATTAGTTCTCAATGGACTGGTCAATATCTCAAATACACTATCTTAATTAATGCTACCCTCCAATAACAATGAGCCTGGAGTGCTCCCTTCCCTGCAGGTTTGTGATGAGAGGCATTGCCTGCACAATCACAAAAGCTCCACCAGTGCAATGAAGCTACAATGGTTACATCGCATCTCCAGCTCTGTCGACGCTGGCAGGGGCACTACGCTAAGCACGCAACTTGCTTAATTGAGCTTTCCTTGTGGCAGGGGCAGTCATGGCGCCCCTTGACAGGCCGCACCTGCATTCCAGAACGATTGTTCCCCTCAGCTTCTAGTCTGCCCTTTCGCGCTTCCTATCTCTCGTTTCATGCTTCTGATCCCCTTTGAAATGGCCTTTTGGAGCTCTATCTCGCTCCTTTGGGCCCTGCCTCTCGTTCTGGCCTCGTCTGACCCTCTCTCTGAAGTGACTGGTGACTATGATGTTCTCCAATATGTCAATCCGCTCATTGGGAGCGCCAATGGAGGTATGTGGTCATTTTTCTCGACTTTTTGTCCGGTGTTCGGGTGATCTGACGGGTTTCAACTGTAGGAAATGTTTTCGCTGGTGCGACAATTCCCTATGGTATGGCTAAAGCCGTAGCCGATACCGATTCGCAGAACAATCAAGGAGGCTTTGCGTTCGACGGCAGTCGTATCACCGGCTTTTCCAGTCTGCACGATTCTGGCACCGGCGGCCAGCCCTCTCTTGGGAACTTTCCTCTTTTCCCATACACAAGCTGTCAAAATGACGATGTCAATGGCTGCCTGTATCCCAAGAAGGAGCGAAAGACAAGCTACGACCCTGCTTCGGTTCATTCCAGCCCGGGATATTTTGGTTTGACTATGAGCTCTGGGATCCAGGTCGATATGACGGCAACCCACCATACGTCTTTATTCCGGTTCCGCTTCCCCGTCAATGCGTCGTCGAGTCCTCTTATCTTGCTGGATCTTTCCGACTTGTCCGACACCCGCCAGGACAACGGGTCTATCTCCGTCGATGCCAAAACAGGACGCATGACTGGCCACGCGCGATTCTTGCCAAGCTTTGGAAGTGGTTCCTACGTGCCGTACTTTTGTGCTGATTACCAGAGCACGTCCGAGATTAGAGACACCGGGATCTTTGTGGATGCGCGAGCCAGTACGGAAGTTAAGACCCTCACGATATCGCGCAGCATAAACGGCTACCCCCTGCCGGTTGGTAGTTTCTGCCATTCTTGAGTCGTGAGCTGACCACCATAGGGCGGTGCCTTTATACGCTTTCGTCCCGCATCCGAAAACACGATTCAAGCCCGCGTGGGTCTAAGCTTCATCAGCAGCGAAAAGGCTTGTCAGAATGCGGAGGCCGAACTTGCCGACTTTGATTTCAATAAGACTCATGCGGCAGCGGTCAAGTTATGGACCGAGAAGATGGCGCCGATTCGGGTATCTAGGAACGGGGTAAACTCAACGACCTTGACCAATTTCTACAGTGGGATCTACCGGACGATGGTCAATCCGCAAGATTACACGGGAGAGAATCCGTTGTGGGAGAGCAAGGAGCCATACTTTGACTCATTCTATTGGTAAGTAAAATAATGCGGTTCCTTGGCCTCTCTAACGTATGCAGCCTCTGGGATTCCTTTCGGTCCCAGCTCCCATTCCTGACGATCTTCGATCCTGCCTCGGTAACCCGGATGGTTCGCTCTCTGATTGATACCCAAAGACATCTCGGATGGCTACCTGACTGCCGCATGTCTCTTTGTAAAGGTAGGTGCTGCAGCACGAGTCATGATTGATGCTGATAGAGCGCAGGGTTCACGCAGGGCGGCTCAAACGCGGATGTCGTGCTGGCAGATGCATATGTCAAGAATCTCACCGATGGGATTGACTGGGAAGCTGGGTATGCAGCAGTGCAGAAGGATGCCGAAGAGGAGCCGTTCGACTGGTCCAACGAGGGCCGGGGAGGATTGCAGAGCTGGAAGGCACTAAACTACATTCCCGTGGAGGACTTTGACTTCATTGGCTTTGGGACGCTGACACGCAGCATATCCCGCACGCTAGAGTATGCCTACAACGACTTCACCATTGCTCAGATGGCCCGAGGGTTGGGCAAGACGAGCGATGCGGAGAAATACGAGAGCACCGCGAAGTATTGGCAGAACCTCTTCCGCGCAGACCAGACCTCATTCCTCAACGGCACAAATACAGGTTTCACGGGCTTTTTCCAGCCGAAATACCTGAATGGCACATGGGGATATCAGGTTCGTCTTCCACCTGCACACTGCCAGACTATTGTTTCAGCGTAGTAGACTAACTTCTAGCTCAGGATCCTCTAACATGTTCCAACATCGACACAAGCGGACGATCCTGCTCTCTGCAGAACAACGCCGCGGAAACCTTTGAATCTAGCATCTGGGAATATCAATTGTAAGCTCTCCTCCTTTTTGCTGCGGCTGCTTGACGGACGCCCCCCCAATAACAATCAATAGCTTCGTTCCTCACGACATGTCCACCCTCGTCACCCTCCTCGGCGGGCCAGATCGCTTTACTGCTCGCCTCGACTACCTCCACGACCGCGGCATCACATACATCGGCAACGAACCCGCCTTCCTCACTGTCTTCCAGTACCACTACGCCGGCCGGCCCGGTAAATCCACCCAGCGCGCCCACGCCTACATCCCTGCGTTCTTCAACCCCACGCCCACCGGCCTCCCCGGCAACGACGATTCGGGTGCCATGGGTTCCTTCGTCGCCATGACCATGATGGGTTTGTTCCCCAACCCCGGCCAAAACGTGTATCTGATCACTGCGCCGTTCTTCGAGAGCGTCAACATCACGTCTCCGGGTACGCGGAAAACGGCCCGCGTGCGCACGATCGGTTTTGATCCAAGCTACCAGGCTGTGTTCATCCAGTCGGCGACGTTGGATGGACAGCCGTACAACAAGAGCTACGTGGGTCATGATTTCTTTACAGAGGGGAGGGAGTTGGTGTTGTGGTTGGGGAGGAATGAGAGTTCGTGGGGAACGGGGGCCGGGGATCTGCCGCCGAGTTTGGGGACGGAGGGAGACGCGACGTTGAATTTTCGGGGGGTTTAAAATTCTGGGTGTCTGGCTGGGTGGTAGATTTTGTGGAAAGTAGGTTTGGAGTAGAATGCGGTAGAAGTGTCACTGTCTGGTGTATTGTGTGTAGCCATGGAGCGACAGTGTCATGATTGTCCAATCGTCCTTGAGTGTGATAGCTAAGTAGCTACCACTATCTGTATCATGTCTCAGAATGGGTACATTCTGCTCACTCACACCATGTGACTCTTCACTGGCAGCATTTCGACTACTGCGAATCATCGAACTGATCAAACACAGCCATCATAAATTTGTTCATCACGAGTAAAGCATCGCATTAAATCATACTGCAATTTCCCCTACTATCAGAGGATCACTCATCCCTGTCCACCATGCATACTTACATACATACATACATACCCGCCACCCTATGCCAGAAAGACCATACAGACAGGCCCAAGCCCAAACCATAACTCGAAATCCCAAAAAAAGCCAGACCCCAACCCTAGCCCAAAACTCGAATGCAGATACAAAGAAGGAGAAAGAAAAGAAAAAAAAAAGAAGTCCATCGTTTCTCTTTCTCATCTCCTTTGACCGGGATCAGAAAGGGGACCGATAGCGTGATTGTTTCAGGGAATAACCAACCCATATATATTTACATCGAAGAATTAACAAGAACCAAAGTGGAGAGAGAGAGAGGGAGAGGTGGGGACCCATGGTCTGAAGTAAGAACTTTTATAATAGTTGAAAGGAAGCTGGTAGAGGTCCGCGAGTTCGTGCCCTGCTTTTGCTACTGGGAGGTCGTATCTTCTTATAGTCCTGTGTTGGCACATGAGAATGGGCTTCCGACTGTTCCTTCTCGGTAGCTGATGATGACGCTTTCAATGGAGGCCTGTTTTCATTATTAGCATTCGGCCTTGTTAGGAATTGGGAAGGGGGAATATTGGATTGATTCATGGGGTAATGGGAAGAGGCAATTGTGTGGTGTTGATATGGAGCTCCGGAAATACGGAGAGGGGAACGGAAACCTACATAAGTGCCAGGTCCCAAAAAGAACAAGCCTGCGATAATCAACCCCACATTCACGATGAATCCCAGCCAGCCTCTCCACCCCCGGTTCTTGTAGAACTCCGGTCCGTAGTCCTCACGGCGCATGCGCAGGTACGCCGTGCCCCAGAAAATGAAGCCGAAGAACGAATCGAACAGGGCACTCATGATGGACTCGAGGTCGGAGAAGAAAGGGATGACTTCGGCGATGATGAAGGCGGCGATCCACAGGACACATAAAATCCCGGCCCAGGCAGCCCAGCCGACGACGGTGTGGTTGCCCTTGTGGCGGGTGCCGTCGAAGAGGCGGAAGAAGAGGAAGCGGGCGGACACCGACGCGTACAACACACCCAAGAAAATCAGCGTGGGGATCATGAAGGAAAAGGAGATCTTCTTGTAGGTCTCGTCGCCGATTGAGCCAAAGGCGGGCGAGGTGATGTACTGATTTCCGGTGTAGGCGTAGACAATAGCGCCAACGAGCGAGAAAACGATGACCTCGGCGATGGTGACGGCGGTGACGGACTTCCAGAAGTCCTTGGGCTCGTGCATTTCGGCGATGAAGCTCGGGAGGGTGATCTGCCCGATGAAGGTATAGCTAATGTTGAGGAAGGCGCTGACGCCCGAAACGAAGGTGGTTCCGGCGACGGGAACGGCCGTCACGATGGGGTCGCCTTGGGCGGGAGTGTAGCCGGCTGGGTGGTCCTCGATGGCGGAGAAGATGAGAGCAAGCATGACGGAGATGAAGGTGGTGATTGCGGAGAGGGTTGCTACTCTGGATAGGGCGCTGAAGGTCCGCGGGAGGGAGCAAAAGAATGAGATGACCGCCGTCACAAGGGAGAAGATGATTGTACAGGTGGCGTGGCCGGTGATCGTGTTGAGATATTCTGCGCCAACAAGGCAGTGAAGGCCCTACCATTGGTTAGATCTAGGGCCAATTGCCGTCCGAGTAGGAGTTGTCATCTACCTGAATGAATGTGTTGTTCAGCAGGAACATGAAAGCCGTCAGGTACCAGACCACCTTGGAGTCCCAAAAGATCATCTGTCCTATGTCGCAGACATCCCGTACGTGCGGATGCCGTAGACAAAAACGCCTGACATGTGTGAGCGTGAGTCTGCGGCGTGGTTGCATTTAGGGCACGTACCAGATGATCAATGAAGTATACAGAACAGTCATGGCAATCACCACCGTCAGGATAAGTCCGGGCACTAGCCCCAGGACAGAGTATGACCAGGGGAACGACATGATCGCCAGACAGATGTATTCAGAGAAGAGCAGCGCTGCCGTCTGAAGGTCGGTCTCAGGTTAGCCCATGCGCTGACATCGTAGGGATCGCTTTACGGCCACATACCTTCTGCCAGCTACACGTGCGATATTTGATCGAGTTCTCTGCTTCCAATTGAATTTGTCTGTCCACTTCCCCTTCGGAGTCCGAGCTCGACCCAGGCTGATATTTCTGATTCTCGAGGTCGGAATGCTTCATCTCGTCGGTAAGAGTGTTGTGATCGGGGACGGACGAGCGGCCCGTGGGCCTAGGGACGGTGGACTCCGCCATTTGATGGAGCGGACGAGCCGCTGGTGGAGGGAGCGAGCAAGGATGGAAGCTGAAAAGATGAGAGAGACCTTCGGAGGCATGTACTGCGCTTGAGGGAACAGGATGAGGCTGATATCCTGAGGTGGAGGGGATGTTAATTGCGGATCGGCAGGCGGAGAGGATGTGGGATGCTTACCTTAAATAAGAGGAATGGCTTGACGGACTTACGGACCAACTGACTGACTGACTGATTGACACTCAATGGGAAGAGGACTTCCTTTTCCAAGGACTGAACGTCAGGGAGGTGTTGTCTGATGGGACTGTGGGAAGAGAGAATTGCGCAGGAAGGATGGACGAGCAGCGCAGGTGAAATTTTACCACCAACGGATAGATCGACTAAGAAGAGGAGGAAGGCGGATCAGTCCTCAGATTGAGACATGAATTGGCCCGAAGGACTAAGGCAGAGGAATTTCCCTGCCAGTCATTGGGAGTTGAAAGACTGGTTGCAATCTCCAATTAGGCGAATTTCCCCAGCGCGTTTTTTTTTTTTTTTTTTTGTTTTCGACGGACTCGGAAGTTCTGCTTTCATAGTCTTAGTACGGAGGACTTTTTGATAAGATGTGAGATGACGTCGCAGTCTAACCCGGCGGATCAACACCGACAAAGGATTGCAAGGATTGCATAGGAAGCTGCGAATTAGGCTCCATGAATGAAAATGGTGGCTGCGAGTCTGAGTTTGAATCAGAATATTGTGATACATGCTGGCATTAATTGCGAATTGTGCTTGAACGTTTAGTTGTGTTGGTGTCTTTGCTTCAAAGGCTCAGACAGGTTCTCCCCGCCGCATTCGGCAAATCCCCGCTCCACCGCCATGGCGGAGAGACCCGATGGCTTTTCTCTGCCCCGCATTCGGCGCCCTGACATTCCACCGCAATGCAATCCTTGTGGATGCCACTCCTCCTGATATTGGAGCAACTTCACGCTCGCTATCTCTTCTATCGAAATAGCATCCCATTAATACCGACATCGTCTATACGAAAAGTCACATCATGCGACACCACAGCCCTTTTCACACAGGATTCAGATCCCAGTCAATAGTGGATCCAATTCAGAAAGGAAAAGAAAAAAAGAAAAAAGAAAAAAAAAAATCTCTGCTGACCAGGGCTGCATCAAAGAGCACAACCGAACACAAAAGTAGGAAGAGGGGCCAGCGGGAACAAGTGGGAGCGTCGAATTAACCTCCAGCACGCCTATGCGCTAGTTGATGGCGTGCTTCCAAGGATATTCCTCTCATTCACTCAGTGTTATTCGTCCCTCCAAAGCCGATCCACGTGTACCTTGTTTCGTTCCCCCTGCGTTTCCACTGGGCAGTGGGTGGCGCATCCATACTGAGGCACACTCGCTGAGTCTCTCACAAATTCTCAATTCATTCAACTGTGGCTGACGGTGATGATGTCATCAAGTCCCGACTGACCGGACGGGCAGCGCCACAATTTACCAACTACTTGCTAGTGGCTGGAACTGGCTGGCGGGTCTGCAGTTCTAGACTTGCGAGTATACTCTGTACCTCTGTACCTCTGTTCATATGATTGCTGTTTACTACTGGTGGATCCATCCATCTCCTACTTGCCATGTGCTTGCCATGTGAAAATGTGAGAAAAAAAAAAAAGAGAAATACGACAGAGCTTTTGTGGTATCTGCAAATGCGATTGACAAAGTACAGCAACATCAAAATAAGAATCACATCCCCTCGTCCTCCCCGGCCAGCAGGGCCGCATAATCCTCCACCGACGCAAAGGTAGGCAGGTGCTTGAGCTTGCGCCGCTTTTTGCGCCCACTGTCCTTGTCCTTCTCGTCCTTCTCCTTGGACGCCGTGGGCAGGTGAGCGTCGAGCTCCACGTCCGACGGCAGCTCCTCGTCGCTGTCGATGAACGCCTCCTCGTCCGAGACGTCCATGTCGAACGCATCCTCGTCGTCCGACGGCTCCGCTTCTGCCTTGGCCTTCTTCGTCTTCTTGGTCGGCGCGGGGACTTCGTCGATGTCCTCCATCTCCTCGTCGGAGTCGAGGTTAATCTCCACTTCGTCGTCCCCACCGGCTTCGTCGTCGTCGCTCTGATCGTAGGCAGATTCCAGGTCATCCAGGTCCAAATCGTCGTCGTCGCTAAGACCGGCTTCCAGCTCGGGGCGGGAGTCCACCAGGGCCTTCCAGATCTCGGATTCGGCCTCGCTGATCTCGCCGTCCTCATCCTCAGCACCTGCAGCGTTGGCGGCCTTCTTCTTACGGGCCTGGTCCTTCTCCTGGCCCTTGCCGACCCGGTTGAAGTACTCGTGGAAGAAGACATCCTCGGCCGCCACATCTTCCGCCTTCTTCTTCCAGAAGGCTTCCGAGTTGAGCTGCAACTGCGGGCCAGTCTTGACAGCAGCAACGAGGCGGTCCTTAGCGTCGCTGCCAGCAAGAGGCTGCATAATCGAGGCTCCGCGGGTGGTCGCCGCCGCCTTAGGAGTGCGGTAGACGAAGCGGTCAAGGAAGTGGGTGAGAGTGTGGATAGTCAAGTCGGGCTGGCCGCTCATTGTTTGGTGGTCAAGGAGATGAGCCGCGTTGACTGAGACCGAGGGATGGAAGTGAGACAAAAAGGGCAGCTAGAAATTGAGAGTCAGTAACTGTAAAAAACTAGCAGATGAGTAAACATACAAGTTCCCAGAGACACGTCCGGTCGGCGTTGCTGTGCTCGGGGTCCCGTTTGCGGGGATCATAACGGGTCGAGGGCTTCTCGGGGGTTGTCTTCTCCGGCTGCTCCTGGGGCTCGTCGTCTTCATCGGGAACGTCTCGGAAGACTTCCTCCTCATCTTCGTCGTTAAGCTCAGGCTGGTCAAACAAGGCTTTGAGGTCAGGGAACGTCTTCTCCAGCTCGCGGATCAAGTAGAAGACACCGCAAATGAATGCGGGCTGGTGCATCCCGAGAATCTGGAGGAGACGCTTGACAAAGGCTTTAACACGGCGGGTGTTCAAGTCATTCTTGAGAGACTTGAAGAGAAGGTTGAGGTACAGGGATTGCTTGGAGGACGTCGCGAGTCGAGGGTCGAGCAGAGACTCGTACAAAGTGCGGTAGAAGCGATCCGCACCGACTTGGTGAGAGGCCGTCAATTGCTGGATCAACATGAGGGCCTGGATACTAGTGTTGAAGTTGGATGAGTGCGTGATGCGGAAGAGAGTACCGATGTGCTTGGACAGGCTGGTTGATGCGTTAGCGTCGTCATGAAGTACGGAGAAGAAATTACATACCGTTCACTGTCGGAGCTGGTAAAGGGATAAGCTCGGTTCACACCAGTCAAGACTGCAGATGTCAACTTATCCTGCATCTCTTCGGTTTGCGCTTGGCCTTTGTCGTCGTCCTTGCCCTTGCCCTTGCCCTTGCTCTTGTTTCCGAACTTGCCATTCTTCTTACCCTTGTGGCCCTTGCCCGTTTCTTCCTTAGCAGGTTTCAGCAGAGACACGAAGAGGGCGAAGTAGATGTCGAGCAATTTCTCGCCGACCTTCTCCTCCTTGAGACTAAGGACCGTCTGGTTCAGTGTGATGATGGCGTAGTATTTGGCGTGCTGGCTCTGACCAGGTCGGAAGAGGACTTCCTCAACAGCGGAGATGATCGTGGGCTTCATCATAGGGTGTGCTTGTTCGAGTTGCAATAGCAGGTAAGAGGCTCGCGAAGCGATCTTCTTGGAAGTATCACCAAGCTTGTTCACCAAGAGGCGCAAAAGGTTCGTCTCCTGCTCAGGCTTCTCCTTCAACAGTTCGTAGACATAACTGACAGCGCGAGAGCGGGAGAAATCAATCTCGTCGTTGCACCAGACTTCAAGAATCTTCAAAACCTCGAAATATTGGTCCTTGAGGAAATGCTCGTAGGCCCAGACGATCAGATGGCTGTTCTGGAGACCGTTAGGCAGAGCGTCTCCCTCGGACCACCGGTTGCTCACACCCTGCAATGCAGCCACAAGCGAAGGCTGGTTGGCGAAGGCCCGAAGTCTGCGGTCGCTGGGCAGAATGGTACCCTGGGCGAACATATCCTTAAGAGACCGGAGGACTTCAACAGCCTGAGCACGACTGCGCTTCTTGCCCAGCGCAATCAGGTTCTCCAAAGCCTTGGTGTTGTGGAGGGGCGATTCTTGTACGGCAAGCGTCAAGGCGGAAATCTTATCGCTGAGCGTACCGGTGGACATGATGGTAGTGTAGAACTTGTGGGATGATGAAGCGGACGCCGCCTGTGCGTCAGCGTACTCTTTAGCCTCCTTCTCGAGCAGCGAAATGGCATGGTTGTGGAATCGCTCGATCAGGTGGCGCGGAACAGGGTTCGATTCCTTCTTCGCGATGGTGGGAAGTTCGATCATGTACCAGTCGGATCTAGGGGGAACGGACTAGCTAGGTCAGTATGTTGTGCCGGCATCATACATGACTTGACTCACCAATTTGGAGAATTCCTTGGGAAAGATGTTTTCAGGAGCGGCCTGCTTAGCGGCTTTCTCCTTTTTGTCCTCCTTCGGGGCCGGAGCAGGAGGCTCATCTTCTGAAGCCTCTTCTTCCGCATCGTCTTCGTCCTCATCTACCAGTTCCTCCTCGTCGTCAACCTCAGCATCGTCCTCCATGTCACCTGTCTCGTCCTCATTGTCGTCCTCTTCGGCGTCCTCTTCCTCCTCTTCGACTTCCTCGTCTTCGAGGTCATCAGGAACGACCTGACCGGCGGCAGCGAGCATGCTAGCAAGCTCCTTTCTCAGGGAGTCCTCCTCAGACTTGCCCTTGGATTTCTTCCCGGTGGTATTCTCGACCTCGGACTCGGAATCAACACCAGCCAGAAGGTCCAAGTCCTCTTCCGTACCTCCAAGAGCCAAGATCTCCTGCCGCAGAACATCATCATTATCTTCCTTGCCCTTTGGCTTTTCCTTGCCGATACCCTTCGTCTCGCCCGCGGCAATCACATCACCATTGCGATCCCGCTTCGTGCCCTTGTTGTTCTTATCGTTCCCGGCAGCCGGCTTCGATTCAGCTTTCGATGCGACCTCCTGATTCTTCTTAGGAGTATCAGCTGGCGCGGACTTCCCTTTGCCATTCTTCGACTTCTGCTTTGCGTTGTTCTGATCCTTTAAGCGCTGTTCGATCTTCTGTCGCAAGCCGGCGAAAGCACTCTCCTCCAACTGAGGAAGAGCCTCGGCGGCGACAGCGGCAGCGCTGGTATTTTTGGGAAGGGCAACACCACCTTCAGGGACGACGGTGTTCGCTCCAGAAGCAAAGCCTTTACCCTTGCCTTTAGCCATAATGACAGGGTTGAGATTGAAAGGGCCAAAGTGCTTGCTTGCTTCTTCCTTCAACTTTTTTCTGCCGCCCAAAAAATTATGGGGGTCCCGCTTCATGCCAGGCCGCCGGAGAAACAGCGGGCCGAAGGGGGCGGCAGTCCGTTGTTGATGGCCTTGTGGCCTGACAATTGGCCATTGATTTGGGTTTAGTGGCTGGGCCGATAAGGCCGGTCTTCTTCTTCTTGGGGGAGAGATGCGAATATCTCCCTCCGTTCCTGAATACATCGAAACTGTCCTTCGGGATTCATTTACGTCTGAATGATCTCGCGCATTCGCCCCATAGTGGGCCGGGCGCCTGGGTCCTCTCGAGCGTACCTTGGGCTCACTCAATTCGGGAATAGAGCGTCAAAATACGCCTTTCATGTATGAGATACCCTCCGCCATAGCTTGTATAAAATCTCATAAACCATGAATGCAGACCGACGGTCGAGCACGGATATCCAATTTCTGGATCCCAACGGGAGGGATCACGAAGAAACCTGTTGAGGGCGAAAGAGGTACATTACTTCATTCGATCTCGTTCCGACAACTGACACTCCGCAGAGGACACAAACGATCTCTTAGTTAGGGGCGGCTTCTTGCGACAGGTAAATTTCAATTTGCATGTTTGAAGGCGTGGGGCTAAGTCAGTATAGGCCTATGCGGGCATCTTTCACATGTTGCCGTTAGGCTTGCGCGTGCAGGATAAGCTCGAGAAACTCATAGATAAGCACATGCAGTCAGTTGGTGAGTCTACAGTCCGCGAGCATCCAAGAGCTAAAACAACTAACGCCGAGGTCAGGTGCGTCTAAAGTGTCATTGTCATCGATATCAGCCCAAGAGCTTTGGGAGCAGTCTGGACGCCTAAAGGAGGGATCAGATGTGAGTTTCTTGCTCTTTTCTCGCTACTTTTTCTAACCGCCCCAGGTCTTCCGTTTCCTGGATCGCAAAGAAGCTCGCTTTCTTCTGGCTCCTACCCATGAAGAGGAGATCACCACCCTTGTTGGAAGTCTTACCAAGTCTTACCGAGACTTGCCCGTGCGTGTGTACCAGATCTGTCAGTAAAGCTTGTCCCCTCCGCACGACCAAGTTTAATCATGAAGCAGCAAGGAAATATAGAGACGAGCAACGACCGCGGCAAGGCCTACTTCGCGGTCGAGAATTCATTATGAAGGACATGTACACCTTTGACTACAGCCCTGAGACCGCCCTTCAGACCTACGTAGCGGTCAAAGGCGCCTACACGCGGTTGTTCGACGAGCTGAAGATTCCCTACCTAGTCGCTGCCGCCGACTCTGGTAATATGGGCGGAAGCTTGAGTCACGAGTTCCATTTCCCCAGTGCAAAGGGCGAGGACACAGTCATTAGCTGCACCAGCTGCGACAGCGTGTACAACGAAGAGCTCGCTGACGGCAAGGCCCACTCTGGCGAGGAGGGCCAGATGCAGACTCAGCAGAAGCCCGGCTTCGACACGGGCGAAACCTCCGGCGAGGCCACGCCAGCCGTCTCCGTCGGTCTCTGGATGTCCATCTCGAAAGACAAGAACACGTTGCTGCGGTGCTGGTTCCCGCAATTCACCGTCCAGGAGACCCCTGTGGAGAGGGAGGTGAACTCGCACGCCGTCAAGTCGATTGCCGAGGCCGCTGACATGGAGATCGATATTGGCGTGGAGAACCCACTGCAACAATGGGCCGCACACGTCAAGTCCAACAGGTCGTCCGGTCAGCGCCCGCGCATTGTCGACCTGTACGATTCGCGCGTGCGCGCGTTCAAGCGCCCGCCACTAACCGACACCCTGCAGGCGGCCGGCTGCACGGTGGAAGACGTGGACTTTTCGAAGCTGGATCGCTTCCCCGGCACCAACGACTACCTGAACGTGGTCAGGGTACACGAGGGTGACCGATGCGCCAAATGCGGCGAGGGCGTGGCGCAGACGCACAAGGCCGTCGAGCTCGGTCACACATTCCTTCTGGGCACCCGTTACAGCGACGTCCTCAAGGCCACCGTGATGGTCGATCAATCTGCCATCACGAAAGGCAAAGATAACGCTGGCCCTCAAACGGTGCCAATGGAGATGGGGTGCCACGGGATCGGCGTTTCCCGCATGATCACCGCGGTGGCGGACAGCCTAGCGGATGGCAAGGGCCTGAACTGGCCTCGCGTCATCGCGCCGTACGAAGTTATCATCGTGCCAGGCAAGGGACTCGAGGCGGATGCAGAGAAAGTTTACGATGCACTGACTGCGGCGGTGGCGCTTGGTTCTCCAGCCTTGGACGTGATCCTGGACGACCGCGACAAGCAGATGGGGTGGAAGCTCGGCGATGCCGACCTGATCGGATACCCGGTAATTGTGGTGGTCGGCAAGGGGTGGAAGAAGCAAGAGACGTTGGAGGTGCAATGTCGTCGGCTAGGTGTGCGCGAGGATGTACGTCTTGAAGCTCTGCCGGCGTTTGTGCAATCTTTGCTGCAGCGATTGTAAGCGTTTAGGCTGCGCGGGGCTATGCTGGAGGCTGGTGTCGGGGCTGAGCCGGGAAGCTTTGTACGATAGGTTGAACATGAATAACTTTGAACAAGATTGGCGGAAGTTATCCCCACTGATGAAGACTGAGTCAATTCTTATACATGTGATTGGATTTATCTTCGATTTGTACCGAGAACATAAAGAAACCCAGGAATCGACCCTGCAACTTACTCTTGGCAGAGCCACTGGTTTATTGCTCGTGTGCCTGAAAAGAGAGCGTGATCCGTTCAACTTCTACATGGGGCGACTCAAGCTCATCATCATCATCAACAAACCCCTTCACCACCATTTCCATCAAAAACCACACAAACACACACCTACACTCACACACACAATCCTTGAACACCAACACCACGACACCACAGACAAAAATTTACCCCACCACAACAATGACCAACACCACCACCACCCCCATCCCCTCAAACAACCCCCCCCACCCCCCACAAAACAATCCCATAACAAACACCCCCCGCATCGGCATCGCCGTCCTAATCTTCGGTCCCAACAACCTTGTCCTCCTCGGCCAACGCCTCGGCAGCCACGGCGCCGGCACTTGGGCCCTCCCGGGTGGACACCTCGAACCCGGCGAAACCTGGGAAGCCTGCGCCGCGCGCGAAGTGTGCGAAGAGACCGGCCTCAAAGTTTCAGGATTGACATACCTAACCGCCACCAACGACCTCATGCCCGACGAGAACAAGCACTACGTTACCATTTTTATGGGGTGTGAGCTGGCGGACGGCGCTGCTGCTGCTGCTGCTGATGGTGCGCTGCCGCCGCCGCCGGTCCTGGAGCCGAATAAGTGCGCGGAATGGCGGTGGGTAAATTGGCAGGAGGGGGTTATGCGGTGGTTTCATGTGCAGGAGCGGGCGGAAGCTGATGCTGAGGATGCTGAAGCTGAAGCTGAGGGTGCGGAGGAGGAGAATGCTGCATTGAGGGACGGCGACGGCACCATCAGGGTGGAGTATCCGTTGTTTTTGCCTCTGCGGAATCTGCTCAAGCAGAGGAAGTATTATCGGCCGTTTGAGGAGTATCAGATGTTGGCTGGTTAGTCGGACATCGCTCGATGGTTATGTTGATATGCTAATGGGTGGTGGGGGGAGGGTGTTTCTTTTGTATGATATGATAGCATCTCGTCATGATGGATGAGGTCTTAATTATAGAATTCGTTTCCGATCAATCACTTATTCTGGAGGTTGTAGTTGTAGATTTGCTGATATTCTTTGTTACTATACAGTCGGGGAAGAGTAGGCTAAGTTGTTGGTTGGCACAAGTGCGCCAGAAACTATTCAGTAAGATGCATACTTCATAAGTTATCCAAACCATACACGGCTTGATATTCTCGACCTGTTCTAGCAGGCTTTTACAACAAAGCAGTCCTACCTCCTTGCTACAGAAGGACATCCAGAGCTGCTTTTCCTCTTTTTCTTCTTCTTCTTCTTCTTCTTCTTCTTCTTCTTCTTCTTCTTCTCCTCCTCCCCCTCTCAGTATCTCCCTGGGTAGTAATCATGGAATATAGATTCATGTCTCGAATTTCTTAAGAGATGATGAACGAAAGTAGCCAGTATGTTCAAGACTCAAGGTATGCATGAGGCGCATAAGCAGTAGTCATAGACATCGACCTGCCGTAGCGATTTACTGTGAATTTAACTGACAAGCTCTGATTTGTATACCTAAGCATTCATATTTGGCTACTTGCAAGTACATTTTTAGCCAATTTATGCCGCTGCAGAGTTAGGATATACACGATGTCTCTTCAAGAACCCTCAAACTTGTTAGAAACCATTCACGCTGTAGGCAGATACCAAGCAAGCATGAAAGGGGTATGGTCATAGTCACAGTCGGTAGTTAACTTCCTAAGTAGAGTTGAATTGTGGATCGCAGATAAGGATGGTGCAGCTGAAAAGCAACCTCATGCACTTCGTAGACTATTCAGCCTATTGGATACGTACAGAACTTCAATCATCCTCTCAATCAAGTATCCTTAGCATACTCGACGATTATCATGTCCATGCAACCATCAAAGTAATCCATAGTATCCCATAACTAACCAGCCCCACTTACCATCAACACAGCATAATTACTAATTATCACACAATCAACACACAACCAATGCACAAACCACCCCCACTCCCCACCTACACTCACCTCCAATACTCCTCCGTCCGTACAATCCGGCGCCGCAACAAGCAAGCAAAGCTTCAATCACAACCCCCGAAGCAAAAGGTACATACAGCCCGGCACCGCACCACACTCCACTTCAACCTCTCAACCTCCCCTCACTCATCACACCCCCCTTTTCTTCTCTTTCTCTAACAACAAACAATCAACCAGTACCACCATCCCCGCCCCCGCCAAAATGTCAGAAACAACCTCCTCCTCCGACCCCCCACCAGGCTCAGGTTCGTCGAAATCCCCATACCTTAAGCCCTCCCACCCACCCCCCAACTCCCATCTCCTCAAACCGCACAAATCATACTATACCCCCTAATTCACAAATCACAAACAAACTAACCCTCCAAACCCACAAAAAGTGAACATCGCCTCCCTCTCCGTCCCGCAACTCCGCGCGCTCCAAACCCGCCTCTCCTCAGAACTCGAGCACCTGACCACCTCGCACGCGAAGCTGCGCGCCGCCCAGCTGAAATTCAAGGACTGCGTGCGCTCCATCAATGAGGGAGTGGTCGGATCCACGAAAAAGGGCACCGCGGGCCAGGAGGATATTCTGGTGCCGTTGACGAGCTCGTTGTATGTGCGCGGCAAGTTGGCGGATCGCGAGAAGGTGCTGGTTGATGTGGGAACGGGGTTTTATGTTGAGAAGGTATGCCTGGTTTATCCCCCCTTCGCTTCGGTCGGGATGCTCGGTTATTGGGGGCTTTGATTGCATGGGAGAGACTTAGTGTTGGGGATCGGGCTTGGGGAACTACTGGGATGCCAGGCTAACCATATCGCATAGACGGCTCCCAAAGCCATCGAGTTCTACGAAGACAAGGTCAAGAGCCTAGAGACAAACCTCACCGAGTTGGAGAAGATCGTCCAGACAAAGAGTCAGCAGCAGAGGCTTTTCGAAGATGGTATGTTGTTGCCCGTCTCTAATCACCTCATCCTGCAAGCAACGCCCGAGAAGTCATTATTGCATAACAAAACTGCCAATACCGAAACTAACCACTCGATAACCAGCTCTGAGACAGAAGCTACTTACCGAGGGTGCTGCGTCCTCCGCCACTGCCACTGCCGGTGCAGGTTAATCAGGTGGCCACAATTAGGTACAGAAACACAGAAGGAAACAATGGCATCAATACATTCATCGCCATAATTTGAAGCAGCAAATCGAAAAGAAATCGTAGCTTTCCAATGCAGATAGCGGTAAGCCTACCCTAGAACAAAGTTCCGAGGTCCGCATCTAGAGCCCTAGCATTGCCGCTCGACGCCGGGCTCGCCGAACGGCCGTTGGCTTCCTTTGAAGTTACGGTGCTTTTGACGGTGGCTGGCGGCCCAGACCCGAGGACAGCTGCAACTCGCTTGACCAAAGCCACGAATTCCCAGAGCCCCTGGGATTTGTCGTCTGTCTCGATCGAGGCTGGGAAAAAAGTCTGAAGAGTCGGGTCATATCTCGCTGTCTGTCCAACAGACATATTGGCATGCTTTCCAAGCAAGTTGTCCCAGGCAAAATCAAAGATTGATGCTCCCCATGAAATGCGAGGTTTTTCTTCAAAAGTTGCTGCTAGATTCAAGGAAGCTGGACCGATGGCAGACTTGCGTGTGTACTCGTCGTAGCGGGCTATCTCTAGGATATACCTAGTACCCTTCAGACGGTAACGAATAGAGGTCTTCTCGATGAACCGGAAGACTGGCGCCGAAGAGTGAAAGAGAACTTTGCGAGTAGGGGTGGCCGAGATATCACTCATTGCATCGTTGGGCTTGAACTTGATTGTCTGAGAGAACTCCCGCAAAGCCTTCTCGACTGCAGACGCTTCATAGAACTCGAGCGACGCGACTTCAAGCTGCCAATCGGACCTGTGACTGGGTCAGTGTTGTATAACATAGAGTCTTGAACAAAAAATCCAAGATGAATGGCAGCATAGAAAGTAAACCCACCTTTCGAAGTCAATAACTCCCACCTGCAGAGGTGAGCGCGAGTCCTGGACATGTCCGACCTTGCGCGGTTTAAGCCAACGGCTGTGAATCATTCCATAATCGTGTGCTCCAGGACACTTGGCGAACTCGGCCTCCAAACGCAGGAGAGAATTCTGCTGACCAGTGAACTCGAAGTTGACGGAAAATGCTGGCTCTGGTTGTCTCAGCGAGTCCTCTGTACGGTCATACGGCTGAAGGAGGTCGCTGGCAGCAAGCAGTCTGGGAAGCAGCTGGGTCTTGTCAATTTTCAGACTATGTGACTTGTCAGCAGTGTATCACAGGTATCAGTGAGGATATGGCATACCCTGGTACTAAACGGCCCTTGGTATTTTCGTGGAGCAGCATTTCCCATAATTCCTCAAAGCTCCAAGCGGGTTTACCCTCGGACGGCACACGGTATCTATCGAGCACGAATAATCCGAGATTGACTCGCATGCGGAGATGACCACGCACGTAGATCACACCCTTCAAGAATCTGTCGACCACATTGAGGAGACGAGCATTGTTCTTCGACCGGATCAGCTCAGCTCGGTCCGCCCAAATTTGCATGTCGGTATCGTTCAACGAATTTGCCCGAAAAGCTGCACGAGTCAGTCCTCCCTCCCTTCTCGCAGAGACTTCACCCTGGCCTGACTCGAAAGGCTCAACCAGGTAGAGCTTAGATCTGACAAGACTGTTTGCCATAATCTCAGCCCACTTGTTACGCAGGAGCTGAACGATAAGACCTGTCTTGCCCTGGGCGTAGCCGACAACACAGATGTGGTCAGGCAGGTCGTCAAGAACGAACAAGTGACACTCAAATCTGACACGAATAGGATCAAGAGCTTCGAGCTCTGCGCCAAGGGCGTTCTTCAGTGAGGGACCCTCCTTCGGCCACAAGAACAAGAGCTGATCAATGAAATTGGTCAGAATTTCAGCCGTGTGAATATGATACAACGATTCACTGACCTTCTCGAAGCATGTAACGTTGGGACCAGGATCCTTACGATATGCTTGAAGCAGGGCGTCTTCTAGTTCAAGCTGATCCGCAAGCTCCTCCTTACCGACAGAATAGGCGGTGGTCCTGGTCCATTTCCTTTCCTTAGGTAAGGCGAGTGACTCACATCTCGCAAAGATGCTTTGAATGAGCTCGATGGCCTGAGATACCTGATATGGCCCCCCCCAGAGACGAATTGCCTGCGCACGTTGGTGATTTGCTGTCGAGAAGCCCGAACACTTACCTCTTGATCGCCGGCGGGTGGACATATGTAAGCTCCAGTCTTTCGGCAAATGTCGTCAAAGACATCGTTGCGTCCCTGCTGTCCGAAAGGGCGTCTAGAGGAACCGCTGCGAGCCGCAGAGCAGAAGCTAACACAGTCAGCTTATAAACACTCTTGTGCGACACGAACCATACTTACGCATCTCGAATCTCCTTAAAAGGACCTGGAAGCTTGAATATTCCTGTGGCAACACAACCTCAGTATAAATATCCATGGAAGGAGGGTGTCTCTTACCTGCTGGCTCCTTGCCATTTCTCCATTGCGCTTTTGCAGGCGTCTCTCCCGGAAGATGAGCTTGGGGCGTGGTGGAACCTCGTCTACCACGGATGGTGCAACGTGCTCTGGGAGGTCGAGCTGTTCCTCTGACGGACGCTGAAGCAGTGCTCGGAATGGTCTTTGTAGCATTTTGCATCTTTGAATTCTCCGGCTCAGGACGGTTATTCTGGGATTCAGGCCGTCCGTAACCGGGAAGTGCCCATTCTGATAGACAGTGTCAGCACGTCACTTCAGTTTTAGGGCTAGGCAGGATTGCATAGCATCACCTTGAGCGCCGGAAGCCTCGAAGCTGGAAGTCGATTAGTACTTCTAAAGTTTCAGCCAAATGGGAATCAAACAACTTACTCCATGGTTGCTCGAAGCTTTCCAGCCGAAGCTGGTCTGAAGACCACGCGAATACTTCTCAAGGAGATGTGAACAGGCTAACTAAAGAGGTAAGAACTTAATGAGGTGACTATGGGATGAAGAAAGAAGGACAGATACGAAGGGTGAAGGTTGAAAGATGGAGAGAGATGAGAGGTGGGAGACGGAAAACTGTCAACACCACAGGAAGGTGAGGTGCCCGGAGTATCGAGGAAGAAGGAACCACAAGAACAAACCTCCACAACACAAGACACTTAGCTACTGAGATACGAGACCTCAGAGATACGTCACTGGACAGAATTAATTTGGTGAGTCGATGTTCAAGAAGCCAAATTGCTTGTTTTCTAATCACTGAGTAATTGTCTCGGCAGACTGCATTCACTGCTGGAAGAGGGAAACTGATCATGGTGCTTACATTTTCGAGTGTCTGACCATGAGCTACATTCACCAATTTGGACTACGCTACTAATTGCCTCTAAAAATCAACTATACTCAAAAACAGCTCTTTTTCAGTTCTATGGTGTTATGAACTGCTAGTAGAAGTACTTGCTGCTCGGTGAATTAGAGGTGAAGTATAGCCCACTTCTTGTGATTGGCGTAGATCGGGGCTGTGCGGGCACTAGCCTTAAAAAGGAAATTAAGCACAAGCGCGCGGCAGTCGCGTCTTTTCCAGTCTCTCCATCAACATACCTTTGGAGGCACTGGACCCTCCTCCGCTGGGTCTTCAGACCATCACAAGACAATGGCCTCCGACTCATCAGGGCACGAATCTAGCTTGCGGTCGAGCAAGCCGAGTGTACGCAAGCGCGCCCAATTATGGATGACCAAGGGAGGTCTTGTCCGGGACGACTCCGACGACGAGCTGGGCGAAGAAGACCACCCATGGGAGTGGATCTATGACACTGAGGACAATAACGAGCAGGACAGCAAACCGACTGCCGACCCTTCGCAGGACACCCCAAAATCGATGCGCAAACGCTCAGCCCGGCCGAATGCCAATCGCTCACGAAAGATAATCGGTGCTCGCATGGGCTCGTTCGAATGCGCCCTAGGCCAGGTGGTGCTGCTCAAATCTCCGGAGCCCGGAAAGGACTGGATTGGAATCATCACGGAATTTTTGGAGCAAGATGATGATGATGACGAGGTCATCAAGTCGGCTAACATCATGTGGTTCGCCTCTCCGGACGAATTCATGTCAACAAAGAATAAGAGACGATCTGACGCCCTGCCCAACGAACAATACCTGACGGCCGATTTCAACGTCAATCCCCTCACCTCCATCAACGGCAAAGCTACGGTTATGTCCAAAGACGCATTCTACGCAAAGTACCCCGGCGGTGTCGCTCCGAAGGGAAAGGAAGCTCTGGCGGACTTCAACAAGTGCATTGTGTGTCGCAGAGGAGTGAACCAGGTTCAGGGAAGATATACCGAAGAGTTCGTGTGGGAAGAGGTCTACCGAGAGGACAGAATTTTTGATCTCATTGGCATGATCAAGAATGGGCTCAAAGCAGCGAAGAAACGCAAGCAGATTGACAACGACGTGAGTTCATGGAGATGGTCCGTTGCGAGTTCACATTCTAATTTGAATCTGTCCCTAGTATGTGGAAAGTAAAGAGGAAGAGGAAGTCGCCCCGAGTACACCCAGGAAGAGACAGAAGGTGGCTTCACATGCTACTCCGCAATCCAGACGTCAGAAGTCCCTGACTACACCGACTCATAAGAGGTAATTGATTTCATTTCCCCCCTTCCTCGGTACACAGGCTCACAGCATTACAGGATTGTTGTCAAAAAGCCGCTTGAATTCACCCCCCTCGGCACCCGTATCCTTTCACCCTCACAACTGGCCTCTCCCTACCGACAGGCACGGACTCTCCTCCATGTGTCAACCGTGCCGCAGTCTCTGCCTTGCCGCAAAACGGAGTTTGACGCGGTCTACAGTCACCTTAGCGCAGCCATCATGGAAGGGACAGGTACTTGTATCTACATCTCTGGCACACCTGGAACGGGCAAGACAGCAACCGTTCGCGAGGTTGTGGCTCAGTTGAACGCCGCCGTCCTGGCGGAGGAGATGGACGACTTCATCTTTGTCGAAATCAATGGCATGAAAGTGACCGATCCCCATCAATCCTACTCCCTGCTCTGGGAAGCGTTGAAGGGTGATCGTGTATCTCCTTCCAACGCCTTAGACCTCCTCGAACGGGAGTTTTCACACCCTTCTCCCCGGCGAGTGTCTTGTGTCGTTCTGATGGACGAGCTCGACCAGCTGGTCACCAAGAACCAATCGGTCATGTACAATTTCTTCAACTGGCCAGCCCTGCGACACTCTCGACTGATCGTTCTCGCCGTCGCCAACACCATGGATCTCCCCGAGCGAACCCTGAGCAACAAGATCTCCAGCCGTCTCGGCCTCACCCGCATCACCTTTCCTGGTTACAAACACACCGACCTCATGGAGATCATTAGCACCCGCCTGGCCAACGTACCCGGCAAAATCGTGGACGCAGACGCCATCCAATTTGCCAGCCGCAAAGTCGCCGCCGTCAGCGGTGACGCCCGCCGCGCCCTCGACATCTGCCGACGAGCCGTCGAAATTGCCGAGCAACAAGCCAACGAGGCCGCCCGCAAAGAACCTCTCGAGACCATCGACGAAGATGACACCGAATCCATGCCCCCGACCCCGAGCAAAACCCCCGCCCGCAGAGATCGCGCGGCGGCCTCCACCCCAAAACCACTCCTCCCTCCGTCCTCCCCGCAAAAGAGAACTCAACCCACCACAACCAACATCGGCCGCGTCACCATCGCCACCATTAAACAAGCCATCCAAGAAGCCACCTCGACCCCGCTTCAGCAATCCCTCCGCTGCCTGCCCCTCGCCGCGAAACTCTTCCTGGCCGCCCTCCTCGCCCGCGTCCGCCGCACCGGCATCTCTGAAACCACCGTCGGCGAAGTCATCGATGAAGCCAAGCGCATCGCCGACGCCGCCGTTGCTGTCGCCGGCGCCGCCGGCGTCGGTATCCGGGAGTTCTTGCTTGCCGGCGGAGGAGGCAATGGGGCGCGTGTGCGTGCGCTGGGCTCCGCGGCCATGGAGCTGATGAACTCGGGTGTCCTGGCCCTGGAGCATGGCGCCGGCGCCAAGGGGCCCCTGGGCAGCGCGGCGATGCCGCATCGCGGCGATCGGAGCGGAAAGGTGCGGTTGCGGGTGGCGGCGGAGGATGTGCGCTCCGCGTTCTGTGAGGATGTCGAGGCTAAGGGGTTGGGGTTGGGCATTGAGCAGTAAACGCCGTCTAACCCTTGGCGAGATCGGATGACTAGCTTTGTATGATATAATCAAGATAGATAGATGCAAATGATACCCACGTTTTTTGAGCATGACTTCCGTCATCGAATTTGTTATATCAGGCATAGGTGAAGACCGTCGTGAGAGTCGATTTGGGCTTACGAGCTGATCTTTGTGATGATGGACGAATACAATCTCATGAGGCTTATTCACTCTATAGTACACCCAGTGCGTGGTTGGCCCGCGAACAACCGAACCTCCGAACAACCATTTTGAGAAACATGTGAAGATCTAGATAATTCCGCAGTATACCGGGACAGTAAACATTCAAGCCACAACGCTGAACTCCGGAACACGAAACAAGTATGGGATCTGCAACCGGGCCTGGATTTGATGGCCGTGATAAAAAAGTAAAAAAGAAAAGAGAGAACAAGGGAGAGAGGGAAAAGAGTAAAAAAGGTTTGTCGTACTCGTGAATGGGATATATTCACAGAGGCATTGGAGGCTGGAATTGGAGAAGGGGTATTTTCCCAACGGGGAGGTGACTATATGGAGGAAGAAAGAAGGAAGGAAGAAAAAACCACCTGGGACGCGTGAGGGAATGGATTTTGCCAGGGCCAGGGATAAACGAAACTAATATCTCTGCCGACCTAGAGTCGGCGCCCAGGTGACCGGATGCGATTCCGGGGTGGCCTCGTCGTCCTGCTTCCAGATCTTGATCGTCTTGTCGGCTTCGCCGGTGATCAAACGGAGGCCTGTGCGATCGAAGGTCGAGGACATGATGCCGGCCTCAGCCTCGAGGGAACCGGGCTGGGCGATGGAGTCGATGCTCTGGAACTGATAGCCGGTCTTCCAGTCCCAGAAGCACATGGAGCCGTTGTCGCCGCCGGAGAAGAGAACGTTGTCCTCGTTGGCGGCGAGGGTGTTGATGACGGCGTTGTGACCCTCGAAGTTCTGCATGAACTCGCCCTCGGGGCACTTCCACTGCTTGATGGAGCCGGTGCTGGCGCTGGCGAAGGTGAACTCGCGCGGGTGGGTGACGATGTTGCGGACGCCCTTTTTGTGGTGCGTCAGCACGCCCATCGACTTGCCGGCCGCCAGGTCCCAGAGGCGCACAGTGGAGTCGAGGGAGCCCGTGATGATCTGCGGGTCGGCCTCCTGGCATTTGACGTCGGCAACGGTGCCGCGGTGGCCGGAGAGTACGTGGATGTTGCTGCGCGTGCGCATGTCCCAGACACGGGCCACGCCGTCCCGGCCGCCGGTGACGAGGAGATCCAAGCGCGGGTGCAGGGCCAGGGTGTACACGCCGCTCAGGTGGCCGTGGTAGTGGCGGATGACCTTATTGGTTTCGAGGTCCCAGCACTTCACCATCTTGTCCTCGCCGCAGGAGAAGAGGTACGGGTGGCGCGGAGAGACTGCCAGACCGCGCACCGTGGAGATGTGTCCGGTGAGGGTGAGACGGAGGGCACCAGTCGCCAGATTCCAGATCTTGATCGTCCGGTCACCCGCACCACTGGCGAACCATTCGTTGTTGGGCTCGACGGCCAAGCTGCGCACCCAGCCCAGATGGCCGGATATCACGCGCATGAGCTTCCAAGGCGCATGCCAGTCGGGTCTCTGTTGTCGCGTCGCCGATGGTCGCTGGATCAGGCTCTTGGGTTCGTTCTCGCCACCAACACCGCCCGCCGCCGGCCCGGGGGCTTTCTTGACCAGCGCCATTGACGCGCCGCTGCCGTCTGCGGCCGAGGCTTTTGTTTGAGCTTGGATCTTGGGTCTTTTGGCGCGTCCGCTGGCAGCGGCCGCCGCCGCGGCTTGCTTCGCAGCGAGCGCGGGGGGCAGTTCTTTGACGTCGTCGTATTCTGCTTTGCGTCGGTAGGAAAGACCAATGGAGCCGTTGACGACCGAGGGGGTGACCATGAGGTAGTCGGGACCGAAAAGCTCCGCGGTTCGCTTTGCAGAGAGGCGCACAGCCTCATCGGGTGATGTGGAGGGAACGACGTCCATTGTGTAGGGGAAGGTGAGGAGGGGGTGGGTTTGAGGTGATTGCGTGGGCGATCGGTCGGGGACGTTGGCGTCCTGATCCCTCAGGACAGGGTTGCGAGGGCTTTCGGGCTTTGATGGCCCAGAGCAAGAGGTTCACACAGCGGAAAATTGTCTAAGAATGCGGATGTACTGAGTTTGCGCGTGAAATGTCAGAACGTCGTTGGCGAAAGAATGGTGGGTTAGTCTGGCGATGAAGTGAAGCTGCCGAACTGCGGACAGGAAGCGAAGCTCTGGTTTTCCGCATGTAGTGGTGCCTGAGGCCAAAGATCAGGTGTCGAGGCCGCTCATCTCCGCATGTGCAGGCCAACATCCATCCGATCATCCAAAGCCCCGCCCGCAAACAAGAAAACAACTGCAATCATGAACACTAGCACGGAAGCTAAATTTCCTCTTCATGAGGCTGCTCGGGAGGGTAAAGGTAGGTCTCTATATCTCCATTCAGCATTCAAAAGCGCAACTAAGTACTAAAAAGCTAATCTACAAAGTCGCGGTTGCCGAGTCTCTGTTGACTGTATGTTACGAACTGTCCCCGCACGGGTGACGGGCAGAAATATGTCGACTGACATCTTCTGCAGGCCAATCCCAAGCTCGCAGCCACCAAGGATGACGACGATCGTCTTCCAATTCACTGGGCGGTAGCCTACAATCACCTCCCGATTGTGGAGCTGCTCATCTCAAACAAGCACTTTGATCCAGACGTGGAGGTAAGCCATCCGAGCAGAGATGCACGATGGCAACAAGCCTGCTAAGAAGCCTCATAGGATGGGTCAGGCTGGACACCGTTGATGATTGCCGCAAGCTTGAAGAACGCCGAAGGGGACCCCATTATTGATCTTTTGTTGAAGAAAGGCGCTGATGTAAGCGTGAAGAGCGTCTCTGGACAGGTGTGTACCCAGCGAGCTATATCTACTGACTGTCATCGTAAATGTTAACCATTCCATAGAACGCTCTTCACTTTGCAACTTCGAAAGCCAACCTTTCCACGGTCCGTACGCTGATTGCCAACAAGTGTAGTGCCCGGGTCAAGGATAGACGCGGTCAGCTCGCGCTTCATCGGGCTGCGGCTATTGGATCCACCCCCATCATCAAGGTCTTACTCGAGGATGGCAAGAGCCCGGTGAACGCAACTGATGTCGACGGACTGACCGCGCTGCATCATGCGATATCCGAGGGACATGGCGATGCGGCGATCACGCTACTCAAGGCCGGCGCGGAGGCAGACAAGAGAGACTCCAGCGGGGTGTTGGCCATTGATATGGCACCTGATAACAAGGTACGACTGATGTATATCAAGGCGAGTGCCTGGGCTAATGATTGCGTAGGTTCGGAGCTACATACTACAGACAGCGGAGAGGGAGGGAATAGACTTGTAGGACCGTAAAAACGTAATAATTGAAAATGCGGTGGAAATTCCATACCGGAGTCCGACACAATGTCAATAACTAATGAAACTCGATACCCGGCGTCTCTTCAGACTCAACACAGATTCAATAAGCTTTCAGCAGGCACATGTATCACGTAACATCGTGTATAGCGAGATCTAGCCCGCAGCAAAAACTTTCTATGTACAAAGGGACATATCTAGATAGTAAAAAAGCAACGGCAAAGGGATAATAGCCTCATTTCATCGTATTGTCGACCAACTCCCGGTATATTTTTTTCAGATCAGCAATATCTGCCTCTAACTCGTCCACCTGCTCGCTCTTTTCGCCCAGCATCTCCAGTGTAGTCTGGTACCGCTGGTCGAGTTCCTCGAGCCGCTGTTCAAGCTCGTGCACGCGAGTATCAGAGGTTCTCTTCGCCTCAACCTCCCGCATCAGATCTACAACCTGTTGTCGAGCTTCGTCGCGCTGCGTAGTGATCCGAGCAAGCTCATCCTTCGATGCAGCGCGTTCACTCTCGAGCCGACGGACGGTGGCACTCATGCGCTCGACCAACTGCACTGAGGGCCCTGCGCCAACTGTCGACTCTGAAATAATGTCATTAATGCCGCGTGAAGGATTTGTAGGCGCCCCGCCGTATGCTGAGGGAGTGGCAGAGTGACTGAAGAGTTCATCATGCTCGAAATTGATCGAAGGCGTTTCCGGAATAGGTAAATGTATCGAACTAGTTGCAGTCGAGGGCGAGAGAATGGATTGTGTGGATAGGGGGAATGAGTTCTGGCGTGAGAGATTGCCCATATCGGGCGAAGTCGGCAATGTCGAGGGACGGCGACTGGTTGATCGATAGTCGGACAACGTCCCGATAGGCTCTAAAGCACTGGGCCGACGACTGTAGGCCACTGGTGATTGCGTTCGAGGTTGCTGCAGGAAAGCCGGCGGCGAAGATGCCTGCTCGCGCAGTTTTGCTCGCTCGTCTTCGAGTTTCTGCCCCCATGAGGTTTCGATAATTTTCTGCTGTTCAGCAAAGTCTTTCTGAGCCGTGTCTAAGTCGGCGGTAGCTTTTTTGAGCCTTTGTTCCAGCTTCTGGATCTCTTCGGTGGCCTCCTCGAGTTTGCTCTCAAGGTCGTGCTGGGTCTCTTTCGCGGCTTCGAGCTCCTCCTCTATACGTTTCACCTTCAGATTCTATGCACGAAAAGTCAGTCTATCGGTCACCATTTAATTTCGTCGTTACAGCGGTAGTGCTTACTGCCTCGCGTATCTTTCGGCGCATCTCGCCCTCTCGCCGTGCGGCCTCGTCCCGCTCCTTCTCGGCATTGGCCAATCGAGCAAGCAACGAGCCCTCCAGGGTCTGCCAATTTTCGCTAGCCACAGCGTACTGCGTCTGGAGGGTCTCAATTTGTCGAAGTAGTTTCACTTGCGTGTCTCCAGACACACCGGAGGAAGCTTCCTCAGCTCGAAAGCGAAGGGACTCCATTTTGCTCTCCAGCATCAATTGCTCGTTCTTGAGCTCTACTTCCAGCATCCGGGCCCTCTCTTTCTCCTGCTCTATGGTAGCTTGTAGATCGCTGATTTCGCGCCTCAATTTCCCTTCGGTAAGCTCTCTTTCTATTTTCACGCTGGAGATGTCCTCCTCCAACTGAGTGGCGCGGCGCCTCTCCTGCTCAAGTGCCTCTGACTGCGCCTTAGCTTCAGCTGCCTCCGCTCGAGCAACGGCTCGTGCTAGTTGTCCCTTCATTTCCTGCACTGTTTGGCTGAGGGCATTGCGCTCTGCAGTCAAAGCTTCGAATTCTCGGGACACCTTCATCTGCGAAGAAAGCAAATCACTGGCCCTCTTCTCTGCGGCCTCTGCTCGTTTTGCCCGAGCTTCTGCACTGCTGAGGTCTCGTTCGAGTTTCTCCGTTTTCTTCTTGGCTTCGCTCTGGGTTTTTGCATTGTCGCTTAATTGTTGTCTCAACTTTTTGATGACTGTTCGGTGATCCATTTCCGACTTGGAAAGTTTTTGACCTTCATCAAGCAGAAGGGCTATTTTCTCGTCCTTTTCTCTGAGCTGTCTTTCTAAGCTCCCCGGTTCTGCCGTTGTAGCAGCCTGCTTGGCGGTTTCGGCGGCTTCCTTCGCGAGGTATTTGAGCTTAGACTGCAGTGCATCAATCCGCTCGATGTAGCCGTGCATTTCATCTTGCCAATGAGATTCGGCAATTTTGTGCTCGGCCTGCAATTGAGCAATCGTCTTCTCCTGACCGTTTGCAAGGTTATCATTGGGTTCTTCAGAAGGCTCTGAAGACGGAAGTGATGTAGGCGCAGACAATTCCGAATCGTTAGCGAGGGATTCTGTTATATCAGGAGTAGAGCTGGGCACAACAACATCTTCAGGGTTTTCCATCGCAGTATGCGGAGACAATGCGCTCTCGTTCAATAGCGGGCCATTGTCACTGGACTCTCGCGTACGCCCCGAATCGGTGCTACTACGCAACGCAGCTGCGACTGAGGTTCCATCGACTTGACTTGAATTGCGTGAGTGGCTTGCTGATCCCGTAACTGCTTGCCCGAGGCTGGGTTCAATATCCATACTAGATCGGGCGCCGTTGCTGGGAACAGGACTAGTAACAGGTGACGAGTTCCGACTAGAGCCCTGCGTGGAGAGAGGACCTGGCGCATTCTTCACCATTGCCCGAGCTAGGCGTTCCTGAAGCCGGTCATTTTTGCGCGCATTGGATGAACTGCGGGAGAGGTCTGGGGGCAGTTAGCGATCCGACAGCCTGGCCTAGGCGAGAATGGAGCGTACTTCCGGTTTGCTCTGTCGGCTTAGTTTTCGGGGCCACATTTTTCGCTTGTCCTTGCTTCTGATCCTCCTCTTCCGCTAATATTTGGTCTAATCTCGACTCAACGCCCGCGACAGCCTGTTGTAGAAAAGAGCCGACCTTCCACTTTGGCTTATTGCCTTGCGAATTCTGGGCCATGGTGACGATCTGAGTGCTTGTCTATAATCCAGGCGAGCCTTTCTTTGCGCATGAACAGTTTGCGCAATCCTTAGTAATAGGTCATGCAGCGAGATAATTGTATGTCATCAACGGCAGCTCGTCAAGAGAGTGATGCGATATGCTTCGAGTTGGATTGTTGTCACCGAGCGGGGAAGACGAGGCCAGAGGCGAATAAAATGGGGGGTGGTCGGAGTAAATCGGACGTTGAGAGGTCAATTAAGGCAGAAGGAACGTGAAGATGCGAAGATTGCGAGCAGAAATAGCCAACTCTGGACGGGAAGCCAAATGGCAGCCTGGGATGATGCAGCTTGCGTGGACGGAGAAGTTGCAGCGCAACCAGCCGGGGTGGCTTGGCGATCGATGGAATGAATGACCGTTTACTCAATCAAGCCCATCATCCATTGCTGCCAGTCGTCGGACGGGCCCGAACCACCTCCGACCTTCATCTTTCCCTCAGCTCCTCCCACGCCCCTCCTGTTGTCGTCGTCGTTCTCCTCCTCCTTCTCCCCCACTTCTGTTCTTCATTCTTCTACTCCTTCTACTCCTCCTTGATTGTCGCTAGTCTCTCTTCCGGTTGGATTCCTGTCCATCTATTCCAGGATCCATCATGTCGTCGTTGCCCCTGGAGCCGCCCACGTATCTCAGCTCGCTGCAGAACAACATCCGAGCTCGCCCTATTCCCTGGGAGGGAGCTGTCCGTGCTGGCAACATCACTGATGAGCACCTGAAGAAGATCAAGGCCGTCGATAAGGTTCGCAAAGAGCAACGGCGTCAGACGGTTGAGGGCGATCTAGCTGGATATGTTAGTCTGCTGGCAGGCGGGCCTGAGAGCAAAAGCGTGCTGGACTCCGCCGCCAGACGAACGGACATCGTGCAATGCATCCTCGTGCTGGCCGCGGACTTGATCAACGGTAGAATCTCATGTGCTCTTTAGACACCATGGACTGGTATTGATGAATAATTACCAGATGTTCCTTCTCTCGCAACGGCTCTAGTCACCCATCCCGACCCTTACAAGCCATTCCTCCCCCTCTTGCGTCATTCGACCAACGCTGAAGACCCTATCCCCTTACTCACCTCCACCTTCCTGACAAGCCTGGTATCAGTCAGTCTGTTCGCATCCTCGAAGCCAGCACCGCGCGATGACGAAGCGCTTCCGCAGTTGTACACTTATCTCTCTACTCTGACCCAGAATCAAGACAGCGGGCTGCAGGATATCGGGGTTCAAGAGCTGTCCGCACTTCTTCGCACTGCAAGAGCGCGTGAGCTCTTCTGGCAACAAAGGAAGCAGACTGTTGATCCTCTCATTGAGATCCTGCAGTCCGCGACCGGCTCGAAAGATAGCAGTTCGAGCACACTGGCAGGCAGTACGCGCGGAATTGAGCCTGGTCTTGCAGGTGGTATCGGACTTCAACTCCTGTACAGAGTATTGCTTGTGCTGTGGCAGCTGAGCTTCGAAGGTGAATTGGTCGGAGATGATCTACAAAAGTACGTGGTGCGATATGTCGTTACGAGCAATGAGGCTAATAGGTGCGCCAACTAGTGATTATGAATTTGTTCAACTCTATACACACCTTCTCCGCCTGTCCCCGAAGGAGAAGACGACACGGCTACTCCTCGCTACCCTGAACAATCTCCTTTCCAGCAACCGCACGACTCTGCTTCCAGTCGCCGTCTTCGTTCGCCTGCCCGCGCTGCTGGCGAACCTCTCCGGTCGCCACTTGACGGATGAAGATCTGCTGGAGGATCTCCAGGCTTTGACAGAGCTTTTGGATGAATACACCAAGACACAGACGACGTTTGACCAATACGCGGCAGAGCTGCAATCGGGCCATTTGCGGTGGTCGCCTCCGCACCGGAACCCTACGTTTTGGAAGGACAACGCACGGCGCATCCTAGACGATAACAACGGTGCACTTCCCAAGAAGCTCGCAGAGATTCTGTCTAAGAGCTGGGACAATGACAAGCAGGTCTTGGCGATTGGATGCAATGATGTGGGCCATTTGGTCAAGGTGCTTCCCGAGCGGCGGGCACAGCTGGAGAAACTGGGCTTGAAGACGCGGGTCATGGAACTGATGGCTGACAAGGACGAATCGGTGAGGTGGGAGAGCTTGCGAGCTGTAGGAGAGTGGCTGCGCTATACGTTTGACGACTGAGGGGGGCGGAAACCCGTACGCTCAAACCGTGCTTGATCTTATTTTGTCACATTGCTCTTTGTCGTCCGTATGTACTGGGCTTAGACGAGCTATCCTGGGCTGCTCTTGTATGAAGTACTTGTAAATTCTGCACTGGTCAGCGTAATTTGCCTGAATGTGAATATTTTTTGAATGCGCTCAGTTGAAGGTCATCAGGATCAGGTTTTGGTTCCATCCGAATTTCTCGGAAATGGAGCGGTGGATGCCGCCCGCGCCTGCCTTATCAATCAATTAATCAACCGTCCGTCGAGAGTCGTCGGAATTTGCTGCTTATCGCCGCCACCGGCATGTTGTGGAGGGGCGACTTACTATCCTCGTGCTCATACGGCAAATTCAGCTTCCCAAGCCGGTCGCTCTCTGATTCTCCTTCTCGAATTTCTCTGCAGCAACTGCCTTTGTTTCACCCCACTGCCCCTCCATCCGCTGTGGAATCCGGTCGATCTGCGCCCCTGGATCTCTCCACCCTGGGGTAACCGAACATCCGCGGAGAAAAACAGAAACGAAGTCCCTCCGGCCCAGGAACGAACCACTAAGTCTTTCGAAAGCAGCAGATCTCGAATCAAAGCACAACCACACATGTCGCGATCCTTCACTGGGTGCAAGCGATGTAAGGCCCGCCGGCAAAAGTGTGACGAACAGCGTCCCAGTTGTGGTCGATGTCAGCTAGCCAATACACCGTGCCGATATGCGATGCAGCTGCAGTGGGGAGGGCGGGCTTTCTCGCGCTCGCGGTTCGGAGCCTGCGTGGGTAACGGAGGCATGCATAAATTGGGTACGAGCTCTCATAGGTACTTTTTTGTGGTGTCCCGGTCCCTAATAGAACGGCTGTTGTCTAGAGTATTCACCCGGGGAGTTCATCTACACCACCAACTCATCCTCTACGGCACTATCGCTCGGCTCAATGATCGGTGGTTCCTCGTCTACTTCTACAGCAACGACGACCGCTACAACTAGTCTAAACTACTACATAGACCCGTTCGCCTCCCTCTCGACAGATCAAAAGTCTCTCCTCCACCACTTTCTCAATGATGCCTCGCAAATTACCGCCTGCCATTCCGGCATGCAACAAGACATTTGCAAGATGCTGGTCCCGATGGCTCTGCAGACACCGTCTCTGCTTTACGCAACTATGGCTCTCTCTGCTATCCACCTACAGGCCCTCCACAATCAATCCGAGAACGTCAAATCCGCCCCAGAAATTGCGCGCTTCATGGCTCTCAGCCTGGAGCACTTCCGCAAGGAATTGGAGAACCCCGCCAGCCGAGGGTCCGATGCCTTGCTGGCCACAGCACGCACCCTCTGCTTAGCTGAGATTCATTCAGGTGCCATTCATCCTCATTCGTGGCGTGCACACGTCGCGGGGGCGAAGGCCCTCATGGATTCCTCCGACCAACGCGGAGTCCTGTCTCCGGGATCGCCTGAGGGATTTCGTCGTTATCTCGACCGGTGGCACCGGTCAATCGTCTCACTAACAGCGTTGACAGGGAACGGTCCGCCCATCGGGGAGGAAGCAACTGTCACCGAGAAGATACACGATACAGCGACCCCGGATTACCTCGATGACTACTGGGGATTCACAGTCAATCTAGCCGCGATCTTCCGAGCCATCGGTGCGGCATCTTGGCGCGAGCATCAGTATCTACTTCAGCAGCAGGGATCTGGGCACGATCCGGCGAGTGGGGACACATCTATCAATATCGACGTCGCGCACGAGGCAGCCACGCTTGAGAACGCCCTTCGTCGACTTATGGCAGCTGAAGAGATTGGAACTCAGCCAACCTTCTATCCCGGGGTCATGGAGGGACTCTCACCTGACAGCGTCCGCCAGCTGATGCTCTGCAACGAGACGTTTCAGTGCAGCGCGCTCATCCAGATCCACCGCCGCTTGTATAAGACACCTGCGTCGGCACCCGTGGTGCAGGACGCAGTCAAGCGGATCCTGGAATGCACAGCACAGATTGGGCCATCTCCGGGCCTGAGCCCCTGGGTGTTGCTCACGACACCACTATTCATTGCGGGATGCGAGGCGCGTGGCGCAGATCGACAACAGGTCCGCCAGCTCCTGGCATCACTGCATGACACGATCCGAGTGCCGAATGTTCTGCAGTCGTTGAGGTTGTTGGAGCAGTACTGGGGGAATCAACTGGATGAGAATGAGGGATGGACTCAGTTCTTGGGTACGTTGCTCTCCGCTTTCATAACTTTTGATTGCTAATAGGATGTCAGATCGTATGAGAATTGACTTCATCCCATATTGATTGAATAAACGGGGGCCGTTCCTGTGGGACTAGGGTTCCACCAGAAGCTTTTATGTGGCACGATTGATGCATGTTTATATTAGGGTGCACTCTGTCCATAGATAGGGTTTTGAGTCACCTTGCTTTGTGCTATTTTAGCGACGAGTTGTTGGCGTTGGTTCATTTATTTCTGCGGGCTTTGCATCTGCATATGGCAATACTTTCGTTCTTTATCTGCTAGTACTCCGTAGGTGGTATTTCCATGAGACGCGCGAGGTTGATCCACACAAAGGCGGGATGGCAAACAAAGGGATCCCGCAGGTAACCAGGGATTCAGGGGGGGGTGGGTAGTGTTTGCCCGTGTATGTAAGACAAGACCCTTTCTTCCCTTCAGTCGAGATCGGTTCCAATGCGCAATACCGTAGAAGTGCGTACATGTAAAGTGTACTAGTTTACTCGTGCCTACATTCCATCGCATGTTGCAACGGTTTCTCCAGGGGGTTGAACACATACTGTGCACGTAGCCAAGCATCGATCCTGGGCGTGTCAATATACTACCTCACTATATCAAAGGATCGCTTATTCTATACTTAGAATCCTTCCTAAAGCAACAGTCACGCCCACACCTAGTCGCCCGCTTCCTGGGCACAGACATATGTAGTTTAAAGCCGCCAGTTTACTCTAAGGTAAGTGATTAGTAGTTACACCAACTGGGTCCCTATGTATGTGCATCATGCATAAACACCCCACTGTACCACTAGCAACCATCCCCGAGTGACTAACTCCTCCCTAACTAGACCTCTTCTCCGGCGGCTAAATTTCACCACCGAGGAATTACGGAGTAGTCGTCTCAGAGTTTCGCGCGCGCGTGCGTGCGTGCGTTAGGTTACGTGCATGCATGATTTTGCCATGCAGATAAAGGCAATAGTTGGAAGTTGGAGGTAAGAATAGCGGGCTTGGCTGGGAAGTAATTCCGTACTACCTCGTACCATAACTTATAGGCAGTACACACCTGTAGGCTTTTTAGCCGCCGTTGGATCCAGGGCTGCCCGGAGTACATAAAGCTGGAGGGCCGGGTTGCGTTGAGTGCTTGGGTCCGCGGGTCCGCATCCTTTGCGGGCGCCGACTAGTGAATTCTGGTCCTTTGGTTCTACAACTAAATAGGGTAGGGGCAGAGGGGGTCATTGCGCTCTTCCTTGTCAGGTCTCTTACGTATGAAATAGTAGTTAATTTCATTCATAGTTGATGACTATAGTGCTGCTATTCTACAGTACCCGAATTGCGTAGACAATTGTACACTGTATATATCGCTGCAAGTGCTGTATAGTGGAGCCCCTGCATGGACATCAATCATTTCTCGAACCGAGATGATAGACTTTCCTCCGTAATCTCCAAGCGATCTTCAAAGACCTAAAAGATAGTCAACGCGGCCAACAAGCAGACATACATTCAAATCCAGCAAGGATAGTCATCCACAGACTTTCTGTGAGAGTGTCAATCCTTGGCCCGAGTGGCAGGCAACTGGTTGGTAACGGACCACTAGTCGGCGTTAGTTGCTTTCGGGGGGCTGGTCTGTTCTCTCAGCTCCTTTTTTTCTTTTTTTCTTTTGTGGCCATATGCTGACTCAGGCCAACTGCTTGGCTAAGCTAGTGGGTTGGTTCTTGACAATGGTGATACACTGGTGTGCAATGTGCATATAGTGGTTGGTATAAAAAGTTGCTTTTTATAGATATGCCCTACCCTGGATTGGATTGGGAAGTCCTACGTCCATGGGTAGGTACTGTAAAGTGGTGGCAGGTGGTGCAGTAGGAGAAACGAAATAGAATGACCAGCAGAACGGGACAGCCAGCCGGATAACCCCTGACTTGCCGCCCGAGAGCTGGTGGGGCCGATCGGCCACCCGGCTGGGCTCACGGTTATCTTCGTCATCTTCGTCTTCTATATAGAGTTACAGCATGGTTGATGTGGATGGTGGTGTAGTGGTGGTGAGAAGGGTAGTGATGCTGGTAATATAGGGACAGACAGTATGGAGGAGAAGAAACTGAGACCGTGTTGAAGATTTCTCAGCTCAGACTAAGATCGCTGTAGTGATGAGCGGAGCGTCAATGGAAACCATTGTTCCCCAGTCATTTGTATAGAGACTACTGTATGTAAACTACTAACTTACTGTGGATCCTCTTTGCCTCTCCTTTTTTCCCGCGCGCTTCTGGCCTCGCCCTCTCTCTCTCTCTCTGTCTGCTTCTGCCAATCTCATCCCCTTTTCAGTGAAGTTGCCTGATTAATCCGAATTGATTATTGCCTTTTTCCTTTTCAAGCTTTTCCTCCAGATTTCCCGTCTTTTTCCAATCAACTAATGGATCCTCTCCTATTCTTTCCATCTTCCCACACCAAGTCTCAGTCTCAATCAAGTCTTACCAAACTTTCTCTCTCTCTTACTTTTCCGTCAGCCATGAGGTTTACGGCGATCCTCAGCTGATTGTCTTTGATCTGCTTTGTTCCTGTTCGTGTCATTTGTCTCATCCTCACCAATTAGAGTGCAATGGCCCCCGGCTGGACCTCTCCGCCTCCTCCTGCCTCGGGCGGTTTCCTCCCCTCCTCGACTACAATCACCGCTGCTACCGATACTACTGCTTCACCTCCTCCGCCGCCAACCACTATTCAACAAGACGCCGATACTATTATCTCCTATCATGCAGGGAGCCTTGACCCCAACCCCGGTCCGGGGCCAAGTCTCCCTAACTCTCCCATCTCCACTACTTCCTCCTCCCACTCTTCTGCCGCCTGTGTTCCTTCTCCCCATCTTCCTCCTTCGTCTAATGTTCCTGTTCCCCCCTCCCCCTCCTCTCCTACCTTGGTATCTGCATCTCACACGCAGACTCCTTCACTCTCCTCCCCCTTCACTGTGCGCAGGAAGCCGCTACCCCAGAATGTGGTAGACCCCTCCCACTCAGCCAGGCCTTTCTCTTCTTCTTCGTCCTTACTTGCCTCTTCCCCTCGGGGCAATTCGCCTGCGCATCCGGCTGTACTGCCGGCTTCCCCTCCGGCTGCCGGCCAGACACTGGCCTTGTCTCCGGCCTCATCTTCATCGTTTCTGGATTACGTATATGATCGCCAGGACGAGGAAGGAGGAGAAGACGACGACGACCACGACATATATCAACACACGCCTGAACCGTACCCTGAATACCACCGCGAACCAGAACAGCGGCTACATTCCCCCCTCTCTCCTCCCAGGGACCTGGATAGGTATGGTAGCTCGTCGCATCCCTGCCCGTCCCTTCCCCTCCCTCTATAGCTCTCTCTTTCAGGGCTCTGGCCCCTTTGTTACGACCCTCCCTTGGTCTTGCGCGCCTCTTACAGCCCGGAAGCTGGCTTTATCTTTCCAGCTCTTCCCTCGCACGTTCCAGGACTGACACCGTGCTCTTTTTGCTTTTTTTTCTCCAGATTCCCTCGTGGTAGTCCGTCCTCGTCCCATCTCGACGCCGCTTCGTCTATCGGGAGTCCTGCGGACGACAGCGAAGACGACAATCCCATCTACAACATTGCGTATTCCACACGATTCACGAATGCGACTCGGATACACAACCGACTCGTCAGTGAATCCTTTGTTCATAAACGTATCTCGCCCGCTATAAATCCCAAGCGCGCTACCACGATGGCATTGCACCTGCCAGCCAACGGCCCGACCCCGCTGCAGATAGATCCCCCGCGCCGCACTGGCACTTCGTCAACAATGGGGGACAGCAAGCAACCCAAGACTCCCGGCAATAAGATCAGTTCGTTTTTCGGGTGGCGAGCGGGCAATTCCTCTCCTGGCGCCGAGTCTTCCAGCACCGAAATCTCCGAGTCAGGCCGATCACCTATACCTTCACCCATGCCACCGTCGCTGCCTAGCGCTGCTTTCTCGATAACGCCATCCACCACGGTGCCTTCCGATCCAACTCGCCCGCATACATCTCTTCCGCCACGCAATTCGTCGCTTAGCAGCACAAGCATTCTGGAGATGTCCGGAGCCTCAGCCCTGGTGGCGGAGCTCGAGAACGAGCTGCGGGAGATCAGCTCGGAGCTTGCGGGCTCAATTCGACGGGAGATGGAGCTAGAGGACCTGGTTGAACGACTCCAGTCTGATTCGGTTTTTGACACCCCGAACCGTCGGACCAGCGATTATTTCTCCGACTCGGGCAGTAGTTCTATCCGTTACGCCTATGAATCGGGTGGTAGGGTGGAGGACATTGAGAAATACAAGCGTACTGCCGAGCAGGAACGAGCCCAAATGAAGGTGGAACTGTCCCAAAAGCTGCAGGAAGAGCGCGGCCGACGGGCGGCTTCTGAGGCGCACGTCCAGATTCTCGAGTCGCAAGTGCACCAGGTAGGTACGCTCCATGTTCGGATTTCCGCTCGCGCTAACGAATCGTTCTAGCTGCGACGAGAGAGAGTGGATCTCTCTGATATGTCCTCCCGGACCAAGGAGTTGGAGACAGCTCTCGAAGCCACTCGTCGAAAATTGGCGGAAGAGCGCCAGATTAAAGATAATTTCGAAGATTTGCTTACTGCCATGCGGGTTGAGCTCGAGCAACTGCGGAATGAGCGGGACCACCTGAAAGAGAACGTAATACCACAATTGCAAGAAAGTGCTGGCAACTCCCAGCAGCAACCATCAGATTCCTCCGAGGTGGCGCGGCTGATGGGAGAAATTGAGGCATTGAAGATTGAGAACGCCTCTCTGGCGCAACTGCAGGGGAGTCGTTTCGCTTCTATCGCCGAAGAAGATACAATGTCCTCGGCACGTGGCACGGGACTCGGGCTCTCCCGTTCAAGTTCCCTTGCACGTGTGCGCTCAAAACCGAGTGCGCCCACTGGTCTATCCCGATCGAATTCCCTGTCTCGCTCCAACTCAGTCAATGTCAAGGATCGAGGCGAGCCGAGAGAGAACTTGGCTGACCGAATTGAGGACGTCGAGGCTCAGCGGGATGCCCTCCACGAAGCACTTAAACGTTTGCTGGACCGTCAAGCCTACGATGCTCGTGAGTATGAGAAGCAGTTAAAGATGATGGAGCTAGAGCTTGCTCGTGCTCAAATGGCGGAGTCTCCGAAAAAGATTGGGTACGAAAGAGAGGTGCGCAACCTCCGCGAGGAGGTCAACCTCCTTCGTCACCGCGCAGAAGAAGCCATGGAGCAAAAATGGCAGTGTGAAAAGGGTCTTGCAGGGTTGAAGATGGATCTGGACCGTGCTGAGCAGGAGACCACTTCTTTGCGCGTCCTGCTGCAGGAGCATGACATCACTGTTCCTGAGGACCACGAAATTGACCAGGACGGCTTTGCTCAAGTCCTGGTCACTTCGTCCTCCCTTGAAACTGCCTACAAGCAGCTTCAAGCTGACCGGGATCAAGCTGAAGCCAACGTGGCGCAGTCCCCCCTGCTGGCGGAGTCGGTTACTCGGACCAACAGCCTGGCGGAACATGTGCAGCAACAACTTGCAAACAATATCGCTCTGCGTAGCCGCTTGGCCGAGGCGATTGGTAAGGGCGAGAAAGAGCAGCAGCTGTCGGCCGCGCGCATCAATGAAATGCAGGGCCGGCTCAAGGAGATGGAGGACATCCTTCTAATGGCGCAGCAATTCTCCGAGGATGAGATGGCCCGTCATGAAGAGGAAGTCCGTAACCTCCAGGAAAGCCATAATTTGCAGTTGACGCGCGTCAAGAATGGCGCGCGTAGTCCAATGACCCTGTCTCCGAAGCCTCCCAACACGCCATTCGGCGCGCGTTCGCCGCGCTTAGACAAGACGACTAGCGGGGATGGAATGGCGCTGAACGAGGCGGTTCAATTCGAGACGCTGGAGAAGCGCGTCAAGGAGTTGGAGAAGTTGCTCCGCCACGCCGACTCGGAGATGGAGGAGGTGGTCGGTCGGATGAACCGTGCGCAGATCGAAGTCGCCGAACTACAGTCCGATCGGTGAGTTTTCCTTTCTTCTTACTTTGCGGTGACAAGTGATCTTTTTTGACTAACTCTGCCTAGGGACGAGGCATTGCGTCAAACCAGAAAGCTCCAGGCCGAGATTCTGGCTGAACGCGAGGCATTGAAGACGCTGATTGTCTCTTCGAAGTAACCCAGTGGATCGGATGCTGTGCATCCGCCGCCCTTGTATATGGTTGCAAGGACCTCGCCAGAGGTGCATGTATATAGACGATGATCGTCAGCGATTTAGATGTATAATATCATAGACTAATACCGCATTTCAGACGTTAACTGTTGTTCAAGGGATGAGGACTCCATCATGGATGGAGGACTTACACCGCCTGAATAGGTAGGAAAAGCTGGCAGAATCGAGGAAGCGTTTGGACTTATTGGCATGATTGTGAGTTGTTGTTTTAATGATCAAAGCAGCTTTGTCTTACAACCTTCTGAGCAGGATTGGATGAGAGGCTCCTTGCACAAGACAAGGCAGTTTCCAAGTACGAAACAAAGCAATAAGAGGCCGTTTCTTTTGTCTTTGATTCAGACGGAGCATCTATTGTAGGCAAGCGGTGAGACGAAGAGAAGCGCGAATCGGCTCCAACAACACCAGGAGCTTATCACAAGATTTGTTTGTCCAGTTTGTTTTCATTATTTGTCCCCGCCCGGCAACCATCCTTTATCGCCAACTCCTCTCGAATTTCTTTCACATTGCAGAGCATTGCCAGCTTCAAGTCAAAGACTATATAAAAGCTTTAGATATCTGCAAATACACTGCCTTGTTATATCTACAAACTCACCTTATCTGGGCTCTTTTTGCGCCCGAAACAGCTTCCGGCACCAACAATCTCTATAAAGAAAGGAAACGGAACAGACGAAGACAATCACAAGCGCGCAAGGATGGACTTTCTTCCAGGTGAGTCCAACAAGAAATTGAAGCACCGTAGAGCATCACGATCCCTACGCTGCGAGGTCGTTAATCTGCCATTGCCCACTTCAGCCGCAGTTCCAGGCACAGCGGGTGGTGGACTTCCACTTACTGGAGACCTCGTTGGTAACGCCGGTGATTATCTTCACCTGTACCCCGACCTCCTCCCCTCTCAGACAAGCCCTCTGCAACCCCAGAGCCTTGACATTATCCCTCATTTGCAACCTACTTCATCGGGCTTGCCACCATCCTCGCTAGCCAGCGACGCTGACCCAGACCCCGTGGGGCCAACCACAGACTCCATCGCCCAACACCTCTCCACCACCTCCCTCTCCGCCATCACCGCACACCTCAACGCAACGTACCTCACGCCCGCCCTCGCGCACGTCCGCGCCGCCTACATCGATCCCTACCTGGTCCGCCCGGCCGCGGGCTACCTAGCCTCCACATCCTCCTCCAGCACGATGCCCGACCTTACCACCGTGGTGTTAATGCTGGTGATTCTCTTCCTCTCGCTCAAGGTGCTCGACTACATGCGCCGCGTCGTGATGTTCTGGGTTGGACTGGTGTGGTGGTTGGCGTGGTGGGGGACAGTCATTGGGGTCGGCATCTGGCTGTATAACAGCGGACTGGAGCGCGCGGCCAGCGATGTTGGCTGGCTGGTCGGGCTCGTGCGGGGACTTCTAGGAGGGTTTTTAGAGGATATGGATCGTGTTGGAGCACAGCAACGACAAACCAGGATGGATGGGGGGATCTTTGGGGGCAATAATGCTGCGTTTGGTGGTGCGGGGAGGGGACAGCAGGTGAGGCTGGGGAGGTATTGACGGCTTTTGTTTGGCTCTTTTCTTTCTTGGCCCAGGTGGAAGGTACTATGTACGGTGCGAATGGGATCTGTTTGTGGATTGGAGTACGCTTTGTTTATAGTATACTTCTACATGCTTTTCCCTTCGTGCCCACCCTTGCCTTACTCTGGGTAGTTTTGATACGAATGATCATTATTTACTGTTTATTTTTGGGTGTTGTGTGTGGTTTTGTAAAATAGATCTTCTCTTTCAAAGTATGAACTGTACTTTTTGATTTATTTACAGGTAAGCGTGGCATAGCTGAGTCGGCTGGTCGTGTGTAGCATAGTTCTGACGGCTAATAGACGCCAAGCAATGATGCTGCCACTCCGTTCCGATGTCGGTCAGAATGCTTGGCCATCTTTGTGGGTTTCTTGCTTTGCGCATTCTCTTGCGCGTTCTTATCTGGCCAGTTCTCGAATGTGTCTCTCCCTGGCACATCGCATGCAGCTTGAACTCGAACAAGCGGTGGGAGTGACATTCCTCTCACAATCGAAGAGCGCCCCAACGAACCGGCAAATGCGACTCGAATGAATTGCGGATGTCCAATTGACATGCTGCGATAACGAATGTCGGTTATGCGTCTCCCTTGTCTCGAGAGAGGAGGCCATGGTTGATGTGTTGTTCGTCCCAGGCTAATCTTCATTCCTCAAAGAAATCCCCCTGGCCGCAAGCATCCCGCTGCCCCGCATCTTGCCCTGTCTATGTTCCCCTCCCTAGGCGCGTGCCACCCCCCCCTCACATATCTCCATCCTCGTAGTCGACCTCTTGGGCATCGTTGGGCTCGCGCGGCTCCTGCGCTTCATGGTACTGAATGGCATCGTCGATATGACTCAAGACAGCGGCGACGCTATCCTCATCCTGGACATCGAGCTTAAGGAAGGAGACCATACTGAAGTCATCAATGAGCTGGCCGACGGCACGATTGAGTTGATTGAACGATCGGCCGCTCATCAGGGTCTCCTTGTCAGCGGGGTTTTCTCCCTGAACCAGCAAACCGGAATCCTCCTCTTCCTGCGCATCCTGATCCGCCTGCAACAGCTGCACATCCACATTCGTAAACCGCTTCAACTCCTTGCGCGAGATCATATCCTTCACCTGATCCATCTTCGTCAGGATATTCACATGCGGCATCTCCAGCATCAGCATGGCGGACATCGCGCTCAGCGTCCCCGCAAAAAATTTCGCCTTGTCCACCACAAACGTGCTCTCCAGCAGGTAAGCCGCGCAGAGATTAATGTTCAAGGGTCCCGCGCGCGACAGAAACTGCACCAGCGACGGCAGCAGCGGGATGTGTGTGTACAGCTCGATCTGGCCCGGCATGTCGAATATGATCAGGTACTCCTCGCTCAGCGGGTCAAGGGCTTCCGTCAGGAAGTCCAGGTTCTGCAGCAGGAACTCGAAGCAGTAGATCAAACCGCCGTTCGGGCCGAGCCCCAGCTCCTCCATCACATCCTCCAGCGTGATCAGCTCCCGGATGTCGAGGTCGGGTTCGTAGGCAAATGTCTCCGCCGCGGGGTCCAGATTCACGTAGAAGCAGCTGCGTCGGGTGGTTTGGAGTTGTTGGATCACGGCGCTGCAGAAGGTGGTTTTGCCGGCGCCGGCGGGGCCCATTACTAGAACGCCGAATTTAGACATGATCGAAGAGTTCTCCGCTAGCTTGGGAGAGATTCATCAGAAAGGGGGAATCTCCGATGGGTACAGGGAAGTCGGGAATAGCTGCTGGGGCAGTTGGGGGGAGGGTAGGGATGTTGGTTCGCTCGTAAGCGCAAGCTAGTATGGCGAAACAAAAAAGCCCGAATGTTAGTTAGGGTGGTTCGCAATACAGCTGAGCAATCGGCCCCAACGACTCAAATTCAAATTTGACTCGGGCTAGATGAAGTTTGGAGAAATGAAATGGGAGCGATGACTAGCTACTAGTCAGTTCAGCCGATGAATGCGGATGAGCAAGTAGCAGACAAGCAACTGTGCACCAGTAACTTACTCCCGGTCCCGAGTACGTGTGATGGACGATCGCAGTAAAACCGAACAGTCGGGTACTGCCACTTCTCACCGCAAGCATGGACGATTCCTCCTCTCTGATTGGTTCCCACTGCTTTTCCCCGGCCAATTTTTCTCTTCGTCGGCTTTTAAAATTTGCCAGACCTTTTTTTTTTTCCCTGCATTTTTCACTTTAATGCCGACAGTCACCGCCGGAGCCAATCGCGCCATCGGAGAGACATTAATGCGGAGAGGCAGAGGGAGAGACCGGCGGGGCCTCCCTTAGTTTTCCTGTTCCTCCCTTCGGGCCCCCCCTCTTTTTATTCTTTTCATTTCCTCTCCCCTCCTTCGCTTACTTCTTCTTCCTCTCTTCCTCCTCTTTCTCTCCCTCTTCTTCCTCTCGTCAATCCACTTCTCCTTTCTTTACCATCCGTCTTTCTTTGTCTCCTCTTCCCATCACACATCTCCTCTCGTCACAATGGGCAGCGTCGCTAACCCCAAGACCGGAACTTTCCTGTTCACCTCCGAGTCCGTCGGAGAGGGTCACCCTGATAAGATTGCGTGAGTTCTTCACACTTCTCTTTCTACAGGCACTCAATGCCTCTCACCGGCCACAATCACTAACAGTTCGACAGTGACCAGGTCTCCGATGCCATCCTCGATGCCTGCCTTGCTGAGGACCCCCTCTCCAAGGTACGTGCCCCTCCGCGGCGGGTTTTGCGCATGCCCCTTTCTCATTGGCTGCCACAATGTCCTTTTTTCCCCCTGGATATCGGAGCCAATTACTAACGCACCCCCTTTCAGGTTGCTTGCGAGACTGCCACCAAGACTGGTATGTACATTCTTCTCGAATTTGTCCGATTCTTGTTCTGACCGGCCCAGGTATGATCATGGTCTTTGGTGAAATTACCACTCAGGCCAAGCTCGACTACCAGAAGGTCATCCGTGGTGCCATTAAGGACATCGGCTACGATGACTCCGCCAAGGGCTTCGACTACAAGACTTGCAACGTCTTGGTTGCCATTGAGCAGCAGTCTCCCGATATCGCCCAGGGTCTCCACTACGAGGAGGCTCTTGAGAAGCTCGGTGCCGGTGACCAGGGTATCATGTTCGGCTATGCCACCGATGAGACTCCTGAGCTCCTCCCCCTCACTCTTCTCCTCTCCCACAGACTCAACAGCGCCATGAAGGAGGCCCGCAACGACGGCTCCATCCCCTGGCTCCGCCCCGACACCAAGACCCAGGTCACCATTGAGTACGCTCACGACAACGGTGCCGTCAAGCCCCTCCGTGTGGACACCATTGTCATCTCTGCCCAGCACAGCGAGGACGTCACCACCGAGGAGCTCCGCGCCACTCTCAAGGAGAAGATCATCAAGAAGGTCATCCCCGCTGAGCTCCTTGACGACCGCACCGTCTACCACATTCAGCCCTCCGGCCGCTTCGTCATCGGTGGTCCCCAGGGTGATGCCGGTCTGACTGGTCGTAAGATCATTGTCGACACCTACGGTGGTTGGGGTGCCCACGGTGGTGGTGCTTTCTCTGGTAAGGACTACTCCAAGGTCGACCGCTCCGCCGCCTACGTTGGCCGCTGGATCGCCAAGTCCCTGGTCACCGCTGGTCTGGCTCGCCGTGCTCTCGTCCAGCTCTCCTACGCCATTGGTGTCGCTGAGCCCCTCTCCATCTTCGTCGAGACCTACGGTACCTCCGACAAGACCTCTGACGAGCTCGTTGAGATCATTCGCAACAACTTCGATCTCCGCCCCGGTGTCATTGTCAAGGAGCTCGACCTGGCCAAGCCCATCTACTTCCAGACCGCCAAGAACGGCCACTTCACCAACCAGTCGTTCTCCTGGGAGAAGCCCAAGGCTCTTAAGTACTAAGCGTGTTAAGCGCTGTGCCCGAGCACCGACTTCTCTTGTGAGTATGTTTGCGTTACGAATGTGATGATTTTGCTTTGTTTTCAACAACTCAAAGCATGAGCATAGACATGTCAAAAAAGTAATTTTTTCCTTTGGATGTTCGTCCATTTTTTTTTGCATGGTCGTCTCTCCGCACGAGACGGGTTCGGCGAGGATAAATTCAACATGATACCACTTTTCATATATTGGGAGGGATGTTACACGGCGTTTTCGGGAGCGAAAGTCTTCAACAGTGCCTCCTCCAGGGTCCCGGGGAACTCGATGGGACAACCACGAGTGCACTCGGAGTCGCGCAGTGCGTGGCTTTGACATGTGATGGCCGTCGAGTCTCTCGGTCTGGACTTTCGGAAGTTTCCGATGGAAGGAATCGCATCATGGTGTGCTAATTCAAGATTAGCAGTATAGATTAATGAATGACAGGCGTAATGCCTGTATGCTGAGGTAAATTTTTGTAGTACCTTCCGTAGTATGTTTGATGGTAGTGGTTGTTCTTGGATTTCATCGATGGACACGTCAGGGTGTGTGCCTTCACATGTCGAATGGTGCCCGACCAGATGGTCTCCGGTGAATTGACATCAAGGAGATAATCTAGATTCTACCTAATAATAAAAAGCACGCCATCGGCACGAGCAGCTTGCCGTAAGTGTGGGCTCGTGCCAACAGGCAAAAATCTTCTGATGGCCGAGCTGAATGCTTTCGACGGAAGGGCATCAGTCAGCGGCCCTGAGCGAAAACAACTTCTCTCATACAGTAAGTAGTAAGTACTCCTACCGCAGCGCGACCGCCGACCAGAGGGGTGCCAGTCAGCTTCACTTGCTTAGCCTCTAGTTAGTAAGAGTTTTTGTTCTACAGAAGAGTAGTCTATCTTGATCTCACGCAGCTCTAATTAGATCATAAGATCATAAGAGGCCAAGTCTAACCAGAGGACGAACTACTAGTAGTTGATTCCCTTGCGCCTGATTCCATCGGCAGAATCTGGTTTCTCCCCAGTGGCCGCTATTGCCCCCACCGTAAGTTACCGCTTTCTTAATGAGATGCCTACGCCTACGCCTACGCCTACACCGCGCCGCGACGCGTGCAAAAAGGCGGAGGGGGGCGTAGATGGTCAGCCGCGTCGCCCGCATCTCGACTTGTCCCTCACGACTAACTTTAGTTACCATTAAACAGGCTGGTCTTGTTACACGCCAAATTCATTCACTGAAAGCGAGCATTTACTTCTACTTACGTTATTACACTTGTTTGATTCTCGGGGACAGTTGCAGCATGAACTGAATTTATCGGAGCCCTGTATCGACTATCGACTCGCTCCATGGCCTCGTCGCAGGTCTCTTCCGGCGTTCTTCAACCCATCCCTCTGAACCGGGCGCCTCATGCCCAGACCCATTCCAACCAGCAAAATGGCAGTCTCGGTATGCTACCGCCCGTGAAGAAGCGCAAGATATCCTGCGATTTTGGCACGTCTTGCGGGTCGGAGGATTGGATGTCACGGGTGATTACCATTCGGGTATGGCTTTTTTTTTTGTGCTTGTCTTGCTATTGTTTGATATCGGGTTTGGTGTCAATCTGCTGGAATATACCATCGAACACTTTGAGGTGATGGTGCTGATGCACAATCCACACTATGCTATACACCACATCACAAGACTCCCATGTCATGCAAGACTAACAATGGCAATACGAACGAATTCAGGCACCAGTTACATCCCTCTCGCAAGACCCCTTCGTCCTCACCCCCATCGCCCTGATCCCGCGCTCTCGTATCCCCTTCGCTTGGTTGGAGTATTCACCCTCCGGTCCGCATTCCGGTTCGAGCTTGACGTCAACCATCGCACCGCCACTCCACCCCGGTTGTCTTTTCGTGGCGCATATCCCTGTGCTAGAGGTTTGTCATGGTGATGCTTCTGGTGGTAATGGTGCCGGTCGATCGAGACGAGAGCCGATGGTGCTCGCTGCGAGGATGTCGCCCGGCGGGGAGTTGGTGGTTGTGGAGAGGGTGAAGAGGGGGATCTTTGCGCTCCTTCGCGTGGCGGAGGCGGTTGGGGAGGGGGAGCTGGTGGTTGCTGGAAAGGAGGGGGCGCGGGCTGGCGCTGGGGCTGTCAAGGGGGTTTGTGATCTGGGTTGGAATCAGGGTGCTGGTGAAGTAGAGGGGGAGGGGAAGGGGGCAGAGGGTGTCGGAGAGGATGAGTGGTGGGCGATGGCTAGGATTGAGGAGCCAGATTGCGTGGCGCTGCAACGGGTTGGAAAGAGAGCGAAGGTGGAGGTGGAGGTTGTATTTGCAGGGGATGGGCTGGATTGTGGACTCCGATCGACGGATGCTGGGAGTCCGGAGTCTCAGGCTATGACGCCTCAGATTGCGGCTGCAGTGGAGAGGAGTGGTATGAGTGTGGGTGGATCGGATGTCCCTGATGCTGCTGGTGCTGCGGCTGCGGAGGAGACTCTAGTACAGGAAAACGTGGATGCGCTGCGCTCGCCGCAGGATTGGTTGGATAACCTCCGGGACCAGTATCTGCAGGCGCTGTATATCTCCAAGGTGAGATTATGTGTTGCAGGCTGTGCTATATGAGTGCTAATCGGTGGTTAGACGTCTGTGGCGTACTTTGCCAAAGGTCCTCTCGCGCGTTGCCGGGCTGCCTTTCAATCTACCGAGGTGGAAGGCAGTGGTCCTCACAGTTTGATCGAGTTTTACAGGGAATCTATCCTCGTGGCAAAGAAGATGGACCTCAAGTATCGCGAGACTCTGCCTGCTATGCTGAGTGATGTCTTGCTCGCTCTGTCGGATGATGAAGCAACCAAGAAGAAGAAACGAAAGAGCACGAAGAAGAAGAAGCTTGGCAAGAACGGGCTGTATCCCGAGGAAACTGATTTAGTTCGCCAATGGTGGAAGAGCCGTACGCTCAGCGACCAGGGTTTGCCTTCGGAAGGCCCTATGTCGCGGGAGACGGAATCCAAAAAGATGATCGCTGATCTTCGCTTGCGCGAAACCCAACTGCAGATTCTCCTCATCCTGGAAACGATGTCCCTCGAAGTGGTCGTCGCGGAAGGTGAACAGAGCAAACAGAGCAGCGGCGCGGACGATGCACCAGAGCCGCCGGCCAAGAAGGAGTCGAAGACCAAGAAACAACTGGATCTGAATACTATGCTCGAGCTCCACCTTGACCGATTGTGCATCTGGTATGCCGTCAGCTTCGAGGAGACCGTCGTCCCTGACGCTGGGGCGTCATCTGGACTGGCCCACCTTTCTGGGAAGAAGGTCGAGAGCGATGCTGTTCGTGATTTCTGCACCGAAGTGATTATCCCCTTCTACGCATCCCGTCTACCTGAAAAGTGCAAGTCGATCACCCGGAAATTGGGCGTCTCGAGTGCCATCTCACCCTTCACGAAGCCAACTCAGGCCAAGAAGGTGCCCAAGGGAGAGCCTGGTACTCCCGTCGAGCGGCAACAGGCGCAGAAGCAGTCTCGTCGTCGCACATTCCAGCGTGTGCTCACGGACCAGATGGGGTCTCAGCCTCGTCACATCCCGTCCCTGAGCCGGTCGAATACGACCCCTGCGCAAGCTGAGGCCAGACGCAATTCCTTGGATCCTCTTTTACCGGTCGTTGGGACCAACGTACGGGGAGGAATCCAGAAAGCCAAACGCGCCGACAATCGTGAAGTGGACCTGAATGCTGTGACGCGTCAGCACGAGACGAAACTCAAGAAGATGCAGATGCTCGTGGAGCAGAAGAAGGAGCTTGACGCAGCCATCAACGCTCTGCGCAAGCCCAATCGCGAACTTGTGGCCAAGGACATAGCTGACGATGCCGTCAAACGATATTCCACCGGTGCTGCTAGTGGCAGCAGCTCGCGAAAGCCGAAAAACCCGGTGCGCAACCCCATGGGACAAGGAGTGCAAGTTGCGGCCACGCCGAAGAAGGGGAGTCGGAGGAAAGATGCCGTTGCCGGGATGCCCCCTCTCCCTCCGACCTTCATGCAGTCATCATCCGTCTCCAAGCCGACTGTATCGGTGTCGTCTCCCTTCAACAGCGAGCCTCAGATGGTCCCTGGCTCGACTATTCGCTCTGGCTCATTGTTCTTTGGATCAGCCAGCCGCGGCGCAAGCGACGCGATTCATGAGACGCCCATCCGTCGGCCAGCGCAGTCACTCTTGGCTGATCCCGCCGGGTCGCCTTTGTCGAGCAGCTCTGGCGCCCTCTTCCGGGTCCCACCCCGTCAGCCAGTGCCAGCAGCACCGCGCTCCATGGAAATGGCCCCCTCCACGCCGGTCCAGTCCCGTCGACACGTGGACACCTTCCTCCCGCGTGTCAAGCCCTCCATGGTGATGGAGACGCCCCCAAAACCAGCCCCCATCCTTGCGGGTGATCTGCCTGCGGGGATACTTCTTCCGGAAGACAACCCCGCCTCCAGCCATCTTGTTGCGTTCGAAACCCCGGTCAAGGCGCCGGCAGCCGTGTTGAGCACGCCGGTGCGCAAGCCGAGTGCGGCCGAGCTGATGGTGCCGGCCACGTCAGCGGTGCCGGTGACACCGGAGAAGTCGATCTATTCGGCATTGGGATGGGATGATGATGAACTTGCACTGTAGGCGTTTAGCTTTGTCTCTTGTGTTACCTTGGCGATACTTTTTGTTCTCGTATATGTTCAGCGGGCGTTCATGGCGGTATATTGTTTCGATGGTCACTGTGGTGTTGGTAATTGATATCGTCGGTGATGTATAGGAACCAGGTGTTCCTGGGTTTAGTCGGACTGCAGGAGATCCGATTTCCACAAGGATAAATAGATAGTTTGAACCTATTGAACTGATCTCTTGGGGAGATCGAACAACCTTCCCTGTTTGCTTTTCGCAGAACTTGGTGCTGCTTTTCGCTTGTTGATCTGCTCCTGGCATGGGGTGAGTATTAAAGTGTGAGTGTGGTCTGAGCAACTCTAGGTCTCCAGAGAAAATAACGGCCTGAGCTTGTACTATATACTACTATCCATATCACGTAGAAGAATTTTGCACTACCAAGTCATGTATTTCCCTTTGACCCTGCTAGCTTGCCTGTCAAACCTCATTGTAATGATCATCTCATCCTTTGCATAGCCCCAAATCGAATCTAGACATGATTCTCGAGCACCGATCGTGTCACTGCAGCCTCTATCAAGCCGGGTTGCTTAGTGGTATTGGCGTTCTGGAGAGATATTTAGTATATTAGGGCAGACACTCACCTGATTTGTTTCCAAGTCCATTACATATCATACTACGCCCACCTCTAGTGGTGTCCTCCCTCTCCTCCGCAGTGACGTGAAGATTCCCTGGGGTAAACGGCTCCATATCAGATTCAGGCATCTCCAACCACGAATCCGACAAAGTCTGAGGCTTCACCTTCTCTACACAAGCCCCAGCATGAAAATTGGGGTCAAGGTTGAAACTTGACCCCTTTTTACAACCTAAAGGATTAGTGCTATAACTCGCCCCCAATCAAAAGTGATGCGCTAAAATACTCCTCCCACATCCTTCTTCCGCTTGCCAATGTTCATCTTCGCCTCTGTGTGTTTGGGGTATCTTTCCTCCACTGAACTCTCCTTTCCTCAGTCTCTCTCCCGACCGCTCCATCACCTCTACATCTGGTGATTGGCTATGATAATGGCTGCCAACACCCAGATTGGGCTCGACTGGCAAGTCGTCTGTTAGCGACACTGACCACCATTTGCCTCGCCTCCTTTGCGTATAAACTCGTCCAGGCGCGATGGCTGTTCTACCGCCTGAAGAAGCAAGGACTGGTACGTACGTCTCCTTCTGCAACTGGTGGTCATTAACCTACCATGCCAGCCCATGCCGTTCTGGGACCTGATCCTGGAAAATCTGCCTGTGATTGATGGCTGGGCTGCACAAATAGAGCCCGGCGGATAGCCGCGAAGCTGAGCTTTTTGCCCTCCTGTCCACCGAGATCCCTGGGGGTCAAGGTGGATTTTATGTTGATGTGTGGCCATTCAGCCGCCCTATGCTGGTGGTGACGTCTCCAGCCTGGGCGGTGCAGGCCGCTCAGACCTACGATCTGCCAAAGCCCGAGGTCCTTCAGCCGTTTATCAATCCGATGGCGCGGGGGGGGTGCGGGGGGGCTCGGACAACCTAGTATTAAAGTCAGCCTTGCGGAGGATGCAGTTCCCGGGGATTTGATTCCAGGTTGAGGGAGATGTTGAGGGAAGATTCCGGTAGTGGGTGCAAGGATAGTAGGGTTGTTCTGGTCGGGTATCTGACTCTGAGAGTCGGAGCAGAGAGAAGAATTGCGCGATATACCTGTTATCGGTTGAACTAGTTAGGGCTTGGCAATTGGCACGAGTGTTGGCTTCGTGACTGATGCTTGTTTTCTAGACTCAGTTCGATGGCCCCCAACATTGAAATGCTCCAAGATCAGGATGCGTATCCTGGAGACGCGCGCGTTACGTTGTTCATCTTGGTACGAGCAAGGAAGGTGCTACATGTGGTGTAGTACATCTCTCCAGTCTCTTCTCCTGGCCGGCTTAGGGCCAATTTTCTTGCATATATAGTAAATAAAAGCCGTTCTACATTTACAAAACCGAGAAAACATTTCACAATACTAGATGTCGACACCACTCGTCCTGAACACAGGACTCATGATATCCATCCATATTTTTCAATTTTTCCTAATCTGATTATCACATCTCTAGAAAGAAAAGCAAGTCGACCACAGCAACAACAAAAGCACACAACTGCACCTGCAACTAACCAGTCACTTCCCCTCACACTATCACCAGTGTCCTCACCCTCATTCAACCCCGGCCCCGAAGAAGAGCACAAAGACCATCATAGGCCAACATAAACGCCGCGCCAAGCTCCCACTCCTCCTCCACCACCTCCATCCCCCCGGCCTCAACATACGTGCGCACGGGCTGCGCATTGACGACCAAATCCCCAGCGTCGACAAACAGCCGCACGCGCTCGTCGCAAAACACCACGGCGCCGCGGTGGCGGATCCACAGGAAGTGGTCGGGCTGCAGCTGGGCCCGGACCTGCTCGTCGAGGCGCTGCTCCTCCCAGCGGTGGTCGAGCAGGCGCTTGGCGAAGGCGGCCCAGTTGGCGGCGTCGTGGCAGTTGGTGCCGGCGATGTTGGCGCGGCGGAGGCGGATGGTCTCGATTTGGATGCAGTGCTCGGGGTCCGGGGGGAGCGGGATGGTGGCGTTGTAGGGGACGTTGTCGAAGGTGAAGTCGCCGGTTATGTTCATTGTGTGGTTCTGTTCGTTAGTGGGTTGTGTGGTTGGGGAAGTAGGCAAAGGGAAGACTCGGGGGCAGGTTTTGTTCTTGATCTTTGGGTGGTGGGGGGAGAGGAGTTCGGTAGGCGAGTTGGAGGGCTGATTTATATATATACGAGGTATAGGAGGGGGTTTGGTTGGAGGGGTTCAGTTAAGAGGAGAGGTTCCGGTAGGGTTGAGCAGATACAGGGAGATTGTCTACATGAGAGTTGATGCAAATTAAAAACTCCTCTCAAGATTCCTTCTGAGTGGTAGTCTTGTATGGATGTTTTTCTCTTATGCCATGCTTGGGACCCAGCCACTCAGTCGTGTTTGGAGTGAACCTGCCTGAGTGTTGATCCCAAGAGGGCCCTTTGTGATCTCAAGGCCGGGTTGAGGGCCGAACGCAAGTATGTTGCGAGTCATCGATATATGAGTGCAACATTTACTGTAGCACTCACAAATCTAGGGGGTTTACCTGTGGCTAGGAGTAAAGTAAGCAAGTTCCAGTGCTTCTATTTGCGTCATACCTTCATCCAATTCTTCTCAGTTACTACTCTGACAAGAGAAAATGCCAAAGCTGTACACGGACAGCACACGCATACTCATCCGTGCAAGCAAACTACTTCTCAAAGGCAAACAGAAAGAACGAACACAGCACAGAAGCCACAATCCCCCTTCTCACAACAAGCATAACCCCAACTCAACACGGTAATATATTCGACAACGCCGTGCAATTCATCGGCAAATCAATCGACGGGAACGTGCCCCCCCTCCGAGAAAGCCAAACTACTACAATCATACGTCCGGCTCAGCCTCATAATCTGCCCGACGGTAGTCCTGTACTGATCCGCGAGGTACTTGTAAACACCCCAGCTGAGCGAGAAAGGCTTGGTGATGCACTGGCTAGGCGGGCACTCGGGCACCTCGAGGAAACTGCCCTTCGCGCAGGGTCTCGTTGGCCGTCGGACCGCCGGACAGCGACTCGGTCGTGATGTTCAGTCGAAGCGCGATTGTCTCGTACGTGTCGTGTCGCCTTTGACGGTGTAGTACAGACGCGGCCCGCCGTAGATGCACGTCCGCGTCTTGGATCAGGCAGGTGGAGTTGTCGGGCGTGCATGTCTCCCCGGGAATGATGAAGACTTTGCCGATGTTGGGCGGGATGGTTACGTCGGCCATTGGGTTCTGGCGGACGATGTCGCAGACGCCTCGGTTGGTTTTGCGGGCGATGTCGAAGACGGTTGTCTCTTCGGTGATGTCGTAGAGATAGCTGGTGGTGCAGGCGGCTGAGGCGCCGTGAGAATACTTGAGGTGGCTATTGCTTATAGAGCACTTCATGTTGACTCTCACATATAGATCGTCTTTGTCATTAGACACACATGACACGAGATATCAAGGTCAAGATTACGGGATAATTTCTCCTTGAGTAAACCATTCTCTGTACTATCAATGAAGAGACCTTATTTTGAGAACCATTCTTGTCTATCATTTGGCTGATACACTTAAGGGCATTGATGTAGTTAATTGCGCCTAGACATGAATAGTGGCTTGGCTTGGACAGTCTTAGGGTTAAAGTCGGTATCATAACCCTGTCATGTACTGTACGGTACATACATCCTGGTACAGCAAGCACTCATCGACCTCCGACCCCCACCGTCAGGTAAGTACTGCAGGGTACTCCCTATCATCGACTCTTTCATCGACTCTAGCAACAAACCGAGATCAATTGCTATCATCTCTCCTTGAAGATCCATAGGGGCTAAGCAACCTGGCGAGAAAGGCCCTGATGCCGTGCAAGATGTCTGGCCAACCACTACTTTCACCAGCAAAAACACCTTGCTTGACAAGGACGGTAATCTTTAAATAAAGCCTCACTCGATGATTCAATGAGGAGGTTAAGTCGGTGGTTATGAGTAGAAACAAGAAGGTAACTCATAGTAGTTGCGAAGGTGTTGTCCTCCGCTCCAACGGTGTTTAGTCAGATCGGTGTTAGCACGTATCACACCACTGTACTGGGGAGACTGACTTATACCAGGGGACCATTGCGATTCTTACCGGCATCACTACCAGAAAAACGGTCGTTAAAGCTGTTTTGCGTCAGTGATGAAGCTCCCTTTCGAGATTAAAGTGCACACGTATAACTTATGTATATAACAATAGTTAGATCAATGTCAAAGTAGATCCGGGAACCCCGTGAGGAAGAGTTCAAGAAGACTACAGACAACCATTATCATAACAATATCAGCTACAATGGCCTCTGATAAAATCAGAACGGCCTAAGAACGTCTCTTATTGCAGAGCAGCATCGGTGGCTTTAGTGATACTCGTTTGGCGGGAATGGTGGTTATCATATCGGGTTGAGGCGTAGGAAGTAGTTGGTGTTTTTCTAATCTCTATATGGAGTCGATGACTGTGAATAATGTCGAGCATAGAGACCGAATCCCCAGCCATTTAATCTACACATGAATCACCAAGCAGTTTCTTACATCCACGTCAATCTCAGATGCAATCCTACTTCACAACTGCTTCACATTCATCCACCATAAAATACCAGCACGACTGCCACGGTATAGACCTCCCACTGAAGACGTCCACCCTGAACTACTTATCATCTGTCTGACCTCATTGTAAACACGAGATTCAGCACAGAAACATCATCATTAATGTTGTTGTTAGCTGCAGTGAACAGCCCGCTGTGCTGGAAGCACAAATCGAAGAAACACATCGAATCCGAGTCACCGCACTGCGGCAAAAATATGACATTGCATGCCCTGTCATCAAGCGAGCTACCTTTTGCTTCTTACAAGACTAGAAGCGTACCGCCCTTCGCATCCTTGCCGTTAATCTTGGTGATTCACCAGAATCTAATCATAGAAAGATTTTGTCCATCGAGGAACGTCAGAACAGAGCTGATGCCTGCTGTTGACAGTGAACTGCGTTGAAGACATCATTATCGGTGAGCTATTACGAAAATAGTTGCCAAGTACAAGCCCTGAGGTAAGGAGAGCGGTGGAGCGACGAATCACACGGCGTGCGAAATCGTGGGCCACAATAGGTCGTGTGGTGTCGATAGCTCTAATTCTGCGGGTGATATGCGTGGCGGCGGACAGGACTCCAGTGGTTTGCCATCGTATGTAGCTGCAGCTGGACCAAATCAGGGAAAGGGATAATTCTGACAGAGCCCGTAAATATGAGCAATCGCAGAAAAAAAGCTAGTGACAGCGGAAAAGACAGGTTGCTGGGGAAGATGGGTGAAACGGTCAAGGCGACCTCGTCGGACTATCGGCATATAGAGTTGGAGCAAACGTATTGATGTGATACTAGTACGCAGGTGCCATCATCATGAAGCAGAAACTGCAGTGTGATCACATAGATCAGGAGCATGGAAAGTCCACTCTACACGGGGCAGCATATGAGTGCTGTATGTCGACAACTGCAGACAATGATCGTCTCAACAACCCTCAACCGTGGCAAGAATCCAACAGAGTTTCCCTGAAAGCTCATTGAAGCAGCAAACAATTAAACATTCATACTATAAGCTGCCTGGTGTCAACTGCAAAAGTCCCAAGTGGCAATTAGCCTCTAGGGCGAAGTACCAAAAGTATAGGCTCGCAAAGCTACATGCACGATGTCACACCACTCACCTCATACCACACCCCAAAAACCGGGGCCCCCAGACTACATCATACATCGTGCTCGTACATCATACCCTACGTCTACATACTCCGTATCCATGCATACCCTTCGGACCCCTCTCCCGTCCATTCCAGTGGACACAATGCCTTGCAAGTGGAACCAGATTCATCAACTCATCAGCCCTACCACACCAGCCCACACTTCCTATCCCCATTTGCCCTAAAGGGGAAGACCCTACCTCAGGACCAACCAAAAGACACCTAGCCACATTCTCAAATCACATCATAACTTACCAGCCCACTGTGTGTACCTACAAAATGATCAAAGTACCTCAAACTTCTGGCCCAATCACCATCTCTCCCAACCAACTCTGAGGCGAATCATCCATCAAACACTAGGTACCTAGCGATGAGTGATGACACCGATGTGGCGATTTGATAAGCGGGCGGAGCGGTGTGGGGTAAATGACATTGCGGTGGCATTGGTCGGGAGATCCTCCTCACACAACCCGATTGGAAGCGGGAGAGGCCCAGGAGGTACGGGGCTACGGATCTTGCATCATTGTTGCGTTTCTCCCAAAAAGAAAATATGGTTCGGGGTGGGAAAGTTGTCGGAGACAAGGGGAGGGGTGGGATGATGTTTGGTAGCGTTGTGTATGTTGAGTTTGAGCGCTTGGGCGGGGAAATTGGGGTTGGGGGATGGTTAGGTCGGATTGCGATGCAATTGAGTTGGGTTCTGGATTGGATTGATTCTGAATCAATGAGTCAAATGTGATGGAGTTTGATGTTTATGAATATTGATTCTTATTAATCGGGGCATTTAAGATGCGCTAAGCTGGTTTCGGTTGTGCATTGGGTCACGGGGTCTGGGGGATCTGGGGATGGAGATTCTGGGCGTTTGACTCATTGGATACAGACTACTACTAGACACACAGAGCAGAGACATCTTTTGATATGTTTTGCAATTTCTTTCTCAGTTTGTTTGTAATGTTTAATCTAGAGGTTTGACTTTTTTGATGGGAAATAATATGTAAATACAGGCCCCATTCCATATCCCTATGCTGTGCTGTCTGGCCGCATCCCAGTTCGCTGTGCTCCGATCCTTCTTGCAATTAACACCTTTGACCTTAATTAGCTTTGCACACCAACTCCAAGCTAGTGATGGAACCCGTCCACGGTTCAGAATGAAATGATGATCGAAATCGAACTCCGCTGGTGATATGTATAGATGAATAGATGGTGGTGGTAACAAGTGAAATGAAATAGAAAAATCGTTGCTTCGTGGCGTCGTCATTAATATTAAATAGATTGATGGCTTTGTGAATTTTCGAGATTTTCTGTTTCGTCGTAATCGAGAGAAGATGGTGTATGAGATTCAGAGTGAAGTGGTGTTTGTTGATGGGATTGGGGAGTAGAGTTTGTCGGATTGCGACAGAATCAACCTGCTATCCGCACAGGCAGGCATTGACCCGGCGAGGGCCAGAAGTGTTTCCTTTGGACTGTCTTCTCCAAGCAGTTGCGGCCCTTCTCCAAGAGGCCTTCCTTCTCCTTCTCCTTCTCTTTGTCGGCAGCTGGAGGCGCCGAGACGTGGAAGCTCACGTGGACTGTGGTGGTCTCCACTCCGGAGGTAGCCTTGTCGGCAGGCTCAGTAGCAGTCGGCTTGATTGTGGTCTGGTCTTCGTCCTTGCGGTCGTCGGGAAGCTTCTTGTTCTCGTCCTCCCGGTCCTCCTCGTCCTCGGATTCGTCGTCCTCCATCTCGAACGAGTTGATGCGCGTAGACATGTCCTTCTGCGCCCATTCCATCGACCGGCAGTGCAGGCGGAAGTGTCCGAGGCAGCGACGGATATCCGGGTCAGGCGCAGTGGCCTCGCGAGCCAATTTCTGCCGCGACAGGGTGGTGAGCTTGTAGGGAAGGGAGGTCTTGTCGGCAAGAGGAGGCCATCGCTTATTCATGGAAGGGTTGTTGGACGACAGAGGAGAGGAGGAGGTTTTAGGAATGATATCGATGGTGGTAACAGCCATTGCGCTGAATGGTTGATATAATAGATATGGTAATGACAATGCTCATTCAAGATCAAAGTTGTCCAAGACTCCCTAGGTGGGAGGGTAAAGATGTGACTCAATTACTTGGGGATGTGATTAAGTGCTAGTCGCGTGTGCGAGTGTAGTGTAGTGGAGGTGAGTACGATGCTTAAGAGGAAGGTGGCTTGAGGCGCGACGATTGGCTTCTTTTGAATGATCTGGAGGGGAAATCTGGAGAGAAGAAAAAGGGGAGAGACGGAGTGAGGAGGAGGGGGATACGAGAGAAGAAATACGGTAGAGGGAGTCGGCCGAGGGTCCTTCAGGGAGGAAGAGCTGGAGGGGACTCGATTCAGCGAGGAAATGGAGGGGGGAACCGCCCAGCGAAATTCGCAGTGGAAAATTGGTGACGGAACTCCGAAAAGAGGAATCCGGGCTGGCGACTCACTGCGACTCACTGCGACTCACTGGACCATCTGATCTGGCAGATTCTGCAAGCGGAAGATCCCCGGGGTCTAGACTCGTTACACCACGCGCCGATTTACCTGTGCACCACGCTATTGTATGTATCAAGCCACCACGTTTTCTGTACAAGGGGGGGGTTGTACGTATTGTTTCCTGCCTTTGCTAGTTGCTACAGTAGGCTTTGCTACAGTCATCATGTTATCCTCTCCTTTCATCATGGTAGTGGGATGCGACAGGTGTGAATACTAATCCTGATGAGGGAGGCGAATAAAGGGTACGCGCACGTCTTCCCACATGGAAAAAGGTATAGCGATGTACAGTCAGCATTCGGATGATCTTTACTGCCCCCCAATCCTTTTTTACCGGGGAAAGCAGCAGAAACTGCAGAAAAGAGAAAAAAGAGAGTAAAAAGGGCCTCGCCTGAACTCCACTTCACAAAACTGGTCGGGCAGCTGACCTTAGAGTGGGTCCGGGTCCGACGGCAATCCATGGAATGTTCGACACCGGCGAGCGAGTCTGGTCAGGCTTGGGAACTCGAGCGAGGACCGCAGTATCTCCGGGAGTGGGCTTCCGCTGAGTTTTTTGTTTCAATCGCGCCGACCTCGTTCTAACTTCCTTTTTACTACTCATAAGTCTCTCGCCATCCTTCCGCAACCGTCTTTCATCTATATTAACACAAAATGAGGGGTACGCTGGTCCATTTTTCAAACGGCCACTGACCCTGTCCCATGTGCAGCACCAGAAATCCATCCCCTCAAACTGCAAGTGAACAAACAAGCAAGGGATATGCGTGGCCGTCCGCGTGATTGGTCCAAATCTGCGGGGTCGTGGTCCCAAACTGGACTAGCGCCCCTTGCTAAAGACAGTAACACTAGTCCAGATCGGCCCTAGAGCAACCCTGTGCGCTTAGGGTTGCAGGGGAAACGCTCGCCGGTGTGCATGTGGGAGACTTTGCGAGACTCTAGGAGTGTCTGTCCAGGTGATTCTATAACGACCTAGAACCTTGATACCTGCTCTGTGCTCTTCCCTCGGTGCTATTTTCTCCTCACAAACCTGGCGGGGTGGGAGGAACTAGCCTTGACCTCGTAGTCAGGTACACGCATCCTGTCTTGTTCGGTGCACCTGCCCTTCTCCCCTTTTCACCAGATTACTAAATGCATTCAGCAACCGCAACAACTCACCAGCAACTCAGGATTGGTTTCTGCTTTCTGTGAGCCGATCAGCGGCGGGTGACTAATCTTTGTCCTTCCCCTGCACAATACGGAGGTTTTAAAAAAAGAAAAGAAAAGAAGGGGCCTGCCAAGAAACCAAACTCACTTTACCCGATTTATCACCACTCACTCCACAACAAGCATGATGTCAAAAACCTTTTTCTACGGTGGGCGCAGTAACCATTTTCCGGCGGGTTACGAAAACATGATCTCATCTATTGTTCATGATTGACAACATGACAACAATTCGGGAGGCGAACCTTAAGGTCTTAAGGTTAATCAGGCGGTTTTCATGGATCACCCTTCGTACTTTGTTGGTTTCCATCTGCGGTGGTTCCATCGATCTCCCAGCGATTGGACTGGAAGTATTCCTCACCATGAAGTGGATTCTGGGGAATTCGATCCGGAGAAGGAGAGGCAGGGATGTGCGACAGCCGAGTATGGGGTGACTCGCGATGTCAACCTGGGTTGTCGTGATCGTGGTGGTGTGTATGATGACGGCATTTCATGTTATCGGTCACAGAAAATGCTCGCATACAGCCATTCATCATCTGGTCTGTCCACGCCATTGCCTTGGAAACTGAGCATGATTTCTTCGGTTCTTTGGCTGTGTGTGTGTGCTGCGCAGCAAGCCACGGAGAAACTAGTCTCCGTGGTGAGATATGCCTTCGTAATGGCCGGTATCAACCAACGCAGTAAGAAAATCTTGTAATTGACCAGGTCTAGCCTGGCCTGGCCTGGGTCGAGTTCGGATGGAAACACGTAACTGAAGTGACACCCGGCTAAGGGCTTGCCGTGGCATTTTCCCACCATTAGGAGATGACCGGAATCCTGCTCGTGAGCGCTGAGTCGCTGACTGGTGTAACAACTGCCAATCGCCGGGGTGAGGATAAGCAGGGCAGCAGGAGTGACAGTGTGTCTGTCTGTCAGACAGGCGAACCCGATCAGACCCGACATGTCTGCCAACATCTCCGGTGCTCTCCGACCTCGACATGCCTCTATCACCACAACAAGACGTACGGAGCAATATGAATGGTGCTTTTCGAGCCCACTCAGGACCAGCCACAATCGCGCCTCCCACATCACTTCACTTTACCAGATGAATGGAAGCACAAGCAAAGTTGGCATGTGCTAGGTCGGTGCTACGCCGTAGACTGTATGTACATCACCCGTCTCACGCGGTACGGTAATGCAGCGCCTGCCACCCTTCACCCAAAATGTTGCCAGTGGCTGCAGACATACTTTCTTGGGGTCCACCAGTAATACCCCAACGCTCTGCGTTCAAGCCCTCGATGTGATTTGATTCGATGAGAACTCGATTCGATTCGATCTGAGGCCGGACGCTGTGTGTATGGTTCTATCTCGCCTCGGTCTTGAATTTTGGGCGTCCAAACCCCCCTCTTTACTAGATACAAGTAACAGCCCCTCCAGATCTTCCGTCTGAGTTGGACCATTCACAGCCATCGCATCAGTATTTGAGGGTTAGTTAGTTAGCTGGGAAGCCAAGGTCTGAGACCTGCTGCTGCTGCTGCTGCTACGGCTGCTCCCACTACTGCCTGGTCTCAACCCTCATATCAAACTTATCAACTATTACTATATGTTGATCCTGCGAGTGGCCAACGCCCTGATAACACCTAACTTACTACTAGTCTAATCAAAACAGGATTGACAAGCTCTAGAACCCGTAGAAACCTTGCACACACTTCGATCGACACACACCAAAACACTTGGTATCTGGCCCGTTCTACTCTGTAAGTTCTACCCGCTTTCGCTTGAGTGGTTTTCCCTTAGCAAGTACTGCACATCAGAAGCATCCTTCCCTCCTAAGATTCCTTCCCTCCCGCTCGACCCATTCTAGGCCCGTTCATCATCCTGCCGATCTGCGTGGCCAAACAAGATCCCGCTCGTAATTGGGTTGGATAGAGAATGGGTGTTATTGGTTGCGGGGGTGATGCTGACTCGTTGAGCCAAACTGGAGGGTTAGGCTGTATTGTAAGCCTGGAGCAAGTAACTAAGATGTTGACTTGTAAGATTGTTGGAGATATGTTGCCGCGACCGGGGAGGCGGGGAGGCGGGATTGGGATATTCTGAGGTTTAGTGCGAGGGCAGGCTTGTAGGGAGTACGGAGTCCTTTGAGGGTGAGTGGCTTGCTATACTACTATACGGATCTATACAGATAAGTACACTACTATGGACGGAGTGTCTTATCACCCCTCCTAGGCACGATAGGGACGGTATATTGATGCACGGATCCATGTCAAAGTATGCAGGTGAGGGTTCGAGGAAATGGGATCTGGATCTCAATCGCCTTGTTGTACGATTTGATACGACAGGACATGGCCAAGGTAAGCGGATCTGGGTATCTGGTATGTACTTAGTCAGTTTACCTGCGCTTGACTTTCGACCTTGCTGGCTTCAAAGAAGGGAATGCTGGGCCTTGTCTTATCGCTACTACTGTGGCTGTTCATAGTTGATCTTGATTTTCCGTAAGGCTCGTGATTCTTGCATTATCCAGGAGGTCTACTTTATAGATAGGTACTAATCTCAAAGAGTATATCTGAGGAGAAGGCTGAGTTAATAAGTTCCATCGTGCTCTGTGACTCGCCGACAGCACAGATCTCCTTTGGAGTGTCGAGGTTGGAATCATCTGAGACGGTTACAGTGACGGCCGGGAGTCAACGATATGAGACATTTTACGGGAAGAGGTGCAATAAATTGCGGTTCCGCGATGCAGCCATATCTCAGCATGAAGAACCGATGGCTTCTGGACGGAGAATTCTTGGCATAGGTTGAGGTGGTGTCAGTGACTGCAGTGGTATATAGCCCATCATGAGCCTGTTGATTGGTTGGATTGTTGGCATGGGTGAAGCGGGGCCGGCGGGGATCGGGCCGCCATGTAGATTGGCCGAGTGTCTGGTTGGATGGCGCTACTGGCGGATGGGGGAAATTGTTCCGCAGGTTAATGAACGATAAGTCAGAGAGGGTGGGTGGTGCTATCATTGTGACTCTCGCGGATACAATACTCAGATACGACAAATCTCTCGACGGGTTGCTCGGAGCATGCTTCATGGGGGTTACGTTGTTCAAAGTAACTGGTTTCTCGAGGGTATCGAGGATTGTGGTGTGACTGCATATCGTCAATTTCGTTGGAAGAGAGAACTGCTGTTTTAGATGCGTTGTGTCTGATCACAAACTATAACCCCCATCGACCATAAGACCCACGCCGTAGACAAAACTGCTCATGGGAGATGCTAAGAACAGGATGGCACTGGCGATCTCTTCGGTCTCGGCTACCCTCTTCACGGGGGCGCTAAGGATCTCTTCGGACAGCGCACCAGAGTCGAGCTCTGACTGTATCAAAGGAGTGCGGAACCAGCTTCAATTGAATTAGCGCCTGCTTCCAGGCTGAAAATAGATGGACATACCCTGGGCACACTGCGTTGATACGGATTCCCTCTGCGGCGTATATTTTGGCGTCCTTGAAGGCGTTCACGGTCAATGTGGGTGATTTCAGACGAGTAAAGCATCCTTACCGACTTGGTGAGACCCATGACCGCTACACGATATCGTCAGAGAGGATCTTGTAGAGTGATACATATATACAGAGGACCTACCGTGCTTGGAAGACACATAAGCTGTGGTGGGAAGTTCAATCGAGGGAGTCGTCAGTCCCAACGCTGAAGCGAGGTTGACAATCACGCCTCTACCTTGACGCGCGCTGCGAGGTCTACCACGGCATAGGTCAGACCTCAAGCCATATTAAAGGACGGGTTGATGTTGATAGAAATGAACTGTACTCTTGAAGCAGCATTTGCCGAATAGCAGCGCGCTGGCATAGCCAAACCCCGGTCAAGTTGACTCGGATGACCTTCTCCCAGTCCTCCTTGCTGAGGTCATGCGTAGACTGAAAGGGCTGACCTACGCCAGCCGCATTGATTACAATATCGACACTCTGGAACGCAGCAACAGTCTTCTCAAATGCGGCCGCTACGGCTGCTTCGTCGGTCACATCCGTCGGCACAACCAACACCTGCACCCCGGGATGGCTTGCTTGCACGACCTGATGCACGTGGTCCAGACTCGCCGGATCAATGTCCAGTAGGGTCAATGCGGAAACGCCGTTCGCAGCGAGTTGCAGAACGATCTGCTCTCCGAGACCTGCCGGTACAAGTCAACCTTCGCGGCCTGGTTCTGGCGGCTTCTTGGCCGAGTCGCTTTTCTTACCCGAGCCAGCCCCGGTGATCAGGGCGGTGCCTTCGACTTGGCCTAGCATGGTGGTAGTGGTGGTGGTGGTGGTGGTGGATACTTTTGTCGAGTTCAGCTCGAGGACGGAATCATTCGTCTCTGTCTCTGGATCTTTGGGCGTGGAGGCCATGGATGTGCGTAAGTGCGAACGGAAAAGGGAGGAAAATAATAATCGTAATGTCTTACACATAACTTTTGAGGTCACTCGTAGCTTTCCATTCTTCTCGTTCTGCCGCTGACTTGGCGATGGGCGGTATAAGTTGATACATCGGCTGAGGCGCACGTCGGCCCAACGACGTGCATGCAGCCGATTAGTCCATTTGTCGGCTGCCACGATACATCCAGTGGCGATCCCACCAGGACAATTCATAGATAGTTTCCGCAGCAAGTCAGAGCATAGTCTAACTACCTTTTAAAATAGACGCCGCCCGTTAGGCTGTGGCGCCCGGGTAAAATCTGATTGGAACATTGTGTCCTGATCAACTATACCAGCTCCAATACTATGCCGTACATACAGTAAGCTTCAACGTTTCAAGCAGCTGTTATTTTGTATCGCTTCAGCCATGCAATAAGACGAGCGCCGGGGTCTAACTGCTCAAAGGATGGTTTGTATAGATGACAAGGTGACAATGCCTTCATACAGACAGGATTGAAGTCTGTTCATATCCGCACGTAGACGTCAGACTCGAAAAGCTCGGTTTGCCCGACACAGAGTGGAAGACTGATCCGCTGTAGAAGCTCAACCCGTGCCTCAGGAGAATGCATTGGCATATTCAAGACGATCACTTCCACCCTCCGCGGAAATGAGGTATCTCAGCAGCGTCCTGCAGGTCTTTCTTAACTTCATTCCACGGTGCTTTCATCAGTGATGATCCATGTTATCGACTAACTAACATCCGACACCCGCATGCGGTTGTTCGTAGACCTGAATTTTGTGCACCAGGACCATTAGCTGTAACAAGGGGCCTATCATCCCGTTTAGATTCCTTACTTGGCTCGACACGTAGAGGCTCACCTGTTGTGGGTCCTTTAAAATGTGTCAGGATCCGGCCAGAACGAAGCATTACTCTCTTTGGTGAGACCATCAGTTGTCGGAAGCATGTGTTGAAGTCGTTGTTGACACAACCAGTCCCTAGTGTGCCAGTCGATGTGCCTTACAGACCTTGCGCGAAAATGCATACGGCTCGCAAATACTTTGTGGAGATTTCTAGACTTACAGAGTAGTTCACAGAGGAACTCTAAACGGCCGGTAATTGCTGAGGCGATTAACGTTTTTTGGTGCATTTTTATCCTAGAAACCGCCGTCCCAATGAGTGCATCCGAACGACTGCCCTCATCGGCGGTGCCTGAGATGCCTCTGCCACCAGAAGAGCTAGGTAACCATGGCAGAAAGCACTTCCTTGCTGCGATTCGCATCGCTCGACTTCGCCATAACATGCTAGTCGCGGGAACAGCTTTTCCACGCGGCGCACACGACGCAAGGTCTTGCAATGCGCCATTGTGAAGACTTGCAGAAGCTTCAATCGACTCTCGGCATTGATGTTGCGGGTCCACTTATACTTCGCCCTATACCCAACGACTTCGAGCGGTGGGCTGTTCTTGGTTGCTTTATTACGGGATTGATGATCAACGAGTCATTTCCGGGGAGCCAATCTAACGAGTTCGTCATATCCACTGCGAGAAATGCGATGTTGATCCTACTATCCATAGGAATGGATACTGGCGAGGTTGTAGAAGATCAGCCAGTTTTGCCTCTGTATTTACAAGCCTACACATTTATCTTTTCCGCGACTAACTAGGTTTTCCAGACTTTTTTCTACTGAATCGATTGCTGCCATATCTGCTCTCGCGTCAAACATCATTCAACATCCCAACGCCACTGGCGACGTCGAGTTGCTAATGAGCTTTCACCAATACCTGAAGAGGTTCAATCGGATATGTCCACATACAACTCCTGCCACCAGACTGGAGGCTTCTCTGAGTGCTGTTATAGATTTCGTGAATGCGGTTAGATTGCGCCCGGATAGCTGCCCGAGCACCGATCCCACTCTCGGTATGTTGCTGTGTCCTTTGCTCGCTCTAGCATGCTCTGACAGCCGCCACAAATTAGGACCTGGTGACATCGACTTTACCTTGTTAGACATCGATCAGATGTTGTGATTGGTTACCGACGATGAAGAGTCGTCATTCCCTCGACAGATGGCTTGGCTTCATTGCCCCTTCATGGCAGTTATGGCCTCTCCCACCATGTCAGGGTATTAGATACAATAATAACCTAGACCTTGTTTGAATCTATAACGGCCGACTCGAGAGACTGTACCCTAGCCCCACTTCTATGTCGAAAAGCCTACATTGGTGCGATCTCACAGTTGGCGGTCGCTTGCGGCCTTGTTCTTGCTTGGTCCTCGTCCTGCAAAAATCGATGTCGCCGCCCAGGAAGCCGGCCAGGCAAATAACTGCTGGGGGTGCCTCAAATCCTCGCCGGAGACTGGTGATCCACGACAGCAATAAAAATATAGGCCCCAATTCCAGTACATATATGCCACCTGTTCAGAAACAATGTGTGTCAGGGAAATGAAGACCAGGTGGGGGAGTCTCGAAACGCACCATCCGTGAAGTTCTAACAGGAAATCGCTTCTCGGGCTTTTGTCAAGAATCCGCAGGCCCACTGATCCAGCAGCCAAAGCCAATACCCAAGGTTGAAAATCGCTAGCAAGAGCCCGATTAGTCACTAAGAAATTATCACAGTAGGCACAGACGACCGACCTGCTCCAAACCTTACAACCCCCCAGATCTGTTGCCGGGCAGCCGAGCCCGGCCGCGTCCGGCTGTTGATGAGTCGTATAGTATAGATCCCAATTGCGGTGACCGTGCCCACAAAGGACACGGAGTGGAGAATGAGCTCATCAGTACTCATATGAAATATCAGTAGAATCAGTAACAAAGAGCCCAGTACCATAGCCATCACAATGGAGTCGCGGCGATTAGAATTGCTGTCAAAACACGATGTAAGACCGGGATCGTGGCGAAATGCATTGAGAGGTCGTCCACTGGTGAAACGAAGAATGAGTGAGATAGTATTGTAGCTGACCCCGGGGGGGGGGGGGGGGGGACATACTCATTTGGGTATGGTACTTCAAGCTAAGATGAAACGCAAACGAGCACAGACCAACCGCTATCAAGCCCCAGTAGGGTACGGCGCGTAAAGCATCGGTAGCATATTTCCTCGGTTTCCGCCGCAGCTGGCGCAGCCCATAGATGCCGTAGATTACTGGCAATGACGAATTAGATCATGAATGCATCATTCGGTTGGTATCTTACTATAGACAACATTTGTCAAGCTATTAATAAATTCAGCGATATACCTGCTCACAGCGTAGTCGGTTTCGCAGAAGCTTTTGTCGAAGTCAGGTCAGTCAAACAAAGAAATGTGCGAGATGGTACACGGACTTGGCCTTCGAAGTTGGAGGGCCCCAAAAAAAGTCCTGAGGCTCGACAGTGCTCATTTTGGCGGAGTCTGGCTAAAGTGCAGGAAAGCGGGTGGTAAGATTATAAGGACTAAGGTGGTGAAATAGCGTGATGAACGAATAGCTCTTGCGAGGCCAAAGATGCCAATCTATCGCCTTAAGGTGTTGTTGCTGATCTGCCTAGTCCGCGAGTCACCCCCCCCCCCTCCTCTAAATGGGGGGTCGCGGTCTGCTCGCTTAGCTATCACGTGACTGATGCCTGATGCCTACTATATAGATTTCCCTTCGCAACTATACGCGAAGGTTGGAAGGGTTGATTTAGCCCTTACAAAGATGCAGTCAGTGTGGTCAAAGGCAAAGAGAGGGTGGACGGGCTAATTGTCCGCATTTATAGGAGGTAGTGTACCTACCTAGGATCTCACCGCTCGACCAGAAAAATTGTTAAGACATCGATCCTGCCAACTAGGTAGGATTCCAGATCCTGTCAGTTTTCCTGTCACCCCAGACAAATCCGTCCGACAGCGGCATTCTATTCCAACTTCGAACGGCGGTGGACTAGTCACATTAAGCTGTACTACGCTCGCTGTACTGGGATGAGCTGTAATGTAAGATACCGTGATGAGTATAGTACAGTACAGTACAGTACAGGCATTCCCCCCCCCACCCCCCCATCCCTACTGTGAATCACTAAGGTAGTTACTCAGTACAGCTCAGTACATACAGTAACAACAGCTGAGTCGGGCTCGGTCGGTCGCTGCCCGACTTCTCCGGTATGTCGGCCGCTGGCTCACCGAGTGGCATCCGGGGGCGGAAGCCGCAGCGCACCTTGTTTCCATTTCATCACTGGTGAAAGTCGATGAAAATCCATACATTTGTATTGTACTGTACTATATCTACCAATGTTACCTATAGCTATCTAGTGACCTAGTAACTTCACTAGGCGATCAGTGTCTACCAGCGTCCTTAAGAACTATCTTACCTTGTACCTTGTAGGTAGGTTATGATTATCCCTGATCTCCTTGCCACTTTGCCACTGGAACCACCCGATCTGGCGAAAGAAATGATAGATATAGACCACACCCTTACCTTCTGTGTGAGTGTACCTATACTACCATTACTTACAATGAGAACCTTTCACTACTTCAAAGCTGGTTTCGCTCTGACGACTCTGTCGAGTGTCGTTAACTCAGCACAAGATGTAAGTCGAACGAGTACCGATATACTAATAAATACTGATCCTTTGTAGAGCAACCGATACCCATCACAATGTTATCCCATTCCCTGCGCCGGAATCACGTATCAGAATAACAAGTACATCTGTAGAGATCCTCGTCTAGGACCAAGCTTACTACCGTCTTTCTTCTCTCTAAACACAGAACTCCCGAATATATACTCGGTTTGGTGATCTGTGTCTATTCGAGTTTCTTCTTAAATAGACAACAGATATTTATCCCAATAGAACCTATATATATCCGTCAGAAGATGGTTTTGTAACGGACATCGACAGCATCGCGATTTAGGGCAATATAACTCTGCAGATGAGACAGAAGATTAATTTAGTTTAGTTCGGAGTCTGGGATCTTTCTGGCAGTTCTGGGTGCTCTGTACATCAAGCGAGCATTGCCTCCGACAAGCCTAAACACTGAAGATGATTTATTTCCTTATAATTATTACATCTATAAGGTTCTCAGACCGTTCATGGTCAAGGCGGGGCCTATTACCAGTTGGTTTAAGTAACCAGGCCTAGGAACCCAGTTCATAACTTATGATCCTGTCATTGATCTCATTGGTGGCGGTACATTAGACAAATATACCTGTCTGAGTATAAAGACTAAACAGATTATACCACCGACTACCTGCCTGCTCCTACCAGAATGCGAAATTAAGATATAGATTGCAGGAATGGAGAAGTAGTAGCTGATGATCTGTGCGGAAGACCAGTACAATACAACTCCCAGAATCAAGATACATCATTCATTACTATTCTGTATATATATAGATCGTGAACATGGGATAACTAAAGAAAGATTCATATTTTATTTTCTATAGAGGAATAAGACATGGGCCTAAATAAATATAGAGGATTGAGAATACTATAAGCTTGGAAACATAGTATAGCTCATCCTCAAGGAATCTATATTATCTCCGCGCAGCCAGCTCTTTGAATAGCTCTAGATTCTCGGCAGGGATCCATTCTACTACGAGGCAGTACCGGCTTTGCTGCCCATGGATACTGATTCTATACTTACTAAGAACAGCCACATCATCGGACAATGTTTCATAATCCTTCCGCTTGTCAATTGGATTACTTTTAGTATTGTATGAGCAGCGCATCTGTGTATGAATCAATTGTGCTTCTATTTTAGATTCAGAAGTCAAGGACGCATATCTGTAGCTAGAAGTAGATTCTTTATCCGATGGGTCGAGAAGGAAGCTATCACTGGATAGTCTATTAGATTTACTGCTTTTCGGACTAGAGTAGCTCAAAGAATCGGACAGGCTATCATCAACTTGAGAAGCTGGAAACTCTGCTAATCCTGCAAAGCCATCAGTCGTGGCATCATCTGTACGGGGTATCTGCTGCATTTTCTCGATCTTTTGGTGTATCTAGTGTTCAATTCTGTGGTCTATAGTCTAAGTTTCTCTATTCCTGGTCTGACACTCAAGTTATTTTGTTTTAGCGGGTAGGTCGGTGTTCGTAGCAATTAAAGCACGAATAGTGTACTTGTTCAACAAAGTACCCTGCTGGAATTTAGTCCCTTAGAAATCTAGTTGAACCTGCTCAATTTAGTAGCCTTTACCTTCTTTCCTTTTGATATTTTTATCAGCTTTCTCGCCCTCCACTTCAAGTCGAGCATGCCTGTTAAAAATGTATTACCGTCAATTCTGTACTGCGACATCTCTAAGACGCCCCCCCCCCCACCCCCCGTGTCTTGTGGCAGCCCTGAGTGTCGTGTTCATCTAGTCCTCTATGAATACTCTATTGAAGAAAGAATAGCACTCAAGATTCTGTATCTTACTCAGAGACTAAGATATAAAGTACCTCTCTTGGGTGAATAATTTGATACTATGTCAAATATGCTTATAAAGGCTGTCTGCTGTTTGCTTGAATGCATGTATTTCGTATCGCCCCAAGAGAACAAGACGCCGGTAGTCGAGCAACCTCAAATCTTGGATATCTTAATTCTAAGTCAGTCAGTATTTGTAGTTCTAGTCTAGCAGATATCAATAGATCTTACTTACTCATCAGAATAATCGCCACCGCGATGATATCTCTATCAGTAAAGCCAGTCATTTTCAGCTACAGTGCCTTAGTCCGATGGATCAGACACCGGACAGGTGTACAATCTTGAGAAGATGTAGCTGATTTTATATTCTTATCTGTCTGAGGGCTTTTCCAGCTTTGATTAGTCACTTTGATCAGATTAATACTCTTTTCAGTATTCTTACCAAGTTCTTACAAAATGTCGCGGGCTGAGTTTATAGCTTGCTTGTATCTATAAGTATCTTTTTTATAGACTATAACTAGAATGATTAACTCTAAATCACTATTACTTTGCGTGGTTGCTGCTGCTGCTGCTGTTGTTCCTTCTCGTAATAAAGGCTAGTTTGCGTGCGGAGGTTTGCGCTGTAGTCGGGCTTTCAGGGGTGGGTGCAGCTTCATGATGCTTGATCCTAGGGCGAGTTGATGGTGTGAGAACGAAGTGGTTGTATGATCGGCTGTGCTTGGTTAAAGGTTTGATTTGTTTGCGACTGCATCGGCCGATGATATGGATTGAGTATGGAGAGAAAGGATCCACTTTGTGGTGTATTATTATTATTTAGGGGAGATGCTTGCTTAATGAGATTTAATCTGCTTGATTCACTAATCTCCCGATTGGTCTGGTTTTCGTTGCATGGGTTGTGAGATTAACTAGTGAGAGGTTTTGTAACCTGCTTGTTTACGCATAGGCACGTCGGAGTGGCCATGATGCTTTGCCACCTGCTTCCTGCACTCCTGGCAAATCTTTTTGCTCTCGCGTGTAGGTACAGGACATGCGAGGATCAATGCCCTTGTTTTAATGACTGATGTAGACTTCGTTGCGATGGAGAGGGTCTGGGTGGATAAGCGGTATGTTGCAGCAGCATCATCATCATACTGTAAAATCGGGATCGGGAGTCGTTTGGAGAGAGTAGACTAAGCGTACCTCAGAGGATGCTACCGCAAGACATTTGCTCGAAGTGTCTCAGAGGCTTCGAGACCCGCGAGGATGGCTGGCTCGACTATCCTACGTCTTACTACGCGCTTACTATCGTGATTACTTATAGGAGATTTAAATGACAATGTCGATCTGTGGTTGATCACAAAGCCTGAATCCTACAAGCTGAAAGGCTCCAGGTGCTGCTGTAGCGGAAGCGGTAGTCACCCTGAGTGTCTAAGATAGCTTGCCACCAACGCTGTTTACGGTCTTTCGGCACTATAGACCAAGTCCAAGGACATGAAGTCTCCTCGCTAAGAATAGGCATGCTCGAGCTGTGCCCTGACAGCATGAATGAGCTCCGTATGGCGATCCCGGTTAGGAAAGAAGTCCAAATGCGCGACGTTATACTAACAGCGATCCAGGGTGATACAGGCCAAACAGGACCGGCGGTTGAGCCATGCTCAGAGGCTATACTCGTTATACTGCAGAATTCTAGAACAGTAAGTCAGGAAGTCAATGTGCAACGGAGCATAGAACAGTGGCGTACATGCACTGAACTAACGGGTCACCGGACGTAGCGACATTCCCGGAGGTTGATTCTCCTGCTCCATGCATAGGATTGACCCTGGGATGATTTTGGGGGTATGTACAGCGCACCTCGTGCGCCGCTGAGTGACGACAACATCAGATTCCAGCTAAAGAAGACCGTGATGATGATGATGATGATGTCGACGACTTTGGAGATATCGAGACCATCCGACTTGGCCGCATTGGCGACGCATTGACTTTAGACGCACTGGCCGGATGAGTCCGTCCTCACGCGTTGATAGGGGACATGCTGCATGGCGACGGAGAGGGTCTGTGATGCTTCGGAAATGCGTCCGTCCAGTCTGACAGTACGGAGTAGATGCTCGACTGCGTGTAGAATAGTTGCCCAGACGGTCCAGCTCCAGCGCCGACCGTCCACCGAGACTGTCCTGCTGATGACTTGCATACGCCCTCCTGGTCGGTGAGATCTTGGCCGCTTGGCGTCCCCCAATCGGGACGGAGACTTTGTCGACTTGTGTGTCCTTCGAGCACAGTGTGAGCAAGAAGTAGGGACTGTTTGTGCAAGGATGAGCTACGTTGCTTCTGGGGGTCTCAGAAAAGCTTGACCTGTTCCCCCCGTTTGCGGGGAGAGGTGGAAAGATACAGCATCTCCACCTCACTGAGGATTTGCTGTGTTTCCCAGTGCCTTCTTCCATCCAGCCTGCATGATATCGCTATCGCAAGAAGGCTTTTCTCCCTCCTTAGCCTTTTCACTATGCACACAAGCTCTGATGGAACGTTCATTCAATGCAAATGAGAATGGGAATGAAGCTTGGGCCCGACGGCACGGAGGTCCGGTCGTGCATGAGCGGAGTGTGCCGCAACGAGTCGGAGATCTTTAAGTCATCATTATCCCTTGACTGGCTCGGGGGAGAGTCGATCGGGATTATCATTTGCTCAGTGGTCATTCTGGAGCAAAGACGGTGTGTGTGGTACGTCTTCTGTTTTGCCCCTCTAGGCTGCGCGGCCTGCAACCTGCATACCTTGTGAGAGCATCCTTCGTCATTGGTTCAAGGATGGGAAGAGACGACTGCAAGATGATTGGAATGACCATTTGGAAGACTGACTGACTTTGAGACTAGTGGAGATATGTCGAACTATGACATGTAGGTAGACGTAACTTTTGTAGTCAATGTACGAATGATGGGATGGTAAAGTATGTTCTTCGTGTTTACAGTGTCTGAGTGAGTACATTTACTCGCACGGTCCCTGATCGCCCCCTCATTTTTTTAGTGCCCGCTCAAGTGACCGCAGAAGGTCATCTGCCATCCCAATCCAGTCAGGACGGGATTCCTGGAGTCGATCCATCGATCCATCCATTCAGCACTGGTTTTTCTCTTCATTTTGTTACTCTTCAGCCTGCTGTGAAATGTAACCAAAAAAAAAAAACCGTTGTTGACTGGAAACTCTTCCGCTAGACTGGGATTTTTTCCGATTGCAGGTTATTGTTTGGCAGCCCGGTGTCTCTCTCCTTCACGCCAGTCAACAACGCTCGAGCAAATCGCTGACGATAAGCTCCCTCAGCACAGTTTCTCTAGACCGGCACGCAAAGCAGGGTCTTGAAAAGAGTCACACAAGGCTAGAGATAAACTTATTCTGAGGTATCCCATCGTTCAGGTCTACAACCGCTCGATTTGGCATCATCTACAACCCCTCGCTTCTACTGCACCCCCCAGGGCATGATAACACCTTGCCCATGGCGGATCGCCACTTGAATGGAGGCGATAAAGCATCCTCAATGCTCGATTGTTGCAGGCCCGACGAGATCCCAGGCTTCCAGCCTGTGACGCTACTTGCCCGACTGGGTCATCCGGGCTCATACGAATCAGAAGCGAGGTACAAGCGCCTGTCTTGTGATTGGTCTTGAAGGGGAAAGGCGTGGGATTCCAAGCAGGGAATCTGTTACGGTCGATGATTGGCTGTGTTGAGCGTCGTTCTTCGGTGTAGCACTGGTGGGAGTCGTTCGCGATTTCGGACAAGGCAGGTAGGCATTCAAGTTGGTGAATAGGTAGCAGTCGTAGCAGTTGTAGCAAGAGAGCTGAGCAATCACTAGATAGGGGAAAGAGTCAAGTAGACGAGAAAAGAGAGAGGGAGAAAGAAGATAGCTGGGTGTCGTGTCTCGACCCTGCTATAACTACAGGAAACTTACCAGCATTGACCCAATGCAGTGTAGCTGAGACTGAAACTGAGAGAAGTGATGATGCGATCGCGATCTCCAACCGTGATCTACCGTAGATATACATAGCTCCAGGAGTTCCCCATCGCTACCGACTTTCCTTGACCTCTTCTCTCCGATTCTCTTATCGGCATCCAACACGGTCGCTTCTCTGCTTTGACTAGCCCGCCGTCCACCAGTGAATTCGTTGACGGGGAATTTCCTGGCTTATGCGTATGATTGTTGTCGAATCATATGCGGAGCCAGTGGACTTTGCAGAAACTTGGACAAGGCTTGACAGTCGTAAGTCATAGATAGAGACCTTGTCTCACGGATGTTGTTAAGCTCGGATCTTACACGCGGGAGCTTGCCAATCGTCCGGCCTCGCTGCCTGCACCTTTGATAACACATCCCGCCGTTCTCTCTGGCGTCAATTCTGCTGAAGCCCGTCTGCCGATTTGTTCAGTCCCTTTTTGGGCTGCTTCTTCCCAGAAGAGCTTCCTGTTTCGTGGAATTGCATGTGCTGCTCCATTCCAGCATCGGTCCAAGCCACACCCGCATCATCTCCGACCAACACTTATCTCTCCTCGTGTTGACCTGCACCGTGCGCGACACGCTCGACTCTCCCTTACTCACTCTCTCACCTGGTGCAAGTCAAGGTGGACGCGACCGTTCGCATCGTGGCATCCATCCCATTCCTCAACGGCGCATCTATTGCCCCGCGGCGGGAAGTGACTTGGAGCCCGCAAGACATTACATACACTTCACACTCTTGGCTGTCTGACAGACCAGTCTACATTTGTCGCGACTGAAGAACAGCAGATCATACTTCATAGAATCACACTCTTTGCTCGATTGCGCGTATCGAGTTTCACACCGCTGCTCATCCGGTGAGTAAAGCTCTTGGGCCAACTCCAAAGTAGCTGAATTTGGATCATACCGTCGCCATCCAGGCTATCATTGCGAATGTTTGGCGTGCTCTGACTACCACGGGAAAGGAGGTTGTGCATTCATCAACTGTGAAGGGAAAATTCACAAAGAAAGCATCTTCGATCCCAGCGTCGGGTGGATTCCGCATTCAGAGTTGACTCCAATTACTCCTTTGTCTCCGGGCGAGGTCTTTCGGACTTCTTTGAGAGCACAGACAGTTCTGACTGGCAGATGAGACGGTGGTGACCGGGGGATTATCACTACTTATCGATCAGACGTGCAGGGAGAGAGGGGTCCAGGACAGGCAGGGGCTCCGGTTTGTTCCACCTTCCGACTGAGTGCTCCATGCTGGCTGGTTGTCTGTTGGCCACAGGCTGTATTATGCATCTTCAGAGTTTCCGGATTCACTAATGCGCTCAAAGCAACAAACGCATCTTGAAGGATTGTAAGTGCCCCATTTTTCGTCTGCAGAAGCGCTTCACTCCAAGTAACTGGATGCCTTCTTTATTATTGTTTTGTACTGGTGCAATCAATTATTCCCCAGCATGCTGAAGAAGAAGTTGAATCTGCTTCATGCTCACCTCGGCCCGGAAGTAATCATCAACTCGTTTATTGACGTTTTTACCATTTCGCCTTCTATCATTTTTTTTCATGAAGGAATAAGGCTTCCTCAGTCTTTTCTTTTCTCTTTTTTTGTTGGCTTCTTTTTACTCCAAATCATCGAAGCATTTTCTACTAATTATCGTCATTCTGCATTGTTAAAATCCATTCTTTGGGAGGGATGCGAGAGGCAGCGGGTAACCAATGCGCGCAAGCGTGGCGCCCGCCTTCCCGCCTTTTTTCACCACTGCACTTTTTCAACTTATGTTTTCCCCCTCTCTTATTTTCCCGTCTAAACTAGATCCATTCCCCCCTCCCCCCTTTCTTCTTCCCCTCCCCCCATTATCCATCATCCTGTCGTCCACACCCACCCCCCCCTCATCTACTTACTGTCTTATTCCCGAGTCTACTTTTCCATTTTTTCTGTTTCCCTTCCTTTTCCACTCCTGTCTCCAACCAACTTAACCTTCTTCCCCACTCCACTTCATCCTCAGTCTACCTCCCTCTGTCCCAAGCTTTCCCGGTCAGTTTGTCTTGCACCCACGCATTCGGTCACACATAATCCTTCTCCATCCACTGTTCCGAACCCTCTCCCCTTCCTTTCCACACACAGACATAGACACAGACACAGACACACACCACCCACACACCCACCCTTGACCCCCCCCCCCCCCCCCCCCCCCCCCCCCCCCCGTCCCCACTGCTCGGTTCCATCAGCGGCACGTTGTGAATCATCCACGGCTGATATCCAGCTGTGTACCGACTCAGGAATCTGCTAGTGGTTTGGTACCTCCGCGTGGACTAGGAAGCGCTGCGTTCTGCAGGCCGGGGAACCTTGGATTGTTGCATTGTTCTCTTGTTACTCCCTCGCAGCTTACTAGCCTCATGTGGCTGTGCAGTGTCTGGCAGTACTCTCCTCTCACTCGCCACACTTCCTCATTATCCTTCAGCCACACATACTCGCACACGCACGCATTCTTTGCTTGAGCTAGTTTGCTTGGAGGGTGTTCGTATCTTTCCGCCTGTGTGCATGTCATTCTGTATTGTCTTCTGAGACTGTCTCATCTTGCATCATACCTCAGCTCTCGTTTGTTTCCTGGTGTCAGTAGCTCCGGCCTCACCGCCTGAGTGCCGCTCACCGCCTTGTCTCCCCCCCCCCCGGTCTTCCCATCATCCTTCGTTATTATTCATTCAATCTTCGTCTGGCGATTTGCTCCAGCCTTTCCGCTGATCCGCTTCCAGCAACCACTGCATGCGCGCGACTCGTGGCCCTCCGTCCTCCTCTTTGTTCGTCATCACTTGCATCCTCGCCCTCTAGATCTTCCTTGGGTCTCGCAGCACCACCACTACCAGGAGCCAACCCAGTCCTCGTCCTTCCCTCCTCCCCTCCCCCCCTCCCCCGTCTGACACTGATACCTACCGCGTTCGCCTGACGCGCCCGCCGCCTTGCGACGGCTCCCTCGACCCCTTCGCCTCCCTCCCGTCCTTCCTCGGCCCGCCATGTATAGCACTTCCCACTCGTCCGTTCCCGCTCCGATGAATGGCATCGGAGGGGATCTGGTCGATGGTTCGGGCACGATTAATCCTGCAGCCTTAAACAACGGTATGTGTGTTTATTTGTTTGCCCGTCACGTCTTCTTCCATACCTGTGTGCTTGTCAGCCTCGTGTTTTGATGCTCTTGTTCGATCAAACCTAGTTTGTTTCTGTTTGCGTATTGCTTTCAAGGTGAATGATTTTCGCATTTCATTGGCGCGATTGAGAGCGGTGCCACCGCACTGTTGTCCCTCATGGAGGTTATAATGGGTGTCCAAGCCTCTTCCTGTTTGTCCGCCGCGACAACCTCCAAACTGACGGCCTTCTCTTAGTCGCCGTTGCCATCCCCCCTCCATCATTCGGGCCCACGAATCCTAGCATAGCTCCTCGTGGTGTCAAGCGAAGTCGCACCCCAGATCAGCGAGGGAGCGCACGCGCCGATGGGGATCATGATGACGGTATGTGTGCGCTGGGTTGCCCGGCGATTTACTTGTTGGAGAGAATTTGATGAAGGATGTGCAAATCGAGCTGGCGCATCGCGTGCATTTTGTCTCTTTCATCGAAGCTTTGTGTTTGAATTATGTTCACGTTCGCATTCGAGTGTCTCGCGTCGTTACTTTGCTCTCATCAGGCCCCTGCTCCACCTCAGGACTTTTCTTTGCTTATGGACTAACGTGCGGAAGCAGCAGATGACCATGGTCGTCGGAAACGAGGGCGGCCTCCCAAGACCCCGCGGCCGACAACGTCAAGCAACGATCAGCCCGCCTCGTCCAATGCTCATGTTCAAACTCCTCGAATGCAGACTCAACCTCTCCCCACTCAAACACCCGCCAATGTATCCCCGCCGCAAGCTTCGCCGCCCGAAAAGAGCACACCAACCAAGGCTGCATTGGTCAAAGCTCTTCCCACCGTGCGTGACCATACTACCGACCAGCTGAATGAGGCGGGTGATGAATACGTCCCCAAAGAATTCGACGATGCCGGCGAGAAGAAGGTTGACGACATGGGTTACCTCCAAGGTGGTCGCGAGTACAAGTGCCGTACGTTTCGCGTGCCGCTTCGTGGAACAAAGCTGTTCATGCTGGCTACTGAATGTGCGCGAGTCCTGGGCTATCGAGACTCGTATCTCTTGTTCAACAAGAATCGCTCTCTGCATAAGATCATCGCCACTCAAATCGAGAAGGATGATTTGATCCAACAGGATATCTTACCATATTCATACCGCTCTCGTCAAATCGCCATCGTAACGGCCAAGTCCATGTTTCGCCAATTCGGTAGCCGGGTAATTGTGAATGGACGAAGGGTCCGTGACGATTACTGGGAGGGCAAGGCGCGTAAACAAGGATTCACGGAGGACGATCTTGCGGGCGAAAAGCGCCCGGGTGGTACCAAGGCACGCGATGCTGCGGCAGCCGAAGCCGCCGGGGCCGCCAATTTCTTGCCCACTCTGACCCATGGCGATGTCATCTACAGCAACGCGCTAGAGGCGGTGCCGAGCAGCATGACGATTGGTGCACCGCCAACGGTCTCACTCTCGCAGCCGCTTCCGATGATTCATATGGCGACGACTGCAGATGACCCGCGCCTGAGGGAGTACAACAGCATGCCTCGACCTCGCCAGGAGTTGACAGGCCAACCGTACCAGGACCGGTCACAGCCGAGCACTCCTGCCGACATCATGAATCAAGCCACACACACTGCGGACTTCAACAAGCTCTTGACCCAACAGCGCAGCTATCGACAGAAAGGACTGGAAGAGTTCTATTCCAAGCAGCGTGAGATCCCCGCCTCGGCCGCGCCTCCGCATCCCGGACCAATCGATTCGGCCCCGTCTGTCTCCCAGCCAATGCAGTCGCCTCAAATTCCTTCGACCGGGGTAATGAACCAAGCTCAGCCGCCGCAAGCCATGCTCCCCCACCAGCCTCCCATTATGTCCAGTCAGCCCGGCTTTCAACCGGCAGCAACTCATCAGCAGCCACCCATCGCACAGTCGCCTGCTCGAGGTGTTCCTGCACCTCGTCCAGAGCTTATGCATCAGCGTTCCAATCCTGCTATACCTGCTAATGCCCCCCAGCCACCGGGTCCCTACGGGTATCCATCCCAGCCGCAGCAGATGTGGGGCCAGCCGCCTCCGCAGCCCCAGCCCTCTCCCCTTTCTGCTGGACCGCAAGGTGTAGCAATGCCGCAATTCCCATCCCAGATGCATCCTCAGCAGTCTCCTTCGCCGCTCGCGCACTCTCTTCCCCAGCAGCACGCTTCCCAGTCTCCTCGCAATCAAGCTAGGCCTTCCGCACCCCCGATGTCACAACCTTTCCCGATGCATCCGCAAACCCCGCAGCAGCAGTCTATGGCAGCCATGCCTTTCCCTGGCGTCACTGCTGTACAGTATCCGGGTATTCCCGCCGCGCGGGCTATTTATCCTTCTACGCAGGGCCCGGCAGGGCAACAGTATATGGCCGGAAATCCCCAGCAGCCTGGGATGGCTATGGGCATGAACCCTGGTGGAGCGATGCCCGGCTGGCCTCCCGGCCCCGGTGGGCCGATGCAACCAGGACATCCACAGCCAGGTCAATCTGGCACTCCTCTCGGATGGTCTGGGTACTGAAGATAGAGGCTTTAACTGGCGTTGGTGTGCAGTGGGCCGTTTGCAAGTGAGAATCATCCTGGTGCTGTTTATGTTGAGAAAGAGACGCATTGTTCGGTTTCTATGAGCTTGAGTCCTGCTTGATCTGATCTGACCTTCTCCCTGCCCCATGATGTTGTATCTGACATACCCCATTTCATTCCTGCTCTATATTATCCTTTGTCCTGGGATAATGGCTTAATGATAATCTGCGTGTTTCCCTTGTCTATACCCTTTGTTATACCCTGTCATGTTTTTGTTTCCTGTCTGTTTCCCAATGGTGGTCTTGCAAGAATCTTTGAAGCTGAGTTCCGCAGTCACGAATATGGAGGTTGTGCACGGTTTTCATATGTTCAGGATAGAGGGACGGTCAGATGGGATGGCAGTAAATTATTGATTTCAGCTTTTGGGTTCGGTGTTGTCAGCCCTGGATTATCTGTGCCATTGTGCTTTTTTTTCGTTTCTTACCGTTTGCATTGATGGTTCTCTCCCACTCTACTCTGATTGATTCTATCGTGCCTTTGTGTGACCACGATTTCGTCTGGGCTTTTCACCATGAATTTTGTGATTTTTGTTTTGCATACAGACCTTGATTTTGTCTCTTCGTCATGTGTCTTATGATTGACTTTTCTTCTATGTGTCTATGGTATGCAGATCACGTACAGGTTGCACAGTTTCGGGGAATATTAATTTGATTAGCCCCGGTTTTCAATTTTTCAGGGTATTCTTGAATCGGTGCCTGGGTATTGTAGGAGGCTCTGGGACTGCAGATCTAGAGTCGTGACCGGAGAACTTCTCACACGAAGGATGCCCGCTGTTTGCTTCAACGAGGACTATTTGATTCAGTGTACATATAGTACATTCAGCACGCTCTTCAAGTTGTTGAGTCCGCGAATATTGCCGACCAGCCCATTGGCCCGCCTGCTTTTCCCGATGGTCGCCATGTGTCGCCATTCCATGGTGTCCATTCACGATTTGGTTGTTGATAAGGTAGAGTCATCCTACACCAACAGCACCGACAACAGTGAAGCCCAGATATAGGAAGATCTTTGGTTGGTTGGCTACCTGGCCCTCATTGTGTGTCTCTCACCGCGTGTCTCTCACTCACTCTCTCACTTTTTCCCTCTCTCTCTCTCTTTGTGTATATGTGTGTAGTAGGTTTGAAACGATTGATGTGTTTGCAATACTTGATGTGTTTGGACTATTTGGTGGGTTTGGAATAATTGTTGGGTGTAGAATGTGGGTTGGGTTTGCTGCTCGTTGACTGTTTGGTGCTCACTATCTAGGTTTGCAGAATAAACAAATTGAAAGTAGAGTGCAGGCAGGCTTGCTACTGCTTAGGATTACTGCATTGCCGACTTCCCATGATTCAGTCCATGGGGCGTGATGTGACAAACATGCTAGCAATATGGCTAGGAATTGACGGACTTAGTACATGGTAGATAACGAGGGCGTGTGAAGTGAAGGAGCAGTATTCTCTTCTCTCTCCATGTTCTAGAAGGTGATTGAGTGGGGAGGACTGGGCTGGGGAGTTGAGCGCTGTGCTGATGATGATGATGATGATGATGATGATGATGATGATGATGATGATGATGATGATGATGGTTGACCGCGGTGGGTACTCGCCTTGCAGACCTGCTAACTTGCTATTATCTTACCTAGCTTCGTTGTGCAACAATCTAAGTTATGTCGCGATAGAGCCGTTCTTCCACTTCGTAAACAGACCTTTGGCAACCTACAAGAACAGAAACCTTTTCACTTCGTTTGTTCAAATGAGAGACTCTCGGCCATGTGTCGTCCGTCTTCCTGGACCAGACACCTGCCCTGTCACTCCTCCAGATTATATGTATTACAGTAAGTAGTGGTAGTAAGTAGTGGTAGATACGTGACAAGGTGATGTGAACCGATGCCTCCAAATGTCCAGGTGTCCACACAGACACACAAATCAAAGAAAAAATGACAGCCGCTTCCAAAACTTTCACATGCTTGTTCGCAAAACAAGAAGTTATGAATGAAACCCTGGCCAAGAGAATAGTAGAACACCGACGGGGGATAAATACTGGCGCTGGGATATATGTATAATGCCAACATGGTTCCATAGAAGAAGAGAAACAAAAACCAGCCATGACCCTGATGCACAACGCCCAGAGTAAGAAATAAGTACAGGGTGACTGGCTGAAACAACGGGGTATTATTTCTTCGCACACAAATGAAGTTTCCAAGGCATCTTGACTTCTTTCGCAACAGAACAAAGAATCAGAAGTCATTGGGGGTTTTGTTGTTGGCGAATGTGTATGCCTCCGGTTTCTGCGACGGAAGCTGTTGTGCGCCATATCGTTGGGCCTCCTGCTGCTCGGGAAACTCATAGATGAATTCCGCAGGCTTCGAGTCGCCACCTAGCGCAGCTGACATGGGCATGTCCACTTCGGTGGTCGTGTATACCAGAGACGGGGATTCCGTCACGGGAATATGCTCACAACTGTTGTCGTACGACATCGACGCCATATCCGGCTGCGATGTCACTTGACAGGGGCTCTGGAAACAAGCTTCAGGGGATGACATAGAGGCCGCATCGGGCCAGCTCCTGCCTGTCATCGAAGTTTCACCTGCGGTGTAGTCGGGGAAAGAGTTGTAGTGAGCTGGGGCCGACATTGGCGGAGCGCCGCCGTGATACGAAAATCCAGACAGCATGTCCACTGCCAACGGCGTGGCCGGAGGTGAGGCGATGTTGATCTGCATCGGTTGTGTTGTAGGGAACAGGTGACTGGTGGGTTGTGCCGACAGACAGTAGCCTCCATCACTTGGGGTGTTGGGGAGCAAGTGATGCAAATCTTCCGGAGTCAGGGGTGTAGGTGGTGCCAATCCACCCGCTGTTACCGTAGGTTGCAACAGCGATGACATTTCCGCTTTATGATTGACAGTTCCCGCCTCAGCAAATGTCGAGAGGTTAAGAGGAGAGCGTTGTGCGGCCGACGCCTTTCGCACTCCTGCGTAGCGGGAGTTGAGTCCTTGCGCCGACTTTGAATGTCTCATGCTACCATAACCGGGAAGTCTCCCCGTCGGTGACAGCGCCGACGGGCTCGAGAGCATCGACCCAGATCTTGATGTGCCGATCGCAGCAGGCCTCGGGCGCTTTCTGCGAGCAGCCAGGTCCAGTTCCTTGCCTGCCTCTTTCCAGGACGCTCGATCGGCTCCGTGGACAAGCCCTTGCGGGGTGTTGATCCCAATACCCTCCAAGCTATCGGCAAGCTCATCAGACGAGCCCCGTCGAGACAGCTCCAGATCTTGATGCATGGGATAATGAATTGTATTGTACGAAGCCTCTGCGTCGCTCGCTGACCGGTACCCGGAAAGTGGCTTGGCCGACGAATGCATATGACTGGCCCAGTCTTCAGGGTGGTTGGCGTGGAATGACATACCGTGCGGGGTCTCCAGAGTAGGAATCGTTAGCGACTCGCTCCCTGCCGTCACGTACTCCAAGGAGGTTTGGGCCGGCTCCCAGGGAAGCGTGGTCTGTGCATACGAAGAACTCAAGTCGCTCGAGTCAGCTCTGTGTTCATCGTGACTACCGCTTCGAGGGTTAGCGGCGAAGGTCGTGGTCGGGGACACCGATCCATCCAAGCTAGCTGGATGACTGTTATCACCGTCCTGGCTGTACCGATCCCGCGCCGCGACAGCAGCGTTCAATGCTCTTTGCAGAGAAGCAAAAGTCGCCTCTCGGGCCGACTCACTTCTTGTCTTCTGGTGCTTGGACCGCGAAGATGAAGATGTTGTCTTTGTCCGCTCAGTGGGCTTCTCAGTCGAGGGCTTAGGGGTTTCCTCATGTGCCTCGTCGCTCGTTGTCTTCGATTCTTGGTTTGCTTCGGATGAGTTCTCCGTGTTATCTGACTTCCCTCGAGCAGCCTCTTCGGCCTCTGCCTTGGCTTTTTGCATTCTCTCGAATTCTTCCTGTCGCTTCTGTTGCTTCGCCTTTGCTCGACGGTTCTGGAACCAGTTCTGCAAGTCCAATTAGTTTTCATCGTCCACATCAAGGAGGTCGCGAGTACAAGGATCACTAACCGCAACACGGGGGAGACTGAGATTCGTCTGCGCTGCCAATTGACGCTTGACGTTGCTGCTGGGCTTGGGGTGGGCCTGGAACTGTGCTTCCAAAGTCTCCACCTGCTCTTTGGTCAACCTCGGACGCGAGAGGTTCTCTGCATACTCGTCATAGTCCATGATAGGCTGGTGATAGAAGTCGACCATGTCGAAAGGAGGGTGTGCGTAGAGGTAGCCATCCATGGGGTGCATCATGGACGGATGCGTCATTGTCGGGTCGAAGGCAACCGGTTGATCCAGAGGGATGCCATAGGAGGCGTATGTGTGGTGAAGGTAGTTCATATTGTGACGAGGAAGGGAGTATAGGTGTGCTGAGCGAGGAAGGGTATGGGAACAGTGGCCTTGTATCAAAAGTGGTTGGATTGGAATGGGGCAAAATGCGCTGCGGGTGCGGTGCGGGTGCGATGCGATGCAGCGTTGGTGACCAAACGCTCGAGGGATCCTGACAAGCTGCTGCCAACGGAGCTGCAACTATGACGAGGACAAAGTCTTGGTCATTGAACAACAATTGGACCACCAAAGACTGACGACAACACTGGATAGGAGGAGGAGGGGTGAATAAATGTGGGATATGGCGGGAAGATCGGATCTTAAAGGACGAGGATAAGAGATGAAGTGGCGGTAATGATTGGAACGAGTGGACTGGAAGTAGCGGGGAGTATATAGTTCTATACTTGCAGTCGATCGGTGGATTCTCCTTTTGAAAAAGGAAAAAAGAAAACAAGTGTCAGAGAGTGTGAGAGAAGCAGCCCAGGAGAAGATAGTGGAGGCGGATGATGCGACGATGGAGGGGGGGGGCAAGAGTTTCAAGGAAAGGTATAATTATTATGTCCGATGAGGATACACAGAAAGGGAAAAAGGAGGGAGCGACTAAAGTTGACAGAGAAAAGTAAGAATAAAATGAAATGTAGTAAAAGAGTGAACAAAAAAGGAAAAGGAGAGTAAGAGCCCAGAGACTGTGAGGTTGAAGTTGGAAGAAGCAGATGAGAGAACGACTGACGATGGGGGAAAGGGACAAAAGGGAAAAACAAAAAATGAGATGGAATTAACTTAGTATGAATTGTTGACAGTAGGTTAGTTAGTTACGGAGTACTAACTTCCAGTCTGTACCTATGCAGTGGATGTACTGTACACTGAAAGTACCCAGTTACCTTCAGTTACCTCCAGTTACCTCCAGTACCTACAGTACCTACAGTAATCCAATTGGCTGGTGGTAGATGGAGCCCGTCAACAGAAGGTGTGGAGGGCTGCGACATGATTGGCGATCGCCCAACCGGAACTGGCTGGAGATGCTGCAAAAAAGAGAAAAGAAAAGATTCAAGCCGGGGCTGACTCCGTATCAGGGTCGTATGGTAATCTCAGAGTGGAATCTCCTGCAGCCTGTGCTTTTGTTTTTTATGTTATTTTCCTTTGTTCTTATCCCCGATTCTACTTCCATTTCCACCAGCCATTGTTGTTTACGGAATTGATATCGTTCCTGCCTTCATCTCAAGGTCCCAGAACCACCCATGGATCTACCCATTCCTCCCCAGAGGAAGCTGAGGACTGAATCACGGATCCATGATCATGGAAGCATCCCATCCATGGAGAAAGTTCCTACCCCTTCGGGACTAGCCGAGCAGACCGGATAAACCAAGCCATTACCAGGTACCGTACTGCGTATTGGGGAAATTCCTCTATTATTCGGGATTTTCGTTTCTTTTCTGCTTTGGGAAGAAGTATTGCTTTTTTTTTTCTTCTTCTCCTTCGACTTCCGCCCCTCCGAGAGATACACATCCGCCTTCAGTTCTACCTACCAAGTACGGAGTACCGGGAGGTTACTGGGTACTAGGTACTAGGTACAGTACGTACCTAAGGGGGTGGCGGGCTGGGTTGGGCTTAGGTACACATTTCTGGCGAGTACGAGGAGGTCCTTCAGCCTTCAGGAGCTTCCGCCGCCGCTTTGCTCCTCTATCCTTTTGAGTCTGAAAATAACTCTTCAGCTAGCCAATGCTATCTCTCCGCTTCCCTAGTGGTTCGACAAGAGCAAAAAAGAGCGAGTTAGGGCGATTCCAAGTTTGTGCGCCCCGCTTGGGAGTGGCTATCTGGGCAAACTGTGTACATTGTACACTGTACAGACTGTACAGACTGTACAGTACATCTACAGTATCCATCCTCGGACATCCTCGGGGGCTGGTTTGAGTCTGTACTTCTGACAGTTGACTGATACTCCCAAGACTTGTTTCACCCCTCCATCCACTGGGTGGATTGATTCGAGACTTGGGAGATGTTACCAATGACGGTTGGTCGGTCTGCTGGGCTCACGATCGGTCGCTATCGCGAGGCCGATCGTACGCTGTGAACGAAGGAACGGGTCCACGATGCAACCTGTGCTTCAGACAGAAATGGTCAATTGGTTTTTCCCTGTATTCTTCTCTGCGTCCTCGTTATCATCAGTTCTGTCCGAGCGGTGCCGGAAGAACTTCCTCTCCCTCCTTTTGAGATGGGTCGAATCCAACTTCCTGGGAGGATTGCTGTGGGGTGGAGATGCTACTTTTGTGTTCTTTTCCTTCCGTCTGATGGATGGCTTGGCAGAGATCTAAGTTTGGTGAGAGTACTCCGTAATGATGAACCAGAATGTCGGCCCTCCCCTTAAGATAGAGCCCTACCAAATCGAACACCATAACTCGGGCCGGACGCCTATTGGTACATCGCGGATTACTTGTTCTGCCCCTTCCGCACAATCGCCTCGTCTCCCGAGTCGACATTCAATTCTTTCCCCCGGGAATGCGAGTTTGGGATTCCAATCAGAGTTTAGCCATTTAAGCTCCAGTGTCAGCTCGGATTGACAGTCTGGCCTATTTCCCCGGGCTTCATTATTCAGAACAGGTCGACGGGAGTTGCAATGTGAAGCGCTCGCTGGATTTTCGTCAGTTCCTGCATTAGCGCCACTAACATTAAGGGCCGATTCTAGCTCTTACCAGGGGGAGGGGTTCTATCTGGGAAGATCCCGGGAGAACGATTGAGAAAAGAGAGAAATGCCTTTGGCCCCATTGCGCCCTCCTCGATGGTGGGGGAACTGTTCACCTTGAAGTAATGGAGGAGCTTCAGTGCAATTGACGTTCATCCCTCAGCAGCCAGAGCTGCAACGTCAAGTCCCACGTCTTACCATGCAAAGGAAAAGCAACAACAACAACAACTAATACTACTACTACTACTCTCATCATGACCGTCACGACCGCCCGAGTGGGTCCAGCGCTGAATAGAGCCAGTTGGTAGCCTGAGTCGAAGTCTGGGACAACCAAGATTGTGGTTGAGCTGGGATCCAGTGCAGGCTTTGTTCCTACTGGGTGATGCAGCGATCACGGGGGACTTTGCGAGGGAAAATCGGGGGTCCGGTCCATGATTTTGTTCAAAGCGGCGCTTAAGATTCATCGTACTGTACTCCGAGTACGCTCAGTACAGTCTTAGTTGTACTGTAAGTAGGTACATATTCTGTATTCGGTTAGTCCCCAGCGGTCCGAAGATCCTCTCTTCTCCCGGTCACCCCCAACTTCCGATTGATATTTGATGATCTTAAGGGAAAACAAGCACTGGGGCCTGATGGACTTAGGCACAAATTGCCCATCACGCCTTAGGTGAAGGGTAGGCTTTCATCACATGATAGCTATCCTTCCAACGAACCTCCGCAAAAGCACAATGACCGGGATGTGGTGGCTCGGGGGTACAGTTCGGATCCCAGTCCACTTACCTGACGTTTAGCCTCGCACGTACGAAATACCTCTTCCGTACTTACAACCAGTAAGTATCCACGGTACAGAATGTACTGTACCTAGGTAGCCAGCTACCTACCTACCCTACCCCATCCTTAACACTCCTGGGTCCGCAAAATGGCGAAATAACCAAGCGGGGTGCGGTCGACAGGAGGAAGCAGTGAGTCAATGCGTTTGAGGGACCTACTTTGTGCTGCATGCAGCATAAAGAAAGACAGCGTACTGGCATGATGGCGTGAATAGCCTTCATTGTTCTGTCTGGATGAACCAGACCGGGAGAGCAATTGGCACGGATCTCCAGACCTCCCGCAAGGTTCCTGAGTTTGCAATGGCCGGCCCCCAATCAGCACTAAAGACTTTCAGGAGGAAGTGGACGCGGAGAATTCGCCTTTCGAAGGTACCAAAGGAGATCAGACATGAAGGTCAACCCGTCAAAGACGAAGAGATGGAGGTGAGTGTGTGCTGCAAGTCGCAACAGCGTGGCCGCTCAACCAGCCCCAAGCCCCACCAAAATCCAATAGTCGACAGATCCTCCGTCGATCAGCCTCCGGGATCTGTGGGTGGGAATGATTCGAACACACTTCGACTTCCTTTCCTTATCCCTTCCTTCCATTCATGGGGGGGATTACGAAGTAACTCTCACTCTTGGTTGGAACTGGCCGACTAACGCCTGCTAACATTCCCAGACAGCGGCCCGTTCTTGCCTGTGGCAGACTGTCAAAATTCCTACTCCTTCCGTTTCGGTTTTAGTTCGGCATGCAGTCCGAAGAAGCGCCCGCGCGTCAATCTCATGGGTTTACGTGCCTCCAGTTCTCCGTAGTCTCTGCCATGTACTCGTAATTATTCCAACTACGGAGTACTCCAGCTGCTGGAAGACCAATTTACTTTCCATGTTTATGTTAGGGGCTCGTCTGTGAAACGCCATCAAATGCGCTCGCGCCACACCGGTCGACTCCGTTTGTACTCTGTGCTTGGAGCTCCCACATTCGCCCATCTGATATCCATCTGCATGCATGCCATGTGTGCATGGGTCACCACCCTGGTCCACTGCTGCCTCAGTGAGGTTGATGAGCTCTCTGTTGCTGTATGTAACAAACACACTTTGGATTGCCGAGTTCGTTGACACCTTGGAACGTTTCCGGGTGTTGCTTGCTCATTCGCGATCCCCAGGGCGATCATCAACCCCCGGTTTCTCGAACCCCACTATGATGGTCGTAGAGGAGCTCTTCGGGATACCCACAGTTGGGCTTCAGTCGACTGACGATAAGGAATGATCTTACTCCGCTGAGGGTGCTACTTCGTGGCTAGACTAGACAAGGCTGTGAAAGGAAGTTCGAAACAGAGGAAGCCACTAATGGCTGCAATTCGGAGCAACGGATTGACCCCAAGTACGTCAGAGGGAGCCCTTGTCGACCTCGTCTTCACCGTCATAGCTTTAATGGGGCTAGATGCTGAGCTACTGAACAGTTTGTGAGCTTCTTGCGGAACTCCACTAGGATAGCCGGGGATCGTCTCCAACCAAACACCAGGCTGCACTAAATCCACTGGCTCACGTGTAGGATGCAGCTCTTCGCTGAGTTCTTGAGGTAAGTGGTCCAGGCCACTCATTGCGTGCTTCAGATTACAGTCACCCACCCCTCCAGCATGGATGGCCTGGTCGCAAGCAGAGGGAAAGCTCATGTCGAGTACGTGACAACCGCTCCCCTCCCCTTGAGCTCAGACCAACCAGCATCGTCAGCAACACACCATGCATGACATTCTGAATTCTATCACTTCCGCATTATCACTATAGACACGGATGTTCAGAGATGCGTGTGTGATTGATCTCCTGAACGGTCCCACAAGCATCCGTCCAGATCGCTTCCCCAGTGGTTTGCAGAGGGCTGGCTGGATCCAACAGCGGCCCTTGACCAACCGAGAAATGATTCTCAAAACTTGGACCCTGGAAAGGGGAGCGGCCAGTGCAAGAGCGATACAAAAAGAAAATAAAATCCCCGATGATCCTCGGTGCATGGATGTGATCGTTCTGTAATACCTGGGCAGGGATGAGGGGGGCGTGTGCCACGACGACGAGGGACAGCTGATTGCCCTACAGCACGTCTAGTTTATTTAGGGCAGAATTTCTTCTCTTCCCCTGGAAGCCTCACCTGACGATAATCTCACCAAGCCGGTAAGCTCGACTGGGCCTGCAGGTCGATCCCTCCCACGAAGGGCATGGAGGCGAATCCCTGTCTGGGTATAAGGTTGACTTGGCACTGGGGGATCCTCCTCTACTGCCTGTGAGCCAGAGCCCGGGCAGTTTGAATTTCCAGCGCTTCCATTCCCTTGGGTCTGATCATTTGCGTCCGCCGTCTGTTCGGTGGGCTTTGCCGGTCGGCACCTTTAGCATGCGACAATCATTCTCCCGTTTGAGATATGCAACACAAACTGTAGAGGTATAGATGTTCGCGCAGAGGTACAGGGCTTGAGCTTGAGGTACCACTGATGCCAGCACCGGTGTCTTGGTTGGTGCAACTCAGCCGTTCATTATTCCTTGTAAGGAGAACCTGCAGCGCCACAGTGCAATGGAGTGGCGGTGCTGAATGAGTTGAACAGCGTCAGCCACTGTACCCACTTTACTTGCCTGAATCCTGAGGCCTAGATCTGGATAGAGTGAAGCTGCTGCAGTAGTGCAAACTTACCTGAACCACTACTGTGAATTATCACTCCCCTCAATTCAGAGACTTAGCTAGATCATCGTATCAGGATCGTGTCATCCTCTGAGAGTGAGCCCAAAAAAAGCACTGCGAGAAGATTTGTCACTTTGCCGTCCATTGCTCGGTCCATAGACTATGGATCTATGATCGTCCTGCTATCCCTGCTCCGTGGTCCAGGCATCTCCTTTCCTATCACTCTGTGACTGTGTGACACTGCTCAACGCTTCAGGGCGGCAGCCACTTCTCTGGTATCCCTTGCTAAGTTTCAATGTCGACCAGAGCAGTGGCAACATGGCCTTGTCAATCGACAGATGATAGCACCAGGGTATTCCGATCTCGTTCATTGCTGCCTGAAACAATGCTCTTGTAACCATTGAGCCCCGGTTCCTTATCTCCTCGGTGGTCATGGTCTCTTGCTAATCTGATCTGGACAGTTCAGGGAGCTCTTGATCGCCATCATCGTCCTGTGTTTCGCGATTCCGTCCCGCAGAAACGTTCGAGAAACTGTGTTCTTCCTGGGAGCGCCGGGCTGAGAGGGGAAAAGGAACATGCAACCCCCCAAAATTAATTCCAGGGAAGCGAAAAAGCTCAACCCTTGCATAAAGCGTCAGACAACCACCTGAGCGCTCTCTCGTCTGAGAAACTCGGCTCGATCTTAAGCCGGAGCTGCAGCAGAGATCATGACGATCCACACGGACCTCCGCCGCAGATTCGACATGTCTACTTTCCAGAACCTGATCTGCTGGTTCGGTCAACGAGGCAACAAACCTCTTGGGACTGGCGATCTGCAAACACCGCTGGCTACAATGAGACCGGTCTGATACCTTCGTTGGCTTCTTGGCTTCCCTGGAAGTTGTACCGAAGTCTGCAACTTTGACTCTGCTCGTGTTCTTTCAATTGGGTGTGGTCTTTGAGATATGGTCTCTTTTCAGGTTGTACTCCGTAGCTTGGTCGCATTCCAGTCTCGCGTACTGTACGTCGGACCGGCCTTATCTGCACCAAATGCATCTCCATCCAGTCGGGTTACAGCATTCGGTCTGAATGGGTTGGAGAGCCAGCAGCTAACAGTTTTACCGAGTCGGTGAAACTGTGTGGGCTGTGGAGTGCACTGCAGCAGCCACCATGCAATAAGTCCGACCTTTTGTTGCCAACGGTTCGTTCTTTTTTCCCCGAATCCCCCATTGCTGTTTCTTCCAAGGTACACGGAGGGGGACTTGGTTGTCATGGACCGATGCTCTGGGGACAAGACACAAACGCACATACATACATGATACATCTCCGGCCCTCCATCTCTCCAAGTTTGTCGGTGAGCACGCCGTGGCGAGCGAGATGTTCAACAGTCAGCCGTTGAACTTAATCTTCTGAAATTGGTCGACAGCATCCTGAGGAAACTTCCTAATTCGCTTCAATGAATAGGATCTGTCAGGGTAGGGCTTGAGCGGTATTTCTTTGTTTGTGATTGTCTGGTTGGTGAAGGTGGGGGAAATCAAGCACATTGCCAGCCTTGTTTCTCTTCTTCTAGTCGGATAATATTCTGCCATTCTTCATCGGGGTGGATCCATCGGGACCATTGGCATTGACTGGGTTACCCACTTATTGGAGGGGACTTTCTCGCAGTTGAAGCTTTTTCTTTTGGCTCCCGGAGCGGAATACTTTTCTGTCTGTCTTACCCACCATGGGGGCATGGGACATGCAGAGAATGTTGAAGCTCACCGCTGGCCATCCATCACCGCAGAAAGTGCAGGAAACGCCTTCGGGTTTTCGAGGGGACCAATGCGGGCCACTGCTTGGGGGATTCCCGGGACAGGACATCGGGTGAAGAGGCAGCCCTGCTTTCTATGGCTGTCTTTGCTGACTCGGTGATCTCCAACAAGAGTGTTGTGTGTGTTGGTGTTCCGAGTGGGGTCTGAGAACAATCTGGATGAACTTGTACTTCGTAGTATACAGTAACTCATCGCCCCCTCTCTCGTATCATCCTACTTCACTTGCGAGATGGGTCTGTTTGTGAACCAATGGATCGTAGGGTTCTGTTCAAGTATATACCCGAAGTCCCTCCATTCTCTCCATCATGATCCCAGCACAATCCGCTTTGTAGTACTCCGTATTGAGCACACTAGCACCTGAGTTACAGGCCGACGGGCAAGGGTACAGTATACACAATTAAACAATGAGAACAAACACGGTCCCCACAACAATAACCTACAATACCCTTGTCATCCTCAAACCACCAAAGCATAAGCAAAAAGTGTAAGCACATACGTACATGGCAAATGGACACGAAGCTACACACATACTTAACATGAATTCGCCCCCGGAACCAGTCAGTGAGCATACTGTAGTCATTCAACCCAGTATCCCTGATTCTTTCCCTTCCCATAAACCACCAAAGCCAAGCAGAGGGGCAACTGAGAGACCGGCTCGGATCCCAATCGCCACTTAGCTGGAAGGCAATGGCACAGAGACGCAGAGGGGGGGGTGTGAAAGCTGCGTTCTGTGGGAATCCGTGCCTTTGTCGTTCTGGTAGTGTTGTCTCGTCTGTGTGTGCGTGTTCTGCGCCCTTTGTAGATGAGTATAACGTGGCACACATATTGTGTTTGCCACAGCCAGTGACTTTTTCATGTTTAATTGCTGGAAGACCTCCTAGAGGAAGCGAGAGGAGGCTAGGCTCATGGATGGTATGATTGTAGGGCTAGTTGGTCCGTTAAGTTGTGCTATGCTCTATACAGCGACGTTGAAATCACCTCCACTTGAGCCAACACGTTCTCTTTATTGTATAGTAGTCATAGGTAGCAACGCTAGCTAGCTTACATTCTGTGGCAGTACCTCATTCATGTCTACTGCCTTCACGAGACAAGCGAAAGAAGTCTCTATCGCTGAGCGCATAGTGGTTCTTGGAACTCATATCACCCTGCCTGTAGCCCCATGTATGTTATTAATACTACCTTATCCATCGTCTTCCTTCCCGTAAGACAGTTCGATGTCGATGCAATAGATCCGCTTTCTCCCGTTCACCTCACGGAAGGGTTCTGCTCTCACTGGATTATGTTGTTCTTCAGCCTCCTGCTCATTCGACTATGTCGCAGCGCTGGGATCCACAGTCTATCACAGTGATTTTATCGCGCACGGCCATATAGACTAGGTACCTACTTACTTTATTGGTCAGGAAGCACCGGGCAATCTTGTCTTCCAGGCAATGTTAATGTCAATCTCTATCCTTCACATTACCCATATAAGCTGACTCCCAAGCCACGAGCATACTGTCGACACCAAAGGCACCTCATGGTCCATGTACATCGCGTGTACAGTACTATGCCGACTACTTGACCGTGGGGTATGCGAGGCGCTTCCTTGTATAGCTTGGCGTATCCTGCAGAAGTCTTGAGGGGGACGGGAGTCTCCTCTATGAGTTGAGATATCTGAGTCCCGTGTTGTCTTGGAGGGGGTGGAATGTGTCTTGTATAGTAGTGACGGGCGTGGGTTGAGCGTATGGTGTAGGTTGCGTGTGAGATAGCTGTAGGTGTGGTATAATGCAGAGGTACGTGTAAGTGTAGCTATACTCACGTATACGGGTAGGTATAGAATTGGGAGTAGGTGTAGATATGGGTAAAGGATATACTACTGGTATTAGTATAGATATAGATCAGGTAAAGAAGAAGGGGCGTGTAAAAGACAGCACGATAAGGCGATCCCTCTCTCACGAACATAATCGTAGGGATGACAGGGTCTACCAACACAGACACGAATTGAACAGAAGCGGACAGCTTCAGTGACTGATGCAGACGCTTCAACATGGTCTAGTTCTTTCTGGTGCAGTCTGGTCTGGTCTAGCCTGGTAACTTTCATATCTGCTGTAGTACAGGTATTCCAGAAAGTGGTGCAGTAGCTACGAGAGCCAGACAGGTACATTCGGAAATCATAGGTCTCTAGAACGGATGTCTCCCTAGATATGACTGCATCGGCATCGTGCCTAGATCAGTCGGTGTGGGTATGTTCTCGCTGGTTTAGTCTATGTCTCTTGTGGTGATAACTATGTATGTACAATGTACCTGTGGTGAAGCTCTGTGTCTATGCAACAACAAAGATACGGCAGTGGAGATCGAATCGAAGAGAGCCTCAAAAGGGCAATCTTCATTCAGCGTACGTCGCACACTACTACTCGCCTTGCATCGAGCCCTCATCTCTATCTATGCATCTATTCTCGCTGAAACGCGTTCCGCACCTCCAGCTGGATCCGTCCGTCCACCACGCCCTTGACACTGATGCTCCGCAGGTCCTCGATGATCACATCCGCCCCGGCCGCCTGAAGTTGCTCCAGCGTGTGCGTCGATGTCAATGCAATGACCGTAAACCCGGCCGCCTTGCCCGCCTTGATGCCCGAGGGTGCATCCTCCAGCACGACCAGCGATGACGAATGCTCCAGACCCAGGCGTGTCCGACCCAGGAGATAGCACCGCGGGTCGGGCTTGCCCAGCTCGACATCCTCGGCCACCACCAACACATCCGGGTGTGTGAGCTGCAGCACGCCGAGCCAGCCCTCGAGCAGGGCGCGCGTTCCCGATGTCACCACGCCCCACCGCGCGCCAGCCTCGTCCAACGCTGACAGCAGGGACCGCGCGCCGGGGATCTCAACGGCGTCGGATCCATACTCCTTGGGGATACAGCCTTCGACATAGCTGACGTCTGAAACGTTGAACCGTTGTCAGCGCTGTGTTATTGTGCTTCGTTTGGCTCAAGGGTCGCGTCACAGTGGTGGCGGGGGGGAAGGGTCTGTGCGTGGAGATCGTGTTGTTTCCAGGGCAAGGCAAAGTCCGATCTGAACCGTGTGGTGATGCGCATGTACAGTCAAGAAGAAGACTTACACTCCCAGTTGGCTTTGCTCGGGTCATACAGTTGCAGCGTGTCGATGCTGCGGCGTCCGTGTGAAGTGGCCAGGATCGTCGCGGGGTCGACGCCTAGCTCAGCGCCAATCCTGTCAATGGCGACATTCGCCATGATTAGCCTTCGCTATTCCATGAGTTGTACGGGGTGGTGAGGATTGTAGAGAGAACGGGACTGAACTAACTTATGCCAATGTTTCACGATCGCTGATGCGGGGGGAGAAGAGAAAGATCAGAGCGTCAGTTGCGATCGAGCGCGGTTCAAGTGTGCGACGATGCGGGTCATAAATAGAAGTATGGCAGCAAAGCCGGCAGGCTTACCATCGGTCGAGTCGACGATCGTGCCGTCAAAGTCAGAAAGGACACCGTCAAAGGTGAGGATTTGCGGAGGGGCAGAGAAAGAGCCGGTTGAGTTGGACATGATAAAGAGCGGGGTCTAAGTAGGACAGCAGACGGGTAGTGCAGGAAGACGGGTCTAGAAAAGAAGTAAGCAGCGCTAGATAGCTGCTGTACAGGCGAACAAAGTAAAGAGCGGACAGAGTTCGTAGCAAGTTGATAAACAAAAAAATAAGCCGAAGAGCAAGTCTGTGGTGATGCGATTGACGATCGGGATGGGGAGATAAAGTGACCGATTAGGCGATGGTCCCGCGCGGGCAACACACGCCTCGGAGATCGGCCAAACATGATGCCGGTTATCTTAGCGCCAAATCTTAGCGGCACAAAATTGTTGTCCGCAGCGACTCGATTTTCGCTGGCCTGGCAGATCAATCGCGAGGCTTGAACCTTTTCTGTGGCTCTGTGATTTGTTATTTGGCAGGTTCTTCAAGATGGTCAAGCTCGGTAAGTTGCATCGAACCTGTGTTGCTAACTTGCAAGAGCTGACTTCTTCGCAGGCAAAAACTCCAAGCGGGTGCCCGTCCGCTTGAGGCACAAAATTGAGAAAGCGTCTGCGGCGAAGCAGCGCAAGATGAGAAAGCTCGCCAAAAAGGTAAGACATTCCTGTATGTCTCTTTGGTCATATTGTCGCGGCTAATGTAGCTTTTAGAACCCCGAATGGCGGTCCAAGATCAAGAAGGACCCGGGTATTCCCAACCTCTTCCCCCACAAAGACAAGATCTTGCATGAGATCGAGGAGAAGAAGCGTCTGAAGGCGGAGGAACAGGAACGCATCCGGGAAGAAGCCCGCGCTCGCCGTGCCGCACAGAAGGAGTCCGGAGAGCAGGGTGCCCAGGCTGGCGCCGTGATCGACGAGAACGATCTTCTCGATGACGAGATGGACGAAGACGATTCGTCGAACCCCATGGCTGCGCTGCTCGCTTCTGCCCGAGCTCGCGCCGCCGAATACAGTGACAGCGAGGAGGATGATGACGAGATGGACGATGACGACGAGGATGAGGATGACGACATGGAGATGGATGAGGAGGGCGAGGAAGCTGGCGCTGCCCTGGAGGCCATCACCGCTCCTTCGCTGGCGGCACAGTTGACTTCCAAGGAGAGCTCGCGGAAGGCCTTCGACAAGGTGTTCAAGCAGGTCGTGGATGCTGCCGATGTCATCCTGTATGTGCTGGACGCTCGCGACCCCGAGGGCACGCGGTCCAAGGAGGTGGAGCGCGCCATCATGGCCGCCGACCGCGGCTCGAAGCGGTTGATCCTGATTCTCAACAAGATCGATCTCATTCCTCCTCCGGTTCTCAAGGACTGGCTGATCCACCTCCGTCGCTACTTCCCCACTCTTCCCCTCAAGGCCTCCAACGGCTCGGGCAACGCGCACACTTTCGACCACAAGCAATTGACGGTGAAGGGTACCTCGGAGACCCTCTTCCGCGCTCTTAAGACATATTCACAGAGCAAGCAGCTCAAGCGATCCATCTCCGTTGGTGTGATCGGCTACCCCAACGTCGGCAAGTCGTCCGTCATCAATGCTCTGACGGCCCGCATGAACAAGGGCTCCAGCAACGCCTGCCCTACGGGCGCCGAGGCCGGTGTGACCACCAGCTTGAGAGAGGTCAAGCTGGATAGCAAGCTCAAGCTGATCGACTCCCCCGGTATTGTCTTCCCCAACGCTGGCGAGAAGAGCAGCAGCAGCAAGAAGGGCAAGAAGAAGCAGGAGGAGCACGCTCGTCTGGTTTTGTTGAACGCGGTTCCCCCCAAGCACATTGAAGACCCGGTCCCGGCTGTGTCTTTGCTGCTCAAGCGGTTGTCCACCTCGGAGGACCTCGTCGCCAAGTTGCTGAAGGTCTACGGTGTGCCCCCTCTGCTCCCGTCTGGGGGTGACCAGACGCACGACTTCTTGGTGCAGGTCGCACGGAAGCGCGGACGTCTCGGCAAGGGCGGCGTGCCCAACCTGGAGGCTGCGGCCATGACCGTCATCACCGACTGGAGAGACGGACGCATCCAGGGATGGGTCAACCCGCCTGTGCTGCAGGTGGTGACGACGCCGGCCGACGGCTCCGCCCCTGCTGCGGCTGCAGGTGTGGACACGAAGAAGATTGTGACCGAGTGGGCGGCGGAGTTCAAGATCGAGGGACTCTGGGGCAACGGTGAGGGCGAGGATGAGGAAATGGCTGAATAGACGATTTTCAGGATACCAGGCGTTATGGTTCATAAAAGGTAGATAATTGAGCATGATTTCTTCTACTGCTAGTAGCTTGGTTTATCGTAATCTAGTAGTCACACACGGAGTACACCTACGGACGAATGATGGCCGAAAGATTGCCGTCAATGAAGGGACATGTCATATTGTTTGTGCTTAATTGAAGATATATAAACGCGCACGATCACCAGTAGATGCATCATTGATGTGTGCACCCAATTCACGACTATTTGAACCCAGCGCTGCAAACATGATAATTTGAACACGAATTACCACTCCCGATTTCTTGTAAATATCAATCAACCAGACTAGATGCCCTCTACATCATGATGCTTTGTCAGTAGGAAGTAGACCTGACATTCAGCAGGGTCAGCTTATCGCCACCCACCGATAACCCCAGCGAAAAGAAACGGATTTGATCCACCACTGCGCGCCAACTCTTCCCATCGCGACGCGTCATTCGCAATTTTCTTTCCTACACCCACCTTCACATCCCAGCACAATCGCTCTTTGTTCGGATTGGATTGGAAGAAGTACTTAGTTCGGACCTCAACCCGTCATAACCGAACCGCTTTATTCACGATACCCAGACTGTACGCCAGGGGGAGAGAGATCTCGAAACGCAATACAAACTCGACCTCAATCGCAACCATCCACTCATTCACGGGACAGTCTTCACCCACCCACCATCCCCCCTGACAAGAGAGAAGCAATGGCCCGCAAATCCGCCTCCAGCACAGCACCAGCACCAGCACCAGCAGACCCCTCGCGCTCTTCACCCACCCACTCCCCGTCGCAACCCTCCTCCCCCCACCTCGACACCGCGGCCGCCGCAGCAGCGACAGGAACAATCGAAGCTACCGAACAACAGCTCAAAGCCCGCGCAGAAGCAGGCGTAGGCATTGAGGTAAGCTGCTCTCCCTTCCCTTCCCTTCCCTTCCCTGCTCTGAGTTACCCTCCCCCTCATCCAAGTAACAACTCTATAAATCTAACATGAATCAAAAAAGGACTACCTCCTCCCCCGCTCTCTGACCATCCGACTCGCCAAATCCGTCCTCCCGCCCAACACCTCCATCCAGAAGGATGCGGTATTAGCTATTCAGAAGGCAGCGACGGTGTTTGTTTCGTATTTGAGTTCTCAGTACGTTTTTTTTTGCCCCCTTGTTTCCTGGTCATTTGTCTATTTATGTGATAGGGTGGAGGGGGAGAGTCGGTTTGTTTGTGGCTTTTGGGGAGGTGCGGTGTTTGGCCTTTTCGAAATGGGGATAAGCTATTTCTCTCCTCAGACGGGACAAGCTATTTCTCTTTCTGGACAAGCCATCTCCCTGACTGGGACAAGCTACCCTCCCTCCTAGGACAAAGCTAACCATGTTTCCTACCTAATAGTGCCAATGAAGCAACCCTAAAACGAACCGTCGCGCCGTCGGACGTATTCAGCGCGATTACGGAGCTGGAGTTTGATTCGTTCCGGGCGCGCCTGGAAAAAGAGTTGGACATGTTTACGGAGTTGAAGGCTGGGAAGCGAAGGGGGAAGAAGGAGGGTCCGTCGAATGCGGCTGCGAGTACGGCTCAGGAGAAGAGTGCGGCGGGGGCTGATGTTGAGATGGAGGACCAGGAGGATGAGGATCGCGGGGCGAAGAGGGTGAAGAGGAGTGCTCCTGCTGGCACTGCTGCTGGCGCCGTCGGTGAAATGGCGGACGAGGATGAGACGCAGGAGGAGTCGGGGCGGGGGGATGGGGATGGGGATGAGACGGAGGAGGTGGAGGAGGTTGACGAGGAGGAGGACGAGGAAGAAGATGAAGAGGAGGACGAGGACGACGATGAAGACGAGGAGGACGCTGATGAGCACAAGGAGGAGGAGGATATTGACCGCGTCGAGGACCTCGATGCCAATGATGCCAGGAATCGCGCCCGAGTCATGAACCCCGATGTGGACGGGGATGAGACGGACAGTGAAAATGAGTCTGGGCCGGGGAACCAGCTGAGAGGGGAATTGGGCTAGATTTTCCATGCGTATTTTCTCATGATGAATCTGCATTGATATGCCTGCAAATATAAAGTACAAACGCGTTTGGATACCCAAGTCAGCTACCATGTGATCATCCTAATACTCCTACTGTAAAGCATCAGATAACTCTGCCGCTGGCAACGCAGCTAGCTGTCTGTCATATTACACATTGATAATACAAGCGAACCCATGGGCTCGAGGTAGAAATAAACTGGTCTATGCTAGAGCGGCCATAGCCGTCCAGCAGTGAATGTGCCCGCGGACCTCCTCCATTGCATGCCGAACACCCGAACGCCTGCACTCCGAATAGTCTATCATTGGTATCTCCTGGAACAAATCCGAACAAATCCCCAACTGAAATCCCGCAAAATCATAACATGAAGCCAGTATTTACGCAGCCGGCTCATTAAGGAGACTGCTCATCCCGTTGGGAACGGATTTGGGCGAAATGGTCTCCGCCTGATGCCAGCGACCGCTGCTCCGAGGAGGCGGCGTCGACTCGCCCTTACCCACCAGGCGAGGAAACATCGGGCCATTGTTGCGCGCAGCGCCTGGAGGCAAGGGAACCATTGGCTTGTTATCGTCCTTGTCCAGCTTGACTGCCTTGTCTGCTTCGGCCGTGGACTTCTGCGCCTTGGTGACTTTTCCGAAGTTGTTGATCTTGTTGTTCTTGGCCGGTTCCGTCTTTCTCGTCCGCTTCTTCGGGACGCTTTTCTTGGGCGCCGCCTGCTTCGTTCCAGTGGTTTTGGAAGCTTGCAGGACGTCTTGCAGACTCCGGCCGCGGCTGGCGGGATTAGGACAGGCGGTTCGGGAGAGCGCCTTGGACAGATCCTGGGAAGTCTCCTCGTCGTGGCTGGACGATGGCGTAAGGAACCCAGTAGGCGTGCGCTGCTTCTTCCGGGGCGTCTGGATGACAATCTCCACTTCTCCTTGCTCACCCTTCACCCGCTCGGCCTCGGACAGGTTGCACTCATCAAATACCTCCTCTGGAGCATCCCAGCGCTTCAGATCGACGAGTCGAGCCACCTCTTCGCAGTCCCCCTTGACCATCAAGTCCCAGCAATCCTCAAATTCTTTCCCGCTGGGGGGTTCGTTGTTGATCCACATGGTCACCCCATTGCGACGGCTCCGGATCACCGAGCAGAGACTCTTGACTAGGCGACGGACTCCGGGGATTTTCAGACTAGTGCCAACCACAATCAAAGCATCCGGGCGGGAGCGAATGTCTGCGTTCATAACCGAGGTGATGGCTTCTTCATCCGGGTTGTGTTCGTTGTAGAGCACGAGACGCGGTCGCATCTTGCCGATCCCGTGACTTCGCTGGCCCGTGTCCATACGAAATTGGTTGTTGATGACGCACTCCGGGCACTCCGGGGCATCCGGCCGATCGAACAGACTACTGTCGAAATTACTCAAATGGCGGCACTTCTGACACACCATTTTCTCGAGGCTGCCATGCAATTGAATGGTGCGCGGCCAGGGCGCTTTGACGTTGAGAGGAATTTGAGTGGCCAGCGGCGGCATAGAGGTCTCGATCCCATCGATGTTCTGGGTGTACAGACGCGTCAGGCGGTTCTCCTGGCCTAACCGGGCCAGCATATGGTGGAACGCGGTGGGCGAGGTGTTGGCAGCCTCCTCCGAGAGCGACCGCACCATATCCTGGAAAGAAGCGGTCAAGGTTTCATCTTGGTACACCGCAGCATCAAAAAGGAGCTTCCCCGAAGCTTTAAGGTTGTGTTTCTTTTGTAGGGTTTTGAAGAGACCATCGGTGGAGCGAAAATCGGGAACTGGGAGGATCGTAAGTTAGAAGCTGTCTTTGAAGAGGATATTATAGGTAGGGAAGGGGAGGGTGGTGAGAAGGGCAGAAGGGCTGCATACTTCCTGCAGAGGTGGAAATGCCAGCACCGGCAATAACAACGATCTTGCGATGACGACGGATAGTCTTAGTGAGATAATCGATCTGCGATTGCTGCTGATCATAGGAGAGAGATGCGCCCGACGATAGGTCAAGATGCTGAGTGCAGCGTTCCTTGGGGGCGGCCACCCGACGCTTCTTCCGAGCAGGCGGCAAGTCGTCTTGGCTGCGGGCGGCAGCACCACCACCACCACCACTACTAGTAGCCTCCTCTGTTTCCTGCGATGGGGGCGGCGACGGATAGAATTCTGGTGGTGCAATGGGCGAAGGAGGAGCTGAGCTCAGGCTGGAACAATCCGAATCATCATCCATACCAAGCGAGGCCAACTGACTGTGTGGGATGGAACACGAGGAATCGAAGGAGGTGGTGGAGGTCTGGGATCGTGAAGTGGGCGCCATCTGGTCAGGCCGGAAGGACGTCGAAGAAGAGAACCGGGAACACAAAAAAAGTTGAATGACACGAAAAAAACGGCGGCTGGTCGACAGTAGCAGCGTTTTGGACGGAAGTTGTCGGGTACTCGTACTAGAGATCCGTGGAGAGTAGCATCGAGGACGGAAGAGAGAAGTGGAACATCAATTGAAGACGAGGAGAGACCAGGAAGGGGGGGCGGGTTGAAGCAGAGAATTTAATTCCCTTCCAATCGTCCAATCTTTCTTTGTTGAGAGGGTGGGAAAGGAGATTGACAAACGACCTGGAAGCGGACACGGAGAAGGAGTAAAGATCTTTCAATTAGGGGGGGGGAGAATAGATGGAAGACAAAAAAGAAAAGACGAGCGACTCAAACAGAGAGAGGGGGAAAGAAGAGAAAAGGCAAGAGACAGCACAACCACCAACATGAAACTGAACACTCAAGTCCCTGTGACGATTTGGGGAGGGCAAGGGAGAAGAATGATGAGGTCAAGTGGGAAGTGGGATGAGGATGATGATGAAGGACAACACGAAGGGAGAAGAAAGAAATCTAGCCAGGAGGATTGAAGAGGAGCTGGAACACCCGTCCGGCGGCTGGTCAGATCCTCTCTTTCTCGCTTGCAGCGTGTTTATTTTGACCCACGGGCAGAGCAGAGCCAAGTTGACGAAGAAAGGAATAGATAGGGCTCAATGGTGGGTGTCGGTGATAAAGCGGGGGTGGGAAGACAGCAACGGTCGGTATGTTGCGAAGAATGTATTGACGTTGACGGAGATGGTGAATTGTAGATGTGGTTTGAGAAGTTTGCGATGCTGTGATATTATATCTATCATCCATATCATCTCATTGAGACGGAGAGCGTCGTTGAGTTACTAGGAGGTACTGTACTAACTACGAGATGTTGAAGCGGAAGATGCATGGAGTAACGAAAACTCTGTAAAGCCATACACAGTGGGGAAGTGTGTTTCCACTATGTTGGGCAATCTCGTTACCAGACTCTTACGCTCGCCAGAGACCTGTGGTTCGATACTCCCGTGTCTACTTCTCCCTCCTCGCAGGCTGATTGGCGGATCCGACATCGATTTCTATACTCCGTGGTCTGGCGCAGTACCAGCAGTGAGTGCTGATGTTTCTTCTCCGAAGGTCGCCCGGTCGCATTGTGTCTCGGGATCTCATTGACAATTCATCAACTGCGAGCGACATGTTTCCTGGACAATTGTTCTCAATCGTTGCGACTTGTTGCGTGTTACTGCAGTGGTCACCGTACTCCGTACTCACTACTACTGACTGCTGCCCGGACCGCGTCCGCTTCCTATGATTCTCCAACTGTCACTGCTAGTAACATCCACAACATGCCTCCCTTCGCATTGACCGACTCCTAACACACCATAATACACTGCGACGCGCTGGGGGACGTAGCTCTTACCTCAATGGCAGACGCCACAATCCGTCCACAACTACGCGACTGAACACCTGGAACAAATCCTTGCATCCCCACTCAACTGCAGTAGCATCATCTTGGAAGAATTAGTGCTGATAAGTTTCCATAAATTGGGTTGGGAGGTGTCTCCCCTGCGCACACCTGCTCTCTCCATCCATGGGGAGGAGTTGGAAAGGCTTGGATCAGGGTTGATGATGTCGCGTGAATGGAAAGTGGGGGAGAAGGCTGTGATTGGCTGATTGTTGGCCGGGCTACCACTGGCACAACACATGACCTCACATGATTATGCTGACTAAGAGTCTCTGGGGTGGGCTCCACTTCCAGCTGGTTAGTAACTGGACTTACAAACTTACTAACTTAACATATCATGAGAAACATCTTTGATTCATGTCTGTGTTCGCTCTGTGTGAGTGAAGGTGGAGTCTGAGTCTTGCGACCTTGCGACAGGACATGCAGTAATCTGCCGATGAATGCTGTGTTCATTAACTTCTGCTACTGCTCTGCCTGACCCCTGCTAGTCATTTCCCCCCACACCCTGTGGTGACTTGTTTCCCGGGGTCTATCGCATTGAAACTATGCTGTCGGGCTAGTGCGATATCGCTCTCCCCCCTAGCCAGTTTAATCATCATTGTGAATTAACAATCTTCCCCCATACATCATGCCCCTGATGATGGAGGACGGTATCAATGTCGATGATCTTTTCGGGGAGCCTGCCTCCCTTGAGCTGGGGTTGCCATCTACCACTTCCACCAAAGGTCTGGCCGAGCGCTTGGATGAAATGCGCTTGCTTGGTTGCTGTCAGTGAGTCGGCTACCCACCCTGAAGCCTCTATCAATCTTTACTGAAAGCTCGGTTTAGGAAAATTGCATGGTCAAAACTAGGATGTATTGCCTACATTGCTCAGGACCCCTCCAAAGTATATGTCCGTTATCTCCATTGTCAGCCAGCGGATGGCAAATGGGTGCTCAGCGACGAGACGCCCTTACTGCCCGTCACAGAAGCCCATGGAGGTACGGCCTTAATGCATCTGAGTTGGAATGAGTCTGGTTCCGAGTTAGCGGTGGTTGATTTGTCTGGCCGACTCTCAATCTATTCTATTCCAATCGCACTCAACAGTGTCAATAGCCTTCGACCGCCGTCTCTGGAGCCCGACGACAATGCGCAGGTGGTCGGCATGCTGTGGTTGAACACCCAACGCTCCGTAAGCACCCCCGCGAAACCTCTATTAATATACCACGATGCTAACCGGCTCCAGGTACATGCATTCTACCAAGCCGCCAAAGTACAAGGTCGCTGGGCGTACTCACCCTATCGCCGTCGACCAATTGGGCCCTTTCACCCAGCCAACAAGGCTGCATTGGTCTACATCACCAGGTCGGGGATGATCAAGCTTTTGTATCAGAACCCGGATTCGAAGTGGGCTGAAATATCTGCCGAGTTGAAGAACACCAACTATTCAGACCGGTTGTTGACCCATGCGGCCTTGGTACCAACTCAAGCCGGAATTCTCGTGGCAACATACTCGACCTGCCAGAAGATCTGTGTCTACCGAGTGCTGATCAACTGGAACCCTCCTCAATTTGACCCCGCGCAGCAGCCTAGACAAACCCCAACCCAATTTCCAGTTCCCAGCTTTCGTTTTGTGCATTGCAAGGTTGAGACCTCCTGCAATGTGCCTGGTCCCGTGCGTAACAATGGGGACCCTTCCGACGACCTCCAACAGCCTTTTCCTAATTCTCTCTACTGTCTTACCCGCTTGGATATCATTCTTCCAACGTCCGATAATGCTGCAGGGTCCTCTGCGACCCCCTGGGTTGTGGCTACATTTTCAATCCTACCTCAAACAGCCCCCGATCACCCGCACCAGCAGGGTCCATCAAGTATCATTGTCCGGTGGCAACTCGAATCCGCACCCCTGGTTCTCCATCCTAAGTTTGATGAAGTCACGACGAAGAAGAATAGCATGCAAATGAAGGTAGGTTGTGGAGTGGGCGCGGATCTGAAATGTCGAGTGCTAATGGTGTCCAGCCCAATGTTGTGCTCAATCGGTTGGAAGATATCCTCTGCGACCGATACGTTGTATCGATTGATCACATCGAATACGCCAATGTTGTAGCTGTGACCCACGATGACAGCTCTGTTGCTTTCTACGATCCAAAAACTATGGCTGCATTTAATGGAGTCGATGACGCGAACACGGTGACTAGTCTGGCTCAAGCAGGGTTCCATTATTCTCAAGACACTCCAGGTCGGTAATTTGGTTATCTTATGGAGGATATCGCTAAACACCCTAGGTAGGCCTTCATATCAGCTTTTCGCCCAGTGCCTGTGCCGCTGTGATGCTAGACAGCAGCGGACACATACAGCTTAGAGTGATGGAACACTCATATGGAGCAGACAACGGGCTTTACGATGAGAGTACGTTGGCTTTTTCTATCAGATTGAATCTTGCGCTGATGTCATGGTTCAGACAACTTCTCAGCCGCTATCGCGGCATTGACACTAGCATTTTGTCGCGGCTGCGGAAGTGAAGTCAATACGGACGATGTCCTGTTAATATTAATACGTCAACTTTCTCCAGGTGAGTCTGCTGTCATATTCATAACTACAGAAATGTCTAACGAGGGAATAGATGCGCAAACGTCATTCATCAATGAAGTCTATCGTGCATTACCCATAAACTGCAATTTCACCGAGGAGCAAGACAAGCTGATGAACCACCCGTACATCCCCCGTTGCCTTAGCATCCAAGCAGCACTGGGCAATAAGGGTAAATACCAGCAACGGAGCTTCGCATCTTCTGTCTCCTGGTCTATTCTCCAGCTGCGCCATGCTTCTATTCTCTACCCATTCTTCTTTCAGTATAATAAAGGGATCCAAGCCTCTGAGCCCCATGACCCTGGTACGACCCCTTTGAATACTCAAAAAGCCTCTTTACTGACTGTCTGATAATCACAGATGTTCTTCGCATGGTGCTTGGTAACACTAAATGGGCTCTTGACTTCTTACTCTACATCCTAGACGAGCTGTTCAACCTTGCCGACGAATTCGAAGATGTGTCCTCCGATCAGGAGGCTTTCAGCCAAAAACGTAAGTCAGCGACCTCCCTTCTTTGATTCTTGTTGCTAACGTCAATGCTTCATATCAGTCAAATCGACCAACTCCCTCTCGCTCATCATTCTCCTCTCCAGCATGTCTCGCTCCTGCCTCCGCTTCATCTGCCGCGGCCTGCGCGGCATTCACGCTGGTTACGCCAACGCTCCGCTAACCGGCGACGCCCGGGTGTACTACTCGGGGATCTGCCAGGCTGTGGAAACCTCGCCCGCTGCCATTGAGGTCTACGAGAAATTCCTCGCTGGAGTCGACTCCGCCGTCCGCCACGCCTATCACGGCGCCGGGTTCGGCGACGCGGAACGCCCGGGCCCCGAGAAGGATTTACTGGTCAGCGGCCGTATTTCCCCGGTCCTGGTGACCGCGGTATCCACCATCCTACGGCAGACGATCCCGAGTCTCCGATCCGATGTCAACCGCATGGATATCTACATGCGTGACTACAGCTGGCTGGGACTGGACTCGGACCGCCGCACGAAGCTGTACCAGCGCACCCGCACCCTGGATATCATCAAAAAGAGTCCCGTCCGGGTAAGCCTCGCCGCAAATGGTACGGGACAGTCCTTAGCTGGTGGCAGCAAGCAGAAGGACGGCCAGGGGGCGGCAGCGGTAGCGGCGGGCCAGCCTGTGAGGCGGAGGTGTGTGCGCTGTTGCGAAGTGTCTGAGGGGTCGATTCCGCCGCGCTCGGTGCTGGCGTTCCGGATGATCTTCAAGTTAGGCCATTTGAGGGCTTGTATCTGCTGTGGGATGTGGGTGGTGGAGTTGGGGTCTGGGTCCGGAGAGGCGGGGAGGTCGATAAATGCTCACTAAGATTCGGTGCTGTGGATGGACTCGTAGGGTAATGGGCTGGATTGAGATGTTCAACCGGATATCCGCGCGAGGTGAAGAGCTAGGAATATGATATATGATCTAGGAGTATCAAGATAGTAGGTCACGAGCGTTGTACATATATAATAATCGTTCTTGGTTCTACAGACTGGGACGAATCTCCAGACTCGAGGACCTTGACGGCACCATTCAACATTATTACTCATCAGTAAAAGAACTACTCTCTACCCAAGTGATCAAGAAAGAAAGAAAAAGATAAAAAAAGGTATATCATGGTCATGTAAAGCCTTTCATTGAAAGGGGAAGTGAAGAGAGAAAAAAATAAAAAAAAAAGTTTATGCAAAATCGATTTTTTTGCATCTTACTTTCCCGAAGACATCAACCAAAAAGAATCAATCTCTAGAAATTTTTTATTTCTTCTCTTCGATCCCTAGATGGAAACCGGACATGCCTTTCCCACCACAAGGTGTGCTAGGTCATCAAGCCCCCTAGCGCGTTCATCATCAATTTTTAGCAGAACAAATTGACGTGTTCCCGTTTCAATAAAGAAAAACAAACTCCCATCCCAGCCGCGAAAAAGGTTTCTTTACATTTAAGCCTGTGCCCGCAAACACTGATTAGTATAAGGTCTGGTTTTTGGTTGTTGGCTTTCTTAGCCGATCCTGCGCCCATTTGGGGCAATGGGAAGCAGCGGCAGGTTTCTTTGCTGAGGGAGAGCCGTACCTTAACAGCGTACTTGCGCTGGGGGAAGTGGATCTCCTTCTTGCGCTGGCGCTCGGTCTTGAGGGTAGCCTCGTGCTTGGTGAGACGGCGGCGGATGGCGCGGGTCTGCTTGGCGCGGAGGTCGAGGGGAGAGTACTTCTTGTTGGCGTAGAAGAGACGGAGCTGAGCGCGCTGGTTGGCGTTGATGACGGTGAGGACACGAGCGATCGACTTGCGGACGTCGTGGCTGTAGTGGGTTCGATATCAGTATTTCATCCTTTTTGGAGCTTGGTTGATGTGATTCGAAATTTGCGATGCGGAAATTGCGCCTGGGTGGTTTCGACTCTTTTCCTCTCTCTTCCTCCTCTTTCCTGGTCATTGTCGTGGTTTTGTGGGTGGTAGTTTGTGGGAAAGTTAGAGTGTGGTCGTCTGTTGGCCGATTGTTCTCGTTCCTATCCTTCTTCTTCTGCAGCTTTCGTGTCCTCTCGAGTGTCGTATCCTCTGTCGGAATTGTCGTGCTATCCGTGTAACCGAAAATCCTCCGTCCTCATGTCCTTCGTTCCCATCCAGGTCGCAGCTCCCGCATCACAGGCAAAAATCACAAAGGAACAAAAAAGACAAAACAACGCAGGTGTCAAACGCACATTCTCGTGGTCTTCGACGAGGCACCGTTGGCGATCTTCTGGACACGGAGCTGGCTGAGCTCGGTCTTCAACTCCTCCAACTGCTTGGTGAGGTCATCCTTGCTCTTTCCCCAGAGCTGACCAGCCTTGACCTTGGACGACTATTGCGGGAGAAAAGATGAATATCAGTTTCTGTCTTGTCTTGATTCTGGTTTAAACAGCATCCAACATACCATGGTGGGCGGCTTCGTGTCGGTATCGTAACGGGTTGTCGACGTGAAGGGGATTGAAGATGGACCGGGTCAATTTGGTGATGGTCGTTGTGGGACTAGGGTTTGATTTTTTCTGGGTGTGCGGGCGGCTTAAGCGGGCACGTGATGTGGCTGGTGGTTGTCCTGCAAAAGTGTGGATGGTGGAGGATGATGGCCTTAGGCCTGGAGGTGAAGGCGGTGTGATTTGGGTGCCTGAGTCTGCAGTGAACTTACCCTCTGGCGTCCTTTGGTAGGTCAAGATTGGGGCGCCCCCGACGGCGGCGGAGACGGAGGGCGGCGTCATCCTCTCTACTCTCTCTGTCTCTGTCTTCCGTCTTAGTCTCTCCCAAAGCTCTACTCCGTAGACTCCAGCGACTGACTACGGAGGATATCAATGAGACTGTCGGGTTTCCGCAGGTCGGACGGAGAATCTTCTTAATTTATGACTACATCTGCCTTTGATAACTACCTCCACCTTTAAAACCTCTGCTTGGGATCACTTACCTACAACTACAAATACATTGCCGACCCTCTTCGTCATTCATGGCTACTTCCACCGGGACCGGCTGGGCACAGCTTCGGCAACAAGCCCGGTCACTCGAGACTCAGGTACGTTTGTCGACATCTCCGGAGGACTGTGATAAAATATTGACTCCAGCGATAAACACTCCAGACAGAGAACCTCTTCCATACCTACTCGCAATACGCCGCTCTAACCAAACCACCGCCCACTCCCTCCGAAGAAGAACTCCGCACCGAATCCCAGCTCCAAGACATTCTCGACCGGGTGAGCATACATCCCCACCCTCCCACCTAAATAATTTAAACCATCTTCAAATAATCAAGACCCTCTCACACTAACCGAAAACCAAACCCCCAGCGAGAAACCCTCATCACGCAGCTCACCCGCCTCCTCGACAGCGAAGCCACCCTGACCTCCTCCGCCCTCAAGCAAAATAACCTCGCCCGCCACCGCGAGATCCTCGCCGATCACCGTCGCGAGCTCGCCCGCCTGACCGCCGCCATCGCCGAGGCCCGCGACCGCGCCAACCTGCTGCACAATGTCCGCAACGACATCGACGCCTTCCGCTCCGCCAACCAGACTGAGGCTGACTACATGCTCGAGGAGCGCGGCCGCATCGACGAGAGCCACAATATGATCGACGGCGTGCTGAGCCAGGCCTACGCCATCAACGAGAACTTCGGGCTGCAGCGCGAGACGCTGGCCAGCATCAATCGGCGGATTGTGGGCGCGGCGGGCGCGGTGCCGGGGATGAATGCGTTGATCGGGAAGATTGGGAATAAGAGGAGGAGGGATGCGGTGATTTTGGGGGCGTTTATTGGAGTGTGTTTTTTGGTGGTGCTTTTGTTGAGATGAAAGATGAACTTCATTTCTGGTGGGTTGGCGGGGAGGGAGGGCCGGGGGAGGGGGTGGGATAATATGATGGTTAAGAGGCGTTCGGGAATGCTTTTTTCTTGATCTCGATATACATAGTATACTAATCAGAGGGGAGATGGGCCCTCGAGGTTGGAGGTGTGCGTGTTAGCACCGTCTATCTTACATCGCTACCTATACACCCCCCAATGCTACTTCAATATGTACATACAAAACAGCGCTCAATTTTTAAATCTGATTGGCCAGTCTGACCGCAGACACGAAGAGGAAATCATGGCATCACAACCTTTGGCTTCTTCACCTGCTCCCCCTTTTGTTCGCTAGCCCACTCCGCCGCCGGCGTCTGACTCTCCGCACTGATGCGCCGCTCCTGCACCAATTTCCGGACGCCATTGTTCAGCGCCTCCACCTCTTCCGGATGAGCATTACCACTGCCCGCCCACCGGATTCGACAGTTCTCATCCAGCAGATACACATACCCGACCTTGGAGTTCATCATTCCAATCGTCTCCCGCAGTGCCTCATCCACGCCCTTGCTGACCAAAAAGTACCGGTCATGCTGGGTGGGTGGGAGGTTCTTGCGCATCTGCCACATGAACATCTTGACGAGGGTGCGCTTGAGCAGATTATCCTCGAGGTTAATGTCAACCTTCTGCACGATATCGGTATGTGGTTGTTGGTTCGGCGAGACCCCCGCCGTTGCCGCCGCGAACGCCTCCCCCAGCCCCGGGTTCTTGTCCGGGTGCGTGAATGTTCGGGTCTGGAGCTCGGCCCACAGGCTTGAGAAGATGCTGACGACGGTGATGCGGCCCCGAAAGAGCGGGGTGGTGTCGCGCGGGGCCCGCTTCGAGGCCAGCGTGATGCCGCGCATGTTGGGGAAGTAGAGGGCTTTGTCGCGCTTGAAGAGCCGGAGGTTCGAGATGAAGGTCTTGCCTTCGTGGTGGCGCATGTTGGACCATTCGCGGAAGTACGGTTTGGCAACTTGACGGGTCCTAGGTGGTAGATAGGAAATTTGTGAGTTAGTTCAAGGTTCCTTTGTCTGTTTGCAAATGGAGAGAAGGGCATCTGTGGTTTATGCGCGGGAGGGACAAGGGTGCATGTCGATGAGGGGGGATGAAAGGGATGAATCAGAGGACAGGGTGCAAACGTACAGCTCTTTCCGACGTTCCAAGTGTCGCTCGTAGTTGACAAAGTCATCGCGTCGTTGCCAGAATGATCGCTCGTCAACCCCCGTGTTCATGCCCTCCTGCGGAGGCACGGTCGATCCGATGGGTCGGCTAAGAGGCTGCGGCACGAAGTCGTCGTCGCCAGGTTTTCCGGTCGACGTTGGGATTTTCGAGGCTGTGGGCGAGTAGACGGGTTGAGTGGATTTGACCTTTGTGCTGGGCCCTGGTGTCTTGGTGGGTGCTGGCGCTTTGCTGCTGCTGCTGGCATAGTACCGCAGCGCAGGCCTGTCGAGGTAGGCCGTCGCTTTGCGCAATTGGCAGCTCAGACAGCGACCATTTTGCAGATCCGCCGCTGCTGATAGAAGCCTGTTAGGTTTCCACATTGTGATGGCTCTGGAATAGGTGGGGGAAAGCAGAGGAAATGTTGCTGTTGGAAATGTCGTTGCTTTCACTATGCTGCGGTGCAAAACTGCCCGTTGCCCGCTAGCTTGACGGGGGAACAGTCCGGGACCGCAGGCCCACTACCTTTTCGAGTTTAATTGATTGCCGTGGGTCCCGTGACTTGGTGGCATTTTCGTGGCTCGGGGCAACGCGTGGTTGACCCCTCGCAGGTCCGTCGTGTCATCATCACTCGGTCTTACTTTCTTTTAGATACTGGCTGATCCAGAGGAAGTAATCCACAGTGAGCGTTTCATCGCTTACTAGGCAGCAGGAGGAAGACTAGTACTCATGGCTCGACAGACTCGGGACTTGGGCGTCGGGACCTCAGCCACCATACTATGGCGCCCGCGGATGCGGCCAAAAGGGCCTTCTTTGAGGAGTTGGAGCGGCTAGATTCTTTGTCCGAGGACGATGGAGATTGGATGACCTTGAGGGTTAGATCATTTGCTAGGAAGCGGGTTAAAGAAGAAGTATCTGCTGTTCCAAGGGCTGGCTCCACGGTGAGGACATCTGAAGTCCGAGTGATTGCACCTGCCGCGGTTGTTGTTGGAGCTTGCACGGGGTCTGAGAAGTGCCACGAGCTTGTTGCTGCTGCGACAGCAGACAAGGCTCTCCCAGATGTTACTGGGTTGAGCAGCAGCTCGAGAGCAGCGGTCGAGATGCCTCGAAACAAGAAGGCAGTGTCTGTCTCTGGCAAGGGAAAACGACAGTGCGCGGCCAGGCTTGTTCCGGAACCACAGCAGATCTTCAAAGGTCTTGTCTTTTGTAGGTTTCGGTTTCACCTCTTCCCCGAGTCATCAGGCTGAGATTGCGTACTTACTCGCTGTGTTCCTAGTCTTCTTCCCGAACAACACCGCCTCGGCTCTTCGACGCCTGCGGATTCAACGAGCGCTGGATTACGGGGCCTCTGCTGCAGAGACCTGGGGTGACCATGTTACTCACGTCATAGTTGACAAGGGGATCACCTACCACGACGTCACAAAGCATCTACACCTCGAGACGGTCCCGGTGAGTGAAGCAGATCCCCGACATGGTGGGATCTACGTCTGCTAAACATGGGTATAGTCCAAGGTTGCGCTGGTCGACGAAAGCTACCCCTCTGAGTGCGTCAAGTTTCGCTCGATATTGAATACAGCTCAGGTCCGGTTTCGCATCAGCGGTACACCTATCCCTGCAGGAGAGAAGGACTCTACGCCTGTGGACGAAGTTCCAGCTAGTGGATCCCTGCCGATCAAACCAAGCCGGCGAGAGCAACAGGACGAAACCCAAATTCAACTATCGCATACGGAGCTGCACGGTCGGGTTGCTGAGGCACAAATCGCTGAGCAGCAGCTTACCGAACAGCTAGCTTTGATGCTGTCTACCGAGGAGCAGGCGATGAAGTGCTCGAAAGATAGTTATAGTATAGTTGAATCTATTCGAGAGAAGGACGCCTTAGATGAAATCATCGAAGAAGCAAAGGCCGTCAAGGACTTGGTAGGGACAAGCAAAGCAATCTGCCTGGACGCTCAATTAATCGAAAGTAGCCGTTAGACTCCGACGATGAGCATCATACTACAGCTGAGGTATCAGATTCCGAGGTGTCTGAGTCGTCCGAATCTCACCCGAAGAGGAGGAAGATGAACGCACGAAGGATTGAGGCGCAAGCTACCTGGCAGCAGAACTTTGTATGCATGCAGAAGCACGATTCAAAGACCAATGCTGAAAATGCAAACACTCGGACCATTGCCGTCCTCCAGCAGATGCTGGATTACTATGACCGCTCAGGCGACCAATGGCGCACGCTCGCCTATCGCAAGGCGATCAGTGCTCTTCGGAAGCAGCCGAAGAAGATTGCCACCAGAGCCCAAGCTCTATCCCTCCCGGGAATTGGAACGCGTCTGGCCGATAAAATCGAAGAGATCGTATACACGAACCGTCTGCGCCGGCTGGAAAACGCCAACAGTACTCCTGAAGATCGCATACTCCAGACATTCCTAGGCGTGTATGGGGCTGGCGTCTTGCAGGCCTCGAGATGGCTTGCTCAAGGCTACCGGTCGCTGGAAGACCTGAAAAATAAAGCCCCCCTTACATCGAATCAGCGGGTGGGCGTGGAGCATTATCACGACTTCGCTCAGCGTATTCCACGGAACGAGGTTGAAGTGCATGGCGAGATCGTGCGGGCGGCAGTCACAAAGGCTGACGCAGAGCTGCAGGTCATCATTGGGGGTTCCTACCGACGCGGTGCGTCCGATTCAGGCGACATCGACCTGATCATTACCAAGCCTTCTGCTACGATCAAGCAAATCCGGACCATCATGCTTGAGACGGTCGTTCCGGGCCTTTTTCAACAGGGTTTCCTACAAACCAGCCTGGCAGCCACCTCCCGTGGGGATGGATCCAAATGGCATGGGGCCTCGAAGCTTCCGGACGGTCGGCTCTGGCGACGGATCGACCTGCTTTTCGTGCCCGGCTCTGAGATCGGGGCAGCTTTGATCTACTTCACTGGCAATGACATCTTCAACAGAAGCATGAGACTACTGGCCAGCAAGAAGGGCATGCGACTCAACCAACGAGGGCTCTACGCCGATGTGCTACGCGGACCCCAGCGGGTCAAACTGACGACAGGTCGACTGGTCGAAGGACGCGATGAACGGCGGATCTTCGAGCTGCTCGGAGTCCCTTGGCGGCCTCCCGAGCATCGCATCTGCTGATGTGCCCAAAACCTTTTTTTTTGTCGGTATGTCTTTGGGAAGACACGTAGGGGCAAGACGGGAGCCGATATGACAGTCTGTATTGGAGCTGCCAGTGGAGCCTCAGTGGTGATGCATTTGCTTTTTTGTCCCCTCAGACCGACTCCTCTCCGTGCATCAGATGGCTATCAGTAGGCTGTACGTACATGACAGACACGGCAACCAGCGAGAGAAGAACCGAAATTGCCGCAGTGGACAGCTTTGCATTGATTTGTATTACATTGGAGAACTTGAGGATGCCACTAGTAACCATGATTACATTGTGTGTGTACTGTGTATTCTTGTTTCGATGTAGAAGTTGTAAATTCGGAGCCGAGACCGAAGAAAAGGCGGTCACAGAAGTTCCGATGTGATGGTTTGAGCTTGAGGGAGGGAGTAGTTCCAGGTACGGGAGAAGTAAGAGCAAGATGTGTGTGTTTGAAGAGGCGGGGGGGAGAGGGAGGTGGGAGGGAGGTGGGAGGGAGGTGGGAGGTGGATCAGCCAACTGCTGGCTGGCTGGTCGCACAGAAAGAAAAAAAAGGCTTTCTTAGCGAAAGTGGTTGGTGATGATGATGATGATGACGGCTCTCATCTTTCTTTGTTCCACTCATCTTCATTGAATATGATGAATCTCCCCTCTGCAAATCTGAAACCCTCGATCGCAACTCTTGCATTGCATTCACCGATCTCATCACCGCCTTTCATGCGGTGAAGCGCATCCCAACCGAAACCCGACCAACCCGTGACTTACGAGGGCGGCCAGTGACAGACCGCCCGTGTAAAAGTCGGTGTTTTGCCGTGACTCGCGACATTATTCCCTTTCATCCCACTTCGTCGTCTGCTCTCCTCCTCAATCCTCCCCTTCATTGTCATCCGCTCCCCCTCTGCAGTTGCTGTCACTGCATTACCTGCTATTTTGCGCCTCTGTAGCGACTACTTTCATCTTATTTGACCCCCTGAACCCCATACACGAGCGGGTGGTGGTTCTGCCGGTCAGGATTGTGGCCAACTGCTATTTTGCCATCCGCTTTCCTCTTCGCACCCCTCGTCCGCTTTCCCCTGTGTGCGTCACTCGGACACTTCCTCAGTTTACTGCCGGTCTTTCCAGCTCCTCCAGGGAAAAATAATACCAACCTGTGAATACCACCAAAAACCACAGGGTCTGTGACTCGAGGTTCCACTCGGCTCCCTTGACCCTCGGAATCCTTCATCCTTTCTCCCTCTGCCACCGACTCCTTCCGCAATGGGTCGAAAGCCGAATCAGTTGATCCTCGAGTTCTTCATTCGCGGCCAGAAGCTCGAGGACGCCAGTAATCGCTACCAACACACCTGCAAAGCCTGCGGCGAGAAATTCCCCAAAGGTCGCATCGACAGTCTGACCAACCATCTCGTCAAGAAGTGTCAAGCCATTCCCCTGCGCGATCGGCAACGCGTCTTGTTGCGCCTACACGAACTTCCCGACCTCGCCGACGGGGAACAAAACAAAGACGGGACGGCCCAGAACAAAGGCAAATCGGTGGATCTGCCCTTCGCAGCAGCCACAGCAGCCGCTCGTCAAAATTTTGACGGGCTTAACGTGCTGGCTGAGGCCTCGAGACAGGTGGGCGCCTCCGACCAGACCAAACGGGGCGGGCCCGCGTACACTCAGTCGTTGACGGTTGGAGGCAAGACGGTGGTCGTGGATCCTGCCCTCGAGGCCGAGGGCTTCCAGGGTAATCCGACTCAGCCAGAGACGGTTGAGGAGGATGTGAAGCCACCCGGTAAGCTTCTTGGTTTCCTCTGTGTTTTCCCCATGCATGATAACATCGCGGCTGAATCGTCATTCACTAACCTCGTCGGTCGTTCGTACAGGAACCCCTCAACAAGCTTCTAATGACGACTCTCCTCTGCCTTCCCTCCCTAGTAGCTCTCCCGCTGAACCACAACCCTCCGCGTCTCCTGCAATGGCGGAAGCGTCGCTCACAAACGACTCCGCGGTCAACGCGCGTCAGTCGCAGTTGTCCATGATCGCCGCTTCGGCTAGTGAAATGGTCCCGCATGGACTACCAATGGACCAAGATTCGAATGTCGGGCTTCCTGATGGTCTTCCCAAGCTGAGCCCGCCATGGAACCAGCAGCTTTCCACCCAGGAACAGCTTCTTTTCGACAGCCTCCATGAACATGATCCCACATTGACCGCCGCTACCCAGCGCGCCGCATCCTTCCCTCGTCCTATCGCGATGAACCCGAACTCTCAGGCCAAGGGCTTTGTGAACGAATTTGGAAATTCGACCAAGCCCACAAAGCCCAAAGTGCGCGGTCGGTTTTCCGCTGCACGGCGTCGTGAGGTGCAGGAGGTTAGAAAGCGGGGCGCTTGTATCCGCTGTCGTATGCTGAAGAAGCCGGTATGGATTGATCGTTCCGATTTGGTTTACTCTGACTGACGAATCTATGCATAGTGCTCCGGCGACAGTCCTTGCACCACCTGTGCCAGCGTTGAGAGCGCTCGCCTGTGGAAACACCCATGTATTCGTACTCGCATCGCAGAGGAGTTTGAACTCTATAACGCAAGTATGTTTCCGTGATCTCGGTCTTTTTTCGGGGAGGTGCTAATTCTCACAGACTTGCACGCTACGCTGGCATATCATGATGTGAGCAGCATCAGAAACCAAGTGAAATTTGAGCATTACGCTGGTCGTATTGAGGTTACCCACTTTGAGGAGAGCTTGGTCTATGTTACATTCAGCGGGCATCATGGTCACAAGCCCTCCGCCTCGACGCTTGACCCCCAACTGCAAGGTCTTGGGGACGAGGCGCAATTTCAGGGGCCTCTTTCTGAGCTTTATTTGCTGGACAGCGATACCGATGATTTGCCAGGCAAGATTGAGATGTACATCAAGAAGACCGCACCGTTCTTCTATGAGCGTGAGACCTCGGAGTTCATGCGGCCCACTCTGATGCTTGCCGCAGAGCTCAGTCAACAGAAGAAGGTAATCAGTTCAAGGCTGGATTCGCGCGTGCGCAGCTAACATATGCAGGACATGTTGTTGGAACGTGTGTTGGAGTTGTGGATTGCCACTCATATTCTGGTGGATTCGGAACTGCAGTGGAAGACGTACTGCAACCCAACTCTCCCGCCTACCTCGGTGCACTCTCTCGCACAGCCTTCCGATGACGGTCGCACACCGATCGACGAGGTGACGAACAACGAATCGTATGCTCTGTTGTGCAGCCAGTTGCGTGCGGCGACCGAGAAACGTGCGTCTCAGCTGAGCAAGTCGGTCATGAATGACCTCGAGCGACGGCTTCTGCAGCGCCAGCAGAGTGGCTGGTTTGAGACATTCCTTGTAGCAATCATCCTGTTAAACTGTGTGGAAAGAACTTGCTGGTTGTTCCGCTCCTGGGACGATGAGAACTTTTCCCAGCGTGTAAGTTTCAATCTTCGAGATGCACTTACGTATGCTAACTTGGTGACAGTGGCCCCTGGATAAGCGCCCTCCATACTATGCCAGCCAGGGTGATCGGTTTTCGGATATCCTGCACATGCTTTTAAAGATGCGCAGCTTACCGCCCAAGGCAACTCCGCGCCCCGATACCGGGATTCTCAAGGCGGTGGACGGTAGCGACGAGAATGCAGCGCGTTGGTTCGACATGATCAAGATTACCCGTGAGTGCACTTCTCCTGCTGAATAACACCAGAGGCTTATGGTCATTAGCTCTCTTTCTCGAACAACGTCAAGCCACTGTCTTCGATCCGGCTGACTCTCGTTCCCTCGACCTCCGCTATGGAGCCAAACTCCTTCCTCCATCCAACGTCTACACCTAGTCTTTTATAGCTCTTGTCATCTTGCTACCTCACACATCTCTAGCTATTTGAACCAATCGTGTGTGTGTCAGTCTATTGCCGTTGTCGCAGAAGAATAGGTATGAAGGAACTCAACTTGGCAAGAGAGAGGAAACAGCGGAACGACCCTGATGAGATATTTAAACCATCCCAACCTTTCCCTTATCTTCCTGCCACCTTCACTACACATTAAGCGGTTTCTATAATCACTTTCTTTCCCTGTCGCTTGCTCTCTAAGCTATTTCGGTATCTGCCTGGACTTAAGTTGTATTCTCCTTGTTTGTTCTCGTTGTTGCTCTGTAGTAGGGGATTATTCTCACCTTTGTCTTGTAGTAGGGAGTTTAGGCGTTTGTATGCAAACGGAATGAGCCAGTCCGGGAAATGGAAATGGAAAACTAGGGAGTTACTTGGGTCCTGTTGTGTATGTTTGCGGTTCGAGGAGAGGGTGTTGGGGGATAGGGGAGGTCAGTTAGTCTTCGACGAGATTTGACGTTTATGGGACAGAGTGGTACGGTGAATTTGTTTTATTCTGTTGTTGGAGAGGCCTTGGAGAATACGAGACCAAATGTCAAAACTATTTTCTTACCTTTTGGTTTACGCCGAGGTCCTGGGTATTTTTTACTGGGATGTGTGCTGTGTGGTTTCTGGGACAGCTAGATGTGCTGGATGTAGCTAATCTGCCCTTAAATGAAACTACATTTTAGTAGGTATGATAGGTATATTTCTCATTTTAATAGTAGCATAATCCCTCTCCTTACAGTGCCTGGGAGTGGCCCTGGGCATTAAGCAATACATAAACAACAATAACAACAAGATAAGGTGCGTTCGCTCGTGCGTTCGCTCTGCCCTCTTCCTCCTCCTCTCGGTTTTTTCCTCTATCTCCATAGTCCCAACTGGAGACCGAATTTCATCCCTTATCCCACTCATGGATTGCACAATGATATCAAATGTAAGTATATATTTACGTTCCTCGGAGCCTAGTAGGCTTGCATGTATAGTACGGAGATGATGCTTCTTTCCTCGCTCCCCTCACCTCCCCCCAACAGTTTCACCTCTCTCCGCCCCCTTCCCCCCGGGTCTCTTGATGGCCGTATGGATAGATGTATTGCTTTTAGTGGACCCGGGGGGAGGCCGTGGGATGTGTAGTATAGAGAGAATACTCCTCCCCCGCCTCCACAAAGCTTGACCTCCCCCCCGGGTCTCTTGAAGGCCGTATGGACAGAAGTATTGCTTCTAGTGGACCCGGGGGGAGGCCGTGGGATGTGTAGTATAGAGAGAATACTTCCGCTCCCCACCCCGGGTCTCTTGGAGGTCGTATGGACTGTTATGTTGCTTTTGATGGACCCAGGCGGGGGGCCGAAGGTAAGAGGGGGTGAAGGGAAGCTGGGGGGGAAAGCAACAAGCGTGGAAAATCAAGGGAAATGCTCTCGATTTGCTTTAGAGCATGATTCAATGATTTGTGTTTTGCCCCCGGGGTCGGTGGGGGATGTGGTGCTGTTGCTAATATTGCTGCTGCTGCCCATCACTGTCACTGTCACTGTCACTGTTCTTTTTTTTCTTTTTTCTTTTTTTGCCAGCCCAACAGCCCCTCATCGGCCTACTCATTTGAGATCGGCCAACAGCATCAGATGTTGATGCTGTCTTGGGCTCATCTCCGCCTTCCAATGTTTGCCATGGCGGTGGGACCAGTGGATTCCCCCCAGATGCAATGGAGGGTGGGAGATCTCCAGACCTTCCCTGTCCACCCCCACCGGGTGCAGGCGTCGCCGAGACCGCAGGTATCTCGGGCCGATTGTGATATCGACTCTCAAGACCAAGGGGTCGAATAAAACCATCAGGAGGTTCCTCCTCCTCCTCCTTCTCCTGGATGGTTCGAGTCCCGGGGGAGTCAGTGTGTCGATATCCATATGGGATGTGATGTGGTGCCGCTTGAGACACGGTCTCAAGATCATAGACTTCATGGTGTTGGTACGGGGGTCTTTGTAGCGTACGTAGTATCGATGATCTGGCTGATCGTCGATGGATTGCTCGATTGCATGAAGGTCTTCCTGGCGGGTAGAGGTGGGTTGATTGTGCGGGAGGTTGAACGGGATAGGTCTGTCGTCGAGGATTGCTTCTGAGAATTGGTCCTGCAGGTAATCGTCGATGATTGACAGGAGGGGGTAGACGTAGGAGTTGATAGCAGTGTCACTGAAGGTAGAAGTAGGGCAGTTGTCGAGGATTGCTTCTGAGGATTGAGTCTGCGGGTATTCCTCTTCCTCATGGATTGTCTCGAGGGGATAGACGTGGGAGTCGGCAGTGGTGCCGCTGAAGGTAGGGCTAGGGCAGGAGGTGGAGGTATAAGTGCAAGGGGTAGGAGTGCTCGGGGGATCGGCAAGCTCTTCGAAAGAGACCAAGCGCTCTTCGTCAATGGTGTCCTCTGCAAGATATCCGGGCTGCGAGTGACAGATAGTGGTTTCGGAGGCATCATCCGCTGGGTTTTGCTCATCACCCAAGCTTGAAGCTAGCCCGGAGGATAGAATCTCAGTCAAGTGAATGAAGAGAGAAGCTGGTGATTTCGACTCGCGAATCTGATCAAAGCGGGCGCGGCTTTCATCAAAAAGCTCATTCGGAGAGTCCCAGTCAGGATATCCAAGGGGGGAGTCAGTGCCGGAGCCAGAGCCGGAGCCAGAGCCAGAGCCAGAGCAAGAGTCAGAGCGAGAGTCAGAGTCAGAGTCAGAGCAAGAGCCAGAGCAAGAGCCAGAGCAAGAGCCAGAGCCATTGTCAGGGTCAGAGTTCGAGTCTGAGTCCGAGTCTGAGCCAGAGTCTGAGTATGAGTGAGAGTCAGAGTCAGAGTCAAAGTCAGATTCAGAGTCAGGGTCAGACCCAGCAGGAAGGGGAGTATCCTGACGTGAAGCCTGCGCAACGAGAGGATCGAGCTCGTTTGTGATGGGAGTAGCCTTGAGGATCAAAACATTAGCAGGGCGAAACACCATCGTCATTTTTGTGCTTACCAGGAGCTTGAGTTTCTTCTTCTTCTCTTTCTTCTTCAGATTCTTCTTCTTCTTCTTGTTCCTCTTCCCATTGTCCTTCTTCCCTTTCTTCTTCTTCTGCTCATCCTTCTCCTCTTCAGTCAGATTAGTCCCAAAATCCTGAGCAGCCGTAGCCCCCAACTTCGACATTCGACCAATATCAAACGCCATCAGGATGCAAGCAAAATACAAAAACCAAATGTCATTCTTCTTAGTCTCCCTAGACTTGTCTTCTTCTCCCTCTTCATCATTATCGATGAGGCCTTTGCGGACGAGCATATCATAGACGTCCTCCGACTCTTCGCTGTCCCTAGGATTCAACCGTGGGAAAGTAGAGAAGTCCCCCCATGAAGTATCGAAGAGACCTGTGGCGTTTGTGTTGATGTTCATGATGCTGGTGTGATGGGCGTAGGTGGATGGGCAGAGAAAGTTGAGTGGGGATTCGCTGTCAGTCTGTTAGTACTGACTGTATACTCTTCAATCCAGTGTTGACCTGCTGTGACTTGATATCACGACACGAGTAGTAGAAAGGGGAGATACATACCACACAGTTGTGACGATGTCCTGGGCGAGGGGTTTGGCGAGATTGGCCAGATTGCTTAGATACTGCCATGTGTACAACAGGATGACACTCGCCAGGGGATATTGGATGTTGACGAGGAGGGTTGTTGCGAGCTGGGACTCGGGGTTGATGCCGTGAAGTGGCATCTTGTCCAGAATATGAAGCGTTAGTTGTTGTTGTTTGACTGAGAGGGAGGTTGTTGGCGGTGGTTGGGGTTGTCCAAGGGGGGACTTACTTTGTTGATGGTAAGTTGTTTCGAATGATGGAAATGGTACAGTATGGGAGATGGTTAAAGGATGAGTGAGTCCTTGATGGATGTGGGATGAGGGGAAGAGGAGGAAGACCAGAGTATAAATATTGCTGCTTGATGCAAGAAGACATGGAGGAGTGAATACAGACCAGATGACCGTGGAAGTGGTAATTTCCAGCGGCAACATCTCATATTCACTGAGTCCCAGGCGATAGATGGTCTAAAAGCCATCAATGCCACCATCTCAACAACCGTATGGGACAGGCTGGGATCCCATTCGTCATACACAGTTCTAATTTCTCTCGTCATGTTGCAGTAAAGCGGAGTAATCATTCACTTGAAGACTAACGAGCAAGAAAAACAGGCCTTTCAGAAACAGAAATCACAATTTGATGAACCACTACGAGAAAGGCTTCAATCTGTGAAGCATGCCACATGACCAGGCAACGCAGCTCGAACTTGGGTAGAAGAAATCAAGCTACGCAATGCACAGACCAGTTTGAAATATCAATTCACATAGGGTTAGATACGAACCAGAAGATCAGCGACGACCACCAGCAGAAGACAGGACAGAAATACTACAGATTTCTCAACGGGCAGACCATCCAACCACGATCAGCAAGCAAGCACAAAAGCAACCATCGTATCATAAGAATATACAAATATTAGCTTAACATAAAACATCCGGAAACCATCGTCATCGTCACCAATCGCCCACGCTTGCAACCTAGAACATCGACCCCATCGACTCCGTATGCTGCCCTGACGTCGTCTGTCCCGACGTCGTCTGCTCCAGCACAACAGCATAATACTTCCCTTCCTCCGAGGTGTCATGATACGGCCCCGCAGATACAATAGCCCTAAATCGAATGTCAGCAACCATATATTTGTCTAAACTGGGAGGGTCGACTGCGGGCGTAGGATCACCCGGAAAAGCACGTGGAATCACTTGGGAAGTACTCACCATCCTTTATACTTAGGCTGATTGAAAATCTCTGTAAAGGCTTTCAAGATGCGCAACGGCAACTCCAAGATCGAAGGCAAATCGGGTCCATCACCACAGATGGGCAGCCCCAGTTTATTGACGGGCAAGTAGACGACCTCGGCTGTTTGAGGGTGCCGAGCCTCCTGGAAGATGAGGAGGCGGCGAGATGGGGGTTGTTGCGGCGGCATGATCCAGGTGCTCTGAGATGGAAGATCTAAGATCTGTGGAGCTGATCGGAGAAGGGCTTTGCTTTCCTTCTCCCGGGAAGAGACTTATGGACCTGAAAAGTCCTTCTAGGGCAGCCTGCCGGTCTCCAGAAGTACCCCGTATAGGATAAACTTGCCTTGGCAGGGGGGTGCTTCTTTTCTTATCGGGTTATCACAAGCTTGAATCGAAAAAAAAAAAAAAAAAAAAACAAAAAAGGTCCGTATGGCGCTGTGATGATACAGGTACGCGTGAATAGTCCGCTGCAGTCAATGCTTCCTCTCAATGATTCGATAGTGCTGCAATCTCTGGTAGAGTCAAGGTTGTAAAGCTCTGCTCCACTTAGGTCTCAGGATCGGTCTATCTGTGTGGCTGATGGTCAGTCGGAATGATTTGTGACGAGGTGCGGGGCAGGACACACGACAACAGCAGGGTGATAGTCTAGTACAAAATCACTCCATGGATATCCAAGCATCGAGGAAGTAGAACTCAACAGGGACGATAATGACAGTAGTGGTGCTGGCTTTCATTGCCATGATGATGAGAATATTTAGTGTTCGCGCATGATTGTGGCTGCTGCGCGTGGCGCGTTGGAGATCGAAAGATTGCGAAAGCACGTGCAACGGGTGGGGGTGGGGTTACAATGCCTATCTGAGTGTAGGCTTGTATATATACATACATATTCTCCCTCAAAATCAGCACTGGTTATTAGACTTGTATTACTAGAACCACATACGCACTGGCTAAATCCAAAGTTCAGGGTATCATATCCTAGGCGTGGGCCTGGATTGTTGCAATAGCAGAACGCAGAACGCAGAACGCAAAAAAGAACGAACGTCCACCAACCCCCCTGGAAAATAATCTCAAACTTCATATGTAATTTTTTACACCACTTTCAGGTGTCCAGCTCACCATCAAGCACTCGCCGAGCGGCTTCCAATCGTCTTCTCAACAATCGCACCTGTTTTGGATCCGGGTGCGCAGAGGTGGTAGTGGTCTGAAGCTCCGTGCAAACATCCCCCAAGCTCTGAAACAGCTGTTCCAAGAGCCTCGTGTCGTCATCATTTAGTCCCATGCTGCCATTGACTGCAGCATTCGACTGAGAGCTGGATGCTGCGCGCACGCTTGACACTAGAGATGAGGCGAGGGATGTCGGGGTTGCAGCCGCGTCGGTTCGCGCTAGTCGACTCGGCTGTCGGCGAACAGCGCGAGATTGGCTTCTTTCGCTCTCCAAATCAGCTCCGTTGGAGCTGTTGGCGCCAGTCGGATGGCGATTGTTCAATTCTAGATAGAAGTCAGTCAAACGCAAGCTGTAACTGAAGCACAGAAGCCTACCATCATTAAACTTTTGATCCCAGTAGAGGACACTCTCCAGGCCATCATGCCCCTCGATGGCGGTCTCGAATGTACCGACAGAGGAAAGTGATGTTGTGCTGTTGGCCCGCGAGTGACGAACCAATCGATGGTCGGTCGGACGTGTGGTTTCCACTGAGCTTGTCGACACATTGCTCTCCCGGCGCAGCCGAGCGTGGGAGTAATTGCCCAAAGCGCTATGCAGAATAAAGTGCTCATAGTCAAAAGCATCTTCGCGCTCCTCATGGGGAGTATCCTGGACGCTCTGAGGCACAGGAGGAAAAGCCTCCAGAGTATCGTCCAAATCATCATTCAAGGACTCGTAGTCGTTGTCAGAAGTCAAAAAGCCGCTCTCGTCATAGTCGCCCTCTTGCGCGTCCTCATACAGACTCTCGTTTACCGATTGAGCATCATCAGACTCGTAATTCTCTTCTTGCGGAGCTTCAAGCCGTTTTGGAATTGAATCCCCTACAACTTGCTCGCGTGGCTCGGCCTGCCGCTGCTTTGCATCGGAGACATGTCTAGCCGGGCTAGATCCCCCGCTGAAGCGGCTCTCCGCGAAGTGATCCGGTGGCTGACCCTGTGCAACATTGGGCTTGGGGCTGCTCTGGCGAGTTTTCAGATCCAAAGCACTAGGGTACCATTGATCAGCCGCATTCAGGGGGCTCGGAGTCCGCAGGCTCTGCATACTACGACGGCGCAGATTATCCTCCTGGGTTCTGACCTTCAGACTAGAGATCTTGATATGAAGACCCTTCATCTGATTGTGCAAATCGCGCACCTGCATTTGCGACTGGGAACGAGACGGCGGATCATGCGCGGGATAGGTCTCGTTGAACCCCTCCCTGTTCGAGTTGTGATTCTCAGCATCTTCGGTGGATATGCCTAAGCCCGTTGGTGACTCAGAAGAGGCTCGCTCCTTCATTATCGGAGGAGATCGGGCGGCGGGCCTCTGCATGGACGAGATAGAGGCCCGATGGGTCAGATACGACCGCGTGGGGTCGTAGCGGAAAGTCCGCTCATCACTCCGATACTTTGACGCACTGGTTGAGCCTAAGGCGCTAAGGGACCGCGACAGACTGGAGTCGGCTGCGGAAAGGCTTGACTGCGCCGACGAGGGCAACTTGGTCTCGCTGTATACGCGCGAATGACGATTGTTCGTCCCATCTTGGGCCGAAGTGTACGTCGTACGCGGACGGTGATTCGAGACTCGACGGTCCGCGCGAGAAATCGACTGGTACAAGCCGCCGACGGGTTGGCCCAATCCCAGCGGCGATTGCCCTACAGGCGGCGTTGGCGAGGTGGGAAGTGATGGAGATACTCGCACCGACGTGCGAGCGCGATTCAGGTTCCCTTCCATAAGCTACATCGTTCATCAGCAATCGCTCTCGTCCCTGAATTCGCGAGCTATTCCTGCCTCAAACATACCGTCAGACGTTTCTTGGCGTTCTCGAGGATTCTCTCCGCTTCCGTACTCAGAACGGCCGACGAAAGCTCCACTCCAGATCCCTCCTCTTGTGCACTCGGCATCAAGCTCGGGATATGTTCATTGTCGTGGCCAGCTTCTGTAGTATCTTCCTTCACCTGGTGCAGATGCTCCTTGGCGCCACAACTGTCCTGGTGGTCTTTCGTCCCATCCCACGACGTATCACTAGCACCACTAGCCGTCGAGCTGGACGAGCCGCTCCACGCCCCCGAGTCCCGAGTATCCAAATCACTTATCTCGCGTTGCGTAACGGGAGAAACCCCCAGCCGACTTGTTTGCGACACAATCCGAGATGCACCCGAGAAACCAGGAAAGTGCGCATACGACGACGACGAAGAATCCTCCTCTCCAATATCCGATAAGCGACGAGCATCATGACCCTCGTGCAGCCATGTATGCCGCGGAATTACTTTTTTCTGAGGGCGACTGCCATAGGACAGAGCGATGCCCGGTTGCGCGACTCCCTGGGTCTGGTCAGTGTTGTCATCGAGGGCGGGACGCCTTGCGTAGAACGCCTGCAGGTTGGATAAGGAAGGCAGGTTGAAGGGAGGCGATGGGGTGGAAGATTCGCGCTCGTTGGGGTCGAACGGTAGGATCATGTCGGGGTTGGATAACGTCGGCGACGGAGGAATCGGCGGCAGATGCTGACGAGAAGGATGACCGGTGTCCTCCCCGGAAGACGAGCTGACCATCATGCTTTATGTCTGCTTCGCTGGCTGGCTGGCTGGCTGGCTGTCTGTCTGGGTCGATTGCGGTAATCGATATTTGGTACACGACAGGAACGATTCCGTTCAGACCCAAGCCATCTGCAACCGAGGGAGGGGTGGTTGCGCAAGTTTGGTTGCCCTTTCACCTGCTTGAGCAGTATGCGGGATAGAGTTGGGAAATGAAGGGATGGAAAAAGAGCGAAGTGCGGACTCCGTCCTGCAAGAGAATTTGTTGCTGGGGGAGGAGAATGAGAGATGCAGTCAGTCGCAGATGAGATCTGAGACAAGGCAGATGCACTCTCTCCGCGAATCAGACAAGCGTGGGGAAATTAGACCACGCAGAAGCAAAAACTCGAAAAAGAAAAGAAGGTAATTAAAGATTAACAATTAGTATTAGCCATAGTAGTAGGTATGAAGAAAGGAACCAGCGACGCGACAGGGAAGAAAGAAATATGAGGAGGGAAAAGAATGAAAGGAGAAGAAGAATAAGAAATGAGATGGAACCGAAGGAAGGAATTAAACACACTTAGTACTAACTTACTCGATGCTGACCGGGGGGGGGGGTGGCATTGTTAGGTAGTTTCTACTCCATAAGTACTTGTGTCCCTTTTTGTTTTATTTTTCTTTTCCCTAACCAGCCCCAATCAGGCAGGGATCCGTCGCCGTCACGTCCTGAAGATCATCTGGCCATTGATGCGAGAGAAACAGATAAGGAATCTTCCTCGAGGTTCGGGATCCATAGTGAGGAAAGGGGAGGGAGTCGCAAAAAAAGTGTAGATGGGATGTTGAAGATGAGAAAGATATGATTGAGATCAAGAACCCAAAGTCGATCTGGGGAAGAATACAAGGGAGAGAGATATGCATAACTAAACGCCCCCCCCGTTGGTTAATCATCCTCGTTCGCGGGTAGCGACAGGTTTACAACAGACAGGGACTCGCGATCAGCAATGCGAACAAGTATTTCGCCGACGGAGACAATGGACGCTCGAAGAGCACTAGCCTGGGAGCTCTGGAGTCCACTTGAACAAACCTAGACAGCAGACAGTGCAATGGCGGTCTATGGGCCCGAGTTGGAGATCGTCATTTACTGTAATTTTAAAGATTGACAACCTGCTGGTTCCATGGTTCCCCTCCCCAGCAAGTTAAGCCCTTTTAAGGCACAAAGAGTGTCCTTGCGCTCGGGCTGCCACCACGCCATGTTCGAGACTACCGAACGTGACAGTCAACAACTACTAGTAAACTTACCCCTGAAAAAAAAAAAAAGCTGAGACAGCCTTCAGTGCAGCAATCCTCCGCCATAATGAAAGCAGCTGCCACTTCCACATATTGTGATCTCACCTAGTTCACTATGCAGATGCTTGTCGCAGGCAGTCAGTTCTTTATCCGCGGTGGAAGAAGTAAATTTTGTGGTGGTACTTCTACCAATCTTTTCCCTTCGGGCTCCGCTCAGGGGTTCTCCAGTCTCATTGTACAGCTCCGGTTCAGGAGAATTATCTGCTCTGCGGAAGCCTTACCTCATATATTACAAGCTACTAACGATTGATGTTGTCTCGGGACGGGCCAGTCGAATTCAAAAGAATATCATCGAATACTTTTCTCTGCCTCATTGCTCCTGGTTAATTTATCACAAAATCCTGTACAGACGAATAGATATCTCACGGTATGATAAATAAGAAAATAATAGGAAAAATTAAAACTGAACACCAAAGGACAATGCTTTTGCAGTCAACCGGCCGATAGTACACACATGTCATGCATCCTTAAATGATAGTAGAACTGGCTTCTCTGCCAATCTACCGAATCTTCTCCAAAAGGATCTTCGCACCACTGCTGGCCGGGCTGCCCTTCTTGCCATCCTTGCTGGTCTCGGAAGAGGCCTTCTCCAAGGCCTTCTTGTTCTTCTTCAACGTCTTCAGCAGCTCCGCCTTCTTCGTGAAGTCGTCCGACTCGGCAAGAGCCACCACAACGAAGGTATTTGACCCGGTGGCCCAGGACATGATGTCGCCCTGGATCTGCTCATACAGCAAATCGTGGAAGTTCAAGGGAGGCTGAACCTTCTCAACCTTCTTCTCCGCGCTGTTGAAACGTCCACCCTGGACGAGCGACTTCAACAAACGGCCCACGAACGGGGCCTCCTTGGTGTCCGCACGCGACTTGGCCGCCTCGGCCACAGCTGCAAGAGCGGCGCTCTTGTCTCCCTCAGCATCGAAAAGGACCTCGGAGATAAACTGGCAACCAAAGCTTGTCTCGAACAGGGAATCTGCACGAGCGGCGATGAACTCGAGAACAGTGGGGGATGCGGCCTTGACCAGCTCCTGTCGGCGGACCTCGGGCTCTTTCTTCGACGTTTCCGAGCGGATCTCGCGGACCTCCTTCAACAACCCGTGGTCCTGTTCCGGCAAAAGCCACTTGGCGCGGTCGCCAGCAAAGGGATACAAGATGGGAATACGGGCCGTGAGGTCAGTGACTTGCCAGAGCAGCTCTTCGTTCCGGGCCTCGGCGTCCATTCCTTGGTTCAGAAGCTCGGGGAAAACCAATTTCGAGGTAAGCTTGGTATCGTCGATAACCTCGTAGGCCGTCAGGAGGACCATGTGTCCATTAAGATCACCAGCCATCATCTTGATCGTGTCACGGTAGAATCGGGTCAGAAGTTTACGGTCCTTGGCGTTCGAGTAAGCCAGAGCCCGGGACATCACCCGCGCACCAGACTTGGTGAATGCCAAGTTCTTGACAAGATCTCCCTCCTCATCGCCCTTGAGCAGTTCCACGAACTCATTGGCCTCCGTGCTGCCGACCTTCACGTTGAGGTAGTATTGGAGCATAGCATCGTGTAGAATCGTGAACCCGGAAGTCTTCTTCTGGATGAGCTGGTTGATGAGTTCGAACAGGAAGTGCATGATAGGTCCTCTCTTCTCGGGGCTTTCCTTCAAAATCTCAGAAAGCTCGGCGGTTCCGTTCTCCTGCTTGAAGATGACGAACTCGGGTCCGTACCACTCGCGGAGAAGGTTGGCCCTCTGTTGCTTCGTCGCGACCGTACGGTAGATATCATCGAGGATCCAGGATCCCTCGGGGTGTCGGATCAGACGTTTGACGTGTCCGTAGAATTCGGGGATGATCAGGTCGCGAATCTCGTTATCACCGTGAACAATTAACTTGCCGACCAAGAACTTGGCGTACCGGCTCTGCGCGAGCTCGCAGTAGCTACCCTTGAGCTCGGTCGCGATCTGTTTCCGTTGCTCGATGTTGGCATATTTCAGGGCTGTCTGGATGACACGAACCGAGTCGTGCTTGAAGACAAAGTCCTTGACACGGCCGGTGATGATCTCAAAGAGCTCCTTGATGAGCTTCTTCCGCTGCTCCAGCGGGACGTGGGATTTCCGACGCAACTGCTCCCAGAGCTTCTTCGATCTCGCGATGATGTCGGCGTTGGGCTTGGCGGCTTTGCGTTCTTGCTGCATCGCCTTCTGCTTGATATGCGATTCGCGGGATGTAGACTTATCTAGAAAGGGATTTGGTCAGTTCATAAGAGCTCCCAGTTCTGCAGACAACACATGCATAAAACAATCCACACATACTCGGATCCGCCGCCTTCGAGGGCTTAGATTCTTTCTCCTCTTCCTCCTCGTCATCCTCCTCCTCAACACCACCCATATCAACGTCCTCATCCCCATCAGACTCAAGCTCGTCCAACTCATCAATCTCCGAATCCTCAACATCATCCAAGTCGAACTCATCCTCGTCGTCGTCTTCGGATTCTTCCTTCTGCACCTTCTTGCCCTTTTTGCTGCTCAGCTCCTTCTTATCCTTCTTTCCGCTCTTGTCGCTCCCTTTCTTGAAGTCGGACTTCTTAGCGGACTTCACGGGTGCCGACTTCGAGCCACTCTTCTTCGTCGGCGCGGACACGGCGGTCTTCGTTTTCGTCCGCTTGCCATCGCGATCGTCGCCGGTATCGACGCGGCGCTTTACCCCGACCATAATGTGTGTAAATGTGCGGTGTTGTCTTCGGAAAATGAAAAAAAATGGAGCGGTTGAGAAGGGGCAAAGATATCAGAAAATAAGTGATCTGGGCCGCCCGCGGAGTCTAGGTTTTCCTGCTTGGATTATCGCCGCGGCCGCTCGTACTTTTTTTTTTTCTTCCTACCATTTTTTTTGCCCGTTCAATGGCGGTCGGCGGCGTTTGTCTGGTTTGCAAGGGGACCCCGGTCGGTTTGATAAGGGCGGGTGGACATTAGCGGGATAAGGACAGCCGCCCGGCCCTCTCCCCTCATCTGTCTTCTCATGGGCTTGATATAGAGGGTTGGCCAGAGTCTAGTACTATTGAAGCAGCTAGGCATAGAAGACAGAGTAATTCGAAGATATATACATGAATAATTATCTAGTGGAATAAAGAGTAATATGCCAGAATAGTGTAGAGTTGGACAGTATGGTAAACACGCAATGCCTTCGTTACGCCGATAGAGACTCTCCGTTGCGCTGGACAAGCGGGGTCGACAAAACTGCTAAAGTCATTCTCGGGCTCATTAATGAAACGATACTGTGTGGATGCACTACGCGGTGGCTAGCAGGTTCCAAGTTTTTGCAGCGCGTTCGAGTGATGGCTTTATCGATCATGAAATTCGGAGATTTATTATGCATCATTGATCTCCGATCCGGCACTCGCCGGTGGAGACTTGAAGGGGCCTAATTCCGACGCCCCGTTGCTTTGTCCTCGTTTGCGTCCAGGAATATGGAAACCCAAGGTCGAAGACTTGCTGTTGCTGGAGTTATGTGAATCGCTTGATGTGAAGTCGCCGAAGCGAGAGAAAATACTCTTCCTCTTAGGTTTGGTCTCGTTCTCGTCGTCAAGTCCCACATCCTCAAATTGCTCCTCTTCCATGGATTCGGGCTGCCTGCAGAGACCTGTGTGTAGTGTGGAGGGCGGCGATGTCATTCGAGAGACGCGTGAGTCAAGTGATGTCCGCGAGGGCAGTGCATCAGTGTAGCACACGGGGGAGCGGGCGGAGATATCCTAACATCCAGCAGGTTAGTGCCTAGGTCTGCAAGTGCAGCGAGTACCACTCGGCGATGCGAAGACTCACAAAGGAGCGACGATAGGAGTCAAAGGACTCCCGCGATATCGAGAAGGGTTCGTTCTCATTGACCAGGTCGCGGTGGTGTGAGGACTTGGGTGAGCCGGGGTATTTGGGCCAGAAGCTCTGTTTCTCGGGCGGAGATGGCTTGAGGAGGACAACCAGTTTAGCAAATATGAAACGCTCAATGCGCTACGTCAATAATGCGAGTGCGGGTTATGGTACCGGAAGATAAGCGCCATTGGCATCGACAACTGTTTGCGAATCATCACGTTAGCGGGGTAAACTCCCGACCGTTCACGCCGTCCGGAATCGCATACCACTCAATTTGTATTCCGGCGGTTCCTTCTCAAAACTCTGCCTGAAAACCAGAGGTGTCGAGCGTTGGCCATCGATTGATAGTCGGCTAGTAGTGCTAGTATTATCGTGGGTGGTGATATCGACGCTACTAGGTGCAGCAGACTTGCGAGACAGGAAATTACGGAATGGGGCCATGGTGAGAGAGTGTAATTTGAAGTGACGGGAATGCGTGCCGCAAAGCCAGTTGCTTGGGCGCAATCCAGAAGAGAATTGAGAAAGATATAAGGCCTGGAGGACTGTAGAAGCGGCAATGGTCGGATCCTCTTGAGTTAAGAGATAGTTGAATGGATGGAATAACGCACGAAACGCTCAACCCTCACATGATCGGCGGCCTCGGGCGTCGGTTTCGGTTTATGAAAGGGTGGTACATCCCACCCTCCAGGCGAATGGATCAACCGAGTGAGAAATTCTAAATCATGCATCTGTGGTTGGAATCCCCTCTCCAATCTCCCCTGGGAAAGGTTACATGGACCGTGGCTACTACTTTTGCCACCGCGCCATGTGCCTGACTTCGAACATGATCATTAGTGGAAAACTTGGTCGTGCGTATACCTATTGTATCATCATCGTTTAACTTGGAGTTAGCCATGCCCATAGCGTCATTAGTCGGACTACCACAGCACTTGATATGTATCGGTCTTAGTGCATGGTTTCCCCCGGTATGTGGGACGATTATGCTGTTTATGCGGCTTATGCTAGGGGTGTTTCACAGTGCATTATTTTGGCTTTTGCAATTGAGTTTGTCTGGTCGACTCTCAGATTAACTTTTGGCTTTGATGATGTATCAAATTATCTCTTACACTTATCACAATCCAGCTCGCATGGCTTAGATGGTAAAGCGCAGCACTAGTAATGCTGAGATCCTCGGTTCGAGTCCGAGTGTGAGCAATTTCTTTTTTGATATTTTTTTTGGCGTGCTTCCCAGAAACCCCAGGTTTGGCGAGCGAATGTGAAGATAATTGGGCCTGAGGCATGAAAAGTAGTCCAGATGCTACCTCCTCGCTATAACCTGTAGAGAAGGATGCATCGATCAATACAAATACTCCCTAAGAACTATCATGCACTCTACATCAAGAACTTGCGATCATACATTCAAATGATAAGCGTAACTCGTGCTAGACCTCCCATGGCAGTGTGTTAGCAAGAAAGCGAACACCTAAGCTCGGTGTCATTCATGCTCTCTGCGCTCTCTGGTTGTGCTGCATGAAAAATGCCTTCAAGGGTTACTCACTCGATGTGAATGGCCCAGTGCTTGTGCAATATCTGCATATAATATAACTTGAATGAGCTATGGGCTCAATGTGTCGACCTAGAGCAACTTCTCTGTACGCTCTTACTGAGAAACCTCCAATAATAAATGCTCGATATACTTCGGAAGTTAGTCCTTATACTACGTATCTGGATCTTTTGGGTCTATGTTCCAGAGGGTAACTGCCATACCCAGACGTTGTGGCTGCTATGTGTCCAGTACCAGTGCCTATCAAGCTATGCAACAAGACGCTGCTTCCTCAACTAGATCAAGCCTGCCTTTCCATCGCCATTGCTGTGCGTTCCTTCCTACCATCGTAGAGGCTTATAATACCATCGATCTCCCTCGAAAGCGAGCTTCAACTCATTCTTTTCGACTTCTCCTACATATATCTACTCATCCACGCATTCACACGTCCACTCGTTTATCATCACACAACTAATCATTTAGTCTTCTACACGTCTCCTACTCCGTTGTACCTATACCTGCACAGCCAACCACTGCTTATCAAGGTATTATTCAGTCTTCCTGAGTCCAATCTTGTCCTCCTGCAATATGCTGGACAGCCCCAAGGTGTGATTGTGGGCAAAAACTGAGCTGATGTGGTGTTCTATGTAGTTAGTCCTTTCGGTCGACGAGCATTATGCCCAGCCTTTCCACTTCGATTGTTTCCGCAGTTGCCATCCTCGTGACCATTGGAGGAGCTGCTGCCAGCGTCGTTCCTCATGCTCAAGCACAGAACCTCACAGTGACCCGCGCTGCTGTGCACAGTGGGAGTGAAAGCTATCGTACCCAGCCTATCATTGCTGGAGGGGATGTAGAGGGTCTTATGGACGTCGCTGCCGATGAGCTGGACTCAACCGCAGAGGGCGATGCTGCCGCCGATACTTGCTACAACAGATCTCATTGTGAGGTGGGATACACATGCCTCAACAGCCGTTGCACCCTGAGCTGCATCAGTGACAGTGACTGCTCCCGTCTGCACACATGCGTCAATGGGACATGCATGGATCCTCGTGGAGGGGCATGCCTTGCAAACAGAAACCGATGCACTCACGACTATCAGTGCTGCTCTGGCCGATGCGATCGCTTTGCCTCTGTATTCGGTAGCAAGAAGTGCAGAAGCTCCATCAAGATCTTTCCCTGAGCTGGACGGCGCAGGGATGAGGCGGGTGTCTTGTTGTCATTCGTTGGAATGGTTTTCCTGGTGGTGTTCGGTCCTCGATCCTGTTATTTCGTTTATTAATAAGTGCCGGTGATTGCGAATTGGTGGTACTGTCTTTCTGTCAGAGTAATGCTGAGCTTGTCTCGTTGTCAAGAAGTAATATCATTTCTACTGTGAACTCGAATTGATTCTGAACTATAGAGTTTGAAGTAAACCGACATAGGGTGCTTGTTAGAGTCAGAGTCTACATATTTCAAGTAACAAATTGTACCTGCTATCTGTTACGGATAGTCTAGTGGAAGGTCAGCCGTTAAGTCAATAACCTTGCTTAGGTAATTGCCAGCGGGACTGGTGCCTGGTACGAATCCGGGGGTCGTCGTTGTACTCGTGCGAGTAGTCCACGATTGCTACACGGCGCTAAGCGATGGAAGTGACCCTTGAGGGAAGCAATTCTGCAGAGACATTTCCACCCTAGGATGGCGTCACCAGATTACACCGTCTCGTTACAGGGAAGTTGGCAGTTTGGCTGGACAACTACTTTTTGTTCCTCTTGGCCACACTTATGTGGTGCACTGCAGATTGTCCTTCGCAGTCCGAATTATCTCGGAATTTTCGTATTCTGGTCTCTGCTCAGGACTTCTTGCTCAGGTGGAGGCGTAGCTTGATGTGTTTCTACCCGGGGGGAAAGTCGTACTAGCTATATATTCGCCAAAAACATCATTTACATCAAGTTCTTTCGGACGACAACCGTACATAATATAGTGAACAGCAATGCCCCGGCCGATCTCTCCGTCATCCAACTGCCATGTTCTAACCCAGCAATCGAGACAAATATGGTCCTCTCAGTATAGACCATGCCTATGCGCAGTTGCCTTCCATTTCAAGATCTTGTACTCACACGGAGCGCTCGTGCTTTCCTTCCTTCGACAAATTCAACAGTGATTTCCTATTCCACAACCTCTGCCCTTCTCTCCCCACAGCCATGCTTGAGAGAATCTTACTATACAGTTTAGGAGTTCAAAGGTGAGGACGCTCAGGGTTGGCTTCAGCCCATGGCCGGCATCAGTATACTATCACGTTTGCATCAAAGGTTGACACCCACACAATACGCCCTCAACGTGACTACAAAGATAGACTGTGATAGTCCAAGATGAGGTTTTGGGCCGGATGGGCATTATGGGAGAAGCTGAGTTTTGTGAGTCCAAGGGAATCCAGTAGAGTGACCCAGCACCTGTGTAGCTAACGCGCTAGGAAGGTACTCGCAGGTCTGCTGGTAAGGCACTCTGGCACGCTCCATGGACCATCGATACTTACAAGACAAGGCTATCGTATTGATTTACTCATTCTGTGTCCTCGCGTACAATCGCAGGTTGACACAGAAGTACGCCGCTGCCGAGGAACGTGCGAGGGCCGAGCAGGCCACCGAGATGCAGCGGATATTAACCGAGCCAACCGAGATTCCGTTCGGGGCCAGGGCGCTGGAAAAGGGCATCCAAGTCGAAGGCATCTGGACTCCAAAGGAGTATTCACCGAGGCAGTCTGTCATCATGCCGGGCGATACACCAGAAACCCCTAGTCCCACGCAGAGTCAGCCATCACTAGTACCCGCAAGTAATGTTCAGAGACCGAGAAGATCACATCAACCGGTGCCAGGCTCTAACCTGCTCAACCCACGCCTTTCCATGAAGATACCAGACATCGAGCTCGGGGCGGAGGCTATGCGTGTGTTCTCCGCGAACAGCGCACCCCAGCCGACCACCCGTACGAACAGCGACATTCCCACTGAACCTGGAAAAAAGAGACGGTCTAGGGGCTGGTTCCACCCCCGGAATTCCTGGGCCAGGAAGCCGTTTGATAGCTACGAGCGCATGTCGAAACATGAAGGCAAGTCACGGGAAATTGATATACTTGTCAGGGCAAATGCTTAGTGTTGACTAGGACATTCGGGACACCATCGAACGTCATCGGAGAGCTTCAGACGCAGGATCAGCAAGCTGATCGACGAGAGCATCCAGACAGGCTCGACCGAGACGTACCAGTTGAGGCCTATTAATCAGGGATCAATCAGCCAGGAGACCACGGATAGCACCAAAAGGTAGGGACTGGCCAAGATGGTGTATGTCAATGACAAATGATTAGAGCATGGTCTACAGAATGATTTGCATGCAAACACATGCCAGCCAGGTTAGGTGTCAGCGTTGGCGACCACTGCAATCATTGTATTATAGCATTTTATCGGAGCTTCGCAACTATTAAATCAACGACTCTCAAGACCCAGACAGACATAAATAGATCAAGATGTAGACTCTACCATGGTATTCCAGCATTGATCAGCTCAATTTCGCAAGTGCATTGAAAGTAGCCGGTGTTGTACCGGACCCTCAGGCAGCAACGCTTGATAGGCATCGATAACACCACGTGATCTCGCGACTGCCTCAACGCGTCCGATTCCCATCTTGTCGAAGGATGAGCAATAAGGCCAATTCGCCACCTTCGCATCTAAACTCGCTAGCACCCAGGCGACTGCAAATCCCCTAGAGAGATAATCCTGCACATCTTCTGCCACTCTCTTCTCGTCTATATCCTGCCGACCTAGTCAATTCTTGTCCAGAGAGAGGCAACTGAATCAAAACACGCGCTTCGCGTTAAGCTCATTTGATTCGCGCAGTCTCCTGGTGAAAAAAACCCAAGTCGAACAAGTCGAATAAACTCTGATTTTATCCAACTGAAGCCTACGAGAAAATGACGGCGGATACGGAGACACAAAATGACTACGAGGAAGGTCTTCCTGGACCCGGAGCCCCGACTCCTCTCTCAGCTCTAGAGGTAAGCATTAGCATCGCGACTTTCTCTGGGGCACCAACGCAAACCTTCAAACTGCAGGAGTCACGCTGACGAGCCTCATCAATAGGGTGTTGCGGGTCTTACTGGTCGAGATATCAAACTGTTTGTCGATGCTGGATATCACACCGTGGAATCAATCGCATATACGTGAGTTCAACTGATTCCGAGTTTCGCAAATGAGAAAATGTGTAGCATTTCCAGAACCCAGAATGCTAACAGCAGGGCCGCTATGCTTATACAGACCGAAACGCTTGTTGGAACAGATCAAGGGAATTTCCGAGCAAAAGGCTACCAAGGTTCTTGTCGAAGGTGACGATGCCAGAATCTCTATAAGCATCTGCATCATGACTGACTAGTATATGTCTCTACAGCGGCGAAACTTGTACCCATGGGGTTTACCACGGCCACGGAAATGCATGCGCGCCGGAGCGAGCTTATATCGATTACGACGGGGTCTAAACAATTAGATACTCTCCTTGGAGGTGGCATTGAGACAGGATCCATCACAGAAATCTTCGGCGAGTTCAGAACAGGAAAGAGTCAGATCTGTCATACCCTTGCGGTGACCTGCCAGCTGCCTTTTGACATGGGTGGTGGTGAGGGAAAGTGTCTGTACATCGACACCGAAGGTACTTTTCGCCCAGTGCGTCTGTTGGCGGTTGCGCAACGGTACGGCCTAGTCGGTGAAGAGGTTCTGGACAATGTGGCGTACGCTCGAGCATATAACTCAGATCATCAGCTTCAGCTGCTCAACCAGGCCTCGCAAATGATGTGCGAGACCCGCTTCTCGTTGCTAGTCGTCGACTCGGCTACTTCCTTGTACCGCACAGATTTTAACGGCCGTGGGGAACTGTCAACGCGTCAGACACATCTGGCAAAGTTCATGCGGACTCTGCAGCGTCTTGCGGATGAGTTTGGTATTGCCGTTGTCATCACAAACCAGGTTGTTGCCCAGGTCGATGGTGGTCCCAACATGTTCAATCCGGACCCGAAGAAGCCCATAGGTGGAAATATCATTGCTCATGCTAGTACGACGAGACTGAGCTTGAAGAAGGGCAGAGGCGAGACACGAGTATGCAAAATCTATGATAGTCCGTGTCTACCAGAGAGTGACTGCCTCTTCGCTATCAATGAGGATGGAATTGGAGACCCAAGTCCCAAGGACTTGGAGCACGAGTGATGGGTTGTGGGCTGCACATTTTAATCGAAGCTATGAAGTCATGAATATAATATGTATCAACTTTACTGTATGCTGTGTTGCTGAGGAGCATATTGGGTAATTGTTTTTGTAAGCATTGAAGTTCTAGTTAGTTATCAACTTATACCCCTTCGCTGTAACGATTCAAGTCAACAACCACCAAAGGCGGTGAAGGAAGTCGATGAGCGCGCGTTGTTCAAGGCCGCGCCAAGACCTGCTTTTTGGAGGCGCCGCAAAGAGCTGCGGCTTCTGCCCTTCAACTCCGCTGTGCTGCGATACTCTGTCTCCACCTACTCTACCCATTCGGCCATGGAGACTTGAGTTGACCTCTTTTCAATATTGCGGAGAGTGGTCATAACTCAATTTCCATCTCATCATGGCGAAAATCTACAAGGACACCCGGGTTGACCTCCGACCGCACTCCCCAAGCACGGTCGTGAACATTCAGATTCCAACAGAAGCGAGTCCCCCAAGCCGAGCTCGATTTGCGATTTCCACCTTCAGCAGTCAAGAACAACCGGTAGCGAAAGATGAGGAAGACTTCACCAAGCGGTACTTGGCGACGCAGGGATCTATCTATTTTCGCAAACGCAGCGTCTATCCCCGGGCTTTCCTCTGGCGAGTTGTCGATGACAACAAGCTTCTGGAAATCCACTGTGTCGATCTAACCAAGGGTGGGGTCGAGCACCACGAATACAATGTGACACTGCGCTTCGAATTCGAGGACCACATCGTGCCGTCCGGTGTGGACTTCGCAGACGTGGAGGAACACGAAGCGTTGAGCGTTTTCGTGATCACGACCGATAAGCACTTGCACACTTTGACTCTGCGGCCTGAATTTTTCCGGAGGACAGATGCGATTGATGAGCAAATCACTGAATGGTGCAAGGCTTATGTTCCTGCGCCGTTGACATTTACAAACCCCCACCGCCTACACGCCAGTAGCCCTCTGGAATTGTTCATCTCTCTTGACAACGGTGCCCTGTTGCGATTGACAAGGAAGTCTAGTGATGATGGTAAGCTCCCTCCAGGCATGTTTACAGAGGTCTTGGATCTGGGTACTAAAATCTCCCCGCTATCAAGGTTCGCATTGGACGCCACTCACTTTCGACGAGAGAACATGGAGCGCATCGATCCGCGGCTTGGTCAAATGGCACGCGCAGCCTTCCATCAAATACAAGGGACGCACCCTCGATACGAATGTCGCAAACGCCATTGCAACGACATCCGATCAGACCTATGTCTTTGCGGTTTGTCTCAACCATACCCTGAAGATCTGGAACCTCGCCACCAACAAGATAGCTGCGACGAGGGATCTGTTGGACCGTGAAATACAGCAGCCAGAGGAACTAGCATACTCGTTGAACCCAGCTGAGTCCTCGTTTATCCGGGTATTCAATATGGAGCGTGCGTTGGACGGAGGCTACCGCTATTATGTCGTCACCTACTCTCCGTTTGAAGATGGGCGCTTCAAGTTCTGGGCTGTAAAGGGCGGCCTTACATCTCCGTTGGTGATTGAAGACATGTACCCCGGCGTGGCGTTGAAGCCGGTCGACCCAGATTCAACTGGAAGTATGTTCTGGAGCATCGCAGACTTCCAGATCAAGCCTGCAGAGGAGGGTAAGCGCATGGAACTATGGGTTCTGTGGAGGAACAGCAGTCTGTATCAGCTGTATACGCTACACTTCAACTTCGAGTCCTTGCCCAAGGATTGGTCCTCAAACTGGGTATCAACCGTCATGGACACTCGCTGGCAGGAGCCCCCGCCCGTCATCGCTACCTCGGATGTCGTTGACCCGACTGAGAAGTGGCTAGATTACTTATTGAAGCCCAATAGATATTCGCCAGAGGTTCTTGAAACCGCCTTGTCGATCTACCAGGAGGCTCTCAAGCCCATGGCGCCGGCTGGATTTCCGAAGAGAACACACAGCATTGAAGAACGGCTTTGCTCTACTATCGGTGCGCATGTGTCCCTTCGCAAGCATGTCGACGATGAGATGGACTATACTCGTTACCGCATGGACACGGATTCGAAGTGGCGCCAGTTTTGGCAGATTGCAGTCGATGTCAACAAAAGGCGGTTCGAACCGATCTCCCTTGCGTACGATGTCTATTACGAAACTCCTTGGATGCTTTTCTCGGATGGCTGCGCAATCATTCGTGAATGTAGCTCCGCGGAGCTGATACTGCACAACTCCGGCGCTCAGCTTCGCTCAGATGGGCCAGTCATTGTGGATCGTTGGAGGCACCGAAAACTGGAGACAGAGATTGGTAGTCTATATGAGCAAGCGTCCCATCTAATCACGGTTGCATCTGGTTTCCGCAAGGCCTTCTCCGCAGAGCTGGAAGCTGCTTGCCAGGAGGCCCTTGGGGCGGAAATCTTTACTGAGCCCTCGACTTCTGTGCAAGACAGGATGGACACCTTCCGTGAACGGTGTGATTTCGGAGAGCAGGTATCTAATAAGATGTATGATGCCTTGGTCTCTGTGATGAGTGAACATCTCAATATCTCTAAAATGCCCAACGACGTATTCTATACCATCATTGATACCATTCCGCTGGACTTCCCGGGCAAAAACTCCGATCTCTTCCACACCCATTTCGGAGTGAAGGTAATCGTGAACGGGGTCCAGGAAACCATCATCTTGACGCGCAAGACTCTAGCTGACCTTCTGTTCCTTGTTCTATTTGTGGACGGGGAGGTCGAGCAAGAGGCTGGCTCAGATTTCGACGCGGCGGACCTTTTCGTGACTCTTACTACTCTGCTGAGGGAATATGAAATGATGTCCTGGTTGAGCTCGCATTCACGCAAGTGCGCCGACCGCCCAATTCACACCCCGGTTGGCTCGTCTCCTGTGGCCCAGAAGGACACTATCCGTAAGGACAAGGGAGAGCGAACGGCCACCATACTCGAGGATCTATTTGCTAGTGATATCAAACCACGCCAAACGATCGGGCTGCCTCAAAGCTATACGGTAACCCTGGGAATTCGCGACATCTTGTCGTGGGTGACTCGTCAAGGAGAGGTTGCCTATCCCAATGCCTTGGTCTACATACAGTGCGATCTCATCGCTAAGAACAATATTGACCTCGCTTGGGATTTCCTGCGCTTCCAAGCGAGTACGTCCTGGGCGACCTACGTGAAGGGTCGGTTGTATGTGGCCATGTCTGAATACGACACTGCGGCTCTGTACTTCCGCAAAGCTGCCTACCTACTGTGTAAGTTCAAATCTCTTCTGAAAGATTCGAGAATCGGTCAAGTCTGACATGTCATAGCTTGTGGAAAACCCCTGGGTAACCTGCACGAGATGTCATCGACGTTGCTGGACATTGTCGCGGTGGATTGCTTTCACAACGGCCTTCCCAAGTACTTTCAACACATCGTGACGATCTTCGAGCATGTACGCTCGTTCTCGCATGTTGCCGACTTTGCAAGTCTCGCGCTGCAGGCGCTTGCAAGTGAGCATGGCAGCCAGCAACATGATGTGGACTACTCCAGCTTGCGTTCGGATCTCCTGTCGCGCTTGTTCAACGCTTCGTTGCAGAATTGTCAGTTCGACCAGGCATACTCTGCTCTTTCCCGATATAAGGATCGAACTCTGCAGAAGGTCGCTTTGGGCTCTCTGCTTACCAGCATCCTGACCGTCTCGGGGCCCGGCACTGCGGGTCTCCAGCAGATTCTCCACTTCCCGACGTCGCTCATCCCCAACATCGCGTCCTACGTGGACGAAACCTTGTCTTCACTTGCTCAAAAGCAGACCTCCTTCACCTCCTACCTCGAAACCGACAACAAATGGAGCGACAGCACTCCGGATTACCAGCGCATCCTACAAGCCTATCGTATTGAAAGGGGCGATTACCGTGGCGCCGCTGAGATCGCTTACCGGAATGTTCAGCGCCTCCGGCACGCCCGCGACGTTTCCACCCATCTCATTCTCACTCGGGCAGAAAAAGCCGATGAACTCCACCCAATCGAAGAAGACGATCCGGAAAGCAAGGAAATCCGGCACGAGCTTCTATCGCTCATCAACCTTCTCGCTTGCGTCGACAAGAGCGAATCCTACATCCTCGTGAACAAGGAAGACCCCCAACAGCCACTACCGTCATCCCTCCAGGCCCGACGCCGCAGTGTCCCGCCTCACTCGCAGCCCGAGCCTGAGGGCAACCATGCAATGGATGAGGCCATGGCCGTTTCTCCCTCGCCCAACCCCGCCTCCATAGGCGGATCCCCCTCCGGGCGCCGTCTCAGCGCTAGCACGACGGCCATCCGGCCCTCTGACCGCCGCGACAGCAAGGCCTCCATTAGCAGTGCCGTCTTGAGCATCCCGCAGAAGCGGGTAATAGTGACGCTGGAGCACCTCCGCCGTGAATACCAGGCCGAACTGGACCGGGTCAGTCGAATTGAACGCGGTGACTGGGAGTTCGGGCTACTTGGTCCGGTTGACGATGACAATGGCGACGAGGACACAACCATGGTCCTCGCTTAGATTTGCCGTTGTCGACGGGCATGTAATCTCACGTGTTTTGAGGGTCGGTTCCAGGCGGGGGTGTGTATCTTGTGTGTACAACTAGTATTGCAGTCTGTTCGACGCTAGACTAAGAATGACTTGAATTGTGTCCCTGTGTTTGGGGGGTTTTGGCCGGAGGTAGTGTAGCGCGGTAATGGGCGGAAGTCCTCTGACCCAATGCTCTCTAGTCAATGTAAACATGACGTCGCTGGTGAAGGGTAGCCCAGGGTGGGGTAAAACAGATCTTCAGTCGCAATCTGGTTGCAGCGCAGTCGTCCATCCATCTGCACCAAGGAATAACTACGATGAACCATTAATCTATCTGAAATTTTCAGGTCTGTTTATTTATTCATCTCGATGATGGTGAATCCAGCCAGACCCTTCCGCAAACCCGCCACTCACCGCCCCTGAACCCTGTCTGTACCTGTACCTACAGCCCTGTAGAATTATCCCAAGAATAGAAACAGAAATAATGATCATCATCAATTTCCTTCGAGGGTCTGGTAAGTCATTGACATCATAGAACATACGCACCCTGGGAGCGATACCACAAAACCAGAAAATGCAACCATGAACTGTAGATCACCCCGGTCAAGTGACTTGATTACTTGGTAAAGTTGGAAGAAAAGTATAGAGATTCCGTACTACAGTCTCGACTCATCCTTTACTGTGTGTATACTGCCAACATAGGCTTAACCACACACCTACAAATGAGTACGAATCCTGTAAGTGACTTCAAGTGACTGTGCACCTCGCGCCAATCCCGCTCCCCGGCTTCCTCCCCCCCGCCCACTTTCCCAGTTAGTGGCACTGGGCGGTTCCTAGTTTTTCTTGCTGGGGCCGGCGGCCCCTCGCTTAACCGGTACCTACAGTAAAGTTCTTCACAGCGCCGATCACTTATGCTGGTTGGAGGCTGCTACATATGCGCTGGAACTTGCGTCATGTAGCAATGATGTTATGTATTGTGTACTCTGTATGGTGGGTTGGGGGTCTGCTTTGGTTGACGTGTAACTGTATGTACTGACTGGTTGGAGTAACATTGTGCTCAGTAGATAAGTGCCTACTAGTAGGTCATGAACACTTTTGTAGTTAACTAGGTGACCAAGTGGTGCTAGCTAGGTATGGTTGAACAATGCCGATCGATGGGTATCGATTTAGGTCAGTCAGTCAGTCAGTACCTTTTCTTGCTGGGTGGGTGGCGATGGTTTTGTGCAGTGATTCGTCCGTTTTGTTTATTTCGCATCTGTCGGTCGACTACTGGGGATTCGTGGTGTATGACTTGTTTGGGATTGAGTACGGAGTGAAGTATACTTGGGAATCTTGAAGCGAGAGGTTGCCTACACAGTAGTGATACAACTAATCCCGGTGGTTCTTGATCATAGGGCGGTGGTACTGTACCTGTCTGTACCTTGGTCTGCTAGGTAGGTACCTTAGTTAGTTTGCTTCCCTGCTTACTGCTTCAATTAGGGAGGAACTGCTCTTCCCTCCCTCCGACCCGTCCTGTGCTTAGGGGCTGGCTGGCTGGCTGGCTGGCTGGCTGGCTGGAGTTGGCAGCTCGACGACTACTCTGTAAGTTAGTCTGCAAAGTAAACTAAATACGGTATCCTTTCACCCTGGTGTGAGTCATTGTGGCTACCGGTAACTACCTTAGTTGGCTGATGTAGGCAGCTAAATCACTAGATACCACATCCTAACTTATACTAATCATCTGCAGCATCGATTCCACCCAAATACCCTGTCAAACCTACCGGTACCTTCCTACCTCTCCATTGTTACTATAAATCACCGCGCCAAGATCGAAACTATCACCAACGCTAAGTCCTTCATCTCCTCACTGATTGACGGCTGGTAGGGCTGGAAGGGAGGCAGATCCCGGTCGTTGAGACATAGGAGGAGGGTTGTAGGCACTAACAAGCTGGGGGATTGTTTCTTGAGCTGACTTCCGGAGTAGGTAGTTAGGGATGCCGGCTAAACGGGCAAAAAAAACAAAAGAAAAAAAAAAGGAAAAGGGATCCGTCGCGTTGTGCTGCACAACCCAAAAAAGGTCCCAAAAAGGTAATCGGCCCGAGCCGCGGATCGAACGCGGGACCTCTCGCAGATATGCTTGGGGTTTGAAAATCCCTAAGCGAGAATCATACCACTAGACCACCCGGGCGAATGTTGAATCTTGTTCAATTAATATATCATATGAGTAGAAAGTATCATGAATGATGAGTGGGGAGGGTCGAGAGGGGGGTTGTCTGCTTGGTTCTGCTTAGAGAATCTTGCGAGAGCTGAAGGCATAGTTGGAGCTCGGAGGATTTGAGCGGCAGGGGCTGGTGGTGGAGAAGATGCTTGATGGGCAAATTGAGGGTGATTCGGTTGTCGCGCCGGCTGTATATAAAGTGCTCAGATGCAGACCAGACCCAAGACAGCGTGACAGAGTAGTCCGGTAGTCGGCAATGTGCACATGGAAACAGTATCACGGTGGAAAATACACGCATTGGATATCTAAACAACCAATCTAAGCCCAGGAGTAAGATCCAAAGAAATAACACACCGCAAGAAATAGGACCACACACCAAGAAGATTCTGTAATTCAGCACTACTTCATCAGACCATTCCGTCTTGTGTCCCTGTATCCATGATCAAAGCACCAGCACCCGTCTCCAGCCAGTCTTTTCTTCGTTGGCCCCATTGCCTCATAGCACGGTCAACACATAATTCTCAAGGCTATGAACCGAACATACTTATACCCAGCAGGAACATGACTGAACTCAATGAGCCCCTGCGACGGCCACCCTGGCGGGATCTCAATTCTCTCAGAGGGTTGGTGTTCTGATGGTACATTCTGTGTGAACCACCTCACGCGTTGGATCGAACTGATGTGTGTTTCGAGATTGGACCACAACGTGAGAAACGACAAACGAAAGACGAAGCTTGACATGGCGACAGTGAAAACCACTGCGAGAAACAATCCGATAGCGCGACCTAAATACAAGTATACAGACACATCTCCACCCTTGTCATGTGTCTCTTTTTTCAGCTTCATCGACCTTGTCAACTGTCCTAACGTCATCCTCCGGCACAGGCAGTGAACTGCCTTTGTAGCTCCAGCCCGGAAGACTCCGATGAGGATGGCGAAGCTTCCTTGGGACATTGTAATAATCATTCGAGAGTAGTGCAACTGGCTGAATTCTCGGGTTCACATGGCTCTTCTTTCCAGAATCTCCTGGATCCTCTGTAATGAGCCAACTGACGTAACATAGTTCACCAAAGCCATCACAAGTAATTGAAGAGGATCTGAGCAAAGCATTTAGTGTGACCGATGTTGGCAGACTTACCCAGAGCCATATTCCAGACCAAGAGCTTGCGAAAACGTTTGAGAAATTCTCAACTCATCGAGACGCAGCTTGTAACCCAAGCATTTTGAATACCTTTCATCGATGCGAGCATCGAAGACGTCGAGGACATCTGCCTTTCAATTGCTTGCAGCCATGAAGCTTGCTTTGACATGACAGAAGACGTCCCTATCATCGAACCGACAAGTGAAACTAAGATCACGATGACTGGTCATTGAACAATTCTGTCGATGTGGTACATTGAAAGACTCATCAACCGCAACTGCAACTGGCACCACACACGCAACGCCCAGTTGCCTTCGAGAGGTAGATGGCCAGCGCAATTTCCAGAGTGTTACCCAGATGTCGTGCATAGTCTGCCAGGCTTGCACAATTTGCTCAATATCGGCGCTCATCAGGGTCACCGAGGCAGCAGGATCTGCGTCTCTGGTGCTCAAAGAGCATGCCCTTTTGTAGATCATAGAATCGACAGCGCCTCGAACCATTGTGATAGAGCGATAGGTCAAATGCTGGTACTGGCCCACGGTAACCTAGTAAGAGCGCAGCCGTTAGACACAAAGCAGAAGAAAGCTATTGCATGCGATACTATTGAACTTACTGCTAGCCCGGTGTAGACCCAAGATATAAGCTCCAATTAGCCCATAACTGATGTTCTTGCTAGCATGATCTGAAGCTTGCTTGGTGAAAGATAAAGATCTCTCAAGCAGCAAAGGCTGGCAGATATTGAGAGCTGCTAGCATGGGTTCCGGTGGAATCACCGCACACACGTGCCAATTGAACGTCCGGAAGCATGCAGACAACAAGCCACTGGAACCAGTAGCTTGACCTACGAGGAGTTAATCGCATCTCTCGTGAGTGTGAATGAATGTTCCCGAGCCACAGACCTTTCTTCCATCCGGCTTCGAGGGCACGGTGTAGTCGCCTCGATTACAGTTGTTTTTCGAGGACAAAGAAGTCATCCACAGAATTGTAGGAGAGATACCCAAGCACCAAGATACCAGCGATAGTGACAGTGTTGACCGCGACTGAGGCTTGGGGTTCGTCTCGCCGAAGGGAGCGCTCAGAGGATAGTGAGGGCGAGTTGCGTGACACTCAAGACAGTCCAGAGTGTCTGGTGAGGGAAAACAAACGCCAATCAGCATCACGGGATCACGGGTAGTAACTAATATCAGTTGTGAAGAGTCACCATCCACCATTTTTGGCCCAGATTAGCGAGGAGCCTGCCACCACCTTGCGCCGTCTTCGGCCGTCACGCCATCATTGCACGCATGCTAGAACAAGAACTACTTCCCAAGGGCAAAATCCCCGAGACCAATTCCTGAGAAGTCGGGCTGCTCCGACAAAAGGAAGGAAGAAACTGCAACGACTCGTCCACTCGTTGGCACATTGAATGTACCGCCATGGCCACTACTTTCTTGATTCCATATACCACCGCCGAGAGTGCTTGAAACGGACATATGCCATGCAGGAGTCCTCTTCTACACGCCATGCCAATATCTGCGGCGACTTCGGCTTCAAGTGACTACTACAGCTGTTTCCGAGACATCGTATTGTCAAACTCTAGGCAAAGGCAAACATTGTCTTCTTTCTTTCTTGCGGTCGACGTGACATTTTCCCATCCCAGGCTAGTCATGTTGTTGGTAGTCAGAGCACATAATTACATAGTATGTATTGCTCATAAGCGGGGGCAAAAGCTAGCGAATTGACCTCGCATGAGAAGGTGGTTTCGGGCCCCCTTCCTCGTGTTCTTGACCTTCGCAAGGCGTCAAGTGCGATCAGGTGCAATAAACACCGCAACGCCATGAAAGGAAGATTGCCACTGCGCCTGAAGCTGAAAGATTACCCCCGGAACATGCATGAGAAAGGCTAGCGAGACAAAATCGATTCGGGATGTTCCACCGGTTCTCACCAAGAGGTGTTTTTTTCTTTTTTTTGCTTTTACCTTCTGTATATTCTGCTACCCTGTCATAGGCATTAGAGGCCATGAATTTCACCTCCTCCCTCCCCTGCAACGTCAAGATGACCTGAACCTTGCCAACACGAGTTCCTGCAAAACATTTAGCTTGCGGTAGCCAAGGCGGCGAGGGGAGACGATGCAGGCAAAAGCAACGGTAAAAAAGATTTAGCGAAAGAAAATAATACATCTGTTGAAAAAGAAAGACTTTGATTACTGGAACCGCGACTAAGAAATCAATTTGCAGTGGGGGAAAACAAGGATCTAACATATTACACTAATACAAATAAATGGTAACAACAGAAGAACCCTGTCAACAGCCAAGTCCATCAAATAGCGCGAACTGAACCGAGCAGGAACTGATCTGTATGCCTCCCACCTTGGCCCACAGGCCCAGGGCCACCGACGTTTTCCCTGCGCGAGGCTGTTGTGGGTATACTGTGTCTAAACAGATTCTAGACTCTAGACTATTATACTACTGGCGCCCACCATGCTGCATGTAGTTATGCACCGCTTGAGTAATTTCGCCATCAGGACTTGTTACTCACAAGTCTCTTGCCAGATGCCGGTCAACCACGAGCAGGACTAAATTGTGACTACTAAGAATGTCCTGAATGGAGGTCTCGAGGCACTCTGCCCCCAGTCTTCTTCCGTGATGGTATAGCTTGGACGGTTGTTGAACCGCCGTGGAGAGTGGTAGTTGTTCAGTGTGAGTGACTGAGGGTAGGTACGTAGTGTTCTCTTGCCATGATCCAAATCCCGAGTGACACAAAATGCCGCTCCACTGCGGTTGGTTTACTGTCAATGCCTCATCCGGATTCCATGCGGAGAGATTGGAGCAATCAACTTTGCTGTGGGTTCACTGCATGGCATGGATCCACAGAGGGCTGGAGAAAGTCAACGAGGAGCTGACGGTCAAATGTCGTCGTTCCCAGAAAGAGGATTCCAAATCGTCCTGGGCCGTCAGTCACTGAGGCGGGCTAAGCTTGGAACCTGACGACGGGTTGGGGATCTGCTCTTTACGTCAGATCCGACGGGATTCCCGACCAAGCCAACTCGGAGTTCCAGACACGCTGCCAAACTTGTTCAACGACTGTATACGGAGTAGTTTAGTACGGAATCCCAAGTGGATCCCAGTTCGCGCCGTGGTAGTAATCTGACAGTAGCTACATATTTTAGTTACTTGTCAGCTACGGGCTGCCGCGAAGATACGATTCGATGGCAAATTGTGCCCTCTCAAGTACCGATACAACAAGAATAACTGGCGGGGCGATTTTATCTCGATCGCTCCTACAGTCGCCCACCGCTACGACCGAACCAGTACGTACTTGGTGGATGCTCCGTTGTGGAGGAGGTGAACGGACAAAAAAAAACATTGAACAACAGACTTCAAAAAAAAAAAAAAAAACAGGGTAACACGGAAGGGGAAGGTACCACAGCTTGGCCAGCTTACTCCGTACAGGCTTTGAGTCCATCCAAGATTGCCCAGAATTACCGACTGAGAGGCCATAGTCTGTGGACGGTGGGAACCCTCCTTCGCTGGAAGCTCAGTTGTTCCGTCGGGAGTAAAGGAGGATACACAAGGATTATAAGTTAACTACCTGCCAAGCGAGCTGAAGATCAATTGATCGCCCATCCATCGACTTTTCCCTTGCCGCATCCAGGTTCTAACAAAGCGAATGTTTGAGGAAACTTAGTGGCTGCGCGCAATTTGTTGTGCAGGAATTAGACTACAGAATAAATTGATTGTGGTCGCCAATGCTCGGCTACAATTTGCGTGGGTTGCGGGTGGTGGAGATCAGATTGGCAGACAACCACCAACGCAGAATCCGGTAATTGGCAGAAGCTGAGCTTGGTTCCTGCCTATACCTACCGTAGGGAGTAAAAGTGTGTGGCGGAAGACTTCCGACTGCCGTTACCCGCCCCCCTTCCCTTTTCTTCTAACAAATGGGTGACTAACCTGGCCATTAGTGCTCTTCATAAACTACATTACGTCTACAACAGTACTCCCGTACTCCGTCCCCTAGCCTGTACTTTTTTCAATAGCAACACCTATTATTCCATCTGCCCGAAGTTCCTATCCTCTCTCCCAACAAAAAAACGATCTACCAGGTGACTGTCTGCTCGACGGGGCCTGACAGCTGCGGCGTCGACTAGCCGTTCAAATCAGATACACGCCTGGATTAGCATGCTTTAGTCGACAGGTATTATGCGCTACCTGGACCACTCTGTACTGTGTACCCTGACGACATTAAGCTGTTCCACTAACACACGAGACAACTGCCACCTATTGTAGTCTGTCGCTTCTTTTTACTCTTTTCTCTACTCTGGGTGTTTCTCCCTCGATGGCATCATGGGAGGCTTGGGGGTTAGATCTCCGATGACGATGGTGCTAAGATCGATCATTTGCCTGATTCAGGTTGGTTTTTATCCTCCCGTCCGGAATTTAGCCTGCCGGAATGGATCTGAGGCTTTGTGTCAACCATGGTACGTATGAAAGGCACACTCAGGTGGGTAGGGATCGACAGCGTTCTCCCCGAGCCGCCCGTGCCTGAATTAATCATCAGTGCTTTTTCTTCTGTTTTTCCGACCGACCGCCTGCTCTCGTCAGGTTGGCTTGAAGATCACTGTCCTGAATAGTCAGTTAACAAACCTATTCATAGAAGCTCTTGCTCTCTTTGTAGTTTCAACAAGTCGGCGACTGCGGTGCACACTTGAATTTATATAAAGCTCAACTCATGTCATATGCCGTCGTGTATGCACACTAGTACCCTGCTAGTTACCACTTGCCTAAGCGCATGCACCTATGTAGCGTTGTGGCAAAGGTTAAGGGAGCCACAGCCTGACAGTATGCTCAGTACGGAGTTCTTCCCCTGCAGTCCTTGCATAATGAGTGAAAGTCTACTTACTGTAGTTGATTTATGTCCGCTCTAGCCCGGTGACCTGTGAAGAATAAGAGGCTCAGGAGAGTTTTGGGGATCTTGCCCTAGAGGACGGGGTTCGGAGGGCATATCCGCGGGACCCAATAGGAATCCTCACGGAAGGGGCAGGAGCCCACCAAGTCAATCCCCGCCCGCTCGGGATTCTTTGACGAGCAATACCAATTACAGGCCGGGCGACAACCATCGGACTAAGACATACTACCAAAAGCGTGCATACGATCCGACGTAGAAATAGTCCTACAGTTCTTGGAATTTTTACTTCTCCCTCTCCCCCTTAGAGGTGCGTCCAAGCTACATAAGCGAAGTAACTCCGTGATATGCCCGCTATAGGGCGCGTTAGGAGAGCACGCCCAGGCAGCGCCTAGTCAACGACAGCCTCGGAACGTGACCGGCTAGATCGGTGCACTCAGAGCGCCGCAAGACAGGCAGGCTACAGTATGGTAAGGCAGCTGCAAGTCCCGTGTGATTGACAAATTCGTGGCTCCTTAAGCTCATATCACGTCTGCCACAGCGTAAACTATCCATTGTTGGCTCTCTGGCCTCTAATATGACTTAACTAATCTCTAACTCCCGCTTGCCTGTACTTCAAGGGGCTTGGGGTAAGGTGTCTGTGCTGGCTTTATGCTCCAACTTCCAATAATATGGTTGAGAAAGTTTAAAACTGACTTTATAGCTCGGCTATGTGTTGTTGTTCCCATGGGAGTCAAACTTCTCTTATGCTACAATTCAGGTCCTCCGTCGTCTGCGTAATCATGTGTCACTTTTGCTGATCTACTTTTATCGATTCTATAAATATTGATGAAAATTTCTTTCCGATTTCTTTCCCCTTCGGGCCTGAGACTCAACCGTAGTAGTACCTATTCCAGAGTAGGTAGGAAGGTCTTGCAACTACTGCTGGAATGGTCGTAGTGAGCTGGTACTTAGTGTGTCAGTTGGCTTAGGGCGATTGACGAGACACTAAATTACTAGGTGCTACCACTACCGTAGGTAGATACCTAGTTAGACCGACTGGCTTAGTCAGTTGGCAGGCACTGATCGTTACCTTGGTACTTCGAATGAGCAAGGGTAGGCCAACTCCGCTGTTAATAACTCTATTTTCTCATTCCCGCGCGAAGGTGTTCATTCCAAAGAGCTTCTTTTCTCTTCTGGCGTAAAGTCTATATTATCCGTGGGATGCGGAGGTTGAAGCTTACGAACTTCTATGACGTGATGCAAGAGATTGTGAGACCATGTGTGGTAGGGAAATTCTCCGGCGGACCACGTATGCTGCTGCTGCTGCCCCTCTACCAACTTTTGCATCGTATTCCTCCTCTTGCAACTCATGTGGAGCGAGCACGGGTATTGAAGCTGGAGGACCCATAGGAGTCGGGACTGACCATGGCCTGCCAGGGAAGTTGATTTCCTTTGCCGCTAGCGGAGTGGATCGGACGGACTCAATTAGGGCAAGCCTTGCACGGGTGCGCCAATAACGCCCAAGCCATTGTGCTCCTCGATCAGGAACAGGACTTTTGCGCCCAGATGGAGAGGAGCGCGCCTGGACTTGGGAAGGAGGAGGGATCGATTTGATTTTTATTTTACTTTAATCTTTATTGTTGTGTTTGTCATTGCCGATTTAGTATGACTTCTATTTCTCTTCTTTTTTTTTTTTTTTTTTTTTTTTTTTTTTTTTTTTTTTTTTTTTTTTTTTTTTTTTTTTTTTTTTTTTTTTTTTTTTTTTTTTTTTTTGTTGCCAGTCCGGGTCCCCGTTCACTTCCACCTTTGGTTGCATGCTTATTTACTGAATACCGGTACTATATCGGTCGACAACAGCTCAATCAC